CTCCGCCGGTGCCGGCTACTCCAGTCCTAACGACGCCGTTGACCACTACCTCAAGTCTCGCGGCTTCAACGGCCTCTTCTCTCAGATCGAAGTCCGTTCCTTTCATTCTCCTTTTGACCAAGATTTGAAATTTACCATTTCTCACTTCCAATGTTTTGCTTGTTCTCGCAGCTATCGTTCTCTGCTTCCAATTTGAGAGACCGAGACGTGATTTCAAAGGTTCGTTCCAATTTCCTCAGAAATGCTTCACAACATTCGTAGAGCACGATAGAATCTAGCTAGTTGATTGATTCTTCTTTTAAGTCAATTGAAATAGTATGATGTAAGATAGTGTAGAGTTTGATAAACTTGCTTGTGATGTGCAGAGCGATGCAATGGTGGTTGCTTACACAAAAGGAAGAGATGGTTCACTTGTAGAATTGTTCCGTAGTGAAGTTGTGTTGAATTCTTTGAATCCTAAATGGATTAAGAAGTTTACAATCGGTTATCAGTTTGAGATTGTGCAAACATTGCTGTAAGTTGTTTAAAATCTGTTATTATGCTTACTTGAGGGAAAGAAATAAAGTTCTCACCTTTATGACCCCTTCTCTGCACACAGGTTTCGTGTGTATGATATTGACACTCAGTTTCAAAACTCAAGAGAGGAGGTAACTTCAATCTTTTCATGTTCCCTTTCCACTGAATGATATTGAAGTAACAGTTTATGATTTGAGGATTTTTCATTTCAGATGCTTAAGCTCGACGAGCAGCAGTTTCTTGGCGAGGCAACATGTACATTGTCTGAGGTATCCCCTGCTTATGAACCTGAGAACCTCTCTACTGGTTCTTTGAAGTATAAAGAAGCAAACCTTATTTTAGTGCATATTGATTCAGATGTTGTATTTACTGGTAAACAATGCAGATTATCACCAAATCAAATAGGACGGTTGCGTTAGAACTCATGCGTAAAGAAGGTAATGCTGCACAGACTCAGCCACAAAACTGGGGAAAGCTTATTGTCCATGGTGAGGAGTCACTAGCTTCTAAGACCACGACAGAGATAGTATTTAGGTGCTCGAATTTGGAATCAATGGATCATTTCTCTAAAAGTGTAAGCTAACTGTAGTAATAGTCTTTCACCATTTTACCAAAATTGTACTTCAGGCATAATCATAACATGAGTTTTCTTGCTCAGGACCCGTTTTTGGTGATATCTAAGATCGTAGAGCACGGGGCTCCAATCCCAGTCTCGAAAACCGAAGTCTTAAAGAACGATGCTAATCCGCTTTGGAAACCAGTCTCTCTAAGTGTTCAACAAGTGGGGAGTAAGGTAAGCAGAGAGGTTTCTTATATCTTAGATTTTTTTTTAACAGAAGGATGTATCAGTTCTCTTGTGTAATAACTGCAGGACACTCCACTGGTGATAGAGTGCTTAGACTTCAATGGCAATGGCAACCACAATCTGATCGGGTAACCACAAAAATCTCAGTTCCTTTGATGCTACAACATGAAAAATGATTTGCTTAGTCTGAGATGAGATCATTCTTGTTTGTTGTTGAATTTTGCCAGAAAAGTTCAGAAGTCACTTTCAGACTTAGAAAAGCTTCATTTGAGTGGCCAAGGAATCAATTTGTTCTTACCTACCGGTGTTGGACATAAACATGAAGACAAGGTATTGATCTTCAACAACAAGAGGTTTCATACAATCTTAATGCGAGAAATCTGATAACCATTTGCCTTTCTTTCAGGCATTAAAGAGTCAGCTTTTCGTGGACAAGTTTACTGAGACTGTTCAGCATACATTCCTCGAATACTTGGCGTCTGGATTTGAATTGAACTTCATGGTCGCAATTGATTTCACAGGTATGTATTACAACAACATGGTAGAAATATATAAGAAAGGCATAATTTCTCTTTTAGACCTAATCTAATTGGCGCTTCTTCTGTCAGCTTCAAATGGAAATCCTCGCCTACCAGACTCCTTACATTACATCGATCCTACAGGACGATTAAATAATGCCTACCAGAGAGTAAGGACTCAGAAGTTTGGTTGTTGCCTAACTTTAAGAATTCATTGCAGAAGTGGTGACTGTGTGTGGTCTTCTTTCTTGTAATCAGGCAATAGTTGAAGTTGGAGAGGTGTTGCAGTTCTATGACTCTGACAAACGCTTTCCCGCGTGGGGTTTTGGAGCTCGTCCAATCGACATCCCGGTTTCACATTGCTTCAACCTCAACGGAAGCAGTACTTATTGTGAGGTCTGGCGTTTATCTCCAACTAACCTGACTCAAGTAAACAGTCATGAGCTAAAATGTATCAAAATTTCAATTGTTGTTTTCTCAGGTAGATGGGATACAAGGTATTATGAATGCATACAATGGTGCTCTCTTCAACGTCTCCTTTGCAGGACCTACTCTGTTTGGTCCTGTGATCAACGCTGCTGCTACAATCGCAAGCGAGTCACTCGCTCAAAACGCACGGAGATATTACGTCTTGTTGATAATCACTGTAAGTTCACTATATCAAAAACATTGTTTTTCAGTTAATATAAAGACGATGGAAAGAAACTAAAACTTGTCCGTTTTATATAGGATGGAGTGATAACAGATCTGCAAGAAACGAAAGACTCGTTGGTCAATGCATCGGATCTTCCGTTATCAATCCTTATCGTAGGAGTCGGAGGAGCTGACTATAAAGAAATGGAGGTTTGTCCTAAACAGAATTTGAATAACACTTCAAGTTTGTGGTTTTTCAATTGCAAAATCGAAAAGATTCTTACAAATGAAGGTATCTATTCTTGTTGATGTTGTGTAGGTGCTAGATGGAGACAAAGGAGAGAGATTAGAGAGCTCGAGTGGGCGTGTGGCGTCACGTGATATCGTCCAGTTTGTTGCATTACGAGACATGCAGTGTGAGTATTTGCTGTTGTTGTTTTCATTTCTTGATTTGTTTGGGGGATTTGGAAACGCAGCGTTTCGGTTGAGTGATGATTGTTTGTGTGCTGTAGATGGAGAGGTCTCAGTGGTAGAAGCGCTTCTAGCGGAATTGCCTTCACAGTTTTTGGCGTACATGAGAAACCGTAACATCACTCCAACCTCTTCTTCTTGATCCCACACTCTCCTCTCAACACTGTACATACATGGGTCAACACAGCTCTATACGCTGTCGTTTTCTTTGGCTTTTTCTGTTTTTCTATTTTTCTGGAATTTTTCCATTTCCAGTTTGCCACGTCAAATTTTTACATATCTCACTCTTGATTTGTTTTTTTTTTTTCATTTCGAAACAAAAGGTTATTTTTATTAATATTATTTGCCAAATTACCAGTTGGTTTTGGCATATTTCAAATCGTGTAGTGTTCAACGGTCAACATATTAAGTTGTTGACTTTCGTTTGTTTTTGATAGGATTTAGGTGCTGACTTTTATTCTAAGCCTGACTTTAAACGTGATTGTTGATTTTTTTTTCTTTCTTTACCGTACTTCTCGCTGAAACAAATCAATTACGAAAAAACAAAACAACATATTTAATAACATTATTTAGTCAGACTCATAAAAAATTGTTTCTTCTCTTTTTTTTTTTGGTCAACATAACTAAAAAATACCGACCCATGTGTATTATTTCCTGTTTTATTTCCATCAAATTCAAATTCGTTAACATGACACTCTTTTTGTTTTTGTTGTTATCCTTTGACTGACTTTCTCATATGAAAAATGCTTTATATATTTATTGAATCTATCACAAAACGAGCACTATATGTCATGTCGTATTGTCGTTATAGACAATGCAATAGACAGCATTGTCTATATCAGACTTTGGAGTTTCACGTGGAGAGCTGAGGCAGTGAGGCACCTCGGTGACTCCCTTGTATTCTAATCAAGTCTATATATATACATCCCTCTTAGAAGAAAAAAAGGGTAAAAGTCCACTTGTTTCCTCTTCTTCTTTCCTTGAGTACCAACTTGGTGAAGACTTAAACATTAGTGTATGGCTGTACGCATGTAAAAACGTTTTAGTTGATCACTGGATCAAAAACTTCCACATAAAATGAAACAAGAAAACATCTTCGTAAATCTATAAGTAGAAGCCTCCAAAACAACATTTTCAATGCACACGTTTTCACTTGAGTTAGTGATCAGTGTGACAGTGTGTACACATGTCGTATAGACATATAACTCATTTTGTTTTTAAATCTCTTCCTAATCTTTTTAGGAAAGAAAATAAAGATCCCACTTAACAAAAACCATAAAGAAAAAACCCCACTCACACGTACGTAAACTCCTCTTCTTTAGTTATGTTTATTTTTTTTATCAGTAAAAGACAATTAATTATTTCTTATTCCTCAACTTTTTCAGAGAATGTCGGTTTAATTACACACAGAGAATATCTCTGTTTCTTTGTATTTTAAATCAACCTTTTCAAAAGAGTAGAATATATTTGGTTTCCTTCAATTCCATGCATGTGTTCCCAAAAGAAACAATAAAACAGAATATGTACATATGCATGCATTTTTCTTCTTTAGGTTTTCCCTTTTTCCCTTTTTGTCATTTTGAATCTTAATTTATATAGCGTTCATATGTATTTTAAATTCTTCTATCAGAGCTTTTTTACTAATCTTTATTGATATCCATTTGTTAACATGTTCAGATTCACACGTACGCATTTTCTGCAGTGAGCAAATTAAAAAGCCTTTTTCACGCGTCTCTACAGTTTTAACGAGTACACTCGTACAAGTGCATGATTTCTATGTCTCTCGAAAATTATAGTAAAAAATATTTTTTAAAGATAATATGCAAAACTTCAACTTGACGTTTTTGTTATTTGTCTTTATGTTCACACGGACAAAATGCTTCTATAAAACCTTCAAATTGCGCACCCCAAGAAACCCTAATCAATCTCTCTCTTCCGTTTTCCTTCTTCGTTTCTCATGTTCAACGCATCCTCTCTTTGGAACAGTATAAAATCTTAAACCCTAATTCTTAACCTCCAAAAGAGAGAGGGGGCTCATTTAAAGGATTTTTGCAAAGATGGCGAATCCAAATAATTATGGGAAGAAAGAAGCCGAGGATGATGAGAACATATTTCCTTTCTTCTCAGCCCGATCCCAATACGACATGCGTGCCATGGTCTCAGCCTTGACTCAAGTCATTGGAAACCAAAGCAGCTCTGATAATAATCAACATCCTGTTGCGTATAATCAACAAGATCCTATCCAACCGGTTCCTCCAACTCAAGATCAAGGTATATCTACATATATATGCCATTTTTGATTCGCATATTTATATATGCACATATAGTTGGACAAGTTAGCATATTTATTCCAAGTTATTGCTAGTGTATGATATAAAATGAGCAGATGGATTGCATTGAATGTCCCTATAAGGCAATTTTTTGCATTAAATTGCCTTATAAACATATCAGAATCTACCAAACCTGTATATGTGAATGATATATGTCGCTTGGTTATTGTATGAAGGAAACTTGAGGAAGAGACATTATAGAGGGGTACGGCAACGACCATGGGGAAAGTGGGCAGCAGAAATTCGTGATCCACAAAAGGCAGCACGCGTATGGCTCGGAACATTTGAGACCGCTGAAGCTGCGGCTTTAGCTTATGATGAAGCAGCTCTTAAGTTCAAAGGAAGCAAAGCCAAACTCAATTTCCCTGAGAGAGCTCAACTAGCAAGTAACACTAGTACTATTACTGGTCTACCAAACTATTACTCTTCTAACAATCAAATTTACTACTCAAATCCACAGAGCAATCCGCAAACTATACCATATTATAACCAATACTACTATAACCAATATCATCAGCAAAGAGGAAATGGTAATGATGCACTAAGCTACAGTTTGGCCAGTGGGGAAACCGGAGGCTCAATGTATAACTATCAGACGTCATCTGCTACACCTTCTTCCTCTTCCGGTGGATCTTCAAGGCAACAAGAAGAACAAGATTACGCCAGATTTTTGCATTTTGGGGATTCTTCATCTCCTAATTCGGGTTTTTGAGATCCTCATAAAAGTAATAAAGGGTTCTACTTGTTATGAGGAGATCATATGTTTCTTGAGTGTTTTGTATTTTCATTATGCGTGTGTTGTTTGTGATCTCTTTGTTTATTTCTTCTTTCAAGAATTTTCATGGCCGGGGTTCTTGTTAACAACCCTGGATTTGGATTTATTTGTTGTTGTTGGGGTTATTCGTTTTCGTATTAAATAATCAGCTAGCTACATACAAAATATTACCCTTTAAAGTTATTAGAGTAGTCTCAGATAAACACATTATTCACTGGTTTGAGTCACAGTAAATGATGGTAATGAATATATATATCATATGGCGTGTATAGCTTCTAAAGACGATTTAAAACCACCAAGTTTACACGTTGTCACATTTTAGTACAATTTTGGATTGCATTGTAATATGACGATTTATTTTGTTTACAGTTGTACGTTGTAAATTTGTAATTGATGGTTTTTGTTGTCAACGTGTAACTGGTTTCATCTGCATAAATTTATTAATATATCTTTTGCTTATAAAAATGGTTGACTTCATCCTATTAATATTATTATAGGTAAATTTCCTTTACATTAATCTATACAAACTTTTTTTCCTTCTCACGGACAAGCATGCATTTTTGAATTTGGCTGATGATGATGGCATAATAACAATTGTAAAACAAAATGATCTAATTTGTATGGGTCCGGTTGTAAGGAATTATGTTGTTTTAAAAGAAACAAAAAATGTTGTTTTCAAATTACGCGTACTTTTCTATATACGAGAAGAAGAAGAAGAAAAAGATAACAGTATAGTAGTACTTCCAATATAGTCAGGGTTTCAAAAGTAGATAGTTTTCTATTAAAACCGATACAATGAGACTTTTACAAGCCAGTTTAGTTTTACTCAAAACAAGAAAGAGAGATACTGGGATTGGAAGTAACAAGTATGAAAACTTGACCAAAACAGATTCCCTAAGTGTTTGTTCAAGTTCTTGACTTTTTTCAACCCAAAGAGTTTGACACCTTTTGACTCATGTTTTCATATCCCTCTACTGATTTTTGTTTGAGATTTAAACATCTGTTTTTTCTCTCTTTTTTCCTACAGTACGGTATAAAATGATGTTGGAAGTGTCTATGTCAATCCAGAAATTTATTTACACTTATGATGAAAATACCTAAATTTAAAGGACATTATAGAGGTAGATTCAATGTACATCTGATTCCGCGATGAAAAATAAATCATTTCGTTTTGAAATTCAGAGACTCATTTTTCTTACCATCATATCAATTGAAATGATGGTTACGATGTTAATGAATTTCGTTATTATTAAAACTTTCCGACCAACGCGTTATCTCCTCTTTCTTTTGTCCTTTTTTTTCGAACCTTTCTTTTGATTTATTTTTGTCTATTTCATTCTTTTACCGTAAATGGTTAGTGCATAAAACTAAAACTTATTTATTGGTATGGGAATCTCGGCCGCTGACAAAATCTGTACTTCAAGACATTCGTGGAACTTTCAAAAGCATCCTTGTATTCTTTTCTGCAATAAAACACCTGGCATGCGCGGATCTGACACGTGTAACGACAACATCCGTTACTAAGCCAAGGCGGGTCCAGCTAGATAGTAGATACTGTACATTCATAACAATTCAATACCAATTCCTCTAAATACAAAGATCAATTAGGTCATGTATATGGCAAGCAGAATAATTCAATACTAAAATTCTTTGATATGATGAGGTTCAGATGTGGACCGTTACTTACAAAACAAATCATATAATAAAAACAAATGTAATCCCGACAAACAGAATACGTAAAAGAAAATCAACGAATCAAAAACGTTGACGTTAACGGATACGAGAGGATGGCCGCACGCACGCCGGCCTCGCAGCGCCCTTTCAACCTTTGCGGCCTTCTGAGCTCTCACAGATCTCAACCACTTTCTTTCCTTCATTTTCAAACTTATCGGCCCAAAGATGTATGTATGCAAACTATGCATATGCGTACAGCATACATAAATATACAAAACAAATTCTAATAAAAAGACGTATGTAAATGTAAGTATGTATAAACGTGTGCATGTTCGTTTCATTCGTTCGGGGATGTTCCCTTCAAATTGCACCGACTCACACATTAAACATAGTGCAGCCCACTTCATTTTCTCAAATAGTCTGGCCCATTTTACTTTAACTCAAACTGTTTTTTGCAAATCACGTTTTAATCGTTTATTAAAGACCGGTTACATCATAAAAGCTTTTTTGTTCCTTCTTCTGCTTCAAGGTGTGGATTGCTGAACTTCGTCGGTGAAAGCATGTATAGTTTGTGTTGAAAAAAAAGGTAGAATCATAACTTTTCTGTGAAATGGGTTCCATGTGACTGTGATTATGTGAACGAAGAATGACGTATTCTAAAAACAAAATAAGGAAGAAGAAAAACGTTTTGAGCTGTAGTCATGTAGAATCTAAGATCAAAACGTTTTCGTAGAAGAAAAACAGCATATTCTGTAAGGAAGCTAAGATCTCACATTCCAAAAATAGAGCGACAAAAGAAAGTAAGAAACTGTCAGATTCAGATTAGGGAGCGCAAAACATTAATTGATGACAAAAGCGTTTTCATTAAAAAAATAATTCCGACCTGCCGGAATCGAACCAGCGACCTAAAGATTTGCTGTCACAGACTACAGTCTTCCGCTCTACCAACTGAGCTAAGGTCGGATGTTGATATTTCTACAAACATAATTAATACTATTATAAACTATACTGGTATTCTTGCTTTCCAATTTCCAAACCGGATAAGTGATAACATAACCAGCGAGAAGATGTCTACCAAATTATCAATCACATAAAATTGTGCAAAAAAATAATTTGCCTCTCTCTACTCCACTTGTAAATTTATAGACTCGTCTCTTGGTTCAAAAATCAAATTTAGGGTCAAACAACTCTATAAACCTTTTTCTCAAACACAATTGACTCTGTCAGTTTGGTTCAAAGTTCAAACCGGTCACACAGGAGCATTCAATTTGACTGATTCGCACGTGCCGTGTGTATGTGCACGTGAAAAACGGCCGCAGAATAGAGGAGACCGAAGGCGAGGGAAAGATAGAGAGAGAGAGATTGGGATATGTTACCGTCACTTGCGGTTGACATATGACGCCGGATTTTCCTTCACCGGCCGTCGTTTTCAAGCCATAGCCAGAGCAAAACTCTCTCACACACACACTGAGTCCGTTTGAATTCCAAAAGTTTGAATATTTTGTATTTGGGTATATTCTGATTTGAGAATTTGGGGATTCGCGTTTCGTCTTGGACGGAGAAGAAGACTCTTTCGTTCGTTGTTCAGGTTTTCTTCCACGAAACACAGGACCAGGAATTCACTCTTCCGAAGTCTCAAGGTCAATCTCCTGTATAAATACCCGAGAAACATGAACGATCCGTAGAATCATTCAAAGCCGCTGGTGAAGCATTTCTAATTCATTTTATCTATTTTCATCTGGAGCAATCTCGATTGATCGCGAATCAGCAATGGAGTCGGCGAAATCGAATCCCAAACACCGAAACCCGACGAAGAAACCTGCATCCATCACCATGGAGCACGTTCTGCTGGCGTTACGCGAGACCAACGAGGAGAGGGAGATCAGGATTCGCAGCTTGTTCGATTTCTTCGACAGCTCGAACCTAGGGTTTTTAGATTACGCCCAGATCGAGAAGGGTCTGGCTTCGCTTCAGATTCCTCCCGAGTACAAGTACGCTAGGGATTTGTTCAGAGTCTGCGACGCGAATCGAGATGGATGCGTCGATTACCAGGAGTTTCGCCGCTACATTGACGCTAAGGAGCTTGAGCTGTACAGGATCTTCCAGGCCATTGACGTCGAGCACAATGGCTGCATTTTGCCTGAGGAGCTTTGGGAGGCTCTTGTTAAGGCCGGTATGTGATTCCGTACTGTTCCATTTCTACTGTTACATTTTGCAAATGATCATTCCACACACAAACAATGAAATTTGTTTTTTGTGAATACTCATTGATCATCTGCTATATTGGTGTAATGTGAATTTCAAACCTTTATGAGATTCGTTGATTTTGATTGTTCACTGCTTGCTTAATCGATGAATGTAGCCTTATGTTGCAGAAGCTTTTATGTTTTCCCATTTGATTTTTTGAGTATCTGCAACCTATATAAGCACCACAGTTATGTTCATGTAGGCATTGAAATCGATGATGAGGAACTCGCTCGCTTTGTGGAGCATGTTGATAAGGACAACAATGGAACTATAACATTCGAGGAGTGGCGTGATTTTCTTTTGCTGTACCCTCACGAAGCCACCATTGAGAACATATATCATCACTGGGAAAGAGTGTGCTTGATAGACATTGGAGAGCAAGCTGTTATACCAGATGGTATAAGCAAACACGTCAAAAGAAGCAGATTACTCCTCGCAGGAGGACTAGCCGGAGCTGTTTCTAGAACCGCAACCGCACCTCTGGATCGCCTGAAAGTTGTATTGCAAGTCCAAAGGGCACACGCAGGGGTCCTCCCGACCATTAAGAAGATATGGAGAGAAGATAAGCTGACAGGTTTCTTCAGAGGTAATGGGTTAAATGTGATGAAGGTTGCTCCTGAAAGCGCCATTAAGTTTTGCGCTTACGAAATGCTGAAACCCATGATTGGGGGAGAGGACGGCGATATTGGTACGAGCGGGAGGCTTTTGGCAGGTGGAATGGCTGGTGCGTTGGCTCAAACCGCTATTTACCCGATGGATCTTGTGAAGACTCGGTTGCAGACTTGTGTGAGTGAAGGTGGAAAGGCACCGAAGCTGTGGAAGCTCACAAAGGATATATGGGTGAGGGAAGGACCTCGTGCGTTCTACAAGGGTCTGTTTCCTTCTCTTCTTGGGATTATCCCTTATGCAGGAATCGACCTCGCTGCATATGAAACGCTAAAAGACTTGTCTAGGACATATATTCTTCAAGACACTGGTTAGAGCATCAAAGCTTTAGATCCTTATATTTCTTTGCGTTTGATTGTTCTCTGTGATAAATACTAAAACAGCTTGAGTTTTGCAGAGCCGGGTCCACTTATACAGCTTAGCTGTGGAATGACTTCAGGAGCTCTTGGAGCTTCTTGCGTGTACCCGTTACAGGTCGTAAGAACAAGGTAAACAAACTCAAAAGGTTAAAAAAGTTTTTTTTTTGTGTTTTCTTTCTTGACTTTGATTGTAACTACAAGTTTGATCCTTCTTTATGTTAGAATGCAAGCGGATAGTTCAGAGACGACGATGAAGCAAGAGTTTATGAAGACGATGAGAGGTGAAGGTCTGAGAGGCTTCTACAGAGGACTTTTGCCAAATCTTCTTAAGGTAGTTCCAGCTGCAAGCATCACGTACATTGTTTATGAAGCTATGAAGAAAAACATGGCTCTTGATTAGCCAATTCAAATTTTCTCGGAGTTAGTCATTTTTTTGTTTTGTTCCAAAGGGGTCGCTTCTTGAATCTTGAGCTCTAGATTATGTGAGATTTTAACACAGGCAAGCCCAGACTGTAAACATATCTGGTCGTTTATGTGTTCTTGGGATCATATCAAGACTCAAATCTGTAAAAGTCATCATATCTTTGAAACGAATCTTGAATGGATTAAAATTACGGTTCTGTTTCATATTCGCTCTCATTTTTGCTTATCCAAGTCGGTTTTAATTTTAATTTGGTTTTGGTTCAATTCAATTTTCCAAATATACCACAAAAATATGTTTTTCCAAAAATACCACAAATTTTGTTTTCCAAAAGTACCACAAAGATTAATTTTTATTTGAAGCTGTAAAAGACTTGTGGATCGCAACTTTTGATCTTAACATATGAAAGATAGATTAAAAAGAAACAAACAAGATTATAGAGCTATTAAAAGCAATCGGAATGATTCTCATCTGAGAATCTATACATCACCGGAGAAGCACCGGAAAAAAAGAAAAAGAAAAAAAGACAGAAAAAGGAAATGCAAAATGAACGAGAAAATACGAAAAGAAGAAAGGCGTAGCCTTCCCTTTGCCTCTGATGACTTGCCGTTTGTATCCATTCCCCTGTGAACCAGAAGGTCTAGAACAGAGAAAGATAATGGAACCGAGTTAACTTCCATTAACCGTAGCTCGAAAGCTTCTTAACGTCGTCTTCTTCTTCCGTTTCTTCATCCATATATTTTTCTCTACCTTAGATGATTGACGAGGAAAGATAAAACGTTAGTGTTCCTTTTAGTCTTCTTCTACGTCTATCTATCTTCACATTATTTATAATGCTTCAGCGACTCCCATATGAGGCCATATCCAATAATCCAAACAATAATTATTTATTATTGTCTGAAAAAAATAAACTTTTTGATTTAAAAAATGTTTTGCTCAGTTTTATTTCAACTCGTGGAATCTTTTTGAAAGTTATATACGTACCTAACTAAATTCAGTGAAAGTTATATCATAGGGCATAGTAACGACTAAACCATAGTGTTGAAGCTAGTGGATTAATATATTCAGAAAAACTTATGTGACACCACAGTGAAATCAAGAAATAAACAAATATACATACAGGTGGTTTCTGCGGGATGAAGGAATGATTCTATAGCTTTTGCTATATTTATCTTCCACTTCTCGCAATTATATGCTAATGTATTATCTAAAGTTCACATCATAAACTATTCATGCTGTTGTATTATTCTGTAGTTTTTGCTATACTGTAGTTCTCTTATGATTTTCGTTGATACTTCTCTTGCTTCATCACTGTAAAATTTTATTAAACTTCATCAAATGATGTATTACTGACAGTAATTAGGTATTGTCATGAAAAGAAAAAAAGACATTAGTTATGGTTAAATTTGCATGCAAGAACTCAAAAACATAGATTATTTATATATCTCATAATTATATTCAGTGGTATTAGTTAATGGTACATCAAAAAGGATAACCTATATCGACAATCTTATCTACAAATGATTCTAGACTTCTAGTTATAGGCAAACCGAAATAGTAAAATTAAAGGACCACATGTGCGGCGTAGTGCGATTGCTTTGCATCCCCTTTCCCAATTTAATTCTCAATCCCAAATTAATAATCTAAACTAATGTGTAGATACTAGCTTTCGGAACAAAAAAATTATGACATATTTTCTCTTTTTTTTTTTTTGTATTTCCCTTCTTCCAAATTGAAAACACAAGCGGCGGGTTGTATTCATATCGTGTCACCTCCACTAGAAAACCAATACCATTAGGCAATATTTTTCTATAAATAAACTAATCATAGTTTTCGTAAGATATACTCTTTTCCAAGGAGGTGATACAGGGTCATACGAGGACCACTTAGGTCATCGCCTCATCGGCTCATCCCACTGACATTGAATTTTAATAGTATAGTAGGAGTGAGTGCGAATATGATTATTGATCTGTACTCTGTAGGCATTTCTTTATATAGGATTGTAAAGCTCTTTACGACGTTTTATTTTATAACAAAAATAGCAAGGGACGATAATTACGTCGAATAAGCACTATTCCATTAAAGTGGGAGCTAGTAAGCACCAAGCATTAATTCAACTCCTATGAGTTATATCATAGTTAAAATCAATATACAAATTCAGTTTTAATTCCTTATTGAGAAAGCTTTGTACCACTTTAGTTACGTCTTAACTCTTAACTATCAGAAATAGAGCATGTATCCTTTAATTAATATACTATTGATTACACAGATTTGATACCCTAGCCGCCTCTAGCCGTTCGTCGCAAGGAACCATTTTGTCAGCGAGATGCACAACACCGTCGCCAGAAGATGAAGCCGGTCTCCTCCATCTTCCCCTTTAAATTTCTCATGTACTTGCGGATAAATAAAAGAAAAAGAAATCGTTCATGTAAATTTATTAATTTGATTAGATATAACCAATTAATGAAGGAAAGAAAATAGCCGTAGCCAAACGTGAAATCCCAATTATAAAAAGGAGTCTGATGCGACGTGGTATGTTCAGGACACTTCCACGGATTAGACTGCATGTTCTTAAACGCCTACACGTGTACTTATAACATTTTCTACATTTCTCTTCTCGGCTCCAGATGTCTCCACCTTCCTTTATATTGCACAATCTAAAACACTCCAAGTATTATCCAAACAGAAAGTACGAAATCAAAGACGTATCTTTGCTCTTCTTTTCAGCTTTTTTTTCAGTCGTTTCTTCACAAGTCCCTCGCGAAGAACCAGTTATGGCGTTCCGATCAACAGTAAGTACCTAATAGCCATCACAAATTTTTGTTACAACCAAGAAGTTAGTGATTTGTGTCCTTTATTTTCTAGGCCTGTTGGTAACCTTTGATAATATTTATAACGATTTGTTTTCATAGTGTAGCATCTAGGATTCGAATTCATGTCTTGTAGCTCTCTATTACAACAACATTGTATCGCATTTGGGTATGGTACGTCGTCGTTTCATTTCGAGTCATTTGACCTTACGGTTTGACTTTTCGGCGTTTTGTCATTTTGTGTGAAGGGTCACTTGAAAAGCATGGTGCAAAGGTTAAGAACTTACACGACGGCGACCACACCGAGATCTAAAGCGTATTCTACGGCGTCGGCCGAGTACGGTGGTCAGATACCCGCCACCACCACGTCGGCAGCGACGAAAGGTGACTTTATTCCCATTTACGTCTCCATTGGGATGATTTCATTGTCGGTGTCGTTCGGTGTCTACACGGCCTATCTTCATCTCCACGAAAACCCTAGCGTGCGTGTCAACAAGAAGACAAGAGCGACTGTTTCAGAGGTTGAGGATCCCGATAGAGTCATGAACGAAGCGGACCGGTTTGCGAACAGGTCATGGTTTAGGAAAATCGCTCATGTCCAAGAGTTCGATAAGCAAGAAGTTATTCCCGACCCAATCAGGAAAGACCAGTTCGCTCATAAACCTCGTGCCGTGACGCTTAAGGATGTTGGAGTTGATCCTAAGATGTCGGCTGCTACGGCTCACTGAGCTCTAAAGGACCGGTTTATGTTCTTGTGATTTCATGTTTTTGTATTTGAATAAAACAAGTTCAGAACGCTATCAAGAGTTTTTGAATGGGTCGATTAAGGTTTTTTCCTGTTTTCTCTGAATGTATTACAGTTATCAAACAACTTGAGTGTATATTTTAAAACCAAAGAAAAAAAAAACTTGAGTGTATTGTTGACAATCTTGTGAATATTTAATCGTATTTCGCTTCAATTTTCGTTTAACTGTTTTGGACTTAAACGCATCAGAAAGAGTTTATTCTCTTTCGTTATGATGGCTTTTCTCTTTAATAATCAGCTTTTTCGGTTTAGTTTGGATAAGATAGGATTCGGATTAATTTCACTTAATCTTCTAGAAGAGTCCGAGGATTTCTTGAGTCCTCAGATTGACCACGACTGGGCCCAGGCCCAATACTCAGATCCGGAAGCCGAGAACTTTGCACGTATTGCAAATTGGTTTTAGATGACGTGGCGGTCTGTGATAGGCCAACTTCGCGTGGCGAGCTATATTCATTGGCAGAAGACTCTGAAAGTGACGTACGTAGCGTCGGTCTTATACGAAGAGACTAGCGTATATATCAGTCGGAGGAAACGAGAAGCCACGGAGAGAAGAAATCCGATAAACATCTCAGCTCTGATCTACTATTCTCGTCTTATCCCGATTTTGAATCTCTTGAGAGTGCGAGGATGAGAGAACGGATGCTCACTTTCGTTTCGGTGCTTCTTCTAGCTTTGTTTTCGTTTCAGAATCTCTGCCACTGTGACGAGCAAACGGTAAATCGTCTCTTCCGTTGGAAATTTTCTAGCTCTTAGCATTGTTTCATAGAAATCTCGGTGACCTAATCGTTGTTATTGTGTTGGCTGATTCTGTTTCCTTATTCAGATCCTGTATGAATCGTTCGACGAGCCTTTTGACGGTCGCTGGATCGTATCGGAGAAACCTGAATACCAAGGTAAAGCTTTCGATGTTGTATTGATTTATGCTCAGTGAGTTAAATTGGTAGTCAGAAGAATCAAACGAGAGTTTTGTGACGGAATCATAATCAAATCGAATACTAAGTTTTGGTTTCGTAGATTTCTGCATTCGTTATAGCGTTTGGTAGTTTCAAAACCTTATTGTAGCTCTTAACTTGGAACATATTTAGAAATTTTCACTTTTACTAAAAGTGGATAGAGAACAAACAGAGTGCGAATCTAGCAGTTTTCTTGTTTGATAGCCATTTAAAGATATCTTGTTGATTTAACTCTCCAGGTGTGTGGAAGCACGAGAAGAGCGAAGGTCATGATGATTATGGACTTCTAGTGAGTGAGAAAGCTAAAAAGTACGGAATAGTGAAGGAGCTTGACGAGCCACTAAACCTCAAGGAAGGAACTGTTGTTCTTCAGTACGAGGCTCGTTTCCAGGAAGGCCTCGAGTGTGGTGGTGCTTACATCAAGTACCTTCGTCCTCAAGAAGCTGGATGGGTCGCTAAAGAGTTCGACAACGAGTCTCCTTACTCCATCATGTTTGGGCCTGACAAGTGCGGTGCTACAAACAAGGTGCATTTCATCTTGAAGCACAAGAACCCCAAGAGCGGAGAGTATGTAGAGCACCACCTCAAGTTCCCTCCTTCAGTTCCTTTCGACAAGCTTTCTCACGTCTACACTGCGATCTTGAAACCTGACAATGAAGTGAGGATTTTGGTTGACGGAGAGGAGAAGAAGAAGGGTAATTTACTGTCTTCTGAAGACTTTGAGCCTCCGTTGATCCCTTCCAAGACCATCCCTGATCCAGATGACAAAAAACCAGAAGACTGGGATGAGAGAGCCAAGATTCCTGACCCTAACGCTGTGAAGCCTGAGGACTGGGACGAGGAAGCACCCATGGAGATCGAAGATGAGGAAGCTGAGAAACCAGAAGGATGGTTAGACGATGAGCCTGAGGAGGTTGACGACCCAGAGGCGACTAAGCCTGAAGATTGGGATGATGAAGAAGATGGTATGTGGGAGGCTCCCAAGATCGACAACCCCAAGTGTGAAGCAGGACCTGGATGTGGCGAATGGAAGAGGCCTACAAAGAGGAACCCTGCTTACAAGGGCAAATGGAGTGCGCCTCTTATCGATAACCCAGCTTACAAGGGAATCTGGAAAGCAAGAGACATTCCAAACCCTGAGTATTTTGAGCTTGACAGGCCGGATTTTGAACCTATTGCTGCCATTGGTATTGAGATTTGGACAATGCAAGACGGTATCTTGTTTGACAACGTCTTGATTGCTAAAGACGAGAAGGTAGCAGAGACCTACAGGCAAACCACGTGGAAGCCTAAGTTTGATGTTGAGAAAGAGAAGCAAAAAGCAGAGGATGAAGCTGCTGGTGAGTCTGATGGTCTCAAGCGTTACCAGGTAAAATTGATTTTCGCCACAAAAACTCTATTTGTCTAGAAATATGAAAAGCGTTTATATTCCTTTTTACTTATATTTGTATGTTGTGCATTGCTGCAGAAGAAGGTGTTCGACCTTTTGTACAAGGTTGCAGACATTTCTTTCCTTAGTGCGTACAAGTCAAAGATCTTGGTAAGTTGTCCCAAAATATTTTCAGATTTTTAGCACATATATTTTGAGAAGAAGAAGGTTCACTGAGAATCTGCGTGCGATTTTCTTTTTTTGTAGGAACTCATTGAGAAAGCTGAGACACAGCCAAACTTAACCATCGGTGTTCTCATTTCCGTCGTGATCGTCTTCCTCTCTCTATTCGTAAAGCTCGTATTTGGTGGTTCAAAGGTAAGGAGAAAACATCTTAGAAGCTGTGTCAATTGTCCTTTAGACGTAATGTTTTGGTTGATGGTTGTTTGTTTGGTTCTGACGAGATATGGGGTATTAATTTGTTACTTATAGGTGAAGGTGGAAAAGAAGAAACCGGAAACAGCAACAGACGCGTCGACGAGCGAGGCAAAGACGGAGAAGGAAGAAACAGCGGCTGCACCACGAAAGAGGCAGACAAGGCGTGAGAGTTAGAGAAGAAGAGTGGGTAGATTTTGATTTTTTGGCCACTTTGTTTCGGTTTATCACCAAATCGGTTGCTCGTATAGACAGTGGTGGACAAGATTGTATCTTTATTCTGATTGTGGATTAGAACGTTTTAGTTAAAATGTCATAACCATTGGGATTTATCGTCAACAATTCAACATTGTTCGGCCCGTTCATTTTGGTTTTGATCTTCCGGATCTTACTTATACAAATTACATGGTTGTCCAAAATGTATTAATATTAAAGCTAATCATTCAATTTACTCATAAATATAGAACTTTTGGTAGCACAAAAGTTTGAATATTAGATATTGTTTTAGAAAATATTTAGGATAACAATCGATATCGGATTCGGTAGAATTGGAGAGGGATCTTCATTGTTCATCTTTTTCTATGGTTTTTTGTGGCTTTTGTTTTATGCTCTGTTTTGATAAACTGTGTTGCTCTGTTTCTTGAGAGCTAAAAACTTAAGTCGTGATTCATTATCTGGACGAGCCTGAAGTGGACTCTTTTATTACCAAGGAGATTTGACAAGTTTCTCCACTTTTGTCTAAATCATAACTTTTTTCGAAAAAATACATGAATACTAATTAAGTTGGCTATTAATCCAATCTAATGTGACATAGGCATAGTTTGAATAACAACATATCACGCTCAAAATGAAGAAAGAAAAGTTGGACCAGGAGAACACAAAAAATGTATGCATAGTTGAAACTTGCCCTTATTTCAAGTCCTACATAGACAAATTTCTTTCAAGTCACAAGTATAAATTAAACCGTAAAAAAGGGGAACAAATCTAAAACGTTACAAAAAGTTGCATGACATGGCTTAAAACCCTTTGGAGAAAACGCTTCTCTCCTCTACCTCATGGTCCCTTTGAACCATATTCATAACTTATACATCAGTTCCCTGATGATCTACCGACGACCACCGGCAGGCTTTTTAACCGGAGCAGTGTCCTCATCATCTGATTCTACGTCACCGTACTGCCAGATTCCAATTCTAGATTTGCGAGCTTCCTCTTGGAACTTCTCCAAAGCATCAAGAGCAGCCTTCTTCTCCCCGTGCTCCCATTTCTTACGTTTCTCCAATCTCGCTATTCCTCCCTGTGTCCATCATTCATCATAATCATCATCATCATCATCAATATAAATTCTTGGAAATGGACTTACTGAGAGAAGGTGAGAGAAAACCGACCTGAAGCATTGCAGCGTTAACAGAGACCTCATCATCAACAGCGATGAGAGTGACAGCAAACTCAGGTCCAGTGCCTTGTCCTTTGACTTTGCCTCCAGATGTGTCTTTCTCTTCTATCACAGCTTTGAACTCTTTACCACTACCCAGCGTTACCATATGCAAATACTCTCCGGCTTCAGGACCGAAGTCTTCTTCCAAACTTGGTACCTTTATGTAGGCAAGTCTGCATAGCTGAGCGAGCCCTGGTGCTGAGGACACCGCAGGGTCGACTGGTCGGATTGCGCTGTACGGAACCGTCTCTTGGTTTCCATAATCGATGTAGAACACTTCCAACTGTTCATCTGGAGACTCAACCGCTGCTCGAGGTGCATTCACAATCTGAAAACAAACATGGAGTTAACGAGAATGAGCAAGAAGTAAGGAAAAGCACAGAAACAGAGAAAGTGAAGTGGAATTTACCATTGCACGGTTCCAGGATTTATCAAGGCTAAACTGTGCAAGGACGATGTCACCTCTCTTAGGGTTAAAAGATCCGATGATGGGAGCATCTTTAATACTCAAGGAAGCGAGCTGGTTCTGAATCGAAGCTATTCTCTGATCTCCAACCGATTGAACATAGAAACGACCACCTCCAAGTACCTCTGTAACAGCAACCTGTAAAAGAAAATTAAAGGTTTGTTATTTATTGTATTTTTTAAAAAGAGATTTGAGTTGTGTGAAGAGAAGAATCATGTGGATAAATTCACCTTTAAGGTCTCCTTTTGCCTGGTTTCTACGGTTTTACTTCCGTTTGAGACTTCTTCTCCTTCAACATAGTTTTCCCAAATCTGCAGAAGATCAAAACGGTTATTAGCAAACTCTGTTTTGAAAACAGAGGATTTACTTTACTAGACATTTATTATTGCTTGTCACCTTCAGTTTCTGGTTTTTAGCAGATCTCTCTGCGTTTTCAAGAATATGTGCTTCGACAATCCTGTCTGCGCCAAAGCTAGTCTGCATTTTCGCTAATCCAGCTTCAAGAATAACTGTCGCAACATTTGTCCTCGCCTCCCACATTGATCCCAAGAAAGTACCGGTCCGATCCACGGTTTCAACTTCAATCTGTGTGTATTCATAACAACGAGAGCATGAACAAAACCACATACGAGAACAGGAAACTGAAACCATGTATGATTTTAGCCAATTTTACCTCGACATCTCTCTGCATGATCCTACGTCTCATCACAGAGATAGCTTCATCTGAATAGGGCTCTCCACGGCCAGGACATCTTACACCGGAGAATGCAAAGGCAATGCTACATGTTAACTTTGGAATATAAAGCTTAAACCGATGTCCACTGAGCACATATTCCACAACAGCTGGTATTCTCCTGATTCTTTGCAAAGATGGCAAGAAATCTTTAGCTTTCTTCGCTGCGGCCTGAGACAAACATACACTTAAACCAATTAGATTACTGATAAAAGGCTAGCGAGGAAAACGAGTCTATACATGTTACATATATTTTACTAACCACAGTTAGGTCTGTGACGTGCATGGCAGGAGATTCTTTAGCGGAATGGATTCCTTTCTTTCCAGAGAGAGCACGAGATTCAGCAGCAAGAAGAGCATCGTAATGGTTTGATCGCTCTTCGAAGTCTCTATGTCTAACCACATTACCAAAACCACGGGCTAGAATGAGCTCAGCGATATTCACTCCAGCTGTCTGACCACCAGCGATGGCTCCAGCAGGTGATGCAGCCACTACGTCGGAATCGCCTTTAGCAGGAGATGGGATGAACACTGATCCAAAATCCATGACTCTGTCAGCAGCTCCAGATGTGGTGGCACCACCATCTGTTGGTGTGACTTTCCTTGAGTATTCCATTTGAACAGTAACCTGTTATAGTAACAGGGAACAGAATAATCAGATCTTGTTCACATCATGTGAGCAACCACCAAGTCCAATGAAATACAATACCTGTTTGCCGATAAGCCGTTGTCTCAAGAACTCTCTGGCTTCACGAGCATAAGGAGCTGGTTTCTCTTCTCTGCGTGGGTTACCCATTCTTGGACATCTGATACTCGAAAGATTGACTCGTCTCTCTGCCGCTGGGCTACCGTATGGGATCGCATCGTCAGCAACTATAACACAGTCTCCACTCACCACTTCCACTACCTATAAAGAGAGATCAAACTAATGAGGAGAAAGAAACTACATTTCACAGAAGAATATAGTCAGTGAAGGACATGTTACCTTTCCGGTAAAGTTCTGGTCATGAATTGCCTTTGAGTTTGTTGCTGGAGGAACATAGTTTGCCCACATTTTCACCCTATTCTTCTTGCATTGAAGTTCTGCAGCTTTCAACTTTCTCTTGGCTTCCTCCTCCATCATGTTAGCACTCCATTCAACAAATTTAGCAAGACCCTAACGAAATATAAATAATAACCATTAGCTTAAGATGCAAATCAAGTCAAACGCAAAATAACTGCATAATTTAAGCAACATACATTTTCAACGAGCTCTAAACCCAAGTCTTTAACTGCTTCTCCATCAGAGTAGTGAACTGACCCAATCAGGTTGTTGAATTTGTCAACGCCTTCAAGAACAATGCGAACCTGACAAAATCCAGCTTAAAATTTGAGATTGTCCAAACGCCAAAACACAGATAATAAAAAAACATGAGGGAAGTTGTTGAAGAAGAAACTTACATCTCTGCTAAGAACACGATGCTCAGTAAAGTACTTGGCTTCAGCTGCAAATGGATCAGAGGAAACCTCCACAGACGATGCTGCTGCAGAGGCAGCAAGTCTCTGAGCTGACGTCAGAGGACCTCTTGCCTCACCAGAAACATCTCCATTCGTCTCCTCTGGAACTGCCTCAACAACATTTCCATTTGTGTTTCTTCTTCCCATTGATGGAGACTACATTGAAAGAGTGAAAAGTTATTAACACTGCTCCAAACTTAAATACTAAACAACCTCTGCATGAAGCAAGTTTGATTACCTGGACTCCGGCGACAAAAACTTGCACAAACTGGAACTCTGGAAGAAGGTAAACACGAATAGTACTTCCATCACGGACATGCTCCACAACACCTTCCATAGGCTTTCCCTTGTTCGTAGCTAAAAGCCCCATGGCATCAAAGCCTGAAGAATCTCCAATGGCAGATGGAGGAAGCTTCCTAACAGATGCCTCAGTAGCACCAGGAACGTTGCTAAAACGACCAAACCCTTCCTGCCTAGCCTGCTCTTCGAGCTGAAGCAACTCTGCAATGTAAGGACTAACCTTATCCTGATTCTGCTGACCTCCCTCCTTAACCTGTCCATATTACAGAAAATCTCTCCACCATGTCAGAATGCTGAGGTACCAAATCTTAAGTGAAAAAGAAAAAAAAAACAGAAATGCTCATCACCTTTGCCCAACCGTTTTGAACAACAAGCTTTGCAAGATTCTCGTTGCCAAGGAAAACAGAGCCAAATTCTCTTCCAATAGATTCCACTTTGTAATCCACTTTGAAAGCAACCTCCTGTTCAAATTAAAAAAGCCAAAATACTTAAGAGATGAGAAAAATATAACAAATCATATTACAAACTGTATAATGAGTCGAGGATATTGAAATGGCACCTTTCCTATGCAAAGCTTCCTCAGAAATTCCTTGCTCTCCCATGCAAATGCCTCATCTGTTCCGTTTCTACGAGCCTACCAATAGAGAAAAAAAGCAACACAATGACAGTTAATACCAACAAACAAAATAAAATAATCTGCCTGAAGGACACTTTGACATAGACAATGCTCACCATCTTAGGAGCCATGAGAGAAGAGAGAGTAATGGTCTTTTCCGGTGGGGGTCCTGCTCTGCTGTGGGTCAGAGCGGTGATCACTAAACAGTCTCCGGAGGTTACAGCCTTCACTCTTCCTTTGAGCCATTGGTTCTCAGTCGCTGACGCCATTTTCACTGGCTTTGACCTGCACCAAAGACACATTCAGATTTCAGAGACACGTCATTACAAAACTCGTTGCATTGGCGATCAAATGATCAAACTTCAATCGAAATGACAGAAAAAAAAAACCATCGAGAAAAAGCTACATGCATCGATTAAAAACGCTACAATATTTGTTCTCAGTGAATCAGACAAATGTACATTTGTCTCGATCTGCACTATAGAGTTCGATCGAGCTAAACCAAACCCATAAGAACAGAGAAACGTTTCTCAATACGTGAACGCTCGATCGCAATACGTTAAAATGAGATCGAAGTTATTCGAAAAACGACCAATTGAGTCAACAGATGAATAGATCTACGAGAATTCATCGATAACTACGACGAACAGACATACCTTGAATAACCAAAACTTAGATCTGGAGAAGAGTGTCTCTTTTATCTCTCTCTGACTCAATCTGAGAGATTGATGAAGAGAGAAGCTCTGAGTTTTGGAACAAAAAGAGTTAACGGCGGATCTCGAGAAAGAGAAAGAGCTCAGGGGATTTGTGCAGAGGAGAGGTGAAAGAAATATAAACAGAGGTGAGGGAGATAACTAGCATTTGTCTATTTTACCCTCACTGTTTCGAATAAATTACGTATGGAATAGCCATTTTTTTATAAAGCTTTTTTTTTAAATTAGATTTTGTTTTTGCGGAAAAGAGTTGGGTTTAAGGTCGTACAGAGGAAAGTGATTTTCACTTTTGTCTGTTTCACTTTCGAGTTAACACTATAAATCGAACCCTAAAAGCCTACTTACCAAATCTTTACGTAGATAGTCCTTCTGACACATTGTAAATCTAAATCGAATATGTCACATTCAGATGCACAGAATAGCTTATTCGAATAATCTTTTTTCGTATATAAACCGAAGCAGAGAGGAAAACAAAAGAGATAAGTATTTCGGAATGACTATCGTATAGAGAAAGATATTAAATAAAAGTAACACTATCAAAAAGGCAAATTTATCCTTTGTTTACAGATCAGATTAGGTAGAAAATGAAATAAAATGCATACGATTACCCAATGTTGCTTTTTCGTATAAAAAAATAATGATGTTTATAGGATTTAACTATTTTCAATTAATACTGTTTGGTCTGAAACACCAACGGCGATTGGGTACATAATTAAAGGAGATGATTCTATTGTCATTAAATATATTTATTTCCGAATCTTTTCGTTAATGGTTTGGGGTTTATCTTCTACCACAAACTGTCACCCCCTTGAAGGTTACATATAGGCCAGTTAATTCGCAAGACCAGGGTACCCAATTGCATGTGACAATAAATAAGAGATTTTTGTTTGTAATAACCCCATAATAGTATATAGTCAACTGTTTCGTTGAATATATTTTTTTTAGTGGAGTATAAATGTATAATCGTAGAAAAGAGAAAATTAATAGGTAATGTAAATCAGGAGGGAAACTACAAGGTGAATTCATTAAGAAAAATACTTATAATTTGGGTTTATTTATTTATTTTTGGACTATACGGACCATATATAATCTTGAAGCTAGTTTGAGATAAACGAAATCGAACCTAAAACGCGAAGGCCAATAAGTCAAAGCTAAGGTAGATCAATAAATCCACACCCACAAAACTAGCCGAACAGACAATTAAAATAGTGGACTAAATAAATACGTACCAAATTCTACCCACGCATTTCCCATTTCCTCCTCTTCTAATTAATAAAGGAAAAAAAATTGCAATTTCTAACACATAAACGACAGCGACAAAACCAGACTAATAAATAACGCAACACGTGCATATTTTTGTATCAGTATTCCGGATTTCCAATAACTGTCACGTTCGATATGGAACAAAACCCTTAACAAAAGATAAATCAGCGGAAAATCCTATTAATGGATTATTTATATCATTAAGGGCATAGACGATCCAGTTATGTATGTCCACTACGAAGCATGATCGTCAACATTTCAATCACACCCCCGTTCAAAATTGCTCATCACCACAAAAAAAAAAAAAAAAAACACAACTTGGTAACGTATCTTTTAAGTTCCTGATAACAACACGCACACATTGAATTTGACTGTTTCCTAACGTAACAATAAACTCAATGAATGTGTAACCTTCGGGGAGGGATAATAGCCTTTGGCGGATTCGGTATGGAGTCATCCGGTCCAAGATCATCAATAGGCGGTCGCCTTCTATGGTCATCCGTAACCGATTGGTACGCCATACCCAATGCCAAAGCCTACCACACACAATTAATGTCTTAACATTAATTATTAAGATCATAATCCTGAAAAATAATCAATTAAGAGTATGTGTTTAGGTTTACTTACGATGTGATCACGTTCCGGTGGAGCATAAATTCCAGCACTGATTGTTGTCCTTCTCCGGCAGTTGTTGGTCGGTGGTTCTGATATGTTCTTGAAACCTGTCGGAATCACTAGCACAGGCAAACCGACAAGGTTTCCCATACAAACTTTCTCCCAATCGGTCACGTTTCCAACAAACGCATCAACCGTAAAGCTCTTCTCCACTTCTCGAATCAACTTCCCACGAGCTCTCTGTGCCTAAACCGGAAAATCAAAGAAATATTTAAATAAACCGGACATAACCATAGCAAAACCGCGACCCATATATCCAAAATGAAAACGAGCAGAGAACCTGAATGTAATCCACGGCTGTAATTAGACGAGCACGGCGTAACTCAACCGGCCATTGATCTTGAGCTTCATAGAGATCGTCTTGACCGGTTCTTTGCCATTCATCAAAATGAGCTAACATGTCTACGTCCATTGTGAAATTCAATATCCCTTGAACCGACTCCACTGTATAGTTTAGTTCGAAAGGAACCATTTTGACACCTTTCGACCTAAGAACTTCTACCACCTGATGAATTCTCAAATGTTGAATCAACACAAGCTACAATTATTCTGATTGCAAACAGCATTTCAACTACACCTTTACCTTCATCTCAGCATCTTTGGTATACCCAACGGTGAGTTTCGTGATATCCACAGAGAAAGGATCTTCAAATGCTATCTCTCTTGATGAGAGATCCTCAGGATCTTTCCCTTTGATAGCGTCAAGAACTACAGCACAATCCGCTGCTGTTCTACAGAAAGGCCCCAACTTATCCTGTGAAAAGAGCATTGACATTTTCAAAGTTATACATATACTATAAAGTTTTAATGAAGCGCTATTAAGACCGCTGCTAATCTGACATACCAGACTCTCGGATATGCTCATCACACCGGTTCGACCAACGCTCCCAAATGTGGGACGCAATGCGGTTACGCCACACCGAGCTGCAGGGTTTGTCATTGAGCCTGCTGTCTCCGAGCCTATGGCAAACGGAACCATACCTGAACAGAAGAAACAGTTTATTTATTCCCGCTACAGGCAAACAGAAACGTAGTCTTGATTCATTTTCTATAAAAATAACTAACCAGCAGATGTGGAAGCAGCAGGTCCAGCTGATGATCCAGTAGAGAATTCCTCGATATTCCACGGATTTCTAGTCCGTCCCCCGAACCAGATGTCATCATAACCCATAGAACCTGAAACAAGCTTTGCTACTAAAACTGCACCTGAAGCTTTTAATCTAAAAAAAAGCAAGCATTTGTCAAGTTAACTCCACTAGAACAAAAAGAAAGAAAAATCAATGAAAATTTAATTTTCAGGACCTTTTGTAAACCCACGCTTCAATATCAAGAACTTGGTCTTTGAAAGAAGTTGAACCCCAAGTTGTTTTGTATCCGGGGACCGCAACTATATCCTTCAAACCATATGGGATCCCATGAAGAGGTCCTATCACGCCCAAATAATCATAACCAGAAGCTTCAAACACCAATCCATTAGACAAATCTAACAAATGAGAAAAAAATACCGAGATAAGTTCCCTGAGAGAGCAAATCATCAGCTTCTTTGGCTTGTTTGTATGCTAATTCTTCAGTAAGAGTAACCACCGCTTCAAGAACACGACCGTACCTTTTTTTTCCAAGGAATCCACATTAACAACATCACAACATGTAAAATTCCCTGCAAACACTCAGTGAAAACAGAAGCTCCCGTACCGTTTTAACTGCTTGAGATAAATCCGAACGAGTTCCTCAGAAGTAACTTTCCTCGTCTTTATAAGTTCTCCGAGTTCAAGAACCTGCCATAATTCATTCATTCTCTATTCAGATGAAACTAAACCATCACTCGTAACAGCAACCATAAAAAGAGAGACGACTTACGCTCATGAAGGCGATATCCTCATCGTTTCTAGGGAGTTGTACACCGGATACCAATGGATACTTGAATCTTTTGCCTTGCACTCGCGCAAATTCTCTGTTCCAAGACGGATTAAACACCAACGGAGACGGATTCTCCAGCCCGCCATTCTTAGTAGCGACTAATTTCCGGTTGGTTCGACATATAGGAACATTCATTTCAGTGGCTCCCTTTGTAATCTCCCGAATCTATCGATACACTCAAAACAATAAGGCCTCTACTGTGATGATGATAACTGGTAGGATAAATCAAGCACATTTACCTTGGTTTCATTGAAGAATCCAGAATCAATCAACTCAAACATGCTCTGCAGACACTTAGCTTCCATGGTTTTATCTGGTAGCTCTGATTGAGTAATCTTACTGTCCGATTAAGTAAGCATCAGCTCACTAAAAAGCCGCAAAATTTTGAAAAACGAATATAGATCCTACCTCGGCGAACTTGTAATCCTACGATACGGAACACCGCCCACTTTCCGGTCAAGAATTTTCCAGAGTTTCTTACAATTTCTCACCATTGGAAGAGGGTGTCGTGGAAAATGAGAGGAGGTTAAATCGGAGCAGAGGAGCTTCGAGTCGTGAGGATTTGCGTCCGTACAAACGACCGTTAAACCTAGGAGGAGGATCAAGTGGAGGAAAAGCGGCGCGCATTTACGGCTCCGAGGAAGTGAGCCACGCGTCGCTGAGTAAGGACGTACGGTTGGAGAGCACGTGGCCGAAATATGAAATAGTTTATGTAGAAATCCAAAATATTTCTAAAAATCAGATAAATGATCTTCAGACTTGTTATAATTTTTCACAATTTTTTTTCAAAAATATGATTTTTAAAAAATATATTGAAGTTTTCTTCTACCAGCTCTGAAATTCAAAGTAGAATATGTATCTACACGTTTTTATTACATCTACTGGAGATAGAATTCGATATCTACCATTTATACACACATCTTCCACTTGTAGAACACGAGTTCTATAATCTATATATACCTCTACTATTAGTAGCATATCACTTCTACCTGTTACTCTATGTTCTGCGATTTTGTAAATTTGGTAGAAGATATGTTCTACCAAAAACAAAGTTTTCTACATGTTCTAGAATTTGTTGTCTACGAGAAACACAGCCTTCTACGCAGGCGTAGATTTCGTATTCTGTTACACACATTATCTCTTACCATCCGTAGAGTTCAGTTTCTACTAAAAACCACTTTTCTACCATGTTGGTAGAGGTCGTGTTCTTCTAGAAATCAGTCTTCTACCAAATGTAGAAATCGTCTTCTGCCGGAAATCTTAGAGAATATTAACAAATATTTTTTTGAATATTTTGTTTCCTTTTTCTTCTCCAACCTTCTCCCACGACGCAATTGTGGCAACTTCTTCTCCATTCCCATCTTCTTAGCCGTCATCTTTTCGAAATTATTTGGCGGAGAAGAGGAAAACACAGAGGAGTAGTTTGAAGGAGAAGAACAGACGGCAACAAAAGAGGCGACGGAGGATTATGTGACGGAGAAGAGAGGAGAGAAAAGAGATGATTATGTGACGGAGAAGAGCGGAGAAGAAGAATGTCGCAGAAGAAAAGAAATGTCGGAGAAGAAGAAGAAGAAGGAGAGATGTCGGGGAAGAAAGGAAATATTTTCACTTTTATGTTTAATTAAAAATATCTCAATTAAAGGGTTAATTACTTTAATCAATTTTAAGGGTAAAAAGGGATTATAAGTTTAGAAAATGTGTAGTGAGACAAAAATCTCTCCAAATTGTGTATTGGGACAAAGACTCTCCCAAAGCTGTGTATTTTGCCAATTTTCTCTTTTTTTTACTAAATAAGTAAAAACTACTCAAAAGAATAATGTTGTCTGTATATCAACAATTGTATGGATAAAGTTAATCTGTATAGAGTTTAGCAATGCAAATTTTCTAGTCTCTTTCTATTTTCAGAATCCATCTTTCCTCGGATATAATTTTCTTTAACCAGGTTTATAACATGTACCAAATTTTGTTTCTAAGTTACTGGATGTTGACAAAAGTAAAAGGTTTAATGGACTATCAGGCGTATATGTTGAGAAATTTGGACTATAGACTATAGTCTGTCTACCGCTTCCGCTTATATAAAACATCTTTTTTTTTTTTTTTTTTCAAATAAAACATCTTCTTTCAAGATAAGATAAGTTGATGAATAAGAACCCAAAAAAAAGTTGATGAATAAGAACATTAGTACATTACCATGTGATTCTTTCAAATGGTTTTATAGTTTTACCGTTATGAAGTTTCTTTTTGAGAACGTGTGTGTTAGATCATATATATGTCTCGAACGTACATAATCAAGCTCAGTATAACTAGGCTCTGGTAACTGTAAGTCTGTAATACAGTTAATACTAACATTCCTACTTTCATCTTCCTATAGTCGGGAACTTATAGTTTGGTAATCACAGATTAGAAGGAAAATCATTCGTAGTCAGTATCACCGCGTTGCTTATGGTTTTGTCTACAGTTTCAGAAGTTTTAATTTTTTGGTTTTTTGGCTCAATTCGATAAGTTTCCTACATCGACTTCTCCGCCACACGACTTTTCCTTTTTTCTTGCCACTTTTCCTAGATGAATGCTTGCGCGTTGGTCGTCCCTCATTAAAAACTGGATATCGAGAGAGATATATATATTTCCTTTTACGACTATTTGTTTCTTTACTATGTTTGGAAAAAACCCAACAAATGTTACATAAGAATTAGTAAATTACGTAGAGGTGCATCATATAAACGTGTTGAGAAAGAGGTCGAGAAAAATAAAACTAGTTGTGATGCGTTGAAACGCGTCTAAGATATCCTTGTTAAGTACTAATGTGTAAAACACATTTTATTTTTTCACGTTCTTATTTGTATAGTTTAAGGAAAAGTTGACGTAAGTCACGTAACCACTAACCACCCACACCTTGTATAATGTCTAACAAATTATGTCAATATTCGTCGAAATTCTTACATCTCCCAAATGTCGATTGATCTTCGAGTTTTTGAGGCTTGACCTTTGGCATTTTACTCTTTGTTTCAAACATACCTATTCATTAGTTACAGGAAATATATGTTTAATTCAATCAAATGAAAAATAGTTCATTAATGATAACTATTTTGAATATGAATTGGTATTTTTTCTACTAAAAGGCATCTGATTTAGTTATCTTTTTCCTTTTATTACAAACAGGATTGTTTATTTATTTTCTTCAAAGTTAATAATTTAAAATGTGTCACATGGCATATATAAACTCCAACCGTGTTGAGTTTTCGTCCTCTGCATCCAATAATCGAAAATAATTTAATAATATTTTTTCTTTTGGTCACAATTTATTTATTATTTATTATTTATTATTCTGTATTAATATTTGTCCAGCTACAGCTAGATTGCTTCGGTGCCTCAAAAGAAGAAAAACAACGACAGGCCCTCTCAATCTCTCATCTTTCTATTGTGAGAATCTGCGAATCGTAAACCTTCTTATCGTCTTCCCCATTGTTTCTCCGTGGAGATTTGTTCTTCTAATTTCGCGTTAGGTAAATTCTCTACTTTGTTTATCCATAAATTTTCTTCCATTACTGTTTACTTAAATCTAGGCTTCGTCGTGTTCCGTTTATTTAATGGGATCGTACTTGCTTTTCTAAAAGTTCTTAGCCTTTTCTGCGTTTTTAGCAATAAAAATCCCACGAAAGCAACTTTTTTCCCTGATATATTTCAAATTGATAGCTGAATTTCGGGAAATGTCTTACTTAGTATTGTTTGTCCCCCTTTTCGCGTTTTTAATTTATCTTCTTCTTCAAGCGTGAACCAGTGAATTCGATGAAGGATTCTCTCGGAATTCTGATGGGCATGTTTTTTTTTTTTTTTTCCTTCCTCTTGATTTTTCGGTAGGACAGTGGTAATTCCCAGAATTTTCATATTCCTGGGAATTTCTGTTGTAGTATCGTGTGATGGGATCTAAAAAATCCGCAGGATTGTTCTTCTTATCCAATTTAAGCTCAATTAGTGACCTTTACTTGTTCTCATTTCTGCCAAATTTGGGAAATAATGATTGATTTGCAGATCCCAAGTTGACGAGTTAAAACATATTCATCGATGCATAGTTGTTAACGGAATGTGGCCTTTCGTTGAACTTTTGCAGATTAGTGTGTTTGATTATCTCAGGATCTTTCCTATTAGGGGTCATATGTCACTGTGACAACATTTTCATCTTTTTCTGGTTTTTCTGCTTCTTAGGTCTAAATGTAGCTAATTTCTTTCTCTTCAGGTTCATAATACTCTCTACCAAGATGCATCTCAAGACCCCTGAGCATCAGGTTGCAGGACACATTGCTAAAGACGGGAAGCCAGGTCCACTGGTGGATGATAAGGGCCGGTTCTTCAAGCCGCTACAGGGAGAGTCTCGTGGTGACAACGAGGTAAAGTTCTACGAATCTTTCTCCTCAAACACAGAGGTACCAGATCACATCCGTAGATATTTTCCAGTGTATCACGGCACTCAAGCTGTTGAAGGCTCCGATGGTGCATCCATGATCGTGCTTGAAAATCTTCTTTTCAAGTACTCAAAGCCATCGGTAATGGATGTTAAGATGGGTTCAAGAACATGGTACCCTGAAGCATCCGAAGAATACATCCAGAAATGCTTGAGGAAAGACGCGGCTAGCACCACAGTGTCGTCGGGTTTCAGGATCTCTGGCTTCGAGGTGTATGATCACAAGGAGCTGAGTTTCTGGAAGCCTGACAGGAAGCTTCTTAACGGGATTAAAGTCGACGGCGTGAGGTTGGCTCTGAGGAAGTTTGTATCGTCTAACACGCTTTCTGAGACCAGCTCGAAGTCGGACTCTGCTTTTGCGTCCAGCGTTTACGGCGGTTCCAACGGGATCTTAGCACAGCTGTTGGAGCTCAAGACCTGGTTTGAGAGCCAGACGTTCTACCATTTCAACTCTTGTTCGATTCTTATGGTGTATGAGAACGATTCCATCTTAGAGGGAAACGTTGATGATGCTCGGCCACAAGTGAAGCTGGTGGATTTCGCTCATGTTCTTGATAGTGATGGTAATGGCGTCATTGACCATAACTTCTTGGGTGGACTCTGTTCTTTCATAAACTTCATTCGTGATATTCTTCAGAGCCAAGATGAGTCTTCTGCAGAAAACTTACACTCTTCACCTTGAAGAGCAGTATTAGATTTGAGGTTTTTTTTGGATTTATACTATGTCTTGGCTTGTTCGATTTTTGGATTTATACTATGTCTCTTTCGCATGTACCTGGTTATCTAAAGAGCACATTACCACTCTTTACTCTCGAGTTTTTCTAGCCATATAAAAAAAGTTCCATTTTTGGACTTTACTTTCATTGCGATTTGTGAAGAAGACTGTAACTTAAAAAAGGTTTGGGGCCAAAAGCGAAATAATTCAGACTTATGGTATATACTGGTAATTTTGAAGAGTTTGTTTCCCGTGAAATCCCTAATATTTCTAGAAGTGTAGGGACTGAAATTGAAACCGTTTTCTATTTTAAATTACCCCTGCTCTGCTTTTCACTTTTCAAATTCCCGTCTCGCGCGCATCGTTGAAGAAGAAGATCACGAAGATTGACTGAGAATGGTGCTACTATGCTTCGTCTTGGATCTGCGGAATCTTTCTCCTTCTCTGATCGGAGATCTAAAGCAGGTCTCTCTCTCTCCCTCTCTAAGATTATCTTCATTCTCAGTAGCTTTTTGTTCGTATATCTCTCAATCTATCTGTGTGATCGAAATTGATCGTCCTTTGGGTTTCCGAACCTCGAATTTGATTGTTGCTGCGAATTTAGTCTTCGTTTACGAATCTGGAAATTGATTGTTGCTGCGAATTTCGTACTGGATTCTGAAGCTCGAATTTGATTGATGCGGCGAATTTTGTAGTCGTTTCTAAAGCTCGAAATTGATTGTTTCTGCGGATTTCGTACTGGATTCTGAAGCTCGAATTTGATTTGTTGCTGCGGATTTTGTAGTCGTTTCTGAAGCTCGCCAATTTACACGCCATTTCATCTTCGGTAGCTTCTCTCTCTGATCGGATCGGTTTGTGTTATATCATGAAGGATCGGATTTCTGGAAACGATCAGGTTACACTCGCCGTCAATCGTTGTTTCCTTCTACTTTCGGTGATTCTCTAATGGATTTTCACGTTTTGTTTTACGGATCTAGCAGCTGAAATTTGCGTACACTCCCAGTGGAAACTTTAGTCTTCGTGACTTCCATCACGCTGTTAACAGCTTGCCTCTGGACGCGTTTGTTCCTGAGATCGATGAATCAGGAGCCACCTCCTGCAGAGGTCTCTCTCTTCCTCTCTTTCTATATCCGTTTCTTCGTACTATCCTGATGAAAATTCGTGCTCATTAGTCGTAGTAAATTGTTCATAGATCTTAAGCTGTCAAGTATTCTGTGTGATCGAGCGTTGTACTCATGGGGAGGTAGAGACATTATGAAGAAAGTTATCGTGCTGAGTTCTTGCTTCCCTGAAGAAATGGATTCTGAAGCGAGAAACACTCTTATGGTCAGTCAAATGTGTCAAATACTATATTTTTTTTAGTGCATTAGCTTGTTTTCTTAGTGCTAAGTCTTTTTGTTTCAGGTTGCAGCAGATAAATGTGTATCGGTTGAGTTTCTTTTGCTTGAGAAGAGAGCAAGTAGTATGAGCTATACACAGGAGAAGATTAATAGATTCCTCAGGTGTTTATCGGATTTTGACAATTGTTCATTTCAATCCTGCGTCCCTGGTAGGTTACAAATTACTGGCTGCTTCTCATTTTTTTTCATCACACACAGTCATTTGCCTCAGATTTTGGTGTCTGGTGCATTCAGATGGAAAATCACTTCTTGGCCTTGAAAAGAGATGGCTTCAGGATCTAAAGGATGACACTGCAGAATCACTGCAGGCCCAGTTTATCTTCAAACGTAACCTTTTTGGCTCAGTGAACAAGATCTTCTGCAATTTCACTGCAGCCACAAATCAGATTGTCGACGGATTAAGCCCTTGTCGAGTACTGAGCCAAACCCTAAACTTGAATCTTTTATCTCCCAATAAGCTTTCACTTAGCATCCTCAATACTTTGTTCACTACAGTTTTCCATCCTCTTTGTTTCTGTTTACAGACATGCAGGTGCCACGGCATCCCATTACGAGATTCAGTGGAAAACACAACAAAGAAGCTGCAATGCTCTATAACCAATCATGATCTTGGAAATTATGATGTGATTGAAGATTCTGTGAAAGTTGGCGACAGTGTTGTCCTGTTTTTGCCTTCAGTCCATAGCCTGCAGAAACTTCTTCCAGTTTCTTCCCAAGTTGATTTCAGTGTCATAGAGAGGACTAATCTAACTTCTATCAATGAAGGTAACCGCTTTTAGCTACTCGAAGTGACATTGTTTATACACTGCGCTCTCTCCTTTTGATTAAAGTATACATTTGACGTAGGCCTAATACTTGGGACGCCTTACATTGTAAGCCCTTCAACTTGTCATGAAACGGAAAATTCTTCAGAAGAAATGGATCAACCAGATCTGAACACTCAGAGTAAGCACAGTGTTTCCCTAAAGAAACCCACATTGCGATAATGTCATAGTTTCCCTAAGCAGCTAGGAAATGCAGTTTTTCAGGGACTGTGTGGTGCACTATACTCAATGGACCAAGGCTTGGTTTGTTCTTCAAACTGTAATCTAGACACCATGTCAGTTGTGGAATTTCACTGTTACTACATTCTTCAACCGTCAAAAAATGGTCCTATGCTTCTAAGGGTATTACATTCATTACTCTGATACTCTTCATTGATCAAATAACAGTCGCCTGCTGAATATTATTCTCCCTGTGACATGAGAGAATTTTTGACCTGTCTTGAATTTGTGAAGTTTCTTAGTTTAATAGACAAAAATGTTTGCAGAGATTGGCAGGGTCAGAGGAAGTCCTGCCTATTTCCTCCAGTGTCAGTCAGCTTACCGAGTCCTCTGTTCCTAGAGAAATCGAGATTTCTGTCAAAGGCGCTTTGTTAGAGGTCGATTTCATTTCAACCTTTTTTCACTTTCATTTTTAGTATTTAGACTTCTAAGTTCTAACGTTTATTTTCTTTCAATTTTAAGCAGATTGAGTCAACAGACTACAATCCCCTGACCCACAACAGAGGCTTCCACCAAAAGCTGAACTTCATTGTGACACAAAGTCTTCAATTTGGGTGATTATTCTTCTCCTCTATTCTCTTCTTCATTAGCAATATCCCTGGAAAATCTGTCACAAGTCTCTTAACTTTTTCTCGTTTCTGGCAGTTCACTACATTCAAACTCGAACGATGCAACATACGAAGTGAGCTCAGTGGTTTCAGAAGCTGTAGTTCCAACGGGACGAGCATATCCAAACATGATAAATCCGTCCACAGAAGAAGAAACACATCAGGAAATGCAGATAAGTGATGAAGAAGAGAAAGCAACAGCTTCCATCACTAAAGAATGGGAACAACTAGTAGTCACTGAGGTTCTCATGAAGTCTTCTTCTCCGGTTATAATAACTACACAGAAACCAAATATAGACCAGTTTCTGTCGCCTAACAACAAGCAGGCGGATATGAAAACCTCGATGATAATGGAAAGACTTGAAGTTCCAAAGAAGATGAAAGGAAAAATTGGATCACCACGCGTAGCCATATGCAATCCAACCTCACCAGATGTCTCTGTATTGTCTCAGAAGAGGCCTCTGATTCCTTTTCAGTCAATTCAGGTTTCTAACCAACAGACTATTTCATCAAGCCAGCTCATGAAACCCAGCTTTCAGAGACTGAAACGAAAGAATAAGTGAGGATTGTTTAGTAGCTCTCAGGGTAAGATTCTGCTCCTCCTCTGCTTTTCTTCTACTTAAGTCGACATGATAAAGTTAAAAAGAGTGTTAAGATGTTTTATATAGGAAAGGAGGAAGACGTGTCAATATTCCATCTCGAGGAGACTTGAAGTTCGGAGGAAAAGGTAATGTCTGTAGTTGCGTAGAAACAGATAAACATGAAATGATGTTTGAATAGTTGTTTTTGTTTTTGTACAAGAACCAAAACTGTGTTAAATCACATTATATGTACAACTTTTTTACAAAATTCTTCAACCATGAAAGCCAATAACTAAATGATATGCTCATAAGGCTCTTAGAGCCTTGTAACTATATATATACATATATCTCCAAACGTAAGTTTTAGAAATTTTCTTTATGGAAAGAGAACTTGGTGGAGGTTTTATGAGAGAAATCCCGTGCCAAATGTTTTAGCTCTTTCACTAAACCAGCTGCTCCACAATAAAACACACCTGCAAAATTTATCAAACATTTCACATTATTTGCATATAAGCAATAAGATAGTTATATGAGAGTGGTCTGTTTGTTAGTAGGAAAAAAAACTGACCGACTCTAGTGTTAGGGTGCTTCACAGCGATTCTTTTGTAAACACTTCTCCAGTCTGGCCTAGCAAAATGCGACATGACACGTGTCCCTGACACAACGTCCACTCCGTGCTTCTCGTGGTGTAGCGACTGGAGCATTGTGATCAGAGCGGACCTGGCGTCTCCTTCCTCGTAGACGCTGGTGCAGTAATTATGCAGCTCAATGACCTTGTTGCGGTCTGTTATTGACACTTCATCCATCACGTTCTTGAACCAGTCAAACGAACCTTGCTCTCTTGTGACCCAGTAGAAGTAAGCTCTCTTGGTTCTGAAAATGTCACGTTTTCTTGCTGGGGAAAGTGGGGAAAATGGAGGTGTTGTGGCCATGTTGTGGATCGGTGACTGTCTTCGGTTACTGCCTCTTCCTGATTCTACGTCTTCACTGTCTTTTAAGTTATTGATTATGTCCCTGACAATGCTAATCATCGGAGTAGCTCCGATTCCTAGACCCACGAGTAGAACAACTTCAAAATTCTTGTAGTCTTGCGCTGGTGCTCCATATGGACCGTCGATTAGGATTCTTGGAAAGCTAAGGGATCACAGTTAAAGCAAGTTAAGTCTCATTTCGTAATAAAAACGCTCTCTATATCTTTCAGTGGATAGAGCTATTGATAAGACTTACTTAGGTTCGTTATTCAGGTGCCACGAGTCGGCTCTGTTCAGTCTGATTTCATCAGGAGGGAGTGACTTAACCGCCTGAGGATTAGATTAGATACAAAGGGAATTACATACTTGGACACAACTAATCTCTTGTGTCTATTTAATAGGGATAAAGAAAGGACCTCAGAGAATACTGCTCTTAACTTCTTAGTCCAGTCTCCTAGAACCCTGATGTGGACACTGAGGTAATCATCTCCTGGAGCTGAGGTTATTGAGAATGGATGCCTGTTTCACATGCAAACCACTCTTCAGGTTTGTTTCCATACAAATAAAATGAGATAATTTCTTCTTGCTATATACCTACCATTCTAATGAAGAAACTGCAGAACAGTTGAGATACATGTATTGTCCGCTTCTGTATCTGAAGTTGTTTGGTCTTGATATTTGAATCGTCAAGACATTCCCTGGTAACACAGAAACCTGTTGACAAGTAAAGAATATAGAGATGATGAATCATCCTGTCTTTGAATAATTTCAGAGGTATATGTTTAATTATACAATAGATTTCACCTTAAGTACGGAAACAGCCTCGATGCTTGACCTGAGCGCACGAATCACCCTTTCAAGCAAGTACAGAGCCACCGGTGCCGTCACATACATCCATGTCTATTAAAATCACATGAATATAAAAAATAAGAGTCCATGTCACATCTGTTAGGTCTAGTAGTGGTTGATAAGTGACTAACCGTTTTCTTGGACCATTTGTCGATGAGGTAGACATAGAATCCGTGAACGATGAGGAGCGAGTAGACGATAACGAACAAGTGGTGAGAGTACCAGAAGGCGTTAAAGCCTGTTATCTTCTTCAACACTCCAGGAAGCTTGAGCTTATTACGTCTGAACCACGGTGTAGCCAACGTGAAGGCTATGGTCATTAATACAACCATTGCAATCCCTGTCACTCCTTCCACAGACTTCACAAACTCCATATATCTCTTTGGCTGTGGCCCAAAATACCTCTCCATTGGCTTATACGTCTCTTCATCTGCAGCAATCAGCCGAGGGAAATCGCAGGCTAAGTGAGCCGTGGCATGGACTACAACTCCAACTGATATTGCTATTGCTATGACCTGTGTTGCAAGCTTCAACCATATAAGCATTCAAACCTTTTTATTTCATTCTCCAGGGAAGCTAAAACACATTACCTTGTGAAAATTGAGGCTGTCATCGAAAGGAACAAGAGCACTTAACATGGTTCTGGTCCGGAGCCAAGTGATGGTGTTTCTACAAACAGGGAACAGAATCAAAGCCATGTTTAGTTTAAGAGTCTCTGCAGCTCCTTTAGCTATACAAACGCAATTTCCCATAGCTTGGTAAGCAGATCTTTTCCGATAATCCATGAACTTCCACGTGAACAGCCCGGCCATAGCACCTATCCATAGAGCCATCACCCAAACTCTCATCCAATTATCCACCACAAAATACTTCATCCCTCTGTAAAACCGCTCCCCAAAGTTCCTACTCTTCTGAAGCTTGAGATCCAGACTTAGCATCTTGCTTAGTTTCTTACTCTCACCGTCTCTGATAGCTTCCATTGGCGCTCGCAACAACAGTACCTCTAGATTCTCTATCTGTTTGGCATTATAGCAAAATTAGTGCCTCGAAAACACATTACTTGAGAAATATATATAACTCACAAACCAAAACTTGTCTAACTAAACAAGAAGATCAATTAAACGAACCTCCTCCTCATTCACATACCATGATGTACCCGTAATGATAGGGATCTAGTGTTTCCATGATCAAAGCAGCATATTCATCTGCTTTGTTCCGAATTTTATCCAGCTCGTTTGCAGAAGCACTTAGACTTATAATCTGTTGTTCATTAAAAGAACACCTACTTTATATATGAAGATCACAGAGAGAGCTTCTAATTAACAAAAAAAAAAAAACAGATATTACCTCACTTACTTCGGCTTCATTCAACCGCCCATCCGCATCTCTATCCACCCTGAAATTCAGTAACATATAATATGAGGCTAAAAGTTCATGTCTTATCGAAAGAAATGGTTTTTTAAGAAACATTTACATGTCGAAGAAAGTTCGTAGCCTAGAATCAAAATCTTGATCAGTGATCTGCTTCCAAAACTCTTGAAGCTGATCCTTGCTTATTGTATCTCCACTTACTCTTTCTCTCCTTCCTAAAGCGTCAAACAATGCCAATGCAAACTCCTTTGAATTCATCCCTATAGGAAAAAAACTGAAATTTTAAGTGATATCAATCGAAATCTCAACTTGACTTCTTGATCTTGCTTCTGCTAACCTATACAGTCACCGAATCTTGAACGGTGCAATAGTCCGTTGCTAGTTCGGGTGATGTCATGGAAACGTTTCTCAACGCCAGGCCAACCAGCGACGCCATCAGTCTTGGTGATGAATTTGAGACCTTTTAGCGCTAGCTCTGCCCTAGACTTTGAACGGCGAAACCGAGCCAACGGCGGACGCGGTGGTTTTCTCCCCGACGCCGACGACAACGAAGCAACTCGTTTCAGTTCGGTAGAAACCGTAGACGCTATGCCTTTCAACACTGAGTTGTTACTCCTCCCTGACCGGCCTGGTCTAAGAAGCGATTTCTCTGGATCCTCGTATATCAATCCGGCGCCGGTATGGTCCGGCGACGTCAAGCCGTACACGGAGACGAAATCATCGTGGAAATCGAGCGATATCTCCACGTACTGCGTATCGTCCTCGTAATAACCGCTCGTCGACGCCGCGTTCTTGATAATCGCCGATGACTGTCCTCTGTCGCTGTACGGCGTCTCTGTGCCGCTTGGGTAGTAGTATCTCGCGTTCTCGAATCCTAACTTTTGCATTTCACTTATAGTTCCTCAAATATCTTTCTTTAGCCTCTGGCTTTATGCATCGGAAGATGCACGACGAAGATGAAATGAAGAACAAGACCGAAGAATTTTGAAATGTTGAAAAAACCAGAGAGACGAACTTTTATATGATTAAATTTAATTATCCAGGAATACCAAAAGCATACACTAACTAATCCTAATACTATGAAATTAGTTTTTTTTGTCTTTGATTGTGTTTAAAAATTCAAAAGTATACAGATTTTTTTTGAATCTTACTACTAATGAAGAAGATTTCAAACCAGCATGAGAGGAGACTTGTAGATAATTATTTGATTAATTATTTTTGTGTTGTGGGAGTTGGTTAGAAACTTTCATTATTCTTTATCAAATCTCCCGCGCATTAACTTATCATATAAGTATTGTTAGGTCAGCTTGATCAAATTTGTTTTGTCCTCGCATTACATCTAAACCAAACATACAAATTTATTTCATTATTCTTTATCGAACTTTTTAAATTAAACTATCCACCTGTTTGATATAAACATATAATTTTCTATTCACCAACCACTTGCAAAAACTATCTGTAAAATAATGTTGACTTTGTTCTCAAGAATATGAAAAAACTACTTAGAGAATGATCACGTAATTACATATAACAAAATCATGATTGGCACTAGAAAATCGAAACCCATAGACCATAGTATTTCACCTTAGACAAATTTTTATATTACAATTAATTTACTATATTATTTTGAAGACCGTCAAAGAATTTAATTAACAGATGACCAGATGTGTTAAAGCGGGAAAGTTATACTATTACGGCGAAGGGCAAATTTATCCCGCCATCCAAACAGAGAGCGAGACAGCGTCGCGCAACTCCCAAAGCACATCGATTTGGGAGGGAAAATCCCAGAAAACGAAAATCAGTTTGGGGAAAAGGGTTTTGCTTTCTCTCCTTTCCTCTTCCTGTTTTTTTTTTAGGGTTTATTCGTTAATCCCCAGTGATATGAAAAGAAAACATAGCGGGAAAGTTTTGATTCGTATCCACAATATTGGCACACCATTGATTTCTGGGTCTTCTGGGTTTCCTGTAGATTCGTTTCACATTGAATCAGATCGGCTGTATACGATTGGTCGAAGTAGTGATGATGGGTCGTGCGATTTCGTCCTTGATCACGGTGCTATCAGTAGAAAGCACTGTCAGATTCTATTTGATAGCCAAAGTAGCAAACTTTACATTTTTGATGGAGTGATTCTCTTCCCTAAAGGTAGCTTTAGTCAAGTTTTCGATGAATTTAGGAGAAGATTGGTTGGTGTTGATAAGCTGGATCTGGAAAGTTTGAAGATTAGGGCTTCATTGAATGGGGTGTATGTTAATCGTGTTAGGATCAGGAAAGCCAAAATCCAGGAGATTGCTATTGGCGATGAGGTATTGTTTGTTTGTGGGAAGGAAGGGTTGTGCTATAAACATGGTCGAGTTGGGTTTGTGGTTCAGGAGATTGATTTTGAAGGAAGAGATAATTCGATTTCTGAAGGTAGATGCCGGATGACAGTCTCGTCAGGACATTCTCGTGGAACTTTTTCCAGTGGGAAGAGAAGCAAAAGGGTTTTTGCTCTGTCGAAAGATGAGATCAATTCTCGAGTTTCTGGGTTTTATCCAGTTAGAGCTGCTGGTGTTATTGAGAGATTGAATTCTCTGATAAGTTATTGTAGGCATATATTGAGTAGTGATGATCCTGTCTCTTGCCTTAGGCTATCTATTGTGTCAGATTCTAGTAAGGAATGCGTATCCTGTTGTACATCCAAACTCTTAAGGTCAAAGGTAGGTATAGTGGTGGGTAATATAGATGTCAAGAGTGTAGGTAAAAGAGTTGGTGTCTCAAACTTGATTAGCGAAGCAGAAAATTTAGGTGTTTCTTGTATTCCTGTCAGTGATAAGAGTGGGACTATGCTTCCTGTTGATGTGGAACATGAAATCACTCCTGGTATTAGTTGTCAAGATGAGGAGAAAAGTTTTCGAGGTTCTCTTGAACCACCTGGGAAGAACTTTTATTTAAACCGACTTCAGTATATTGAACAAAACTCATCTGGTTGTCAACGGGTGGTTTCCTTGCCAGAACTTCTTCACCCTGTGGAAAGCATTTCACAAATCTTTGTTGCAACATTTACAAGTGATATCTTATGGTATGTCGTAAAAAGTTGGTTTTTCTATATTTTCCCTAGTAGTCTAAACAGGGGAAGTTGATGCTTATGCTTGTTTAAGAGTCTGACGAAGTTGTATTAGCAGGTTTCTTACCTGTTGTGAGATACCTAGCCGCTTACCGGTGACTATTGCATGTCACCATGCTGAGAGATCTTGGAGCTCAAGCCCTGATGCAAGAATTGCTGCTCCTTATCCGAATTACCCAAATGTAGCTGTGGTGTACGTAATAACTGATCATATATCCGTTAAAAGAAACTGTGGATGGATATTTTTCATCTTTCTAAAGAGCTTTCATCTTTTCTGTAGGTTCCCACCGTTTCCTGAGGAAATTGCATTTGGGAAAGACCGCAAGAACCGGGGCATTGCTTGTCATCACCCCAAGCTGTTTATTTTGCAAAGAGAAGATAGAATTCGTGTAATTATAACGTCTGCAAACTTAGTAGCAAGGCAGGTAAGAGTGTGGCCTAAGTATATAGTAACAAAAATGAACCATAGATGAGGCTCAGGAATCACTTCGGGTTTGGTGTTTCAGCATATTCATAGAGTTTTATCATATTTCATATTCTAATGGAGATTTATAGTTCCAGTGGAATGACGTAACCAACACAGTTTGGTGGCAAGATTTTCCACGAAGAGCAAACCCTGATGTTTTATCCCTTTTCGGGCATTGCCGAGGAGAAACCAGTCGTGGTTTAAGATCAGATTTTGGTGCTCAGCTGGCCGGATTTGCCGCATCGCTTTTGACTGATGTTCCAAGTCAGGCCCATTGGATTCTTGAGTTCTCAAAGTACAACTTTGAACACTCAGCTGGTCACCTTGTGGCTTCAGTGCCTGGAATTCACTCATATAAGCCCTCTTATCATACAGAATCTGCTCGCTCAACTGTTAGTATTATCATCTTTCATCCTTTTTGTATGGATTTTCTGAGTCGTATCAATATCGTGAACTTTCTTTTAACTAGTTAGATTTTCGAAAGTTTGATTATGTCCTGTATATTTGAAATTTAGGTCAATGCTTCCCTTTCTTGACTTATCGTATGATTTTCTTGTCTGTCAGTCTTTCAATGAAGAATTTCTGGGATCTGTTGAAGCATCTGTTGTTGGCCTCAGTTACCTTTTCCGTTCAGCCAATGATTCCACAGGAGCACAACTGAAACGGCTGGCTTCATATATCAGCAGAACCCGCGAAAATTCTCTCGGAATGTTGGAACTTGTTTTGAGAAGAAATACCAATGTGCCTGCTGACACGAATGCTGTGAGCGTCCTTGTTCGTAACCCTGATGATGATTCAAGAGAAGGTAAGTATTGTAGCTTCATGTGTTACAGATTGTTGTATGTTCAGTGTTCTTGACATGAATTTTCATTCTTTGTCAAAAATTTCCTTGTGACAGATTTTGTCCAACTAGGCTTTCTGCCACGGAATATTGCAAAATGGGTTTCTCCTTTGTGGGATATCGGCTTCTTCAAATTTGTGGGATATGTGTATCGGGATGAAGTCCTTGCTGCTGCTTCTTCTAGGAGCAACCAGAAGGTGCAACTAATGCTGCATGTATTACAGGCATGGTACTCTTCATATATGGTTATGAGATACTTTGTATATATAGGCTATGGATACATCTGAAGATCTCGCTTGACTTTCCAGGGAGCGTCCATGTCGGATGTGTCAAAGTTGATTCAACCTGATCATGTTGTTGCCTTGTGCTCGTTGATCGCTTCAGTTCAGCGATGTACTGGGATTTGGAGGCTACAAGAGGTAAGTTTGACTACTAATAAGAATCTTAACACTTGGTATTAACGAGAGTGTATCAGTCTTTAACTGTGTAATCCTCTGTATTGTGTTCCTCAAGGTGTTAGGCCGTTACAAGTGGCCCGAATCTCAGGAATCTGATTTCGTCTATAGTAAGTGCATTTTTAATAGCTACATATGATAGACAAATACCTCAACAGTAGCACTGGGTAATAAGTTTATAGTTTAATTTTCTTATAATAGGTGCATCCTCGATTGGAGGCTCAGCAACTGCAGGATTTCAAGCTGATTTTTCATCAGCTGTAGGTAAAAAAGCGTTGCAGCATTTTTACTCCCAGGAGTCTGATCCAGAGGTACTGTTTTGTTTTGAAGTAACCTTTAAAAACTGTCACCACAAGTTTTGTGCATGAAACGTTTTATCCATGTTCTTGATCAGTGGGGATGCTGGAGTGCTAGGGAAGAACGTGAAGCTCCTTCCATTAAAATCATCTTTCCTACCATTGAGAGAGTCAAGAATGGCCATCATGGTGTCTTGTCTTCAAAACGTTTGCTTTGCTTCTCCGAGGTATTTGCTTATTTTATACATGTATAATGATGTATCATGCCCAAAGCCTTTGTGCTGAAAGAAAATAAGGATTGCTTTTAGGAATATGATTCAGTAATGTGTTGGAAAATATGAATCTCAAAACATGGATTTTTACTATCTTGTGCAGAAAACTTGGCAAAAGTTAAGATATAACAACGTGCTTCACGATGCAGTTCCTAATCCTCAGGACAGAGTCGGGCACCCAATGCATATCAAGGTAAGAGCAAATGAGAAGTGTGTGTGTGTGTGACGATCAAAACAGCTCTTAACACGGTAGTACAAACTGTACAATGTCTTTATTAAACTATGGACAGGTGGCTAGGAGACGCTTCACATCCACTAGAGGTTCACGGTCTTCTTCGTTTGGTTGGGTATACTGTGGCTCGCATAATTTCAGTGCAGCTGCTTGGGGACAGACCATTTCCAGATCCTCCAGGAACAACCAGGACCAGTCCCACAGTGCCATCAGGTCGGTCAGTAAACTTCGTGTATGCAACTACGAGCTCGGGATAGTCTTTGTTTTCCCTCCACCTCATGAAGAAATGGACTCAGGGGACGGGTCTAAGATCGATGATATTGTGTTGCCGTTTGTTGTACCGGCCCCAAGATATGGACGGAGTGATAGACCGGCTACAGGTTTGGCTATGAGGGAAGCTTTTGCTGAGTTTAGGGAAGGCTCTAGAAGTTTATGTGTAGAAACTGAAGCCGAGGAAGAAGAAGAGGAAGAAGAAGAGGAAGAAGAAGATGAGGAAGAAGAAGATGAAGCTGAAGGAAGAAGAGACTTTGTTGCAGAAGAGGAGAAGCAAGATGAGAAGGCTTATGCTGAGGCATTATGGAGTCAGGTTGAGTCATCCCTCAGCTCCTGAAAACTACGTCGTTTGCAAACATTCACGAAACAAAGATGCCCTTGTAATTAAAAATTTGTCACTATGGATGATCTGAATCGTTCAACTTTGCCTGTTTCTCAAGGTTGGCCCTTGCTTAGTAGTTAGTAATCACCTCCACTTATAAAATTTATTTGCTTGCTTGAACAAGCCATTCTTTAAGAGAGAAACCCATTTTCATGGAAAATTTATAATTCTTTCTCAACTCATATTTGGGATTTGACTTTGGATTTTGGTTTCTCGTTCTTGGAACTACGGAGTTTCCTCGTCTTCTTCACATGAGTAGATTTGATTAGGGTTTTGCAAACGCTAATCTATTTTCTCACTTTTATTTATATATAGATAAAATAAATAGATAAAACTCAGTCAAAATTATTAGGGTGTTATATGGAAATTCACGCACACACATATGAATTTTTTTTTCCCATATTAATAAGATTTTAAAGGATAACCAATGTCAATCCAAAGTCTCATATGAAACCGAAGTCTCACAAGAAAATAGTCAGTTTCTGTCGATTGGGAGTGGATCCCTCAAAATACTCAAACGGAGATGCAATGTCTTGCGTGAAAGGTCTGGTAGATATAAGAAAAACTCAGCAAACTTTTTTGTTAAGTCATAAATCTTTGAATCTCTAGAAAAAAATGGTGTTCTTTTTTCGTGCAACAATGTTAAAAAAGAAATAAATAGACAAAAAAACAAAACAAAACATGAATTCAAAGATTGATTACAAAACATGATAGTCTAAGTTTGGAATGAGCAATTTACTATGGGCTACACACATAAGAATAACGTTGTGAAACACGACTTTTGGGGGGTCACTTGAGGTCTACTACACTCATGAGGCCACCACTTTTCAGAGGTTTCAGATTCATGGATTTTCGTTGAGTCCAATGACTTCCCAGATAATCTGGAATCTCTCTGAGAGCTTCATGAGCTTGTAGAGATTTAGAGATTGAAGAGAGGAGAAGAAGTTCATACAGATTGGAGGAGAAGATCGCATGGAGCAGAGAGAAATATAGGTTGATATAGAGGAAAAGAATTAGATAGTTTAGAGAAAAGGAAACACAAATTCTTTCTTTCTTTTTGATTTCTTGTCGAAAATGTGATAAATGGTTTCTGAGTTCTTTGGTGACGTGAATAGACTATTAGTTTGACATTATCCGCTGCCCGATAAATGCTCTACAGTTTACTTACAATTAAAATGCTTTTATATGCAAATGCGAACGAAAAAACAGAGGATACAAGCGGTGAATAAAAGTTGTCATTGAAACAGTGTAATCGAATGACTAACGCAATCAGATTTACAAAGATATTATAATGTGGCATGCGATCATGTCATGCCATGTAAGTTAATATATTTTCTTTCAAAACTATTCCATAGTCCCAATGCGTTTATTAGCTCTCTAGTCCAATACATCTTTATTCATCTATCTTAAGTTTTTAACGGTCACTTTATTCTAAATACAAATGTTTGATTACTCGTTTACAGATTTAAACCAATTGTGGTTGTCAATTTTTATGGTTCGTTAATCCTGTTAACTTTATTGAGAAGAATCGTTTCACTCTAATCAAATGTTCATGTTTAAAGGCACAACGAGAGGTATTTAGAATACTATTCTTGCAATCAGTAATTTACAAGACGAAATAACCACTTCTTACAAATATTCTTAAAATCAAGTTATGATCGCTCTCTGTTCCAAAGATGTTTTTTTTAACTTTCGTAATTATTAAAGCAAAGAAAACAAGTTATCTCTCCCAAATATATACGGACAAAACTTGGAATGAGCAAATAATTATCACACGTAAATCATCATACATGAATTTACTACATTCGATGAAAAAGACATCAGATCTTCCAAAATTAGTAAAATACAAGTGTAGCTAAAAATCGTTTTGAGATTTTAGATTGGAATTGGTTTTAGAAGTGTTCAGAGACGACAGAGAGAGAGCCTTTGCGCAATCTCACGGCGCCAAGGTGAAAACCCCCAATTTTTTTGTTTTTAACAAAAAAATGAGATTTTAGATAGGAGCATGTCTGATATTCGCGTGTTTGGATTAATTTTGGTCAGCCATAAAGTTTTGACTTTTAGAATACGTGAAGTTGAAAAAGTATTCCAAGAGAAACTATAGCGGGATATAACATTGAAAAAATTAAGAAGAACCACAGACAATAATAGCAAATGCGTAAAAAAACTCAAAAAATTCCGGTGTCTTAGTATATATTTATGGCCATCTTCCCATTAACTCATTCAGAAAAAAAAAAACAGAAAAAAAAAAACATAAGAAGGACCAAAACAAAAGACAAAAAAACAAAAACATTTAATTTTTATAAATACAATAAAAAATTATAAATTATAAAAATGGGATACAAAAGTAATCCCATATTATTAGCCCTAATCGTGGTGTTTGTCTCACCGATGGTGTTCGCAGATGATGCGACACCAATTCCGGAAGGGAAACCCCAAGTGGAGGAGTGGTTCAAGACCCACGTCGCTCCTCTGGCTGCGCGTAAAGCCACTCTAGATCCAGCTCTCGTAGCTGCTGAGGCTGCGCCACGAATCATCACCGTATGAAACAAACTTCACGTTATTGTCCCCCTATCTCTCAAAACCAACCTTGAATATATTATATTACAGATTTTGATTACAAAATATGAAGGGAATGATGTTCATTGCAGGTGAATCCAAAGGGACAAGCTCAATTTCATTCATTAACCGACGCATTAAATAGTGTTCCTGAAGGGAACAAAAAGCGTGTGATCATCAGGATGGCTCCTGGTGAGTACGTAGAGAAAGTCACTATCGACCAAGAAAAACCCTTCATCACATTGGTTGGAGACCCTAACAACATGCCCATTATCAGCTACGACGGTACTGCCGCCGAGTATGGCACCGTTGATAGCGCCTCTCTCATCATCTTATCCGACTATTTCATGGCCGTCAACATCGTCGTTAGGGTACGTAAGACTATATCTACATATGCGTATGGTGTAGATTCCGAAGAATAGTCGAATTAATAGACAACCTTTTTTCTTCTTCCATGTTACGTAGAATTCAGCGCCGATGCCGGATGGTAAAAGAAAGGGAGCACAAGCCGTATCTATGAGAATCTCCGGGAACAATGCGGCTTTCTACAGCTGTAAATTCTACGGTTTCCAAGACACAGTTTGTGACGATAAGGGAAACCATTTCTTCAAGGATTGTTACGTCGAAGGGACATACGATTACATCTTCGGAAGTGGAACCTCTATGTACTTGGTACGTGCATGTATTTAATGTATGTGTATATATACCATATACCATCTTATACATTCTTACGGCCTAATGCATGTGTTGAATTCAAAAGGGAACGCATCTGCACGCGGTGGGAGATGGAGTTAGAGTGATTACAGCGCATGCCGGAAAGAGCGAACAAGAGAAGAGTGGATACGCTTTCGTGCACTGCAAGGTGACTGGAACCGGTGGCGGAATCTTTTTGGGTAGGGCGTGGATGAGCCACCCTGAGGTTGTCTACGCCTACACCGAGATGACCAGCGTCGTCAATCCAACCGGATGGCAAGAAAACAAGGAGGCCTCACAAGACCAGTAAGTCTAGTTATAAATGTTCTTCTTCTCATGACCTAATTAATCGGTCCGGTCTGGTCCGTATGGCACTATCTTAAATGGATTTTTAATTTGTTTACAGTACCGTGTTCTACGGAGAGTACAAGTGCAAGGGACCAGGATCACACCAAGCCAATAGAGTTCATTTCACAGAAGACATTGACCCCCCTGAAGCTCACCGTTTCCTTACCCTCGGTTACATCCAAGGATCTAAGTGGCTTCTCCCACCTCCAGTTTTGTAAACGCTTTAGTATTAACCTACGAATTTAGAGTTAAATTAAAGAAACTATACTTATACACGTATTCACCGAGAATATGTATATCGATCGGTGTATTTCTTTCTAGCTAGTTTCTTTGATCTTTTTTTTCCAAGAGTGCTCAGTTCTTTGTGTACGATGGAGTAGTTTGAGACGTGTGTAATTTTGGTTTCTTTATAAGAAAATGCAGTCTTGGTTCATATAACTCTTGTTAATTCTTTTGTTCTAAATATCCCTAAATATCCAGGCCCCCCTTTAATTTTGTAATAAATTACTGAGGATCGTAGTTATTTTGTGGCTAGAAACTAAAATTTAAATGTTGAGATGTGGTAGATATTTATATAAGACGGTCACATAATATTACTATATATCAAATTAATTAATTCTCTTACCGACATATTTTATAGGAGAATGACATGATATCATCAATTTTTAATTTCTTCTATATATGTTCATAGAGTTGTCGATATTGTTACGAACTGTACCATCTTACAAAAATCATAGATACTACATCAAAACCATTACAAATCTTCTACATAAAATCGTCGGACATTCTTTCCACATAAAACATTTACCAATGACAACAAATATGTATGCATGTTACATAATTTAACCAAATATGCACACACATATATATACGGTACATTGATGTTAAAATAAAAATCGTCTTTGTGAAATGTTTCAGCTAACCACAAAAACAAACTTGTACTTTTCAGCCCAAGGAAAGCTTGAGGTTTCTTAAACGAAAGAGTTTCAGAAATGATGTAAATCCTTTACACAAAATTATTTGATCAACATGGTTTTAAATTGGTCTTTGATCTTTGATTAACTATAACGGAATGAGAGCCGTTAGTTATAGAGTAAGCGTACACAGATATTGACTATATTTAGCAAGAAGCTACTATTAGAAATTAATCACACACCAAGTTCACTAGAAATGATTGTTAATGAAAATCACACATCTAAAAAAGCTCAAGGAATAGATTACCACAGACGAGAATAGTAAAAACAAAAGGAAAGAAAGAGATCTTTCCGGTCGACGATCCTGAAAAGTATATAAAAACCTCTCGAGGCTACTTCATCTCTACCATTTTATTTTTCAATAAAACTACTAATAACACTTTTTTTTTCTTTTTTTTTCTTTCTATTAAAATAAAAATAAAAAATAAAAAATAGTAAAAGATGATCGGTTACATATCTCTGTACACGATTGCCTTGCTTGTCCTTTTTGCCTCACCGGTTGTTCAAGCAGACGATGTAACTCCGATTCCGGCAGACAAAGCCCAAGTCGAGGCATGGTTTAAGGCCAACGTTGGACCCTTGTCCGCGAGAAAGGGCACACTCGACCCCGCCATCGAGGCCGCTGAAACAGATCCACGTATCGTCAACGTACGTAAATCGAAGTTTATCCTTTGGTTCGGTTTGATCTGTTTTTGGTTCAAACATATATATATAGAACACAAATCAACGCATATTATTGATTCCAATGAGAAAAAATAAATATCCAAATGCAGGTGAATCCAGCAGGAGGCGGCGATTTTAAGACAATAAACGAAGCTATAAAGACCGTTCCGACAGGGAACACAAAGCGTGTGATCATCAAGTTGGCTCCTGGTGTTTACAGAGAGAAAGTCACAGTCCTTCATGGTCAACCATTTGTTACAATAATGGGTAAACCTGGCGCAGAAACCAACATAACCTACGACGGAACGGCCGCTAAGTACGGAACCGTTGAGAGTGCGACGCTTATCGTTTGGGCCACAAATTTCGTTGCAGCCAACCTAAACATTATAGTACGTATTTATTCTTATATATGTTGTTAAAACTAATTATTTAATACAGTTAGCTGATATGCTAATGATTTTTTTTTTCCTTTCTTCTCCTATAGAACACTTCTCCCATGCCGAAACCAGGTACACAAGGACAAGCTCTAGCTCATAGGATTAACGGCGACAAAGCTGCTTACTACAACTGCAGATTCCATGGTTTTCAAGATACTCTTTGCGACGATAGAGGCAACCATTTCTTTAAGAACTGTTTCATCGAAGGAACCTATGATTTTATTTTCGGAAGAGGAGCTTCCTTGTACTTGGTACGCGCGCGCGTGTACACTTTTCTCTTTTTTTTTTAACTCAACTAATTAACTTACGTATACGTGTTTTCTACTTATTTGATCCACAGAACACGCAATTACACGCTGTTGGAGAGGGATTAAGAGTGATCGCGGCACACCATCGACAGAGTGATAAGGAACAGAATGGCTATGCGTTCGTGCATTGCAAGATTACTGGACTCGGAAGCGGGATCTACTTGGGCCGATCTTGGATGAGTCATCCTAAGGTCATCTATGCCTACACTGAGATGTCCAGTGTCGTCAACCCATCCGGATGGGCAGACAACAAAGATCGCGCGCATGACAAGTAAGTCCATGTGAATTTTTCTAGGTTTTTTTTTTAACTTGGCCGGTTCGATCACACAATAACACTTTTTCTTTATTATGAATGATGGATGATTATAGGACGGTGTTCTATGGAGAATACGAGTGCAGGGGACCAGGATCAAACAAAGAGAAGAGAGTGGATCACACTAAAGAGATTGACAAAAAAGAAGTCAACCAATTCCTTACTCTCGGCTACATCAAAGGCTCCTCGTGGCTCCTCCCTCCTCCCGCTTTCTAAGCCACACCCGCTCTTTAACTATAAATTCTGGATATCACTGAAAATCCATGTATATATTTTTATGTTGTCGCAAAAAATTTCTTGATATTGTTTCCGAAGGATCCTCTCTTTCTGTATATGAAGGAGGAGAAGAGATTTGTGTAATTTTGGTTTCATTATAATACAATTTTTCACGGTTAAGACATATTGAGCAATAAACAACCAAATCACAAATTCCTTTTAAATCGGATTTGTTGGACCGGATGCTACCTATACTATTTTAGTATTTTTATTCAAATGCGACAATGATTTGAATGTTTTACGAATATGACTTGAGAGTGATGCGACTGGTTAGATTTTTTATCGATACACCCAACAAAATCATTAAAGGGACACGGATTGTATCTATTTATTAATTTTGCTTTAGTGAATTAGTTTCGATTGGCAAAGCAATATAAGATTCTGCTCTCATAAAAAATAGTAAAATACACACCCTTTCTCAAAAAAAAAAAAATGTAAAATACGAGTCTTCTTTCTTTCAATGTTTTTGCTAAAATGGTGATTTTGTCATCCTCCAATTTTCGATGGAGCGTGATTTTTCAGTTTTTTTACGGTAAATTGTGGAATTATGTTATTGATAAAAATTGTAGAATCGTATTTTAATTAGTACGAATGTTGTTTTGAAAAAAAATTTGAAGTTTCTGACATTTTATCACTTGACATTACCGGTATAACACTGTGATCCTAAATGACTAAAGTCACTAAACAGTTAAAAAAGAAAAAAAGAGTCAAATCAAACCCAAAAATTTTAGTTGCCACTGAACCAACCACTCCGTCTAGCAAATTAACATTCAAAGATAAAATGTGGTTTAGATTAATTTATAAATAGAAAACATAATTATAGAGTTCTTCAACATGTTGACTTTGCCAACTGTGAATTTTTCCTTTATTGGAAAAATAGACGATGAAAGATGAATTTACAAATTTGACCACAAGGAAAGTTTACTTAATTTGTATTTACAACAAAATCAACTTTTCAAAAATGTTTCAACAATTATAAACCACAAATCTGTATCAACAAAATATAAACCACAAACGAGAATAGTAAACATAAAATCTGCCCTGCCAGACATCGACGACTAAGACAAGTATAAAAACCCCTCCACGGCTTCTTTATTTCTTCAGATCTTAAAGTAACAAAAAAGTAGTAATAACGTTTGTTCCTCTTTATTATTTTCTTTTATTTAAAAAAAATAAATAAAAGAAAATAATAAAAGATGGGTTACATTTCGCTGTCCACACTAGTATTCCTTGTCGCCTTTGCTTTGCCGGTGGTTCTAGCCACCGATACAGCGCCTATTCCAGAAGACAGGTCTCAAATCCCGCAGTGGTTCAAGACCAATGTTGCACCCTATTCTCAGAGAAAGGGCACGCTTGACCCCGAACTCGAAGTTGCTGAAGCAACACGAAAAATTATCACCGTAAGCTACAATATAGTTTTCACTTTTGTTCGGTTTTCATTTTACTTTAAAACATAATGTAATATTTTTATTTTATCTCGGGAAATTTTTATCTCAGGTGAACCAAAAAGGAGGTGCCAACTTTAAGTCACTAAACGAAGCGATCAAGAGCATTCCTGTGGGAAACAAGAACCGTGTGATCATCAAGTTGGCTCCTGGTGTGTACAACGAGAAGGTCACGATCGACATAGGTCGCCCATTCGTTACACTTCTTGGCCAACCTGGTGCACAAACGATCTTGACTTACCACGGGACAGCCGCTAAGTACGGAACCGTTGAGAGTGCAACTCTTATCGTCTGGGCTCAATATTTCCAGGCAGCTAACCTCATCATCAAGGTATGTGAAATATTTATTCTGCCTACGTAATTGCATTACACTAACGATTAATTAATTTATACTAATTTAATATCATGTGTAATACTAATAATAATGATTTTGTTTCTTTTCTGTAGAACACCAACCCAATGCCTAAACCAGGTACACAAGGTCAGGCTCTAGCTATGAGGATCAACGGTGATAAGGCTGCTTTCTTCGGCTGTAAATTCTATGGTTTCCAAGATACTCTTTGCGACGATAGAGGCAACCATTTCTTCAAGGACTGTTACATTGAAGGAACATACGATTTCATCTTCGGAAGAGGAGCTTCATTGTACTTGGTAAGCTTAAATTATTAGATATCCTTTATCATGATTGATATATATACAACGTGCATGTTTAATTTAAATAATACGTATTTGTATATAAATCCATAGAACACACAATTGCACGCGGTTGGAGACGGATTAAGAGTGATCACGGCACACGGTAGGACAAGTCCGAACGAGCAAAACGGATACTCGTTCGTTCACTGCAAAATCACTGGAACCGGAACCGGAATCTATTTGGGCCGGTCTTGGATGAGCCACCCCAAAGTCATCTATGCTTTCACAGAGATGACCAGTGTGGTAAACCCATCTGGCTGGAAGGAAAACCTCAACAAAGGACATGACAAGTACGTAACGTTTCATATCATCTCATTTACATATCTATATAACTCAAATCAATTGCATTTATATATCTGATTGGAAATCGAATTCGGATATTGTGTGTTGTATAAATACAGGACCGTGTTTTACGGAGAATACAAGTGTTTCGGACCAGGGTCACACTTGGCAAAGAGAGTGCCATTCACAAAAGATGTTGACCAAAACCAAGTTAGGCCTTTCCTCACTCTTGGTTACATTAAGGGATCATCGTGGCTACTTCCTCCTCCTAAGTACTAATTTTTCTTCTTAAGAGACAAACTATTGTTTGTAACAACAGTCCCTGATCCTTTTTCAGCGAAATGTTCCCATCTTCTTTTATTTTTTGTATTGCTTAAGATCCACTGCTTTAGATTTGATCTTTAAGATTAATTGTAAAGCTCAACAATTCTTTTTTTGTTTAATTCATTCGTTTCAATTCTTTTGTGGTGTTATATTTTTCTTTTAAAAAATCCTATTATTATTTTAAAATGAGATTTTTTTCTTCATAAGAATAACGATGAGGATAAAAGTAATCAAAATCAAGTTAAATTATATTAACGATTAGAGAAATAGGATTTCGTGATATTTTGACGTACAGGTAAAAAGTAAGAGTCCATATGTCCATGGTATACCTTTTTTTTAATAGAATTTAGCTTCTATAACAAAAAAAAATGTAGTAACCATAATATTTTAGTCATAACTATCACATTATTTGTAGATTTCATCATTTCTATTTTTCTACTTGCAAGTATTCATCACTTTAATATATTTTTAATATTAATTAATGCTATGAATTATTCTTATTTCTATGATTAACCCATAAGAGATGCGTGCATTGAAATTTAAGATTCAATTAATTTTTAAAACATAAAGTCAAAAGGAAATTAAGTACAAAAAAAAATTGGGATAGGCACCGAGTAGCCGCGTCACAGCCAGGTAAGCATAGAGTCGCCATCCAATAAAAACACCCGATGGATAGCAACTTCTGCAACGTGTGCGTGCTGGATCTGACTCTCTTACGAATCTGGTTCTTACGATTTAAGACCATCCGATTTTTGACGGCTCAGATTGTTTTAGAACCACAAGTACAATTGTATTATGTTCGCAGGGAATCACGCCCGTAATGTCTCTTTCCTTGTTTTCCGCATCTCCCTTTGTTAAAAATTGACGGTCAATTTTTATTTGTATCACGTTTTGTTGAAAAACAAATATATACCAAAAGGTTTTAAAATACAATTTTTGTTCATCATATTCTTTAGTATATTCGGATTAATCATTTCTAATTTCACCATTCATGTGCGAGATGTTCCTAAAATGCCCTTGCAATAGTGCTTCACTAGAATCGGTTTTATAGAAGTCAAACAAAAAAAATCGTCCCTAAAGGATTTTCTTAATATTTCAGAAAATAAAATTATTGTTAACAATAACAAATTAAAGGATATCATTTTAAATATGTAGAAATATGACGGGCATGACTCTCATGTATATATATTATCTTCATTATCTAGATGAGTATATATATTATTGAAGAATGAAGAACGCGGCGAGTCCATTGCACCATATGCTTTCTTTTTGTTTGTTCTAACGTGGACCTTATGTAAGCAGGTGTGAATGTTTATCCATTACTTTGTAACTCAAATCCTAATATTAACTGTCATCAAATGTCTCATAAGCCATACATGGAAACAAATCATAATTTTTATAAGTATTAACATTGATAAAGGTAAATAATAACGCCGTCCCTAGTTGTTGACAACCCAAAAAATAGTAACACCGTCCCTAGTTCAGCATATTTAACCAAAATGAAAAAGGATTGAATATTAGTAAAATAATTAATCTGTCCCACTCCCAGCTCCAAACTTTTTGGGGGTCCACAAATTTGAATGTTTTTCATCAAATCTTTTTTCGTTTATATGGACCTAAACAAATTTACATAGTTTTTTTTCTTCTTCATTTTCTGTTAATGTTATCCTTTTTTAACTTCTTTAATAACACGCTATTTCTTTCTTTCTTTATTTTTTATTTACAGTGAGATGTCAATCTTTGTAGATATGTTTGACTTAAAAAAGAAAAGAAAAAGATAGAGAAAAGCTAAATGAAGGCAGCAAAATTAAAATTAGGGGCAAAAAGGTCAATCAACGGGATAAGAGAGTTTCTGTTTGGGTCTCCAGTCTGACGTATGATCTGTGCGTCAAAAATATCCAAATCTCTCATTCAAATTACGCTTTCTCTTCTTCCCCTACAAATACTCCATTCTTCTTCCTCCCATAAGCCCCACATCTCTCCGCAAAACACCAAAATTCGCTTTTACCCTTTTCGCGTTTCATCATTTGTCTTCGATTCGATACCTCTTTTCTTCCAACTTTCTCTTTTTTTTCTTTCACCATTTTAATTGGTTGATTTCTCCGATCACCAGCTCCGATCGAAGTTTTTGTTTTTTTTTTTTGTTTCTGTTTTAGTTCTCTAAATCTTGGATCTTCCGATCACTTGACTTGATTGTTGATTTTTTCTTCGAACTCAACTGAGACAATGAATGCTTTAGCCGCAACAAACAGAAACTTCCGTCATGCATCGAGAATCCTTGGCTTGGATTCGAAGATCGAGAGGAGTCTTATGATCCCATTTAGAGAGATCAAGGTTTGACTAATTTTTTTTTTCTGGGGTTTTTACGCTTTGTTTTGGGAATTCGTCTCAATTGGTTGGGCTTTTGACTGTGTGATTCAGGTGGAGTGCACGATACCCAAGGACGACGGAACTCTGGTGTCGTACATCGGATTTAGGGTTCAACATGACAATGCTCGTGGACCCATGAAAGGAGGAATCAGATATCATCCTGAGGTAGGGCCTCACTCATCTCTTTCGATTTAATCATTGCGAAGGATCTCTCGTTAAAAAGCTTAGCTTTAGCCTTTTGTTTAATCATTTGCTCTCGATCTGGGTTTTGGAATTGGAAAATTAGGGGGTTTTAAGCGATGAACTGTATTTGGTTGAATTAGATTGAATCTTGGAATTCGGAATTCTGAAAGTTTTAGTTTTGGTTTGAAGGTGGATCCAGATGAAGTGAACGCATTGGCTCAGCTGATGACTTGGAAGACCGCTGTGGCAGACATTCCATACGGCGGAGCAAAAGGTGGAATCGGATGCAGTCCTCGTGACTTGAGCTTGAGCGAGCTGGAACGACTCACTCGTGTCTTCACCCAGAAGATCCATGATCTCATCGGTATTCACACCGATGTGCCTGCTCCTGACATGGGCACAAACGCTCAAACCATGGCTTGGATTCTTGATGAGTACTCCAAGTTCCATGGCCATTCCCCTGCTGTTGTCACTGGAAAACCCATTGTAAGGCTCTTGTGGCTTTCTTTAAGTTGATTGTATCTGATTGTTATTCATGTTTCTGGTTCATTAGCAAAGTTTCAGTGTTAACTATTAGATAACTTGGGTGTAGGATCTTGGTGGTTCACTTGGTAGGGAAGCTGCCACAGGACGTGGTGTTGTCTTTGCCACCGAAGCTCTTCTTGCTGAGTACGGGAAATCGATTAAGGGATTGACTTTTGTTATTCAGGTACAATTATCTACCAGCTAATCTCATATCTTAAGCTTAATCTTGTATTATAAGGAAAGTTGAGAGCTTTGCTCTGTATGACAGGGTTTTGGGAATGTTGGAACATGGGCGGCGAAGCTGATCCACGAGAAAGGTGGAAAAGTGGTTGCAGTAAGCGACATTACAGGTGCAGTCAGGAACCCTGAAGGTATTGACATCAACGCTCTTCTACGACACAAAGACGCAACAGGAAGTCTCAATGATTTCGATGGTGGAGACGCTATGAACTCAGACGAACTGCTCATCCATGAGTGTGATGTTCTCATCCCCTGTGCTCTTGGTGGTGTTCTCAACAAGTACGAACAAACAAAACTTTCACTCATCAAATCAAACCATAGAGACTCTCACTTTTCTGATTCTTGAAATTTTCCATATTTTGATATCAGGGAAAATGCTGGAGATGTGAAGGCAAAGTTCATAGTAGAGGCAGCAAACCATCCAACAGATCCAGATGCTGATGAGGTAATGCAGCTGCAGCATCTATAACACTTAAACCCATCCCTAAAACCTCTTAAATCTAATGATACTGATCTGTTTGATGATGCTTGGCAGATTCTGTCGAAGAAAGGAGTGATTATACTTCCAGACATATACGCAAACGCAGGAGGAGTGACTGTGAGTTACTTCGAGTGGGTGCAGAACATTCAAGGGTTCATGTGGGAAGAGGAAAAAGTGAACCTGGAGCTGCAAAAGTACATGACCCGAGCCTTTCACAACATCAAGTCAATGTGCCATACTCATTCCTGCAACCTCCGTATGGGAGCTTTCACCCTCGGAGTTAACCGCGTCGCTCGAGCCACCCAGTTGCGTGGTTGGGAAGCTTAGTTCGACTGGATTCTTCCCCTCATATACTCTGTTTCTTTCTCTGTTTTTCCCTGTCCTTTTTATTTTTGTTTCATTTTTACTGAAAATCATTGAGGTTCCGAAATGGAAAAGGAAACAAAATGAAAATTGAATAACTTAACAGAATTGAATAAAATATTTTATTGGAATTTTTTCCCCCGCTTGAAACAAAATGCTGTATCAAAAATCACAATATGATCTTATATATCAAACGGCTGTTGTGATTTGCTTATTCTGATGAATAATAGATAGTGAATCTTCGTCGTACAAACTCGCCATAAGATTCTTGTGAAAGCTTCTAACCAAGAACGAAGGTTCTAAAAGCGGAGAGTACAGCGTCCTCATGACCATCTCTCTTTGTAGTGAAGAACAATAGTCGTAGTAAGTTGCAGATGTCACATTTAATTGGAATCCAATTCCAAATAAGAAGTCCAACTCTAATATATTTATCTCCTCTGTGGTTATTCCTCCAATTTTTGCATAATATGCATTGTTGTAACACCTATATATTATCAAATTCACATATACATTTGTTAGAGACAAATTGTATGGGACAGTTTCAATTCTAACAAGATTATAAACGAAAAAGGAGATAAGAACTTACAAGTCATCCATGAACTTGGCAGAGACCAAGACACTGGTGATGATGAGCCTATGGACATTAAAGGAATCAATGGGCAAATATGGCTGCTTTTGTATGAACCGCTCCAAATATATATACGCGACTATGTAACACGAGTCGCTACAGTTTGCGTACTTGAAGATCCTCTCCATATAGCTTCTGATCGATATAGAAGGTTTGGTCAGTGCATTGAAAGCTGACATCATCTGGTGCTCCCTGAACGGACGGCTCAGATCGTCGTTCGTCTCCGACACCCTTTGTAGGAGAGATGACATCGCCGTTATGACATCTGGCATGATCTCAGCCATCGTATCTTGCTCTTGAATTATCTTCTGATCAATCTGAGCAGCCATTGGAGAGAGATGTGTAGTCCTTTTTTAATTACATGGATTGATTTTTTTTTATGTTGTCTCCTCTTTTGCCTTGTGTTTATATAGAAGAAATTGTATCACATATATATCAACGCTAAGATATGTGTAAAAAAACCATAGGTTATAAGCACTACTTACATCTTTGTTGAAAAGATAATATAAAACAAGAGAATGCTAGAATAACTTGAGAGATTTGGCTTTCATTAGGATAAAATAAGTTAACCACCAAACTAATGGCCCTTTAACTGTGTTCTGACATTCACTTTTCTTGTAGACTCTCTACTAATGTGTAAATTATAAACTTACCAGTAAATTAACCCTGCTACGTATTAAACTATAGATAAAGGGGAATTGAGCCTGGAGCAAGGTGCCAAACACGTTATAGATAATGATCAACATGTTGTCAATATTCAAAGATTTTTTAGTCTAAGTAAGATCACTGAATCTTGTTGCACTTCCTTCTTGTTATTGTTTAATTATTGGAGTATCTTATAATTTGGATGCTGATGCTGATACACAAGAGCGGTCGGTGCCTTGTATGATCATCCTCCCATGTCTTATAATTAGATTCTCTGACTCAGAGCAAAAGCATGCAAGCAGGAATTAGGGACAACCACACAAAATTATATTTAATAATGAAGGAAAAGCTCACATCACAAAATACAACATTTAGATCACAATCATAATCACACATACACACAGAGAGAGTTGTTTATCTCCAAGCGACGATCCCCCAAATATAAACAAAACATGGAATTTATTTGATCACACACTTTAAAATATACTTTTTTTTTTTTAATTCTTGGCAGCTAATTGAAACGTCCATTTGAAACCAAGACTTTGGCATTCAGAGAGCTCATGATCTCCTGGCCCATTCTCTTGCAACCTACCAATATCTGTCCCCAAAAATAAACAACTTGCTTATCAAAATCAAAAGTTGTAAATGTGAAATCTTTAACTTTGAATTGATCTACTGTTTTCGCCGACTTACAGTTCCAGTAGTGTGAATATCACGTGTTCTGAATCCGCGATCAAGAACATCGAAAACCGCTTCTTCTAACCTCTTTGCAGCCTTTTCTTCCTTCAATCCGTATCTCAAAAGCATTACAGCTGATAGAACAGAGGCTAATGGATTCGCTGTGTCCTGCAGAAAAACATTGTAAGAATCTCAGCAATTTCGACACGCTTGGCAAAAATGGTATGCAAGAAGGTTGCAACAAACAACCTTTCCATAGTGTTTAGGTGCAGAGCCATGCACAGGTTCAAAGATTCCCGGACCCTGTTTACGTCATACAACATTAGAAAATCAAGAATCTATTTTCAAAATAAAGATGTTTAGGTTTTAATGATGGTACGCACTGAATCACCAAGGGAAGCAGATGGAAGCAATCCTACACTTCCGGGGATCACAGCAGCGAGATCAGAGAGAATATCACCAAACATGACCCCAGTCAAGATGATATCGAACTGAAACATCAACAAAAAGTTAACAATAATGCAATTTTTGTTTAGAATCATTCATTAGTTACTGGCTTTGTAAGAAGAAAAAAACCTGTTTGGGGTGGCGAATAAGATCCATTGCAGCGGTGTCAATGAGCAGATGAGTCACCTCAACCTCAGGATACTCTGAGGCCATTTCTGTAACTCTTTTCCTCCACAACATTGATCCCTACATATGGTTCAAGAACAAACATTGAATCTTGGATCTATAACACAGAAAAACTCTCAATTCAAGCACATATCAAGAAACTTCAACAACAGGACTGAACTTTTACCTCCAAGATGGCAGCTTTGTCAACAGAGCAAAGTTTACCACGCCGTTGCTTAGCAATCTCAAATGCAACACGAGCTATGTGATCAACCTAATGCAGAATCATAAACAACTTTATCAATGACTAATCTACAAGAATAGAAAGAAAGTAAAAAGATCTCAAAAATGGAAAAACAGGACACCTCACTAGAAGAGTAGGACTCAGTGCTAAACCCAACTTCTTCACCTTTTTCATTTGTAGTAAATCCCCGAGGCTGTGCATTGTAAATACCTGTTTTTTTTCCACAATCTTTAAAATCCACAGATGGGAAAAAAGGAAAAATAGAACAAAGTTCGTTTTCTTGATTACTGACTCACCTCCAGTAAGCTCCCGGATGATCATTAGATCTACTCCTTGTACTGTCTCTGTTCTCAGACATGTCGAACCAATCAACTGAAACATGTCAAACCGGTTTATACTAAATTAGAATATGAAGTTAACAGGCAAAAAATGAGAAATTTCAAAAGCAAATTTGCAGATTTCCAAAAGAAGAAAATGAAGATAACCTGAGGGAAAACTCTGATTGGTCTTAAATTGGAGAATACTTCAAGACCGGCACGGAGCTGCAACAAGCCGGTTATCGGCTTCAAATGCTTCGGTTGATCATCCCATTGAGGCCTAAATTCAGTATATGAAGAAGAAAAACGTCAGCTTCAGGTTATGAAACCAAAATATTAGAAAAAATCAAAGCTTTATAAAAAAAATGAAACTTGTACCATCCAACAGCTCCGAGAAGAACAGCGTCTGATTGCTTTGCCCTTCTCAACGTTTCCTCCGGTAATGGAACTCCCACTAGATCTAAAGCAACACCTCCGATCGGCAATTCCTCGAAGGTAAATTCCAAACCTGCTACGTGTTAAGCCAAAATCAGATCAACTAAGTTTCAGTGAGTGAGAGAGAGTGAGATCTGAGGAACCGTACCTTCGAGTGATCCAACTAGGCGAAGCGCGTCGACGGCGACTGGGATAACATCGTTGCCGATGCCGTCGCCGGGAAGCACGGCGATGTTGTACTGTTTCTTCGGAGAATAGGCGGCACATCTGATCACGGACGGTCTCTTAAAGGTCTGTTTGGTGACGGACTTAAACGCAACCTGATTCTTCGTACCGCTGACGTGGATTCTTAAAACTCCCGCCATTTTCTAACGGAACACGTACAGATTTTTTTGGCCAAGTTATTTTATTATTATTAAATGGTTTGTTTCACAACAAAAATGGTTTGTTTCAATGTACGTAACTAGTTTAAACCAATTACATATATGTTATTTTTCGGATCTTAATGTTAATCTGAAATAAATTGTACCTGAAACGTAGGAAAGCACAATCCCAAATCTCAAGTTTGTGGACGAAGTAAGGTAAAGAGTGTAGAGCGATGAGGGAATTTTGATGTGTGGTTTATGGGAAGAAAAACAAGACGTTTTATTGGCTTTCTCTTGAGCTACTTTCCAAGCTTTCAGGAAGACTTTTCATGTTTTTGTATCTTAGCTAAACATTTTCATCACGGGTTTACAAACAAAAAAATTGTTTTAAATACAGTTATTTCAAAACTGTCTATTTCGTTTCTTGATTACCACGACTTTTACTCCCTCTATACGTAATACGATTCACAATTCTTGTTGAATAATTGTGCATGTCGTCTTCCAATCATGTGATCATGTCACCGTGTTTACCACACACAAGGGGAAAAAAAACTGTTTTGTTCTTTCTTTGTTACGAAAATAAGGTTAAACTGTTTTTTCATTGTAGATCATTACTTTTTTATGACTCTCAGCTGTGTTAAACTTAGATCCATATCTTTGACGATAATAATATAGCATGCAGTTTAAAGAGTATCTATAATTGTAATTTTAGAATTCTAAAACTAGAACAATCACTAATGGGAAGGTAAAAAGATTTACATGTTTTCATTTTATTAAAAAGTTTACATGTTATTATGTTGGAATCTTCTTTCTGTATTATTAAAAGGTGCACGTGGTAATCTGTGATAAATATAGGTAGCTTTCAATTGGTCCGCATAGTTATTTGTGTATGGAAACAACAATATAGCTGTCGGCACATAAACACCAAGATGACGACTATTATTGCCAGTAAAGTCTTATTGCGTGTTAAATTATAGATCTGGACTCTTAATTCGAACACATGCAGTTCCTTTCAAAACGAGTATGATCAACAATCAAAATTCATTTCATTGCATTAAAGTTTTCTCAATAGTTTGATCTATCATTTAGAAGGATACTCTCTTTGTATATCATTATAAAATATCTTTTGACTAAAACACAAAGTACTAATCTTCTCTATACTGTACTAAGAATATTTCTGAAGCAGAAAAAAAAAACAAGATGTTACGTCCAATTACATATTTTTAAAGCATGTGGACGCTGTGAGATCCAAGCAGTGTTGATAGGGTTAGTACAGTAAAATGGAGTGTAACCATATATTGTTTGAAAGGACAGCTTTGATATATAATTGGTATAGAGACTATAATATGTACCTCATTCCTAGATCGTGGTTCAGTTTTTTTTTTTTTTTTTTTTTTTGAACGATAAAAATTTGACAATAAGAAAGTGCCCACACGCAGTGTGGTTCAGTTTTATTGATGACGATTACCTGGAAATAAATAATGTCAAATTATTTTGATGACGACTCATCTAATAATTGAAAGTTGTTTGGTACTAATAATTGAATGTGTATATAGACACATGTGCATATATAGAATTTGCCAAAAAATAATACGTAAGAATACTGTATACTTGATGGTTGATTGGACAACACGGATTCGATACCTACTTTTTATCTCCCATACGATGGGAAAAGAAAACTAAATTGTGTAGCATGAGATATAAAGGCGAGGAAGTAAAGAAAATCGTTCCGCAGGTAGTTTTTTCGTTTTACTACAACTACAGCATATTTCTTTTTTGAACAAAACTACACTTCAGTCTTCAGATTTGATTTAACAAAAATAATACGTAACAATATCTTTGGCAATGATCAAATAAGATTCAAATTGAATGTCTCCTTATGTGTCAGACAGAAGCTTCTATGAAAACATCTGCCCCATCCTTTGGTATTATTAACGTAGGAGTCACATCAGGTAAACAAATAATGCAGGTATGAAAAGTACGTATGACACACCATGTGCGAGGTCATCAAAAACCCTAATAATTTGAGCATAGTGTTCATATATTACCAAATGTAATTTGATATTGATTCAAAAGTAGTCTGTACAACGTGTCAAGGTTACATCAATATTTTCTATTTCATGAACAATTAAAAAAATAAATCATTGAATTGCTTTCACCTTGCTTGGCAGTACGCTAACACAGTAACATTATTGATTTGCAAATTCTCTAGCGTGACTAGTGTTGGTACAGAGCTTTGATGTCTCGAGAATGATAATTAATTTTTTTTGCACTCTTGCTCTCTTGATCAAGTGGAGGACCATGTTTCTACAAAAAGAACTAACCATGTGTTTCGCAATATGGTCCATTAGCCCATATGTATAATGTTTTACCCCTAAATGGGTATCGGAACAGAGACCTCCGGCACCGTCCATGTGTCATGTTCTACTAGATATTGATCCTTGAAAGAGATATTTAACATTTTTTATGTAATAACCGTTGGTTCCATTTCATGCTTGAAGAGTACAGATCTAAAGGTTGAATTTCTTGTATATTAGACGACCAAAAAAAACTTGTATTGATGAAATACCAAGAAAAAGGAAAATCAAAGGCGGATGCTGGATTGGTTCGTGTGATGCTTAGTAACGAGCATATGATCGATGGTTCCAAATGATATCATAAAGAGAGATGGTCCCATTTTACAAAATATGTCCAGTGAGCTATTGGGTCCAAAACTCTTAATTCGTTTTTGAATATTCTTCATACACAAAATTCTCTTGAATTAAGAATATGCATAAAAAACTTTCTCAATTTATTAATTATAGGTTCTCGTTGAAACGAAAGTAGCTGCCTTATGTCTTAGAGATTGTGATGATTATTTAGTTTGTGTTCAAACTGTGTAACATCAACATTACAGAATTGCAAAATCAAATCTCAAAGAAGTAGTTACATAGCGTGTAACCAACTTCATCAGTTTTGACACACAAGTCCCTAACCTCCTCTGTTTTCGGGAGAAAAGCAGAGGACATCAGCTCTTTTTTCTTAGCCGTAGCAGCGGATTGGGTCGTTGCAGCCTTTAGCAGCGGATTGACTGACACCGCACCGCCCGCCCTTTGACAGATACTGCTGATGATATTCCTCAGCTCTGTAGAATTTCTTAGCCGGCAAGATCTCAGTCATGATATTCCTCTCCATTTGTTGCTGGTGACGTTTCAGTGACTCACGGGCTAGTTTCTCCTGCTCAGGTGTGTAGAAGTATATTCCAGATCGGTATTGGGTTCCCACGTCATTTCCCTGATCACAGTTAAGTCACATTAGCCAAAGCATCGATTGTAGCGTGAAAGCAGAACATCCTAAAAATAGAGTGCTTAAACATTATCAAGAGAATACAAATATTCAGGAGATTGATTCACTACATGGATATATCACTTGGGACCAAATTTGCATGAACAGGATAAGAAGAAACTCTCGGAAGCAGTACTACATAGAATTCACTAAGCAATGAAAAGGGCTAATCTTTATCTTTCCCTTGATCAAAAGGGGAGGAACAGAGTAGTGAAAACAGAGTTAACGAAGCTGGATATGCAGAGATGTAACAGCTAAAGTTCACTACTTTCAGCATCATAACCAAGCAAAAATCTAAATTCAACATCATTTACGCAGGTTAAACCAGAAAGCCATTTCAATTTGGGAAATATCAAGCAATCCCTAAAGCAGACCAAGTCTCAGGCACGTAATTTTGACCAAAATACATCACAATAAGAAAAAGTCTAAAACTTTAGAACTTTGTCAATCTCCAAACATAAAACTTTAGATCTAAGGCTGACTAAGAAGAAAGCAACCAAAATCGTATCCGTACCTGGCGATTCAAGGTGGTTGGATCATGCCGAGACCAGAACAAATCAAGCAAAGACTCGAAGCTGCAATCTTTGGGATCATACTGAACCCTAACAACCTCGGAGTGGCCCGTGGTGCCCGAGCAGACATCTCCGTATGAAGGATTGTCGGTGATCCCTTGAGTGTATCCAACCTCGGTCTGAGTCACGCCCGGGACCCTCTGAAACGCAAGCTCCACTCCCCAGAAGCATCCAGCGCCGAATTGGGCAAACTGATTTCCCGCCGCCGGCGCGTCAGCGTCGTTCCCTTGAGCGATCGGAGATGGATCCATACTCGTTTGCCCACCTGATCCCAACCCCAATCTGTTGAGTATGTTCATTAAAAATGTCACAGAAAGAGAGAAAGGCGGAAGAGAGGACACGTTAGGATCTCAAGTGAGAGATGGGAACTGCGACACGGAAGTCGGATCTTGCAGTAAATCGCGTTTGCGTTTTTGTAGCGGTCACGATAAAAATGGAGATCAAATTTAAAATCTCTGAACCGAACCGAACCGAGTAAAATGGCTGTTTGTAACTTTGTATACATAAAAACACAAACTAAACCATATTAAATGTATCCTAATCAAATACTGTCTCTCGGAATTAAATGTAATCAAAATTGAAAATTTAGCTATGTATATTTATCAAACATAATTTATGTAGCCTTTTTTATAACCGGATTACAGTATGTTCGTAATTTGATCCACAAAAATTTCTAAGCAAATAAACCGGAAAAAAAAAATGAAGCAAACCAAATAACAGGACACTCACACTCGTAAGCATTTAAATTAGGGAAAATATGAAATTTATGTATACATGAAAACTCTCATTACTCAATAAGACCATATTAATGGAAAAGAAAAAACCATCAAATATACAAAATGTCCCATACTAACGGTCCAAACGCGGTCGCGAAAACGGGGAGCCGAGCTAGCGACCCCAGTCGCGGGGTTGATCTTTTTGGAAGACGGCTGAAGAATCCCTCCGGTGGAGGCTCGGGGAGCTCCCACGGGGGCTGGAGATGGGCCGTTGCCTTCGACGTTGACTTTTAACCTCATACCGGCGAAGCAATGAAGTCTATTACCACAGAGAAAGAACCGGTCTCCGGGTTGGGAGAGAGCAACGGTCGTGTTCCCGTTTGTGAAGGTACGGATCGGGTCCGTAGTGTTGCAGTTTTGGAAGTTGTCTTTAGCCACTTCGTAGACACTATGCGTCGATGAGTATTGGAACACTGGCAAAAACATTGACATAGATTCAAGCAAATTATAGTTAGGCTTAATGCAGTTATAACTATCACTCGGAATACTGTCAAGAGATCATAGAATTCTGTGGATGCGTAATACTACAAAGTCTACAATGTTTAAGATACTTACTTAGAACATCACCAACAGAGAATCGCTTGCCTAAAGGCCAAGAATCAAGATCGGAGCTTATGTCCCAACCTGAGGTGTCTCCCACAAAGTATGTTGTCGCGTTGCATCTTGTTATCACTAAAGTCCCAAAAATGATGCAGAGATTGACAATATATAGCATTCTCGGCGTCTTCTCCATAGTGCTCACAATTGTATTTCCCAATAAATTGAGTATAGTTTTCTTGTTAGTTATTGTGCTATATATGCATATGTGCGAGTGTAAATATATATATATATTGTATAGGGCATTGGTTTTAAAGGTTGCTCATAGGTGGATAACCTAACATCACAACCACTATAACATATGTGATCTGCTTTGTTCCCTGGTCCTTTTTTTTTGTTTTCTTAACAAATTTTTCGTGTTTCATAATTCACAAGATTCTTATGTTGTTAGGTAAAGTCCACAACCCTAAATGGCTAAATTTTCGTGAAGACAATGAAGAAGTAGTTGATAGTTTTTTGTGTGGATGTATTCTAGATTAAGAAAATTCCAGTTTCGGGGTCCCTTTTCAATAGGAAGAGTGAATAATTCATTCATTAGAAACTATATCTATATCTGGTCTTGCGTTTTAGTATGAAGATGAAAGAAGCTTTTACATCTTTAGGAATGGGATTTCATAAAACCCTTTTTGTAATAAATACAAAAAGAACCGGCATATACAAAAAATGTCGGAAGTGATGTTTTCGAATTTTAAGATCCTCTTACATCCATGATTCTTGAAAGCTTCATAAAGACACGTATAGTGCAATTTTTGTAAAAATATGTCACAAATTTGTGTCTTGCTATTGTCACCAATGGATGATTTTGACTTATTGATATGCCTATTAGTTATTATGTACTTTTCATCGTTCGAAAATACTCGCAGAGGCTTGGAATTGGCCTTGAATGGGGTGTTGAACTTCTCGACCAAATGTAGTGTTTCTTCCCACCAAACTCACCTAATATGGTTCCACGGAAATGCTTTCGTAACTCTTGTTTTGGGGTTGAGGGGTTTAAACTATAAAAAATTAAAAACGATATCAGCTTAGTATGTAAGAAGACACGGTCTATTTGTTTTTCTTTCTTTTTCTGTACAGCTAGCTAACAATATTTCATAATTCCTTAAATAATCTATGCAAACTATCGGCATGCCGGATTTATCTATATAGCCACGTCCCACGTGAGTTCAACGTATTTATTAAGGCTTAAAATCCGGACAAGAGGATGCTTTTTTGCGGAAAGTTTTTCTTTGTTTTTTTGTAGATGATACTATGAATACATATGTGTATCCATTAATTAAATTAATAAATCCTATACACTATATCCCAACATGTTATTAATGTCCCCCGTCATATATGAATTTGGTCACTGTTAGATATTTCTCACAACATACGTATACTCATTATGATTCGTTATTGGTACTCATATGCATTTGACAGTTACACATGCTCTAGATCAATTCCAAAAAACGAACAACAATGTTTTATTATTCGACCGTCACATATTTAATATAACTCCGAAAATGTCACTGGGACGGGACGGCTACACACCCTATTTATAGAGGAGCCACTCGCACTTTTCCCTTTTCACTATCAACTGATTTCCCAAATCCCAACAATGGAGAATGAGAAAGGTGAGAATTCAAGTACATTCAAAATGGGGAATTCTGCACAAGAGAGGAGTTTACCGTATGTGCCCGATTGTTACGTCGTTCCACCTTCCTGCGAACCACGTGATGCGCTTGATTCGAACTCCGAAGTTGTACCGACCATTGACGTTTCTCGTTTAAGAGGCGCCGTTGATGAACGTCGAGGAGTCATTCAAGAGCTAAGTTTTGCATGTCAGCATTTTGGTTTTTTCCAAGTAAGTTATTTCACATAACATATGTAACTTCGTAGAATTTGAGTTTTTTTTGTCATTTTTTTTACTTTATGTAAGTTTTTTGCATACAATTTATATCTATTAAAAGCCATGTATTCAGTACAGTCAACATAGCTTATGTCATTCTATGCTTCTGTTTAAATCCAAGTTAATTGTTGGAAGCAAAATATCAGGTTTTCTTTAGTCATTGAAAATCTAAATATCAGCCTCTCTAACACGTGACAAGTGACGACGTTGCTATCACATGTCGGGGATAAACCGGTTCAAATCTGGTTATGTTGCTCCCAGATTTTTTTTTAATTTATAACATGTTCGGTTCTCCTCCCTCATCAACTGATTCGTGTTTCTTTTTATTTGGTTCGATTAATATTATTAGATAGTGAACCATGGAATCAATCAGAACATACTAGACGACGCATTGGCGGTTGCAAACAACTTTTTCGAGCTTCCGGCTAAGGAGAAGAAGAAGTTTATGACGAACGATGTGTACGCACCGGTTCGGTACAGTACAAGTCTCAAGGACGGTTTGGACAAGATCCAATTCTGGAGGATATTTCTAAAGCACTATGCACATCCTCTTCATCGTTGGATTCACCTCTGGCCTGAAAACCCACCCGAATACAGGTATATTTACACAATTACACGTATCCATGTTCATGTTTATGTTTAAAGTCCATAATGTCACTGATTAGGTCATTATACATTGCATCTAAAAAATAAACAAAAAGGATTTTGCTTATAGCGGCGATTTTTGTTCTTTCTCTTGTTGACCTGATGGACTATATCACCTGGACCGCCCTAGCTAAAGTAATCGAAGATCCACAAAAATATTTCCAAAAATACAACAAAATTAAAACTATTTTTTCTTTCAGCCATAATTGAATGTTTGTTGTTCTCATCAATGGAATAGAGTAAGAGATAATAAATATACATAATTCACAAGACTATATTGTAAGCAAATACATATTTCCTTTTTAGGTTTGTTTTCTACGTTTTATCTTTAATTCTCATTCAGACCATCGTCACATCGTCTAGCATTTAGCGCATGTTTATAATTAATATGTTTGCGTATTTTAGAGAAAAAATGGGAAAGTTCTGCGAAGATGTGAGGAAGCTATCTCTCGAGATATTGGGAGCGATAACGGAGAGCCTAGGTCTAGGGAGAGACTACCTGTCGTCTCGGATGAACGAAAACGGTATGCAAGTCATGGCCGTTAACTGTTATCCACCGTGTCCGGATCCTGAGACGGCGTTAGGTCTGCCGCCGCATTCAGACTACAGTTGCATCACCATCCTTCTACAGAACATGACCGGTCTCGAGATCTTAGATCCGATGGGTCACGGTGGCTCTGGCCGCTGGGTTCTTGTCCCAGAAGTCAAAGGTGTACTCAAGGTAGGTTTCAACTCTTCGTTTTAATTATTTCGGCTTAGGTCTAAACCGAAGGGAATTGTTTTATTGCTATTGTTTTCCTCTAAAAAGATCACATCATAACCGGACTCTATTATATTGTTTTTTTTTTTCTTCTAATAGGTCCATATTGGTGACCATGTGGAGGTGCTAAGCAATGGATTATACAAGAGCGTCATTCATAAAGTTACTCTGAATGAAAAGAAGACGAGAATCTCCCTCGCGAGCTTGCATAGCCTGGGTATGGACGAGAAGATGAGTGTACCGAACCAATTGGTTAATGATGAAAATCCGGTTCGGTATAGAGAGAGCAGCTTTAACGATTTTCTTGATTTTCTTGTCAGTAATGACATTTCTCAAGGGGATAGGTTCATTGACACTTTTATAATCAAGGACTGATCGAGTTTTAACACGTTGGCCAAGGGTTTAGTTAACGCGGTATATATATGCCACGGTCCATGTCCTTTTGCGTTTAACCTGCGTGATAACGTGGACATGTATACATATCAGAGACATGCGTGTTAAATTGTAATATCTGAAATATTATATGAATGGACGCATTTCCCCGATTTCCAAATTCGTTGAAATCAAAATAGCAGCTTAATCAAATTAAGAATAGTCTGTATACAGGCGTATAATCCAATATAACATATATGTCACAAATTTGTTAGAAATTTAGAAAGTGTTATTCATGATTGTGATTTTTTTTTTTCCTTTAGTGTGTCATATAGATTTTTTTTTTTTAACAGTCATTAATTAAAAGTTGTGGTCCCAAAGAGCTCGTTACAAACTAGGGGAAGATGAAAGGAAACTCTTATTAGCTATAGCATCTGTGAATTGGCTGATCTAGAGATGAAATTGAAAGAGATGATAGCAAATGACATCGCCAAGTTGAGGATATCGTGGAAGATTCCAAAAATCTCGGTGTCAAATAGATTTTATGTTGTTGATTAGGTAATAGACTTATCTATACACATTTCTAACTTAACCAACAAATTAATTCACCAAGAATAATAAATCAACGTGTGTAATAACAATAAAAAAAAATGTAAATATGTGTTTCTCCAGAGACGTAAAATAAGTGAGATTCATTCAAGAATTTGACAGAGTCATAGCTTCGATCCGAATTTACCAAAAAGTTAGGCTCTTATTTCGCTACCAATAAATATAATTTTTTCGATTTTAAAAGGATTTTTAGTAGCGAATTACATAAAAACCTATCGTCTAATTAAACAACAACACCCCCAAAACGTATTGTCTTTTAGCCTTAATCAGTTTTTCTTTTATAAAGAAGCTGATTTAAGTCCTTGACCATCAAGAACGGAGCAAACGCAAAAAAATGTACAGATCCGCCAGCTGGAACCGTGTGACTGAGGATTACTCAGTGCCTTGGTCTGCGCCAAAGGGTTTGTGGAAGGGACTAGACGAAGACGAACCATCTCCATATGATCCTAACGGACAGGAAGTGACCAAGAAAGAGAAGTCACGTGCCAAGTTCGCTGAAAACGCCGTTCACATAATCCCTTTTGTCCTTCTCGCTTGTGCTCTCGTCCTTTGGTTTTTCTCTAATCCGGGTATGAATTTTTTTTTTCTTTAAATATTAAATTACGGGAATTACTGTGTCTACAATTTTTTTCTCTAATGGTCTACAATTTTTTTTTTTTTTTTAATGCTGATTGTGTCATTGTGGATTGCACATATAGATGTGGATGTTGGGGTAAAAGAGGAATCGATGGCGGCTAGAATCAAAGGATTAACGATCGAAGGAGACATTGACAATGACAGCGACGGAACTCAGACCGGATTCTTAGGCGCCACCACAGAAGTCAGAGGTTTAGACAAGACGAAGCTTAAACACGACGTCAATAAGCGTCATCGGAGGATACAAACTTCAAGGAAAGTGGCGAAAGAATTTTATTAGTTTTCTATTTGTCAAACAGGAGTTTCTCTTCTCCATATTATTATTAGTTAACATTCAAAACGATTCTTGTTGCTATTTTATTTCCGCATTTAAAATCGAGATGTCATTTTTTGTTAACATTTTGATATAATTTTTCTCGACTATCTCTATAATGAAAACTGAAAGAGGTTTACAAAGATTTTTGATCATAATAATTAAAATTAAAAATTATAATCTTTGTAACCCCTTAAAACTGATATGTTTCACATGCGAATGCAAGGTTATTTATCTTACAGTTTGCAACTATTTAGATAAAGTTTTTTAAATTCCAAATGAATCCATAGCGGTACTTCGTCCTACAATTTGAAAGATCACTAGATCAGGCTTCAGAGTTTTAACATTTCCGATTTCAAAATCTATTGATAGTTAGCTATCGTATATGTTTTGAATGACTAAAATACCTAATTTCTTCATAGTTTTTGGAGTTACTTTTGATTTTGATTTTGATTTAAGCTCTCCGACGATAAAACAAAATACCTAATTTTGTCATAGTCAGCTGACAATTGTGTATGTATAGTAATTGACTTTATCATATAAAAAAAAAGAACATAGATCATTCCAAAACAGAAGATGTTGACATAGTTTTTGAACAAAACCGTCGGTTTATAATCTATGGACTAAAACAATAAAGTGATTGTAGGAAGAATAAAGTTATGCTACTTTTTGGTGGAATAAATAAGCTACATTCCGTAGGTACAATGTATCATTTCCTCCTTGGATTGATTTTTGGTTGTTTGTCGATATAACATTTACAAATGTAAAATAAAATCATGCAAGTGAAATCTTGGAAATTCAACAAAATATTTTCTCAATATTGCTACCAAACCTACTACAAAAGAGAAACGGCTGTCGAGGAAATAAAGGATCCGGCTCAACACGTGTGCCAGATGGAGCTCCTCACCTTTTTTATTATAAGTTCCTCTGATTATCATATACACGTGTGCCTTGACATGCAATTTTTACCACTCGTGTGTGTTTCTGATGGTTTTCACTCTTCACCTGAAAACGCCGCCGTTTCTGTGGACGTCTGTTAAGTGTTAACTTATCTCTCACGGATCAACACCATTATTAAATATCTAAATATTCAATTATTTCCCTTTTCCGTCTTTAAATATTCAGTTATCATCTTAACGAACGTTGATGCCAAATTTTGTACACTACGATGATATACACTTTGTTTATACTTTATATGAAGCTGCATTAAAAGCAAAACTTGAAATCATATGAGTTTATCTTTCATCCTCTTCCGTTGCCGTTAAGATATTTATCCACAGTATATATATGTCCGTGTTACATAAACTTAACTGTAACGTTTAATACATAGTTTTGGCATTTTTCATATCAGAAGTTTGTAGAGGGTAAAACTATTAAATATTCGACTTTTCATTTCGTTTTTCCGCCTATAAATTCCGTCTTTTGGTTTCCTAAATTTTAAATGTTTTTCCTAAGATGAAATCTCTATAGTTCCTCCTTTTCTAAACTAAAAATGCAATAGCCATTCATTCAATCATTGCGAGGAAAAAAAAAATGTTGAAAAGTGTAAATTCAATGGCATTTTACGATATCGGGGAGCAGCAATTCTCTACTTTAGGGTACATTGTAAGCAAACCTGTTAATGCAGGAGCGTACGAGACCGAACCTCCGATCCCGACCATCGACGATGCGATCTACGGCTCAGATGAGTTCCGCATGTACGCCTACAAGATCAAACGGTGTCCGAGGACTCGAAGCCACGACTGGACGGAATGTCCCTACGCCCACCGCGGCGAGAAAGCCACTCGCCGTGATCCTCGCCGTTACACTTACTGCGCCGTCGCATGCCCGGCGTTCCGGAACGGCGCATGTCACCGTGGAGACACCTGCGAGTTTGCACACGGGGTGTTCGAGTACTGGCTCCACCCGGCGCGTTACCGAACACGCGCCTGCAACGCCGGAAACTTGTGCCAGAGAAAAGTGTGTTTCTTCGCACATGCGCCTGAGCAGCTCCGGCAGTCTGAGGGAAAGCACAGGTGCCGGTACGCGTATAGACCGGTGAGGACGACAGCAGCGAGAGGCGATGGTGTGGGGATGAGATTGGAAGGTGAGGATTATGACACGTGGCGGTCTCCGGTGAAAAGCGGGAAAAGTGATTTAGATATAAACGAGGAGAGATTGTTGAAGTGTTGGAGTGGGATGAGCATTGTGGATGAGCCTTCCGATTTGGGTTTGGATTTGTCGCATATTGATTGGATCTCAGAGTTGGTCGATTAAACTGAGAGAAAACAAGAAAAAAGGAACCGATGAATAAAAGTGGATTTCATTATAATCCAATCGAGTCGATGATACAAGATGAAAGACATCTTGGCATGTATATGGTAAATCTTGTAATGATTACTTGAAATGTCTCAAAAAGAGTTATTTGTTGAAGCATGTTTACTGATTCTTGATCTTTTATAAGTCTTGTTATTATTCAACAAATTATCTGTTAGATCCTCTGACACACCAATCCTAACCGTTTTTTTTGTTTTCATCAAAATAATCGCATTTCCAGATTTAGCTTTAATTGATATTCTAACCACGTGATTTTGATAGAGTTTCAAAAGCGGAGAACACGAGACAAATTCTTAAGCAAGAAAACTAAGTTACAGCCACAACTAATTAGATCCAAAATAGTGTTTGTATTTCCAAAAGATGGAGTATTATTTTCAACTCTCTCTAGCTCTGTTTAAAATTGCGTAATTTTGTAGCCAACGGCCCAACAAGCCCAAGCGGATTTCGACCCAAAATATAAAGCATTTTTTTTTTTTTGATTTTTTTCTTTGGCTCTCAAGTCTCAACTCTCAAGCAAAACTTTACTACAAGATTACAAATCGTTAAATCCTTTCAAGACGAATGTAATTACGTGTTACCGCAATTACACTAACTTTTCCAAGAAACTTTGTATCAGTCTTTTTTTCCTTTGAGAATACATAAAACGTATTATGCAATTTATAATGCTACATGTTGGAACAGCTAGACCAATATCCTTTACTTTGGAGGTTTGCTTGCCGGTGCAGCTTCAGCCGCAGGTGCAGGTGCAGCTCCAGCCGCCGGTTCAGCTCCAGCAGCAGGTGCAGCTCCTCCCGCAGACGCACCGCCGATTTTGAACCAAGGCTGATTTTTCAACCAATCTAGGGTATTTCCGGAATTTCCATCCTTAGACCATGTAAATGCACCTCCAAGTGTACCTCCACCTGCTCCCGGTGCAGATCCTGATTGATCTCCGAACGTTCCAGAAATTGGTCTCCCTCCTAAGGTTCCTCCATATCCACCAGAAATCTTTAGCAAATTTCCGGAATTCTTAGACCATGTAAATGCACCTCCAAGTGTACCTCCACCTGCTCCTGGTGCAGATCCTGATTGATCTCCGAACGTTCCAGAAAATGTTCTCCCTCCTAAGGTTCCTCCATATCCACCAGAAATCTTTAGCAAATTCATCAATGGAGTTTGGGCTGACAGAGAAAACTTAGTTCCTTTCCCAGTCCTATCACACATACACACAAGATTGTATATATGTCAGACGTTTAAACGTGTGACTTCTAAATATTTATTTTATATAACATCCAACGCCTTGGCCAAATTAAGGCTAATATGTGCCGGTGCATGCAAATTGTGAATAGTAATAAAATTATAAATCTCGAGTTAATTCAATATAATTTGTTTAATTTTACCTAATGAGCCTCATGATGAGACTCAAGGCCGTCAATCCGAGGGTGGCACCGGCCGTGAGACCACTGGCAAGGACTGTAGTGGCTAGAGTGGCGGGTACGAGAATCGGACTGAATATGATGAAGATCGGTGTGGATACGATTAATGCTACTGCTGAACCGGCGAGTGTTAGACCGGACAAGGCTAAGAAGACTACAAAGGTCACGAAAGCAATAAAAATCCGAATAAAGTCCAACAATGGAATGAGAAAAGCGAACATTTTGAGACAAAAATGTTAAAACTTCGATGACTGAGAATGAGATTCGTTTTAAAGGAGTTCTTCGCTCATATGTTGAGATCGGATAGTTGTATTCTACATATGTTGAGATCGGATAGTTGCATTCTAATGGTAGGAAGAGATGGATTTTATGGATCAACGTACGATACATGCAAAGCGATGGGAGTAGATAGAGAGATCTGTGATACATTACGACACGTCACAATCCCTTTCCTTTTATTTGTGTGTGTGGGGTTTGTCATGTTTTTTGAGCCTTGTTTTATTTCTTGTGAAAGCTCAAACATTTTTATTGTCATGTGTTAGAATTATGTTTACGGTTGGAACACCCTAAACCAAGTTCTTTGAAGATATCGAAAGTGGCGATTCTTTGCAATCAGGATTCAAGATGAGAGATATCTTGGCATGCATATAGTAAACTGATTCTTGATCTTCTCTAAGTCTTGTTAATATATAATCAAGATCTTGATCGATAATTAAAAAAAAAAAAAACTTTTAGGTCAACAATCAAATTTCGAGATATAGCTTTAATTGGAATTCTAACCATGTGATTTTGATACAGCCGAGAACACGAGACGAAATTAGTTTTGTTTCAGCAAATTTCTTATTTACAAAACATGTATTATTTCAACCATCGGTCTGTTAAATTGCTTAATTTTGTAGCCAACAAGCCCAAGCCGATTTGCATGTTAACTAACAAAATTTCGACGACGTTTTGTATCAGTCTTTTTCTTTTATCATTATATGCAGAAACTTTATATACAAAGTATTATGCAATTTGTAACAGCTAGCCCAATGTCCTTTACGACGGGGGTGTACTTCCACCAGCCGGTGCGGCTCCTCCGGCAGGTGCAGCTCCTTCGGCAGGTGCAGTTCCACCAGCCGGTGCGGCTCCTCCAGCAGGTGTAGCTCCTTCCGGAGGTGCGGCTTCTCCGGCAGGTGCAGCTCCACCCATAGGTATATTTTTGAACCAAGGTTGATTTTTTAACCACTCTGGGATATTTCCGGAAAAGGATTTTCCATTCCAAGACCATGTAAATCCACCTCCTGGTTTACCTCCACCAGCAGGTGCAGCTCCACCCGCAGATTTATCTCCGAATGTTCCAGAAAATGTTTTCCCTCCAAAGGATCCTCCATATCCACCTGAAAACTTAAACAATCTCATCAATGGAGTTTGGGCTGATGGAGCGGACGAAGTTCCTTTGCCAGTCCTATCACACATACAAGTTTGTATTTATGTCAGACGTTTCTTATATACAAAAAGAAAATGTGTGTATTATATTCTTATTAATTAGGTTGAGAGCAAAAAGATGGAAAACAGGTTGTGAAGGAGTAGTAAATGATGATTTCAGTATAATTTGTTTAATATTACCTAACAAGCCTCATGATGAGACCCGAGGCCGGCACCGGCCGTGAGCCCACTGCCAAGAAATGTAGTGGCTATAGTGGCGGGTACGAGAATTGGACTGAATATGATGAAAATCGGTGTGGATACTATTAATACCACGGCTGAACCGGCGAGTGTTAGACCGGCAAAGGATAAGAAGACTACAAAGGTCACGAAAGCAATCAAAATCTTAATAGTGTCCAACAATGGGATGAGAAAAGTGAACATTTTCAGAAAAATGTTAATTTTTTGATGACTGAGAATGAAATTAGTTTTGAAGGATTTCTTCGCTCATGCATATGTTTTGTGTAGTCTACATACGATACAAGCATAGCGATCGGAGTAAATAGAGAGATCTTTGTTACAATACGTTACGTCACGTCACGTCACGTCACGTCACTATCGTTCCTTTCTTTTTTATTTGTTGGGTTTGTCATCACATATTTTGAGCCTTGTTTTATTTCTTGTAAAAGCTCAAACATATATTATGATGTTAGGATTATGTTTACGGAACACTCTAAACCAAGTTCTTTAAAAATATCCAAAGTGGTGATTCTCTGTGAGACTACGACAAAGGCCAGTAGCCCAGTTTGCTTGATTAGGCTCGATAAAGTCTTGCATTCGAATCTTTCTAAAACTCGTAAAAACGAGCTTTTAAAATGAGTTTCAAGATTCTGATGAGGTTTGTTAAATAGAGATTTGAGCTAATATATTAGCATTGGATATGGTCGTAGTGTCGTACTCGTACCAACGAAGGTAAATAGAGAAGCCATCAAAAACTTTGATCTCAAATTATGAAAATAATCTAAGTTGCAGATTATTACAAAGTCTTCAACATTTAATACGTTTGGGCCCAAGTAAATGCCCATGAAATAAGCTTAGGCCGGAGTGAAAGCCTATGTAATAAACGTAGGCCTGAATAAAAGGCCATATTAGTTTTGTAGCTAACGGCCCAACAAGCCCAACCCGATTTGTTAACTATAAAATTTCGACCCATTACAAGTTTACAACACCAATAAAGCCTCATATTTTTGTAGCTTCTCATTTCTCAACAGTTTCAAGTAAACTCTACTACAAATCGGTTAATCCTTTGAAGACGAATGCGATTAAGTGTTACCGCATTTACAGTATTTTTTCCAATAAACGTTGTGTCGGTCTTTTTATTTTATATTATCACTTATATGCAGAAACATTACATAAAACGTATTATGCAATTTATATATTCTACATGTTGAAACTGCTAGACCAATGTCCTTTACTTCGGAGGTTTGCTTCCTTGGTAACTTTCCAATTCCATCGATGGAGTTTCGGCTGACGGAGCGGCCTTAACTCCTTTCCCAGTCCTAACACACACACACACAAGTTTGTATATATGTTAAAAAATAAAATAAAATTGAAAACAGGTTGTGAAGGATATAAGAGTACTATTTGTTTAATACTATTACCTGACGAGCCTCATGATGAGACTCAAGGCCGTCAATCCGAGGCCGGCACCGGCCGTGAGCCCACTGCCAAGGAATGTAGTGGCTATAGTGGCGGGTACGAGAATCGGACTGAATACGATGAAAATCGGTGTGGATACGATTAATGCTACTGCTGAACCCGCGAGTGTTATACCGGAAAAGGCTAAGAAGACTACAAAGGTCACGAAAGCAATACAAATCCGAATAACGTTCAACAATGGAATGAGAAAAGCGAACATTTTGAGAAAAATTGTTAAATTTCGATGACTGAAAATGAGATTAGTTTTGAAGGAATTCTTCGCTCATGCATATGTTGAGATCGGATAGTTGTGTTCTAGTCGTGGGAAGAGATGGATTTATGGACTTTGTGTGGTCTAAGATACATGCAAAACGATGGGAGTAAATAGAGTGATCTGTGTTTCATTACGCCACGTCACATTCCCTTTCCTTTTATTTATGCGTGTGTGTGTGTGTTGTCATGTTTTTTGAGCCTTGTTTTATTCCTTGTAAAAGCTCAAACATTAATTGTCGTGTTAGAATTAATCTTTACATTTGGAACACCCCTAAACCAAGTGATTTGAAGATATCAAAACTGGCGGTTCTTTGTGAAAGTAGGATAAGGCCACTTTGCTCTTTCTAATCTCGTAAAAACTAGCTTTTCAATTTCGTTTCACGCTTCTGATGAGGTTTTTTAAGTGGAGATCTGAGCTAATATAATACTGTTGAATACGAGAATTAAGGCTGGTCCTATTCGATTTTATCAAGTATATATATCTCCCATATAATTTTGACGTTATACAAACATTGGAAGAATATGTGGTTTCGCGATTCCTCCACTTGGCTGCATAAAAGACAATCATGCCCACTGGTATTAACCCTAAATGCCACCCAACGGCAACACACTAAGGAGTGCTTAGAAATGTGACAAAGAACATACAGCCAAGAAATAGTGCACATCTTTTTTCCGCTGGATGGAGAGAGAGCAAGGTTTGAGATGAGGAAAATGTCGCTTGAGTTTCATCAACGCTGATTTTACAGGGATGTTTTTTTTTTCGTAACATATATTGCAATTTGTAATTCGTTGTAAATACATGCATGCGAGTATGCGACTAGCATTAACAGAGAAGATGCATATACGAGTATTATCAACGATTCAACGTTAAAAATGCCACATATACTGTATTCCAGCAGGTATTATTCCCTATAATTAAATTACATACAAACTCGACGACAGAAAGTTTGAACCGATCCTTTCAAGAAGAATGGAATTAAATTAAGTGTTACGACATTTATTTAACTTCTGTTTTTATATAAACATTGTAACATAACAGCCTTTCTTTCTGTTATATAAATATGATCATAATAAGCAGATTCAACATTTTACATATACAAACATAAATTGTTTTGAAAAGCCTTCTTTAGTATAGCTTCCCGGTCATAAAATTTACCTTGAATTAATACAAGACAATATATGCTAAATAATGGAAGAGCTCGACCAATGTCTTTTACTCCATGAATCTACCTCCACGACCTCCGCCCCTGCTTTTACGTCCACCCCTCGGTGAACTTCCACCTTCGGATGAACTTCCACCTAGAGGTGAACTTCCGCCGTGGGATGAACTTCCGCCTCCGCCCATGGGTGAACCTCCACCTCCGCTTGAACCTCCACCTCCGCTCATGGAGCCTCCCCCGTGGGATGAATCTCCACCTTCATCCGATGAACCTCCACCCCTGGATTTACTTTTCTTACTACGTCTACGAAATTTCTTTTCACGTTTACCTTCACCCGTGGATGAACCTCCACCTCCACCCCCGCTCATGGATGAGCCTCCCCCATGGGATGAATCTCCACCTTCATCGGATGAACCTCCACCCCTGGATTTACTTTTCTTACCACGTTTACTTTTTCTTTCACGTTTACCTTCACCCGTGGATGAACCTCCACCCTGGGATTTATCTTTACCCCTACGTTTACCTCTACCCCCGGATTTACCTTCTCCCATGGATCCACCTCCTTCTCCCATGGATCCACCTCCTTCACCTTTGGATTTACTTCCAAATGGGTTAAATTTCTTTATAAATTCTGGCACTTTGATTAGAGACAGGGTTGGCGGAGCTCCTCCTGCCCCAGATGCCGAAGCTCCTCCTCCTCCTCCTCCTCCTCCCCCTGCTCCAGTTGGCGGAGCTCCTGACGGAGGTGGATTATTCTTGGGCTTTACTCCCATCCTATGCCTACATGACACAAAGTGTGTTATATATATATTTAGGTCAGATATCAAATAAAATAAACTTGTACCATATTCTTTGAAACTACACTTAACAATTTTTTTTCAAACATGGAAAATACAACTAATTAATAGTTTAATTTTTATATAGAAGATAAATAAACAACAATGAGGTGTACTAATTAAAAGAACAAAAAAATATTTAGCATGTAAACAGAATGTTAGTGGGGAAAAAGAGAGAACTAAACAAGTTATGTTTTAGAAAAAGCTTTTTTTTCTTATAGGGTATATGGGGATTTCGGACCGAAGCTCATACTAATATATGTGTATGTATATGTGCACGAATGTGAATAATATATAATTAAGCATAAATCTCGAGTGATATCAAGATAAGTAGTTAAGTTTTACTTAATGAGCCATATGATGAGACCCAAGGCCGTCGCTCCAAGGCTGGCACCAGCGCCAAGTCCAGTGGCTAGGAGAGTAGTGGCTACAGTGGCGGGTACGAGAATCGGACTGAATATGATGAAAAGCGGTGTAGATACGGCGAATGCCACGGCTGAACCGGCGAGTGTTATAGCGGCGAAGCCTAAGAAGACTACGGAGGCCACGGAAGCAACGATCATCTTAATAACCTCCACAAGTGGGATTAGAAAAGCAAACATTCTTCCCTCTCTCATTGACTGAGTCTGAGCTTGCGCTCCTTGCGATCCTTGCGCTGCTTGGTTTCGAAAGATACTGGGAAGAAAACTAAACATTCTTCCCTCTCTCATTGACTGAGTCTGAGCTTGCGCTCCTTGCGATCCCTGCGCTGCTTCGTTTTGAAGGAGTCCTTCGCTCATGTTTTCTGATCGGATGGTTGTGGTTTGTTGATGTGAAGAGAGATGGCTTTTATGGAGGAGTGGTGGTCTACTACGTGCACGGTACACATTGGGTGCTCCATGCAAAACGATTGGACTCAATGGAGATTTATTTTACGTCACGTCACATTTGCTTTTCTTTAATTTTTGTCATGTTTTTGGGACCTTCTTTTCTTTCTTGTAAAATCCTAACTGTTTTCTTTGATCCTATAGCTTTATTAAAAATATCAAAGCGTGAAAAAGATTTTTTTTTGTTTGTTTGTTATAAGTCATATATGCAATTATACTGAGTAAAATGAGTAAACTGATTGCTAGATTAAGGGATCTGTTGATCTAGCTAGTCTCTGTCTATCTGTGTCTAAGCTAGGAATTAAAAAGCTTAATTAGTGTTGGTAATCGTTGGGATTGTTTAGAGCGTTTGATGAAGAATGTGAAGTCGAGTCACTTGCAGGCAATGAGTTTCAGTTACTTAAAGAGGGTAGGTTCATAAATCATAATTAACCAGGATTTGTTAGCTATAGAGGACATGGTATTGGTATTTTCAGTTCGAAAGTTGTCAAGAACAAACGAGATGCAAGATTAAAAGTTGAAAGTTAATTTTTGCTATAAAATGAAAATTATAGGTTTAAATTGTACTTTGTAAGCAAATTATAGCGAAATTTGTTCAAGCATAAAGTTATTAGAAAAGACAGTTCTTTTTTGGGGGAAACTATTATTTTACGGCATTTTTGAGACTTCCCCTCCCCCCAAAAAAAAGGTCTGAGCTAGGTTTAAATGGAAGAAACAACAATTTTAATGTCACAAGATTCAATAATTCACGTAGGTATATACCGAATTGCTTTGGTTAATTTGGACCAAATCTCATTCGTCTACGCTAATATCGATGATAGTGATATACTGCATCATCTAATTTACAATGAAAATTTCGTGCGTTGATTTCTCGTTTCTTTGTAACATGTACATTATAAAAATGGTAGTTGAAATATGTAGTTTCTTCGACGGAGAAAATATAATTACTAAATAAAGGCTGGATAAATTAGGTCTAACTTATGGAACCCAATGAATTGGTTTGAATCTGCCACATTCAGCGATACATCGGTGGCTTTTTCTTTCCGGCTGGTTTATCTGCTGACCCTCCAATTGGTTTGCCTGCTGGCCCTCCACTCGGTTTATCTGTTGGTCCTCCAGCTGGTTTGTCTGTGGGCCCTCCGGCCGGTTTATCTGTTGGTCCTCCTGCCGGTTTGTCAGTTGGTCCTCCGGGTGGTTTATCTGCAGAGCCACCAGCTGGCATTTCTGGCGGTTTATCTGCTGACCCTCCAGCTGATCCTCCAGCTGCTGCTCCGGTTGGTGGAGCTCCTTGGGGAGGTGGATTATCCTTCGGTTTTACTCCCATCCTATGCCTGCATGCATCACACACACACACAAGTGTGTTTATATGTAAACATCTTTGTACTACATTTTAAATTTTTAATTACCTTCACGATTTTCATTGATATTTAATTTGATCAAAAGTAAACTAAAAAAAATATTGACTGAGATTGAAATCGTTATGTAGGAATTGAGTATGTGCTATCGGATATTGAGTTATATCAATATTAAAAAAAAAAAATGTTGAAGTTTAATTTACTTTATACAGAAATTAGGGTTTGTTTAAGCATAGAATATAAAGGGTTTGTTAAAATTTTACTTAAGGAGCCAAATTATGAGAGCAACCGCCGTCACTCCGAAGAGGGCACCGGCCGAGACATTGGTGGCTAGGAGAGTGGTAGCTATAGTTGCTGGTACGAGAACCGGACTGAATATAAGAAAAATTGGTGTGGCTACGATTAATGCCACGACTGAGCCGGCGAGGGTTAACCCCGCGAACGCGAACAAGACCGCAGATGCAACGGAAGCAATAACCAACTGAAAAACCTGAACGATGGGGACAAAACAAGAGAGCATTTTGGGATGAATGTTTAGATTTCGACAGCTGAGATTTGGTTTCAGGGGAAACTATTTGTTTGTTATAGTTTTGAAGGAGTACTTGGCTCCAACTTTGTTATGATCGGATGGTTGTGTTTTGGTGATATCCGGGAGAGAGACGGGTTTTTATGAAGGAGTGAGATTTGCGTGCACTGTATGGTACACTACAACAAATTCATGCTTCCACATTATGTGAGTAAATAGAGATCAACGTTACGTCACGGCACATTTGCTTCTCCTTATTTTGTCTGGGTCGTCATGTATCTTGGGCTTTTTTCTATTTACATGCTCTAAAAATTTAACGCGTAAATCAGGATCCACAGTCGTCTACATTTGCGAGATAATTATGTGAGAAAGACTCGTATTACATCGCACTCGAGAGCTATTCCTCTACAGTTTCAATCACTTTACCCATTTGGCTCAAACAATTTGAAACAACTCAAGCCTGGGCATATAAATATAGGTTCACCAAATTCTAAAACTCCTCTTTAGTTCTTCCATAAATTTTGTGATTAGATCAGAAGGTAAAACCCACTCATGTGTAAAGTTTCATTTAATCAATTAGACGATAAAACTAACGATTCAACAAAAAAAGAAACTCAAATTATTTCTTAAGCTTCATTGCTTTATGATATGATAAAGGCGTGAAGAAAGGCTTTGTTATTAGCCATATACAGTTACCAAGCTACATGATTAAGTTGCTGGTGATTTTGATTTATATTACATGATTGAAATTAAAGGTTAACGTTGTTGGTATTTGGTACTAGTGTCTGTGCTGTCACACTTATCCGAGCGCTGTAGGTGTAGGTTGGTTTCCTTAAACATAGTAAGTTTCAAGGTCGCATTGATATCACTTCATTTAGAATTACAACACAAATAAGTACATCTGTTACAATCTCGTAACACTATCAATAGAATGATAAATAAAATATTTAGTTTCATCCGCGCGTAAATTGGTATTTTATTGAAGAGAGGATGAATAAATTTTTAATTTATCATCAATCATAATGTACACCATCCCATATTAAGAAAGGCCTACTCCCATTTATTCCCAGAATCCGCTGGCTTAGACTTCGGAGCCCCCGGGGTCAATCCCGGAATTTTTGGCGGTTCCTTCCCCGTATATTTCCTGTAAATATATTTGAATTTTTTTTTAACTTTAAAATATTTGAAGTTCAGAATTAATATAGCGAAAAACAGCCTCAGGAACACTCGATTAGCATCTAATATAATATGTTACAGAATAATTTAATCTTGAAGTGTTTCAATGATACAAGTTTACAGGTGAACACTAATAGACCAAATTTCGGGTGGCTTTCTATAAAAAGGTTTTGTTCAATTCACCTGTAGAGCCACATTAAGATGCTGAGAGCCGTGGCAGCGGAGGAGCCAGAGGCCGTGAAACCCGAGGCTAGCACAGTGGTGGCTATAGTTGCTGGCACGAGAATTGGACTGAAAATGACAAAAAGCGGTGTGCTTACGGCGAATGCCACAGCTGAGCCGCCAAGAGTTATTCCGGCAAATAACAAGAGAGCTAATGCAGTCCCGGCGGTGGAAACCGCCCGAAGAATCTCAAACATTGGGATGAAATGATAAAACCTCGACGGCTGAGATTTGTGATTGAATGGCTGTGGTTTTGGTGTTGGGAAGAGAGGGGGATTTTATGAAGGAACATGTGGAAGTCTACGTGAACGGTACGGTACACATTCATGCTTCCATGCAAAACGAAGTGATTACTAAATGGAGATCTAGGTTACGTCACGCCACATTTGTTTTGTTTTGTTTCTTGTACTGTTGTGTGTACGTGTTTATGATCATGTTTCTTTGGCCGTTTCCCTGTTATCTTTTCTTGCTTTCGTATCACTAATTCATAGTGGTTTATTGTTTGGCTGATTTATATTATGGCTCGAAGACTGGATCTAGTCCTTATTATAGTTGACTAATAAACGTCATAAAACACGGTAAATAGTAAAAATGTATAGGTACCAAAAATTAATATGGACTTTTTGTGAGAAAGAGCTAGCTAGAATCAATATGAAGTTCGGTTCAAGATACTTAACACATCTAGGAAACATGATGGAACCACTTAATGAGAGGGAGGAGATATATGCAAAGCATTATTAAATTATATAAAATCAAACTTCTTTTTATATTTTAAAGAAAAATTAAAATACATTTTATATTACCATTATTTCAGATTATATATAGCATGGAAATATTTCAGAAATCGGTTGCTACAAAGATATTAATTTGGGTTTATAGTTTTAAAAGATAATGGTAGAGACAAAGTCGCATGGTACAGGAAGTTGCAAATAGTCATCTATGGCTCAACGATTTCACTTCATTTTTAAAATATACAACACAAACGAGTACATTCATCATAATTTCGGAACACGATATACATCAACGATCGATATTTGAAACATTTAGTTTCACCCTCGCGTAATTAGTATTTTAGATAAGAGAGGATGGATAAAATATGGTTTTATTTAAGGAACCGCAATAATCAAGTTCCTCCATATATCCATCCCATATTGTGAAAGGCCTAGTCGTCCTTCCCTTTCCCTCCAGCCGCTGGATTCTTCGGGGTCAATCCAGGAATTTTTGGCGGGTCCTTCCCCGTATAACGCCTGCACACAAACGTATATATATAATCAGAAATTAAATATGACCCATAAAACCATATCCTTGTATAACTGATACGTTGAATCTCGTTGATGTATATTGTACTTATAACCGGCCGTTCATATAAATAAGTAAATTTCCACGTAGATGCATATGCTTAACGCCTCATTTGAATGTAAATAGAGCAAATTGCGAAAGGTTTTGATTTGTTTGACTTACTTGTAGAGCCACATGAAGATGGTCATAGCCATGGCACCTAAAGAGCCCGAGGCCGTGAAACCCGTAGCTAGCACAGTGGTGGCTATAGTTGCTGGCACGAGAATGGGACTGAATATGACAAAAAGCGGTGTGCTTACGACGAATGCCACGGCTGCGCCGCCGAGGGTTATACCGGCAAATATCAAGAGAGCTAATGCAGTCCCGGCGGTGGAAATCGCTTGAAGAATCTCAAACATTTTTGGGATGAAATGTACAAATCTCAACGTGAATGGTTGTGGTTGGAAGAGAGGGGGATTTTATGAAGGGTTTGTGGAAGTCTACGTGCACGGTACGGAACACATTCCTGCTTCCATGCAAAACGATGTGATGAGTACTATACGGAGATCTACGTTACGTCACGCGACATTTTGTTAGTCTATGTTATGATCATGTGTTTTTGGTTGTTTTTCTTTTCTTTCTTTCGTATCCCTAATTAAAACAAATTATATAATAAACATATACTAGTCCATATTGATCCAATAGTTGAATGATTTATTTTATGGTTGAAAGATAAGGATTAGAGTCCTATAGCTGAAAAAAAACTAGGTTCCGAAAATTAGTTCAAGAATGGTCTGCGTGCACACGTACTTTGCCCCCATGCGAAACGGTGCGAGTAAATGTTGAGCTATATGTCACTTTTTTTCTGGGGTCTGACATACCTCTACCTTCTTCCTCGCCTTCTTGTAAACAAAATTGGGCATTTGGTTTGCTAATTGTCAACAAAGACGTTGTTTCAAATGGGTCACAATTAGTAGTGGGCCAATTTTTTAATGATTCCTTGGGACGATAGATTATCTAATTTGATAACGTTTGTAAAAACAAGACCTTCAATAATATAGTTGATGCGTTCTTGCGTCAAATCTCAAATATTCATGTAAGGTTAACATCACTTTGTTTCTAAAAGGCTATACAATAAAAATGCTTACATTTGTTATTCTTTTGTGCCATGATATACACCAATAATAGAATGATAGTTGAAAATTTTAATTCCATCACCACGCAATAATTAGTGTTTATTAAAAAAACGTTGGATTAATAAAGATTTAATTTGTAGAATCCCAATAACTATATTTCCATATCATCCTTTGCCGATGTCCATAGCTTCTTTTTTATCAGCCTGCCTTTTTAGCTGCCGGTTTGGCTGCCGGTTTAGCGGCCGGTTTAGCTGCTGGTTTACTTGCCGCTGCCGCTGGCGCACCACCACCCCCTGAACCTCCACCTGACGCACCACCACCCCCTGAAGCACCACCCCCTGACGCACTACCCCCCCCTGAACCTCCACCTGCAGGAGGCGTCAACCCTGGTATTTTTGGCGGCTCTTTACCCGTGAGTTGCCTATACACAGTTGAATACGTCGTGTGGTTAGCAAAAATCATGGTTTCATATTTTAACGGCTCCTAACTGTCCACCACCATCAAGCAACTTTCTAATTTGTACGAGACTATAAACTTAATATATGATGATGCATATAATTATATAAACGTATACAACCATGCACGCATCTTAAGTTCTAAGCAAATAGATAAAGATTCCCAATGGTAAATACAAGAGTGATAAATTGGATGAAATGGAATTTGTTTTCATAAATAATAGAATAAATGAAGAGATTCAAGGGGAATATAATATGGATGAATAATTTATTTGATCAGATTTTACTAATGTCTACAAGTGAAACATTCTACTAATGTCTATCAGATTTTCTAAAATATTTTGTGACGTGCATGATGATGATAACAAAAAAAGGAATATTTTGTTAGAGTTATTTACTTGTAGAGCCACATGAGGATGGTGATAGCCGTCATACCGGAGCCTCCAGAGGCCGCTAAACCCGTAACCACCAACGCAGTGGTAATACCCGCTGGTACGAGAACCGGACTGAATATGAGGAATAGCGGCGTGGTGGCGATGAATGCCACGGCCGTGCCAGCGAGGGATAGACCGGCAAGCAACAAGAGGAAGATTGCGGATTGGGTAGCTAAAAACGCCGTTATAACATCCTTCATTGTCGGCCTTGGTCTTCTCTCCTCTTTCTTCTTCTTGAAAAACACCATTCTCACTATTCTGAGTGGCAACGTTATCACACAAAAGAATATTTTTAATGGCAAGAGGAGAGGGTTCATGCTTGTTTGATCCGATGGCTGTGGGGTTTTATGAAGGAGAGTTGGTTCATATCAATAGACAGTGGTGTGGTCTACGTACACGGCACGTGCTTAGCCCCCATGCGAAACGATATTCGAGTGAATGTTGAGCTCTACGTCACGTGAACGCCTCCTCCCTTTTTTTTTTTGGTTTTGTCACATCTTTTTTGCCCATTTTCTTTTTTCCTCGCTTGCTTGTAAAATAGGAGTGAGCTTAGTTAGTTTACCTTTAAATTCGGTTTGGGTTTGGATTGGTTTAGTTGTTTACTTTTAGTTAAAACATGATTGTATAACCAAAGTTGATTTACTACCTAATGAGTTTGGTTTGACAAGAATTTGTTTTAGGCCCATAACTGTCATATTTTGTTCAAAAATAGGCCAATTTTTAATACACTAATTTCTTAATTTGAAGTTGTGCCCTGGGCCCTTGCCCTCATCGCCCTAAGCTGGGCCTTTGTGCCGAATCACTAAACAAAGCTGTGCATTTAATATAAGTGGCAGGTTCAGTACATGTATTATATCAAGTTACTAACCACTAAAAACCAACAGATTCGGTAACCATATTCAATTATGATGATATAAGTGACCAATGCAACCAATATTGGATGATGGCGCAAATAGGATAATACAAATTTAATCATATATATATGCTAATATAATTAATTTATATATGAAAAAGAGGATGGATTAGCTTTAATTATTGTGGAGCCCTACAGATTATTGAAAAAATATCCACAAAAACAAGTTGCTTCGAATCATTTGGCACCAGGAGAGGCCTACCAGGAAAACAACTTGATTGAGCTGTCTTTCTCTTTAGAAATTTATACATGATGAAAGCTTTGATCATAATACGGCATTATACTGTCTTTGTCAAAATGTTAAATATAGTTTTATTCAGGTAAGAATGCAATCTCAAATACTTTGTCCTTGTTAAAAAACCTTCATATTCCCAGAGAAAGATCACAAACACAAAAAGAGTAAATAGTTAGCTGCAGTTAGATTTCGATTTCTGATTGGACTGCTTCTTTGACATATCTTCATCCTCCAAAGAAAATTTGATGTGAAAACAAAAGAAATGACTTATCTTTGAATAAGAAAATTCAAAAAGGGATATAAAGCGACGTTAGAAAATAATAATAGTATGCAGTGCCGTTGAGAATCAAATGGTTTTTAGCAGTCAGCATCAGAGGTAAACGACAAGTTGGGCATAAATGATGAGAAGCTTCATTCTTAGAACCAAAATGTAAAAAAAAAAAAAGTTTAGTTTGATTACAGTTTTTCGTGTGAAATGTCACGTCCACGCAACCACTTGTTGAAGGGTCCTTACAAAAAGTTCGACGTTGTCTTCATAAATTTTTGTATTAAATGATAAAGACTTATGACCCCATCCATAAAACCACTAACAGAGCGACAAAACCACAAGACTTCCTGTCCCTACCTCCATCCATGGCTGCCAAAACATTGTGATCATCTTCTTTCTTGTTTCCTTTTCTTTCCCTTTTGTATAAAGATACCAAAAGATCAAACCTTTTGTTCAAACAAGATCTCTTTCTCAGTTTCTCTCTTTCACTCTCTCATCTGAGAAAAACAAAATGAAGACTTTTGAGGAAAGCTCTGAGTTGGATGCTATACAGAAGCATTTGCTTGAAGACTTCATCGTTTCTGATGGTTTCATGGGTGATTTTGACTTTGATGCTTCTTTTGTTTCAGGACTTTTGTGTGTAGAACCTCAGGTTCCTAAACAAGAACCTGATTCGCTGGTTCTTGATCCGGATTCGTTCGTCAAAGAGTTTCTACAAGTGGAAAAAACAGAACCATCATCATCATCATCATCGTCGTCGTCGTCAAGACCTGGAGTTTCAGAGCTGAATTCACCATCAAATGAGACTGATGAGAGTGTCTTGACCTTCGAAAACGCAAAGAGGTTTGAAGAACCAATCAGGCATTACAGAGGAGTGAGAAGAAGGCCGTGGGGGAAATTTGCCGCAGAGATTCGGGATCCGGCGAAGAAAGGATCAAGGATCTGGCTAGGAACATTTGAGAGTGATGTTGACGCTGCAAGAGCCTATGACTGTGCAGCCTTCAAGCTCAGGGGAAGAAAAGCCGTTCTCAACTTCCCTCTCGACGCTGGCAAATATGAAGCTCCGGCGAATTCAGGACGGAAAAGGAAGAGAAGTGATGTGCATGAGGAGCTTCAAAGAAGTCAGAGCAATTCATCGTCATCATCGTCAAGTGATGGAGAAACGACCTGTGAGTGATGCATTGTAACATGTAAGAGTGTGAGAAGTTTCATTGTATAAGTTAAATGTACAGAGAAAGTGAAGTGTAGGTTAGTGTGTTTAGGAACTCTTGCAACCGATATGTATGGATGTTCTGTTTCTTTCATGTCCTAAAAACCCTTAGGTTTAGAAATAAGTTATTGTTTTCAAGAAATTTCTCTCAAGATCTTAAGCTTCAGATATTGTAATGCCCGATGAGTCAATGGTTAAGAATCAATCAAGGTCTCAATCTCCCACATAAAAACTTCACTGAAACAGATTGAGAACAAGTGAGTGTGCCTAATATGTTCACAAAAGAGGAGAAAGGGGAGTGAATCAAGAAAGAACAAGTTGCATGAGGGACCATTTTTAAGAATGTAGGAGCAAATGTTTTGTCTCACAGGTTAGGTAAATGTCAACAATCATTGATAAAGGAAATGGACCACAAGCTACAGAGGCTTCACAAAGAGAGATACCACAACTTGCAGTAGAGAAGAGATATTTATCTAAATATCTAATTCTCCTTGTTGACAATGAAATTTTGAGTATTACTAGTGACAAACCATTCTGGATAAGCTTCTTTTATACATTGAAAATAGTTAACAATCACTAGTCACAGTCGCAGAAAAAATAACACTCCTAACACTGAAAGTCACACACAAGGCTGTAACTTTTACAAAGAAACACATAAGAGATCCTCAGTCATCATCAGAGCTGTAGTCGCTGGACTCAGGCAGAGGCGGGACAGTGGCACAGCAGAAGGCGTCTTTGTCTTTGAGAAGGAGACAGCTTCCATCAATGTTCCATTTGAGGTCAGTTATGGAGAAGTCTGGGAGGGGATTGCATACACAGAAGGCACCCGAGGGAGTCCACATGTAGAGGTGAGAGCTTCCGGTGCATAGAAGGAGTCTGGTGCAGGTGGGGTCCCAAACAGCGGCTCGGATAGGTTCTTTCTGGACCAGGATGGCTGCAACCTCGAGGCGTTGCATGTCCCATATCCATAAGGCAGTGGGCATACTGTCGTTCCGTGTGCATATGTACTGGCTATCTTTGCTCCACGCCAGAAGGCCTGATAACATTTTGAAAAGAATTTAGCTTTTGGAAGTCAAATACAAGATGGACAGTTTCCGAGATCCGAATGCAGTTTCTAAGGTTGTGTTTCGTTGAAGAAGAAAGAGCTTACCAACTCCTTGTTTTGGGTTAGGCTTGTCTGCAAGAGGTTTCTGGAAAGGAAAAGCTACAGGTAGTTCCATGACTTCATACCTGACACTTATAAAACCTTCCGGAGCATCTGTACACAGAACAAACAAGAAAGCAAGAAATGATTGAAGCTGTATTTTGTAACGTTTACAAAGAAGGAGAGGTTTGGAACCGTGGTTACCATAATTGCTTGGCATAAAGTTGTCATCCAACGATAACTCAGACATATCGAGCTGCAAGGGTTCATCGATTTCCTAGAAAATATAATGACCAACAGGTTAGATACAAGCCTGAGTTTACTATCAGCATTTGTCCTGCTGTTGAATGGAAAGGAACTTACCTTGAAAATAGCAGCACAACAGGGCGCACGAACCGTTGATAGGTGTAGAAACTCAGCGAATGTTTTCCAAGTAAGGTGATTCAGTACCCGCAACATCTGATCATAGCTACCAATAGCAAGAAACTGACCACATGGAGACCACGAAACAGTCTTCACACCAAGTCCACATTCATATGCCTGATACTTAAACAGACACCTACCATCTGGAGAATAGATTAGCACCTGCCCAAAACGTCATACAAACTTTAGAGATATTCTCATTCCCACGAACCAGATAACAAACTATCTGTTTCTCAAGATTCAAAACGATACATACCTTATATTCGAGAGGCGAATCCCAGACTACAATAGAACTATCATCAGGTGACCACTCAAGATCAGCCAAGTCCAAGGTGTCAACAGCGAAGCTACCCATTATTTCCCAAGACTGACAAGACAAGAGGTTCACATAGTCCTTGCAGTCACGCCGTGTGCATATTGCTGCAAACTTCCCATCTTTATTGAATGAAACCCCTTTCGAGCCATGCTTCGGCCACTGAACGTGAACACACGCCGTGTTCAAAAGCGACCACACCGTTAACCTTAGCTGAAACTCCGACGTCGTGAGGATATGGCGGCTATCCGGGCTCCACCTGGCGTATGAAATACCAGCAGGACCTTCATCAATCTTGCAAGTCCATTCTGGCTGTGTCAATGACCATGCTTGAATCATGGGTTTTTTGTAGAGACCACAGAGAATGTATTCAGAATCAAGTGCCCATTCTATGTAGCTTATTTTATCTAAGCAAGAGAACAATTGTACAACCTGCATTCACATTCATCACAGATTCATTGGAGATTAGTAAGTAGATCCAAAAACTTTCATCTCAGATTCCAATTTTCCAAAACAAAATTAGCAGAATCAAGTTGCTAGTACCCAGTTTGAGTACAAGATCTACTTGCATTTGAACATTATAAGGAAAAGGAAAGTTTTTAAGATCTAAAATCTTCTAGCAAAAATTGCCATTCTTCTACCTCCGATTACTCAGGGAAATAAAGGGTTTTAGGTGAAAAGCTACAAAATCGAACTAGTTTCTTACCTGAAACGAAAACGTATCGCGGATCACGAGACGGTAGTCATTGGCGACGGCGACGTAACGAGAGTTTGGGGAGAAGCAGCAAGGACCTGTCTGCTTGTAAGCCTCTGTGAACTCCATATTTGACAGTATGGGCAAATCGATTCTGCAACAGATTCCCCAGAAGAGAAGAATCAATGCCTAAGATCTTCGATAAACTTAAGCTCCTCGATTCACAGTACTGCGAGGAGCCACGGATATCGTCGCCCAGAGAGAAAAGAAAAAAATTCAAAAATTAAAATGAAGGAGAGATCCGAGGAAGCTAGTCGGGTTCACAGTTGGGTGGGCTGAATATTACTCCGGGTCACTGGAATATGACAATATTACCCTTATTCAATGAACGTCGTGCAGTTCGTAACACCTGTAACAGCACATCGTGTCGTTTTGTCTATAACAGTTCGGTAAATTTCTGTTTGAACAACAGACCTCAGAAGTTGCCCGGGAAAAACAACAGAAAGCACAATTTTGACTGTTCTTAAGAGAAACTTGAATAGAAACTTGGAACAGGTCAAAGTCAACAAAACTCAAAGAGTAGTTGATAAGCAAAACTTAACAAAAAGCTTCCTCCGCAATCTTCTTGACAGAAAAATATAAAAAAAAAACAGAACACGCTCTATATAACTCAACACCAGAATCTCTCGCCTCTTCAGTCTTCACTCCTTTTAACAAACTTCTTCAAAAACACTCTCTACCAATGTCTTCTCGTTCAAGAACGAGAACAATAGCTCCAAGATCAGCGAGAGGCCACAGAAATGTCAGATTCTCTTCTTCATCGGCTGAGATTGTGGCAGATCTCGACGATGTCTTGCTTCAGATTCTCTCATTCCTTCCAGTCAAAACTCTTCTAAGATCCAAACGCGTATCAAAACGCTGGCTTTCGCTCATCACAAATCCCGATTTCTCCAACCGTTTCATCAAGTCCAAGCATCCCCTTCCCATCTCTGGCTTTTTCTTGCAGGGAACAAGAGGCACCGAGTACAGATTTGTCTCTTTAGATGATGATGATGTGGCAAGTAACGAACGGGTTTCGTTATCGTTACCGCTTCGGTTTGCAGATCATCCAGCTGGAATGATCATAATGCAATCAACCAACGGTCTTCTCCTCTGCAAATGCTCTTGTTCTTCACAACAATTTAACACAAATTACTACGTTTACAATCCTGTAACGAAACAGAACACTCTTCTCTGTCATCGGTGTTGTGAAAGAAGAGATTGACGCTGAATCATACATCTTGCTTCACATTCCAAACAAGATTCTATGGTTTCGACATTGATGCTCCTGAACATGAGTCTTACGGATTCCGAAGTTGTTTCCAATTCACCAAGTCTCTTGCTAACGCCTAACAATCTAAGCAATCTCTCTGTTCTCTCTGCAAATGCAATTGTTCTTTCTAACATTTCCGGATCTCTTCGAGTTTCCTCAAGACATGCTTCATGTTTGGCCTAAGAGAAGGCGAAGGAGAGCAACAAGACATTGCAAGCTGGAAATACTTTAGGACACATTCTTCACTCAGATTATTATCGTCACTCCTGAGGATCTCAGGACGGTATAAATCAGATAACCTATGGTCAAGAACAGCATTCCTCATGAAATCAGGAAGGTAGAACTCATCGTCTCCAGTTGGATTCTCGTTTATCGGTTCTTTACCGGAGACTAGCTCAAGCATGATCACGCCGAGACTGTACACGTCACTCTCTTTGCTCACTTCTTTCATCTTTATCAGCTCAGGGGCTTTGTATCCCTCGGCTGCAGAAACATCGAGAATCTCTTGTCCTGCACTTAGGTTCAAGAGCAAATGCAAACCGAAATCAGAGACTTGAGGTGCGAAACTCGGCTTCAGGAGAAGAACGTTCTTGGATTTCAGATTGCCGTGGACGATTGGTTTCTTCATTCCTGTGTGGAGATGATCAAGAGCTTTGGATATTCCAGTTGTGATGCTTATAATGTTGCTCCATTTTATAGACTCATCATCTCCACCTGCCAAAAAACAGAATGTTTATGTTCTTGAGATCATTTTTTCTCAAGCTACGTTCTTACTGAAACAGTACCGACAAAAGACGAAAGATATCTATGATCCAGCCAGCTACTGTATTAATACAAAGCTTACAGAAATACTAATATTTAAGACAAACAAATGAAAACTAAATTAAATGTCCAGCTACTAAGGTTAATTCCAGCTGTTTATTTCTCTTTCGTGTATAATGGTAGTATGTATTTATTTATAATTTCCTAAGGCAAATCAGGATATCATATCATGGGAACCGTAAACTTTTCCTCCGATGCTTGTATGAGTTTAAAGGTTTATTTTTTCCCGGAAAACAGAATCTCAGGGAAACCCCAAAAACAAGTGACCCCGAGATTCTTCCATGGGGTAAAGAAGAAAAAAGGCGACTCGAAAAAGCTAAAATTCTTTACTTTCTGTCGGAAAAAGAAAAAAAAAAAGCTACTATTTTTCTAGAAAAAACAGAGGAAAAAAAAACAGAGACTTACTTCTGATGAAGTCAGAAAGATTCCCGGAACCGAAGAAAGGATGAACCATAAGCTTCTCTCCTCTGTTTCCGGCGTAGAAACCTAACAGAGGAACCAAGTTCTCATGGCGAACAAACCCAAGCATCTCGATGACGCCATTAAACTCCTTTGAATCCGATCTCACTGTACAAACCGGCCGGAGAAATCTAAGAACCCTAATTTTCCCGCTCCGTTGCAACGACGCCTTGTACAGAGTGCCGTAGCTTGATTTTCCGATGACTTCTCCGGGAGCATCGAGGATATCGCAGATCGTGAGATCTTCGCCGCCGTGAAATGTGACGAGTTCCTCTGTCTCCGAGGAGGAGAATCCCTGTTTGTCATTGTCGGACGATTCGACGTCGTATTGATCTGATTCAGTTGATGACTGTGTTCTTCTGCATAAGATGAAGAATACGATGAAGATGACTACAATCGTTAATGCTGATAAAGAGACTCCGAGGAACAGAGTTAAAAATTGGGTTTTTCTCATCTCATGGAAATTTTTGATTTTTGTTTTTGGTTTCTTTAAATTTCTGAGATGGAAGATGTGGAATCTGGGTCTTATGAAAATGGGGTAATGTGTTAATAAATGAGAAATGTATGATTAGACGATACTTGGTGGAATTTGCAGGAAAATATTCTGAGAGGAAAGGAAAATGGAAACTGTGGAATTTATTGTTCAGAGTGACAGAGAGAGAGAGAGAAAGAGAGAGATTGATGGTGATGGGAGATGAAGTTGATACTATTTAATTTCAGAGGACAGATCTAGAATATCTTTACATCTCGTTGTACCAATGTTGACTTTACGGTTTCGTTAGATTGTAATGGTAAGTGTATATACTGTACATATATTATATATATGCATAATATCATTTATTACCAATTTACACTAAAACATATCCTCCCAAGTCCCAAAATCTCAACTAATTACGATGACCTAATAATTTCTCAAATATTGATTTTTTCTTACACACGGTATCCTATAAAACTTTTGTTCTCTAGGGTTGTCGGGGTGGTTTTACACACACTACAAACAAATTTGATAAAAAGTGAGCATGTTACTCTTTCAACTAACATGCTTTTTCAATAATCAACTTTAAAAAATATACAAACCAGTTTCGAATGAATTAGTGTTAGGAGAAACAAAAATGTAGACTTAAAAATTGATACCACAAGTGCCGCGTTAGTTTCTTCCAAGGTAAATACATGAGCGACCGTGGTAATTAATTACAATGATCTTAAGAAAAAATGAAAGACCGTTGAAAGTGGTGATGATAATTAAATGTTGGGTTTGACTAGTGATGGTGGTTGAAGTGCGTGGGGTACGTCTTTAGATCTCTGATTGGGAGTTTTCTCCGGCAAGTTTAGTTGTATTACAATTCATTAATGCAAACGTCACGAATTTAGTGCGGAAGAAGACGGATTTAAGTGGATTTTCCTTCAATATCAATACTATTGAGACAAATATTATTACTTTCTCTGTTTCAAATTAGTTGTCGTTTTGGCAAAATGTATATGCAAATACTTGGATGTATCTGGACGTGTTTTGCATTGCAGATACGTCCAAATATTTGCAGATACATTTTGCCAAAAAGACAACTAATTTGAAACGGAGGGAATAGTATTTAGTTGATAGTCGGTATGGATTCGCATGGGCAAAGTAATTGGAAAGCTATGCAAGTATTTGGTTTTTAGAATGATAATCTGTAAACTATAGAGATTCACATTGCTAACTAATTAGATTCGATGCAATCTATTCATTTATGTTTACGTAAAACATAGGATACGTAAATAAGTATGATTGTGTTTCGAGGAACTAATGAAGATAAAAATTGTCGAGATTCGACCGTCGACATCACGATTAGTCCACTTTAACAAAAGATAGACATCACAATTAATCTTTTTGTTAGCTGTAAGCTTGTCTTGAAATTCCTTAATTAGACGCACCGAATATGAAAGTTTCACTTTACTTGACGACTCGGACTCACCTATGTTTAGGTCCCACCATCCCACGTCATCATCGTCGTGGTCGTACGAAAAACATAGTTGCATACCGTCGTCATTTTAAATTTTTAATCTATGTCACCTATGAGAAAACCGAATTAATTACGTAAGTACGTAAAAAGAGTTGAAATATCAAGTGGGACCAACATTATACTAGTAGTACAGTATTAAAAGTGCATGGGAAAATAAAAAAATACGAATGGAGAGGCATTTAATATTTATTGAAATTGAAACGAAGGTCGGCAGTTTCATTTATATGGTCCCAATGTGATCTTATATAAGTGGTAATTCATACTCCTAGAAAAAATAATAAATCCAAGCAACTCGTACTCGAGCAACTTTTTAGTTGAATATATAATTTCGCCTGATTCTCTTCTCGTTTTCAATAAGGTAAAAGAAATATGTTAGTGCAATAGTAGATTCATGGGAGTATGTCTTTATTATGTTCATAGTAGATCCGTAGGTGGATCAGGACTACAATATAATATTGGGGTGAAACTGAAACGTTTAGAAAAATAGGTGGAGGAAGAGTGTAATTATCTTTATCGAATTTGAAAACCAAAATAAACTAATATTGATTTATAAACTTAGGGGAAGAAAAGGAAACTTTCTAAGAATACGGTGGTTGCTTGTGATATTGTTTAAACTATTAGTATCATATCCAAAAATCCATTCAAGCACGGAAACTTTTGTTTTCTACTTTTCTGATCTTGTCACCAGATTAGGGTCACCAAATCGAATCTCCGATTTCCTCGAATTCGTCGTGAGTATTGCAATGGTGCTTTCGCAAAAGATTCACGGAGCTTTCAAAGGTGCGGTGGAGAGGATCACCGGTCCTCGAACGGTCTCAGCTTTCAAGGAGAAGGGAGTTCTCAGCGTCAGCGAGTTTGTTCTCGCCGGTGATAATCTCGTCTCCAAGTGCCCTACCTGGTCCTGGTTAGTTCCAATTTCAATACTCACTGGTTGCTTTCACAATATTCGATATGTCTGAGCTGTGAATTTGATCAAATTCTAGGACTTTAGGTCTCTGGGGTTTTTGGCTATTGGGATGATTAGTCAAAACCAATAATCAGTTAAATAAATTAATGGATTTTCCTTTTGTTACTCAGGGAATCTGGTGATCCAAGTAAAAGAAAGCCATACTTGCCCTCAGACAAACAGTTTCTGATTACCAGGAATGGTAAGTTAGAGATATTTAGAGCTCCTTTTTGATCAATTTGAAGTTTTTGATTAAAATTTGTGGATTTTCGACGGATTAAACAGTACCTTGTCTACGAAGAGCTGCGTCCGTGGCAGAGGATTATGAAGCTGCTGGAGGTGAAGTTTTGGTTGATGATGAAGATAATGATGGTTGGCTTGCAACTCATGGAATGCCTAAAGGTTGATTTTTTTGTATCTTATATGCGAATTCTGTTTTCTCTCGTGTGATATTCTTATGTGCTTAAATGTGTCCGTAGATAGAGGCAATGAAGATGAAAACTTGCCATCCATGGATGCCTTGGATTTAAACGAGAGAGATACTATTCAACCGGTAAATAAGTATTATGGAGGCGAGGAGGAGGAAGATATTCCAGACATGGCAGAGTTTGACGAGGCTGATAATGTCGTAGACAATGATCCTGTGAGTTTCTCATATTTGCACATGAACTTGTTAAGAATTTAGTAAAACAAAAAGATGCTATAAATAGTCTGTATTTGAAACTAGAGTAGCTTCAGGGCATTATTATCAACCAGAAGTGTTAAAAATTCTTTTCTCATCTATGATTCAGGCAACTCTTCAGTCGAATTTTCTCGTGGCTCATGAACCTGATGATGATAATATCCTCCGAACCAGAACATATGATATTAGCATCACGTAAGCATCTTGTGCCTTTCCCATATTCAAAATTTGCTTGTTCACATGTACAGTCTTGTATAAAGTTGTTTGATTTCTTGTAAGACATCTCTCATGCTCTTTGCTCAATAGGTGAACTTATATTTCTTATACTTCATTTCAGGTATGACAAGTATTACCAAACTCCACGTGTTTGGTTGACCGGCTATGACGAGGTCTCTAACTCATTCATTGCGTTGTGACCAATTGAGTCTTTGTTTGCTTGGATTTTATGCTCTTACTAAACAAACTGCGCGTCTTGTAGTCAAGGATGTTGCTGCAACCTGAACTTGTAATGGAGGATGTTAGTCAAGACCACGCTCGTAAAACGGTAACCACATAACTCTACTGAATCAACTGGATCCATTGTAAATCAAAACTTCAATTTTGAAAACTTGGCAGGTCACAATAGAGGATCATCCGCATTTACCTGGGAAACATGCTTCAGTTCATCCATGTCGACATGGAGCTGTTATGAAGAAGATCATTGATGTCTTGATGTCGCATGGAGTAGAACCTGAAGTTGACAAGTAAGTTCCTTGACAAATTTCAACTTTTTGTGGTTTTTTGTTCATGTTACAATGATAGTTACATCTTTGCAATTCTTTTCTTTATCTTCCTCATAGGTACCTCTTCTTGTTCTTGAAGTTTATGGCATCAGTTATTCCAACAATCGAGTATGATTACACGATGGACTTTGATCTCGGTAGCTCAAGCACTTAACTGCAGGTGGATCTCCGTGAACATATATTCATCTTGAATCCGAGAAGCATTGTTCACTGGTGGTGGCTCTTCACTGTATATAACATTGCAGTCATCATTTTTTTTTTTAATAATTATTTACCAATTGTCTTTTGGACCTTCACACATGTTCTATGTTGTTAACCAAATTAACTCATGTGTTTTAAAGATTGAATTATAAATTAACTCATGTGTTTTGGGGGTTCAGTTTTCGGGTTTGGTGAAGTAGTATTCATTTATGACACTTGGATGATTATGAAATTGGCACTTAGGTCCATCATCAGTTGGTCAGGATGGCCGAGCGGTCTAAGGCGCCAGACTCAAGTTCTGGTCTTCGAGAGAGGGCGTGGGTTCAAATCCCACTTCTGACATTATTTTTCCACCATTTTTTAAAAATTCGGTTATTTGGTGGCATTTCACTCGAACCGGTTCGGGATAACTACCAAACCCAAATAGTGTTAACGCGATTATTTATTTGTTAGACAAGGAATCATCAAAGTTGTCAGGTTGGCCGAGTGGTCTAAAGCGCCAGACTCAAGTTCTGGTCTTCGAGAGAGGGCGTGGGTTCAAATCCCACATCTGACATATTTTTTACTCCAATAATGTTTTTTTTTTATTTGGTTACGAAAAAAGTTGGGTTATTGGAGTAAACCCGAAAACGTTGAACCAAACCGAACCAAATAACTTCATGCTTTTGGTATGGATGGAGGCGTCGTCGTCTTCACTTCACCGCCGGTCATTGATCAGCTAAACTGAGAATTTTGGGTATTTGTTGATTGATGGAGTTTCCATACTGTCAGATAAACTTCTCTTAGATTCGTGCAATTGGAGCGTGAACATAGTTTAAAATCGAAAACCCAGAGACACCTAGACGAAGAACTGGAGTTTTAGCATCTCCAAATAATGGCCAGTAATACAAATAGCGTTAATCTCTCGCGCACATTCAAGTATTTACTAGGTTCGTCTTCATTCTCTGTTTGCTTTCTTTTTTTGAAAATCTCTCTCTCTCTCTCTGCATTTTTCTTCTAATTAGATTCTCCCTTTCTTAGCTACGCAATTTCTTTCCAGAGGCATCCCGTTCATATTCAATTCCTGGATCGTGAGGCATCTCACTGAAGAAGCCTATGCGGTAATAGATCGTTGCCTTTGCTCGTACATCCGTTGATTGAGAGCCCAATTTTGCTGAAGTCGAATAGAAACGTTCTTAGATTTTGCAAATTTGGGTGCTTTGACTTTTCGGGTTTCCTTTAAGCTTATCGGAAAGTAGTATTTGAGCTCTTGCTGTAACTGTATGCATTTCTTATAGTAAAGATGGGTTTTTTGTACAGTTGGTTTCCTGGAAACAGTTATGAAGTGTGTTTTATAAGTGTTAGCTCTGCTTGATTTTGCCGAGCTTTCATTTGCGTGAATGATGTTTCCTTCTGCCCTAAATTCAATGATCTTTCTTCTCTCATTGTAATGCAGCTCTACGCGGTCCAATTCCATCTTTTTGTTACCTGTGTCTTGTTTCTCAGCCGGGAGGGATTCCGACGCGCTTGCTTGCGGGCTGACATTAACAGGTATGCATAAAGCAATTTGCGTTTATTCAGTTCACATAATCAGTTTCAGGACTAAGTTTTCGGCCAGTGTGATATTCCTTAATTTCGTGCTGCAGTGATGGTCTTGTATCAAAGAAGGACGTGAATAAGTTATTGAAAGTGGCATGGGTGACATTTCCACTTGGAATAGCCATTACTATTGCAGCATCTGTCTTTGTGTTATGGTGGCAGAACCTTAGTTACTCCGATACATATGCACAGGCTATCTTGATTCACGGTACATTGTTGTCGTTTTCTATGCCTTTATAATACTTCTTTTGCTTACTGCCTTGGAATTTTAAAATTTCTATAAGATCTCTTCTAGTCGTCCAAATTTAGATTCTTTTAATTTATAGTCGTCCAAACTTGAGGACTAACCAACTTAATTGGCAGGATTTGCATGTGTATTGGAGCTACTGGCTGAGCCTTTGTATATCCTCTCTCAGACATTGATGCTTTTAAAATTGCGACTGGTTGTTGAGACTGTTGCTACATTTTCACGCTGTGTAACTTTGTGCTTTCTCATAGTCAAGCAAACCAACATGGTACATATTTGTGTTAAGAAATACCACTCCATTTTGCTTATGGCAAAAGAAGCAATGCTTGAAGAGACTTATATAATAGAACTTAGATCTAATTTTCTTCAACATATGTAGGAAAAAGGGATAGTCTTTGCACTGTCACAAGTTGCATATGGAGGCTCCTTATTTCTTGGGTACTGGGCTTATTTTCTCATTCGTGGTGTTTACAAAACTTCGGATCTCTTTCCTTTCAGGTATGAGCTCCCTATTATTTGATCTCCTTGCTAGCATTCTTAACTCTTGATATGTTCCAATGAACTCATTCCTTTCCAATAATCCTCCAACAATTTTTCGTGATGTGACAGACTTGGGAGATTCTTGGATTTCGATAAGCAGCTCTCGAACATGTGTATGCTATTTACTGTTCAGTCCTTCCGAAAGTTGATCCTTCAAGAGGGTGAAAAGTTGGTCCTTGTATGGTTAGACACACCTTATAACCAGGCTGTTTATGGGATCGTTGACAAACTAGGCAAGTCTCTTTGGTGACAAAATTCAAATTTGCCACAGCTACAAAGTCTGTCATATATCGTATATATCATCTAAAGTTGTTGCCTATAAAACTCCAGGAAGTTTAGTTGTACGTATGGTGTTTCTTCCCTTTGAAGAAAGTTCATACACTACATTTGCCAGGTTCGCATCAGGTTTATTTCTTTCCTGAGTTTAGTGTAATTCACTCTGTAATTAATCTTAGTCCTGATGTTTCTCATTATTGCTTCTCACCCAAATTCATTACCAAGCATTGTTTATATTTATCTCTCTCTTGACAGGTGATTTGCCTGACCAGCAAAGGAAAAAGAAACTCGGAATTTGCCTGAGCGAGGCCTTGAAGCTTGTAATATTAATAGGTATATTTGCCATCCATTGCAGTTAAAAATTCCACCCGTAATGTCTCTTAATAGTCCCTAGTACTTACTAGGCATCAGCTTTTCAACTTCATTTCAGATCCTCAATTGTTTTTGTTCCTGAATGTGTGTAAGACTTTTGACTTTAATCTTCGTCTTATAACTTCCTGGGAATTTATAGGTCTTATATTTATGGCATTTGGGCCGAGTTATTCGTACTCCCTCATCAGATTGTTGTATGGTGAAAAATGGAGCGATGGAGAAGCTTCCTCGGCACTACAGTTTTATTGTATCTACATCATCGCCCTGGCCATGAATGGTTAGTAACTCCTAATGCGTATTGACTTCTTGTTTGCTACAAAACCGAGCTTCTTGATTTTAGAGTTACCAGTAGCATTTTACAGTCTTTGGTTACTACTCTGTAAATCATTTTGGCAGGAACCTCGGAAGCATTTTTACATGCAGTTGGGACAGAGAATCAACTGAAGCGCTCAAACGACATGTTGCTTGTGTTTTCGCTGATATACATCACATTAAATATTCTGCTGATAAGATCTGCTGGAGCAATAGGTTTAATCTTGGCGAATTCCTTGAGTATCCTTCTTCCCCCATATATATTATATTTCTGTAGATTCTGCAACTACAGTCTATTTTGTCTCCTTGACTTTTCTGACCCAAAAAAAAAGATATGATATTTAGGATCATATACTCAGGGATATTCATCCAAAGTTACTTCCAGGTATGCTTTTGATTAAATCAAACTGAACTATCTATTATGTTGACAGTCTTTTCTAAGTCCATAATTTTCTACAGGGCCCTTCTTCTTCGTTCTCGTTCAAAAGGTGTTTTCCTTCAGGTTGGCAAAGTCTTATACTCTCAGGGATAATCACTCTCTTCTCAGAGAAGACCATTCTCGACCGTAAGAATTTCTGGGCCACATTTCCTGTCCATTTCGCCATCGGTTTCCTCTGCTTTTGTATCTCAGCCATTGTCATGTAAGTCTTAATCATATGACAATCAGAAAAAACAGTCTTTTTCTGCATTCTGACTAATATATTGTGGTTTTCTCTGGTAGATACCTGCGAGAGAAGCTGTTCATCAATAGAATCATACGCTTCAGGAATCACGATCATGACGACTGAATAAACCAAGAAAACGGTGGTTTTAAGTACGGTTGAGGATCCAGTTCATGGTTCTGCTTATAAGAATTTTCACGCCAGGAAGAAATAGTGAAGCTTTTCCCAGCTTTTGTGTTACTACTGAACAGTTTTTTAACTGGAAAGACTCTTCAATTTCAATTTAGCATGAATTAGTTTAACCGGCAATGAAACCCTTTTCCACTTTTTGCTTTTCGTTTTGGATTTTATTTTATCTTCACGTAACGAATCACATTCGGGTGAGAAAACCGAGCACCTCCAAGAAAATTAGTAAAAGGGAACATAGAGAAAAAGTACAAAAACAGAGGATAAGAGCAATAAATTTAATGATTATCATACAGTTAATACACAAATCTTACTTGTTATTAAACGGTTAAGTGTCCAGATTGGTTGGTACTCCGTAGCCAATTGTTTCACGAACCAGTATCCGGTTCGCTTAGACCGGTAACACAGTGATATGGTATCCCTGTTTTCCGCGCCAATAAACACACCTGAGCTGATGAACACTGTCCCTCTGAGTAAGAAACCCTAGAAAGCGACAAACATGGATAACCATGGCGCTCCATTGAGTAATTCTTTCACCGATCAGCGTTCCGTCTCGGGTACTATTCGTAGAATACGCCTTGAGAATTTCATGTGCCATAGTAATCTCGAGATTGAGTTCGGCGAGTGGGTCAATTTCATCACCGGCCAAAACGGAAGTAAGTACCAAATTTGGCATTTTTATCCTTTTCTGGAGCTGGGTTTCTTGCTATTTTCTGTTTAAGCTTTGAATTTTGAAATGGTTGCTGAATAAGGAGCTGTAATGAGTATTTGGATAATGCTGTATGATTTATACCTTAATTTTCATACCTTTAGAGTGTTTTCGAAAATTTCAGGTGGTAAGAGTGCGATATTGACTGCTCTCTGTGTTGCATTTGGATGTCGAGCCAAGGGGACTAAACGCGCTTCCACGCTCAAAGATTTCATAAAAACTGGATGCAGGTTTGTCCATTTTTGCTGTGCGTAGAATTTTGCAAAGCTATAAGTGTTTTGTGTTGTAGGATGGCACCAAAAAAAAAAACACATTCTTCTTTTGGTATTTGCTTGCAGCGATGCCCTTGTTCATGTCGAAATGAATAACAATGGAGAGGATGCTTTTAAGCCTGAGATATATGGTGATGCTCTGATTATTGAACGCAGGATATCTGATTCTACTAGCTCTACGGTTCTCAAGAATCACCAAGGTTAATAAATGCTATAATCTTCATCAATCTGATGTGACTTACAGTTCATAGTTTGTGCTTCTGCTTGTTTTCAATATGATTGTCGTTATATGGCTTCGTACTTTTATGTCAACTGCTACCCACTCTTAAATCAACTAATCGAGTCTAGAGGTTTTCTTACTTTACAGGAAAGAAAATATCAAACCGAAAAGATGAGCTACGGGAACTAGTTGAACATTATAATGTGAGCTTTTTTCTCGTTGATTCAAGTGTATTTTTTTTATAATGTTTGTTATTTTCGAATTTAAGTGTTATTGCTGGTATTTGATGCCAAATTATTGGATCTGTATTATGCTTGCTTTGGCTAGATTGATGTTGAGAACCCATGTGTGATAATGAGCCAAGACAATAGCAGGGAGTTTTTACATTCTGGAAATGACAAAGATAAATTCAAGGTATATCCAGTTAATCCGTATGCAGTGAAGTAAATCTTGTTGATCTATGTTTCTGAATGCTTTTGTTCTGTAGTTCTTTTACAAGGCAACACTTCTTCAACAAGTCAGTGGTTTACTTGAAAGTGTTGATACAAGCTTGAAAGCTGCAAATGCTCTTGTGGATGACTTGGAGGAAACAATAAAACCAATGGAAAAGGAGATCTCTGAGTTACTTGGAAAGATAAAGAATATGGAGCAGTTTGAAGAAATACATCAACAGCTGCAGCATTTTAAAAAGAAACTAGCTTGGTCGTGGGTATATGATGTGGATAGGCAGCTCAAGGAACAGACTGAGAAGATTGTGAAACTCAGAGAACGAGTGCCTACTTGTCAAGATAAAATTGATCAAAAACTGGTGAGTAGTATGTTCTTTCTGTTACCTCCAATTTAGATTGCTATGCACAATCAGAAATTTGCAGGGTGCATGACTTGTCTAAATTTCTCTTGGATAATTTACCATTGAAGTTTATTAGTTTTCGTAAATAGAGAAAAATTCGAGAAAACAGAAATGTTGAAGCTTGGGTTTAGTTCTGCCTAACATTCTCATATGGCGATACAGATAAATTTGAACACTCTTGTGCATTCTTCGTTAAAATGGTTATTTGCTTACACCATGAATCTTCACATTTTCTTGTAGCATCAATGCTTACCTTGACATATCGCTTGAATCCTTGATCTTCAAGTTGATTATAGCTGACCATTTATGTAGGGTGAGGTGGAATCTTTAAGCGAAAACTTGACCAAGAAGAAAGCTGAAGTTGCATGCCTGATGGATGAATCAACTGCGATGAAGAGAGAGATAGAGTGTGTGCGGCAATCAGCCAAGATGGTATGTTAGAAGTTAATTTTTGAGAAGAAGGGTCTCAGTTAACGGGATGGCCCCTATAGCATTGTAGTTTGATAATTCATCTTACCTCTTATTTATCAACTATATTTTCTTATTCAGCATTTACAAAAACAAGGGAAGAGCAAATAAAAGGATTGCATTTATCTAAAAAATTATTGTTATTGAATATTGGGATTGAATGGCTCTGATAGTTTCTCTTGAGCTCTTTAGCAGAATATCTCATATTTTAGCGTAGAAACTGCCTTTGGTTTATATAATTTCAGCATCTGTGTGTAATTGATATGAATTTTAAACCAGGCTGCAAGAGAGAAGATTGCTCTTGAAGAAGAATACCGTCACAAGTTGAATAGCGTTCAGAAGATTAAAGATCATGTCACGAGGCTTCAACGGCAGATTAAAGATATTGATGAAATGGCTATAAGAAGCACACAGGTCCTTTTTCTTTATCTTTCACATCTATAAAAGGCACAAACTATGATCCTTTCATTTTGATGTTCAGTGGTTGGTATAATAATAGAGGCGTAGGTTAGTGTGTGTTTGTATAGCTGTATATGTTTTTTACTGGCTTATTGTGATGCAGGCTGAACAATCTGAAATCGAAGAAAAAATGAATCAGCTAAAGCTAGAGGTTGAGAAGGGTGAATCATTGCTTTCCAGGTCATTATATTTTTTTTTTTCTCGTATTCTTTTCTTGAGCCATTTTCTCTATTTTTTTCGCTAAGCATGGATGAAACATTCTACACTTCAGTTTGAAAGAGGAAGAGAACATAATAAAAGAGAAAGCATCAGTCGGAGAGAAGGAGATGGAACACATAGAGAATATGGTATGAATACCGTATGATGATGGTTGTAGTTTTTTCTTATGATTCTTAGTCCTAGAATTTACTCTGTTTCATATATTAGCTGTGTTAAATATGATAATTACCACTTAATAGTCTTCAAATTTCCTTACTTCAGCTATTTGGCCTTTTGATTTCTAGATTAGAGACCGTGAAAAGAAGCAAAGAAACATAAACACGCACATCAATGATCTGAAGAAACATCAAACAAATAAGGTGCTTATCTACATGATCTATTGGCAGGCTCTATATATTATTTCTATTTTGTTTGGAGGATGACAATCTCGAGGGTAGTTGGATAATTTCAAACTTCTCTTAATAGGTTACTGCGTTTGGAGGGGACAGAGTCATTACTCTTTTGCGGGCGATTGAAAGAAATCAGCACAGATTTAAAATGCCACCTATTGGTCCAATTGGTGCTCATGTGGTAAGTTTTTATCTGTTCCTTCCCCACATCTGTGCCCAAAGAAATTCAGTCGAGTTAGCTCACATGTTTTCCTGTTTGAACCATGTATTGCGTAAAGAAAAGCTGACATTTTCAAGTATTACGTCAGCAATTTCTGCTGTTTTAGTTTGAGTTCATCTAGTTGTGTTGTCTTCTACAGACATTGGTCAATGGCAATAAATGGGGGTCTACAGTTGAACAAGCTCTTGGCAACCTCCTGGATGCCTTTATTGTGACTGATCATAAAGATTTAGTCACTTTGCGAGGCTGTGGAAAGGAAGCAAATTATAACGATCTGAAGATTATCATCTATGACTTTTCAAGACCAAGGTTCAAATCTGAGATATACTTCCAAATATCTCTGTTTTATGTAATGCTTTGGTGGATGGATAGCTTTAGTTACATTGCAAACGCCATGGTAATTGTTTATGCAGGTTAATTATACCAAGGCACATGCTTCCTCAAACGGAACACCCAACTATTCTCTCTGTCTTGCACTCTGAGAATCCCACTGTTCTTAACGTCTTGGTGGATTTGGTAATCTTACTCTCAGATTTTCTCTGTATTTACTAACTTCTCATTCTCCAGCCCCTGTGTGGTTGTATTCATTTATAGCTTTGGTTTCTGGACATTTACAGAGTGGTGTGGAAAGGCAAGTGCTTGCAGAGAGTTATGAGATTGGCAAGACAGTTGCCTTTGAGAGAAGGCTCGAGAATCTGAAGGAGGTCTACACTATGGATGGATACAGAATGTAAGAAGCCAGTTAGATTGGCAAGAACATATCGTTTAAAGTGCCATACACAAATCTTTCGGTTCGAATTATCTTGAAAGGAAGGGATTAACAAATATTTGTTTCTACATAACAGTAATCTACTTATTCATTTCTCAGGTTTTCTCGTGGGCGTGTTCAGACAACCCTTCCACCCCGTCCTCCTCGAAGACATACTCGACTGTGTGCTTCTTTCGATGACCAAATCAAGGATCTTGAAACAGAGGCCTCAAAAGAACAAAGTGAGATACATGAATGAGGGGGCAAAAGAGGGAGGCCGAGAAGAATCTCGAGGGTCTTGCATCGAATATGCGCAGACTGAAGGTAGCGTAAACTTACTGATATCTCTTTAGCTGCACCCATTGTTTAATTTAATGAGTCCAACCTTTAAACTGTCTTATCTGAAACATTTTGCTTGTTTTCACATAGCTTAAGCTTGTTTGTATATATAATCATTTTGCATATGCTTTGTTGCCTATGTTACAGAAGCAACGCACCCAATTGGAGAGAGATTTGTCAAGGAAGGAACTTGAAATGCAAGATCTGAAGAATTCAGTCGCTGTTGAAACCAAAGATTCACCTACATCAAGTGTTGATGAGCTACATCTAGAAATCATGGTTAGTTTTTTTATTGATTGAAATCGTTTTCTGCCCCCACCCCCCCCGTAGCATCAATCCTCAAGCATTGCCCTCTCTGTATGTCTCAGAAATCGCGAGAAGAGATATCGGAGAAAGAATCCTTGCTGGAAAAGCTTGAAGACAGCTTGAGAGAAGCTGAACTAAAGGCTAATGAACTTAAAGCTTCATTTGAAAAATTATATGGTATGCTGGCGATACATTTATTATTTTTCTTAGATTTTTGTTAGAAACCTGAAAAGATTACAGACCACCTTTGCAACATTCATTTTTTTCTCTCTAAAACGTGCATGCAGAGTCAGCTAAGGCTGAAATTGACGCCTTAGAGGAAGCAGAGAATGAGCTAAAAGAGATTGAAAAAGAACTCCAGTCCGCAGAAACGGTGCGCCATCTTCAAGAGTTTGGTTCTTCATTTGTTTCGCACTTAGAACTGAAATTTTTATTCTGTTTCAGGAAAAAAACCATTATGAAGGTTTAATGAAGGACAAGGTCTTAGCTGATATTAAAGTGGCTGAGGCTAAATACGAGGAGCTTGAAGTCAAGCGTCAGGTAAGAATAAGCAATTATGAAGTTACGTTAGTAACATAAACGAAAAGGGGACAAAAACTATCAAAATGAGCTATGCAGTGTCATTTATTTTTTCATTTTCAAGTTGTTGCTCTTGGATCCATAATTTTTTTTATGTTTTGTTGGACTGCTGAAATATCAGGAAAGTAATGAGAAGGCCTCCATAATTTGTCCTGAGAGTGAGATAACTGCTTTGGGTCCCTGGGATCAAGAGGCAACTCCTTTGCAGCTTAGTGCTCAGATTAACAAGATAAATCATAGACTGAAGCGAGAACGCGAAAAGTGCGTATTTTCTTGTGCCTTGTTATTGTACCTATTCACTAAAACTACCGGTTGCATGATATGATCTTTTGTTGATGCAGGTATCCTGAATCGATTGATGACCTCAGGACTATGCACGAGGAAAAAGAACATATGATTGGGAAGAAACGCAAAAGTTACAAAAGCTTACGAGAAAAAGTCAAGGTTTAAGCCGTGCAGTTGTTAGTATATATATCCAAAATCCTGATCTATATATGCTAACCATTTGATGTGAGCATTACTGTGTAACCAGGTATGCCAAGATGCGGTGGATTCACGGTGGAGGAAGCTCCGTAGAAATAAAGATAATCTGAAGAGCGAATTAACTTGGCAGTAAGAATTGTTTTCCCCAATCACATTGGATATAGTTGTCGCTTCAGTTATGTGATTGTCATACGATCTTTTCCATGATTGTTGATCTTAAATGCAGATTCAACGCTCGTTTAAAAAATAAAGGTATCACTGGACACATAAGAGTCTCTTATGAAGACAAAACTCTGTCCATGGAGGTAATTGGCTCCATAAATCCGATGTTTTTCCTTTCATGTGTCCATATTGTTATTACATTAACTGGTTCATGTGACACAAAAAAACTGTCTTCAACAGGTTAAGATGCCTCACGATGCATCAAGCAGTGTTGTTCGAGACACTAGAGGGCTTTCAGGTGCTCTGCTTCTCTTCTCTTAATCTGGATATAAAATCCTACTTTCCAAGCCTCCTATATTTGACTCTCTCTGAAAGCTAATTCCTCCATTGAGAGTCTAAGCCAGGTTCAGAGTTTGATCAATCTAACGCTCGTGTCATAATATTTGCAGGTGGAGAACGGTCTTTCTCGACGTTATGCTTCGCATTAGCTCTTCACAATATGACTGAGGCCCCATTTCGAGCAATGGACGAGTTTGATGTCTTTATGGTAAACAAAAATCTCTTAGCATTTTACCACTCTTTCTGAATTTAAATCTCTTCAAAAACACCACTTAAGAGAGAAAGTGTTAAACTTTTCGGTTTATGGAACCTCAGGACGCAGTTAGCAGGAAAATCAGCTTGGACACATTGGTTGATTTCGCATTGGAGCAAGGTTCACAGTGGATGTTCATCACTCCTCATGATATCAGGTAACTAATAGTATCCACTTACTACTGAAGCAAAAAAATAGAATTCAAGATTTGAAAAGAACATGAAACTATGTAATCATCGTAACCTCTTTTTTTTGTTTTATGTGTGTCAATTACAGTATGGTGAAGTCACACGAGAAGATAAAGAAGCAACAAATGGCTGCTCCTCGTTCTTAATCTAACAATTGTAAATGGGAGGAATGAGTTTTTCTCGGCGTGGAATCTCTGCATTCCACGCCTTAACTTTATTTTGTATCTATCCTATTATTGGAAGTTTCTCTTTTGTCAATATTATCAAATTGATGTAAGAATTATTAAAATCTAGTGGCTTCAGAGTTGTCCAAAAAAAAAAAAAAAAAAAAAAATCTAGTGGCTTCAGATTTTGGATAAGAAAAGAGTGAGAGTGACAGTTTCACTGTGCATTTGAGACCGTTTGTACAATTATTACGAGATATTGTATCTAAACAGTTTTTAAACGAAAGCTAACAAAAAGAGACCGAATCTTTCGTCCATATAGAGAGAGAGAGACAAATATTAAATCTTTTAAATAAACCAAAACCAAAAAAACAAAATTTCTCTTGAAAAAAGTGTGATTGCAAGTTTTGGCAGACCTTCACAACTTTCCATTTTAATTGGAGAAAATTACAGCTAAAGGTACTTTATGAAAGTGATATAACAGCCAAAGACATTTCTCACTTCTTAGTGACTTTGGCGCTTTCGAGTTGGCGTACAATCCCATCTATACCCTTGCTTTATTTTTTTTACCTTCTCCATCGCTTTTTTACCGACTGAATTTTTTCAATTTCAATGTAACGGAAATGATATAAGAGACGATTTTCACTCGCGGAAGAGCACCGCTGTCGCGAAAGAGCGTCGGAGGAACCGACGGAGTCGCGAAGGAGCCAGATGGTTCTGAATAAATCTGGGGTGCACATGACGAGAAAAATCCAGTCGTCTGACAAGATTCACACATAAACGAGTTACTCGGTTTGAACTACAGATGCAATAGCAACCACATGTAGTCGTACAGGTGCCCTTCGACACACACACATCACGCAGATGTTGTATTAAGTTTATGGACGTATTCAACTATCACCGTGGATGATCATTTGTGGATAGTAAAAAAATACGATTGGCATCATATGGTGGACACAGTGGATGATATCGAACAAAAACTTAAAGCTTAGAGAGTACGTATCCACAGATTGTAAAAAGAAAAAATAAGCCATAATTTGGTATATACCGTACACGGTATATAATCCAATGCCCTTTATAAAGCTGTACAAAGCTTTACAAGTTTACGTGAACACTCGAATGTGGATAAATGTTAGTGGAGAAAGTAGCGTGGATATAAGTTTAGGATGTGTCCATGTACGTGTAAATTATGATTTGGGACAAGTATGGGTGTTGTTCAGTCAAAAAGAAGAAAATTAATATCCACACTAACGCATCCATGTTTATATGATTATCACCACACTCTTTATATCCATATGAATATATAACACCTATATTCCATGGACATGTTTACATGGACATGATATTGTGGATAACTCATAACCCTAAATCCTAAATGCTAAACCCTAAAGTGTGATAAGTTAAATAGTTTTTATAGCTCTTCCATGTTTCTATGAAAACAAATGAAGTAGAAACATAAATATTACATTAAAAGATTGGATCCTATAAGATGATAAAAGATAAAAAGATGTACACAAATTTTGTTGTCAATCTCACATATTTGAGATAAACCAGAAAAACATCATCATTTTTATTACCTTGAATCTCTTCTTTTGTTGAGTCGTATGAATGGTTTCTGTGTAGGTGAAGTTAGTCGTTAAAGCTGACGTGTCGTGTATAAGACATGATCCGGTGAAGAGTTAGTAAAGTATCCAAATGGAAAATGGAATGTGAGTATTGGTTAAAGAAGATGCAAGGGTGCTTTGATAAATAGGGGCCATCATCACCAGATCTGTTTTTGGTGTTCTACCACAAGAGTCTACTCAGACGATTGCTTCGCCACCGTTGGTGTAAATCAGTAAATTCCTGAATTATAAATCAGATTAAAGGATTATCAAATCGAAGCGGACTCAACTTTGGTTTGTTAAGTTTCTCATGAAACAGATCCGTGTTTTGGTGGATTTGAGACTATCATTAGACATGCTTTCTGTACAACATACAAGTTGGTGTAAGGCATATGATACAAAGAAGAGTTGTCTTGCATCCAAATGGATAGTATAATGTGGATACGAACGCATCCCTATTTTGATTGAAGCTATCTATAAGTTTAGATGTTTGTGGGTTCGATGATGCAATAATTTGTGGACATGAAACACAAGACGATTAGCAAAGACAAATTGAAGAGGATTGTTTACTAAAGAAGAGACACGAGGTAATAGAGATGCTGATTTTTTCTCGTTTCTCTCAAATATGTGAGATTGACAACAAAATTTGTGTACTACTTTTTATCTTTAATCATCTTATAGGATCCAACTTTTTAGTGTAATATTTCTTTTCTACTTCATTTGTTTTACTAGAAACATGGAAGAGATATAAAAGTTATCTTAACTTATCACACACTCATGAGTTATCCACAAGATCATGTACATGATCACATGTCCATACAAACATGTCCATAGGATATAAATGTTATATTTTTCATATGGATATAAAGAGTGTGGAGATAGTCATATAAACATGGATGCGTTGGTGTGGATATTAATTTTCTCCTTTTTGAGTGAACAACACACCATATTTTGTCTCAAATCATAATTTTCACGTAGAGGAACACATCCTAAAATTCTATCCATGCTACTCTATCCACTTACATTCATCCATGGTAGAGTGTCCACGTAAACTTGTAAAACCGCTGTTGTTTAATCACATACTTTTTATAATGATATTGTTGTTACTGTCAAAGTTATAGTTGTTGAAAATTTTGCATTTTTTCTATTTCTTTTTCAATGTATAAGTTCTATATGAGTTTAATGCAATTTTAGTAAGAGGATCTCTATACAGTAATACACCACCAACACTGATCCATTAAGAACATAATGTTTAATTAGTTATCCATGATAGTGTGTTCACTCAAAGATGTACATAAGTCTGGATTTTTTAAATCTGTGGATACGTACTCCCTAAGCTTTAAGAACCATCTGGAGTCGTATGAATGATTTTTACAATCTGTGGATACGTACTCTCTAAGCTTTAAGTTTTTGTTCGATATCATCCACTGTGTCCACCACATGATGCCAATCGTATTTTTTTACTATCCACAAATGATCATCCACGGTGATAGTTGAATACGTCCATAAACTTAATACAACGTCTGCGTGATGTGTGTGTGTGGAAGGGCACCTGTACGATTACATGTGGTTGCTATTGCATCTGTAGTTCAATAAGTCTAAAATCGCATTAGCAAAATGAAGGACCTTATTCTCGAATACCCTAAAAGAAACCCACACAATATATTTGCAAGTACAATATATTATATTGGAGAAAGCTTGCAAGGAAGTTTTTTACGTGGACAAAAACAAAATCATGTGTACAGAAACAAATGGATGAATTCATATGGATAATTATCCCTTGTACGGCGAAAAAAATAATGTGACAATGGAAGAAGAATCTGCTAACCATAATATTCACAGAGTTGTGTGGTAATTAAATTAGGAAATAGCAATGTATTTATCTGAAAATGGCCTTTGGTTTGATCGGAAGATGGGTTGGAACGAACAAATTAAAATTAACAAGGCGGCGACGTTGATTCTGGCGCAATTTACCAATGGATGGAGCCAGAGAAATTGCGACGATGACTGTATAAACTTTGACGTTAACCCATGTCGGAGTGAATTCAAGCAATCCACCTTCTCCCGATAATTCTTTGTTTAAGAAAAAAAAAAATTTCAGGTTATAAATTTGATCTGAGAACAGATCGGGACAAGAAACATACTTCTCTCTGCCAATAGAAAAAAATGGGTGGAGGAAGAGAAGATGAAAGGAGTGAAGTTTTGTCAGAATTTATTTTATCTCGGAGAAAGGGATCGAAAGTGAAAACAGAACAATACAAAACTAAGAAGGTGAAACAGTGGTGTGAAAATAACTCGGATAAGTCTGAGTGAAAATAATAGGGGTCTTTAAGTCATTCCAACATAGGAAAGTTCCTTGAGAGTAACAAGTGCCTTTCTTGTAAGTTTGTAACTCATAAGTGACTATGTAATTGACTAAAATTGCAGAAATCCGTTAAATGGACGACAAAAAATCGCAGAAATCCGTTAAAACTTTCAGAAAGAGAGAGAAGATTTTCTCGGGAAAAATTAAAAACCTTCGCTCCAAGAAACGTTGGTTTCAGGGACCACTTGACCGGTTTAAACTGTGGCGGAGAATGTGATGTCGTTTATGGGGATGATGAAGAAGAAGAAGGAGAGCAGTCCAGTTTCGCCATTGAAGAAGCGACGAGCGAGCTGGTCTCAACTTTGGGTCAACAACCATCACCAGCTATTGTCTTCTCCGCCGCTCAATTTGGCTTCCAAGTTCCAGTCTCCGACTCCTCCAATCGCCAAATCCAAAACCCTACTCACCGATCCCACCCTCCTCTTATCAGACCTCACTCTCCTCTCGATCATCGACAAGGTCCCCGAATCGCACCGGAAGAGTCTCTCTTTGGTTTGCAAGAGATGGCTGAGACTCCACGGCCGACTTGTGCGGTCGATTAGGGTATCGGATTGGGGATTTCTCTCGTCCGGTCGACTGATTTCGAGGTTCCCGAATCTGGATACGGTTGATTTGGTCAGTGGGTGTTTGATTTCGCCGCCAAATTCAGGTATTTTAGTTAACCACAGGATAGTTTCGTTTACTGTTGGCTTAGGGACTTACCAGAGTTGGAGCTTCTTTGAGGAGAATCTGTTGCCTGTTGAAATGGTTGATAGAGGGCTAAGAACACTTGCAGATGGCTGCTGCTCCAATCTCCAGAAGCTAGTAGTGACCAATACTAGTGAATTAGGGTTGTTGAATGTAGCTGAGGAGTGTTCGAGGCTGCAAGAACTCGAATTGCACAAGTGCTCTGACAGTGTTTTGCTTGGGATTGGTGCGTTTGAGAATCTCCAGATATTGAGATTGTTAGGGAATGTTGATGGTTTGTATAGCTCCTCGGTTACGGATATAGGTCTGATGATATTGGCTCAAGGGTGCAAGAGACTTGTGAAGCTTGAGCTCGTTGGATGCGAGGGAGGGTTCGACGGGGTTAAAGAGATTGGCGAGTGTTGTCAGATGCTTGAGGAGCTCACTGTTTGTGATCATAAGATGGAGTCAGGTTGGCTTGGAGGTCTTCGTTATTGTGAGAATCTCAAGACTCTGAAGCTCGTGTCTTGTAGAAAGATCGATCTTGATCCTGGTCTAGGTGAGTGCTTGAGTTGTTCTTGTCCTGCACTCGAGCGGTTGCAACTGGAGAGGTGTCAATTGAGAGATAAGAATACAGTGAAGGCTTTGTTTAAGATGTGTGAAGCCGCGAGAGAGATTGTTTTCCAAGATTGTTGGGGATTGGATAATGATATATTCATCTTGGCAACAGCTTTCGGGTACTAAAAACGCTCTTTGTCTTCTCCTTTTGATCTTTAAAGTTGCAGCCTTTATAGCCAACATGATTGCAGCTACTAAGTTTTACCATTAAATATCAAAAAGTTTGAAACTTTATGCCAAGATTGTTTGTTTGGTTTGCAGGAGAGTGAAGCTTCTGTATCTAGAAGGATGCTCATTGCTAACGACGTCGGGATTAGAATCTGTGGTTTTGCATTGGCAAGAGCTCGAGCATCTGAAAGTGGTTTCGTGCAAGAGCATAAAAGATTCAGAGATCTCTCCGTTGCTTTCAGCTTTGTTCTCAGCATTGGTAGACTTGCAGTGGAGACCGGACACCAGATCTCATCTCTCCTCGAGCCTTATAGGGACTGGAATTGGGGAAAAGGGGGGAAAGTTTTTCAAGAAAACATAGAACATCTCTTTACCAGTACCGAAACTGTTTTTTCTCTTCAATGCTGTTTGAAAAAGTTTATTAGGTTCTCTTTCTTTTTACTTGTTGAAACAGTGTAGCCCATTGATGTAAATTTCTGCTTTTTTATTCGATTTCTCAGTTTGTTATCAGAGATTCATGGTTCTGGGATCAATTGACACTATGAATTTTTTTGTTCTTTGGAAAGCCGGATCACAAAAGGATTGATTTAGCACAAAATAAAATATGAGAAGTCGTATAAAGTGGAGATGCGGGGTATCGATCCCCGTACCTCTCGCATGCTAAGCGAGCGCTCTACCATCTGAGCTACATCCCCATTTGCTTATTACATTGTAAAATATAAATAGATAGTAACAAACCTACCTACGGATTGCCAAAATGAGAAAAGTGTACATGTGAGGTTCAGTTATTCATAATGTAGTCTAATTAGGCGAGTAAACAATATCATAGTGTTACAACTTGAATTAGGTTTTCTTGAGTGGTTTAGGTTCATCCAAATTAATATACATTTATCTTTCTTTTTTTGTTCGTTTTTACACCAAGAATCTCACATGGGTCGGCTTTGTTCCATTATCCATGCTGTAGGGTTTTCATTTCTGGTAATTAGAATAATGTGGAATTTCTTTAGTAAAATCAATAATAACATGGAGTTTTCAAATGTTTTTTTTTTTTTTGTTGTTGTCTTTGCCTACCATATTGCAATATAATGTGTGCATGTGATATAATACCACGCAACATTGTTCTTCTTTTTTTAGCATGAGTATTTGATCAACTAAACATGTCGTAACAATAGATTACAAGTTCCCTTAATAGAAGAACTTAAAGCGCTCTAGTTTCTTGTCTACTTAGTTGTTAACTAAAACATACACAAGGCCGATCATAATTCGGAGATCCATATACGACATAGCAAGGGGCATTATTCTCTAACAGGAGTTAGTTTTTTATTTTATTAAAATGAGTGAATCATCTTCTTAAACTATAAGCTAAGTGGATGATTAGGAGATCTGAGTTATGCATGTCACTAAACACTTCAGTTTTTGGTATTACACTTTGTTTTTATCAATGTACAAGATATATAGAGAGGAGTTTGTCTAATCTTACATCGTTGTATAATTTTTTGTTTTTTCCATATCGTTTGCATCTCATTCTCACATATTGTATTTGTATGGCCACATTTATTCTTCTTTTTCTGTGTTCGAAGAAATGCACCCCCAAAATAAAACAAGGTTATCTTGTTTTGACTCTTTTTGGCAAATAAGAAACCGCCACGTAACTCCAGACTTAGCGAACAAGGTCAACTATCGCTTGATTCGCTTCATTAATTAACTGTTTAGCTAGCCTTCATTAACGACGCGCGTCGACTTATAATTGGTTAATAGCTGGCAACTATAATTGTTAATGTGTAATTAGAATCGGCATGACGTGGTGGCAGATGTGGACAAGTTGACTATGGTAATGACCGGAAGTCTTTGGGATTACTCGAGAAAACCAGCCATACACGTGGTTGTCTTATTATAACTGTTTCCTTTAATAGAAATATTAGTTGCTTTCGTAACAACCTAATTTGCAACATTTTCTATAATTAGAAATTTAATTTAGTAGACGACCAGATCTTATTGGATCCTTTCTTTCCTCACCCCCACGATTTTTTCTTATTTGTATTCATTAGAATATTATTATCGTCTGATCCACTATTTTGACAAAGAGAGTTGTCATTACTGCTGGCTTTGAAATTAGAAGAAGATTAATCTCAGACTTCTTTTTATAATATCATAGAGAATACCACTTATTTAGAAAAAAAAGATTTCTATTACGGTAGGTACTTACTTTAACGGGGTCAAATAGCTTATAGTAAAATAAGTATAGAAAGGTAATTCTAAACGTATTTTCCCCTCTTATTTATTATTTCTAGATAGATCAATGGGGCGGGATACGTATTTGTTTTGTCGCCGATAGCTCCATTCTCATTTGTGACCCCAATATTTTGGTTAATTAAATAAATGTATTGTTTTTTTTTTTTTACGTCATTTTATCATCTCTTGCGTAGTTGAGTTTACCAAACCGTAAGATTGGCTTTCATTTAACAGTATACCATCCCACATGCTCTCTCAAACGAGGAAAAAGAAATTAAATCGAAAATAATATTCACGACATCCATGTACAATTATGAATTTTCAAAAATAGAGTTAACATTTTTTTTGTCAAAGTTAACATATTTAGCTAATACTTTATAGTTTCAACTTTGAGTTTTTGTTTATTTTATCTTTAGGCACCGTTACTTTATAGTGTTCGTTTCATTTGTTTATATGTATTTCATTGTCACTAATTTTTTTTCCCAAAGAGAGAAATATGGTCCATTTGTCAAACCATATTCATGCCTTCCTGACACTTCTTTTGGCAAGAGAGAGTTGTATTTAAAACTAATTAATACTGTTATTAATAAATTGGTGTCGAGTCATCAGGGTTTCAACATTAGTTACTTGTAATGACATGCACGGACTTCTTTATCAAAGTTTTTAAATTACATGAATTGATAATTTAATACCGAAAACGGTTATACTAGCATATACTTAACCAACGAAAATATTGTGTTGGGCTATTCGATGCATTTTCATTGTAACGTTAATAGTAGTTATTCAAACCGTGTTAGATTCAAAGAACCAGAATTAAGGCATTTATGAAGATCGGAATATAGTTTCATTAATTTATTTTAATCAATTACAACTATATTCCGAAACAAATATAAAAAAAAGCAGAGAAAAATGCTTCTTTTCTTTTTCAAAAGGGGAAAGTGCTAAACAACCTAGCCAAGTTGCGTTACACATTACGTATCTTTCTCCTCTCGCAAACTGAAGACAAATATTTCTTTCTTATTTATTAAAAAAAATTGTATGAAATTAAAAACGATCATTTTCGTCGAAAATTCTACCTTTCTAGTTCCATTTAGTTCCGATCCTTTTTAGTACCTCTCCGTCACCTTAATCTCTCTCCCTAACTTCTCTTTTCAACTTTACCCTCTTGTTCTCTCTCTAGTCTCTACATTTATCTCTCTTTATATATATATATATATATATTCTCTGAACCCATCTCTTGAAAACATTCAAGATCAAATCTTTCTCGAAAGATTAAAAGAGAAACTCATCTGAGAAACATGTGTGCGATCAAATAAAAGGTTTTGATTATTGTCTCGGGATCGGATACTTGCTTTTCTTCTAGGGTTTAAGGTTTCTTGGAGGATTAAAAAAAAAAAAGAAGAAAAAAAATGGAGACTTTTGGAGGGTTTCGCAAGGAAGATGATGAGCAGATGGATTTGCCACCTGGATTTAGGTTTCATCCAACAGACGAAGAGCTCATAACCCACTATCTACACAAGAAGGTTCTCGACATCGATTTCTCGGCTAAAGCTATTGGTGAGGTGGATTTGAACAAAGCTGAGCCATGGGAGTTGCCGTGTAGGTTCATACAAACCAATATTTTCAATATCACATGTCTGAATCCAAACACAGTTTTTTTTCTTTTTATCTTTTGTTCTTGGAATCTAATGTGTTCGGATTCTGTGTTTCTTTTGTCAACAGATAAAGCAAAAATGGGTGAGAAAGAATGGTACTTTTTCTGTGTGAGGGATAGAAAGTATCCGACCGGTCTGAGGACTAACCGGGCAACTCAAGCCGGTTATTGGAAGGCAACCGGTAAGGATAAAGAGATTTTCCGAGGCAAATCGCTTGTGGGAATGAAGAAAACACTTGTCTTCTACAGAGGAAGAGCTCCAAAAGGCCAAAAGACAAATTGGGTGATGCATGAGTATAGGCTTGATGGGAAACTCTCTCCCCACAACTTGCCCAAAACCGCTAAGGTAATAGAAAAAAATACTCTGTTTCAGCTCTGCCTTATACTCTCTTTTTTTGCTTCTTTCTTTTGGTTTGATGGTTTTTGGGGTTTGGTTCCATTTGGCAGAATGAATGGGTTATATGCAGAGTGTTTCATAAAACGGCTGGAGGCAAGAAGATCCCAATTTCGACTCTAATCCGAATCGGTTCTTACGGAACCGGGTCCAATCTACCACCCTTAACCGACTCTTCACCATACAATGACAAAACCAAACCCGAACCGGTTTACGTGCCCTGCTTCTCCAACCAAGCTGAAACCAGAGGAACAACACTTAATTGCTTCAGCAACCCTGCCCTTAGCTCGATCCAACCTGATTTTCTCCAGAGGTTTCCACTCTACCAACCTCAATCTCTCAACATTTCCGAGAATCTTCAGCGTTCCAACCAGGTTCTTACGCAAGAACAGTCGGTTTTACAAGAGATGATCGAGAACAACAGAAGGCAGAGCTTCAAGACACTGAGCGTCTCGCAGGAAACCGGAGTTTCTAATACGGATGTTTCATCGGACTTTGAATTTGGGAGGAAACAGTTCGATCATCAAGAAGTTCCGTCTTCCTCCGCCGGTCCGGTTGATCTTGAACCTTTCTGGAATTACTGAAGATTTCAAAACCTCAAAAGTCCATAAGTAAGAAATCTTTGCCAAGTATTATCCTTCTAGCGTGGTGTGCTAAGTTTGTCTGTATATACTTATATTATTTCACAACTTCTACTATTAGTGTTTTACATTTATGTTATAGTGTTATATTTATTTGAACGGAAAGCTAATATTAGTGAGAGGTAAGAAAAAGCGAGGCAATTATATTCGTAAAACTGTGTATATATATTTTTTAAGAACATTTCATGCATTGTATTCAGTTATTTTATCAAAACTATAGTAGCCAATCTGGTTGCTGATGCTTAAAATTAGTTATAATTATATCAACCAAAAAGGAAACTTTGTGGGAAATTACTCAATGAGTTGATGTCTTTATAAAAACAGATCTCCTATATATTAAAATGAAGACATAGGTTGAATAATTAAACAAACAAGGAATTCAGTGTATATTAGTAGTGAGGATAAATCATTTACTTATTATTCTTTAATTTGATAAAGATAATCTGTTTTTATATAAAGTGAAACACAATTTCCATGGACATGAAGAACAAATTCATGCACGTATCAATTCATTAATAAAAGACAAATCACCTTTCATCTTCTCTAAGTTAAACAAAAAAAATATCGATACAGTGGGTCTAAACATACATATTTAACTAGTATCTATGTAACTGCTATATTAAAGAAGTTACTCAAATTTATTAAAAGAGTAGTCTACCACATGAGCATCACTCTATATTCCATCTGCTTTAAAATAAAGGGTTATAAGTATTTTCGTTATTTATCGATGTCTTCCATTTTTCTCATGAAGAATATATTCTGTTATAAAGTTTTTTTTTGGGGTGGGGTGGGGTGGGGTGGGGTGGGGGGTGTAAAATTTCTGTTATAAAGTTGTTACGCATGATGTATGAAATGTGTATACACACGTATATTAACAAAACATTTTAAGCAGCCTTTATAATAGTATTAGCTAATTTGTTATTCTGCCTATTGCTTAGACAAAAATAGAGTTTCCTTCAAATCGAATTATCACTTGTATTATGCATGCTATTGACAAAAAAGAAAGAAAAAATAAATTATTTGCTTGGGTTTGAGAAGTAGAAAAACAATTACAGCATCGTTGTTTTGGATGTGCTATTTTAATTTTCTTATAAACAATTACGCATGTTTTCTTTCGTAGTCTTATATCTTTCAAAATCCCTATACAAGATAGAAAAATGCCCATCTTGAAGTTTGGATAATAACAAAACAAAAGTTGATTACTACAGTTGCCTTTTATAATCAGATTCCCAAACCCCAAAAATACTGGAAATAAATTTTGTATTTTGCTAGTTTCGGATTTGTATATTACTTTCAGATGAATCTGAAATCTCACCCCTCAGTTAATTGCGGATTTAACATGTATACGTATACTCACGTGTCGTATTCGATGTACATAACATAGTCGTCACATTAGTTTTTTGATTGACAAGTTAATAGTTCACTTTAAAAAGACAATTACTTGCCCATGATTCCTATTTAACGAATGGGCGAGTCATAACTCATAAGGATATATCAAGTAGTGATTGGTGCTTGAGGATGTAATTACCCTAAAACCTTACACACGTTGGATTTTTAAGCATGTAGAAACTTTTACATGTGTTTTAGTAACTTTAAAAAAGTCCTCGGTTTATATAACGACCTAGCTGATTTCCTAGTGGGCTTCTTGATGTGGGCCGTTTCTCTTTCTGTGGTTTGGGTCAAACAGTTTGTGTAATGATCCTAATGGGCCAAACTATCCCTAATAGAAAACACTTTAAAAATAACTTTAGTTGATGTGTTATTAACAAGAATGTCATGCTGATGTGTCATCATTAGAGAGCTTCTCATGTTATTTATAAAATAAGATTAGTTTACTAGACTAATTACAAACATTGCCATTCATATTTTTGGTTAGAGAATCAAATATGTATAGTTAGATTAATCATATATGAAATTATTAATAAAAAATCATCATTCTCTTTCCTTAATTGACAATTACGAAAATTAGTAAATAAGGAAAATATGAGATTCAATTTAATGCTATCATTATTATTTTTTTAAATCATTTATATCTCCTTTCATCTTTGTTTAACTTTATTTTATAAAATAAAAAATTGACACAATACAAAAAATTAATAAAAAAATCTAAATTTTTTTCTATATATGCTATGATTTGAATTTTTAAAAACAAAATAATCACTAAAACTATTAAAATTCCCAATATGTTGTTGTGTGTAGGTATAAAAATATTATAAAAAATAGATGATATGCAACTGTATAGTAGGAGAGTAGGTATCTAAATATAAATTATTTTATTTTTAATATTTTATATGATTTTTTAATTAAACTGTATAATGAAATCAAATAAAATAATATTTTTATAAATGTATTTAATTTTGATCAAAAATTTGAATATTGCTCCATTTGTTTCAATTTTTCGGTACAAAATTACTTATACTTTTGTTATTTTGACAATTTGGATTTTGCAAGATTATCTTTTATTGGTTGGATTGTTTTGGAATTATAATAAAACATGTTTTAGTTTTAAAAGAAATAAAAAAAGTTAGTTCTAATCCGTGTAAACACCTAAAACTTTTTATCTTCTTATCTTATAAAATATACTCATTTGATTTTTATGTATCTTGCTGAAGTCTAGATATTTAATCTATAGTGTAGCATATTTAATCTATGTCTATGATCAATGTTTATAATTTTAAAAAATGTTTATAAACGAAGATAAAAACCTTAACAAGGTAAAAAAATCTGTCACATAAAATTTTGAAATAGTTAAATATACATTTTTAATTAAAAAATACAAATTCAGAAACCATCTCCCCGTGCAGGGCGCGGGTCAAACTCTAGTATTATTTTATTTCTGTTGACCACAGTCACCCGCCTGACCACGACTCGCCGTATCATCCACGACGCCTGACCATGCAGCCAAAACCTTGTACTAAAGAAAATAAAGACAATAGGTCGGGAAATCACAAATTTCATCTACACTATAATTTACCGAATAATATTCTCTTGGTCTTTGCGAGTTTACTTTCTTTTAAAAATAAAACACAAATTGTGTTATTCAAATAGTACAATCCAATTATTGGAAAGTGTTTGTAATGAAGAGAGGAAGACAATGATAACAAGTGATGACCACTGAAGGTACGACGGGATATTCTTTATTCCCAATCCAAAATCATTTTCGATATTGCTGGCTTTGATGTTTCGTATTTTTGTATCGTCATCATCAGATTTGGTGTGTCAGACTTTATAATAATCTTGAAATCGACCGCCATTAGTAAAAAATACAAAATATATCTATAACTGATACATAAACATACATTAGATTCCAAATATAGGTAATTTTCTTGTATTTTAATTATAATCGAAGCTATGAATACTGAATCTGATGTCCCTCTATAATTGTTGATTCAAGAATCGAATAGGCGATAGCAAGACGAAGAGATAACAAAATCTTAAATTCCGCCAGGTCCGGCTATGGGTAGTGAAATGATTTTCATATTCAATCACCCATCTTCAAAAGTTGTTATAGATAAAATACGTTTATGTATTGAATTCTTTCAGCATAATTTTTTGACAGACGAAGTACACTCTAATGATATTTATCATAATTTGTTTATTACTTTTTTTTAATCAGAAAATATGATATGAACATAAACTAGAAGGAATCATCATCAATGAACTCAAGAGATACCAATCCTCAGAAATGTGGAATTGGAAATAAAAATATTCATAAAAATCATATTTGTTTAACATACTATACTAGTATACTACTATAAAATAATATTTATTAAAAAGACAATTTTTAATCAGAAGAAATAGACGAGTCGGAGAACCACGTGAACCATGAGGCTGTTAATTGGGCGTGGGGGAGGCATATGTCATAGTTGTCTCTCTCCTTTGTTCCCACTCCCCCACTTTCCACCATTTCATGTTGTTTTGTATAACATTCTAGGGTTCTGTCTTTTTTGTCTATGTGTCTCTGTATCGATTTATCTAGGTCCATTATCAATCTATCAGGCCCCATTGATATTCCCAAAAGAAATTGAAGATTTCTAGACTGGTTTTACATATTATCACAAATTACTTTTCATAACGTTTTTTCCTATTCTCACGGTATTAAAATTTATTTTTTAATAAATAAGATCTGAAATGATTATGGATTAAAAATGTTCAAATCTAAATTCTTCAGAAGAGATCTATGAAAACTTGAAAAGATACACTGTACGTTTTAATCTCTAGTTCTACTTCAAGTGCAAAGGCAATCGAAGAGTACTAAGAGTCTAACAAGCACACACAAAATGCAGTTGAACGCATTATATACTCGAAATGTGAAATTGCATTTAATTGTTGTTTTTAATTCACATGTAGTGTTTCTTTCGTGAATAGTTAGTGGAAGTGTCACTTTTGCGAATCCCAAAAAATTGGTGTAATCATAGCAAAAGTACGAAAAAAAGAAGAAGACATGCTCCATCTTCTTTAGGGTGAGTGGTGGATTCCCATGAATTTCACCTTTAGCTTTGGTCCAATTAAGTCCCAAAAACAAGCCACGGAGATATCGCGTTGTTCTCTTATGGAAGCTCTTCTAATGTCGCTCTTAAGGTTTTCTTTTCTCTTCCCTCTGCTTGAGTTTTTCCATTCCTTAAGTATAAGAAGGTCATATCTAGATATATCATTGTTCCCGTAGCTGTAAGAATTTACCATAGCTCGTGTGGATATAGAAACCGGCATTCAAAACTCTGATCCCGTTAAATTAAGGACACGCTTTTTGCTGCCTATACTTACATGCAACATACATTTTCTGCGTTTTACCTTCATTTGCAGCATACGTTTTCTGAGACCTGTTTTAATTTAAATGTTAAGATATTTTTATTTACAATGACTCAACCATATGAATAAATCATTCCCAATAATTATTATAGCCAGCATAATATTTCTTTGTTCATTACGAACCCTTTTGCATATTCCACTGACTACACTTATTAATTAATAAATTTCTGTAATTATTGTTGTTCTCTTTGCAGCACTAAGATCAATAAATAAAAAATATAATAAAGTTCTTATGAATTGCTACCGTTGATTCTGTCTCCTATCTAATTATGTGACTTTTTGTGATGTAAACTGTTTTGAGTTTGCAAGACTGTTCTAAGAGGCACTAATTACATTTTACAAATGATACTAGAACGTACGTAGGAAGTAGGAGAAGGCCAAGTGAGATATGTGATATAGAAGAAACGAACATTAATCAATACGCAAAATTACTTTAACTGAATTTTGGAAACAGCCCAAAGTGTATTTTGATCGTCTTACAACCTTAATTCCAGGGTATGTGTTTCAGTCACCTCTATATGCCACATTTGGAAAGAACGCAATAGACACATTTCCTTGGTCAAGCATTAGAAAGCTCATCGATAAATTATATGATAAATTGATAGTGATACGATATGTTAACTGTAGTTTTGATACTCTTTTTGGTCGGCACTATATATTTTAATTATTATATCAAGTCGCAGAAAAAACCATTTGAACAGTTCCAACCCCACCATGAAAGGCCCTGTCACTAGCTGGTCAGTAGCTACACTCTTAATTTGAGTGTTTTTTTCTGCAAACTCTATCTTCTTGATATGTTAACAATATTGTTACTATCACTGAAATTTATTTATTTACTTTACTTTACGCGGTTTTTTGTAGTATTTTATTGACACGAGTGCATATGTGCTCACATAATATATAACTATGCCCGCAATGTCTCACATAATATAGAGAAGTAGCTCGCAATGTCTTAGTTTTTCTTTTTAATAATCGTTTTTAAAATGTTCTTGAAAATGAAAACACATAACCATTCAACGATCTACAATAGTTTCTCAGTTAGTTTCATATTCAGATGCATCAGAGTTCTCCTCAAAAGATCTGTTAGTCTCTTGCCTTAAATTCGACGACACTTTTATTTTCTCCTTCTTTCTCTATTCTTCTTCTTCTTTTTCGTCTTCTTCTATAGATATTATAATCATATCAGGAAAGAAAAAAATGTCAAGAAAGCCATGTTGTGTGGGAGAAGGTCTGAAGAAAGGAGCATGGACCGCCGAAGAAGACAAGAAGCTTATCTCTTACATTTATGACCACGGTGAAGGAGGCTGGCGTGACATTCCCCAGAAAGCTGGTACACACACTTATACACATATGTGCGCTTACGTATATTTGTAGCTTCTAAATTCTAATATATATATATATATATATATATATATATATATATATATATGATAAATTAATGAATATGGTTTTTTACTTTAGGACTAAAACGATGTGGGAAGAGTTGTAGACTGCGATGGGCTAACTATTTGAAGCCGGATATCAAGAGAGGAGAGTTTAGCGACGAGGAGGAGCAGATTATCATCATGCTTCATGCTTCTCGCGGCAACAAGTAAACTACCTTTTAACACAAAAAAAGAGTAAAATGCTTTCAAAATTCACATATATTGGGTTTATGTGAAAATGGTCACTTCATACACAGTATGTAGTTTTAACACATAATCAACTTTTTGATGTATTCTTCTTTTCTTGGTCCGTAATAGGTGGTCGGTCATAGCGAGACATTTGCCCAAAAGGACAGACAACGAGATCAAGAACTATTGGAACACACATCTTAAAAAACGCCTTACTGATCAAGGAATTGATCCCGTGACCCACAAACCACTTGCCTCTAACCCTAGTCCGGCCACGCTCAAGCCTTCTGATGATTCCCAAGATGATTCATCAAAGTCAAGAAACTCGGAAGAGAAGTTACGGTCAGGTTCTACGTCTCCAACATCTCTTCCTCCATCTTCAAGCTCCAGCAATCTACCGGAGAGAAGCAGCAGCGATGAGACACAGAAAAATGATGGTTCCTTGAGATCCAAGAAACGTTGTTTTAAGAGATCGAGTTCGACATCGAAAGTGTTAAACAAGGTTGCAACTAGGGCTTCATCCATTGGAGATGTATTAGCAGCGTCCATGGAAGGAACATTCATCAGCTCTACAACACTGTCTCCATCTCTCAATGATGATTTCTCCGAAACTTGTCAATTTCAGATGGATGAGTTTGATCCGTTCTCCGAGTCATCTGAACACACAACTGGTCATATGAAGGAAGATCTCAGCATCAACTTTTATCTCAACAATTCCGAATATGATTTCTCGCAGTTTCTCGAGGAATTTAGTACCAACGAAGGCGAAGAAACCGAGAATATTGGAGGTTTTAATCAAGATCTCGTGATGTCTGGTGTGTCATCAACAAGCGTTGATGAAGACAATCCGATACCAAACATAACCGGTTGGTCCAGTTATCTTGTTGACCATTCCGATTTTGTTTATGACACGAACCAAGATTACGACGAGGACTTCCGATTTTGATTGCTTACCGGACTGGACTTTGACCGGTTGGTTTATGGTTTAATAAGCCCAATAGTAGGGTTTTACAATATTAATTTCGCTTAGATATTCAATAAGGGATTCTCTTAGTTAGAGAAGCATGTAATCTCGTGGATTAATTATTAGTTGATTTGCGAGAGACACGAATAACTACTAGTATACTATTTAGCTTTATGCTGGTGCGAATACCAACAAATAAATAAAAACAAATGAGAACAAAACGATCGATGTTCCTAATTTGTGTATATATGGTCCACAAACAATTAACTATACTCAAACGATAAAGAACAAACATAATTAATGGATCTGTGACGAAAAGTTCCAGACTAATCTGGATTTGAGGCCCAACAAAATCTTGTGTGCAAACAAAACCGATTTGATAAAATATATTAGTGATATCTTCATATATGATGTGAGAGTTTGGTTTTTATGTATGCGCCAACGACTGTGTCGACTCGATTCCTAATTTTTTATTACCCAAAATCACAACTCTAACTCAACCAGGACTTAAACCACTTAGTTCACTAGAATATTGTAAGAACATTAAAATTCGAACTTCAGAACCAACGTCTCTTCTGATAACAGTACTAACCTATTCGCAATGATAACTCACTCAAACTCAGCAACAAAACAATACTAAAGTTAGAGAAAATATGCACAAAGAAAAATGCAATACTAAAGTCTAACTAGGAAATTAAACAGAATGGTCTTCAGTATATTTATGACGTTTTTTTTCTTTCACGTGTGAATTATCAGAAAGCCTACAGTTTGGTCAGAAAGCTCGCGGTCCTATCACGGATAGTAACGATAAGCAAATAATAGAGTATATATATGCTCTACAGTGAGCTACTTTTTCAGAAACTGATTAGTACTCGGGCACATCCTCCTTTTAGACAGTTGTCCCATCTGGACCATATAAACATTATTAGATTTTCCTTTCATGTCTCGGTGTTGCGTCTTGGTGTCCAAAGAGCCCTAACAGCAACCTTCTCGAATAATAATAATAAAAAACATTTCAATGTTGATGTAGTGCTGACCGAGTTTTAAAACATGTCATAACAGGTGAAGATACAGTTGAATGAAGGACTTCATGTATCAGTCAAGAAGTAGTACAGAGAGTCGTGTTCAGCAGATGGGCTTAAGGAATCGATCTGATGGGCTGGACATATGCTTGTAGCTGAGGAGGCGAGTCTAGAAGATTCTAGAAGAGTCAAGAGCTAAGTTGGACGAAGAGATTCGAAGCTATCAAGCAACTAGGAATATTTCCTTTTCCTAGAGAAAAATAAGGAAATAAATATTCTCTTGGAGATTTGGAGTGATCACCAAGGGAGAAATCTTGAAGGGTTTCAAAGCGTACCTATTGTGGATAAATAGGACGTGGAGAGCATTGGATGTGCTCAACCCATTACATTCGAAGATGCCTTAGCATAAGGTTTTGGGGTTCTAGTAGGAAGACCAAACAAAGGGTTAAGGGCATTGTTTGAATGTATCCATCTAGGAGAGAATGGTAGGCATTGTAGTGCTGGATACCATAGCAACTGTAATTGCAATCTTGTTCTAGTGGATTCTGGACGAGGTCCCGGGGATGTAGGAAACGAACCCCGTTAACAAACTCTATGTGTCTTTACTACTATTTATGCTCGTACTACTTTCTGTATCATTCACAGTCTGTATCGGTACCCCCATGCACTTTCAATTGGTATCAGAGCGGGCTCTTGTGCATATTGCAAAGCTGCAAACAAGGGAGATTCCTGCGGAGAAGATGGAGGGTTACCAAGAGCGAATTCCCAGTACATCATGGCGCTTCAAGAAGGACCATCAACCTCAAGAGCGGAGATGCTTCAGCAATTAACTTTGATCAAGTTATGAACTCAAGCAGGGGGAGAATTATATGAAGCTATAATTGCTGAGTTCACAACCATGGTCAAAGAGGGAGAGAGTGTTGGAGGAATCAAGAAAATCGATGGTGTACAATTAAGGGAGAGCTAGAAGATCATCATGCTTTGGAATTGTTATGCTATAATGATGGTGTACAATTAAGGGAGAGCTAGAAGATCATCATACTCTGGAAGGGTTATGCCATGATTCTAAAACTCAATCATCAAGGGAGAGATTGTTGATGCAGTGCTGACCGAGTTTTAGAACATGTCATAACAGGTGAAGATACAGTTGAATGAAGGACTTCATGTATCAGTCAAGAAGTAGTACAGAGAGTCGTGTTCAGCAGATGGGCTTAAGGAATCGATCTGATGGGCTGGACATATGCTTGTAGCTGAGGAGGCGAGTCTAGAAGATTCTAGAAGAGTCAAGAGCTAAGTTGGACGAAGAGATTCGAAGCTATCAAGCAACTAGGAATATTTCCTTTTCCTAGAGAAAAATAAGGAAATAAATATTCTCTTGGAGATTTGGAGTGATCACCAAGGGAGAAATCTTGAAGGGTTTCAAAGCGTACCTATTGTGGATAAATAGGACGTGGAGAGCATTGGATGTGCTCAACCCATTACATTCGAAGATGCCTTAGCATAAGGTTTTGGGGTTCTAGTAGGAAGACCAAACAAAGGGTTAAGGGCATTGTTTGAATGTATCCATCTAGGAGAGAATGGTAGGCATTGTAGTGCTGGATACCATAGCAACTGTAATTGCAATCTTGTTCTAGTGGATTCTGGACGAGGTCCCGGGGATGTAGGAAACGAACCCCGTTAACAAACTCTATGTGTCTTTACTACTATTTATGTTCGTACTACATTTAGCTATAAACACCACTTTCAAGAAAAATTCATCTTCACGATAGGCGACAAGAAAGACTAAAAAAGATTAATTTTCCTAATTTGTTCTTAAATTCCAAAATATACGTGGTTCTATAAACTCAAATATTTGTATTTTGAGAGTCTGCTGCATGTAATCCGTCTGGATTATATCAGATTTGTAATATAATATTATTTGGGATACTCAATCTAATCCATATCCACTTATTGATTAAGGATAAAAACACATGCGAATAATAAAGTGGAAAATTAATGAAAGAACGACTTGCAGCCGTACAAATACGACCCCACATCGTCAAATCCACCTGTGCTCGATCCCGTAAGTCCACATAACGTTGAATTCCATATGATCACACATGTCACTCCTTTGATATGGCTACAAGCCTGCCAAAAAATGTTCTGTTTTTTTTTTTTTTACAGACTCCAAATTTTTTGCAATTGTAGAAACGAAGGAGATAAAAATAAGGCGATTCCTTGCAATGTCGCGTGAAGCGACCAATTTAGCGTTTGGCCAAAAATCCTTAAGACGATCGATCTTACAGAAAAGGCTGAAGCAAGAAAACATATTAGCAAAATGAGTTACCTTAGATTTTTCCTTTTTTTTTTTTTTTTTTCCTTTTTGAAGAAAGTTATTACATTAGACAGCATAGAGACCAAATGTATAGTTGTTGCGTCAAACTGGTGAAGGAAATTCAGAAATATTTTTGCATGCCACAGTTTTGTGTGGTGATTAGATTATTAATTGGGCAATTCTCTTGTAGTCAATAATTGCTTGTTTTTGATTGAAAAATATTTAAGATAAGATAACATCTGAATTTGAATTAGAAACAAAAAAAAGTGAATTGTGGGAGAGGTTTTATAGGTGAGTGAGAAGACAGACGAAGGAGCCCAAAAACGTGCACCGTCCAACATTCCTGCCTATACCTAACCTCCTTCCCCGGGAATATCTTTTTTTTTTCTTTTTCTGTTTTGTCTGCCAAACATTATTCGTTATGGAAAACCAACAGTTGGGCTACCACCTTCCAGGTACTTGCACATGTCACATCATAAACGAAGAGAGGTTCGAGCCTGATGCCAAGATCGATCTACTTAAGCGATAGCCACCAACTACGCTATCATGCCAAATTGCCAACAGTTATAAAAGATAAAATCAGTTTTTATCCCTTCCTTTTTTTTTTACTGGTTAATGACTTTTTAGTTTGTTTATGATATCATATTGTAATCAACAACAAAACAAATAATTTATAAACAAATGAGGAAGAAAATAATCGAAGAAAACAGTTAGCTTATTCCTTGAGCTTGAAACCAATGGTGGAGGACTAGTAGACTATTAGCTCAAGGCGTGGAGTACTATGATAGCTAAGAGAAACCACTCTATGTATGCTATCAGATGGTACATATATGTTGATGACGTCTCTTATTCTGATTGTGTCAGTAGAACTGGAAAGCTAAACGAACATTCCACTTATTTTATTAATATTAATTACTATAAAAAATAAAAAGTTGATCTCATATGAAAAGTTTACAGTATTTGGCAATCATATGATCTTGTAGTTGAAAATCGCTGACGGCAGACTACAATAGACTAAAACATGTAATGCTAACGGTAGACTAAAATGGATTCAGACAACAAGTAATAGTGTAATACAAATAGAATCAAACAAAATGCTAAGGATTAGAAAACTGTAGCACAAAACTAAAAACACTATACTGGCAGATAAGCTTAAAATGTCTATTTACTTTCTTACGTGGGTTTTACCGAGATACATATATAAAGGTTATATGTAGATCGCACGAGTACAAAACTACAAATGACTTCATAAGATCATCAAAAAAAAAAAAAAACTTCTATCTCGTTTTTTTTTTTTAATTATGTTTTTAAAATCATAATCTTATATGCATAGTTTATCGGTTAGTTTCGATTTCAGATTCGGATGCATCGTAATTATATGAACAAGGATTTATCTCTCTATCCTTGGTTTACTAATTCTTTTCTTATCTCCACAAATTTTTGTGTGTTCTAAATGCAGCGAAGATAATGTCAAAAAAACCATCTTGTATCGGAGAAGGATTGAAGAAAGGAGCATGGACTTCAGAGGAAGACCAAAAACTCCTCTCTTACATCCTTGAACATGGCGAAGGAGGCTGGCGTCACATTCCCGAAAAAGCTGGTACATTAATAGATATATACCCATTTGTGGTTATACATATATATATATATATATTAGTTTATAATATTTAAGAGTAATCAACTTTCCGACTTTAGGGCTACAACGGTGTGGAAAGAGTTGCAGACTGCGATGGACTAACTATTTGAATCCCGAAATAAGGAGAGCAGGATTCAGCTATGAGGAAGAGCAAATTATCATCATTCTTCAAGCTTCTCGTGGCAATAAGTACAACATTTGCCTATACATATTTGTTTGTGTGTAATAGAATATTCAACGCATGCATATAGAAGTGTACGTCACGATCATTTAACGTTTTTGCTATGTACTTTTTTTTTTCAATTAGGTGGTCAGACATAGCAGAACATTTGCCGCAAAGAACGGAAACCGAGATCAAAAACCATTGGAACACACATCTCAAGAAACGTCTGATCGACAAGGGAGTTGATGCCGTGAACGACCAGCCACAAGCTTCTAGCCCTAGTCCGGCCAAGCCAAAGAAGAACGGTTCCCAAGAAGAATCCAATCTAGATGAGCAGACTTTACAGTCGAGTTCTACGTCTCCAGTATCTCTTCCCTGTTCTTCGAGTTTCAACATTACAATACCTGAAATCAGCAGCGATGAGACTCCAACAGAGAGTGATTTCTTGAGCTGCAAGAAAGGTCTTGAGAGATCGAGTTCAACATCAAGGCTGTTAAACATAGTTGCACCTAGAGCTGCGTCCATTGGGAAGATCTTATCAACCTCCATCGATGGAACTTTGGGATCTCCTATAGCGTCTCCATGTCCCACAAGCTCACTGTCTCAATCATCTGAACACATGATCAGTAACAAGGAAGATCTCGGTAAGAGCAGTGATCTCAGCATCATTGACAACGATTTCTCACAGTTTCTGGAGCAATTCCTCAACGACGACGAAACTGAAAACCTTGGTGGCTACAATCAAGATCTCCTTATGTCCGATGTCCCATCAACAATAGTTGATGAAGACGATTTGATTGGAGATATAACCGGCTGGTCAAGTTATCTTCTTGACCATCCCGATATTTAATATATATGAAACGGAACAAGATTCCAACGAATAAAACTTCCAGTGATCCGTGTATGGCTCTCGTCAATTTATTGTTGATCCGGAGCTCATTGGCTAATCTCATGGTTGATATGCCCAAGATTAGGGTTTCTCTTAGTAAATTTTAAAGTTGTCAAAAATAAGTTGTCTCTTTGTATTAGAGGACCATGTAATCCGGTGGATGGATTAATACTTGTTAAATAAATTAAGCTTTATGCATAATTTTTGTCTCTTACTGCGTGAATAAGAATTTAAGCTTTTCGTATATAGAATTTAAGGACCACAAATACTGTACTCAAAACTCAAAAGGTTAAAAAGCAACTACTACATTGGTTTTTGACCTGGCAAATTTAGTGAATGATTGATGGGAGCTTTCGTCTCTTATGTGTGTGGCTGCGCATGAATGCCTTTTTGAAAATGAATAATGGATAAATGAACTGTAAAATTCAACAAAAAAGCATACAGTAATTGCCTTTATGTTCGCCTAATTTTCTTGTTAATTACAGTAAAATTGAATTTTGTTAGATCAGATCAACCAATCAACATTAAGCCAAACCGGGATTGGTTTGGTAAAAAACAAATTGTTCATCTACCAAGCCAAATTGGTATGGAAAAACGTCGCACCGAACCAAAACATAAAAACCGGGAGCTGTAGGGTTAATTACGAAAGTAGCCCCCTGTAACTAAACAATAATCAAATCAAATATCGAAAGTTCTCTCAAAATCTGAATCGATGAGTAAGAGACTAAGAGTTATAACCCCTTGGGAGTGATTGGGAGGCACACGAGTTTGGCAAAATGGAGAGCCAAGCATTACTGATAAGCTGGTTATACATCTCCCACGAGCCCTGCGTCACACGTGGCGGCTATATTGCAGAGGAATTAAAATTTCGTCTCTTGTTTGAGAGGGAGAGAGAGAGAGACACTAAGGAAGAAGAAGAAGAAGAAGAAGAAGAAGAAGATCGGAGGTTTGGGTTTCTGTCATTACTCACTACTCCTTAGGGATTCTGCTGAGAGAGAAAGAAAGCTGAATATTTATTGGAAAAGAGAAGAACTTCCCAATTCGATTGGATATGTCGAGCTTAGCTGCTTCGTTGGTCAATGGGGTTGGTCTTAGACCGGAAAGGGCGCTTCTTTACAACCCCATTTCGTTTCCTTCCTCGAGGTAAACAGTTTTACATGGTTTTGATGGGTTGCCAGAAATTTATAACCTTGATCTGATTGATTGATTGATTGTTGGAATTCAAAACCCAGAGTGAGAGAAAGAAAGTTAGTGTAGTTTCTCATAGAGTAGTATGTGATTACATAAATGTGCCCAATATGTTTGTGGAAATGCTTGATCGAACTTGTGTGAGAGAGATGTTTGTTATCCCAAACCGTAATCAAATTTCTTTTTTTGTTTGTTTTGTTATTTGAACTTTCTCATAGAAGGAAAACTCATGGTGTTGTTAAGGCCTCAGCTCGAGTTGATAAGTTCTCGAAAAGCGACATCATTGTCTCTCCATCAATTCTATCTGCTAATTTCTCCAAATTGGGCGAGCAGGTTTGGTTTACTTCCAAGTTCCAAGGCTTCTGCTTTTTGTGGGATGCTTAAAAGTTTGTTGCTTTATCTCGCTTTCTATTTTCGGTTACTGTCAGGTAAAGGCGGTGGAGTTAGCAGGTTGTGATTGGATTCATGTTGATGTAATGGACGGCCGTTTTGTTCCCAACATCACAATCGGACCGCTCGTTGTTGACGCTCTGCGACCTGTGACAGATCTTCCATTGGATGTTCATCTTGTAAGCTTATGCTCTGGCTCCGAGTTTCATGATGTTTTTTTTTTTCTTTTGGTGTTCCCCTGTTTAAGTTTAGATGCTCTTGTTCCAGATGATAGTAGAGCCTGAACAGAGAGTGCCAGATTTCATCAAAGCAGGCGCAGATATAGTTAGTGTGCATTGTGAGCAATCCTCGACCATCCATTTGCATCGCACAGTCGATCAAGTAAGATTCCTTTCACCTGTTTAATCCTTCTTGTCAACACTTTTTTTCTTCAGTTAATCAACATTGTAATGTTGGTTGTATGTAGATTAAAAGCTTGGGAGCTAAAGCTGGAGTTGTCCTTAATCCTGGCACCCCACTGAGTGCAATTGAATATGTATTAGACTGTGAGTCTTCCGTCTTCCACCCTGAACATGATGCACTTAAGCTATTGATAAAGTTGTTCTGATTAAATTTTCTTTTGCTTATGTGAATCAGCGGTTGATCTGATCTTGATAATGTCGGTGAACCCTGGATTTGGTGGACAGAGCTTTATTGAAAGCCAAGTTAAGAAAATCTCAGACTTGAGGAAAATGTGCATAGAGAAGGTATATCTATCTACTTAGCTTCATTTCAAGTTGGTTATTTCCGTAAACCAAACCATGAATGGGCCTTTTTACTCTCCTGAAACCATTGGCTTGGGTGTTTACTGCAGGGAGTAAACCCATGGATTGAAGTCGACGGTGGAGTCACTCCAAAGAATGCTTACAAGGTGAAGATTTTGTTCAGTCAGTAAATTCGTTTGCGCCTTTTAAGAATACCAAATCATGAGTCTTTTTTTTTGTTTTCTTTGGTGTTTCAAAAGGTTATTGAGGCTGGAGCAAATGCGTTAGTGGCTGGATCAGCTGTATTTGGAGCCAAAGACTACGCCGAAGGTAATATGATAGGCTCTGCCTGTTATGTGAATTGTGAGTGGCGATATTCTGACATTTGTCTGGTCGTCTTTGTACTATTTGCAGCTATAAAAGGAATCAAATCTAGCAAGAGACCAGAAGCAGTGGCTGTGTGATCTAAAAGAATATGTTGAAGAATCAAGGTTGAGTAAAGTTAGCTCTCATGGTGTTTGTTCTTTGATCAAATCTCAACTCAAGACCTTAGTTCTTGTCTTTTCCTGTCTTTTGGTCTTTTGAAGATTCCTGTGTATAGTTGCAGAGAACCTTGGACCAGCCTCGGAACAAGGACAAGATCACAAGGTTACTTACAAATTACAACTTGTACATGTAAAAGAGGAAAGGAATGTTTACAAGTAGCTCCTGTGAAACAATTGGATTCTTTGAATTCAGATAATCCAAGGAACAAAAAAAAAAAAAAAAGACCTTTTTTTGGAAAACCTACCCAGAAAGATATTGATTTTCACATGGTTGCGTAACGAATAGGGCAACGTTAACTCAATCTTCATATAATTATCGATGATCCTTCAAATTATGCGAACAACTTTGAACATTTACCGTTAAGATTAAAATAACACTTGGAAGATGTTACCGGAGGAAAGATCCGAGATTGCCTTCTTCGACGTTGAGACGACGGTGCCAAAGCGAGGCGAACGTTTCGCGATTCTGGAGTTCGGGTCAATACTTGTATGCCCGAAGAAGCTTACGGAGCTCCGAAGCTACACGACTCTGGTCCAACCCGCTGATTTGAGTCTCATCTCTTCCTTGTCCGTGCGGTGCAACGGCATCAAGCGCGACGACGTCGTTTTGGCACCTCTGTTCTCCGAAATCGCTGATACTGTCTACGACATTCTTCATGGTTAATAAAAGCTTCTTTCTTCGTCTTCCTAAAACCTTTTCTAATTTAGTCGACTCTGTTTTCTTGTCTGGATTGAAAGTTGAGAACTTTCCTGAATTTTGAGTTGTGTGTGCAATTGCCTCTGAAATGGCCAAAGAGTAAAAAGCTTTATATTTTTGTTGGTTTTGCCATTTTGTTTTGATTGTGGGGGATACATTGCAATTGCAGGGAGGATTTGGGCTGGTCACAACATACTGAGGTTTGACTGTGCACGAATAAGAGAAGCATTTGCAGAGATTGGACGTCAACCACCAGAGCCAAAAGGAGCTATTGACTCATTGGCTTTGCTAACTCAGAAATTTGGTAGAAGAGCTGGAAATATGAAGGTACCATTTGGAATGATGATGAAATTTTAATTCTATGTTTGTGTCTCAAGGTAATTTGGATGTCATTATCATGTGTGCTTTTGTTTCTGCAGATGGCAACTTTGGCTACTTATTTCGGACTCGGAAAGCAGACGCATAGGTATTATAAAACGCATAAGCATTAGTGACCTCAAAACTATCAAAAGCTGTTGAGTCTCTAATTCTTTCTATCTTCCTCAGGAGCCTTGACGATGTTAGAATGAATCTTGAGGTTGTCAAATATTGTGCCACTGTCTTGTTCTTGGTATGTTCTCGTCTTTGTCTCCCAATTGCTCTGGTCTAAACAATGTTTTTAAAACCGGACTAATCAGTGGGAATGCTTATATATCTTGCAGGAGTCGAGTCTCCCAGATGGACTTGTAGATAATTTGGTATCTCCAGAAACTACTAGTTCAAGGAGACATCTCAGAGCATCTTCTTCTCGCGGGAGTAATACTGATATAAGCTCTCTTAGGCTACCCTCCATTGGTGAGAACAGTGTAGCTCAGCCAGATCCGTTTAACATGAGCCTCTTGAGGAATGAAGTGGATTCCGGCAACAACCTTCAATCAGACACTCTCATGGAAGAAGAAGAAAATCAACCATCTGATACTGTTGTCTCTGAGGGATTCTTGGCGCCTGATGCGATATCTCTTACAAACATCAAAGCGGTTCTTGTCCCGTTTTATCATGGAAGTCAAATAATGAAACTGAAGCTACTCCATGGCAATTCCCCTCTGCAGCATCTCTACTGTTCTTGTCTGAAAATACGGTTTGGAATCAATGGGAAGTATCTGGACAACGCTGGGAGACGGAGGTTAAACTTTGTGGTTGATCTGTATCCAAGCCTGTGCAGTATACTCGAGGCATGTGACAGTAAAGCTCAGAAACTGTCTGTTGATTCAGGTTCCGGTTCTGACTGGAACCCGGTCGTGAGTCCAATGAAGGGATTTGTAAACTACCCTAACGCAAGAATACAGTAAGTTAAACTCTCTTGTCATCTCTGGTTCCATGTTCTTGCTTGCTTGCTTTAGCTTCTCCTGATTGGTTTCTTGGGTTTCTGCAGTATACCGACCGAGATAAATGGAGATGCAGCTCGGTATGCAACAGAGGTGCATCAGAGAGAGTCCTCTGGAGCTACTCAGAAGCTAACTATCAGCAATCCGAGCGGTGAGGAGCTTGAATCGTTGCTGAAACCGGGAAGTGTTGTAGATGCGTTCTTGTCTCTGGAACCGTATGATTATCAGCAGAAAGCTGGAATCCGTCTCGTTGCCAAGAAACTAGTTATACACTCCGTAACTCATACATAAATGTTAACACAAGAAAAAAGTATAGAAACTTAAGGACTTAGTGTTTGAGAATTGAGACTGTACATAGGAAAAAAGTTCCAAATAAATGCATTCCAGATTTGTAGATTGTTTCTTGTTTGTCACACTGTAAGAGAATGCACAACTGTAATCTTGAATTCTTTGGAGTCAACGACTAACGAGAAATGCTTTATGATTTTTTAGAGATTATTATATGGTTTTGCTATATAACATTTATAGTGCAATTTATTACTGTAAAATCCGAATCAGTTAATGTCCGAATCTTGATGGTCTGAATTTGATCTTTAATCTCTGGCTAAAGTCTATGATTGTCCGATTCTGTCTCACTCTCTCTCTCTTTGCACAGAGAAGACGAAGAAGAAGAACAATGGCTCCTTGATCAAAGGGTTTTACGAATTCCCACCTTTAGAGGTTCTCTCCCAACAAAAAAATGGGGAAAGAGGACAGATTCAAGACACAGAAGCGCGTCTCAACCGCCTCCGGCGTTCTTCCGACGACGAGGGCGAGTGGTGGCGGAGGAGGAAGAAAACAACCGCCACGTGGCAGACAGATCAAGAAGACGTTCAATAACTTGAAGATGACTATCCTCTGTGGCTTCGTCACCGTTCTCGTCCTCCGTGGCACAATCGGCGTTAACTTCGGCACCTCCGACGCCGACGCCGTTAACCAGAACCTAATCGAAGAAACCAACCGACTTCTAACCGAGATCCGATCCGATTCGGATCCTACAGACCCGAACGAGCCTCCTGATTCCGATCTCGATCTCAACACGACCTACACTCTCGGACCCAAGATCACTAACTGGGACCAACAGCGAGAAACCTGGTTAACGCAAAACCCAGATTTCCCCAATTCCGTCAACGGCAAAGCTAGGGTTTTGCTGCTTACAGGCTCGCCTCCGAAGCCTTGCGACAATCCAATCGGTGATCACTACCTGTTGAAATCGGTGAAGAACAAAATTGACTACTGTAGGATTCACGGGATCGAGATTGTGTACAACATGGCTCATTTGGACAAGGAGCTTGCTGGGTATTGGGCAAAGCTCCCAATGCTCAGGAGACTGATGCTGTCTCACCCTGAGATCGAGTGGATTTGGTGGATGGACAGTGACGCTCTGTTCACAGACATGGTGTTCGAGATCCCGCTGTCTAAATACGAGAATCATAACTTGGTTATCCACGGGTATCCGGATTTGCTCTTCGAGCAGAAGTCTTGGATTGCGTTGAACACTGGCAGCTTCTTGTTTAGGAACTGTCAGTGGTCGTTGGATCTATTGGATGCTTGGGCTCCTATGGGACCAAAAGGACCGATTAGAGAAGAGGCAGGGAAGATTCTCACTGCGTATCTTAAGGGAAGACCGGCGTTCGAAGCTGATGATCAGTCTGCGTTGATTTATTTGCTGCTTTCGGAGAAGGACAAGTGGATGGAGAAAGTGTTTGTGGAGAATGAGTATTATCTTCATGGGTTTTGGGAAGGGTTAGTGGATAGGTATGAGGAGATGATGGAGAAGCATCATCCTGGTTTGGGAGATGAGAGGTGGCCCTTTGTTACTCATTTCGTTGGTTGCAAACCGTGTGGGAGCTACGCGGATTACGCTGTTGAGAGGTGTTTGAAGAGTATGGAGAGAGCGTATAACTTTGCGGATAATCAAGTGCTTAAGCTCTATGGGTTTGGTCACAGGGGATTGTTGAGCCCTAAGATTAAGAGGATCAGGAACGAGACTACGTTTCCGTTGAAGTTTGTAGACAGGTTTGATATTCGGAGAACAACAAGCAGCCGGTAAACCGGTTTGGTGAAGCACATTCAGTTTCTAAATATGATTTGATTATAGCTCCATTGTTTCAATTCAAAGCTCAGTTTTGTCTTCTTTTTTTGTTATCATTATATATTTGCCCAATATATTCAATAGATACGTTCATGAAGTAACTCTGGTCTCTGGAATTGTAGTGTTTTGGTAAGAATTGGGAAAGTTTACAGCTTTTCTCATTTTGAGAGATTGAAATGTAAGAATTTGACAGAAAGAGAGTGACTTGCAACAGAATATAAACACCAAGAAACAAAAGAATCAGTAAAGCTAAAGAGATTGAATTATGATGAATCATCTTCTTGAGACGATGTCCTTGTGGTGTTTTATCAGTAACTCGTTCATCTGAGCAATCTGATGCAGAAGCTGAACTATCCTCTGTGCAAAAAAAGAAATATATGTAAGCATGTGAAAATTGAGGTAAAATCTGATAGACATTTCATCGAACAGTTTGTATGCAGAAAACAGAAAAATGGAAACTGATTAAATACCTCGTCTTTCTCTTTGATGACATCTCGAAGACGATCCGTGGTTTCTCCATTGAGACGTTTCCGACGAGATCGTACACGCATCCACCACCAAATCGCAATGGCAAGGACTGGGTAAAATGGCCGGAAAGTCGTCGAGAACCAGGTCACCAAGCTCTTCAACTTCGAGTATACACGTACGAGAAGAAGCTCCCAATTATGGAAGATATCAATTTCACGATACATAGATTTGCTCGACGATTTCCCGTTTGAAATGCACGGTGGAGATTTCCCGGTTTGTTCAGTGGGTGATCCCGGAGATGATTTCCGGTCGAATTGACATTTCGTCAATAGCGGTTGTCCGTCTGAATCAGTTGACGGTGACGGCGGAGGTTTCTCTTCGCTTTCCGGCGGAGGCTTTCGGTCAAACTCACCCGATGTCAGTGGCGATTGCCCGTCGGAATCAGACGGGGACAAGGAAAATGAAGACGACGAAGCAGAGCGTCTCGACGAAGATGAAGGGGATTCGGATTCCGATAAGGATTCGAGGTACCTATCGACTCCATAGACGGAAGAAGCGACGAGTAGATTCTCGTGGCTGGTCGGCGGAAAAACAACGAGATCGTCCTTGGAGGAATTTGGCGATTCTCTGATGAAAACCATTGACAAACTGGGATCCAAGGGCCCAATCAGCTCTTGCTGACAGTATATGTCGTCATCTTCCGCCATTTTCAGTTGGAATCCCGGAGGATTTGACTCGCGATAGGGTTAGTTTCTGAGAGAGAAAGAGTGTGGGAAGAAGACGACATTCCATGAAAGTTTCAAACAACATCGGATCCAGGAAAACGAGATTTGTTGCGTTCGCTGATTGGTTGGTTTCAAGGCTTCATTTTTATTTGACCAAATATATGTTTTAAAGTAATAATTTAATTTTCACTAATACATCGTTTAGTTTGTATTGTTGCTTAAAACACATCGCATGGCAATACTTGACAAACGATTTCAGATTATTTGTTTTCATTTCGTCTGAATCCTAGAAATGAACACTGATATTGTGGTACGATACAAAGTTTTATACACTAAATAGACAAATTTGCTCTACATCTCTCTCTCTCTCTCTCTTTCTCTCGCTCTATCTGACCTATACAACATTTCAATCTATCAAAAATTCCTCTACGTAGGAAAAAAGAAGAAGAAACATGAAAGAATTCTAATTTACAAGTTAGAATGAATCAATGTGGAGTTAGTCGTGTAAACGTGAGTGAGTGGAGAAAAGAGACCTGTCTCTCTTATGATCTTCGGATGGTTCCTCGATAGCCCGCCCCGGCGAATCGTTTCCCAGTAGGACCCGATCCTGTTTTCAACCGCAACAAACAGCTCTGTGCCTGTTTGCGGAAACGCTAACTCCAACTGGCACTGCCTTCGCTGGCGTACAAAACCACCTTTGGTTCGCTTGAGAGCTTGAGGCGGGTTTTGCAATATTAAATATATTTAAGTGTTTATTTGGGTCAGCTATCATCAACTGGTTTTTTTGTGAGACTGACTCCTTTCGCCTTCTCCATTTCCGCTTCCTTGGCGGCTTTCTTCTTCTCCAACTCAACTTGCTTTATATTCTCTTCATGTGCTTTCTTAAACAACCTTATAAATGTCAAGAGTGTCGCAGTAACTGCACCAATCCATCATCACCCAGTGTTGTTCTTATTAGCTATATAATAACTCTAATGTATCGCACAAACGAGGATGAAGTTTATATTCCACGCCATACCTTGTTCAAATGGACAACGTTTTGGATCCTCGCCGAAATAGTACGCAAGTGCATCAGCATTGTTTCCCTGTCATTCATTATAAAAACCATCATTTCATGATCAAACACATTGTCAAAGGTAAGGAGCTTGGAATCAGTCTAGTAGTGGTTGACAAATTACCACGACGCCGTACAGACTAGATACAGTTGCCACTTCAGTCTCAGCGACGGAAATGAAGTCTTTTAATGTCTGTTATCAAAAACATAAAACTAGGTTTTAGGATCCGGAAGTAGTTAGGTATGTAGCACCAACAATCATGGAACTAATCTCAAATTCATGATTGATGAAGAAAATATGCGAGAGAACAAAAAACACATACTTTACGGAAAACGTCAGAAACAGGACCGTCACTTTCGGATGCAGCGAGCTCCTGGTTCAATTTTTCCAATCCTTTGATGATAGCTTGCATTTCCTCAGCCAGCGACTTCAATTGTATCTGAATAGACAACACAATTAAAACGATGAGCCAATTACAACTACAAAATAGAGGACGGAAAAAGCACAAACGCAAACCTTTGAAGCTGATTCAAGACTTTGAAGATCCTTGGGGAAGTCCAGTAGAACTGATGCCTTGGAAGCAAGGACCTGGAGAAAGAAAGAGGAGAGTTTCAGGATTATGTAACCTTCCTGAGACAGACCATTTTTTAAACAACCCTCGTCAGAAACTAGAGGCTGCTTTTTTTCAATTGTAATTTACCTTGCAAAGATAATGCATGAGAGTCATCTTGCTATTAGCAGCACGTGTATCGCTTAATTTCAATAAACTGTCCAGCTTGAATCCTACTGCAGCGCCTGCAGACAAAACAAGTATATGATGCAATGAAACAAAGGTGCCATTCTTGAATCAAGCCCCCACAGAACAGATATTGTGTTTGCTTAGCGAAATGGCTTGAGCAAAATGTAGAATAAGAGTAATATAATATTTACCCCTCGCTGTTCCTTGGTTCAATGTGTTCCCCAGGTAAAGAATCTTTTTCATAATTTCTTTTAGCTTTTGTGAAGTACGGACCTGTGGAACAAGCAATGAGAAGAAAAGTCTAAGAAAGAGACATTGGATATGGACTGCACAAAGATTAGAGTTAATTATTGCAAACATCTTACCTCCTCACACGCAGAATTTACCGCATTTAAACTTTTTTTGAATTCTGTTATCTGCACAGTAATCATCATTAACAATAGGACCAAGAATCTACAAGTACTTAACCACTGATGAAACCAAAACTTTTTCCTCAAAGAATTAGATATACATAAAAATAACAGTAATACCACCGGACCTGAGTGCCGAATTGAATCTTGAAGGAAAATACTCTCAGCTTTGATTCTACTCGTGGCACCTTCATTAGCTCTAGAAAGTACTGCGGTAACAAAATGGATGAGAAGAAAATGGATTAGCTAAATTATTAATGATATTTTGTAGTAAGAACTGAAAACAGTGTGAGATTGGTAATCTCAAGATTTGAACAGACCTGCTCACACTTTCCCAAGACCGCCTTGTCACCAGTGTAGTTCTACAGCAGAACAGTCAATTACAACCAAGAAGAAGGACTCGTGTCAGTAACAAGCGCATATTGATAACCAAGAAGAATGGCATATTTCACAAAAGACATCCAGAGTAAATAGACATACACCAAAAGGAAAGGAGTTTACCTTAAGAGTTTCCATCTCTTCCTTGGTTGGACAAAACTTTATAAGATTCTCTATTTGATCAATATCTAATACAGTATCATCCATTGCCAAAACTGCAGCCTGGATAATGCAAAGAAAATTGCGAACAATTATCATTAAACTATAACAATATTAACAGTAATGACTTGTTTTCAAGTAAAGTAGGTTTGGAGCTTACCATCATATCAGGTAGCGGCATCTTTACTTTTGTAAGCATAATTTCCGTGTTATTGGCTCTCCTTAGGTCAATCTGGAAAACCATAAGAAAATAACACATCAACAGAGTGAAATATAATCACAACAGCAATCAGACATGCAATGAGCTTCAGAGTAGTAGAAACTGCAGAGAAAAGAGATATATGGATGGAGAGTAGCTAATATAGATCCTCTTAGTGCAATTTTAATATCTTTTACGGATATGTGGGATGCATGCTTTCTGTCACCTTTTTCTAACTACATGACTAAAAGTCTCCACAAGCAAAGAGCACGTTAAAATATATGGCAATAACCAATTCTATAGAATAATTAACATTACCAGTTGAATTTTTTCAGGCTTTGCCCCAGCCGGTTTTTTTCGAGCAGATTTATCAACCGGTTTTTGCACAGCAGCAGTGAAAAGGGTCTCTATTTCTGATACATCAAATTCTGGTGCACTAGCAGAAACGAAAAGAAAAAAGATGATTAATTAAAACCAATAGTCAATAAAACCCCCCCAAACACTGAGAATTTGTTTTCCTGGATAAACAAAGGTGCGAGAGGGGAATATAAACGAAAGAGGAATGTAAAGATAAAGTTAGCGCAATACGTTTGTCCTTCTCCATGCCTCTGTAACTCGTCCCATAAGCTCCCCTGCAAGGCCCTTGTTACTTTAACCCAGTGTAAAGGCTTCAGAGAAGACTTCTTTGGAGCTGAAGACCCCAAACCTGGACGTGCAAGACCACGCCCTCTTCCAGCACCCTTAAGATCAGAAGGTCCACCACCTGGAGGTCTTGGTCCAGGAGGCGGAGGAGGTCCACCAGGAGGTCTTGGTCCGGGAGGCGGAGGTGGACCAGGAGCACGTGGTGGAGGCGGCGGTCCCCCAGGACCTCTACCACCAGGAGGCGGAGGAGGAGGTGGAGCTCCTCCACGCATAGGAGGAGGAGGCGGTGGTGGGGCTCCTCCACGCATTGGGGGAGGTGGTGGCGGTGGGGCTCCTCCACGCATTGGGGGAGGTGGTGGCGGTGGGGCTCCTCCAAATGGAGGTGGTGGTGGTGGAGGAGGTCCACCAGATATGAATGGAGGTGGTGGTGGCGGCGGAGGTCCACCAGATCTCATTGGAGGTGGTGGTGGAGGCGGAGGTCCACCAGATCTCATTGGAGGTGGTGGTGGCGGTGGAGGTCCACTAGATCTAAATGGAGGTGGTGGTGGCGGCGGAGGTGAAGTCTTACCAAAAGGAGGGGGCGGTGGAGGAGGAGGGGCTCCATGACTTGGTGGCGGAGGAATTGAACGTACGTGACTAAAAGGAGGAGGAGGAGGTGGAGGTGGAGATCCATAACTCGGTGGAGGAGGTGAAGGTGGAGGGACTGAATGTGCTTTGCTAAAAGGAGGAGGAGGAGGAGGTGGTGGAGGATGAGCGGAAAAACCATTAATTGGAGAGGCTTTGGGGGATGGTGAAGATGTAATACTCTTGTAAGGTAGAGGGGGAGGAGGAGGAATGTGACCTCCATTTGCTTTTGTTGTATTTGATGAACTAAATGGAGGAGGTGGTGGCGGTGGTGGTGGAGAATCGTAAGATGTAGAGCATGCCTCATGAGTTTCAAGAGTCGAAGTATACACAGACTTCCAAGGTGGTGGAGGTGGTGGTGGAGGCAACATGGTTTCACTGTTTCGCCTCACAGATGCAAAAGGAGGTGGTGGTGGAGGAGGCGGTGGCGATGGGAGCTGAGATGTTTGAGAGTGGCTGCTAGTTTGAGGAGGTAAAGTGGGATGAGGTTGAGACGTAGAACATTTCGTAGGAGTTGCCAAAGCTGAAGCATACACAGACTTCCAAGGTGGAGATGTTGGTGGCAACACCGTTCCAGTGTTTGATCTCTCAGATGCAAAAGGAGGAGTTGGTGGTGTAGGCAACATGGTTCCACTGTTTAGTCTTTCAGATGCAAAAGGAGGAGGAGGAGGAGGTGGTGGTGGAGGCAACATGGTTCCACTGTTTGGTCTCTTAGATGCAAAAGGAGGAGGTGGTGGTGGTGGTGGTGGCGGCAGCAAGGTTCCACTGTTTTGTCTCTCAGATGCAAATGGAGGAGGAGGTGGTGGTGGTGGGATCTGAGATGTTTGAGACCGGATGTTATTTTGACTCGGTGAAGAGTAAGTAGGCAGTGGCGGAGGTGGTGGAGGTGGCGGAGGTGGAGGAGGTGCTGCTTGTGATGTTGCCTCACTGGCTACAGAAGGCAGGGCCGGAGATGGAGGTGGTTGAGGCGCCTGATGTGGAGAGGAAACAGGTAGAGAAGGCGGCTTTTCCCTCGGGCTAGAATCAGGTGATGCATAAATTGGAGCTCGGCTCCTCATATCCGGTGAAGAAACAGACGCTCTCAGATATTTAGTCTTAGCATCCTTTGGAATCACACCATCAGGTGATGTAGCTCTTTTACCATCCTTGCCAGACGTGGTGATTGCAGCAGGAGCACTGTTAATCCTTGTTGGGGGATACGCCACATGCATAGAATCTTTATATGAGCCCTTATTTGAAGGAATCCATCGAGAAACTGCATTGGGCTTAGCCATTCTTAAGTTACCCTGAGTCTCTTGCTGCTTAGACTTTGGTTTGAGTGAATCTACACCTAGTTTTGCATTAGCTCCTACCTGTTTCTTTGGTGTAGCTTGTGTTTTTTCTGATATGTTATTTGTTTTCTGAGCTGTATCTAAATCATTCTCAGAATCATTGCTTTCTCCATCACCTTTTTCCTGAGTCACTTCTGTTGTAGAATCATTTTCCTTTGCTTCCATGTTTCTTCTCTTTCGCTGCTCATCACCATCATCTACTCCTATATCCTTCACTGAGTCAATGTTGGAATCTGCCTTCCCATCTGACCTATACTGTACGTCATCAACAGTGATATCTTTGACTGGATCTGTGCTCGCCTCTCCACGCAGATCATTTTTATGATTTGAATCATCAGATGCACAATCTAGAAACGCATTGGGATCCACATCCCCCTTCCACACCTCTTTACCTTCAGAATCATCTGAAGCAGTATCAACAACCACAAAACTATCTGAGTCTTTCTTATGCTCAGGCCCATCAATCACATCGCTAAAAATCTCCTCCACCTCAAAAAACTCTTCAGGTGAAGCCATATCAAAGTCGTCGCTCTCATCGTCTGATACTGGGGCTGTAGCGATAGTAGGAGGCACCACGGCATCCGCACCAGAAAAAAGTACCTGATACATATATGAGTATGCATTCAAACTTAACAGCCTCATTTTTACGGATGATCAGAGAAAAATTTCACAAAGCCATACCTCTGCCTTAAATTCCTTTGGGAACTGCTCCTTGGCATCCCAAACTATATCCATCTCATCGCGTTGGATCATTAAAATATTAGCACGCACAAATGCCGTGTGGAACATGATTCTAAAGACCATCTCCTCACGCACCAAATCATCATTTAAGTGTATACATTCCACAACAACATCCCCTTGAACACGGCACTGGACATCTAATTTCACCAGGATGCACTCTTCCTGCATATTAGATCACGATAATAAATTCCCAAATTAACTCTAAGACTTTAACATTTCCTGTATATATGTTTTTAACTTGCATATAATAAATCAGTGTGATGATCATATAAATCCATATGCCACAAAGTTACAATGGTTCAAAAAGTACCTGTTGATAGAGGCGAGTGTGTTTGTTTGTCTTTGGCGTGGAAAAAAGAACTATGGAACTCCTGTTGGCTCGGGCTTTAGGGTCCTGGCCATAGACCCGTAATATTGGTCTGCAACCTTTCCTCCCTTCAAAATGTGGGAGATCTCTGAGAATCAAGCAATCCAAAAGAAGAGGCGTGTCTGCAGGAGGCCAATCAGATCCTAAATTTCTTCTAGAAATGTACTGAAGATATCTGAGTTGAGATGGCTGTGGGTTTAGAGGAGACAAGAGGTGAAGAAGCTCCTTGGGAGCCTGTTTGTGTACCATCTCAAGAGTCTTCTGCTCGCCCTGATACTGCTTTCTGTACAGTAACAGCCCTGACAGCATAAACGCAAGAACTGGCCAACCACCTTTTTCGCAATGCATCAGCAGAACATTTTGTTGTCCTTCCAACGATAACCAGCTCTCGCTAGATTTTAGAAAGTGATGGATCATTTCGAGAGGTAAAAGCGGACAACTCTCATACTGCCGAGGATAATCCATCACCGTCATGTCGTACTGAGACAACACATCTGATATCTTACTCCGCTGTTCTCCTTCTCTAAAGTTAAACACCATGAACGAGGCATCTGGGAAATGATCCTGTAGCTGTGCTACGATGCCACCCAAGTAGACTTTGTACTCATCTTCTCCCATAACATCGCTCGAGAAACAGCAGTCAAAAACTGCAAAAGAAGAAGAAAACAATACAAGAACATCAGACTAGCAAATATGGAAACCTGGATATGTCGCAGTTATTAGAAAATGGAAACAGAAATCTTCAAGCTCTGAAATTGATGTCACTATCCAGAAGTGCAATGTAGCAGCTCAGATAAAAAAAAAAAAAAAACCTTTTCAAAGAATCATGGTCGCCGAACATGTAAAGAAACTATGGTTTTTGGTTAGTGCGACAATGGAATATCCCACAAAGCTAAAGTGTCGTCAAAGAGATTCTGATTCCTAAACCTCTATAATTCAAAGCCTAACAGAGACAAGTTGAGCTCAAATGGCAAAGCTATTACTTGAATTCACAAAGCAAACAAACTGCCAAAAACCCTTCATCATCCACAGAAGCCCGTGGCAATTTTGATCCAAATGCCAATTTTTTCATCTTTTTCGAAATGATTTGATCCTACGAAGAGAGACAAAGGGGAGCAAGAGGTGTTACCATAAACACGCTCCGAGATCTCGAGAAGCCGATCCGGAGGCTTTTTGTAGAAGAAGCGACGGAACAGCGCCATTCGATGGCGCTGTCTCTCCTCCGATCAGATCCAAACCGTCGATTTAGTAAAGCAACAAGCAGATCATCTTCGATTGCTCGAATTCCGTTGACCTAAACCCCAGATCTCCTTCTTCCCCAATTCAGGTCGCAAACCCTAATTTTAACCCAGCAGAAATGTTGACAAATTTCGCAAAATTACAAGAGCCAGATAGAGACCCGAATCGCAGAAATTTCCTTCTCTCTCTCTTCACCTGTAATCCAATTTTGGAACAACGCAACTCGTAATCTCAAGGCCAGCGACGCGAATCACCCCCTCAAGCTCACAAATTTCCGAATACTTTGTTTCCAAAATTAATCGATCTATGTACAATGCCGAATCTCCCCTCTCAAACGTGGAAAACAATGAATCTTCGAAGCTAATCAAATAGTTGATAAAAATAAAAACAAAAAAAGAGAGAATGAGAGAGACGGAAGTGACAGTGAGATGAAGAATTTCAGGTGAAAAAAAAAGAGAGAGAGGAGAAGATGGAGCAGAAAGAAAAATAGAAATGAAGAAGCGAGATTTCGAGAAATCTTCCTTCCAGCAGTTTTTGTCAGATAAATTTATTTTTATATTTTATTTTGACAAAAGGGTTTTATTCATATTTAGAGGTATTTAATTATAGCAACAAAAAAAGCTTTCTTAATTTTCCCATTGAAATATCTTTGCGTTAATGAACGTAGTGGACTTTAGTTTAGACTCGGTTCGCAGTCCTGACATACGACACGACCATTCTCTCTCAATGTGTTTGTCTCATCCTACGTGGCAGGATGGTCTTAAAAGGATTTTACGTTTTCTTTTTGTAAGTAAAATAGAAATTATAATTACAGCCCCGTTTTGCGATCATTATGAAACTCAGTTTGTAAATTCCCACCTGTCGAACACGTTATTCATTTAAAACAAGTCACTAGAAATATTTTTAGAAACTCCTAATAGCACTAATTCAAATGGCATTTTGAATTAAGGTAATAATAATAAATGTGTGTATGGTTTTCATTTTCGTGATTTAAAAACTTTAATAAAGGGGACTGTCTTTTCTTATCCTTTGAGGATAAGGGATCTCCTCCTCTTCCATCAAAGAAAGCATAAAAAGGACAATGATATGTGTAAACTTGTCTGTCTTTGCACCCAATGTGTTTGGTCTGCTGAATAAATTGATTGGTTGGTTTAGCGCCAAAATCAAGCTCAGGTTTCTCTCACAATCAATTTTCTGTTTCTTTATCCACCGAGGCCCATGTGTAATATTTGGGCTTAATTTAGTTAACGACCCACTGGGCCTTTCCTGACATGGTGACTTACAGAGAGTCACGTGACTTCTTATTGTTGTCCCATTCTCTCCTTTCTTTTGATTTCCTTCAATTCCTTCGTCTCTCTCGAGTTTGTGGTAAATGAATTCTTCAAAAATGTGCTGGAACGAGACGGAATCACCATTTGAATCTGTCCACTAATTAGTAAAGATTGATTTGATAAACGAGAATTGTTCGTTAATTATGATAAAAAAAAAGAAAGAAAGAAAAGGTCTTATTGTCTCTTCGACTTCGAATTTAAATCTGAACAAGGTCTTCATTATAAGTCAACTGCGCTTTCAATACGTTTGTACAATCTGCATCACCTCCACCACCACCACCTCCTCCTTTTGCATCTAGGAGACCAAACAGTGGAACCATGTTGCCTCCACCACCACCTCCTCCTCCTTTTGCATCTAAGAGACCAAACAATGGAACCATGTTGCCTCCACCACCACCTCCTCCTGTTGCACCTGAGAGATCAAACAGTGGAACCAGTTTGATTCAAACATTTAACCCTTCTCCACCACCAGCACCACCACCACTTCCTCCCCGTCCTGATTTTAGCTCATCAAGAATAGCAAATCGACATTACCTTCGCTTTCTAACAGAAGAGCCACTTAGGTGTGTTTTTTATCCTCCAAGAAAAGAGGGCTCTCCGAATCCATCATTAGACTGGGTTAAAATACCAAGGACTGTTCAGGGAACCTTATGGGACGAGTTACAGAGACGTGGAGAAGAAGAAACGTATTGGACTAACTTTTACCTTTCTTTTTATGTCTCCCTCTCTCCCTAACTTTTCTTCTTCTTTTCTGCTAGTGAACCAATATTTGATGCAGCAGAAATACAGAGCATGTTCTCTGTTTCAACGCCAAAACCTCGAGTAGTTCGGCTGGTAAGTAGACAGAAAGCATGCTATGATTTGCCCTTTGAATACTTGGCTCTGTTTGATGTATTTTTTTCCTTGTGTGGTTTGCAAGATTGACTTTTGGAGAGCCAATAGCATGGAAGTTATGCTTAACAAAGTAAAGGTGCCGCTGCCTGATATGATGGTAAGCTCCAAAACTTAGTTTACTTGAAAACAAGTCTTTTCATAGTTTATTGATGAGATTGTTCATGTTTTTCTTTGCATCATCCAGGCTGCAGTGCTGGCAATGGACGATACTGTCTTAGATGTTGATCAAATAGAGAATCTTATAAAGATTAAGTTGTTTCCAACCGAGGAAGAGATGGAAACTCTTAAGGTAAACTCTTCCCTTTTGAGTAGCTCTATTTACTCTGGACGTCTTTTGTAAAATAAATGTCATAATTCTTGGTTATCATTGCTCGCTTGTTACTGACACGAGTCCTTGTTGTTGGTTGTGATCGACTGTTCTGCTGTAGAACTACACTGGTGACAAGGCAATCTTGGGAAAATGTGAGCAGGTCTGTTTAAGTCTTGAGATTACCAAATCCCACACTGTTTTGGTTCTTACTATAAAATTGTAATGCATTGTCTTCTCTCATCCATTATTTGAACAACCGCAGTTCTTGCTAGAGCTAATGAAGGTGCCGCGAGTAGATTATAAGCTGAAAGTGTTTGCCTTGAAGATTCAATTCGACACTCAGGTTCGGTGGTATTACTTGTAATTTTCTTTTATGTCTAACTCTAGATTCTTTATCCCTATTGGTAATTTGATGATTACTGTGCAGACAACAGAATTTGAAAAACGTTTAAGTGCTGTAAATTCTGTGTGTGAGAAGGTAATAAGCTCTAATTTTCTGTGAAGTCCATATGCATATATCTCTCGCCCCTAGACTTTAATTCCTTCTTATTGATTGTTCCTCAGGTCCGTTCTTCTGAAAATCTAAAAGAAATTATGAAACATATTCTTTACCTTGGCAACACATTGAACCAAGGAACTTTCAAGGGTTAGTATTATATTTCGGCATCATTGCTTTTTGCTCAAGACATTTCCTAAGGCAACCATATAAGACTTTTGCTCTGATTTATATATGCAGGCTCTGCAGTGGGGTTTAGGTTGGAAAGTTTATTGGAATTAAGCAAGACATATTCTCCTAACAGCAGCATGACTCTCATGCATTATCTTTGCAAGGTTCATTACATATTTAATTACAATCAAAGGAAAGTAGCCTCTAGTTGTTTCTGACATTCATTCATAATCCAAGAAACTCTCTCCTTTCTTTTTCCAGGTCTTGGCTTCCAAGGCACCACATTTACTGGACTTCTACGAGGATCTTGAAGGTCTTGAATCAGCTTCAGAGGTTTTGTTTTTCTTTCCTCTAGACTCATTAATTAGCTGTACGTAATTGGCTCATCTTTTGATTGTCCTGTCCATTCAGATAAAAATGAAGTCGCTGGCAGAGGAATATTTTGATATAAGCATATCACTGGAAACGCTGGGAATGGAGCTCTATGCATCCGAAAGAGATGGTCCGGTTTCTCAAGTTTTCCGTCAAGTATGTTCTTGTTATTTTTTTTTGCAAATGATTCTTCAGCAGGCTTTTGTGTTTAGACCTAAAACCTTAATATTATTTGTGTTTCTCTGAGAACAGAAGCTGAAGGAGTTCATCCCCATTGTTGAGACTAGAGTGGCAACTGTATTGGATCCTTACTGCGTCGTGGTAATTTGTCAACCTCTGTCTACAAGATTGCATTCCAAAGCTCCCTTTACCTTTTTGACAATATGTAATCTGATCTGAACATATTGTTGTGTTCTTTTGGGACAGGGAAAAGATGCTGACGCACTTGTGTATTATTTTGGGGAGGAGCCATACCTTTATCCATTTGAAAAAGGTTTGGGCGCCGAAACTTTTGTGCAAAGTACATAGGAGAAAGTTGCTGTTATACTATAGTAGCTAATAACATTATGTACCGGGTGATGACTTATGGTGCAGTTGCTGCGACACTGTTGGAATTTGTAAACTTGTTTAAGAAAGCACATGAAGAGAATGTCAAGCAAGCCTGATCCAGGACCTGGGGCATTTGGGTCATCTCCACCACCTCCACCGCCGAGTTGCAGAAGGAAACCGACCAAAGAAAGTACATAGTACAATCGGAGGATTCTCGGATATACACTTAACTTTTGTGGTCTTATCTGCATTCATATATTTAATAATTGCTCTTCAGTGTGAATCTTTTGTTTTTCGTAAATTTGTGATTGCTACTGGATTTCATGTGTAAATGTGTTGTACAATGCCTTTTCTTTCCAAACAAGCATTCCAAGACTTAAACCGGTTCGAACCGGATGCTTTGGTTCGCTTTCTAATCTTACAAGGACTGGTTTGCTGATGTATTTTTGAACCTATTTTTAGTTGTACGAAAATGAAAAAGAGAATAAACTTGTCAGAGTTGGTGGAGAGAGACAGAGATAATTAAGAAGAGTTTAAGAAGAAAAAGACAAGAGGAAGAAGATTACTCTTGTCTTTTTCCGAATACTTTGTTTCCAAAATTAATCGATCTATGTACAAGGCCGATCTATAAACTTGTCTGTCTTTGCACCCAATGTGTTTGGTCTGCTGAATAAATTGATTGGTTTAGCGCCAAAAGCAAGCACAGGTTTCTCTGACAATCAATTTTCTGTTTCTTTATCACACTGAGGCCCATATGTAAGATTTGGGCTTGATTCAGTTAATTATGGGCCTTTCCTGACTCTGACTTGGTGACTTACATAAAATCACGTGGCTTCTCCTTATTGGTTCTTAATTTAAAATCACGTCCCCCATTCTCTTCTTTCTTTTCTTTTCATTTCGTTTCTTCGTCTCTCTCGAGTCTTTTTACTTCTTCAAGCTGATTTCTGATCCCCGAGTTTGTGGTAAATGAATTCTTCGAGTCTTATCGTCTCTTCGACTTCGAACTTGGAAATCTGAACAAGTCTTCAATCTTCATCACAAGTCAACTGCGCTTTCAGAAATCTACGCGATCAGGGTCTCTCTCTCTCCCTCGCTTGTACATTTTGAATGGCGCTCTTCCGACGATTCTTCTGCAAAAACCCTCCTGACCGGCTTGTCGAGATCTCAGAGCGTGTCTTTGGTACTACTACTCTGTTTATATATATATATGTGGTTAAGTGATCTCTTCGTTATAAATCCTTTGTTGGAAAAAAAAAAACTTGCTTTCCAGATTCCATTTTCTAATAATCTAGGATGTTTTGCTGTAGCAGTTCCAGGTTTTGAGAGTTGCTTGTCTTACATTACATTCATCTCTTGTTTTTCTTCTTCTTATTTTGCAGCTTTTGACTGCTGTTTCTCAAGCGATGTTATGAGAGAAGATGAGTACAAAGTCTACTTTGACGGCATCGTATCACAGCTACAGGATCATTTCCCGGAAGCCTCTTTCATGGTGTTTAACTTTAGAGAAGGAGAACAACATACTCAAATACCAGACTTGTTGTCTCAACACGACATGACAGTGATGAATTATCCAAGTCACTACGCTAACTGTCCGCTTTTACCTCTCGAGAGGATCAGTCACTTCCTGAAATCGAGCGAAAGCTGGTTATCACTGGAAGGTCAACAAAACGTTGTGTTGATGCATTGCGACACAAGTAGTTGGCCTGTTCTTGCGTTTATGTTAACAGGGATGTTATATAAGCAGAAGACTCTTGAGATGGTATATAAGCAGGCTCCTTTAGAGCTTCTTCGTCTTTCCTCTCCTTTAAACCCGCAGGCTTCTCAGCTCAGATATCTTGGGTACATTTCTACAAGAGGTTTAGGATCTGACTGGCCTCTTTCAGAGACGTCTCTTCTTTTGGATTGCTTGATCATCAGAGATCTTCCAGGGAGTAAAAAAGGTAGCGGGCCAATCTTAAGGGTCTATGGTCAGGACACTAGATCCCCAAACACAAACAGGAGTCCCTTACTTCTCTTTTCCACACCAAAGTAGCAAACACACGTATCCCTACCAACAGGTACGTTTCAGACCATTTTCTATCTTTTTTAAGTCTAGGAACTATTTTTGGTATTTTTGTTACACAAGCTGCCTCTGATCTGCAGGAAGAGTGTGTCCTGGTGAAATTTGATATCCAGTGCCGTGTTCAAGGGGATGTTGTTCTGGAATGTGTACACTTGGGTGATGATTTGGTGCGTGAGGAGGTTGTCTTCAGAATCATGTTCCACACGGCATTTGTGCGTGATAATGTTCTGATGGTCCAACGTGATGAGATGGATATACCTTGGGATGCAAAGGACCAGTTCCCAAAGGAATTTAAGGCAGAGGTATGACTTCTTGAATATTCCTCTGTTGAGTTTGAATGCGCATCACTCATATTATGTTATTCAGGTACTTTTCTCTGGCGCTGATGCTGTGGTGCCTACCATCACAACAGCCCTGAAGAATTTCGATATTACTTCACCTGAAGAGTTGTTTGAGGTGGAGGAGATCTTTAGCGATGTGATTGATGGGCTTGATCATAAGAGAGACTCAGTTGTTGATACTTTTTCAGATGATCTCAAGGCCACATCAGTTTTACACTCTACACCACCTCCACCACTACCTCCTCCTCCTCCTCCTTTTGCATCTGAGAGACCAAACAGTGGAACCAGTTTGCTTCCAACATTTAACCCTTCTCCACCACCACCACCACCACTTCCTCCCCGTCCTGATTTTAGTTCATCAAGAATAGCAAATCGACATTACCTTCGCTTTCTAACAGAAGAGCAACGTAGGTGTCTTCCGAAGCCATTATTAGACTGGGATAAAATAACAAGGGCCGTGCAGGGAACCTTATGGGACGAGTTACAGAGACGTGGAGAAGAAGAAACGTATTGGACTAACTTTATCTTTCTTATTTATGTCTCCCTCTCTCGCTAACTTTTCTTCTTCTTTTCTGCTAGTGAACCACTATTTGATGCATCAGAAATACAGAGCTTTTTCTCTGTTCCAATGTCCAAACCTCAAGTAGTTCGGCTGGTAAGTGACAGAAACCATGCTATGACTTGCGTGGAATCTGATTGAATACCTGGCTCTGTTTGATGTATTGTTTTTCTTGTGGTTTTCAAGATTGACCCTTGGAGAGCCAATAGCATGGAAGTTTTGCTTACCAAAGTAAAGGTGCCGTTGCCTGATATGATGGTAAGCTCCAAAACTTAGTTTACTTGAAAACAAGTCTTTTTATAGTTTAATGATGAGATTGTTCACGTTTTTCTTTGCATCTTATCCAGGCTGCACTTCTGGCAATGGACGATACTGTGTTAGATGTCGATCAAATAGAGAATCTTGTAAAGATTAAGTTGTTTCCAACCGAGGAAGAGATGGAAACTCTTAAGGTAAACTCTTCTCTTTTGAGCAGCACTATTTACTCTGGACGTCTTTTGTAGAATAAATGACATTATTCTTGGTTATTAATATTCGCTTGTTACTGACATGAGTCCTTGTTCTTGGTTGTTATTGTCTGTTTTGCTGTAGAACTACACTGGTGACAAGGCAATCTTGGGAAAGTGTGAGCAGGTCTGTTTGAGATTACCAATCCCACACTGTTTTTGGTTCTCACTATAAAATTGTTCTCTTAGCTAATGCATTGTCTTCTCTCATCCATTATTTTAACAACCGCAGTTCTTGCTAGAGCTAATGAAGGTGCCACGAGTAGATTATAAGCTGAGAGCATTTTCCTTCAAGATTCAGTTCGACACTCAGGTCCGGTGGTATTACCTTTACTTTTCTTTTATGTCTCAACTCTAGATTCTTTGTCCTAATGGTAATTGATGATTACTGTGCAGATAACAGAATTTGAAAAACGTTTAAGTGCTGTAGGTTCTGTGTGTGAGAAGGTAATAATACACTCTAATTTTCTGTGAATTCCATATGCATATATCTCTTGCCCTTAGACCTTTACTCCTTCTTATTGATTGTTCATCAGGTCCGTTCTTCTGAAAAGCTAAAGGAAATTATGAAACATATTCTTTACCTTGGGAACACAGTGAACCAAGGAACTTTCAAGGGTTAGTATTATATTTCGGCATCATTGTTTTTTGCTCAAGACATCTCCTAAGGCAACCAACAGCAATCGTTGGTGGTTGAGATATAAGACGTTTGCTCTCCTTATATATATGTGCAGGCTCTGCAGTGGGATTCAGGTTGGAAAGTTTATTGAAGTTAAGCAAGACATATGCTCCTAACAGCAACATGACTCTCATGCATTATCTTTGCAAGGTACATTACATTATTACAATCAAAGAAAGGCAGTCTCTAGTTGTTTCTGACATTCATTCATAATCCTGAAACTCTCTGCTTTCTTTTTCCAGGTCTTGGCTTCCAAGGCACCACATTTACTGGACTTCCACAAGGATCTTGAAAGTCTTGAATCAGCTTCAGAGGTTTGCTTTTCCTTTCCTCTACACTCCTTAATTAGCTGCATGTAACTGGCTCATCTTTTGATTGTCCTGTCCATTCAGATAAAAATGAAGTCGCTGGCAGAGGAAGCGCAAGTTATATGCATAGGACTGGAAATGCTGCAAATGGAGCTCTATGCATCCGAAAGAGATGGTCCGGTTTCTCAAGTTTTCCGTCAAGTATGTTCTTGTTTTCTTTTAGAAAATGATTCTCAGCAGGATTTTGTGTTTAGACCTAAAACCTTAATATTATTTGTGTTTCTCTGAGAACAGAAGCTGAAGGAGTTCATCCCCATTGTTGAGACTAGAGTGGCAACTGTATTGGATCCTTACTGCGTCGTGGTAATTTGTCAACCTCTGTCTACAAGATTGCATTCCAAAGCTCCTTTTACCTTTTGACAATATGTAAAACATATTGTTGTGTTCTTTTGGGACAGGGAAAAGATGCTGACGCACTTGTGTTCTATTTTGGGGAGGATCCATACCTTTATCCATTTGAAAAAGGTTTGGGCGCCGAATCTTTTGTGCAAAATACATTAGAGAAAGTTGTTGTTATAATATAGTAGCTAATAACATTATGTACTTTTGGTGCAGTTGCTGCGACACTGTTGGAATTCGTAAACTTGTTTAAGAAAGCACATGAAGAGAATGTCAAGCAAGCCTTTTACAGAGGACCCGAGGCATTCGGGTGATCTCCACCACCTCCACCGCCGAGTTACAGAAGGAAACCGACCAAAGAAAGTACATAGTACAATCGGAGGATTCTCGGATATACACTTAACTTTTGTGGTCTTATCTGTGCATTCATATATCTTGACCACCTTAACAAGAATATACTCCATTTAATAATTGCTCTCCAGTGTGAATCTTTTGTTTTTCGTAAATTTGTGATTGCTACTGGATGGATTTCATGTGTAAATTGTGTTGTACAATGCCCTTTTCTTATAAGGCATTCCAAGACTTAGACCGGTTCGAACCGGATGGTTTGGTTCGCTTTCCAATCTTACAAGGACTGGTTTTGGTTTGCTGTTGTATTTTTGAACCTATTTTTAATTGTACGAAAATGAAAAAGAGAATAAACTTGTCAGACTCCGGGGAGAGAGACAGAGATAATTAAGAAGAGTTTAAGAAGAAAAAGACAAGAGGAAGAAGAATCACAAGTCGGAAAGTCTTTGTTCATTTCTTTGGAGTGGTCTTTTTCTCACAGGTCTCAGCCCCCATTTAAGCTTCTTCTGTAAGTTAGTTCTCTGTTTGTTTCCTTTGAATTTCTCTCCAACTTTTTTTATGTCTTGGAATCTCTTTCTTGTCCAAGGATAATGGCCCAGCAGATCTCGGATACGCAGCACTTCTTGCTTCTTCCAAATTGAAAAAAAAAACCAGAAAGAAAATATTCTTTCTCTTTTTGTATTTTCCCGAGAAAATAAAAGAAGCTCCTTTTTTTCTTCTCTGTTTTCCAGCAGCTTCCTTTGGGTGAGTCGAATCTCAGAAAATCCTTGGAATAGTTATTCTTCGGATTTCAAAAAAAAATACTGTTCCTTTCTACTTTTTCGTTCTTTTCGAAAGGTAGATCCTTTTCTCTCGTTATCACTTTACTGATAAGGTTTCTGGTTTTCTTCCTCTGCGGATTTTATGTTCTGTATTTTTTTTCTCTGTTTCTTTTATGTCTGTAACTTCCTTCATTATTACAATGTTCCTCTTTCATACTATGCCTCCTAGGAAATTAGGAATCTTACTAAAGTTTCATCTTTTTTCTCCTTCATAGAATCTTCTGTGCTCACAATGTCTTTTTTTTTATGAAAGCTTATTATCTTCAACCACTTATGATATTTCTCCAAAAACAAAACAAAAATGGGAGAAAATTATGTTAATAGTCTTTATTTGAGATCTTTAGGGCCGCTTTAGTATAGTTTTGCTCTCCAGCCTCATCTTCCACAGGATTATTGTTGGTAAAGCGACAAAAGTTTGATTATTTTTCTTTTGCTTGGTAAAACAGGCATCTTGGCAAGAGTGTGAAGTGGATGAAAAATGCAGCAGAACAGCTTTTTCCTTGGCTGCAACTACTCAAACCGTGACATGAGAGATAATGCAAGAAGTGGCTGGAGTTTGTGTCCTGTACAGGACATTGGCAACGTGAATGTGAATGTTGATGAAACATACTCGTTACTGTATTATGATCTTTATCTTAGACAGTTGAAGGAAACATTGAAGCACACCATGCTTGTGCATGAATCTGTCTTTGAAAGCCAGGTGCGTGTGATGATAAATGCTTCAATCTCTCTGCTGGTGTATCAAATTTTAAGAGTTGTGATATGTTTATTCAATTTCAGATCCATGAGCTTCATCGTCTGTATCGGAGACAGAAGGAACTGATGATGGAAATGGGAGGAGCTCGACATCACGAGGCCTTGAACCTAAACTCTAGTTTCCTTAGTCTTGGAACAACACACTGGATGAGTTCGAGCGTCTCCACATATCAAACTAGGAATGAAGAAAACATTCCTAATCATCTTGAAGCTGTGGATCATGCTGACAAGTCTAAAGAGAAGGTCCTGGATCTGGAACTACCAGTTCTTGAGTGTCATGTAAGAAGGAAAGAGAGAGGTTCTGTGAATGGAGAAGTCGGTGAAGTTTCAAACTTCGATTTGAATGAACCGGCCAAGATCGAGGAACATTCTGATTATGTGTTAAACCAGTTCCTGAGTCCAGTTACGTCAGTTGAAATTGGAGAAGAGTCCGGTAAGAAGAACGAGGAAGAAGATTGTGTAAAGAGCTCCAACATAAGAGGTAAGAAGTTTCTGTCTTCTTGAGCATTGTGTTTGTCTCATTTTCTTGATATATTTGGAACTTAATTGATTTGATACTTCCTCTGAGCAGAGTTTGGAATCAACTTGAATATGTCTCCCCTCTCATATGAAGAAGAAGAAGAAGTAATTCTTGTTAACAAGTTTGAAACAGAGAAACCTCCAGAGTCTGTACCAGTTTCTTTGCATGAAGAACACAGACCAGAGCAGTCTCGAGCGTTGGTTTTAGCGCTACCATGTTCAAGTAGCAGTTTGCGATGTAAGCCAGTGGTGAGAGGCTCAAGGTCAAAGAAGAAGGCTAAACTTCGTCCAAGCAACAAAACTTTCAAAGGGTCAGATCTTAAAGACACCTCACAATCTCGTAGCAATGAAGCAAGGAGAGAGACATTGTCTAAGGTGAAAACTGCAAGAGACCAGACCAATCTAGGAAAGAAAAGGCGTTGTAAACCACAAATGAAATCTACTAATGGTCACAAAGAAGTTGTGAAAAAGAAACGGAAGAAGAGCAGAAGGATATCTCTTGTTACAGAGGGAAACTATGAAGAAGTATCTGCAGCTGAAGCTATAGTGGATATGTCTAGAAAGTCGGGTCGAGAAATCTCTGATTGCATCACTTCATTAGGCAGAGATCTACTTTGGCTCGCTGAGATCTCCCTTTTGGTTGCTGAGGACTACGAAATAGACTGTTTTGAGGACATGGCATTGCAGCTGACAGAGATGAAGCTAAAGGAGGACAAGAGAATTCTGAGATCAAACTCTGCAGACAACAAAACAGCAGTCTCCAGCATTGTCCGTGGAAGGCAGAGGAGAAACCGAACTAGGCAAGGGAAGCAGAAATGCATAGATAACCGGAGCGTAGGCACATTTTCAGAATCTGAAGCTGATGAGGATGTGCAGGTAATAGGAAAGCTAATTGAGGCTTCTGAATCAAAATGGAACAAGAGAAAAACCTCTGCTACTAAACCGATGGTTAAAGAAGAAACGAGTGTCGACTGGGGAGCTAGAAGAAAGAGAAGACGAGGCTCTAGAATTCCTGCTGCTGATTTTCAGCATTTGATCATCAACTAAGTAGTATACCAAAACTAAGAAGAGGTAACTTTACAATACTTAGCATAGTTTGCTTCATGTTCTTGGAGAGAATCAAGAATCTTACTGAAGAAGATGCTTTTGCCAACAAGTCTTGTTATCAGAGATCAAGACTACATAGGATAATCAATAGATCCAGAACTTTAGAATATCTGAGAATATATTTTGGGTCAAGCTAGCTATTTAGTTTGTCAAAAAAAAAGAAGACAAAAGAGTGTTTTTAACTAGAGATGGTACTGAAGAAGTTATACATATATATTAGCAAATGCAACACAAAGCTCAGAGCTTTTTGTTTACAAGTTTATTTGTTCTCATGATGACTCATCATAATCAGTCTTCTACATTACCATGACCATGATGATCATATGTTTTGAAACCACATTACTAGATATACTTCTTAACAAATATCTCCATTGACTATGTAATACTATATTGAAGGAAACAAGTGTATAAAATCAATAAAATGTGTTATGTGTGGATATAAATATCAACCAAAAACAGAAACAGAGCAAACTAGATAACAAGAAAGAAGGAAAGAGTGATTCCTTTCTTTACATAACATAACAGCAGAAGAGAGTTTCAAGAATTGAGGTTTGTGAAATGAGAGCTTTGGAGAGCTTCTTGGAGGAGTTCATGATCATCCCAAGAATCTCGATACGTCTCCAGATTTTCCTGCGAGTTGTTGAGAGCAGACAAACAGAGTAGCTTTCTCCATTCTTCCAAATGCGGAAACCCAACATAATCCGCGTATTTGTCGCAGTACTATATACCAAAAAAATTCAAAAAAAAAACAAGAAAACAAAATCAGTTTTTTAGGATATCCAATGCAAAAGTTATATTTGTATAGAGGGTTTAATTACCTCGAAATTGGCAATGTCGTGAGTGTTGTGTTTAGGGACTCCGGCGAGATCTCTTGACCGGTAAAAGTCGGCGACGGATTGTAACATTTGGTCGGAAGAAGGAAGAGATGACTTTCCGGACAAAACCTGAGCTATCCATTTTGCTTGTGCTTCAAAGAATGGGAATCCTATTAACTGCAACACCAAAAAAGTTTAAACGTTACGTATTTTGTTAGAGAAACTAAAAATAAAAAGTAGAGAGACAATTACATAAGCGTACCTTTCTTGGGATGCCGACAAAGGAGAGAAAAGGGGAAAGACAAGGAGGGAAAGTATGTTCGAAGAGAGGGCCCACTCGATCATCATCCACTTCTACTCTTCCTTTACTCTCAAGAAACGGAAACTTGTACGAGTACCTGTTTTTTTTGGTCCCCTCAAAATATTTTATTAAACTAATTTTGGATTAATTGTTGTATATGATGGAGCTAGGGAAAATAAACTTATTGAGAAGACCAATGCGAACAGATATGTAGCCTACTCAATACGAAGTCCCACATTTTACTCATAGAGAACATATAGGTTAGAGTAATTTATATCTTTGTACGTTCGAAATTATTTCTATCGATACGATTTTCTAATAGGACTAAAGATCTAAGTTACGCAATATCATGCAGATCTCAGTGATCTACCATAGTTTATTAGTAATTCCTTTCTTGTTTTTTTTTTTCTTACATCGAAGCAATATTATTTATTATGTCGATGAAGACCTCGATACCCCACCAAGTCAAAGTTAATTGAACTGAACTTAACGTTAATTAATTAGGATCAAAGAAACCTCAGTCAATAGTCATCATCATCTACTTGTCTTCTCTAACGGAAACAAAAAGTAGCAATTTTAGTCTTCCCTTTAACTTTGCATGAAGAATGTGTTTTTTTATTACAGTATCATGAGATATTTGAGATCCATTATTTTTTGCATTGTAATTAGTTTGATTTTAAAAATTATTCAATTTATCTTACCCGGTGCAATATAAAATTGTATCAGCGACGACCCAAGTTCCATCCACAAAAATGACTCTCCCATCATCTTCTAAAGATTCAATCTACGAAACAATATTCAAATTAACAAGTTGAACTTTTAAATCCAAATTTATGATACACAACATAATATAATAAAGTAAAGCGAACCTGTGGGTGAAGAAGAAGGTTTGGGTGTTTGGAAAGGACTTTGGAAAGTCCAGAAGATATCTCAAGTGACTTGGAACTTAAATGAACTTCCTTTGCCACTTCCACAAGCTCCATTGATATGTCTTGTCCACTCATCGAGTTCCCAACCACCACCACTACCTATCAAACCATCATCACCATCATCAACATCATCATAACCATCATAATCATATAATTTCAATCATACCTCGTTACGAAATGGATCAGGCACCCGGTAAACATGGCTATGAATTTGCTTCCTTTTCCAAGTATCCATTCCTACATTCATCAAAGAACCATGAGAAACAAATCAATAACTATAAAATGATCGATAAGATGATTAAATGATAAATTATATCAACAGTACCTTTAATAGTGGGCAATCTAGGGTGAGAGTAATGACCAGTAGCAACAACAACAGCATCAAAGAACTCTTCGATAACCTTACCACTTAATTTCTCTCTACTCCTCACAATCCATCTCCTCACATTTTCTTCTACATTTTCTTCTTCCCCAACAAACTCAACCCTAACATTAAACCTAATCATCTCTCTTACCCCAAAAGCTTCACTAAAGTCCTTAAGATACAACCAAAGCTCTTTGTGTCCTGGAAACCTCCTCATATCTCTCCCTTTCTTCGCCAAAAATGGAAAATCCGAATAACCCATTATCTCTCTCGGTGAGGTTAGCCTCAACGAAGAGTAAATGCTGCTATGGATCTTAAGTGCACCATTTGTGGAAACACTACTTCTTCCTAATGGATCTTCTTCTTCTACGTTTGGTTGGTACAACCATTGACCTCCTACGTCGTCGTTTTGCTCCATCACCACCACTTTGTGCCCTTCTTTTCTTAGCTCCCTCGCTGAGACTAGCCCCGACGGTCCAGCTCCGATCACACACACCTTCTTTGATCGGCTCCTTGACGCTTCTACTGATGTGGCCGAAACCATACTTGTTATATCTTGCCTTCGCCGGAGAGTTTTTGAAGAGAAGATGGATTGTGAATGGCTTTTTTATTTTGGTTTCTTTGTGTAGTCTCTCACTGGATGTTGTTTTATAGTTGAAATTTTAAGACTTTTTTATTTTATTTTTGGGGTTTAAATTAAGACTTTCTCACTACTACTACTCGATACGTCTTTTTCTATTTTGTTCACATCTTCATGGCGTCAAGGGTACATAATTATTTCATATATACTTATAAAGTAATAATATATGTATAGACGGAGATTAAATAAAACTGCGCTTTGTTTGTTTGTAGAAAAAGTAATAATTTGAGAGAGAAGACGTAAATGGCAAATCAGAAGTTGTAATCTAATTAAAAACAGGGTTGGATACTATACCTAGTCATCAATTTCTTCTCCAAGAATCCAAGCAGATACTACGAACTTTATGTCCGAGTGGTGACACGATAACAATACAATAGAAACATGAGAGCTATATAATCCCTTATTTTTCTTATACATTTAAAACGTAATCGCTTTTAATCGACTCATTCATGAAATGAAACTATCTCCAACTGTTTTTATAAAGAAATTATTTCAAGATTCAAGATTTCGTGTCTTAACACAACAACATACGTACGTTATCGGTAACAGTTTCTTTTGATCTACTAGGGAAATATTTTATTTTTATCTCGAAAATTAAATAAAATCGTAAGCGGTACAATTGGAAAACTCAGTTTTCAAAAAGTTCAGTTAGTATAATGTGGGTCCCAATTGGATTTCAGTCATAAACTCTGACCGATCCACCGTCGGTATGACTATTTTCGCAGGTCAGATTTATAATTCTAAACGAATGAGATTCATTTTTTTTTTCTGAAAGCAAAACTAGGAATTATAATTTAATTAGAAATTCATCATTTTCCTTAGAAAACAATTTTAATATGCTAGCTCATTGCTTTGGCATTTGCTTTCTTATTTGTATACTAAAAATGGTAACTATGAGTAGCTTGGAATCACTTGAAGATACATGTGTTCAACCTTCACAAAAAGTAATGCTTTCTGAATAAATTTAAGAATGTGGTTTTATTTGAAAGCTACAAAATATTCAGAAACATATATAGATTTTTGGTATTTCTATTCGTTAGTAGTATCTACGAATATCTAGACGATAGCTCGATATATTTTGATGTGAAAAAATTTAAAACATCAAATATCTGTACCCAAACAAAAAAAAGTATGGGTTAGCGACCAAATATATCAATCTAAATAACCTATTGAAGAAAGAAAAAGTGAGACAAAAAGTAAGTAAACCCTTTCCAACGAAGTTAAAAAAAACAGTCTTGAGACACAAAATAATGGCTATGGTGTCCCTCTAAATCAAAGAAACTCCTTGCTGTTAAAAGTTGTGCTTAGGTTTTGTTGGAAACATTACCAACCTTTACATACATATATGTACATATACAAGATGGTGTCAGATGGTTAAAGTATTACATCAGGCAATATCTTATTTGCATAGCATCATAATCTAATGTCATTATATTGTTAAGTCATCGAACGAATCTGCACCTGACTAATGTAGCACTGTGTAACATTAACAAGTATGGCTTATCTCCTTAGTAATATGATATTAGTGCCACTCCTGGATGAATTAATGTATTCATGTCTTGTCTGACTCCCACACTACAAAATTCGATTTAATTCAAAGTATTTTTAAAGATCTTGTTGATCATAGTTGTGTCATGAACTATATGATCTTATATGTATTGGTTGCACTTCCACGTAATTTTGAGAGCGAATATATGCATGAATGGTGCTCGATTTCATCAACTCCAAGGAGACAAGCCTTTCAGGATCCCTCGTACACATCCAATTTCTTTTATTTTTTCCCATAAATATGAATGACATCAACATGTACAGTAGAACCTCTATAAAGTAATACTCGATAAAGTAATACTTCGATAGATGAATATAATTTTCAAGTCCTAAATTTAGTTTTTGGTCTAATTATCCCTCGATAAATTAATAAAATATTGTGATCCCAAGTTTATTATTTTATAAAGGTTTTACTGTATATATTTATGGACGGCGACAATGTATGAACATCGCTAATGATGATTAATTGTACATACATGAAATGAAACTGGGAGAGACAGACTACAATGGGCCCCCACATGTAAGAGGAAGTCTTAAAGGAAAGGGAACATCAACAATTATTTCACTTGGCTCTTATGATCATCCCATCCTACAATTACATAATCCACTCTCGAACTTTTTATTTTTTGAACAACATAATCCAAATTTAAAGAACAAAATAAAAGATGCATGATATTTTTATTACTTCTTTAAAACTACGTAATGTAGCGTTGGATCTACTATTTGTTATGGAGCAGGAATGGTCACGTTTCAGCCTATCTTTTTCTTATGGAACCCCATTGCTTGTTAATTAAACAACAAATATTTACTTTCTTTATTTTATAGATAGAAGAAGTATGAGTATTTTCAGTTTTGTTAATAATTGGCTACTTTTTTGTTGCTTTGGCGAGAAGATATATTTTCTTACGAGAAACCATAACCAAAAAAAAAAAATATGTAGGGAAAAAAGTCTAAAGATCTTGTAGACTCGCTGTAGTGAGGCATATGTTCGTTACTTTCACTGTGAAATTCAGATACAAAACTCTACAAAAGTCATGACAGTTTTGTATCTGAATTTGTTGTACTTTTTGCTTTGGGCATATTAAATTCTCCAAAAGTCATTATAGTTTCTTCTCTGCAAAACTGAGGCAACTTTACAGAAAACTGAAAGATGACTTTTATGAGGCAGGGCTGATTTTCTGTTCTATGGAGTAGGAACTGCCTGGAACTTCAACCAGAAGCTCGTCGTCTTCCTCTTCCGAACCATCAGTCTCCTAGAAAATAATATATAGAACCAAAGTTTAATCGATGAAATTCCAAACAATGAGTCTTGCAATGTGAAGTCTCCTCTCATTACAATGTATCTGAATCATACCTTTCTGTCATCAGCCAAGAGATTTCTTTGGTTTGGATTGTTTCTGAGTTCGCTTAATGTGTCTTTGAGTTGCTTCCTGGCTTTGGACCGTATAAGTCTACGTTCTACGCATTGAGCTGCAGTGACATCAGCATGACAAGCCACACAAAGTGTCCTCATGTTCTCTAGCCGGCACTCGCCTACCCAAATTTCATGAAAACTAGCTCAGTCAGTTAAATGCACATATGAAATCATGCAGATGTGACATTGTTAAGATTGCGACTTACCTCCTCCTCGGTAGACTGGAATGATATGATCAGCGTGCCACGCATTTCCCTCGGTTGGATCATTAACCAGGGTTTCGAGCCTTTGACATCAGAGGTGAAATTAAAGAAATTAGTATGTTTAAATGCAGTAGTTAAACAACTTTTGACATTCAAATAAAAGTTGGGCTTGAATGGCTTACAAGTTCTTTCGGGCAAACAATTCTGGAGCAACTTTGTTTATGTATTCACGGCGTTTTTCCAGCGGTAAAGGCCTTAACCGTGTAGCAAGTTGGTGGCAATCTAACTTGCAGTTTGTGCAAATTCCATGTTCTATCTGGAAAAGTTCCTGAGATTTGGAAACTTACACTACTTAGTGAGGTATTGAAGGAACAAAATGATATGGAACTTAGTTAATCAAAACTCATCCACCTTAAAATAATGAAAGACTTGCAAAAAGACAAACCTGGCGAATATATCTGCTGCTTGTTCTTGTCCGGTAATTTTCATAGCATGCAAGATCACAGAAAAGATCCTCAAAATACTCTGGCTCTTTTGCGTTGTTTCCCCTAGAACAAAAATAGATATATAAAGTTTATGACTTGGCACATTTAACGAAAACTATCAATCAGTAGTGCGAGCACACCATATTTTCACTCACTTGCAGGGTTTTTGACAGAGTTTACAGAGTGGTTCGTTGCTCACACTCCAAGCTTGAGTGTATTCTTTTTCCTTTTTTTGGTAGCCTCTTCGGAGGTTAACCTTTTTCCACACTGCATCTTGAGGTAAAGGGATACTGATCTCTGAAAAGGGCGTCTTTCGTCTTTTACTCCCTCCCCTGAGCAATCCCTGATGGAGAAAACTCTTACTTATTATTTCGGAATCAAATATTTGGAGAATAAGTTTTAGCTTAAAGATATACCTCACTGTTGTGGCTAGTACTTTCACTCAAGTAGCTTAACTCCAGTGACAAAGGTAGTTGCAAAGGCTTTCCAAGTAGTTTCCGCTTTTCGATTGGTCGTAGTGCATTCCACTCTTTCATAAATTCCATAATAGCAAGTACATGAACCTGATCATCCGTAATGGATTCATGAGTTTTTTCTTCATTGATACCCATACTTGAATAGCTTGCTTCAATCTCCTCTGGTCGGAAGTTCTGGAAATGAGGCCTTGGTCGTGGATCTTTCCCAGGAATGCAAGAATATAAATGAATTCTTCCAGTGTTCTGGCTCACCTGAAATAATGTAACAGCCGATCCATAAGCGTTTTCACCTCCAAGCAAGTAAAGATATGAGAAGAGCCGATGCACTATAAAGTATACCTCAAATCGCAGAGAATCTAAGAGTGGAAAAAAGGAATCGGAATCATTCTCTTTCACAAGCCCATTATCAGCAATAAGCTGCATCATAAAAAAAAATGTATTTACATTTTAGGACATGACAACGACAAAAAATAAACCTTACATAAGAATTAAATTCATACATTTTCAGGCTGGTGATTTTCTTGGTTTTCCTGGTCTAGCATAGTAGAAGAAATGGTGACAGAAGACCTCTTCTCAGACCCGGAACCATTTTCAAGAAAAGGACAGGCTTCTAATATTTCCAAATGAGGACTCATGTCATCCTGCTGAGACATAAGAAATATCATTTAGCCGAAACGATAGAATTGTAGAATTTTTTCAAACATCCAAACTGTTTCATCAATGACAAGTCAAGAGATAAACCTTGAGATCTATAGCATTCGATACATCTGTCTCAGATCCCGGATCTTCACAGCTTTCAACAATCTTATCAGCTGCTACACTATTGGCTTTTGATAGTTGCGCTTCAAGAGCTTCTCTTTCACTGCTTTCTTCAGCAGGCTTGAAAATATATGCTCTTTCAATCTGCCAAGACAAATTTTTTTATCGTAAAAACCAATGACTGTCATGTGCCATACCAGGAGTAAACTAAAGCCTCTGACAGATGAATAAACCTCTATGTGGTGTGAATATGTTAAGGGAAGAACAGTATTCTACTGAGAATTGTAAAAAAGAGCAGAGATTTAGGAGGTACTTCGATTTCCGTCTTCGCATCATATTTTCCATCAGTAGTAGATGAAATACGGTGCAACTTCTTGTTCAGACTTTGCCAGTTTGACTCGTCCATGGTATCCTGTTACATAAGAGTCGTTATTAGAGCATAAGGGATAGGACAAACTTCATTGACTGCACTTGTTTGGCCTTTGCGCAGCAGCAGCAAACGAGTTTACCTTTGCGCAGAAGATGTATACATTGACTGCACTTGTTTGGCCTCGCCTATGTGCTCTATCCTCAGCCTTTAAAATGCAATCAAAAGATTATGCATCTAGCAGCCTTACCGCAATTTGTAGAATAGTCTTCGGAACGAAAACATGAAGTTAAGATGAAATACCTGAAGCAACAGTGACGGTGTTTTAGGCAATTCAACAAACACAACATTTTGCGCTGCTGAAAAATTAAGTCCAACGCCCCCAGCTTCTACGCCGATTATTGCAACTTTCACCTGGAGGAGAAAGCCACAGCATAGGTTAAATACCACACATCCTAACAAGTACAATCATTTCTAGAGATAATAAACATATAGGAGATACCTCACTAGAAAACTGAAATGAGTGTACAGCCAATTGTCTATCTCTCGGCAAAGTCGTTCCATCAATGCGGACGAAACCAATCCCTTTATCGCATATAAATTCCTGACAAGCAAAAATTACAAGTTTATTTAAAAGCAAACGACCTGCTCATAAAATGTTAAAGGAGCTGCATAGATATGATTACAAGTTTAAATCCAGAACAAGACGAAGCATACGGAAATACATTTCTGAACTTCTAAAGAGCAAACTGACCTGAATTCCATCCAGAACCTTATGGTGATGTGCAAAAATTACCATCTTGGTTGAGCTTGTGTCTCCATCAATTTCTTCCGGAGTATAATCCGATTCCGATATAAGAGGATGCAAGGATAACCACTGACGAAAGGCAGTAAGCTTTGCAACACCGAGTTGTTGATAGGAGAGTTTCCGGCATAGTTGATTATCCTTGTCAGCTAAAGCACAACAAAAGGAAAAATGAAATAAAAAAGAGTGCAAATATATGCATGGAAAGAGAAGTACTTATAACGCACACTCAGGGGCATCCAAGTCCTCTGCGTTCATGGGTCCATCGTTATTTGATCCATTAGCCTTTTGAGCTATGCCTACGAAGGCAGCTTGTGTTAAAACATTGGATGGACCACAATGGTAAACTAGATCTACACTCCAAGAAACTTGAGGCTTGGGTTACTGGGAAAAATCAGATACCTTGAAGAATGATTGTATAAACAATTCAACATCATTACGAGGTTGGTATAAAACATGCCACGTACCTTTAGGTTCATGCGTGTTCTCCGTAACAGCTGTTGTAGCAGCATTTTGTTTATTAGCCTCGCTGACAATAGCCACTGCTAACGCTATATCGGCCTTATTCAGCAGTATGGTTACAATTTGTCTACGTTTTGGGGGTAACTGTGTTAACACATGCTGTTTCAGTCTTCTTATCTACAACAAACGAAAAAGGACTTCACATCACATAGTTCCTTACCAACTCACAACACAATGCAAGAATGGCTAAATAAAAGTCTAGGAATACTTATGAGTTATGAGTTATAACAGAAACTTTCAATAATGGATTGCACCATTGATACGAAACCATTAATGCCAAACTGAAATCTAATGACCAGGATATACCATCACTGTTTGGTTTAGCAGTACGTTTAGCTCCAGTAAGCGTGTACCCTTTGAAAAATCCTGAATAATCAAACCAAAAAGGTTCATTAACATCTCACAACATTACAAAAAAGAATAACCTATAGGGGAACCACAGTTTATTATAGCAAGGAGGCGACGGTAAAGAAATGAAATGAAGTATGATAGCAACTGGGAGTATTCTGCACTGGAAAAAGAGAATCATGAGCACACAACTGGCTACCACACAAAGTCCATATTTACCTGGAAAATTTTCCCCTGCTTATCTCTGCCAAGCCCGACTTCAGTATAGGTTTTATGAAACTCATTCTTGTCCTTTCCCAGCAAACCAGGCCTGGTGAGAGAACCAGTGTTGGAGAAATTAAAAGAAATAGTGCGCATCCAAAAAATTTAAGTGAAAGTTTGCAGATGACTTGCCATAGCATATTTATCTGATGGAAAATGTCAGAGGGCCTATGGTCACCTAGGAAAAACTATAAGGATAAGTTCAAGTTCAAAGCAAACATATGATACAGACAGAATTTACTAAATTTTGGATTTCCACAACCTCGATATAGAAGGAGTTCCTGACAACAACACTATGTGCTTAACATTTTCAGCAACATCGAGGACTGTCTTTAGCTGCAAAACATAACCAAAAGTGTTTAGAATACCAAACTTATTTAACAGCACAACAACCACTCAAATTTTAGAGTTTCCTTGACGCATAGTGTCACTTAGTCATATCTGTGTTATTAATCAAGTGCAATTAAAGTCAAGTAGGAATCTTAGTAAAGCAAAAAGGAGACAGGCAAGTATACTTAAAAAAACTCATTAGTGAGAAATACGTAAGTTTAACATACCTCAGGTGTTTCCGACTTCTTCTGTGAACACCGTAAGTGATGAGATTCATCTACTATCAAGAGGGCCCATTCTCGCTCAAGCATAGTCTTTCGTAGATGCTGAAGCATCTTGTATGAAATCACCACAACTTTTGGCCATTTAGGTAGGTAGGCAGGATTATTTTGATGACCGAAAACTGGAACCAAAAAGTTTAATCAAACTCAAATCCACTTCACAAGATAGCCAATTAACGGCTCTAATGACTAAAAACTTTACCCAGATGTATGTCAGAAGGCAAACAACATGGCAACCAACGCTCCAATTCTTCTGCCCACGAGAAACGCAAAACCGCTGGACAGACAATAAGTATGGAACCCTCACTTATGAAGCAGCCAGCAATGGCAATGGCCTGATAAAGGATCAAATACTCAGAACAAGCACTTGAACCAAATCTTAAAAAAAATCAGAAATTTATTCAGAATACCAAATATTATCACCTGAAGTGTCTTTCCAAGTCCCATTTCATCTGCAATGAGACACCTCCCACCTCTCCGTAGACCAAATCTCAGACCATCAAGTTGGAAAGGCAAAAGCGAATTCACCAATTTTCTCGGCAGATTTCCAATCAGTTCTTCAACCTTCTCCTCCGTGAAATGTTCGGGCTTGCAAGGTTCCCATTTCCCAGAAATGAATGAGTGGGAAAGTTTCTCGACAACGGAAAACGTAATCCAAGGTATCTCATCAACTTGGACGATCTTTGACCTCTTTAGACATCCCGAAACCATACTGTAATCTCTGATCTTATAAACCCCAGCTTTTCCTCCATCGTCATTTTGAGTGTAGTGTGAAGGAATCGCCTGAAAATCAAATCAATTAGTTAACAATAAGAAAAACACAGCACTCATCTGGAATTAGAATCCAACTTCGTTCTTAGCGTTAATATCAAAACCCCCAAAAATACTCGAAATTTCCCAATTTTTTGTCGCCCATTAACCAAAACAAAGCTCGGAGATATCTAGAAGAACTTACCTCTTGTAGAATCTCACTCAATTGACGAAGGCAACCTTGCTCTTCCGGGAATCGAAGCCCTTGCGCTTGAACCGGCGTCACCGAAAACGAATCAGGAGAGCAGATCTCGAGCCTGACGCGGAACTTCTCCGGCATGCTATTTCTCGATCCTAGGTCAGATTTGTAACTTCGATGCCCTTCTTGGAGCTTCTGACATTTGGCTAACCTGAAATCCTGTCGTCGCTGTTGGTTTCCCGTAGAATCAAACGACGGCTTTCGTTTCTCCCCAATCATTAATCGATTCTCTTCGTCTCTCCGGATTTGCTCTTCTGCAACATCCATTAGTTCAATTTCAGAGTCTAAGGTGTGTCAGTGAAGAGAAGACGTTTGAATTTTGAAACGTATGAAGCACAAAAAAGGCAAAAGCAGGGACGAAGAAAACCACACGTGCAACCGCGCACGTGTGAACTGATGTGATCTGAGAAATTTAATCGGTTCGGTACGACTAACAAACCAATCAAACCGGGTGTTCCCAATTTCAGCATCATAAAAGGAGAAACAGATACTAGAAAATAGATAGATTTCTTTTGAAAATTTTACATCACAAGATTCATGAACATACAAACATTTTTCCCCTCAATTCAAGACTGTATCACAAATTCACAAGTTGTATCTCTTCTCTTTCTCAAATCTTGAACTCTTAAGCTCAAGAGGCTAGCCTTCAACGGCTAGTGATGATGTGGTTTTGCTCTGAATCTTCTTCTTCCTTTGAGATGTTTTAGTGTTGTCATCTTGAAGAGAGATCACAGTTTCAAAAGCACCCACCAGTGCTTTAACTTTACTACTCTTCCTCACTTCTTCAAGCTTATTCACAGTCTCTTCAATCACATTGTTGAAAAGTGTCTGCAACTTCTTCTTCACTTCAACTTTCCTATGCCTCAAAACAACTTTCTCTCGTTTACCTTCACCGTTGCTAATACTCATCTTTCCAACACCTTCTCGTTTATCTTTCAGGCTCTTCTTCCTCTTGCTCACATCAATTCTTGGTTTTGGTTCTTGAACAACTCTCTTCTTGAATCTGATCGATGCTGGAGTCGAATCTTCTGGTTTTGGTTCAAGAACTTTCCCTTTCTTGAAACTCAGAGGCCTCGTTGGAGGAACAGGAGGACGAGGAGTAACCTTTAAACCAATCCTCGTTGGCCTTATCTTGCTCTCGGTTTTGGAAGTAGTTACAAGAGTTGCAGAACAAATCTCTTTCTTCTCAGACAAACCAGTCTTGGACCTGGAAGTAGTCTGTCTTATTGGCCTAGGACCTGATCTTGTAACCTTTGGCTCTTTAACCTCCTCTGAGGATGGGGACAACAAAGACGGTAGAGGTTGAAGACTTTTCTTTCCGCTGCCTCTTAAGATTCTCTTCTCAGAAGATTTCTGAATCTCACTCTTAACCCTTTTGATGCTCTTCTTCTTCTTCTCCTCCTCAACACTAGATTCAATAACATACAGAGTCTTCTCCAGTACATCATCACATCCAACAGGTTCATCAATCTTCGTCTTCTCTTTGTTCTTCAGACTCTTCAAAGGATCCTCTTTAGAGCTTCTGATCCTTGAAACCCTCTTCTCCAACACCTCTTCATCACATTTAACCGGTTCAACATTCTTCTTCGGACTCTTCAAAAGAACCTCTTTAGAGCTCTTGTTCTCACTGATCCTTGAAACCTTCTTAACATCAACATTTGTCTTCTTGACCTTACTTGCAGCAGCTGAATCACTCTTCTTGGCTTCACTTCTCTTGACTCGTAAACCATCGCAAGATTTGACAAGCTCACTAGCAGCAGCAGGATCTCTCTTTGCAACCGGTTTGGTGACATTTCCCAACGACTTCCTCATCCCACTCAAGGTTTCAGCTTTCACCAAATCTCCAACTTCAACATTCTTTTTCTTAGCCAACTTCCACGGTTTGATCACCAAATCATCCTCACGCCTCTTCCCATGTTTACACAGATCATGTGTCGAGCTCATGTTGTTCCCACGGTAACGTGGCTGGACATGAGCTTTACCTGGTCCTCCAGCTGAACACCGTTTCAAATTCACATTGCCATTGGACACTGCAGCAATTGGAGGAGGAAGAAGAACATCATCTCCTTGCATTCCCTCATCCATCAGAGGCATTGACGTTTCTTCAGTGATCTCCATTGGTTTTGCATCATCCAAACAACACTTGTCATCAACTTGTGAAACTTTCTCCTCACCCATTGTAATGACTGCAGAGAAAAAAAAACACATATCTTTATTACCGATCTAAGAAGGAAAGTCAAAGAAACATTATAACCATATTGGAAAATATTTGAGAACGAAAAAAAATCTACAAAAGTTGAATCTTTTGTTCCATTTAGATGAAGGAATCTCTACTTTTTAACAGAGATTAACTTTGCTGAATCTCGATCATCAATACCCAACAAAAAAAAAATGAAACTTGATCATGACTCAAATCAATAACTACTCCGAATTATTGAAAACGAACAATAGCAGATTTACTTTAACGATCTTAAGTTCTGATAATGTGAGACAAGAGTAGAAAGATGTTACCTTTAAATCACCCAGCACTCAGACAATCGAAACTGAAGAATAGCTAGTAGTTTCCCTGGAGACGATGAAGATTGAGTTGGGAAATTTCAGAGGAAGAAAGATAAAGGTTTGATTTTTAGGAAGAAGAAGAAAACACAAAAATTCGACGAACAGAGGAGAAAAAATGAGGTCAAGAAAGAGAGGGAAGTAGAGGAGAATCTTTTGACATCTCTTATTTTCTTAAGATTTTCAGTTTTGGACTGGCAATTATAATTGCAATGCTATTAAAGTAAGTAACTCATTAATTGGTCAAAATGTTAAGATCAATTTCTTTTGGCACTACAAAAAAAGGGAAAGAATTGTATTTCATGAATTGAATTCAACTCAAGATTGAAATTACGATGGTAACAAAACAAATTCAAATAAGAAAACTCAATAATAGTCCACATAATTAATGTATTAGCTATAGTAATATCAATATTAGATTGATGTAGCTTTTAGGTTTTGACGGTCGGAGATATCAATCAAACAAGTCTTTTTGTATTTTTCTAAAGAATGATGCTTTCCGCGATGGACCGACTTTGGATTCTTTTGATTAATATAGTATTGTATAAAGATAAGATCTAGATGTGAGTCGCTGACTCCCAAAAAAGACAGAGATGCCCTAAATAATTTGTGCAAACAAAATCAAATTCAAATAATAATAATTTAATTTAAATATGTGTATGTAAAGTGTAATTAAAATATGTTTGTGCTTATACTGTATGCATGCCATTTCAGCCATAACAAATTAGCCTAATTCTGCGCAATGCCGGGCCTAAATATTAGAAACGAGGCCCAAAAGTTCAGTTTCTGTTTGCTGATTCTAGAAAGTTGACAAAATGACTAATATTTTGTGTCATCTATATAAAAGTGTTCGCGAAGACTTTTATATACTGCGTGGCACGTAAAGCTAAAATTGAGTAGACAGAATATTGAAGTTTTTTTCTAAAAAAAAAAAACAATATAGGCTATGACAATGAAAGATTTAGGCTTACTGGCCTAAAAATACTTACCACTTACTAGTCCATCAGTAAATCTGTAAAAGAGTGAACTAAGAAGATTTAAGGGAAAAATAAAGAAATGTGGGTTTTACATCTCTTAATTTAAAAAATTTGAGTTCTCTTTTTTTTTAAGTATGAATTGGGTTAATAAATAAAATGAATTTTGAAAAGCGAAAGAAAAAAGAGATACTGACAAATTGACAAAGATGTTTTCAGGCTTTGAGCAACTTGCTTATGTTTCAAGTAAGACACACGTCAATACTAAAATGTCTTTGAGTAAATAACACAGATGGACCGCTCGAACCACCTTCCACTTTTACCATTTGTAATTGTTCTTTCTGACACCACATTATTTCCCTTTATTATACTACACACCTGCTCTTCTTCTTGGTGTTATTTTATATACTAATGTGGATTGTTTTTTTTTCTTTCTAATGTTTTTTTTGGTTTTAAGGTGAAGTTTTCTTTCTAATGTTCATTTAGCAGAAGCAAATTGAAATTATTCCTTTCAGATCTATCCTGTTTAAAAAATTATTTAGAATGTATAATTGGTAGTCAAGTGGTTACTTGTAGAAGATTCTGATGTAGATTTGAAAGTGGCCTTTTGTTTTGAAGCTACACTGTTAATTTCTTTGAAAAGTCTTTAAAATGTCCGATGTAAAATCATCGTGTAATTAGTCTAAAGTTCAGTAGTAAACAGAAAAAGGGGACAAGTACAGTTAGCTAGAAGCCAAAAGAAACAAGTCTAGCAACTAAACAAAGTTTTTATTAATTATTTATTCTCCACCAATTTCGATTTTACTTGTTTACAAAGGGATGCTTTAACTGTTTTCCGTTAACCAAAATCAATTAACAAATAAAAAAGGAATTAACGAATAAAAATGTGGTAGAAAGCTCATGTTTGAAGAGAAGGTTTCATCCATCAAGTTGCACCAACTCAAAGAATAATAATACAACCAAAATAAAAAACAAAAGAATTGGAAAAAGAAAACAACAACATCTCAATCTCAATGAGTCAGAGCAAGTGAAAATAGATAAGCCGACAAATTGCAGAGATCACCTAAACCCATCTTACATCACCCTCCAGATTTTTATTCAAACTCAAGAACAATCACAAAGATCGATTTCAACTGATCAAAACTGGATTCTAAGGTCAGTTTCTTGATTCTTTCTCCATAAGTTTATTTCAGTTTTTTTTTATCACTTAAGTTTCCTGGGATTTGAGTTCGATCTCCGATATCATTTCAAACGTTTCATATCCTTCTCAGATGTCTTTCTGGGTTGATTTGGATCCGTATGTTAATTAAGAATTATTAAGAGATTTAATTATAATCACCTGAGAGAATTTTTAATCTTTGTGCTATCATCATCCAGTGACCGCAACTTTCCTTTTTCTTAATTCCTTTGACTCCCTTCTATTTTTAGATTTTTTTCTTTGTTTGGTTTCTTAAATTCCAGTTTTTCATTTCATTTCTTTATGTGACCAACCAAAGACTCATCTAATGCTTAATGTCATGAGCATGTATCGTTGAAAAACATTCATTTGAAAATTAATTACTTCCTTTTCTCTATAGACTATTTTTCAGACGAAAGCCTGTCTCTGGTAATTGTACAAGTTAGGCTTTCTTTGTTGTCAGCAAAAAGTTAGTGTTTTTTCTTATTTAATGGGTAAATTACACCTAACTCTATGGTTTTTATAAGTTATAAATATAAACCCAAAATTTTCAGGAAAAAAGGTTTGAGACTAGTAATAAAAAAACAAATCCAAGAAAAAAGTTTATTCCGTTCTCTATGTATATATTTGCACATGCCAAGCCTCTCTCTGTGATCACTTGCTTGTTCTGACAATTGCAGATGTCTGAGTTCTGTTTTTTTAATGTGTTAGGTTTTCATTCTTCTTGGTGTTTAATCTGAAAAAAAATGTTCTGTTTTATTTATTTAACAGGAAAGTTAGGAACAAAAGTTGAAAGATTTGGATAGTGAAGCTCAAAAACAGAGCAATGGGCTTCAAAGTTTGCTTCTTGGTCTTCTTGGGTTGTCTTCTTCTAGTCCCAGAGATAACAATGGCTCAAGACACGAAACATGCATCAATCATAATCGAAGGAGCTAGTCGAATCACTGAGACCGACGAGAACTTTGTCTGTGCGACATTGGACTGGTGGCCACATGACAAGTGTAACTACAACAACTGTCCTTGGGGTTACTCTTCAGTTATCAATATGGTAATAACAGAATCATAGAAAAGGATTCACTTTTCCATTTTTTTGAGACTGCTATTGAAAAGTGTATGATCTTTTGAATGTTTTGCAGGACTTATCTCATCCTCTTCTTGCTAAAGCTGTTCAAGGTTTGCAAACTCGCAGATCAAGTATCATTGTATGTTAGTGCCATTGCTTGTGTGTTCTTGACATCTGAAACTTTGGTTTTTTTTTGTATCTTGTTTAGCTTTCAGGCCGTTAAGGATAAGAATCGGCGGTTCGCTGCAAGACCAAGTGATATACGACGTAGGAAAACTCGAAACTCCTTGTCGTCCATTCGGAAAAACGAGCAGCGGATTGTTTGGATTCTCTAAAGGATGCTTGCATATGAAACGATGGGACGAGCTCAACAGCTTCCTAACCGCAACTGGGTAAGAAAACTTAGGATTTTCATTTAGTTTCATTAAAGTTTCACATTTGTCAAGAATCTTGATTTGTTTGCTCTGTCTTCTTCTTTGCAGTGCTGTAGTGACTTTCGGTTTAAACGCTTTGCACGGGAGACACAAACTCCGCGGGAATGCGTGGGGCGGGGCTTGGAATCACATAAACACTCGAGATTTCATCAACTACACAGTCTCAAAGGGTTACGCTATAGATTCTTGGGAATTCGGTAATGACACAAACATTTTAAGAGCCTTCTTGTTTCGCTTGGTTTGTTTCCTTAATCTTTTTTGTTATCTGGTTTAGGAAATGAGCTTAGCGGAAGCGGAGTTGGTGCGAGCGTGAGCGCAGAGCTTTACGGGAAAGACTTGATCGTACTTAGAGATGTAATCAACAAAGTTTATAAAGATTCTCGTTTAATAAAGCCTTCGCTTATCGCTCCTGGAGGCTTCTATGAACAACAATGGTACACTAAGCTTCTTCAGATCTCCGGTCCTGGTGTTGTGGACATTGTGACTCATCATATATACAATCTCGGTTCAGGTTCGGTTTGGTACAAGACAATCAAATCAAATCAAATCAAAACCTTTTCTTCTAAATGTAACATTTCTGAGGAATTTGCTCTGTTTCAGGGAATGATCCGCAGCTGGTGAAGAAGATAATGGATCCGAGTTACTTAAGCAAGGTAGCAGAAACATTCAGGGACGTGAACAGGACGATTCAAGAACATGGACCGTGGGCTTCTCCTTGGGTTGGAGAATCTGGTGGTGCTTACAATAGTGGTGGTCGTCATGTTTCTGACACATTCATAGACAGCTTCTGGTATTTAGATCAGCTCGGAATGTCGTCGAGACACAACACTAAAGTTTACTGCAGACAGACTTTGGTTGGAGGATTCTACGGCTTGCTCGAAAAAGGAACTTTTGTTCCCAATCCGGATTACTATAGGTTAGAGAGAAAGTCCATACACCATAACCAAGAACTCTTGGATTTAGAGTTATGTTTTGATATTGATCTTGAAGTTTTAAACTGATCTTGGACAGTGCGCTGCTTTGGCATCGGTTAATGGGAAAAGGGGTTCTTGCTGTTCATACAGATGGACCACCGCAGCTTCGGGTTTACGCACATTGTTCAAAAGGAAGAGTGAGTCTCACTCATCTTCTTATCCTTCAAATCTCTGTTTCAGAATTTGGTTCAGTTTTTTGTTTCCTCTGTTTTAGGAGGGTGTAACAATGCTTCTGATAAACCTGAGCAATCAGACGGACTTTACGGTTAGCGTCAGCAATGGCGTGAACGTGGTTTTGACTACGGAAACGACGAAGAAGAAGTCGTTGTTGGATACTTTGAAGAAACCATTTTCTTGGATTGGAAGAAAAGCCTCGGATGGGTATTTGAACAGAGAGGAGTATCATCTGACACCAGAAAACGGTGAACTGCGTAGCAAGACTATGGTCTTGAACGGTAAACCGTTAAGACCAACCGAAACCGGAGATATCCCGAGCCTTGAACCGGTCATCCGTGGTGTGAATTCTCCGGTTTATGTCTTGCCTTTGTCGATGGCGTTCATTGTGTTGCCTAATTTTGATGCTCCTGCTTGTTCATGATCTTAATGGGTCAACTGAGAATAAAGAAAATATAGTAAAAAGCAAAAGTTGTAATTCTTTTGGTAATTGTATCTAAATGCTGGTGATAGATCTACATTTTGTGTTTCAACAAATTCTCAAACGGTTCAAAATATAACATTTTCCTAAATTTGAACATGGTTGTTAATTATTATAATTATAGTAAATATCTAGATAATTTTATTTAGAATCTAATAATTTATTAAATTAAATAAATGATAAGTAGGAATATATATATATTTTCAAAAATAATATTTTAAAAACATTTCACTAAAGTAAGAATTCATAATAAATAAATGGAAATATGCTACTATAAATTTTTAAAAGCTAAAAACTACTTTGAACAAACCCCAAAATGATCAAAATTATATAAGAGCTCCAATTGATGCTAAGAAGAAAATCAAGAAACATAATTGAAGCATATAAACTCTCTTTTCTCTTCAAATGGATTCTCCTTCATCGGAAGTAAAAACCATCTCGGAATGCTTCGTGAAACCCAAAACCATCCCTGAAAAATGGAAAGAGCCATACCATTTGTCACCGTTGGATCTTGTGATGCTCTCCATGCATTACATCCAAACAGGTCTTCTCTTTGTCAAACCATCAACAACAACTTCTGAATCAAAATATTTCATGGAGACGTGGCTACAAAGATTCAAAGACTCTCTAGCCGAGACACTTGTCCATTTCTATCCGCTAGCCGGTCGCTTCTCGACTTCAAAAACCGATAATCCAAAATCCTACTCACTGTTTGTGGATTGTAACAACAGTCCTGGAGCTGGATTTATCTATGCCAAATCGGATCTGAGTGTATCAGACATTGTTGGACCCCAATATGTTCCTTTGGTTGTACAATCTTTCTTCGACCACCATAAAGCCGTTTGCCATGATGGTCACACCATGAGTCTCTTGTCTCTCAAGGTACCTTTACACTTCAGTTAGGGTAAAATCTGATAATCTCTATACATGGTCGTCATGGTTATTTTACTATTTGTACTTTCAGGTAACAGAATTGGTAGATGGAGTATTCATAGGTATGTCACTGAATCACGTGATGGGAGATGGAAGTTTGTTATCGCAGTTGTTCGACACTTTGTCCGAAATTTTCAATGCACAAGAAACCAATAACTTGCAACTCAAGAAACCTCCGGTTCTTGAACGTTGGTTTCCTAAAGGGTATGGTCCTGTGCATATCCTACCTTTCACTCACCCCGATGAATTCATCAGTCGGTTCGAGTCTCCGGTCTTGAAGGAGAGAATATTCCATTTCTCATCAGAAACTATAGCATCACTAAAAGCAAAGGCTAATCAAGAATGTGGAACAACAACAATCTCTTCTTTTCAATCTTTAGCTGCATTGATGTGGAGATGCATAACAAAGGCAAGAAAGTTACCATACGATGAAGAGATTCGTTGCAGCCTCGCTGCTAACATTAGAGAAAAACTTGATCCACCATTGACTTCGAACTATATTGGGAATTGCATTTCTGCTTTAAGGTCGAGGACGGTGAAATCAGGTGAGCTACTGGAAAATGATCTTGGATGGGCCGCTTTGAAAATGCATGAAGCAGTGACTGGAAACACTAGTGAAGAGGTTTCGAAAACAATCGATGAGTGGTTGAAATCATCTTTTGTTTTTCATCTAGAAGCACTTGTGGGATTGATGGTTGTTCACATTGGAGGCTCGTCGAGGTTTAAGAAGTATGAATGCGAGTTTGGGATGGGGAAACCGGTTGCGATTAGAAGCGGTTATGGAGGTAAGTTCGATGGGAAGATAACAACTTACATAGGGAGAGAAGGAGGAGGAAGCATAGATTTGGAAGTTTGTCTTCTTCCACAGTTTATGGAAGCTTTGGAATCAGATCAAGAGTTCATGTCTCTTGTCTCTTCTTCTTCTTGATCTTATTATTCATATATGTTCCATAATTTACAAGATTGGGTTTCTTGGATTGACTATATAAATAAAACTGAATAAACAATTGAGTATCAAATTCATCGCTTGTCAAGCTGTTTTTGTCCATTATGACGGTAGGCCCTAGTGATATTATTGAGTTTAACGCAACCTAACAATGGCACAAAAAACTAGAGGATCGTGTTCCACATGGCCTAGTTTGCACCAGTGGTGTAATCAAAAATTGTTTTTTTGGATTTGTTATATGAGTATGATTTCCATATGTAGCTAAGAAGGGGAAAAAAAGCAAAGAAACAAAAGAGGCAAAAATGGTTTCTTCTTCTTCTTCTTCACCATCGGAAGTAAAGATTATCTCGGAATGCTTCGTGAAACCCAAAACCCTCCCTGAAAAATGGAAAGAGTCATACCATTTAACAGCAACGGAGCATGTGCTGCTTCCATTTCAATACATCCAAAAGGGTCTTCTCTTTCTCAAACCATCAATTCCTGAGTCTGATGATGCAATACTCAAACAGAAAGATTTCATGGAGACTTGGCTGCTTAAGCTTAAAGACTCTCTAGCCACAACACTCTTCCATTTCTATCCGCTCGCTGGTCGGTTCTCGACTTTGGAAACCGACAATCCAAGATCTCACTCGGTGTTTGTAGACTGTAATAACAGCCCTGGAGCTGGATTCATCTATGCCACATCGGATCTTAGTGTATCAGACATTGTTGAGCCCAAATATATTCCTTTGGTTGTTCAATCTTTCTTTGACCATCACAAAGCTGTGAACCGCGATGGTCACACCACGAGTCTCTTATCAGTCAAGGTACATTGTGTTTGGTTTAAATTATAAAAAAAAAAAAAAAAAAAAAAAAAAAAAAAAAAAAAAAATTCTGAAACTTTATGGGTTTGTGTAGGTAACAGAATTGGTAGATGGAGTGTTCATAGGAATGTCTATGAACCATTCGATTGGAGATGGAAGTTCCTTCTGGCAGTTCTTTAACTCTTTCTCTCAGATCTTCAATTCACATGAAGAAACCATTGATAACAACAACAAACTGTTTTGTCTCAAGAACCCACCAATCTTTCGTGAAGTGTCCGGTCCTATTTACAGCCTTCCCTACAGTAAACCTAATGAGTCGTCGAGTCAAGGAATGGAATCTCCTCCGGCTCTCAAGCAGAGAATGTTCCATTTCTCATCTGAAACATTGACATCACTGAAAGCAAAGGCGAATCAAGATTGCGGAACAACAGAAATCTCTTCTTTGCAGTCCTTATCCGCATTTATGTGGAGAAGCATCACAAGAGCAAGGAAGCTACCAAACGATCAAGAAACTAGTTGCAGGCTTGCCGTTGGCATCAGATCAAGAATGGATCCACCATTGCCGGTGGATCTCTTTGGAGTTTACATCTCTGTCGCGACAACTACTACCAAAACTGGTAATCTGTTGGAGAACGAGTTAGGATGGGCTGCTTCAAAAGTGCATCAAGTTGTGACCGAACAAACAAGCGAAAAGATCTCTTCCGCCTTGGATCGATACCTGAAGCTGACTCCTTCTGATATCAGTGTAAAGCGACTTTTCCCACCGACCCTTGTTCATATGGGAAGCTCTCCGAGGTTTAACAAGTACGGATGCGAGTTTGGGATGGGGAAAGCAGTGGCGGCCAGAAGCGGTTACTGCGGTAAGTATGACGGGAAGGTATCAGCTTATCCGGGAAGAGAAGGAGGAGGAAGCATAGATTTGGAAGTGTGTCTTCTTCCACAGTTTATGAAGCTTTGGAATCAGATCAAGAGTTCATGTCCCTTGTTGATCCTGTTCCTATTTTCTAGGTACAAAACGAAAGTTGTTTCCTGTTTGTGTCTCTTTGTTCTGTTACTCTGTTTTGTTCGGTTTCCTACTGCTGTTGTTTGAGTTTTTATGGTGGTTTGCTGTCAAATGTTTCACCTACTGTCTTTGATTGTAAAGTTTCAGAGGACTCTGCAGTTGTTGGTACCAAATGTTTCAACTTTATTTAAGATGAGAATTAAAACATTGAAATCTATGTTCTGAGAAGATTCATGACTTTAAGCAACAAACAAATTTCATCAAGAGAATAGAGAAACTGACGAGTTTGGTTATGAACAGAGCTCTGGATGCTTTTACTTCCGGAGTAAACGGCGAGCTTGTTGGTTAGATTGTTTCACTCTGAAGTTAAGCTCGTCCACATCGTCTTGAAGATGATCAAGTCCATTGTTTTGCCTGCGAGTTCCATTCATAAACCAGTTATATGTGGAAGAAACGAGGGAAACACATAAATATAGAGAGAGAGCTGATAGATATGAAAGAGAACCTTTCGATTTCAGTTCCCATATCAACAGCCATGTTCTTCAGTTCGCCGAGCAGATCACTCAAATCTGCAAGCCCGTCGTCTTGCTTTGCTTTCTCCATCTGTTAACACAGCAGCAAGATTCTTCATATCCTTGGTGAAACAGGACAACTTTTGAAACCACACAAGGAAGAAAAGAGAGAATCTAAAACCTCTAGTTTCTGATAAGCATCTGCGGATTCAGGTAGTGGTTCACTGGTACTTGATTTTGGTTTGGGTACATGGTTAAGTCCCAGCTTTTCCCTAGTCTCTAACTGGTTAACTCTTCTCTTAGGGGATTCACCTTCTCAGAATAAGAGAAGAGTTAAGTAAAGTAAGAATCAAGAGACTCATTTTTTTAGAAGTAATCAGGCAAAGAAGAAGAATAAACCTCTAGTGATGACAGGGCCGGTTATCGAACGAGTCTTCTTAGGCTTCCACGTCCTTGAGAAAATGCCTCCGAGGCTCCCTAGAAGCTTCTCTCCCTAAAACCAAACACAAAACATACACTAAGGATCATCACCACCAAAACAAATAGCTACTTGAAAATTTGAAATATTGGTTTTTAAGATCTCAATCTCACCCGGCTAAGATCATGATCAATGTCAACAGCCTTGTCATGAGTCTTCAAAATTTGTTCGCCTTGTTCATTCAACATCACCAGAGTCCTCGTAGCGTCCGATCTGATGTCCTCTGCTACTTTGAGACACCCTTGTACGGTTCTCGTAGTTTCCTCAGACTTGTATAGAGCATAGCTCTCAAGTTCTTGAACAGTCTGGTTTTCCAAACCTCCTGCATCACGGAAATCATTCCTAAACCGGCTCTTTGCATCAAAAGTCAGTGAGGGTTTCGATGAGGAAGTGACTCTTTTCTCAGCCTCCTTCTTCTCATCATCATCATCAAAAGGGTTGGAGCTGAAACTCTTAGCAGCTACACAAGGTTGAGGAGAAATCCTGTTTGATGGCTTCAGAGTGTGTTTGTTATCATCCGATTCATCGTCTGATTCAAATGGATTTGACTTGGAAGATTGGTGGAATCCAGAATCCGCCGGTTTATGTTTTGAAAGCCTGTTCCGGTGATTCTTCAAACTATACATTGTATCAAACCTGGAAAAATCTCCTGCAGAAATAACAGAACTTAGAATGCTGTGATTCTGATTCGAAATGTACCAGAAAGATACTAAGCTTTGAAATTCATCAGAAACAACGATCCATCATGAGTCCAATTTCTATTTCTATCGATACCTAAGAACATAAATCAGTGAATGAAGCGATGGATTTTAGTGTTATATCTCTTGATCAACTATAGATCATAATCCACTGAAGATTACGAGAACTAGAACAAAAAGATCCGGGAAACTAAATTCCTCAAAGGCAGTTACGGAAAATTAGTAATTCATCTGCATCCAAACAACAAAACCGCCGCGAATGAGCAGGTGGATAAACAATCTAATGGGATAACGATTCCAATCAACCTAAAATTCCCAGATAGCGCGTGAGAAAGAGAATTTTGAGGACGAAGGAAGAGAAATTACAGTGCAGAAGAAAGCAAATCGCAATTGCGGCGTACCTTGATGAGCGAATAGAGACCAGAAGAGTAGAAAATTGAACTTCTTAGGAAGAAACTGTAGATACGAAGAAGAAGGAATTGACGCGGACGACGAGCCCAAGAACTGAGTTTGAAATTTCGAAATCCTTGAGTGAGTACAGGTTTTATCAAGGAGATGAGAGAGGAATGGTAACTGGTGAGAAACTTTAGCATATAATAAAGGCACGTGAATATTAAGTTGAAAGAAACATTATCTATAGATTATTAGCTAATTCTCCTTAATTATTTAATTAATCATCTATGATTTTTTTTTGTCAACTATTTAATTTATGGGTTATAGATAGATGATTGTAAGAAATAGACATAAGATTACTAAATGTATGTACATATTTTATCTACGTATTGCATATGCTCTCAATCAAATCCAAACTAGTACATTATGATGGAATATTTACAACCTTATCTTGATAACCAAAAAAAAAACACACACTCACTCTAAAGCTAAATTCTTCGAGACATCTTATCAAAGGTTTAACTCAAACCTCTGATGTTTATCTCTCCACCTCCTTCAAGTCTCTGGATTCCTGATCATCCTGCGACTTGCTGTGTGATAAATCGCAAATTATATCACTTTCAACGGAAAATCCATGGATGAGACACAGAAATGTGAAGATAAACAACAAAGCTCAAGGCTTTATCATAACACGGAAAGAGGCAGCATATCAGTGGAAGAGGGCTTGTTCATCTCTCTCTTGATCTTAACAACATAAGAAGAGAAGGAACCGTTAGATACCTTACAGGTTTAGAAGAGAATCATCCATTTTCGCATGCTTGACAAAAAAAGTAGTATTACCTGTGCTTCTAGTTCTGCTATTCTCTGTAATGAAGCTTGTTCTATGCACACACGGCGTTTGCGTTCTTCGTCGACCAAACATGTCATCTTATACCTTAATTCAGCCATTTCTTGCGTAAGGTCTTCTGCTTCTTCCTTCGCCTTCAGTTTCTCCTCTTTCAATTCGTCCTGCATATACCAAAGAGCACAGCGAAACTAGTTTTTACATTGAGCCGCTTCACGACAGTTGTGTAATGTAATGGTGTACCAAAAGACAAGAGACAGAGTTCCTCAGTTTGTCAAAAGTACCTTTAGCCGCTTCACAAGATCTTCGTGCTGCTGCATCTGTTTCTCCATACTCTCCATTTTACCAATCAAATTTACATTCCGGGAAAGTTCTAGTTTCTTGATGATTGCATCGAAACATTCACTGTGAGACACAAAACCAACATTATTATAAACAGAGATAACTCAAGATTAGACGTACTAAACAAGTCTTTAAGCACATGTTGACACTTACCAAACTTCATTGGACACTGGAAGCACATGGCTCAATTCAGCGAAGAAGCACTCTGCATCTAGAGGTTGTTCGATTTTACTTTCTAACCGTTCTTTGGTACTGTGAAAAAAATCTTTGATACTCTTCTCAGAGGCAGAAATTCTCTCCCTCAGCTCTCTGTTTTGCTTCTCAAAGAACTTGACATTCTCTTGGGCCTCTTGAGACTGAAACTGGACCTCTTTGATTATTCCTCTCAACTGATCTTTTTCTTGAACACTTTCTTCTTGGATTTTCATTGCATCAAAGAGTGCTTGCTCCAACGATGTTATATCAAGCTTCATGCTTTCTATTTCACACAAGGACTCCAATGTCAAGGATGAGATGGTCTCCTCCAGTTTCTCTATGGAAAGAGACGAACACTGCAGCTCTGTTTCTTTGCTCTCGAGTTCTTGAAACAGCAACAAATGCTCGGATTTCGACATACACAGCTCCTCTCTCAGACAATTAACTTCTTCTTCCAAGTTCCCTGACTCGGCCAATTTCAACTCAAGCTCGTGCACATGTTCATTGAGATAGTTCACTTCCTTGCTTCTGAAAATTAGTTGATCTCGCAAGTAATCTACAAGACAGAGAAAACAATTATACGCTGAGGGTTATTATTAGTTAAGAGAAATCGGAATTTCTTGGCTCAAATAGGAATTACCAATTTCTTTATAGCAATTCAACAAATCTTTCTCCATCGTCCGAATTCTTGCTGTGTCTTCTAAGCGAGATTCTGATAATGACTTCGTCTGGAGTTCCAACCTCTGCAGTAAAGAGAAGATTAATGTCAGAAAACTCAACCCAAGAGAAAGAAAAAATATACTTTTTTCCTGAAGAACCTACTCTGACTAGTTCGATACTATGGGGCTGCGATTTGTTCAGCATGTCCTTTTCTTTCCTTAGCTGCCATTTACAACAAAACAAAACAAAAGGCAAACTTCCATCAATTCTAAGAATCGGCAACTACTTTACACGACTATCCGAGTCCAAGTTTCATCAACATGAGTATATATATTAAGAATGAAGTGTTTACCTCCCTACGCCTAGTCCCTATCTGCAGAAGTTCGTCAGCATCAAACGAGTTCTCGCCATCACTTCTGGAGCTACATGCCGAGCTACTCCTTCCTGAGAAACTTCCCAAGCTACTCGACATTTATAGACTGAAATTATACCACTGCCAAGGCAGTGAAACAAACATTAGCTTACAGAAACACTTCTCTCTCTTTTTTGTGTTCTACAGCTAACTTGAACAAATACATATGTTGTCATCTCCCAAATGAAATTAGACTGTTGTTCAGCTTATGAATCAAATTAGCCTAAAAATCACTTCGACAGCTAAATACGTCAACTTCACAGGTTCAATAATTCGCTAAAATCATGAATGCTTCAATTCATTTGACGAAATTGGGGAAAAACAAAGCTATCTGACTAGAAAGCCAATTGCTACCGCAACAACAAAAAAAGAGAGGAAATATTTCATCGACAGAGTTTATAAAATACCAAATCACAGAGCCAATTCAAATCTTCACAGAATCGGATCGGAAAAACAAAAAAGTGAGCACGAGGATAAAGTGGATGAGCATAGAGAGAGATAAGCCGTGTATAATTGGATAGAGATACACACCAATACAAGCGCAGGAGAGGTTTAACCTTGGCAGCCCAGTTCCTATCTGAGAGAGTTCCGGCGACGAATTTGGTCGGAGAAAGTAACGCCCAGATTATTTTGAATTTGATAATTCTATGATTATGTTCTTTCGATTTCTTCAAGAAGTGACTTAAAAATGACCTTGTTTAAAACGAGAAACGGGTCGAACTTGGGTCGGGTGGGCAAGCAAGTGGTAATTTTTTAACCACACTGAAAATATTCGTTTTAATTCTTTGAATCGCTCCTGGATTTTTATCCATGGAGTAGTAATCTTTTAGTTTGAAATTTCTAGGTTGTTGCTATGAATCTTTTATCTGAATTGCATAACAAATAAATAAACACATATAATCTTGTATATGTATGTGTATAACTCAAAGCAAAAGGACTCAAAAGTGTGTTTCAAGACAGAAAGGAAGACACGCTTAAAGCCACGTTTAGATCCGTGTCCTCAATAAAAGGGCAAAGTCAGGAATCGCTTTGCCCATGTTATATGTATAAAACACACACACGTACACAGATACATAGACCCACACACACATACACGCCTTCATACGTACATGCGTGAATGTGTATGTGTTCATAAGAATTTGAGAGTCGCAGTAACAGAGATTCTAGATCTTGCAGAGAGATAGTATCACAACAATATTTCTTACAAGAAATGATGATCCTCATTCACCAATCCGACCTGCAAAAGAAAAAACGAAGCTTTTATCATCAATGAAGAATACATAGAGATTACTAATACCAAATCTATGTGAAATTGTGAATCAACTTACCAAAGACAGTATCATTTGTCAACGCCTACATCGAGTCCTTTAGAGCCGATCAACACATTCGAATCGATTTGCTTATCAAATTTCTTCTTTCTCCTCTCTTCAAATTCTTGATATCCTTCCATCTAATCCATTTATATATATATATATACACCGTTATGTTACAGTTCCACAAAATTCAAAGAGTTTTGAAAAGCGTTATTCTGAGAGGTTGTGGGATAAACTTTTAATGACTTACCAGCTGAAACTGATCCATGGAAATGGGATTGTTATGCAAAGACAGATTTTGCAGACTCTTGCAATCTTTCAGCAATCCATCTGGAATCTGGAAAACCATTAATGTTCAAAGATAGTGATTCAGTAAACCGAGAAAAAGAAGTTAAAAGGGTGACGAAACAAATCACAACTCCAATAGCTCTATACCTGGTTCACTTGATTATTGTCTAAGCAGAGAGACTTTAGTTGAATCAGATTGCAGAGTGATGCAGGGAGCTCTTCAACAGCGTTATCTGCAAGGCTATCCCGAATCACGATTAAGCTTTGAAGATGAAACATCCACAACAAAATGTCATTTATGTTTTCAAACCACCAAACAGTCACACGCATTTTATGAAAAAGGTAAACTAGAAACATACCATTAGCCTGTAATTCTTCTAAAGAAGCACAGCTTCCTACTGATTCTGGAAGGGATTTCAATCTGTTATTTGATACATTCAACAGCACAAGCTGCATTTGATAAGAGAACGGTAATTATTATTTTTTTACCAGGCAGATCATTGAGCTATGCTTTTTGTAAACGAAGTTACTTACATTGCGCAGACTACCAATTGTATCAGGCAAGTATATGAGCAGATTCCTTGAGATTGATAATTGCTCAAGCCTTACCAACTGACCCACTGAACAAAAACAAAAAAAAATGTTTTAAGATTGACAAAAGAAACTTAGTATAATTTACTATCAAAGGAGAAGTCTTCTTACATTCATCAGGTAAACAGCTGATACGGTTTCCATCAAGCATCAAAACTTTGAGAGATTGAAGTTTCCCAAGATTCCCTGGAAGGCGCTCAACTAGATTATCAGCTATCAACTGCCAAAAATGCAGCAGTTTTTAAGATTAGATTGAGTCATCAACAGCTTTATTATCCACAGTAAAGTAACAGTATGCATTCAAAGAGAGGCAAAGTTATCTCACCAGACGCTGCATATTGATTAACTTGCTGATTTCTCCAGGAACATCAGCTGCATAAATGGTCAAAAGTAACAAAGCCCTTCAGGTACTACTCTTAACACAATCATAAGATATCAAAATGAAGGATTGAAACAAAGTAGAAACCATACAGATCTTATTGTGTGTTAGATCGAGTGTTCGCACTGCTCTCTCCATTTCAATTACTTCATTAGGAAACGTCTGCTCAACAAAACCAAAACAGGTAATCAGGGCCAATTCAGTGTTAAGCCCCCAATCACAAACCCTAAACCAGATTCGTATGCTTCATTCATGAGCTAGCCGATAAAGTTTGTGCTTTTCGTCTAATCAAAACGCTTTTGGGGTATAATAAACAACACAAGCAAGAGACGGTAACACACATAGAAACATCTCTACAATATCAAATGAATACACAGAAAAGATACAACAGAAATTATCAATCAATTCCATAGATTCTTCGATGGGTTTTTTCAAAGTAAAAGAGATGAGTAGAGACGAATTACCTTCAATTTGGAGTCGCGCAGGCCAACAATGCCGGTGGATCGCCACCGCGAGACCCGTTTAGCCTTCGAGCCTCCTGCTGCAGTGCTGGCGCAACACCCCATTTTCGTGCTTCCGATTCTTCGGCGATCGTCGCAGTAGATTAGATGATTATGAAAATGATTTTGTAATGAAAAATCCTCGAGACCCAGAAAGTTTCTTCAAAGGAATCTGATTGCCAAAAGAGACCGATTCGGTAATAAAGTTTTCTGATTTTGGAATTGAGGTTTAGGTGAGGGTCAAGGTCTCTCTCGCGGGTTATTATAAAAATAAAAACTAGTCATTTTTGGGCCCCATAAAGTAAATATTGGAAGGAAAAAAGTCGTCTTAAATGTAAAAAACCCTAAATTGGATCGAATTTGCTTTCCTTGGAACATTTTTCCCAGATAAATATCTTCAAGAATCAACTACAGATTATTTCTCGTTATTCGTGATTCACTTTCCATTCAATTGCACTGATCTAGAAAATTAAATACAGGGATCTTTCAGATAAATAGTTACCAAAGATTCAATTCTGAAGAACCGTAAGTTCTGAGCCTTTGAAACCAAACAATTTAGGGCCTTAAGATATGAAGATGAAGATGAATCTGATCAGAACTCCGAACCTTTTTTCCCATTTTCTTACATAATGACAGCAGGTCTTTATATTGTGTTTTTCCTGTTCTGATCTCTTTGCTTACATTACAATTGGTTCTAATTAATGATTGTGTTGTTAAGACAACGCATAATACGAAGTGAAAAGAACCCAAACATCGACAAGAAGTTGTCTTTCTAGTAAAATGGCAAGTACCAGAAAGTTCGTTAATCATTAGCCCCTTCCTCAAGCAACTGCAGCCATTGTGCATTTTGCTATCCGATTTTTTCAAAATTTATTTGTCTCTAAAATTCATAACTAAGTAAAACCTCTATAAAGTAATAACGTTGGAACCTTGATATTTTATTACTTTAACGAGATTATTAATTTATCGAGAGATAATTAGACCAAAAACTTAATTTGGAACTCAAAAAGTCTACTCATTTATCGAAGTATTACTTTATCGAAGGTTCTACTGTAAATCTCATATTAGACCACATAAACCTATTTCATATAAATTCCAGGATTTTAACCACAAATTAAGAATAGGCTTCATATAAATTATGCATACACACATGATTCGTCTGCTGCAAAATAAATAAATGTATATAAAACCCATTTATAAGAATATAAAACAAGATAGATAATTTATCAAACTTTGTATCAGTTTCATTCGTGACTCACTACACTATGAGAACAGCCAAAAATCTTGGAACCAGAATCCACTCTTTGGTTCCATTTTTTCTTTTTTCCTACTTCACACAGAACCCCGCTTTTTTCATGGAGCGGATTTCAATATCAAAGATATGTTACACACGTATTTGTCTTGTATTTTATCCGTTTTAAGTTAGCCGTAGAGCCATTTCTTGAAGCAGAGCTCGCTTCTGTGAAGCGTTGATCACTTGGTTGGTTTCTGCATTCTCTAGAACATCTGTGATTATAGCCGCTGCGTGACCCAGTGGCTCCTCCGCGGCTTTCTTTAGCATGAAAGCCTGTTGCAAGTGAAGGAAAGTGAAGAAACAAAGATCAGTTAAAAAAACATAAACAAAAAAAAACCTCAGTTCGAATCTAGAATCTTTAGTAAGGGAAGTAAAGTGAAGGACCTGGCCATGGTGCGAAATGGTTAAGGTGCATGGTTGCTGAGACCAAGGCTCTCCATCGATTTGCACAGGCAATGGTGCACAAAGTTGTATCTTGACTGATTGCCCCTGAGCTAACCTTCTGGCTCGAGATAACCCAACCTGAAGATGTGAAAAACAAACAATTCATGTTAGGTTCTCACGTAAGGTAGAAGGCAAATAGAACCTTTAAGGTGAACCATTAGTATACCTGAAGTTTCCCAAGGTGCCATGTTCCAGATATACTCACAACTTCTACTATCTTGTCATGCATGGATTGGGGATCAAAGTTTTCATATGTTTCATCTTCATTCTGCCATAAATCCACCCCTCCCATGTAGCTTCCAATGTTTGCAACTAGTACTCCTTCCGCATCCTTCAAAGATTTAGTATAGAAAAGTTAGAGCATTAACTACCATAAGAGTTTTTTTCTTTCTGTAAGGTAGTTTTCTGTGACTCACCTCAGGAACCTCAATGTCAACACCATCGACTTCAACTCGAACTTGCCAAGGGAAATCTTCGAACGTTCTGTCCATTATACTCCTTGCACCTTCTCTAGCATAGAGGACTTTGTTCATAAACTGCACATAGAGAGCATTCAAATATCAGTTTCATGGACTAAGGATTACAAAACACAGCTTCTCTACAATATACCTGGCTGTAAAACCTCTCTGGATTCTCCTCCCGTAGATTGTGAATGTCAAGGGCGACCTTTGCATCACATCCAACCCCTATTAAGATTTGCAGAGCAAGCAAAAAATTATAGGCTATGAACTTCAGGACAGCAGTCAAATCATTTAAAAGGATCTAAAATAGGCAGTGGTTCAAACTAAACCTCAAGCATGGAGTTATTTAAGAGAGCCTATATCCTTATATTGAATACAAAGTTTAGCAAATAATATTGAAGCAAAGTTCGAAGATTTCCATCAAGAGGTTTTGAATTTTACTGACCTATATAATTGTTCATATATTTAGGCGGCTGGAGTTGCTTTCCTTGTTGATTCAGAATCGATACTTTCCAGCGATCAAGGACAGTTACTGCAGCATGCTCTATGTTTTGCAATACTGTACATAAGCCTCCTTGTCTCTCAACAGAACCCAAACCACCACCCCAATTCAATACTCGGGCTAGATCATTCCCAGTTCCAGCAGGCAAGATAGCAACCGCAGGAGGTGAGACAAAATTCTGCTTGTCTATTGCATCCAATACCCACCCGGCAGTGCCATCTCCACCACAAACAAGAACTCTAAAGTGAGGAACTTTCCTAAATAGATAAAGTCCCACTTCTGGTCCCTGCACTGAACTCAATTCACACACCTGCAAGAAACGGCTCCATCAATAAACTTAAACAAGATAACAAGTTATAAAAAGTCCACACATATAAGTCAGCATAATCTACCTGCACAGGATTCAAAAGAAGATGAAGACGCTGACGAAGGGAATCACCTCGCTGAGCACCACTCTTCTTGTTAATGAAAACCAACAACGGTCTTGCATCTGAAGGTAAATCCGTTATCTCATACTTAAGTTTCGACCTTAGCGCATGATTTTCATCCTTCTGACCAAAAGACCCGCTTCTTTTAACAGTAGGCTTCTTCTCCAGCTTGCCATTGCTGTCGCTATCCCCATGAGAGGACCCTCCATTCATAACGCCGTTAGAGTTTTCCAGCACGGCATGATTCCCATTAACAGCTGGACCTGTTTCAGCTGTGCTTACAGTCGATTCATCGCAAATGCCACCACTATTACCCGTGTCAGCTGAAGTTTCATTAGCCTGCTTGTACTTCTTGCTTTGAATCCTGATACTGGCACGGACGGTCGATGCAAGCTCGTTCGCACCATGCGTGATTGTGCTCAAAAACCCTCCAGAGGGATTCCGAGTCAACTCCTTAACGTAGAGAGGGCACAAGATCAGCCTTCTAAGCGCGCCGAGATCACAAATGTCACCTGTTTCATTCGACATGTTACTGTGACAGTCAACATGAACAAGACGCTGACACCACAAGCAGCACCATATAGGAGAACCCCCAAGAAAGGAGCTACTACATGGCTCGTCACAGTAGCTACAGAACGAGGACTCATCAGGCTGATCAGCTCCTTCTGTCCACCGCACCGCCCACTGGTGCACCACATGCTCATATCCAATCATGGAGACACACTTGCAATCTTTAGGCGCGTTTGAAGAGCAGCTGAAATGCGCTGCTGCTCCGCAAATCGTGCACCTGTGTATAAAGCTCTCTGAAGCTACGATTGTTTGAGATGGTGACATGGACTTCAAGCATACACAGCAGTTTAAGTTCTTGACGCGAGAAACAGAGTCGAGCTCCCAGGTGTGTGGGGCAGCAGGAGTCTTGTGGCGTGCCTTTGGGTTTTTCTTTGATCTGGCTATGGCTTTTGTCCAGCTTAAGTTGATGTTTCTTCGCCATTGGAAAGCAGTGTAGGCTATGGTCAAGATACCAACGAGAGCAGCTACAAGGCAAGAGAACATTAAGCCGCGAGAATTTTCAACTGAGTTCTTGCTGTTCCAGCTAGGAAAGAACATCCCCATTTCTCCATCGTCGACCTCCATTTATGATATATCTATGTTGCAACTCCACAGGTATCAAAAGCCCTGAAGTGCGAGCCAATCAGAAGCCCTACAAGATTATGTTGAGGCACAGGTCATCAGAAATTCTTTTTCAGACTCCATATTCTCATCATCCATCAGCGGAAACTGGATAGGCTCTGAACAACCGGAGACGAACTCTTCTGCCTTGTCCTGAAAACGTACTTGTCACCCAGAACCAAGTTAAAAAAAACATTCTTTTCATAAGAAAATCAAAAAAAAAAGATGGCATCACAGATTTCCACATCTTACTCTGAACACACAAACAAAGAGCACTACTTATCGACAAATGTTTGGCCACTCTATTTGCTTAGATTCAAACTTAATTTATTGTATTTGACTTGCGCACTTAACAATAGAAAACACCTTCCTAAAATCAGTAATGGAACCTTCCTCAAGTTCCTATGAATTATTCATGTTTGACAAAAAAAAAAAAAAAAAAACTTTTGAGCTTGCATTTAAAACAAACTCAGATCACAACAATCCAAAATCACCAATAAAGAAAGAAGGGAAGACATAAACTACTGCTTTCTCTCTGTCCACGAAAAATCCAGTGGAAATCAAACAATGATTCTAACCTATAATAAACAACACATTGAGGAAAAAGGCAAATAAAAAGGCAGAAAGCCCTAACCTCCGGAAGCGAGAGAAGAAGAAGAAGTGGTGATCAGATTAGAACCCTGGAGATCGAGCAAGCGACGCAGGAATAAAAAAGGAGAGAAACAAACCACAATCAACGCAACAAGCACGAAGCTTTTACTCCACCGAAATTTCCCCCAAATCCAAATTTTTATTTGAAAAGCAGATGTTCTCGAGTTTATATATATTTTAATTTTAGTTACTAATCTTCGTTTGATTTATTCGCTCGGACTATATGATGAGAAAAGTATATATGAAAGAGAAAGATTCTGGGAGAAAAAGAGGGTTAATCCGTAATACACGGCTGGGCCACGTAGGATAGGTGAATCTCGGATTCCGGATAGCCACGTGTCCAAACAATTCTGTCGGCAAAGGGCCCGGCCCATTACTCTCATGACACGACCCCATACTAGTTCAGCATGTATGACATTGACCCACTCAAAATCACAAGAACATGAAAATTGAATTTTTATTACATGTATTTGACGTTTTATCAAGTAAAGATGGATTCGTTTTTTTATCATTTTATTGGAGTATTTTGTAAGAAAAAAATATAAAAACAAGCTCAGAAAATGATTGAAGAGAGAAAAGAGAAGGAAAAACGGGCAATCAAGTTCAGTTTCCTTTTAGGATTTCACATCTTTCAAAGCAATAAAGATTTTCTCTGCACTCTCAAATCATTTCTTTTATTCCTTGCTTCCTCCACACCTTCGTGTATCTCGAATTTTAATGCCCATCATTTCCATCTTTTAGAAGAAAGTGAAATCGTAATTGCATTGCATACGTACGTGCCTGTGTTTGTCGCGCGAGTATCTTCCCAAAACAGTCATGCAGCAAATCAGTTTTTGTAGATGTCATTTAGGGTATTAGTATTTCATAAATATGAAGTGTATGGCTATATATAACTTACTACGTCAAAATATATTCACATATCAATGTTCTGTGTATATGTGTATAAAAAATATTTAGCAAACAAATGTTATAAGATATCTATCTTTAGCAACATACATTTATAACGTTTTTTATTTGTCAACCGCAAAAACTAAATTTTAGTTGAAGAAAAACATTCATAGTTGAAAAAAAATAGAAATATGGACAATTCTAATTCAGTTTTTTTGCAACAAGAAACAACTTAACCAATATATTACACTAATAAGATCGCTATCGGAAAGTGGGTCCAAAATGAATCCATATACCATATCCATGTTATTCATATTGCTATCTCTGAGTTTAAAAGGAAAATTGCAAAATATATGCTTTTAATTGAGTAGTTGCTGTCTTCTCTAACAATTTCACTTGTCATGCAATTTTTTTGTTTTTATCGTTCTATCATCATGATTATTAGATGAAAACGGATTATGTTCATCAGAAATTCTTTATCAAAAAAAAAATGTTCATCAGAAATTCAGAACTATCAACATTATTACTTTTATCAAAGGCTCAATGCATGCAGGAGTATATCAGAAAGATTTGCCAAATCTAGTAATATCAACTAATTTTATAGATCATACGTCACCCTTTTCCCTAAATTACTTCATGTAGATCAATGTATGTAGCAAGCTATGTCGGATCTCGAGATCTGTGAAATGTAATCCCACGGTTAAAACTATATTGACAGAAACGAAATGATGATGAATAAGAATTTAGACACTTCGCCGTCGAACTATGATATGAAATATGTTTCCCCGCAGAAATTAAATAATATATATATAAGACCACCAAACAAAAATCATTCCTTCTTCTTCACAAGAACCTCTCACATGGCTTCTACAGACTCTTCCGATGATCCTCCTCCGGCGACCAACACTGACGTCGTCGTCAGACGACCCCTAAACCCAACAGCACCTTACTTCTTCCCCAGAAACCCTTCTCTTCATCGTTACTACTTCTCTCCCCCGCCGATATACTTCATCTCTGACACTAATCTCCCTCCTCCGGCATCTATCTTTGTGTTTTACCCTCTATCCTATATAAACCCTAACCCCAATCAGTTTGAGTCCATTCAAGAAAAGCCTCTTCTTCACTCTCCAAACCCTAGCCTAGAGATGTCTCCTTCTCCAACCAGCAGAAAGAAGGTTTTTGGCCGGAGAGGAAGAAGTGGACACGATAAGAAGGTGGCACGGAGGAGACGGCTCAACTATCAAGTTGAATCCAAAGCTGATCGTATCACAACCGTCATGCTTCGCAACATACCAAACAGATACACGTGAGTACATATATGTATATATAGATTTCATATCAAAGAATGTAGCTTTGAGAATATTGATACATATATAGCTTTTCTCTAACACCTTCGTTATATAACTAGGAAGAATATTAGTTTAGTTTTTGTATCAAGGTGTTAAATGATTTAATTTTGTATGTTGGGGTGATGTTATGATGATTAATCCTAACTGGCATGTAATTACAATATTTGCAGGAGAGAGATGATGATTGAGTTCTTGGATAAGCACTGCGAAGAAGAAAAAAAAGGGGAGAAAGATGAAGAGTTTCCAGTCTCTTCCTATGATTTCTTATATCTTCCCATGGACTTCAAGTAAGATTTTTCATCTTTATCCTTATTCGTATGTTTCATATTTGATTTATATAAATATACACTTAGAAATGTATGCGTGTAAGAAAGAGGAACAGAGAAATGATGCTTCAAATTTTGGAAATGATAATCGATTTTATCCAAGATGTTACATTGAATTATGTAATATAAGAGTGTTTCATTTAAACTTCTTTTTTTTTTTTGCTTGAAACTAAATAAATGGTACCAATTGAACAGGAGTACTTTGAACAAAGGGTATGCTTTTGTGAACTTCACAACTGAAGAAGCGGTATCGAAGTTTAAAGCTGCTTGCAACAACAAGCCATGGTGTCAGTTCCGCTCAAGAAAAGTACTTGAAATTGCCTATGCTAGGATCCAGGCTAGTTCTCTACTCATTCCTCTACATATATGTATATTAGTTTATCTCAATCCTATTTTAACATTTCTGTGCAGGGCAAAGCTGAGTTGGTGAAACATTTCAAACAAATGACATATCCAGTTGAGGCGTACAGTGCCGTCTGTTTCAGCCCAGCTCGTAGCGGACCGAAGAATACGGTTCAAGTCATCATGGTCGGTAAATGCACCGAACCAATGATATCGGTTTAGTTGTTTGGTTATATATAAATGAATGTGTGTGTGTGCTTGGTTGCTTACGGATAATGAATGTGTGTATGGTGGGGTGCTTCGAACTAGGAATAACGAACGGGTGGACTTAGAAATGAAAAGAAAAGACTCAGACACCGGACCAAATCCAAGCACAACTCTTCAGATGTCGAGTTTTGGATTTGGTTTTTGATGTGTGTGAGTTTTGACTTTTTATTAGTGTTATGTTTTTAAGGTCTACATGTTTCTCTAGTCCTCTTTATGCTGTTGAATGTTGATGTGTATGAGTTTATCTATGTTATATATATGTTATTTTTCTTTGTGTGTTATTATTCTGAATTCCAAGAAATTGGTTGAATTTGTTTAATAAAAAGTCGATTCGTACTATTAAACAAGTTTGATCTTTTATGAGGACTTGTTTTTCTGTTGTCAACGGTAAAAAAAATATATACTTTTGAGAGAAGGATCTCTTGGAAGTTGGAATCCACGGATATAGGTTTGTACTATTTGAACTCATATTCTCTGGTACACTGCAACAGAAAATCTTTGCATTAAAACGTACTTTTGTTGAGACTACTTGAGACGCTTGAGACCCTTGTTACAATAAAAAGAAGACGTACTTTTGTCGAGGGGGATTTGTCATTATTTCTCTTTTGGGGGATTTCTGAAGTCTGAATCTGAACACTACTTATTGGAGAATGGGACCGAGAAGTGACTGAAAAAGCTTTCACTTTTTTATTTATCCTCTTTCTTTTCTTTTCCATTACGTTCCATCAGCAGTTTTGTTTCCATCTTCTCATTCGCTTTTCCTTTTCTTTTTCAAGTGCCATATGTAGTTTTTTAAGAGTTGACCGTAGTTGACTAACGTTTGTATCACAATCGGCAAAATCGAGTGCGAACTTGTTACATTGTTTCAAATGAGTGAAAAATTGCGCGAGTTTTTCTTCTTCCGAATTTCATGTCGTTATACATATAATATGTGTATAGGAAGTAGGAACCATAATAGACGATAGTTATATTTTATTGTACGTACAGTATATACGTTCATAGATTTGCAATGATAGTTCAACATTTATTAACGAAGGTCGGTGTCTGTCTATCAATTCACAACAGACAAAAGTTCATTTCTTCCATGTGAACACATCACCATCTTTTTAGTGTCACATTTGGTAGAGGTCTATGGGATTTAATCACTCTTTTTTCAAAGGAAAAATGTATAAAAAACATTTATCCCTTAATTTTATTTGTGATAGGTTTTTTATATATAAAAAGGTAAATTTCACAGAATCATATAATGTTACCTATACATGCTATATTTTTCGCCTGTATTGAAGATAATATAAATCAAAATTATAGTAAAAATGATATTTAATGGATTTGACAGTCGATCCAGCAATTGCTGGTCCACTTCATTACACTACACTTACGTAAGACCTATACCACCTTTTTGAACCGACAGTCCTACTCTGAGTTGAGAGAGACATCTTAAATCACGTTATGCATAAAGCATGTTTTGAGGTTTCACCCTCGTTGGCTATACGGCCGTAAAATAAATTTTGTTAAGAAGAAAAACATATGAAATTGGTTTCATACAAAGTCAAAAAAATAAATTTGTGAGTGAAAGATACAACAAATGATCTTAACAATAAACACCTTTTAAAACTCAAAATAGTTTATCATAAGCTTTTTCAGCTCGAGCCATTTGTTCTGTATAGTCACTAGCTTCTAGAGAGCGCCTGCAATCCTTCCGGCCACTTGGTCAAGATCCCTCTGTCCACTCGATGTGATTTTCCTCCCTCTGTTTACATTACCGGAAGAAAGAAGATTACTTGAATTGTAAGAAACCTTGTGTGTCTATCTAAGTAACTACTAACCCTTTAGTGTCGAGGTCGACAATGTTCATAGCCTGGAGCTGCTGAAGAATACGACGAGCAACACTACCGCTGCTTTTGCCGAAGTGACGCGGTCGGCTTCCGTTCCTCTTGCTTCCTCCGTAGATTCTACGGAACGCACCAACTCCAAGACCGCCTCTCAAGTAGATTTTTCTTGCCATGGAAGCTTAAAACTAAATTGACTTCATCTCACATAACGATTACTACAATACAATACTCTTTGACACAAAGGTTGCGTAAAACATACCAGCTCTAATGTAGTACCAGTCTGGATCGTATGGTGCAAGCTCTTTCAATACACCAGTCTTCACTATGTCCACCCATGGAGGCAACTCAATCTACAATGGCTCGCAGAATTTTGAATCAAGCTCAGCCAAAACGGCGATCATTGAGCTCAGATTGAAGTGTAGAGTCAACAATTGTGAGTATTACCTTCCCGGAGCGCTTAAGGTGGGCGGAGTAAGCCTTGACGAACTCGTGTGGCGAGACATCCTTTACCGTTTTTCCGGTCGGCATTGTTTTCTCGTCGGCGAGAGATTTTGGCGGGGACAGAGGAATGAAAGAGGATGGGTGAAGTTAGGGTTTTGAGAAGTTTGTGGCCCATATATATAATTAGCCCATATTATGGCCCGCTTTTTGTAATTTTAACTTTTTAAAAATTATCAATAAAGTATTCGATTATTGAAACGCACCCGTACGTTGTCGTGTTGATGTTTATAGGTGGGTTTGGTTATGATTGGTCTGTCACTGGCCCACGTACGCTACAACAACTCTCCCTCTAAACCCTCTGTATTCGAAAGAGAGTTTCGATCGACGAGCCATCTGCTTTGGACCCGAGCCTCTGTTTTGCTCCCGGACCCGAACCTCGGTTTTGCTCCAGCGCCCGCCGTTGAAAAATTTGCGCACTGCTTTCGATCACTTATCTCTCTCTCTCTCTCTCTCTCTCTTTGGCTCTGTCCTCCCCTGGTTTCGTTTGTTCTTTAATTCGAAAACCCTAAAGTATTCTTAGAAATTGAGGTCGGAGAAGAAAGCTGTTCAGGCTTCCATTTGTTCTACGGCTAAACGTGACACAAGTGTAAGTTCACATCTCTCTTTCCCTTTGTGGGAACCCTAATTTTGTTTGGAATACATGGTTTTTATACCCAATTAAGGTTGGGAGGTTGATTTATCGGTTATTGTAATGGTCATTTTCATCAGAGCTTCGATTTGATGTGAAATTGTTTTGTGGCAATTCTGATCTCGAGTGGGGTGCGCTGGATTTCTTAGAAATTATGTAAATTTGCTAAATTTGCATACTTTTCAGCTGCTTAAAGGGTTTATAGCGGTGAAATGGGAATTCAACTGGCTTTTGTTTAAGGAACTTGATGACATTAACTGCGAATGAGCTCTGGAGTTTACTGGATTAGGTGCACATTGATTGTATGATAGTTCCAGAAGTTAATTGGAGCTTAGGTTTTAGCTTAGTGGTCCTTGGAGATCGGTTTACGGTTTTCCATTTTACGGAATCAATGCTGCTTCAAGTTTTTTGTACCCTGACAGTGTAGCCTCACTTCTCGAGTTTAAAGTTTTTAGTCTCGCTTCCTGCTCTGAGGTCTCCTGCATTGAGATTTTAAACTTAAAGAAACGTTTTGTTATACAATGAATCAGGATTGAGGATCTTGCCCTATGGTTTTCATTTGAAGGGAGATCTTGAATATTCCGAGCAAGTTAGTTGGAGGTAGCCCATGAATTCTCTGGGAAAAGGTGTTAAAAATGTTCTTTTTATTAGATTCGAGCTTTATATCAAAGGAGACACAATCTTGAACTCTTTTCTGTTTCTTTTCCAGGTCCAGATATTTAAAATAACTTATAGGAGCTGAATCTATGCCTGGAAACGAATTTGGAGAGAGGATCCACAATTTCTTTGGACAGGAGGGACTATCCCAAGACCAGCATCAGTCTCAGGTTGTTGACGGGAGCTGGTCCAGTTTTAGTAATGGTTTAGTCGGAAACCAGAGGCAGATAGACCCATCACTAATAGCCAATCTGAAGGGTTATAGTACACAACAATCTGGTATGGGTCTTATCTCCTTATTTGACTGGGAATTCCACAATTTGCTCACTATGTATATGTTTCATTAGTAGCATCTAGCTATTATGTTCGATGTTGCTTTAGTAAGGTTTTTATTGTAGCTTTCTTGCTTATTCCAGTTGATCCTGAGAGAGGGCAAGCTTCAAATTCGCAGCATGGTATGGATTTTACTCAGCAGCCTATAAGGTCTGACTACTCCAGAAGTCTATTGCAAGACCACCAGCAACTCACAAATGGTTACATGCATGGGCAGGCAATGCCGAATAAGGCAAATTTTATGGGAGTGGATGTAGAATCAAGTAGGGGTAACTTATCAACGAAACGATTTTCTCCAGATCTTCATAAAAGTCCTGCGAGGTTTGAGATGGGACAATCTCCGGTTAATTATGATTTCTTTGGTGGTCAACAACAATTAAACAGCCAGCTCCCTGGCATGCTCCAGCCTTTTCCAAGGCAGCAGATGACATTCAATGAGATGCAACTACTAAAGCAGCAAGTTATGGTTAAGCAAATGAACGAATATCAAATGCAGCAACAGATTCAAAAGCAACAGCTAGAAGCCAGGCAGCTCAATTCTTTGAATTCAAATGCAGTTAATGGAAGTCGCTCAAGTGATAATCAATCACACCCTTTGATTAATGGCATCCCTCTGCAAGATGCGTCTAGTAATTGTTGGCAGCCTGATCTTATGACAGGAAATACAAACTGGATGCATCGCGGCATGTCGCCAGTTGTTCAAGGCTCATCCAGTGGGCTCATGATTACCCCTGAGCACGGGCAGGCGAATTTATTGGCACAACAATTTGAACCTTCATTGTACGGTATGCCTGTTGGTGGGGCAAATGCACTCCAAAATTCCTTTTCTCCCGTTCAGATGAACCGGTTAGCTTCGCAGCATGCTTCTGCTAACAGGAGTTCCTCGCTCACCAATCAGCCATATGCTCTGAATCAAGGTGATGCACAGGATAGTCATATGCTCTCTAGATCCACATACCCGGAGAAACTGTTGTTCTCCAATACATCAGTTCCTGGTTCAAATAATAGGCCAAATTTTGGAAGTTTCCAGCAAGATGATTCCCGTGAGAGGAACAATTCAGTGCAGGAGAAATTCGGTGGGATGGAGGGTTCTGGTCCATCAGAAAAATCATATATGAAAGCACCTGAAAATGTAACTGCATTGCAGAATTCGACAACATTAGATCCAACAGAAGAAAAGATTTTGTTTGGTTCGGATGACAATTTGTGGGAGGCATTTGGAAATAGCACTGATCTGAGCTTGACAGGAAATCTTATGTCCAGTCATTCTGACCTTTATGATGCATGCCCTTCTTTGCAAAGTGGGAGCTGGAGTGCTCTTATGCAGTCTGCTGTAGCAGAAACATCCAGCGACGAGGCAGGCTTTGGTAGTAGGGCCCAGGATTTTGGTGCCAAGGCTTCAAATCCACTAAGTGAGAGACTCCACAGTGATTCCACTCGGACAGCTGTTCAACTTTTGCATGAGAACGGCCCGTTGGAGAAGCCAATAGCTCAACGCAGTCAAATGGCTGGAAATATTTTGCATTCTTCAAATTCTGGTATTGATGGACAGAATAATTTGTTTTCTGTTCAAAAGAATGAGGGCATTGAAGACAGATTTGGTATCTGGAAGGCTGCTTCTAATCCAAATGGAGCTGCTGTGATTGAACAGAAGAATCATTTCACACAAAATCCGCAAATGCAAAGGGCAAGCTATGGATTTGGCATAGCCGGTGCAGGAAACAACTCTAGTCCTTCTAGGGATGTCCAGGGAAATATTCAACAGCATTTGGATAGTAACTCCGTGGTGAAAGCTATCCCTCAACTGAATTCTAGAGACGGCAGTCAGATTCTTGAGTCATATGCGAATAATAATGCCGGTAAAGCCATGGCTGAATCCAATGGAATGGTGAACTCTGGAAAGGAGAACTCAAATGACAGTTTTGGATTGAAATTCTCACAACAATCTTTTACACGTGGGTTTCAAGAAAATAATCAGGTAAATGCCTGTGATTTGTCTATGTTGCCTGGTGGGAAAGAAACACAATCTGGTCATGACGGTAGCAGGCCGTCGATAAGTCGCAAATTCCAGTATCATCCCATGGGTAATATTGGTGTCACTGATGAGCCTTGTCGAGAAAAAGTTTCTCATTTGCCACCCACATTGGAGCAGGTGTCTGTAGGAAACCAAGGGTATTTTGGGCAGTCAAAGTCTCTTGGTCAGCCAGCTATGAACGTGCGAATTGACAGGGTATATTTTGTATCCTTTGGGTTTTGATTATGCTGTATTTTAGAAATCTGAATCCCTCTGAACATGTTTTTGGTTTCATTATGGCAGGGACACGTTTCACAAAACGACTTGAACTGCACAAATGAGGCTCTCAAAGGCATGGGTTCAGAAAACTCACCTAGTACATCTGCTTCAGTAGACAGAAGCGTTGATATGTGTAATCAATTAAAGAGTGTTTCGTCAAGGTACTCTCTTTCTTTGGGTTGAAAAGGTTTACTTAACTATTCACCCTTTGATCGCGTTTGTGTAGTTATTTAGTTAGTGCGACCTTATATAAATAGTTTGTCAAGTAACTGACAGCTTTACCTAAACATGTCACCTTAAACTCAATGTTCTCCTTAATTCTCATCCAGATATAAGTTCTGACTGTGTTCGTCATGTAGCTCTTATTCCCTAATTGCTTGCAATTCGTGTTTTGCAATTGCTTTTCTGACACTTTTTCCTGTGCAGGCAGACTATGCTTGAGCTTCTTCACAAGGTGGACCAGTCGCAGGAACATTCCTTAGAAACAAATGTTTCCGGAATTACTGAAGCAAATATGTCTGCTGAATATGGTGGTCAATTTCGGCATAGTCAGTCATCTGCTTCTCAGGGGTTTAGTCTACAGCTGGCTCCTCCATCTCAACCAGCTCCCAAACCTGATAACGTGCAGTTTTCTCGGGATTCTTTTCAGACTATGAATTCGCTTCATACTGCCCCTGAGAAAGGAGGAACAAGTCAGTCAAGGTTTGCTCCGTGGGCATCTAATCAATCTCTTCCTCAGCAACCCACTTATCAAGGACCATTTCCTGGTAACCCAGGAGAATCCAACGTAACCTCTGGCTTCCCTTATTCCAGAGGGTATCACCAAAATCAACTGATGCCTGTTGCTACCCGACAATCAGCTGCTAACCATTTAGTCACTTCATCTCTTCCTCAAGTGAAAGAAAGAAATGAACGTAGTCACATTGATCAGCGTGGACATTCAGCACAAACACCTTCTCTGGCAACTCCGACAACCTACAACAACAAAGGAGATTCAGCTGAAGGATTTCCTATGCTGTCTGCTTCTCAGCCTCTGGTTGCATCCAGCTCGCCCCAGCTAAGTTCCTCTTCTGGTATGATGTCTGACTCACCAGCCGGTATTTCTGCACCGCAACATCAGTTTTGGAACCAGCCATCTAAGCCTCAGCCAGATGTTTTACAGCCGCGTCCATTGCCCAGCAACAACATAGAAGAGAGCTTCGCAAGGCAGGAGAAAACAAATCAGATATTGTCCCAAAATGGAGGAGACGTGTCATTAAATGGGAAGGACATGGTGAATATGCATGAGTTACAGAGTAAAGATATGGGTGCAAAACCAACATCTGATGTTGCTTCGATGTTCTCTAAAATGGTGCAGAGCAATCTTCAAACGTTTGGTCGGTCTCTTCCTTCAAATATCCCTTCCAAGAATAACGTACGTAATGATGAGGATATGGGTGTGGAGAGATTTGAGGAAAGCGCTGTTGATCATCAGAAGGTGGCTCCAATAGGGGAGCAACAACCACGTTCAAGATCTGATGGTTTAGTTAGGGATGGATTGAATCACAAGGAATCATCAAACCACATGGTGCATTTTGGCCAAACTGTTTCTCAGAATCTTTCCAATAAGAATCATTCACCCTCTCCTGGATCAGATCATCAACAAATCAGTCCTCAAATGGCTCCATCGTGGTATAGTCAATATGGGACTTTCAAGAATGGACTGGTGCAACCTGTGAATGATACAGGGAGATTCACCCCCTTGAAGATAGGAGAACAATCTTCTAATCTTGGAAGTTCGGTAGATGGTGCAGATTCTTTTCAAATGTCAAAGCAGTTACATACTGCAGATCCTAGTTACGCTTTTCAGATGCAGCAAATGTCTGGCTCCATACCAGAAGCGGAGACTCCCTTATCTGAGTCATTGCCTCATGGTGCTGACAAACTTCCGATGGTTGGTAAACCAAAGAAGCGCAAAATCGCCACAGCAGAGGTTATATCATGGAATAAAGAAGTCGTGCAAGGTCCCCAGCGACTTAAGACGCTCAGGTGTGTGGTTTATGAGGACTAATATTCCTAGTTTTTTTTCGTATCCTTTACTGTAGTAACCTTTCTGTATTCTTTACAGTGAGGCCGAGGTTGATTGGGCTAGAGCTACTAATTCATTTGCTGAAAAAGTACGTTTCCTCATTACATGTTTTCTTTGGACGTGATGATTTTGTTTGCTTCTTGCCCACAATGTTGATGGCTTATGTTCTCACAGGTGGAATTTGAGACACAACTTGAGGATAGCCCACGAGTCAGATCAAAGAGAAGGGCTGTATATGCGAGACAACTCATGCAACAACTATTCGGGGCCCCTCCTGCCAGGGTGATGTCTTTGGTTGCTAGCTCAAATTATGAGCTTGTTGCATATACTGCTGCCAGGGCTGCACTAGGAGTTGCATGTAGCTCCGCTACTACCGACAGGAGTGAGCACATTTCGTCCCCGAACAATTCAACCCCGTAAGGATATTTTCTGTTTATCCATGAAATGCTGTAGTGTATTCTGAAGCTCGAGGTTTTGTATTGCCACTAACCGATGCATTTATGTGTAGGTTATCCGAGAGAACGAAAACTGAAAGAATCAGTGACCAGTATATCTCCAAAGCTGCGGAAGATGTCATTAGTAGAACACGGAAACTAGAGACTGACTTTGCAGGGTAAACACCTTGGCTCTCTCTTGGGTGTTCTTGTCTGGTGGCCTGTAATTAATTACAGTTTGAAATGGCTGGCTTGATCTCATGAATCATCTTGGTTCTTCTTGCAGACTAGAAAATGGAACAACAATAGCAGACTTGAGAGTGGAAGTCGAGGATCTAGAGAAGTTTGCAGTGATCAATCGTTTTGCGAGGTTCCACCCACCATCGTCATCTATGGACCGGACCGCGAGTTCACTTAGGTTAAACCCACAAAGATATGTTTCCGTTGCTCCAATGCCTCAAAATATTCCAGACAGGGTACAATGTCTCTCTCTCTAACTATTGATGAAAAATCCATATAATTCACTTTTTGGCCAATCTTCTTCTCCATTCATTGGTTTCATATATCTCTTGCCCCAATTCTTTCTATTTTTGGGTGGGTATGCGAGTTAGTTGGTCAGAATCCGGAGATCATGTAACATTATTGTAAGCATCATCACTAATATTGTAAGTCAAATCCATTTGTATACTTAGTAAAGAAAAAATGCTCCTAACAGAAATCCCACAAGGTAACTCCTACGAATTAAACAAAGCATCGTCTCTTTTCAGTTTTCACAAGAATCGAAACTTAACCAGAAACTGAACACGGAATCCGCTTTCAAGCTTTAGAAGGCGACTCTAATTTCTTCACCAACCAAGGCTAATATCTCATCCACCCTGTAACAAATACGCAACAGGGCTTATCAGAATTCATTCTGTGACACATTAGAAAAAGCGTAACTCGGAAATGACAATGATCATATTGTTAACATTTACCTATGAGTGTCAACGTTCACCTCTGCATGCCAAGTTGTCAAGTAAATCTGCGAAGCAGAAACAACTATTTAAACTCATATACGTTAACAGAAGCTTCTTTCTTGTGTCAAATCAAAAATCTCACATACCTGCAAAATTTCTGTGGCTGGCTGGTTAGTATGTGATACAGAAGTAATACCGAGATTATCTTCTTTCACTCTGGGGAGAATTGGCTCAGATCCTTCCATGGAATATAAAGAACATCTGGTGAGATCATTAAATTCCCCATGGTAAAGCTCCACTGACCAACTGAGCTTGGCCGGTTGAAGAACTTCAGCGCTTAAAGAGACCAGTTCCATTATGAGCAATCTCTGTAAATTGCAGAAAATCAGAAGGAGCCTAAGATATATGCAGAAGGAGTTAAGAGAGGGGTAATAATGTATACCTTTAGCATTACTTCTCGTTTGAACATCTCCACAAGTTCCTCAGCCATCTTCTCTGTGATCATATCAACATTTGCAAGTACCAAAACTTTAGAGACAACAAGTAATCAATAGCCTATTGAACTTTTGTTTTTGAGTCTTACCAAATGCAGAGACATTCCAAAAGTTGAACACAGGGACACCACCGCAGTCTCCAGCATCATTTGCATCTTCCTTAGAGCCAGAGAACTGTGTAAGTGACCCGCTACTCGGCTTCATATAACATCTAAGAGATCTACTTGCATTCACCATCTCACCAACAACAGCTACCTGTAGTTTTCTACAGATTTTTTTATACATTCCAAATTACAACGGTATAAATTTGCCAATTCTATGATCAGAACAGGATTGATGTGCCACACTCACCATTTCCTTGTAGGACGATAAAAGCTTGATTCGATTGGAACTCTGAACATAGAAAGACTCAATGTGTGAATTAAAAAGAGAGAGACTTGGTAAGAATGAGAATGCAATATAAGACCAAAAAAAAAGAGTTTTTAATCACCTGTTGCTTGAACAGCTTCTTCAAGGCTTTCTTCTTGATGTCCAACATCTCATTCAACACACCAAATTCCATCATCGGCACATACCTATAGCCAAGGAAACACAAAGGGAGTAAAAATCAATCATCAAATCACCAGCAACCGTAAGACAAATCAAGCACCATTCAAAATGTAACCAAATTCTAAAACGATTTGCTTTTTAAAACAGAGTATTTGCAATATACATTTGGGATAAATACGAATTGACGAGCGAAGTAGCGTGAGATCTTCCGCCGGAACAAGCGGCGATCCACTGTTGCCGACAAGTCGACAGTTTTGACCACTGATTCCTAAGATTCCGCTGAGAAGCTGGTCTCCATAGCCTCATCGATGATGATACACTCGCCGAAGATGGAGATGAAGAAGCCAGCGATCGCAATGAAGACGCCGGAGATGGAGAAGCAGGCGGCGGAAACTGCGAGATGCTCATCGTAGGCCAAAAGAGTGTTTTTGAGCTAAAGCGCTACTCCGAAACCTCTTGAACGAAATTCTCGCCGAGCTGAGCTACGGACCTATGGTACGACGCCGGAAGCTAAACGGCCTTAAGACGCCGGCGATAGTTTTTTTTTTCTAACTGCCCTACTTATGAAGAAATACACAAAGGTTATAATTGTAATTTTCATAGGTTCATTTCACTCGTTTATTTAACTTGATTTTAATCGTGAACGGAATATAATTCTCGGAGAACAATTTACAGATTTACAGTAGATCAGATTTAGCATCGGAACTTTAGAGAGAGAGAGAGAGATGTCTCACAGTCACGGGAACGCTTCGTCGGCGAACGATCCACGGCAGCCTTCGACGGCGAAACCTTACACTCCCCGGCCTGTTGCGCCGGAGGATCTTCCCGTTGACTACTCTGGATTCATCGCTGTTATCCTCGGCGTCACCGGCGTTATGTTCAAGGTAAAGTACATCAAATTTAATCTCTCTCTTCTGATCCTTGCTCTGTTTAAAGCAATTACAATCCAAGAAACTCTTTGCTGTCGTCGGATCTTATAGTTTCCGAATCATTAGTTGATTTCATTATCAATCTGTGTAGCTCGTTTGTTAAGTCTCTCTGAGTTTTGACATTAGATATATTCCAAAGTCGATATACTATACTTTTACTTCTCGATCGAGCAGATTCCAACTCCTCAAAGTCTGGTTTGACTGTACAAAAGTGTGATTGTATTTGTATCATACATATTGTAGACTATGCATCAAGTAGATGAATGCGAGATCAAATGTGGAGTTCCTAATAGATTTCACTCTTTTACTTTGAACATTTGCTTCTAGGAGTTTATAATAGATGAGTGTGAGAAATGATTGTAACACTGTTTCATTTTGTGTCTCAGTACAAGATTTGCTCGTGGCTTGCAATTATATTCTGTGCACAATCACTGGCCAACATGAGGAACTTGGAGAATGATTTGAAGCAGATCTCCATGGCTATGATGTATGTTTTATCTCACTCCTTTAAGATTTATTTTATTGTAAGAGAGAGCCGAAAGCATTGAAAATTGGAATTGACCATTGCGAAACACCACTACTGGTTAAAGCCCTTTAGTTCGTAGAAGATGGATCATAGATATTTATTTATTTTATGCTTCTTGAGTTTAGCTCTTTGGACGCAAAAGATGATTATTCCCAGACATTGTTTATACTCGTAATATGAGTCATGGTGTGGATTGTTGAAATTGACTCAAAAGTTTTCCTCTACTGAAACAGGTTTGCTGTAATGGGATTGGTCACAAACTACTTAGGGCCTAACAGACCCGCGACGAAGAAATAGTCCCAAAGTTGAGAGCACTACGTTGTACTCTGCTTTTTTATGACATCGCTTATGAAACCTTGTTTGCTTCTTGTTTCCGCACTTTCAGTTTATAAAGATATTCAAAGCTAGTGTTTTAGCTCATGTTCAACGATTCTCATTTTAGAGGCAAAGAATCTGAAACCCGACCTTTTATGTTTTTGATCTCCATGAAACTGAAAGACCGGGATAGAATCATAATTGATTGATCACAACAAACGGAACTATGGAAGTTTTCTTCTCCGACCTCTATTTATGATTTTCCGAAGTCCAAACGGCTTAGTGAACAAAACCGAGGTTCGGGTTCGGGAGCAAATCGAAGGCTCGGGTCCAAGAGCTGATGGCTCGTAAATCGATACAGGCAGAAGATTTAGACGATAGCTGTTGTAGTGTGGGCCAGTGATATAACCAACTACAGTACAAGTTTACACGACACCGTAGTTGTGCGTTTCTGCAATAATTAAATCGCACTCGTTCATCTGTTATTTAGATACTAGTCGGATATTATTCTCTTTAAGAATCTGTAGATGATTGCATTTTGTCATTCTTTCAAGTTAATAACTGCAGATCTTTACTAGAGTATACAAATGGATTCTTCTTAACTTACAATATTTATGGATAATGTATACAGTAATGCTACATATTTAGTGGAAAATCTCCGGCTTTTTCACAATGGAGGAGGCCTTCACTGTTCTAAGGATTCATACCAACTAAACTCTCATACCCACCCAAAAAAAATAGAAAGATTTTGGGGCAAGAGATAATATAAACGCAACCGTGGGGGAAGATTGGCCAAAAAAAACTGGATTATATGGATTCATCAATAGTTAGAGGGAGAGACACTGTACCCTGTCTGGAATATTCCGAGGCATTGGAGCTATTGTAACATATCTTTGTGAGTTTAACCTAAGTGAACTTACGGTCCGGTCCATAGATGATGACGACGATGATGGGTGGAACCTTGCAAAACGGTTGATCACTGCAAACTTCTCTAGATCCTCGACTTCCACTCTCAAGTCTGCAATTGTAGTTCCATTTTCTAGTCTGCAAGAAGAACCAAGATTATTCATGAGATCAAGTCAACCAAAATGTGTACCAATTTACAAGAAAGCGCTCTAATGATGTTTACCCTGCAAAGTCAGTCTCTAGTTTCCGTGTTCTACTAACGAAATCTTCCGCAGCTCTGGAGATGTACTGGTCACTGATTCTTTCAGTTTTCGTTCTCTCAGACAACCTACACACGAGTGGAAAGATTCGTGTCAGTACACATCCTCGAAGCCTATAAACTTCCCAGCATTTCAGAGATAAACAGAAAATATCCTTACGGGTTTGATTCGTTCGGCGGCAAAAAGCTGTCACTCCTTTCGGTACAAGTGCAGCTACATGCAACTCCTAGTGCAGCCCTTGCAGCAGTATATGCAACAAACTCATAATCTGAGCTAGCAACCGAAGACATCACCCTAGCAGGAGCGGGCCGAAATAGTTGTTGCATGAGTTGTGTCGTATATACAAGCCTTCTCTTTGATCTGACTCGTGGGTTATCCTCAAGATGTGTCTCAAATTCCACCTGCGAGAAAATAAGCCAACAACATATTCAACAACATTGTACAAAGAGACCGGCAATAAAATATGTAATGAGGGGACTCACTTTTTCGGCAAATCGGTTAGTCGCTCTAGACCAATCAACCTCGGCCTCACTGAAAAAAATAGGGAAAATTAGAAAGTTTTATATGGTAATGGATATGAAAAGAAAATTTAGGATTATTAGTGCTTATCAGCCACACACCCAAGAGTTTTAAGCTTCTGGGGACCCTGCGTAACTTCTTTTTTCCAAGATAGAAGTCCTGATGTGGCGGTTTTGCGCTTCTTTGGTTTATCAACCTTCAAAAGTTTGTCAGTTGCACCATGAGGCAATGACTCAGACGAGTGAATCTCCGGTCCTGGTGCTGAGCTTGGCATTTGTTGCATATTAAACTGCTTCGATAATTGAAAAGAATGTGTACCATCCACCGAACTCCCAAGATTCGAAGATTGTCCTCCTATCTTCAAGGGGGTGAATCTCCCTGTATCATTCACAGATTGCACCAGTCCATTCTTGAAAGTCCCATATTGACTATACCACGATGGAGCCATTTGGGGACTGATTTGTTGATGATCTGATCCAGCAGAGGGTGAATGATTCTTATTGGAAAGATTCTGAGAAACAGTTTGGCCAAAATGAAGCATGTGGTTCGATAATTCCTTGTGTTTCAATCCATCCCTGACTAAACCATCAGACATTGAAGGTGATGGTTGCTCCCCTACTGGAGCTACCTTTTGATGATCAACAGCATTATCCTCAAATCTCTTCACACCCATATGTTCATCATGACGTAAGTTATTCTTGGGAAGGTTATTCGAAGGAAGAGAGTGACCAAAGGTTTGAAGATTTCTCTGCACCACTGTGGAGAGATTCGAAGCAACATCAGATGTTGGTTTTGCACCCATATCTTCACTCTGTAACCCATGCATATCCACCATGTCCTTCCCACTTAATGACACGTCTCCTCCATTTTGGGAGGATATTTCATTTGTCTTCTCCTGCGTTGCGAAGCTCCCTTCTACATGGTTGCTGGGCAATGGATGCGGCCGTAAAGTATCTGTCTGAGGCTTAGATGGCTGGTTCCAAAACCGATGTTGCGGTGCTGAATTACCGGCTGGTAAGTCAGACATCATACCAGAAGAGGAACTTGGCTGAGGCGAGCTGGATGCAACCAGAGGCTGAGAAGCAGACAGCATAGGAAATCCTTCAGCTGAATCTCCTTTGATGTTGTGGGTTGTCGGAGTTACCAGGGAAGGTGTTTGTGCTGAATGTCCACGCTGATCAATGTCACTACGTTCATCTCTTTCTTTCACTTGAGGGGCAGACAACTCAGAAAATGAACTGACTAATTGGTTAGCAGCTGATTGTCGGGTAGCAACAGGCATCAGTTGATTTTGGTGATATCCTCTTGAATAAGGGAAACCAGAGGTCATGTTGGATTCTCCTGGGATACCAGGAAATGGTCCTTGATAAGTGGGTTGCTGAGGAAGAGATTGATTAGATGCCCACGGAGCAAGCCTTGATTGACTTGTTGCTCCTTTTTCAGGGGCATTATGAGGCGAATTCATAGGCTGAAAAGAATTCCGAGAAAACTGCACGTTATCAGGTGAGGGAGCTAGTTGAGATGGAGGAGCCAGCTGTAGACTAAACCCCTGAGAAGCAGATGGCTGACTGTGCCGAAATTGATCACCATATTCTGCAGAGGGCGTTGCTTCAGAATGCCCCTGCGACTGGTCCACCTTGTGAAGAAGCTCAAGCCTGCACAGGAACTTTTTCTCAGAATGACTATTGCAAAGCATAAATTGCAAGCTAGTTGATTACCACGGTCAATAATTACATTGAGTTTAAGACAGACATAGTAAGGCAACTCTGTCACTTACTTGACAAACTATCTAGCATCCATAAAACGGTCACACTTACTAAATAACTTAATAAACGCAATCACAGGGTCAATATTAAGAAATCCTTTTTCAACCCAAAGAACGAGTACCTTGAAGAATCACTCTTCAATTGATTAAGCATATCAACACTTCTGTCAGCTGAAGCAGATGTACTTGGTGAATTTTCCGAACCCATGCCTTTAAAAGCCTCGTTTGTGCAATTCAAGTCGTTTTGTGAAATATGTCCCTACCATAATGAAGCCAGAAGAATGTTCAAAGGGATTAGATTTCTAAACCACCGAATAATCAAAAACCAAAGGATAAAAAATTTACCTTGTCCATTCGCATGTTCATAGCTGGCTGACCAATAGACTTTGACTGCCCAAAATGAGAAACTTTTTCTCGACAAGGTTCATCAGTGACATCAATATTACCCATGGGATGATACTGAAACTTGCGAGGTATAGAAGGCCTAACACCAACATGATCAGATTGTGTTTCTTTCCCACCAGTCAGCATAGACAAACCACGAGCATTTACCATTTGATTTGTTCCAGCATTATTACTGGCATAAGACTCAAGAATTTGACTGCCATCTCTAGACTTCAGTTGACGGCCATCCCTGGGAACGTTAGATAAATTTCCTGGACCAGCAATGCCAAATCCATAGTTTGCATTTTGCATTGGAAGATTTTGTGTCAAATGATTATTCTGTTCCTTCTCAGCAGCTAAATTTGTATTAGAAGCAGCCTTCCAGATACCAAGTCTATCTTCAATGCCGTCATTCTTTCCAACCGAAAACGAATTATTCTGCCCATCAATCCCGGAACTTGAAGAATGAAAATTATTTCCAGCCATTTGACTGCGTTGAGCCATTGGTTTCTCCAACACGCCATGATCTGAAACTTTATTTCTTCTGTTATGCAAATGTTGAACAGCTGTCTCAGTGGAATCACTGTGGACTCTCTCACTTCGTGTACTTGAAGCCTTGACACCCGAATCCTGGGTCATATTGTTGTTAGTCCATACAGACTGCTGTTTACTACCCCATTCATGTATGCCTGCATCATCACTGGAGGTTTCTGCTACAGCAGATTGCATAAGAGCACTCCAGCTCCCACTTTGCAAAGAAGGGCATGCATCATAAAGGTCAGAATTGCTGGACATAAGATTTCCTGTCAAGCTCAGATCAGTGTTGTTTCCAAATGCCTCCCACAAATCGTCCGAACCAAACAAAATCTTTTCTTCTGTTGGATCTAATGTTGTCGAATTCTGCAATGCAGTTGCATTTTCAGGTACTTTCATATATGATTTTTCTGATGGACCAGAACCCTCCATCCCACCGAATTTCTCCTGCACTGAAATGTTCCTCTCACGTGAATCATCTTGCTGGAAACTATCAAAATTTGGCCTATTATTTGAACCAGGAACTGATGTGTGAGAGAACAACAGTTTCTCCTGATCTGTGGATCTAGGGAGCATATGACCATCTTGTGCACCACCTTGATTCAGAAATGATGCATGTTGACTGGTGAGCGAGGAACTCCTATTTGCAGGACCCTGCTGCGAAGATGACCTGTTCATATGAACGGATGAAAAGGAATTTTGAGGTGCATTTGATCCACCAACAGGCATACCGAACAAGGAAGGTTCAAACTGTTGTGCCAATAAGTTCGCCTGCCCATGCTCAGGGGTAATCATGAGCCCACTGGATGAACCTTGAGCAACTGGCGACATGCCACGGTGCATCCAGTTTGTATTTCCTGTCATAAGATCAGGTTGCCAAGTAGACGCATCCTGAAGAGGAATGCCATTAATCAAAGGATGTGATTGGTTATCACTGGAGCGACTTCCATTAACTGCATTTGAATTCAAAGAATTGAGCTGCCTGGTTTGTAGCTGTTGCTTTTGCAGTTGTTGCTGCATTTGATAGTCCTGCATTTGCTTAACCATAACTTGCTGCTTTAGTAGTTGCATATCATTGAACGTCATCTGCTGCCTTGGAAAAGGCTGGACCATGCCAGGGAGCTGGCTGTTCAATTGTTGTTGACCACCAAAGAAATCATAATTAACCGGAGAAGTGAAACCTCTCGCTGATAACTTATCCCTACTTGAATTTGCATCCACTCCCAAAAAATTTGCCTCATTCGGCATGGCCTGCAACCCAAGGTTCCCATGCATGTAACCATTTGTAGGGTTCGAGTACTCGGACCTTAAAGGCTGCTGAGTAAAATTCAAACCATGCTGTGAAGCTGAAGATTGCCCTCTCTCAGGATCACCTGAAGTAAGCAAGAAAGCTATGTTTAAAAAAGCAAACAACTAGAGCAACATCCAACAAAATAAGCTACGAACGGTAGGAGACAAAATCCATACCAGATTGTTGTGGACTATAACTCTTCAGATTGGCAATAAGTGAAGGGTCTATCTGCCTCTGGTTTCCAGCTAAATTACTAAAACTGGACCAGCTCCCGTCGACAACCTGAGACTGTTGCTGGTCTTGGGATAGGCCCTCCTGTCCAAAGAAATTGTGGATCCTCTCTCCAAATTCGTTCCCAGGCATAGATTCAGCTCCTAGGAACTAATTTAAATTTATGGACCTCGAAAAGAAACTGAAAAGAATTCAGGATTCCGTCTCTTTTGATCTTACAACAACCGTTGCTTCTGCAAATAGGAAACAAAAGCGTGTCAAATGAAAACCATCGGGCAAAATCCTCAAGTCTGATTCATTTTTATTAAGAAAGGAAAGTTTAAATCTCCATATAGAAGTACTCTGAATTGATGGTTACAAGGAAACCTGAATCAGCATTGTTTCCTTATACGGAAAACTAAACCTAAGCTCCGATTAACTTCTGAAAACTATAAGACACTGAGTATTCACCTAATCCAGTAAACTCGAGAGCTCATTTGAAGTAAATGCCATCAAGATCCTTATACGAAAACCAGCTCAATTCGTATTTCACCGCTCTAAAACCTTTACCTCAGCTATAAATTAAGCTAATTTAGCAAATTTGCAGGATCTCGCGAAACCCATTTGAGATCAAAATTGCCGCAGCAAAAATTCACACCAAATCGAAGCTCTGGCTAACATGAACACTACCTTGACCCAGAATTCAACCACAAACGAGAGCCTCCCTGACTTTACTCTTACCGAGACGCTCCAGTAATTGGGTACACATCATTTCTCCATTTCGGACAGACTAACCAAAATTAGGGTTTTCACAACGAGAAAGAGAGATGCATACTTACACTTGGGTCACGTTTACAGCATCTGGAGCCAGGAAAAGCTTTCTTCTCCGACCTCGATTTCTAAAAATACGTTAGGGTTTTCGAATCCAAGAATTAACGAAACCAGGAGAGAGAGAGAGATAAGTGATCGAAAGCAGTAGGAAATTTTTCAACGGCGGAAGCAGGAGCCAATCCGAGGCTCGGGTCCGAGAGCAAATGCGAGGCTTGGATCCGAAGCAGATGTGGCTCGTAAAATCAAAACTCTCTTTCGCAGACAGAAGATTAGACTCGAAGTTGGTGTGATGTGGGGCCAATGACGGACAGTCCACAGCGTTCAAACGACACCGTATTTGCGAGTATCCACAATTAAAACGCAACCGTTCTCGTTCTTTAGTAACCGTGTGGATTAATAAATATGTTGTTACTCGACTGCTAATATGAAATCAATTTTTTTTAGCGATGAGAGTAACACTATGAGATGGTGGAATAATTAGAATCAGTAAAAAAAATACTGGTAGGAAAATAATTAAAGATAAGATTATGTAAAAAGTTGTATGATATTGATACAATAACTAGACAGATTGCGGCAGTGACATTCCTAGAAAAAAACATTTTACCCTGGAGAAGAAATAATATTTGTAAGTGGTCCGTTGTTGCCAAAGGAGCGAAACACAATGATAACAACGGGCACGTCGGTCAGTTACATATTTATTAAAACCCACCGGGGCAGATGAATTGTACCTCCATGGTGTTACTGTTTTAGTTTTGTTGTACTGTTTTAGTTGTATTGATATGGTTACGAAAACAAGATTCAACATAATTTTATCAATGGTCGCTGGAGATGGTTGATAGTGTTCGAATGGATAACCCAGGATATGAATCAGCCGAAAGAGGTTTTTTGGTCAAGAGTTGCGGTCTCTCAGACAATATAAATCCATGACCGACCAATCTCATCTCGTTCGGACCATCGAAGTCAACGGCTTATACAGAAATCCCCGTGTCATAGACGTTTTACGTGACGAAATAATCATTTTTTTATTCAGAGGTTATTATGAATTTAAACCAAAAACAATTTGGTGATTAAAATTTAAAATGTATGAAGTATAGTAGTATGGTGGTAATTTATTCGTCCATAAAGATAATGTTACTCTCCTGGTGCGTGGTGCCATCATCTGTCATCCACCCTACCTAACCATCTCATTACTCGAGTTTCAAACTCATTCTGCGAGGCTCATGCTTACACGAAGCTACATCCTCTCATAAATATAAAGTACTGGTGTGTGTGTCTTATGTTTATATAATTATATATGAAAAATATTCATATTTATTGTTTTTGTGGGATCTTTAAGTACCTTTTGTCTTCTTTGCATGGAAGAAAATAACAAAAGTTTGAAGGAAATCAAGCGTGGTCTATATATACTACGTGGCCCCGTGGCTTACCCAAATGGCCAAATCACATCCGTCTCCGTCACTTGTTTTCCAAATCTAATTACGCTTGGGAGTTGGAACAGCGACGCAAAATCTGCCGTTTTTGAACTTTGGCAATTCATAAAATTATGTTTAAATTAAAATTGCGTTGCCAATGGGCACAAAATTGCATAAAGGAAAATACAGACTGTACGCAGCAAATACGCTGAGTTAACATGCATATCTTTGCTTAACTATTTAAAATGTACATATAAATTGAATTGTATCGATCCAAACAGTTTTATATAAGAGTATGTTTTTAAAATGATAATAGTTTATTAATAAGTATAAAGGAGGGTTATATATTCATATGTTAGATGGGTTCAGTTCTCATCAAAACCTTGACCAGCTTCGGTTGAAAGACATTCGCACAAGGACAAAATTAATAAAGAAAATAGTTAAATACTATATATAACTAAAGAAAATTGTATATTTATATTTATATATATCATATATCATATATCATCCAACATTCTGAACCACGTATCTTACCTACCATCCGCGAGTACCACAGCTACCACGTTTAACGAAAAGTATATGGCCCAGAGTTTCGGAATGATCGGACTGTGTTCAAATTAAACTAATTTACACTGGATTATAATTAATCGTGTATTTGTGTATCACATAATTAATTGTGTAAGTTGTTTGTTTCTTTTTTTTACACATCGTATAGATTTGTTTGATAGCAATTGAAAATTACGCTTAACCCATTCATTTATGATGTTAAAGAAAAACATTCATTTGTATATAGTTTCATATATTTGTAAATTTTTCTAGTTTTTATTTCACTTTTTTCAATTTTTTAAAAAAATGATTTCGTAGAAATTACAAACATATAAACACTACACCATAAACAATAGACTAATAATTTTTTTACTATATGTAACAACTTCATATGCCCGTTTTCTGAGAGATTGTCTGTTTCTCGAAACTAAATGGCCCATGGTCAGAACTCAGAACTCAGAAGTATTTGCAGCTGACGTATACGAACGGCTCTAGCTAGAAGATAGCTAGTTAGCTACCTTTCTCAGTTTCTATACCAATCGAATGAACTTACAAACCAAAAAAACTCACCTACGGTTTTACAAACCAAAAAAACTCACCTACCATTCGTCTCTTTAATTCCCTTGCGCTTCCAACTTTTTCTACGTAAATAAATGCTATGATCAATTTTCTGTACGTATATTCGTAGTCCGAAGTCGTGGTGGGATCCATAATATATTTGTCTACTTATCAGAAAAAATACACAGTACCATACTGTCTATTATTCTCTTGCGAGACTTTTGTAATGTAATCATCTCTGTATGCCGTTACTCGATTATAATCGTAACTCAAAAGCAACATACGTAAATTAACTAACAATCACTCGTAGATTGAAAGAAAGGAGAAGGTTCATTTAATGACTTTGATGGTGAGAAAATCCTGAAGCTTTTAGATTGCTTGTACCTCTCTGAGTGGCTTGGCATTTGGCAAACTACTTACTATTTATGAGTTATAGGGCGAGAGAAGAACTCACAAACCTTGGCAACTCGAGGCAAAATCCCACTCAAATCTACAAGAAGTTCGATTGATCTCACTGTACGAAACATAGCATTTTCACACCGACGACTTTAATTATCCAACCAAAGTCTCTGAAACTATGTACGCTGGTATACTGGAAACCCTATACTCCCCGCTTGCAAGTCATTGTCACAGATCTCCCATGATGATATTTTAGTTCACTTTCTTTTGGTTTAGTGAGAGGCAAAAGTTTCTGACCCAAACTCTATTATGTAGCCATTTATTATTTACTTTCAATAAATTAAAAGAAAAGAAAAGAAAATCGAAACAAACTTTTTTTCTAATTTAAAATTCATTTAGCTAATTAAAAGGCAAAACCCAACGTAAAACCAACAGTACTAAAATATCATTCCATAAGAGATAGCTAAAAACCAACTATTATTTTTCTAAGAAAATAAACCCATAACCAATACATGCAAGTATTCATTCCTTTATTTATAGGTTTTGTTTGATATCCTCATTTCTCACTCACCATTCAAACCCAACACTATGACCACTCTCTTCCTCACAATCCTTCTCGCCACTTTCCTCTTCATCGTCCTTTTCCTTTTCTCTTTCCGCCGCAACAACCGTCTCCCACCAGGTCCAAACCCATGGCCCATCGTCGGAAACCTCCCTCACATGGGTCTCAAGCCTCATCAAACCCTAGCCGCCATGGTAACAACCTACGGCCCAATCCTCCACCTCCGTCTGGGGTTTGTCGATGTCGTGGTCGCCGCCTCTAAATCTGTGGCCGAGCAGTTCTTGAAAACCCACGATGCCAATTTCTCTAGCCGACCACCGAGCACGGGAGCCAAACACATGACATACAACTATCAAGATCTTGTCTTTGCGCCTTACGGACCACGATGGAGAATGTTGAGGAAGATTAGTTCTGTTCATCTATTTTCAGCTAAAGCTCTTGAAGATTTCAAACACGTTCGACAGGTAAAATTAGTTGTAAACGTTATTCCCGTTTTTTAACGCTATAGTTAAGCTCACCTATCAATCCTCGATCGTTCAGAATAATTTTTTTTTTTTTTGTGGGGGGGGGGGGGGGGGGGGTTATTCAGTATATCTGGTTTTTAATCGATCAATAAAATATATTTAGAAAAGAGAATCCTCTTTTAGATGGTGTAGACGTGTAGTGGTGTTGTACTGTTGATTTTGTTTGTTTATTTCTTCCGTGTTGATAAAAAAGGGAACAGCAAGAAGTTAGTCGTCGATTTTTCTCAATTTAAAAAAAAACTACAGTATTTTTTAAAGGCTTCAACATTATCTTTGAAAGTGACGGCTGTGCTTGTTTTACATTAATAATATAAAGCCTAACCTAATAGGGGAAATTTTAAAACTACACCTCTTGAAATGCCAATTTTAAAAAATATACTTTTATGGTGCCAATTTTCAAAACTACACTTTTTTTATTTACTAAAAGAACTCTAAACCCTAAAATATATATCAAAAACCCTAAAATCTAATATTGAACCCTTAAATCTAAACCTTAAACCCCAAAATCTAAACTCTAATATAGGATTAGTGAACCCAAACATATATATTAAAATTGGGGAAAAATGTATTTTTGAAATTTTTTACACTATAGGTGTAATTTTAAAAATTTGCACCTCAAAAGGTGTATTTCATAAAATTTCTCGACCTAATAAGCCAAAGTTCGCTACTTAATACCTTGATACTTCGTGTTACATAACATATACATGTTAGAAAAATAAAAATAAAATGGTTTTATTGAGTAAACCCAATTTTAACAAGTAAATATGCATACGTAAAATATAGGCACAAGAGTAACTTGTACCATACTGTCATTGTCGTAGTTGTGTGATCAGTACGTACGATGTAACGTAGTTGATGCCAAAAAATTGGAAAGTTCATAAACCCAAGGAAAAATTAATTACTTTCATAAATAATGTATGGACCACATTTTCTCTTTTTGTAGATGTATCACTAGTTTCCCGGGTTCAGGCTACTGTTAGAATATGCTGTTATAAACTCCTTTATTTATTTTTTTGCAATTTCGATAAAAATTCTGTTCCAAGGATTGAGATATTTTAAAGGAAAACTACGTCGACCTCATAATGGGATAACCGGATTGTGTCTTTATCAAATATATGAATTAATTAAAAGTTAAGGGTTGAAGTTTAGAACTTGGGGTTTCAAATATAGTTTTGAATTTAGGTTTAGGGCTAATAATTCAGGAGAGGATGTATTGTTATAGTGGAATTAATTCATTTCAAAACCCAAACAGAATCATCTATTACTGAGTTATATATATTGACTTTTTTAATTCTTGTCAAAATCATGTGTTATTGTATAGGTTTTTGGAAATATTAGTTAAACTATGATATTACTCTTCTAGTGATATTTTTACTAAATTTAAACAAGGACTAGATTTCATATTGGTATTAACATATACTGTATGTAAGTGTTTTAAAGTTTGAAATACATAAGCATAAGAGGTAAACCTTATTGTTTTAAAATTCATTTTATTATATAATCAAACATTTACAATTTTTAAATCGGTTCCTAAGTAAAATTTCTGAATAAAGTTAGATTAATTTGAGTTAAAGGGCAAAAACTTAATAGAGTAAAACTGGATAATGACAGGAAGAGGTTGGTACGCTCACCCGGGAGCTAGCACGTGTAACCAAACCGGTGAACTTAGGCCAGTTGGTGAACATGTGTGTAGTCAACGCCCTTGGGAGAGAGATGATCGGACGTCGACTGTTCAGCGCCGGAGCCGATCACAAAGCGGAAGAGTTTCGAGGGATGGTGACGGAAATGATGTCTCTCGCCGGAGTGTTCAACATCGGAGATTTCATCCCGTCGATTGACTGGCTAGATCTACAAGGCGTCGGTGGCAAAATGAAACGGCTACACAAGAGATTCGACGTTTTTCTATCGTCGATTTTGGAAGAGCACGAGACGACCAACGGTCAAGAACAAAAGCATACAGATATGCTTAGCACTTTAATCTCGCTTAAGGGAACTTCTTTTGACGGTGGAAGCCTAACGGATACTGAGATTAAAGCCTTGCTATTGGTTCGTACTTAATTTCTTTAACCACTAATCATTTTTATTATGAAAATTATTTGACTTTGTGTTTGTATTATTGTATATACAGAACATGTTTACAGCTGGAACTGACACGTCAGCAAGCACGGTGGACTGGGCCATAGCTGAACTGATCCGTCACCCGGAGGTAATGGTTCGAGCACAAGAAGAGCTTGATTCCGTAGTGGGCCGAAATAGGCCCGTTAACGAGTCTGACCTTGCTCAGCTTCCTTACCTTCAGGTAAACCGGGAACCACAAATTTGTTTCGGTTTAAAAGAGAAAATATCTATTATTAACCCGGTTTTGGTTGAAACAGGCGGTTATCAAAGAGAATTTCAGGCTTCATCCACCAACACCACTCTCGTTACCACACATCGCGTCAGAGAGCTGCGAGATCAACGGCTATCATATCCCGAAAGGAGCGACTCTTTTGACCAACATATGGGCCATAGCCCGTGACCCGGACGAATGGTCCGACCCATTATCATTCCAACCCGAGAGATTTTTACCCGGTGGAGAAAAAGCCGGCGTCGATGTGAAAGGAGGCGATTTCGAGCTAATACCGTTCGGAGCCGGAAGGAGAATCTGCGTCGGGTTGAATTTAGGACTACGGATGATTCAGTTCCTGACGGCGACGCTGGTTCATGGATTTGAATGGAAATTAGCCGGAGAGGTTACGCCGGAGAAGCTGAATATGGAGGAGACTTATGGGATTACTCTGCAAAGAGCGGTTCCTTTGGTCGTGCATCCTAAGCCAAGGTTGGCTCCGAGCGTTTATGGACTCTAAAGTTTGTGTGCCGTACAAGGTAGGTCTTGCACGGAGGGAGTTTAAATAAAGCTTGTTATCGGAATTCTCTAAAACTCTTAAAATGATAATTATAATTTTTGTGTTTTTACTTTTTTTTTATTGTGTGTTCTTGAGACAGTACAGCATGTTGTAATAAAACATTTTCCTTACAGTACCACATGCATTTACATCTCTAGATTTTTTTTTGTGCCAGCAAAATCAGATATTTCAATATTTTCATACTTAGGTGGAACACCACCACCTGCAACACTGCAACACATGTTACATTCACTTGGCGTTTTCCAATAAGTTATATAAATAGTAAATAATTTGTAGACAATAGAAAAGTATAAATAGTAAATGTGTCTATACTTTTATATAACTCGTCGGAGAAGACTATCCCACATCCTAATTAACTTGTTTACGTTGTGGTATACCAACACCATATGTCTTTGCTTTTCTTATTTAGTCGAAATTTCTCTTTGATCTGATTATTTTGTTATATAAGCAACAAGTTAGATATCACAATGTTCTGTTTTAGTTTAAATTTTCAAAAAGGTGCACTGACATGTTCACACGGAGAGCTACAATAATGAAAAAGCTGACTCAAGAAGGGCTAGAGAAGAAACAAGAGTCACGGAACAAGTAGTCACTCTCAATCTCAGTACAGTACACTAGTGTCTGCTTGCATCACTCTCACCTCTTTCTCTCTCCCTCACTCTTCTTCTTCTCCATCCATCCTCTCTAACAATATCACAAGAGAAATCTCTCTCTCTTTCTCTATATCTATCTCTGTTTCTCTTTCAACAAGTCAACAGGGACATTTTTGCTTCCAGACTTCACCCATGGCTGCTCTGGTTCTCTATCTTCTTAGCCTTCTCATGGCTGGTCATTCGAGTAAGAACACTCACTCTCTTATCTACTGCTTTACATCTCTTATCCTCTTTCAACGTGTCCATCACTGGGAAATCTCTTTCAGTCAAACCCTTCTTGACTTATCAATGTCCTTAGTTGTTATGAAATAGATCTCTATCTAAATTTCTCGTAGCTTTCATGTTCTTCTCTGTCTCTCTCGTTTAAGATCCCTTGAAAACAATATTTCCCCAAATCTTCATGACTTCACTTACAATTTGTTCCTTTTTTTCCTTTGGTAGGTGCCTCATGGTGTGTGTGCAAGACAGGACTGAGTGACTCGGTGCTACAAAGGACACTAGACTATGCTTGTGGAAATGGAGCTGACTGTAACCCAACTCATCCGAAAGGGCAATGCTTCAACCCGGACAATGTTAGGGCTCATTGTAGCTATGCTGTTAATAGCTTCTTTCAAAAGAAAGGTCAAGTTTCTGAGTCTTGTAATTTCACTGGTACCGCCACTCTTACCACCACAGATCCCAGTAAGTTTCTCCTAAATCTAAAACTCTTGTGACTATTAAGAACCATGCATGAATAGTTTTTGCGTCACAGAAAGTTCAAGTTTAGGGTCTTTTTGATTACTTAAATGATTTGGTATTTAATATACTACAGCATACTAAAGATTCAAGGAGAGACTATATTTAGACTTTTAGTAAAGTGTGAAGGCTTGATTTGGTTACAGGACATTAAGATCTTGTTTTGACATTTTCTTCTCTTATTTATTCACTTTTTATCACAGGCTATTCAGGATGTGCATTCCCTTCCAGTGCTAGGTATGCTTCTTTGCTTTCTACATATTTATTATCTTGAAGGCTTTATCTATAGGAGAGCCAAACAAAAGAGATACTACAATTTAATGTTGGATTAACTTATAATACCTATTTGTGGGAAAGAGAAAAATAAGACAAAAAGCGTGATCTGGGTCAAAAAAGTGCACTATTTAACTAAACAAAACTTTAGATCACCACATCTACAATTAATTCAATTGCTGCTTTAAAGTTTGAACCCATGATTAGTGTCCTGACTTGTGTGTTGAGTCTCTTCGCAACGGTTTTATTCTGTTGCTTTAATCTGTTCGACCCACATTAAAGACTCTGCTTTGTTTAAAACCTGACGCACTTTTTTCTTTCTTCTTAAGGAAACCACATTAATGATGACGAGATACAAAAACAAATGTCTATAGACTCCGTTTGCCCGTTTGGAACGCTGTTTTTTTCGTTCACCTTTAACCGTGATTTTTTTTTTTTTTTTTTTTTTTTTTTTTTTTTTTTAAAGGAGTTTTAAACTACAATCTTTTTCATCTTTTCATAAAAAGAGTGTAAACGAAAAGGGTATAACGCAAACGCAAAAAAAAAACTTCTGTTTGCATATGCATTCATTATAAGTTTATAACTAACAAATAATTTTTCTGTCTAAAATAGTAAACGTTTTGTTGTTTGATTTACAGTGGTTCTGGAGCTAGCAGCAGTACTGTGAAACCAGGCAAAAGCAGTCCAAAAGGCAACACCATCTCCACATTCCCCGGCGGGAGCAGTCCATACACAGGCACACCAACCACCGGTTTATTAGGAGGCAACATCACTGATGCTACGGGAACTGGGTTTAACCCGGACTACTCAACCGAAAGCAGCGGTTTCGCTCTCCGTGACTCCAACACCATTTTCTTCAGCTTGTGTTCTGTCTTGATGATGCTCTTCTGATGATGGTGACATGTCTTTCTCTAGTCACTGTTTTAAGTCAAAGTATGTTATGTTCTACTAGTTCAATCCGGATTCCGTTCAACCTTTTCTTTTTTTGATTTTAGGAAAACAATTAACAATGTAAAACCAAATGCGGTTTCGGTTCATTGTCTTTTCATCTTAAGCAACATATTAAATTTAAGCTCCTTTTTTGTTTCTTTCTCAGAACTGGCTTGAATTCGGTCTAGAGCAAATTAGTTTTTTTTTGCGGTTCAGTTCAAATTATACGGATTGAACACACTTTGAATGATATAAAGTATCTCGGTTTAGCTCGACCTAGTCCGGTTTAGGTCGGTTTGATTATATAAATCCTGAGAATCAAAAGAGGATTTTAGTTCTTAATGATAAGAATAGTTGGACTTGGGAGAAAACTGCTTCTTCTAAATTTCAAGAAAACAATCTCTTCTTCTTCTTCTTCTCCAGTATTTTCTTAAACTTAAATTCTTTTCGTACCCATCGACGCCATTTGAAGGTCTTTTTGTTAAGAAACGATGAAGAACAAGAGCAAAAGCCCATCAGTAAGATCATATATCGCTTCTTTTCGATTTTTCCTCTATTTTTTTTCCCCCAAGATTCGAGAAAAAGAAACATCAGAATCTCCAGTAAAAGGGGAATCAATTAAAAAAAACCCCAAGAAATTGTGATTGGGGTCTCTTCTATTCAACGTGCCAATCTAATCCTTTGATTATCGAATGACGAACTCAAATTGATGGTGTTCTTTATCGAATGATGAATAGCTAGAGGATCCGAATTTGAGTTTATATTGTTAATCTTGATTTTTTCACGTATCCATTTCTAAGCATCTGTTTTTTTTTTCACGAAAATCTATGCCCAGGAGAGTTTGGAACTGTTAGATTGTTTCATGAGAATCAGATTCATAATAGTGTTTTTTTCCTTACGATAAATACTGATTAATACTTTGGCTGACGATTTTCTTCAATTTTGTTACACAGTTGGCTTGCCACGTATGTGGGGATCGCGGCAAAGTGAATCAGATAATGACTTGTTACAGTTGCAGAGAAGTCAGAGAGCATACGTAAGATCATTTTCATTTCTTATGTTTTTGTAAAGTTCTCTTTTTTTTCTTTAATTTTTCTAATTATGATTCTGTCTGATTATGTATCTCTCTCTCTCTCTCTCTCTCTCTCTCTCTCTCTCTCTCTCTCTCTCTCTCTCTCTCTCTCTCTCTCTCCGTATATTCAGTTACTGCGCTAAGATCGGTTTGCGATCTGCACCAGACATGTGGCTATGTCAAGTGTGCAGATCCTCAACTCGCATATTACAGATTGTTAACAACAACATGACAAACGATCATTGTGCTTCAAAACCAGACATCTCTAGCATGCCGACTAATCTCCGTCATGGTGGCTCAATACTCGACCCGCGTTTCCATGCACTCAGGTTGTTGGCACATACGGCTGTTGAAGAAGGTGATACTTTAGTTTCTGTTGCTAATTACTTTCATTTAAAACGCTTAATTAGGATTGTGGACGATCCTGTAACGGCTAATCCTTGAAACTAATCTGCATGAGGTGCCTAATTTTGTTTTTGGGCATGCAGCCAAAAGAGCTTCTAATGATGCGGGTCCAAGCAAGAAACCCGAACCACAGTTCTTGGCTTTTCCTTCTCCGACGAGAAAACGCAGGTCGACGCTTCAGAATCCAGGTAAGAATTAAAACACAAATTTGGTTCTAAATATGAGATTATGGTCTTGTGGTTGTGTTTCTGATATAATTATTTGGTTTTCCTTATATCAGATACTGAAGAAGCCAACTGTCAAGGACCTCAAAGCTCCTATCCATGTGTATTTAATCGGATTGATTGAGACAATGCTAACTTTCTCCTGAGCTTCTTCGCTAAAGTGACTGCACCTCTAGTTAGGGCTCATAAAAATTTAATTCTCCTTGTGGTTCATTGTCATGCGAATTCAGACTTTTTTTTCTCATTGACATTGTTTCTTTGTGACCTAGAATTCACTCTTTTTGAGTCTGTTTTCTTTGATCATCATATTCAAATGTTTAATGCTCAATCTTTGTAGTTGGTTCAGTATTTCATTTCTGAGCTCTCCCCTTGTGGAACATGTTGATTTGTGTTAAACTGTTCGTGCTGTTTTTAGAATGCAAATCAATATGCTGATTTAATTTAAATTGAGATTATTATCACTAAAGGAATACTCGCATAACTTTTCCCGCTTCGCAGAATTTACAGTTTAAAATTTTTAAACCCAACGAACTTTTAAAACAAACAAATTAACTTTTATTATTATTATTCAACGATTTTCATAACGGTTTAATTTGATCGAGTTATAAATACATGACACTTGATATATTAATTTTACTTTTCCAAATATAAAAATACTAAAAAATGTACAAAAAAAAATATTTTCTTATTTAAAATCAAAATTTACTAATTATAATGTGTTTCTGTTTATGAACTTTTTTAAATCTTCCATATTTTCAAATATAAACATCTGAGTAAATTTGGTAATAGTTTAACTTTAAACTGTTTTACTTTTATAAATATCTAAAATAATTTAATTAAAGTTTACTTTGATTTATTTATTTATGATTTTATTTTTTTGACAAAGAGTTGACTTGATTTAGTTTTTATTTTATTTCTATAGATTCAATAGATAGTCCTTTAAATAAATTACTGACTTATTTTTTAGTCAACACTAATTTTTATAAAATTGTAGATTTTAACGCTAATTCAATGCTGTAAAAGTATTTGCCATAAATCATTACGTTCTGTTTATAACTTAGGAGTGGTTTAGCTCAATTGTTTTGCTTTGACGATTACTTGCTGTTTCCATATATTTTGTATGCAACTGATTAAAACAACGCCCTTTTTTTATTTGTAGATTTCTTCTTCAGTTCTTTGACATATTCTACTTTAATCCAATTTTGTTACGTAGTAATTCCTTGTTACAGACATGTGTGAAAATCTGCATTGATGATTTGATAATGAGTTGCTGTTGCTTCAAGTGCAAAATAGACAGAGCTTATGTAACGTAATTACGCATACTACTGTTACTGTACCAATCAAAGCATTTCCACTTATATTTTCTTCATGTATTTCTGCTATTTTTAATTATTTTGTTGTTTATTTATTGTAATCAGAAATTCTAGTAACCCTTGGCAGCTCGTACGGCTTCTTCACTAACTCGCCGGCCTATCGCCGGCTTTCCAAACGAAGATCATTTCCTCCCTCTAATCCTCAAAGTGATCCATTGTTGTATTCTCAAAGCTCCAAAGTCTTGCTCGTTTTTCTCCTTTCTTCTGTTTCTTTGATTACTGCTCATCACCTTGTCTCTGATGGAAATCTGAATCCTTTTTTTTCTGGGTTTCTCCAATTGGTATTGCTCAGTACTTCGATTTTCCTCACGGAGTGGTAAATTAGGTTTTTTTCTGCCATTGGCCTCACAAGGTGGCGATTTTTCAGGTTTCTGAGTTTGGGAGTAAACATCTCTCTTCAATTGGATTTTCGGCTCGATCAATTTTGGGATTGTTACTGATGTTTAGCTTCCGTGCTTGTAATAGCTTCTTTCTTCGGGTTGGTACTGAAAAGTTGAAAGCCTGAGAATTTGTCTCTGAAGATTCGATTTGGCTCGTTTGATTTGATGGAAATGTTTTCGCTGAGGTCTTATGTTTCTGGAGTTGGAATGAAGAGGATCCAAGCCCTCTCTTGATTGTTGAGGAGAGAGAGAGAAGAAATGGATCTATGGTTAATCGCAGCTACTGCTGCTACAGGATATATAACCAAGCATCTGCACAATGCATCCACAGGTAAAGAAAACTCTTTAGAGTCTTCCTCCGAAGATTTGAATAATGTGAAGATGGAATCTCCGAGATGCTTAGCTAGTAAACCGGTTAGGCTCAGGAAACCGAAGAGAGAAAATCTCGGGGATTGCGTAAATGAGGAAAATCGTGATCTATATGAGTGTGGCAATGCATATGGAGTGGAAGTAGATTCGAGTAATGAAGAGAATTCTGGAAATAACGATGAGATTCGCTCGGATTCTCTTGGTAACAGAGCGTTTCTTAGGAGAAATCAGCGGTGCAGAAGTCTTATCAAGCCTTTTTCTACGGGGAACTGTCTGATGTCTCAGTTGCATAGAGAGAAAATGTGCATGGAGGAATATTTGCTTAGCCCGTTTCCATCGCCGTGTGGTTTAGTTTCGAGGCCCTTGCTTGTTACCGATGGTACTAAAGTAATTAGCAAGAACACTGGAGGTTTCACTAGCCAGCGAGTCCTGAATTGTGGAAGTCCTCAGCTTAGGAAGTTGGAATCTTCAGTTCTTTATGTTAAGAGGAAAACTGGAACTGACAAGAGCGCGAGTAGAAGATCTGATAATGGGATTGGTAAACTTCTTGGTATCATTTTTTATTTTAGATTGTGTTTAGATAAAGGAGAATACTTTACATGTTAAGCTGGATTTCTGTTTTTTTTCTTGTTCTTTCAGGATCATATGATGCAGCGTTGCTGATATGCGTTGGGATTTCGTTTGGGATAATGTCATCATTTGTATCAAACCAAGCTGAAGTAAACAAGGTCAAAGCAGAGTTAAAGCAAAGACAGCATTTAGTAAAAGATTTAGAAGAGGAGCTCAAGACTAAAGATGATTTACACAACGGTGAAAAACAGTGTGATGAGAAGACAGCAGAGAAGTCAGAGTCTAGAAGTAAAATTGAAGCAGAGCTTGAAGCAGAACTTGAAAGGCTGGAGATCAACATGATTTCGTCCAACACTGAGACTAAACTCTCAGACGTCTTCGAGGTAAGCTTCTTACTTTTCACTTATGCACTTTGCCTTGCTTTCAGTAAATCATGGTCTCATTTTGGTCGATCATGCCTGTTCACTCTGGAAGTTATTCCACTCTAGTAAAGAATCAGGATTCTCCATATAAATGTGAAAATTGAGCATTGCATTTACTTGTGATGTCAAAATCTGGCAGAGCTATGTATCAATTGCTTGGAGTAGCTCTTTATTCATTTATAGAAGTTCAGTTGGTAATTGTTTCTCATTTCTGCAGATGGAGCCGGATTTTGAAGTAGAATTTGCGCAGGGAGAGCTGAGAGATGATCTGGTTGGAAGGCAGCGTTTTGATGAAACCGAGTCCAACAAGGAACCGAGTGGAATTTCCACACCTGAATCAGGAAACTATACAGTCTCACCTCGTGATTTAAGCTTGCGTCTGCACAAAGTTATCAATTCACGCAATGGAGAACGGATAAAAGAACTTGAGATCGCCTTACAAGAGAGCCATAGGAAAGTGGAGCAGCTGGTCATGGAAGCTGAGGAAAAGAAGAAATCAGTGTCAAGGTTTTGGGAAAGCCATGATGAAGTGATGAAACACAGACGAGACTCAAACCGTCCAGTGTCTGTAGAGAAGAAGCATAATCCTGCAGTTGCAGAGGTCCAACCTCTGGTTATGAATATAGCAGGGGAAGCACTTGATGCATTCCATGAATCTTACGAGGAACTGATGGATATAAACGATTATTCAGAAGAAGACGATATACCATTCAAGATGCATGAGAGTGACCAGCAAGAAGAGTTGTCTTTGACAAGCAAAAGCTCACCTTGGAGCCATAGGGATGACATGAAGGATTCTTCAAGAACTTCAGAGGATGTGAGTTTCCTGAGGCTGCAAGATCTGCTTGGTCTGAGCGACAAAGAAGAAGAAGAAGATGAAGATGGAGAGTTTGAGAGTGAGATGGAGAAGCAACTGATAAAGCAGATTGTTGAGAAAGCAAAACAAGGGTCTTCTGCTGTGTTTAACGCCCAGAAGATGCTCTTTCTCATGGAAGAAATAGGAACATAAATCTATAATAAGCATTTACTCAAATTCTCTTTTGTCTCTCTGATGAAATTATACGCGTCTCTCTGTTTAGTGTGTAGATATGTGAGATTTGGTGAAACTTAAAACAAACGGAACAAAGAAAAAGGATGTTTTGTCAACAGAGTCAATCTATCTATCTATCTTAAAGAACAGTGTCAAAGGTAAACATGTGAGAAAACAAAGAGATGGATGATTATCAATGTTTCAGAACCTTCTAGCTCAGTTAGAAGGTTATAAGAAGGCGCCAAAAAGACAGAAACGAGTAAAGAAGAAGCGGTGAAGTTTTTAAAATAAATCGGCGGGAATAATTAGTAAAAATCTATTAGCTCCCGCGCAAATATTTCGTTTACAAAGCCATTTTGCTTCCCTTTTTCTTTAATCTTCTCACACACACTTGCTTAGTCATCGAGAAAGAGATAGATAGAGAGACTAGAGAGTCATAGAGATAGAGAGAGATGGAAAACTCAGTGACCCAAGATGGTATTGCGACAGTGTTATCGAATCAATCCCTTGATTCCTCCTCTGTTCGACCCGAGATCGTTGTTCAGATTGTGGATCTTAAGGCTGTTGTAAATCGATATACGTAAGTTTTTTCGTTCCTCTTTTGATTGATCCGTCTAGTTTCGGTAGGTTTTTGGTTTGTATCGATCTGGGCTCATCTGATTTCTTTAGAATTAGCTTCTGAAGTTTGAGTGTCCTAGCTGGTTATAGATTAGGGATTCTCGCGATTGATTCCCTGTATCAGATCTGGGTTTTCATTTTGATTTGAATATAACGGATGGATCTAATTTGTTACTACTGTTTGGTTGGTTCGATGAAATGTCTTGACATGTGGGTTTGTTGCTCAGGTTTAATGCGAATGACGGAAAGATGAAGATTAAAGCAACGTTACCAGCGACTTTGACATCTGATATCATCTCTGGGAAGATCCAGAATCTGGGTCTGATTCGCCTCCTTGCTTATACCGTCAACGAAATCCCAGGCAAATCAGAAGAAAAGTAATAATCTCTTAGTCCTAAGCTTCTTTGATAAATAGTTGATTGAATGATTGTTTAAGTAAACAAAACTAATCTCTATCTTCCCCTTATCAGATATATGCTTGTAACAAAATGCGAAGCTGTTGCTCCTGCACTTGACTCAGAGATTAAATCCGAGTCTAAGGCTTCCACAGGCATAACGTTGAAACCCAAGCAGGAGTTTGTTGCCAAATCAGCTTCACAGATAATCAATGAGCAGAGGGGAAAGTAAGTAAGCAAATTTGTTCGTATTTTCTCTTATCAAGTTGTTACGAATGTTTCTTCTTAATCAACCTCTGTGGTTTTTTGTAGTGCTGCACCAGCTGCAAGAATGGCTATGACTAGGAGGGTGCATCCACTTGTGTCGTTGAACCCTTACCAAGGAAGCTGGACGATCAAAGTTCGTGTCACAAACAAAGGAGTCATGAGAACTTACAAAAACGCCAGAGGAGAAGGCTGTGTGTTTAATGTGGAGCTAACCGATGAGGAAGTAAGGCTCTACTTTTGATGAAATTTTTTATGGTTCTGATTATTGTCTTTGACTTTATGTGGTGGTGATTGATTTTTTTTGATTTTATGGAAATTTTCAGGGAACACAGATTCAGGCAACGATGTTTAACGCAGCTGCACAGAAGTTTTATGACATATTCCAGACGGGGAAGGTCTATTACATATCAAGAGGATCGCTTAAGCTTGCTAACAAGCAGTTCAAGACGGTCCAGAACGATTACGAGCTGACTCTCAGTGAGAATTCAGAGGTTGAAGAAGCTAGGAATGAAGAAATGTTTGTTCCTGAGATAAAATTCAACTTTGTACCCATTGATGAGTTGGGTGCATACGTAAATCAGAAGGAGCTTATTGGTAAGAGCCTGTGTCCTATATAGACCTCTTCTTGTTTGTTAGTACTGGTTTAAGATATGGATTATTGACTTAAATTTATTCCATTTCCAGATGTGATTGGTGTTGTTCAAAGTGTTTCTCCTACCATGAGCATCAGAAGGAGGAATGACAATGAGATGATCCCAAAGAGGGATATAACTTTAGCTGACGAGTCCAAGAAAACTGTTGTGGTGTCTCTCTGGAACGATCTAGCAACTGGCTTAGGTCAAGAACTTCTGGACATGGCTGATCAGCACCCTGTCATCGCAATTAAGTCTCTCAAAGTTGGAGATTTTCAAGGTAAATTCTAAATTTTCTTCTAAGTGAAAATATGCACTTTGTCAAATTTGGATACTGATGTGAAATCTATTTTTGCCAGGCGTTTCATTGTCCACTATCAGCAGAAGCAATGTGGTGATAAATCCTGATTCACCAGAAGCTACGAAGCTAAAATCTTGGTATGATTCTGAGGGTAAAGAGACATCTATGTCTGCTATTGGCTCTGGGATGAGCCCTTCTGCCAATAATGGATCAAGATCCATGTATGCTGATAGAGTTTGTCTCTCTCACTTCACAAGCAACCCGTCTTTAGGCGAAGACAAGGTACTTCAAAACACTGTTTACATATTTTGAATTGGGAGAAAGAAAAGTTGGTTAATTTGTATTGTGTGTTGCAGCCTGTATTTTTCAGCACTAGAGCTTACATAAGCTTCATCAAGCCAGACCAGACAATGTGGTACCGTGCTTGCAAGACCTGTAACAAGAAAGTGACTGAAGCAATGGACTCTGGTTATTGGTGTGAAGGTTGTCAGAAAAAGGATGAAGAATGCAGTTTAAGGTGAGATGATACTGAGATTCTTAAAGATCCCACATAAGATTAGAGAGAGATTGGATTTTGTTTGCTTTTAACAATGTATACTTAATGGTGTGATTAGGTACATAATGGCGGTGAAAGTCTCTGATTCAACTGGTGAAACCTGGTTTTCTGCATTCAACGATGAAGCAGAGAAGATTATTGGATGCTCAGCTGATGAACTCAATCAACTAAAATCAGAGGTAAGAAAACTAAAACCACTGAAAAGGTTTAGACTTTAGAGCATTCCTGATTCTCCTCCAGGCTCTGATTTAAGAAATTATGTTTATGTTTGTATTCTACAGGAAGGTGAAGTGAATGAGTTTCAGACAAAACTGAAAGAAGCTACTTGGTCAGCTCATCTCTTCCGGGTTAGTGTTTCTCAGCAGGAGTACAACAGTGAGAAGAGACAGAGGATAACTGTGAAAGGTGTTTCTCCGATTGATTTTGCTGCTGAAACAAGATTATTGCTCCAAGACATCTCCAAGAACAAGACATCTCAGTAGTTTTAACATCTTTTGTCTATCTTTTGTTGAACTAAAAGTTTGTATTATAAATCTCTCTGCAGTCGTTTAAATTAGTTCATGTCAGTCTGAAAAAATCGGCTCTCTCTAAGTGTTCCAACAATCATCAATAGACTGAAAGTTTAATCTAAAGGCACTTGTTATTAAATTGAAGAAAAGGAAAAGCTTCCAAGGTTTCTACATAAATTTCCTAAGAAAAAACAAACTAGCTTAAGAAAGCAAAGAAAAAAGAGCCAATTCCACTGGAGAATCACTGAGACTTGGGCAAAGGAGAAGCCAATTCCTGGTAATTGTGAAGACTTCCAGTGAAATCGGTGAATAAACCATCAACACCAATCTTGTTGATCCAGTAATCATACTCCAAATACGCATCTTGATGAAACCCGACATGCAGAAACTGGTTCTCGTTACGGTACGTGTATGGATGGACCTGGCAACAACATTATTCAAAGTACCAAAGCATAGTCAAACAACATCACAATGAAGGTAGTTAGAGACATAAGTGTAGTTAAAGTCCAACACACGAACCTGAAGGTTACGAGAATGTGCTCTTGCAACTAAATCTGTTGGTGTCATGAGACGGTTATTGTTCACAGGAACAATTGTGTCTTTCCATGGACCAATCCCAACCACATATGGTTTAATGTAATCTAGATATGCGTCTGATGTAATCTCCGCGTATGTCTGCATTTCACATTCTGTCATATTAGATATAATCATATAACATAAGCAACTTTTGATTGATTTGAAAACATAATTAGAAAAGTAAGTAACTGTAAATTACCTTATTAGTGTCTTCGGTTATAATAGTGACATCGTCGATCAAGAACACTTTTGGAGAGTCTGTCAATTTCGAAATGTAAACTAGCGAAGTTGCAGCAAAAGACTGGATGAATATTGGCTGCTTTTTCCAGCTTTCAGACAAATATGAGCCTTTGTATCCATACTTCTCCAAAGTTTCCACAATTTTATCCTCAAACTTTAAACCATTAGCCCATTTCACCTGCACAAGTTTCCAAAAATGTTAACGTTTTTGATTTGGATGTGAAACCTTTTCGAGTTAGATTAAAGATTTGCTTACTCGCTGATTAATGAAAACAGGGTTCTTGATCTCTGGATAAATCCCAACAACTCTAGGTGCATCTAGTGCTATCGAAATATACTCGTCGAAAGTAATAATCGGGAATTTACCTGATAATGCCAAAACTTACTATAAATATCTCATAACGCAAAATCAGATTTCAAAGCGTAAAAGTAAGAGAGTTAAACATATTTACCATTGTACTGTTGATCCCTGAAAGGATACCTCTGCTTAGCTCCGAGTGTTTTGAGCTCAGCGAGAGTGAAATCAACAGTGAAGAAGCCGGTCATGTTCACTCCTTGGACTTCATAAGTTCTCTTACGGTTTGCAAACTCCTTGTGGTCCGCAACATCGGTTGTATCGTCAAGATTAACATCGTGATGACATATAAGAACACCGTCTTTTGTAGACAAAACATCTGATTCTATGAAATCTGCACCCTCCTCGATAGCCCTCTGCAATTAAAAACAAAATCCAAGATACATAAATCTTATGAAACCGGGAAAAATTAGTGTAAACTTTGATATAGATGCAATACCATATAAGCAGGAGCAGTTTCTTCAGGGAACTCTCCGTTTGATCCTCTGTGTGCAACGTTAAATGCACGAGAAGTCTGAAGCGGTTTCTTGGTTCCAACTTTTGTTGTACTTGGGAGACTGTACAATGGCCTCGAGGTACAATCAGCAATCAACAGTGACAGCAAAAGCAATGGTAGAAAATCTGCAAAACAGTACAAAGAGAGCTTAGACTACGGATCAAACTTTGGAATCTACAGACATAGAAACAAGTGGTTGCTATCATTATCAGCATGATGGAGATTCGACACTTACGCTTGAAGGCCATGACTGAATTGTGCTTGAGAATTCCTCAAAATATCTTTTAAGTTTATCAAAACTCACACTGCATGTATCCAGCATTATATAGCAGCTTATGTAAAGAACAAATAAAGATTTTGCCAAAACAGAGAGTATCTCAACAAACCCACGGCATAAGAATATTCCACTGAGTATGCCTACACAAGATAAACTCTTCTTAGATTTGCAGTTTATCGTCGTTTAACCAAAGATTTATTCATAATGTAAATCTAATTTGCATTTTCATGTGAATGAAGATATCATTGAATCAGTTATTATAAGATAATTTCTAATGTAATTTTAGTGTGAATGAAGATATCATAAAAACAGTCACTATAAGCTTGGTGATAAGAAAATGAAATTAAAATTGAGAACTATAAATTTGAGATCTTTTTATGACATTGATGAAAACCAGAAACTAGAGAAAAGAGAGACAAGGAAGAAATACAACAATTGAGAAAGTGAAAACACAAAGAGGCTTCTCTCCATCTCTCTCCATTTTGTAAGATTTCTTCAGACTGCCATGAGATCACCATAGCTACGCATGAGGAAGATTCCTCCTGCAAACAACCCAAGTCCTCTTAGAAGTTTCTGCACCAACAGAGTCAAACAACACCAGAAAAGTATTCGTGTCAGAGACTCAGAGTGAGACAGATTTCAATGGAAAGAATCATCAGATTACGTAAACAACAAAATCAAGCATCACAAGAACAAGTACCAAACACTTCAAAGCATGGACTTTTTGATTGATAAAATTTAACTCAGCATTCCCAAATTTACAATTGCCAAGGACATTGTGAAACCTAGAACTGATAATTATACTGGAAACACCAAAATTCAGGATAAGGTACAGTAAAAGCCCTGATTTGGCGTTTAGAAACATACAAAAGAATCAAATTCAATGCTCAGCTGAATCAATTCGGGACATAAGGAAATTCAAAATCGCTGTAATACCCAGAAAAATTCAATCGAAGGCTTAGAGAAACCCCATGATCTAGGCACGAAACATACAAGAGATCGAGTTCGATGCTAAACTAAGAATCAATTCGTAATCAAACGAAACAGAAATCGAACAAGAGAAAGCAAGAGAATTACCATGTTAGCGGCCCATTTTTGTTCATCGTGAACCTCAGAGTGCCAGAAAGCTTTAAGCTTGTCGAGCGAGACGACAGAGTTCACCATTGTTGATTGCTTAAAAATCGAAACTTTGATTCGTCAGGTGACGGAGACTAGAATAAAAAGCTAAGCTAGGGCTCAAACGTCGATTTGGGAATCGGTGAATTAGTAGGTCGTCTATTTCCCTTTAAGGGTTTAGGGTTTACGAAATTACGAAACTAACCTTTAATAATACCAACTCTATTTCTGGTAATGAAAAGGGAATGATTTGGAGTGATTCCAACCAAACAAAAAGCCCGACAAGAGTTAACCATCCACAGGCAAACACGTGTACAACAAACACAATCTTCGCAATCTCAAAAACTCGTGATCTACAATCTCTCTGTTTCCTCCACTGAAGAAAAAGCTTCGACAAAACCAGAGAAAGAAACAGTGAGAAGAAAGAGAGTGAGAGATTTACAAAATGGCGGCTAAATCAATCTGTGCTTCTCTATCAGTGCATTCCATGGCGAACAAGAAGCCTTCACCTTCTGCAACAAGAACAATCACCTCCAAGAAGGTGAAACTGAATTTGATATTTTTTGTATAATAACACCAAATCTAACTGAGAATTTTGTTACACAGAGCACAGTGGCTCCTCAGGTGAAACTACTGACGAGAGTTGAGCAGCTCAAGCTTTTGACGAAAGCCGAGAAAGCAGGACTTTTGTCCTTAGCTGAGAAGTCCGGCTTCTCTCTATCGACCATCGAGCGTCTTGGATTGCTCACTAAAGCAGAGGAATTCGGCGTTTTGTCTGCGGCCACAAACCCCGAAACGCCTGGGACGCTATTCACTCTGAGCCTCGGTTTACTCCTTCTTGGACCGGTTTTTGTCTACTTGGTTCCTGAAGATTACCCTTGGGAAGTGGTGGTTCAGCTCGTGGTGGCTCTCGTCTCTGTTCTTGGTGGCTCTGCTGCTTTTGCCGCGTCTGGTTTTGTCTCCAATTTGCAGAAATCTGATTAGCGCCTCTTTTTTTTTTGGTTTCGATAAACCGTTCGGTTTTGGTATCAAATTTACGACGTAGCAAGAGACGACTTCTCTGTGTTTAAGATGAAAACATTTATAATGGAATTCACATGTATTTGATGATCTAGAAATTGTTTCAACTCATGATTTCACTACTCTATGAAAATGGTTTCATATACAGAATCCACGAGAAATGTTTTTTCCATTGCAATAAGTTGACCATGAATGAAAGTATGAAACCTTTTCTCATTAGGCTCTAGAAAACATGGGGAACTAAACAAGAAGTCCGCGCATTTGTATATTAGTTAGATGGAGTAAGGAAAAACTCCCATGAGAATTTCCAGGAAAGGAACCACAAAGTTGTGAAAAAAATGGAATGGGTAGAAGAATCAAAGTGAAGAGCACTTTGGAGAAGACTTCTTTCTTTGATCTCAAGACGGAGGCGAGGGCGGTGGGGCTCCTTGAGGCAGTGACGGTATTGCTCTTCCTCCACGCATCGGGAGAGGTGGTGGAGGTGGAGGTGGGGGTCCTTTAGGCAGTGGCGGTAATGCTCTTCTACTGATCAGTGGAGGATGTGGCGGTGGGGGCGGTGGTGGTCCGTAGTTTTGACGTGCCAAACCACCACCACACCTATATGGAGGATGTGGAGATGACCCAAATGCCCCTCTTACTACTCTGCCACCAATAACTGGAGGAGGTGGAGATGACCCAAATTCCGAGGTCCTCCTTGCTTGACATTCTCTTCTTGTGCTTTCTTAAACAGGTTTACAAATTTCAACAGTGTCCCAGTAACTGCACCAAAATCCATCACCCGGTATTGTTATTAGCTATGTATATAACAACAACTTTCACTAATGTATTTTGCACAACAGAGGATCAAGATTATATATTCCAAAACTCAAAACCTTGTTCAAGTGGACAACGATAGTGATCCTCGCCCAAATAGTACACAACTGCCTCAGCAGTTTTTCCCTGTCCAAAAAAAAAATACAAGAATATTTTCAGGATCAAATTACATATTGTCAAAGGTCAAGGGAGCTTTGGAATCATTCTTGTAGATATAGAGAGGTTGAAAATATACCAGGTCGTAGTAAGGATTTAATATAGAGAGGTTGAAAATATACCAGGTCGTAGTAAGGATTTAATACAGTTGCCAGTCTAGTCTCAGCAATGATGAGGAAGTCTCTCAACTTCTGTTCTCAGAGAAAATACAAGGCTTGTTCTTATAATCATGGAACTAATCTCACATGTCATGATTCATAAACATATGCAAAAAATTAACAAGAACATACTTGACGGAAAACTTGAGATACCGGACCATCACTTTGGGATGCAGTGAGCTCTAGGTTCAGCTTTTCCAATGCTATGCTTATAGCTTGCGTTTCCACATCCAGCGACTTCATTTGTATCTGAATCGACAAAACAACCAAATTACGTACAGCTAATTAACGAGTATAGAGGAAAGAAAAAGCAAACCTCTGATGCTGATTCAAGACTTTGAAGATCCTTGTAAAAGTCCAGTAAATGTGGTGCCTTGGAAGCCAAGACCTGGCAAAATAAAGCAATGAGAGTTCCAGAAAGAAAGTTGAGAGTCTCTTTCAAGATGTTTTGATTGTAATAATGTAATGTAAAACCTTGCAAAGATAATGCATGAGAGTCATGTTGCTGTTAGGAACACATGTCTCGCTTAATTTCAACAAACTTCCCAACCTGAATCCCACTGCAGAGCCTGCATTTATAAAGCAAAGCAAAAGTCTAATTATATGATATAATTTCTAAATTATATCTCAACCACAAACGATTTGCGTTAAGACAAGAAGCAAGTCTAATGTAATACTTGAATTACCCTTGACAGCTCCTCGGTTCACTGCATTCCCAAGGTGAAGAATATGTTTCATAATTTCTTTTAGCTTTTCAGAAGAACGGATCTGATGAACAATCATTGAGAAGAAGAAAGTTTAAGGAAAAAAGATATGCATATACACTGCACAGAAAATTTGAGTTTAAACGCAGAAATTATCTTACCTCCTTACACGCAGAAATTACCACGTTTAAACGTTTTTCAAATTCTGCTATCTGCACAGTAATCATGAGTTAAGAGTTAGTGTAGACACTAATGAGATTAAAAGGGTTTCCTCCAAAGAAACAGAAATATAACAGTGTAAGTAATACCACCGGACCTGAGTGCCGAACTGAATCTTGAAAGAAAATGCCCTCAGCTTCGATTCTACTCGTGGCACCTTCATTAGCTCTAGGAAGTACTGCAGTTTTTGTTGAAGAAAACGTATTAGATAGCTAAGAAAACTATTTTGCAATTAAGAAGCAAAAACAGAGAGAAATGGGATTTAAACAGACCTGCTCACACTCTCCCAAGGCTGACTTGTCACCTTTGTAGTTCTACAGCAGAACATTCCATTTACAAGGAAGAACCAAGTACTCGTGTCAACATTGATAACCAAGAAGAATGGCATATACATTCACAAAAGAAAAGAGTTTACCATAAGAACTTCCATCTCTCCCTCGGTTGGGTTTTTCCATGTGATCAATATCTAGTACAGACTCATCCATTGCCAGAACTGCAGCCTGGATAAAATGCAAAGAAAAATTGCAAGACTTTGTTTTCAAGTTTAAACTAGGTTTTGGAGCTTACCATCACATCAGGAAGCGGCATTTTTACTTTCGTAAGGATAGATACAACGTTATTGGCTCTCCTAAGGTCAATCTGGAAAACCATAAGAAGAAGTACACATCAAACGGAGTCAAGTATTAGATCAAGAGCAAGAGTTAAAATCATGTTTAACATTACCAGCCGAACAATTCCAGGTTTTGGTATTGGAACAGAGAAGAGGGTCTCTATTTCAGATGCATCAAATATTGGTGCACTAGCAAGAAAAGAAGATGATTAAATTGCAAAGGCAGAAAAATATAAAAAGAAAGATAAAGTTAAGTCCAATATCAATATATATAGAGAGTACGTTTGCATTTCTCCAAGTCTATGTAACTGGTCCCATAAGCTTCCCTCCAAGGGACTTGGTATAAGATTCCAGTCTAACAGTGGCAGCTGAGAATACTTTATTCTTAGAGGAAACATAAACATATATGGATTTTCCTCTGTATCAGACTCAGAGGAAATGGTCTCTAGTTCTGATGCTCTAACTTGTGGTGCACTAGCAGAAAAGAAAGAAGTAAATAGTCAATAAAACTTATATAATTTGTATAAAAGAAACAAAACAGAGAAATATGCAAAGATAAAGTTAGTCCAGTACATCAGTGCTTCCCCACGTCTCCGTAACTCGTCCCATAATACATGCTGGAACAATTCCTCCATAGGATAAGTACACCTATAGGGCTCTCTTCTTGGATAGGGAATGTAATCTTCATTTTCAACTGGACGGGGACGGGGAGGGAGACAGGGAGGAGGTGGTGGTGGTGGTGGTGGTGGAATGTTTGGTCTCTCAAATACTAGTGGAATAGGAGGAGGAGGAGGAGGAGGAGGAGGACGACGACGAGGAGGTGGTGGGGTTTGAGAGTAGCTGTCATCAGTAGAGTGTAAAACTGATATGGCCTCGGGATCATCTAGACAAGTATAAACAACCACAAAGCTATCTGAGTCTCTCTTATGTCCACGCACATCAATTACATCGCTAAAGATTTTCAATCTTATTAGAAAATGGAAATTCAAGCTCTAATTTTGTTGTTCATAGCCGAGTGTTAGTTATCAAAGGAGAGCAATGCTTAGGTTTGTGTACCAATGCAGTTAATAGCAAAAGATTACTCTAAAGCAAACAGAGAGTAGTGATACCATAGACGCTCTCTGAGATCTCGACATGTGGATCTGGAGCTTGTTTGAACACCGACATTTGACCGGGAAATGAATCAAACAGACGATCTAGTAGCTCGACGCCAAGCAGGTAGTTCTTGATTGCTCTGTTTCTTGTTTACTTTACCGATTTAGATCAACCAACCAAATAAGTTTGGTTATAGATCCAAGACTCGCCGACGTTTCTGAAACAAACTGCAGTTGACTTGTGATAAAGGTTTTGTCAGAATCCCACAAGGTACAAGTCGAACACGTTTATTATTTCTCTTATATATTTTATTCACTCTTTCATTCCTTCTTCTTCAACGACAATTCTCTGATACTTTTCACTTCCTTTTTAATTCTTCTTCTTACTCTTTCTCAGCATGTCAAATGATGTAAAGTCAGTTATGGATACTTGGGTTTCAAATTGTTTTTGCTTCTTTGCTGTTTTTGAAATTGAATTGATATCTTCTGACCCACGCTTCGATGAAATTGACTGGGCCTTTTTCAGCTGCCAGTTCAAAAATTGAGCCCACTCTTAGGCCCATGAAATCTCGCTCTTCGCGTTTATTCAGTCTGAACCAAACCGAGTTGAAACCACTCAAATCGGTTTTATAATTCTTCGGTTTTGGAGTTTGGTTTACCTCTATTCCATTTCGTTGGCCAAATCTGTCTTCCTCGAATCGAAGCTCTCTCAACAATGGCGAAATCAGTGGCGACGGCGACTTCCTCGCTTGTGCAAAACCTCAGGCGATACATTAAGAAGCCGTGGGAGATAACCGGACCTTGCGCTCACCCGGAGTACCTGAATTCTGTTCCGAAGGCGACGGAGTATCGTATCCGATGCCCCGCCACGATTGACGAGGAGGCGATCGTGCCGTGCTCGGATCCCGATACGGTGTACAACATCGTATACCACGGTCGAGATCAGCGCCGAAACCGCCCGCCGATCCGGCGCTACGTGATGAAAAAGAACGACGTGGTTCAGATGATGAATGAGAAGAAGACGTTCGACGTGTCGGACTTCCCTCAGGTTTACTTGACAACCACTGTCGAGGAGGATGAGAACGCGCGTGGTGGAGGCTACGAGTAACAAACCGGTGAGTAATTTTGATTTCTGGTTGGCATGAGATTTGTTTGATTGCTAGGGTCAATTAGATTATCAGTTTTGAGGTTTATGTTGCTCACGGACTCATCTGATTATCGAAGAATTGAGCTGCATATTTTGAAGTTTATGCATTGGAATTTTGACTTCAAATAAAGTTCGTATCTGATTTTAAGCCTGGCAGGATAACTATTCGTTAGGGGATTTGTGATTATAGTATGGTTCAGGTGAAAGATTCTGAATTGACGAATGAATTTTGATTTGTGAGGCTTAAACATTTTGGGTTTATTATTTTCCCAAGAATTAGCTTGTGTTATGTGGCTAAGTGGAGCGTTGGCTTCTAGGTTGATTTCTTAGTGGACTGCTCGGTTTCCTTGGATGATTGGGGGATTAGCTTTATCTGAGTAAGGAACAAGTTTGTGTTCACTAGCTATGAGGATGAATCATGAATGTCTCTAACCTAGATATTGCCCTGTTTTGATCCTATTCATTTTTGACTCTCGATCATAAGGTTGAGTAAAGATATTAAACCAAATTCAGCACCTAGCTAGATATATTGGACTACAGATATTGGACTAGACCAGGGATACCATAGATATGTGGCCTCTCCCTAGTGAAGGTGAAGCTCAAGGCTTATGTGACTGTTTATTTGACTTTCAATCATCGGACCATTTCGATTCTACCCAAGTTTTAGTTAGAACTAAGGAAGACTCGGGAGTATATTAAGCTTTTTTCGTGGTCTTTAATGTAGCTCATGTTTGGTCTCACCTTGTATACAGTTTTCTGATTTCTCCATCGCCATAAATTCACTACTTTTATCTGATTTCTGTTCTCCAGACTGAATATTTGTTTCCATCTTTGTAGGGTTTTTTTTCAATTCTCTCTTTCTCCTGTAATCTGCTGGTCGAAGAAGGAGTGTGATATTTCTCCACCAACAAAGATTGTCCCTGATTTGGTTTATCTAATAAAACTTCTAGTAGCTTTATGTACTACAAAACACTTCATTTTCCTTCACAAGAACCAGATTGTTGTTCAGTCATATTCCCTGTGTTTACACATCTAACGATATATATATTGTTCTGTGTTGAACCCATGATTGTTACAAGTCTGGTAGTTTTATTAGAAATGGTTGCTAACTTAACACACAGAGAGAGACAGGTAGTAGTACTCTGTGCTCTTGGGGACCCTTTCTGTGATGCATCAGTGATAAAAAATAAAAAGGAAGAAGCAGAAACTGTGGAAGACATTATGCCACCAAACTCTATAGCCATCATTGCATGTATGTGTGTTCTTTTATGAATTTACCCGAAACTACTGTTTCTTTCACCTCTTTTGCTTCTGTCTGTTGCAAGGAATTGTCATTATCTCTCTCTCGGCATGTGTCTTTTGCATTTACTGTCGTACAGACAGAGAACGACGGCTCAGGATTAAAGAGAAGAGTGCCTGTGTTTTGCAATTTGGGTCCAAAATGTGACTGTGCATGTGGCTATGTATATGCGCCTATATATGTGATATGCATTAATCCTCACATACTCAATATATTCCAACTTTTTAGGTCGTCACCACTAGTGAAGGAAAATCAGTAATAACTTTTCACAAGTGTAAAATAAAACCCTAGGAAGACAAAAGTATCTAAGGGTTGGTTTGTAATCTTGTAGGGCTTGTAATCATTATTCCAGCTTCGAACCGCTTGTTACAACAAATCCTTACCGTTGCCAAGTCTACGAAATTGAACACGGAACTGTCTAGTTTACTTAGCATTTTTACACTATCAGTCATTCATATGATACATATCCAACTTAATTAACTTTTCTGAAAAATGACGATATTTCCTGCCAAGTGGTTTTTGTTTTGAATAGTAAGTATATTCGCAAGAACTCTTAGAAACTTTATGTTTCTTTTTGCTATATGAAACTTGATTTTGTGAATCTGTGATAATAGACTGATTAGTGTAAAAATGCTATAAAGAATTGGCTGAAAATCTCACTGCCATGCACATAGTGGTCCATGAATCTCTTTGTGTATCTAAGCATATTATGTATATAAGATAAGATGCTTTAAGCAAAAACATATACCCTTCAATTTGGTCCCATCCTCTATCTAAGACCAACCATTCAAGCTGTCAATGTATATATAATGTACGTATATATAAGCGTGCATATTATAGAACTTTATTGGGATAATCTCAGGGAGATGATTAATAGGAAGCCCTAGTTAATTTCTACATGTATAATTGAATTTCCCCTTGTTTCCAAATGTACGAGTTGGTTCCTAGTAACTATTGACTATGGCTTCGGATGATACAAAGCTATATATAAGATCGTATGTAATGTATCATCAAGTCAACATATTCTAAAGAATAAAATGACAAGAACCGTAACTAGAGAGGATACATGTGTATACACAACATATTTTCTCAACTAGTAAAATATTTCATTTATACCATCTACAACTAGTATGGTGATTCCATAGCATCTTTGCTTCCGTCAACACATTTCTATAATAGAGTGTCGATATACTTTTTTATCCGTGCCTGTAAATTCCTTTCAGACGTATACCTCATGTAAACCCTAGGGATTGGAGTATATATATATATTTCATTTCTTGCTTAGCCTCAACCATATCCTATACACTTTTAGTTTTGTACAACACGAGAGAAATAGCTTAGAAATGACTTTCAATTGTTCATCATCGATGTTCTGATCCTTTTCTTCAGCCTGATCGACGAAGAATTATATTCACGTAATCTCTCTAAATCCAGGGTATGTGAGCTTATCACTTTTTTCGGTATAAGTTGTATCACTTTCCCTTTTGTTGCAATAATTTAGATTGAAATCTTCAACTCCTCTTTTGAATCCTGAGATCTTTGGATTGTTTCTCTTTTTTAATTTCTTCCAGATTTGATAATACACATATAATCATCAGAGATGAGATTAAGCTCGAGAGAGGAGGACATGGGGATAAAACAAGAAGACAATGATCATTACAAAGCGAGATATTCTCTGTCTTCGTTGAGGCAAAATCCAAGGATCGTGAGAGTCTCGAGAACATCCGGAGGCAAAGACAGACACAGCAAAGTGTGCACAGTTCGTGGTCTTCGAGACAGGAGGATAAGACTGTCGGTGATAACAGCAGTTCAGGTTTACGACCTTCAACATCGATTAGGGCTGAGTCAGCCTAGCAAAGTCATTGATTGGCTCTTAGAAGCTGCCAAAAACGACGTCGATTTGCTTCCTCCTTTGGAATTCCCACATGGTTTTCACCCTAGTCTCACCGCCGGCGCGGGAGAATCTTTTCCAGGGATCTTCGAAAGTTTCGATCTTGGAAGTTTCTCTTCCAGAAGTACTGATCATACACTCCAGAGAGATAGTTTGGATCTTGAGAAAGGAAAATGGGTTAGTTTCGATCAAAGCAGTAGCTGTGATCATCACTATTTCTCGAATTCAAGCCAAAGTAACAAACTTTGTTATCCTACTCCGTTGGCGTACAATAGCAGCAGCTTTTATCATTACAACCTCGGACACCTCCAACAGTCACTACTGGACAAATCTGGTGATGACGTTACTGTCGCATTTCCCAATGATAATCTCAATCCGCCAGCGGCGGAAACTATGAACTCTCTATTTCCGAGGTACTCTTCGTTTCTTAGTAGTGGTCAACTTCAACTCTTTAGCTCCAACTCCAACTCGTCGAAGCAAACAGATCATGGTGAGTAATTTTCCGAGCTTAATTTTAGACTCTTTTATAAGTTGATGACTTTGAGTCATGTGACATATCACTACAAGGAAGGCATGTACGTTATATGTATAGAGAGAGAGTGACTGAGAGAGATTTATAATATACAGTATGGTTTAGTTAGTGGATATTGTTGGATCGAGTAATATGTAATCAGTTAGTTTTCTTAGACATTATTATCTATGTCAGATCCGATTCAGGCATATATCAATTCATGATAAGATCGAAGTTGGTGGGATATTTATATTAGTACAATTAATTCGACTTGCAGTTTTGCATTTTTGTTTTGTTTTGTTTGGAAATTATGAAGAAGTTTTGTGTGAGAGATAATTACATTTCTTGTAGAGAGAGAATAAATTAGAATAACGACATTTCTTATTTGAATCAATGGATTCTTAGAACGACAAGAAAAAAAAAGGAGATATGTTTGAAGTGCCTACACACATGATCTCATTGCATGCCAAACCCTATGTTGTTCATATATGTTCAAAACCACAGATGCATGCGTGTATATACACTATACAGTTTACATTCATATAAATAGAGTTAACAATGGATATTTAGGGCTCAGCATATGAAGCGAACCGATCGAACATAAACTTTTCTTTTTTTTTTACTTCAGTTCAGCATGTATCTTATAGTATAGTCAATTATTTGTTGTGTTTTGGATTAATATATTGGGAATGAGAGAATGAAAATGAGAAGAAGAAGACAGAATCTGCAGTCAAGCACTGATCCCTATTTATCTTCTTTTTACTAATGCTCTCTTTTTCTTTTCCCTTTTGTCTCCTCTTTTCATTTTCCATTCTCTCTCTCTATCTCTCATTATTAAATATCTTTGGGTTCCGCTATATATAGGACCATAGGGGATGTGATTTACGCCAATAATTTGTTAGAGCCAAGTTCATGATCTCAAATGATCAAATCAACAGTTGTTTTCTTAGGCATGCCTGAGTGACTACAATACATAGATGATATTATTGACTAGAAACTTTACTCTCTTCACATTTGCACCAAAGAAAAAAAATACCTTTACTTTACTTACCGGCATGCTTCAAGACTTCAAGTATAGGAGAGGAACAGAAACAAAAAAGAAGTCGCACGCTGTTTCATTTTCACATTATTCACTCACGTAGGCATGCAAATTCTTCTTCTTTTCTTACCCTTTTTCCAACTTATCTTCTCTTTCTTGTTGCTACTAGTTTTTCTGCTTCTCAAATCATATCAAGTTAATATCAAAATCAAAACAATGTGAAATTTGTGTTATAAATTACTTTTATCTATGGACTCTGTATAGATTTAAACCAGTATAGAAATGCACTCACCCACTTGTTTAAGTTTTCTCGGACGATTTTACGAATGAATTACATCAAATTCATCTCCATTGCACTGTAAACAATAGTGCACCCTTTATACTGAAACAAAAAAAGAACCGTATTATACTATGCTTTGTGAGAAATTTTCGTATGCTGCTTAGTATTTCGGTAACAAAATTAATGGGCGGCTACAAAATTGTTTAGGCTAGTCTAAAGGCCCAATTGTCTCCCACCATAAAAAGAGACAAAAAGAATATGGAGGTGCGGGGAATCGAACCCCGTGCCTCTCGCATGCGAAGCGAGCGCTCTACCATATGAGCTACACCCCCGTTTTGTTAATTATTATCTCCGACAGCAATTTCTCATCATTACTTTATTTCGAGAATATCCGCCGTTGGTTCATTGGGGTCCACACGTACGCAAAGTATGATATTTGAGTCAACTGTTCATATATTCCGTAGGTGTTTCCGGCGTCAGTGCACATGCGTCGCACAAGATAACATTTTCATATGTGGAAAGGACGTAACTACCCTTTTATTTTCGTACAATATTTTTCCAGCACCTAAAAGGAAAGTTGTTGTCTTGAGCTGGACAAGGACGGCATGTCGGAAAAATCAATGTGGACATGTACCAACCCGAACCGGTCAAAGTTATGTTTCGGTTTACAGATAAAAACTGTGAGTAAAATGTGTCCGATTCTCGGTTCAGCTCGTTTATGAAGAATAATAAACCGATCGGTTTGGAAAAAAATTAAAATCCCTAGATTCGATTACTATTGTGCTCTCGTCATCTTTCTCTCTTCACATTCTCTCTAGTCCGAGCCAGATCCGTTTCTCTTCCACTTTCTCTCGATTTGTCTCACTCAGTTTCTTGCCTGTCCCTCGAAGATCGACACTTTCCGGCGTTTTCGTTCTACTCTCACCGACTCACGTCTTCTCTTCGCCATTGAAGTCGTCTTCTTCTTCACGTCTGCTTAGTCTCTTCCCATCACACGATGAACGATCTTCTTAAGGTGCGAAGTGTTTCTTCTTTTTACCCTTCTATACATTCAGGGTTTTGTTTTATTTTGAATTGGTGGATCATCGAATGTGGATGCTGGTGTCTAAATGTGGAACCTTTTTTGTTTTTTTTTCCTGAGGTTCTCAATTTAAATTGATCATGTAATTTTCCAGAAACGTTATCGAAATTCGTATGGTTTGACCATCGAATGATTTCACTTTAAGCAGAATCTGAATGCTGTATGTAACTCTTTTATGCGAATATTTAGCTTTTGAATAAACTGTTTGGGCTTGTAATGAATCTATATGATTATCGGATGCTTGTGAGTGTTTATAGTAATCGATTATTGTGTTTAAATTTGTTGGGTTTTCATGGCTTTTATTTTATAGGGTTCGTTTGAGCTTCCACGAGGTCAATCTTCTAGAGAAGGAGATGTCGAACTAGGTGAGCAAGGAGGAGATCAAGGGTTAGAAGATTTCTTCAAAAAGGTAAGCTTTGATTTCAATCATACTAAACCCAAAACAGAGTGATATAAAATTTACCTCAATACTTGCTCTAACAAAAATTTTCCTCTTTGTCTTCTTAGGTTCAAGAAATTGACAAACAATATGAAAAGTTAAATAAGCTTCTAAAGAAACTTCAGGTACAAACCAATGATGCTTCTCTCTCTTTTTAAAAGTTACGATTTTGGGGCTTATCATTGTCAAATCGTATGTATAATTTTACTGACGAGATTACCATTGTAAACGCTACAGGCTGCCCATGAGGAGTCAAAGGCTGTGACCAAAGCTCCTGCTATGAAGGGTAAATTTTGTTTAGTTTCTACATCTTTTTGTCATGCATATTCCTCCGGAATTAGTATAAGCCATTGACCTTACATATAGTTTGGTGTTTTGTGTGTTGCTCTTTATGTAATGGACAGCAATAAAGAAGAAAATGGAGAAAGACGTTGATGAAGTTGGAAGTATTGCTCGTTTCATAAAGGGGAAACTCGAGGAGTTAGACAGAGAGGTAGAATCACTGCCTCCTTTATCTTCTAATTTTACAGTTTTTTTATTTTGTCTGTTTCTTGTATATACTAACATTCATTCTAATTTTGTAGAACTTGGCAAATAGACAAAAACCTGGGTGTGCGAAAGGATCTGCTGTGGATCGGTCAAGAACATCAACGACACTGTGAGTATTCTTGTTTTTCAGTTAGATAATTTATTGTGACCGTTTATTGTCTCAGTTATTAATTTTCATTCTGTGGAACAGTTCCTTAAAGAAGAAGTTGAAAGACAAGATGTCCGAGTTTCAGGTAGGTTAGGAAGAAAAAAGATTTAACTTCTCAGAATTATATGGTAACGGCTAGTTCCTCAAATTAAGATTGTGACTTGTTCTAGGTTCTACGAGAGAACATCCAACAAGAGTACCGCGAGGTTGTTGAAAGGCGTGTTTTTACAGGTGCGTTGTTGATGTTTTGTGCTCTGCTTTATCTATTCCCTTCTACTTGTTCTCCTCTCTAATTATCTTTGTGTGTGTTTTCCTTGAATCAGTAACTGGCCAGCGAGCGGATGAAGATGTAAGTAGAGCAGACTTTCAGAGTTTTTATTATGGTCTCAGAAGTTGAATTAAAGCTCATGTCTTGCCGTTTCTTGATTTTCAGACTATTGACGAATTGATTGAAACTGGAGACAGCGAACAGATCTTCCAGAAAGCGATTCAGGAGCAAGGAAGAGGACAGGTTTTATATTTTCCATTTATCTGAGAAAACACTTGTTTTCGACTTTTTTGACATTTGACATTTTTGTTGCTCTCTCTCGCAGGTAATGGACACCTTGGCGGAAATCCAAGAACGTCATGATGCTGTCAGGGACTTGGAAAAGAAACTTCTTGACTTGCAACAAGTATGTTGGATTTCACATTCTCTTACTCTGATGAACATCTTTGAACAGAGTTAGATGCATTCTATTAATCAATCTCTTTTTGTTTCTGTGATAACTCGTTCCCTATTTTGCAGATTTTCTTGGATATGGCAGTTTTGGTTGATGCACAAGGAGAAATGCTTGACAACATAGAATCTCAGGTAATCAAGCCAAAGTTAATATGAAGCTCAAAATCAGACGTCGACCTTAAGTCCATTCACTAGATCTTAACATCAAGACATTGTAGTAATAGAAAATGATGAATTTTGGTTTGTTGGGAATATCAGGTGTCAAGTGCAGTAGATCACGTGCAATCAGGAAACACGGCACTTCAAAGAGCAAAGAGCTTACAGAAGAACTCAAGAAAATGGATGTGTATTGCAATCATCATCCTCCTCATTGTGGTTGCGGTGATCGTCGTTGGTGTTCTCAAGCCTTGGCAAAACAAGAATGCTTGAGAGGAAACAAAACCCAATGGTGTAAAAAAATATTCATCCACATGTGTACGGCTTTTACTATTGAGAGTGAATGTTTTGTTGATGAGATGTGTGAAAGTTTGTGTGTTTTTACTTACCAAGATACGAGACAAAAACAGACAAAAAACGAAAGTCTATTCTTTAATTGGATCAAAGAAACCAATTTCTCTATCGCTTATGCAAACTTTAAAATCAAACTTTAGTATTACAAGACACGTTCACAAATCCACTACTCCTCCGTCTTCTGATTTATGTTATTTGCCCAGATTCCGATCTCAGTGTAACCATCCTCCGTGGCACAAGCCCTGAACATTCCGGTGGAGTTAAACGGCATTGTGACTTCACCGTTGGCCGACACAGCAATGAGCCCACAGGTTCCTTTAGGTCCGGATTGGTCAACAGCATAAGCCCCTGCCTCGGCTAAAGACAAGCCTTTATACTCCATGAGCGCAGCCACCTCTCTAGCCACGGTTCCACGGATGATCTCTTCTCCTTTCCCTGTGGTTGAGACTGCACAAATCTGGTTCGCGTATGTTCCTGCTCCAATGAGCGGCGTATCCCCAACTCTTCCAACCATTTTGTTCACAAAACCGCCTGTTGATGTAGCCGCAGCTAGATTCCCGGCGTTGTCCACCGCTACACAACCGACCGTTCCTGTTTGGCTGTCTCCAAAACTCTCCGGTTCTTTCGGCGTAGGCATTGTGTAATCCAACTGAACTCGATCGAACTCTTTGGCCTGCTTAAGCCTGTCGATGTTTTCAGGAGTTATGAAATGGCTTTCTTCGGCCGTCTCAACGCCCTACAGAACCAAAGTTTAGTTAGAGAAAGCTTTAGCAAGAAAAGTAGTAATCAATGAATCAATCAATCTACAATGACACTGACATGTGCTCTTGCGAAAGCTTCAGCAGCGTCGAATGCAAGATTGATATGAGGAGTTTTCTCCATGACGAGTCGAGCTAAAGAGATGGGATTGACGACGGTGGTGAGCCCCATGACCGCTCCACATCTTTTGGTCTTCCCGTCCATTATGGAAGCTTCCATTTCGACAGTGCCTCCAGCTGTTAAGACCGATCCTTTACCCGCATTGAAGTCCGGGTGGTTCTCAAGTTCACGAACCTTCACAAACAGAGCAAAGTCTACTCAAAAGTCAAAACTGATGACTGAAGAAGAATCTCAAAGGCAAACCACAGTGGACTCTTGGGACTATTTCTAATTTTAGAAATTTCAGAAACTAAAATTAGTAAATGGCTTTATTTTGTCTACGAATCCTTAGTTTTACTTTTACTCATTCAAAACTAAATGATGAAACAAATCAAGACGATCCCATCAGATCCCGTCGAAGCTATAAGTTGAGATCGAGAGAGAGAGAGAGAGAGAGAGAAGCGTACGACGAGTTCGACGACGTCCAGGGGAGACTTGCCGGATTTAAGAGCGGAGACGCCAAGATCGAGGCAGTGACGGAGGGCGATCTCGCGAGGGATACGTCGCTCGTCTGGGAGGTCGAGCGGGATCTCTCCGCCGCCACCGTGAAGCGCTATCGCCCATCCAACCATCGCTCGCCGGAGAACTTACAACATTTTCTCTCAACTTCCCTAAGCTCTTAAAAGGCCTTTACTTTACTCGCCGGAGAATCTATCTTTTTTTTTTTACTTTTTCACAGTGGTCAGTCACTAGTATCATCTTTTCTGATGTAATAACTCTTGCTAAAAGAAAAAAGTCTTCTTTTATCGTACAAGTAGTAATTAATTATCTTAAGTACATAAAGAGAAAGAGTAATCCACTAAGATAACGGAATGGAGTTCTCATATAATAAACATCAACATTACACTGTATTTTGTATATAAAAGAAAAGAACGCCTCAACTTTTTCTTTCTTTAACTAGTCACTAAATGTCTAAACCTTTCTGGTTTTTTTTTTCAGCAATTAGCAGTTTGTCTATCAAATCTATTTATCTTGAATTAGAGAGAAAAAAATCAGCTACTTGATTCTTGGAAGTTAAGAATTGGAAAAATCAGCTTCTGTAGATTGAACTCCCGCCATATTAACAGCTTTTGAGACGTCTCATGATTGAAAATACAATTGGTCCGCTTCCAAAACGCCCTACAACCATCATATTAGATTTATGATCAGTCTTCATGTATGAAAATGAAAGTGGTCAAGTGAGAAAGAAACACGGTTCTTTTTACCTTAATGATCATTATGGCTGTATTCTTATGTATCACCTCATTGTGGCAAGCATAATTCTGTTTTTTCATCAAACATTAGTTAACAGCAACAACAAAAGAAAAAAACTAAAAAAAACTAATGTTTACTTGGGGAACATGATCTCATAATATGATGAGTTTTGGTAAATTTACCTGAACGCAACTGGGGCAACCAGTTTCAGCTGAGCAGCAGCAAGAAGTTAAGAGATCAAGAGAAGCTTTTAGAAGCTCATTGAAGAAAGGACGGATCTGTGCGGATATGCCTGTTCCTCCAGGATGACGATCATATAGTAAGATCCTCTCTGGAAAATAGCCTTGTTCACTCGGATTTGCACACTCCGGAGCCAAGTCTGAATAGTTGCAACGCACAAATCTATAGCCAAAACCAACAACAAGAAGAAGAGGAATGTTTAGCATTATTAATCAGCAGTGTAGAGAAAACGAAAAAAGGACAGTATGTACGTACAGTGGAACAACATGGAGAAGAGCGTGGCAAGCGGCGTGTAAGCCAGAACGTAATTTTTCCTTCGTCACTGCTGATTTTACTGACTGGGGGACTTGAATCCAAACAGCCTATTTATCCATAAACCCAAACTTAATTCACAGTGGAAACAGAAAACGTATAACTGTGTGTGTGTGAGGCTGCAGGTTGAAGAGGAAACCTGTGATTGGTAAGAGTAACTTGGGAGTGAGAGGTCAACTTCATCAATTACTTTGGCTTTCCGGATACGGTAAAATCCAAACCACTTTGTTGTCACGCTACAGGCCTGAGCTTGTGCTGTTGTCTTCTCAAGTTGATTCTTTGGAACTTTAAATGCGTAAGCCTGAAACATGGAAACGGTAATGAAATGAAGAACTAATAACACAAGAGAGAAAGAAATAATAAAGAAAAATACTCACAGTTTCACCACCAGTTACATGGATATTAGTGTAATCCCGAGGCCGAGTGTAGTAATCCACGTTTACTATTTTGCACAAAGCTATCTTTTCTTTTGTATCCAAAGTCTCCACCAGATATGTCCTTCCTTGATTCATGTAAATAGCTCCTTCAAAGACCTGGAAAAAGGCTTTGCTTTCCTCGATTTCTTCCAGGACAACGTTACTACTCTTTTCAATGACTCTGTATCTTTCCGTCTCTATGGCCCGGATTGAGACTCTCTGTGTAGGCTTTTTCTGAGAAAACGTTGTCCAGAAAAGGTTCTTAGAGAAAAGAAAACTAAGTTTCATGAGTTGTAATATTCAATGTAATGCCAAATATACCTCTCGACCAATATAGGTCCATATCCTAGCAGCAGAATCACGAGACGGATCAGAGCTCAGGATTCCTCTGTTCTTGAGCGATTCAACAGCGTTGCTCAGGCCAGAACCAAAGTGTTTTCCATCGTACTGCAAACTCAATGGGTGTTCAAGAGCAGCACAAGCCAAATGCTGCTCAACGACCTGCAAGCAAAGTAACAAAGCAAGTCGATACTGACAGTCCATACAAGAATCTACAGCACAATAGGAATTAAGAACACAGATAATTATTAACCTGTTGATTCTGTGAATCGGTATGGCAACACTCAATTGGGCTACGGAAGAGTTTGTTCGGGAACTTCATGAAGTATTGGTCAAGCGGACCGTCAAAGGCAACATATACGGCAAGAGAAGGCCTTTCTCGTCTTCCAGACCGACCTGCTTGCTGCCAAAGACTGAAACTCAAAAGAGATCAAGTCATTGTCAGCTACAGCTTAGAGAATTTCAGTTTTTAGAGGGAAAAGAAAAGAGCCAAGCAGACTAATTTACCTAGCAATACTGCCGGGAAAACCTAAATGCAGAGTTACGTCTATGTGACCAACATCAATCCCCAACTCAAGTGCATTTGTTGCAGCAATACCACAAAGCTTTCCACCAAATAAGTCACTCTCTATTTTCCTCCGATCCTGCAAAAATATCAACTTATCGATCTAGTAGAAAGAATCCATCTACAGCAACACTAAGTTCAGAAACATAAAAAGGGAGATTTACCTCAGCAATGTAACCTCCACGATATGAAGATATGGCGTCAACCAGGTGAGGAGCAGTCTTAGAGAGAATTTCACGCCTACAGCATATATTGCAGATCATCATAAACTCCATGAACATTTTTTATAGTCAAAGAATCAAAGCCTAGAATGAAAATGTAATCAGCCATTTACAAGAGGACGTACGTAAAACAGAGAACGAGTTCACAATTTTTTCGAGATCGACAGAAAGCAATGCAACGTAGGCCATGCTGAACCATCTCCGCGAAAAAGTGTGCAACTTCAGAAAGCGGGCTGAGAAGAAATATCTAACGTTAGCTACAGATCGATGACCATTCATTTTGATTTCTTGTAAATATAGCGAATGACTAGACATACCTTGACGATTGATCTGCAGCATCTCCATTACTACTCATGGCTTTCGCAGTTTCTTCAGGTTTCTGTAATACAACAGATAAAAGATACAAGGAGTAAATAAAGATCCAGAATTGATTCAAATTAAATCTAGAATACGAAACCATACATTTTTGGGCAAGATTGAGGTATTCCACAGGACAAAAAGCTTATCAGAGGAAGGACTTCCATCTTTTTCTATCAGCTCGAGCTCAGATAGGTTTGCAAGCTCCTGCATCATTAGCAAGACATGTTTTGATACCGTAGCATGGTTTTCGATAAGCGGATACTTATATCCAGAAAATCAAGTAATGTAAGCCTACCATGCAATGTTCTCGAGGGTTAGCAGAAGTTGCAGTGCAAAATATGAATGAGGGATTCGTCCCATACACTGGAAATTAAGATATGATTGGTCAGTTAAAAGTCTACATGAGAATATATTGTTTTGACTATGGGATCAGAATTGTCACCATGAGAGCAGAGGCGGCGAAATCTTCTCAGTATCAGGGCTGTGTGGCAGCCAAATGCTCCCTTGTAAGTATGAGCTTCATCGATTACAATGTACCTAATACATCCAACGTAGACTCGAATTAAGTAATTTCTTGTTACTCTCTAAACTAATAATTTCTTGCAAAGATTCTAATGAGAGGTGACATTTCCTTCATAGGAAGATGTGTTACCTAATGTTTGACAAAATCCGGCTGAATTGTCCATGAAGAGGCAAGATTGACATATGTAACATATCTGGATTTGTGATCAGCTACATTCATATTATATTTCAAAACCTTTAGTTAGTGAATGGGAATTCAGATGAGACTGAGTTCATGAATCACTATTCTGTTGGAAAAAGAAAGTCAGTACGAAATTACCAGTCTACCGTGATTCCTCAGCCTTGTTCTATCCTTATAAGGAGTATCACCATCATACACCCCCATATGTATGCTAGCTTCGTATCCTTTTATCAAATCAGACAACGCTCTAAATTGATCCTGAGCTAAGGCCTACGCAAGCAAAAAGTCAGTCTCTTTCTTTTTTATTGAACAACTCAGTCTCTTTCTATTCTAGGAACATCTGGAAGTATTGAAATTTTGAAACAGAAAAACTTTTAGAAAAGAGGCAAGCTGAGTAACCTTGGTCGGAAATAAGTACAAGGCACAAGCATCTGTATCTTTGGTCAGTTCCTCAAAGACTGGAATGTTATAGCAAAGAGATTTTCCACTGGAAGTCATACTTGCAATCGCAACATTCTTCCCAGACAAGGCTGCTGAAATCGAATCAGCCTGATATAAGAAAAGGAGAATAGGTATCAAGCCAAAAGTTTCAAATTCTTTGACTAAGGAATACATGACCAGATAAGGTACCTGATGGCTGTATAGTGTATTGATTCCGATTCGTTTCAAGGCAGACTTCGTGATTTCTGAGAGCCCATCTGGTATTTCTACGAAGGCAGCTTTCCTAGCTTTGATATCTTCAACGTGAACTATCTGCAACAGAAAAGAACAAAAGAAGTAAAGCTTTGTGCAAAGCTCTGCAAAAACAAAGTATGAGAGTGAGAGAGAAAGAGACTAAACTACCTGTCCTTTAGATCCAAAGCCCTTCCTGAGGTGTTCAACCATCTCCACTGGTAGCAATGACTTTGTGTCCTGTTAATTAAATGACAATACAAATAAACAATCATTGCTTACGCATCAAAATAGAGCATAACCCTTTAAATACGAAAGCTAAAAACATTGACTTCTGTTGCATGTGGATGTAAGTAAGAAGCCTATATTTCTAGAACGGATGTAAATCGAAAATTATGTTTCAGTTGATTATAGCGTCAATATTGGATCAGACTCTTACTTTACACAAAGGCCGGGACGAATGAGAACCAGAGCGAGGACAACTGCCTTTTCCAGCTACGGTAGCTTCGTTTTCACCAACCTTTTTACCATCCATGGCGAATATAAGCATGTCCTCCAAGGAAACAGTTACTCCCTTCTTACTTCGATCTTTTAACTAAAACGCAAAAATGATACTTCAGAAACCCAATATCCGAAATTTATGTTACAATTGAATAATGCTAATACATGAATGCAGAATGCCTAAGCTTAGACCCCTCTTAATAAACATACCAGTAAGGATTTGATGGAGTTCCACAATTCAGCCTTGAAGGAACTCTCCCGCTTTTTCATAGAACTAAAGACCTTTGCAAGTGGAGTTTTTGGCCGACCTATTGGAAACAAACCAAGTGGAGTAATTAGTCCTCAAAGAGTATTCACAACATATAGCTCGGGATAACGAAAGTATGTATATTCATCTGAAATGACACCTGGTTTTTCTTTTTCATCACATCCATCTGCCTCAAGAAAATCAGCTATAACTATAGCATTCTCGTAGTTCACAGCCTCATACTCATCAGTGATAACCTTTACTACCTACAACAACCAACTTGGTTACATACAAACAACCAAGACAAATCACTGAGTAAGTAGGAGCATCTAGAGATATCAACAAATCACCTTGGGGCATATAATTGAGAGATTCTTTACGTCCTCTATACCGACACGAACTCCAGACACTGCTAACCGGGCAAGCGATTCCTCCAAGCGGGTAAAGTATAGTTTTTCTCCATGTGATTCAACAAGAGATGAAAAGAGATTCAAAAAGGTGAACGTCTCCATTGACAGTTTCAACCAATCTGGACAAGAACATGAATAGTTGCTTGTTTCCCTTGACATCACGCACTTTGCAAAACCTGGAGATGTCAAGCAATTCCTAGACCCCAAAACCTCAGCAAGCTTCTCTGTGTTCTTCTGACCCTTAAATTCATCTTTACAATCAGACTCCAAAACGCCTTTTAAGAATTCAACTGGACACGTTTCTTGTTCCCGTTTCCGTTTCACCCCAACAGAATGGTTCTCAGCTCTTTTAGTGTTTTCGGCTATGGAATTTGAGAATCTTGAACTCAAGGAAGGCTCTGGTAAATCTGGTTTTGGAGTCTGAGGACGTTCCTTCTTAGCAAACGGAACCAAAACTAAGAAATCACCAGCACTAATAGTAATAGTAGCTACTCTACTGTTCAAACTCAATTTCGTACCCTACAAACAAAAAACAGAGAAATTACAGTTGTGAGAAATACAAGAGAACACAATGCTTCCCCGAGATGGGCTAATTTATAAAACGGAACTTGAAATCGGAGACGAAGAGAGATAGAAATTTCAACCTAAAGGTAGACGAGGAATCGTTCTAAAGCCTATTGAAAAAGAAACCCAACGACAAACAAAATTCTCACAGGAATCTCTAACGAGTGAAGAGAATAGTAAGCATTACCTTGAAGAACAATTGGAAACTGGGAGACGAAAAAGCAGGAGGGAAAGAGGATTTTAGCGCAATCTTGAGGTCATGAATTGTTCCGTCCAAGGAAACTTTAATCGTCGTTGATTCTCCGGTAAGTGTACGGACGCAGATCGCGACAGTGTTGCCGCTGCAGCGATTCTCGTCCGCCATAATCGGATTTCCTTTTGTCATCTCCATCAACGAAGAAGGGTTTTAAATTTATAATTTCGTTTTAAAAGTTCGCTGGGCCATACACACACGACATCGTATAATTGAGTTTTAATTGGCGCGGAATTTGTCACGGATGACTGATTCGGCACGTGCGAGGCTTACAATTATTAAGATAATATCCTGATACGACCTTCTGTTATTCGAAGTATTTAAATTTGAGCCCGGTTTATTTTTTTGTTATCTGGTTAAACCCTACTTCATCACGATTTAAATGTTTTCAGATTTAGCAATTTTACTTTTCTTGAGCTCTTGAATTTGATGATATCCGGCAAATATTTCTAGTTTTTTCCAAGATTTTCAATGGATACCAACAACATCAAACCCAAAATTCAAGTTAAACAGGTATGAACATTTTTCAGTCTTCGCTGTCGCTGCCTTACGTTCCTAGAAGATCATATAACAAACCTTATAGATACATGCTCGAATGAGAAACAAAAGCTTGAAATGCATTCATTGATTTAGGGGAAACCATAATTTTTTCTGTTTCTCACAGAAGCTTCTCTTGTCCATTTTTCTTATGGTAGTATGGTACAAATCTACATACACCTAAAAAACCAAACGAGTGAAAATCCTAAAAGAAAGTATCTGAAGATGATTAGTATTTAAAGGCTAGTGATTGCAAGTAGGCTCGAGCTTTAGCAGCCATGGCCAGAGATTCTTCATCTTCTCGTTCTTTTGCGGTGGTCACAGCTGCAATATACGCTAATCTTGCTTCTTCCATTTTCCTCTGTTCAGTTTCATCTACATCGTCCTGTTTTCAACGTATTTGCAACAGCTTTAGAAATGACCCCCAAAAAAGGGAAAAATGAGAGATGATCGCCGTAGTTTATTGACTTACAAGATATGGAACATGATCAAACTGATAGGGAGTAACATCATAATCCCGGTCGAGTTTCTTGGATTCGGGTTTCGCCAAAGTTTCAAATACCCGTGCGAATGTAGAGATTTCTCCTTCAACAGAATCTAGTTGTTCTTGAAGCTTGGTTGCTCTCGTTCCAGTTGTCTTTGCTTCCCATTGAGTCTTCTCAAAGGCTGCTTGCTTGTCTGCGAGTTTGATCTAGAGGAGACAGGGGAAATGAATCTATTAAAATCTGAAGATCGTATGATAAAAAGAGAAATCTTTAGAAATCTCCTAATAAACATCTGTCTGTGAAACACACAGGAGTAAAACTAAAGACGCATAAAGAGAAAAAGGTCTACCTTTGTGTCTGATAACTGTAACTGCATCGACTTGATCAACATCTCTTTTTCAGCAACCACGCGTTTTGTTTCTTCAAGCTTCCCTTGTATCTCGTTTACTTGACTCTTTGACGTTTCCATTGACTTTAAAAGTTCGTCTTTCTCCGATAATTTTGTCTGCAAGTCATTCACTTGCTCTCTTAGTCTACTCAGCTCTTCCTTTTCTGCACCAGCCAAAGCCCTGGCATTTTCACCATCTTCCCTACTATTGTTCATAGCATCGTTATTTCCCTCTGCATCTCTCTTCTTTTTCCCTGGGACCGTTTGAGACGCATTTCTTCCCTTTTGATCAAGTACATGCAAATACAAATGACTAAGTTAAGTCTTAGATGAAGAAATCATTTAAACCAAGTCAAAAGACGCCAGTGCTCCAAAAACAGAAATCAATCACCACAACAACATTTACTGCACATAATCATACCCCAAAAGGAAAAGATAACAAAACTCTAGTCGTTATCTAAGTAAATAGCAGTAAATTGCCAAGTGGAAATCTAACTACAAAGCAGTACAGATAATGCAACCAAGAAATGGGTCGTTTTAAGAATTACCACAAAAAGATGATGGATTGAAAGAAAGAAACAAGACAAGAAGAAAGACATCTCACCTTTCTGGACAAGGATTCTCTGGAAGGCATCTTAGTGTAGATCATGGAACCACGCCGCTTAAACGAACTCTTTTCTTTGTGTTCCTAATCGTCGTTCAATGATAAGAAACCCATTAAATTTCAACATTGAAATACGAAATCTACAATCTTATCTTTCCAGAAATATCAAAAATCCACATTTACAGAATACCATCAATTTCTCTCACGTTTGCATATATCCGCAAATTCCCAATTTTGTTCGAGAAAATAATCTACCGAAAGTTCATAATTGCTGCGAATTTCTCCCAAATAAAAACCGAATCCGTCATAATTTCGGAATACCCTCTAATCTATCACCGAATCTCTGATAACTCGACAAAACGAAGGAGAGAAATTTACCATGAATTGCTCGATGAGGGGAACCATCTCAACAAGATCTTTTAAGAGACGACGATCCAGATTCTCATTTCCGGGGTTCGTCGCGGCGGAAGATTGGTGAGGAGAGAGCCGGAGATCGTCATCGCCGGCGAGCCACGAGCTCTCATCCCCAAATCCAGAATCGCTTTGCAAATCCATGAAATGCTGCTGCTGTTCGTACATTTTGCCCTTCCTCTGGATAGATCTGCTTCAGTTATTACTCTTCTAGACCAGAGCTTGAGCAGCGAGAGAGAATGAGAAGACTTCAATTTTTTATTTTTTTTTATTTATTCAAAGGCGTTCTTCTTCGAGTCCGTCCGAGCTTTGGATTTGGATGGATCTCAACTTTTTCTCCAACGTTCATCTAAAACAACAACTTCGAATTACCACTATACCCTCAGCTTTTCTCACTATTCTTCGAACTTACCCTGAAATTTTGAATTCTTTCCTTTAAAAGTATCTTTCCTTCTTTTTGTTCCCTTAAGTCTACATTAATTCTTTTTTAAGGTTGGAAAATGAGAATGTATCACGTACTAATTAAGATTACATTTTCATTTTTCTCAATAAGTTTTCCTGATGTATTTGCACACTTTGGGTAATTCTGATCGAAAGGATACATAGGCACCATAGTCATAAATTTGAATAGTTCAAGCTCCTCGCAAAAATGTCACTGACGTACGCAAAGTGCGGTCGTTTCAATTGGCGTATTATCTTCTTTAGCCGTTTCTTCAATACAAAAGACTTAAACGCTCTCATATAAAGATGAGGAAATAAGAACTCAAAAGAATGTGAGATGATGATTTATAATAGAGTGAAAAGTGACTTCACTAAACAGAGGAAGCTTCCTGAAAACATTGAAAGTCTTCCTCTTAATAAATAGTATTCCTCAAAAGAAGAAAAACAAAAAAAAACAAAGAACATTTGAGATTACAGTCGAAAATGCGGTTAGCATAACCGGGTCTCAATAGTCTTAGATCTCAAAAGATTATGGACCCACGAAGATAAAACAACAAAAGATTATGATTTCGAATGTACAGAAGAGAAAATCAAAGATTGAAAATTTATAACTATAATGATACCCTTTGGAGATAAAAAGAAGAAAAAAACAGAGAAATCAATTTGTGGTGTTGTACCAGATTGTATTTCGTTTGTTTGTTTAACTTCTATTGTCCGTTTTGAGCCGTTTTGATTTCCGAGTATGCTTGACGTCGTCGTTTCCGGTTCGAGAAATCTGCTCACGAACTTCATAACCCTATCAGTAGTAGTACAACAAAACTAAGAACTATCAGGATCCAATTTTAACACGTACAAACAAAAATAACAATACAGTGTTCGAATTGAATCAAAAACGTAAAGAGAAGGAACCTTGAGGGAAGAGGACTGTTTAGCTAGCTCGATTTCGACGGAGATGCTAGCTTTCGTCAAGTCCACTCCCGAATTCTCCAATGCTTCTCTCAGTGTTTTCACTAACCTGCTCCCAAAAGAAAGACAGAAAGTTATTACTTTTTTTACTTTTAAGTTTTAACAGTTACAAAATCCAAAAAAAGAGGAGAGATTATAGTTTTACCCTTGTGAGTAAACACTTGATACACTGATGTTACCCTCATGAACTTCCTCATCCTCTTCTTCTTCTTCTTCTTTCAATGGCTGAGGCTGACTCCGAGAACTCGGGCTTGGCTCTACAGTTTCTGATGAAGCGACTCTTGTGTGGAACTGAGCAACGGGATTAGCAGTAAATACAGGAGAGAGAAAGCTGCTGTTCTGAACCGACAGAGGAAATGGTGCAGTTGTTGGCATTGCTCGGTTCGGTGTTTCTGAATGATCGGCAACAACGCCTTGTGCTGTAGCTAGGACAGAAACCGGAGTGCTGTTCTTCTCTTCTTCCAATTTTGGAGCAAAAGCAACACCTCCTTCAGGTACTAGCTGTGGGTTATTTCTTTGCTGTTATGTAAATGGATCACACAGATTAGCAACATTACATGGTTTGTTTGTTATGGTTGGAAAATTGTGAGATTATATTTACCCAATCTAATAGCTTCGCAGGTTCGTTATTCCATCCTTGGTAAGGGGTCTCATACTTGTTTGCTTTCTCCTGTAAGAATTGAATATACTCGATAACCTGTATGAAGTTACAAAAAGAGTATTTTGGTGATTAGGAAAAGATGAGACTGAATTATACTGTTACAGAAAAAGAAGATAGTGTATACCTCAAGTAAGAAGGAGGCCTTGTCCCGCTTTTGGTCGCTGTTAGGTATTAGTTGTCTCAACGTTTGAAATCTGCAGAGAGGCACATTAACAACGTTTGATTAGTTTCTATTACAAATTATGGCTTTTGCTCCATTAATCTCTCTATAAGTACATATTGAATACTTACCTATCATTGATCTTGCTCCTCCTTCGTTGTTCTGTAGCAGAATGTTTAGACCTTGGCGTATTCAGCTTTTGATCGTTAGCAGAGCCTCTAGCGTCTCCTTTTCCTCTCAAATCAACTGTAACAAACAGAGTCAATCAGATCTTTAAGTTGTGTTTAGAAAACGTAAAGCTTGATATCTCAGAAACTACAAACCTCTATGGCTCTGGCTAGTGGATGAGTTTTCTTTCTTCATGATGAAATCTTCTTCATCATCTAAGTCATCTTCATGTGAACTTCCTTTAGCTGACCTTATCATGTCCATGAAGCTCTGGCTCTTTAGTCCCGACCCTCTGCAACCAAAGTAAAACTTATTTAATCAGCATTTTAAGTCCATAGACCGAGTAACAGAGAAAAAACAAAATAAGAAGAGATGAGACTGACTGAGAGGAAGAGCGAGAACTGAAACCGCTTATATTGTTATTTGTCAAAGACTGGGACCGTCGTTCCACCACCGGCCATTGTCCCATAGTTGTTGCAACATCAGCTATACATTAAAAAAAAAACACTACTTTCATCATTTCATGTGGTTTCTCTACACTTGTAAACTATTCTAATTAACATCAAGATTCAATTTTTGCTGTTACCTCTAACGTTTGCTCTCTCCCCAACACTATTCTCCTTCCTTGTCTGTCCCTTCTTCCCCGAAGCAGATTCATCCCACAGAGTGAACCCGCTTGCTGCAGCAGCGTACGAGCTGCAATTAGAGTTTGAATTCTCGTCCACAACGTTTCTCTCATTCCCGCCACTCGACTGAGCAGCAGCAGTGAACATCATCGGTGGTGACAACTCCGGCTTAGGAATCTTCTGATGATGATGGTGGAAATAAGGAATAGGGCTGATCGTGTACGTTCCTATACCACCGGGAAGCACGTGTTGCAGCGGAGGAGGTGGTGCAGGCGGCGGTGGCTTCTCGGAAGCTGTCCTGCTTGTGTCAATCCTACTTATCTCTCCTTTCGCACCAACACATTCTAACGGTTGTAGAAAGTCATGGGTCTTCAAATGGCTACCTGCTCCATGCAACCATCAAAAATTTCTATAAACATCCACAGGTCCACAAGTTCTATATGTAACTACGCATTTGGTGGCATCATGAGCATCCTCCAAAGATATTTACAGAATTCTATTATTCTAATGCGACATGTGTAACCCCATAAACGGTCCCGTATTTCCCTGGGCTTTAAACATAGTTGGGCCCATTAGACCCCAATTAGATAGCAACATTTGGATCGACGATACAGTCTTAAAGGTCAGATCAGATGCACGCGCGCACAAGCGGCAAAAACGTGACGCCTTTTAAGAGAGTCTTTTAATGAGAACAAAAAAAGAACATTAAAAAAGAGGGTGAAACTGTAAATACCTTGAGAAGAAGGTGTTGGCTTTGGATCTGGCTGGACTGTTGTTGAATGACTGCAGAGCGATAAAAAATCATGTGTTGGTTTTCTCCCTGTGGAAATTCTTCTACAATCAAAATTAAAATGGAAGCAGAAGAAAAAGAAAAAAAATCCTAAAATCGTGAAGAAAATTAACTATTTTAAAATGATTATTTGAAATAGTAAAATATACTGTAAGATAAATAGTGTTACCTTCGGTTTTGAAAGGACGAGGTTGAGGAAGCTCCATCAACAGCAGCTCCGACGATTCTCTCTGGTAATTTTTTGCAGAATTGGCGTGATTTCTATGGAATTCGACGGAATTCTGTAGCTACTAACTCAGATCTGCGACTATAAGTGGCTGATTCAAGAGATGTTGCGTTTTCCGATGCTTGTGGAAGAGGAATTGAGCTCGAAAGTCACTGAATTATGCTTTCTCAGTCGCTTTTCACCGAGAAAGTGGTTGAATTTCGTTCAAATTCTCCTCGATTTAGCCAAATTCAGCCTCCGCCGCGCCAGTTCGACAGGAGACAAAGAGATAACGGGAGAATTCGACGAGAAACACCGTAGATATCGCCAGAAAATCTCCAAATTCTTGTGTTCGATAGATCTGTCATCAAAATTGGACAGAAACTCATGAGGTTAATCATAATTCAGCAGAATTATGGCTTAAACCAACCGAATTTCGTATAATTGAAGTCAACCCGTGAGCATGGAGATCCAAATTCTCGAGTCCAAGTCAAATCTAAACTTATGACGGATTATATTTGAGTAGAGAAGCGGTACCTTTTCGAAAATGAATCGACGACAATTGTGTGAAGCTTCGATCTCTTAAGTCAGAGCAAACAAACAAAAGTTTGAATTCCGAGATAAAACTCTTCGATCTGATCGGAAAAGATCAGCCAGAGAGCTCTCTCACTCTGTCTCTGTTCGTCTCCCTCTCTCTCTCTCTCCGTCTCTCTATCTCTCTCTCTCTGGGGGTTTGAGAGATAATGCGGAGGCGGAAATGTTTTATACAGTCATTATAACGCTCCCCGTTTAACAGCAGTACACTCCGTTTAAGCGACGCTTAATCTAACGGAGTCACGTGGTGGATGTCTAGTTAGTTGCTTTGTAGTGAAAGGTAACAGAGGTTTATCCGTTTAGCGGCGCTAAAAATTAAAAGTAACAAAATAATACATCCACACACGCACAAAAATTATTTTTTTATTGTTTTTATTTTGGTTTAATCGATGTACGCTTTTGTTTTTATCGTGTTCGACGATCCCCATTAAATTGTTTATATTTTTTAAATTTTATTTATACTATTTTAAAAAGTACTGCGATAATCGATCAAAGACACTAGTTTATTTATTGCTCGTGTATTTTTCTTTCAAAACACTAGTTTGTTTATTTCTAGTCGTAGTATTTTTACTTAAAATATATTTGTAGCATTAAAAAAAATACGATGCAAAGTTAAAAACAATTACATCGTCGATGGGGGAATATAAGAATGTAAAAAAAAATTCCATTTGTCAATGTAATTGTTACTTATTGAGCTGTATAGTATCTATATTTATTGACTCTAAGCCTACCAATCAATGGTCATTTTTCAATATTCGTTTCCGGCAGATGAAACTCACATGCAGCTATTAATTTAACTTTTTATAGGCATGCATACGCAAACATATATGTTCATAATACGCCACAGTCATGGCAATAGCAAACATGAAATCTTCACGAATTCATAGTTTAATATTCCAATCAAACAGCTTGTGGTTGTTGGTGACATTTTTTCCCCTACATTTTCAATTCATTATATGCTTTTGGCGTGTCAATGTACTCTATTTAAAATACTATTGAAATTATGCCGACGATTAGTCGTCGATGTAAAATGCAAGTATGCAACCACAAGTCCACAATAAAACCAACAAACTAGGAACTTCGTGCATTTCAAAATTCGAGTCATCCTGTATTCTCGTATTTCAGCTCCTTTTCTTCTTCATCTATATAGATCCTCGTTTTAGATAAGGTTTATTTTAACTCTAGACCAATTAGAATGTTAGCTGGAAATTGTTATTAGTTTAAGAGTTTATTGGTAAACGGTGCAATGATAGTTATAAATTTATAGTATGGTATTGAAAATTATGCTGGAAAATGATGGTATATAGGGGGACAATTACAATCGTGTACGTGTATGCGTCTACGAGTTTGTGTGAGTGGGGATCTATGTATGTGGCATTAGGTGGAACAAAGACAGCCCTTCCTTTGTGCAATGCCATTAACAATTCACAATTGACTAAACCCATAATCAAGATCCTAATCATGTGAGCTAAACCCATTCAAATTTAGTTGAATGCCACTTGTTATGATACTAACATTTTACAGTATATTAGAAAACGACAATATATAAAAGTAAAGGAAATAGACGACTACGTATTTAAAAGAAGTTTAGTTAGCATTTACCAACCAAACATGTATGATCCATTTATAACTTAACGAGTAGTATATTATAGTGTTCTTGTTGAGTGGGATATTTCAAGTCTAAAACAAGAATGGATCGGAATATATAAGAGCAGAGGATAAATCACACTCTCCTAAATAACGCACGAAATATAAACTGATTTTATGCGCATCATTTTTTAATATGAAAAATACATTATAACTTTAAAAGAGAGAGGGAGGTGAGGAAGGAACTATAGCTAAATAGTGTTGGATCACATGAAGAGGGAAATGATACAAAATAGGGAAAGAGCAAAAACAATAACACATCCCCACATGCTCTCCACTTTGTCTCGTGAGTTGTTAGGTTGTGTCTAAACACGCTTTTTATATAACCCATTAATTATTCTATCATAATGTACTAAATAACTAGCAATCTCATGATTCGTTGAAGAAATGGTTTAGTTCAATCAGATTTCTTAATGTTTATATTTGAGATTCGGTTTCTCTAAAATAGTATTTTATATTTAGTGGACTAACAAGATTTACAAGCATAACGAACAAATAAAAGGTATCAAGGAGAAAGTTTTTACGAATAAAAAGGGAAAAAAGAAAAGAAATGGTCAATTCAAAAGTGAAAGACGGGGGAGAAGAAGAGGTTAGTGTGATGTCGTTTTCGTGGTGTAGTGGGGCCACGTGAATTGACTCTGCAACTCACGTGAGAAAAATACTGTAGAATCTCAAGCATCAGGACATAAATTGATTTTCGAACATTAATAACAGGGTCAGTTTTAGTAATAATATATCGTTACTAGGAACTGTTTGTTGATGGTCCACAAACCGACTTGGCGATCTGTATCAAACTTCAGTTTTCGAAACGAAGCAAAGAGTAGGTTTTTACAGAAATATATGTAAAAGTAATTCATTATTGAGTCGTACAGTTTCTAAAACTTTGCATACGCAAAAGAGTGTGTGGGAGAGAGCATCTCATCCGAATTAGCTGTCTTCTTTACATCTAAAGAGGACTATTAGTTGTCTCTAATCATTGTAGTTTTCTTGATAAAAAATAATAATTTAATACGTACTCTTAAAGCAAAATAAAAAAAGAGAAGAATAAGAAGCTGGATTTCAAGAAAACAAATGTATTTTCAATACGGACATTCCTCTGTACATTGCACAGAGATCCTCTTAGGGATCAGTTAACAAATACTAATCTGATCTATCATGTGTCCTATGGTAAAACACGAGCTAAATAACTAATGATACATTAAATTAAATTCGTTTTAAACTAAAGTTTAACCTACGAGCTTGGATCTAAAGAGTGGACGGAGACAGAGAAGGACACGTGGCAGTAGCGCCGCGTAAATCGCGCCGTATCACGTGATAAGAAACCTTTTGGCTGCCTACCTCAGCCTCCCATCCATCACGTGGCCAACTCACACCACTCGATTATTGTGGGTCCCGCTTTTCTTTTTTACGCTATCCCGTTTCACTCTTTATTTATTTATGTAGTTATATACAAGTATGACTTAATTTTCCAGTTATGGATTTAAAAAGCTGTTACGAAGCTTTGTACTAGCAAGGAGAAGATAAGAAGAAATTCAAGTACTTTCAAAACGTTGTACTGTAGTACTTTCAAAATAACGGACTGTAAAATTTTGGTATTAAATAGAGGATTTTTTCGACAAAAAAGAGAGAGGAATTTTACCAACAAAACCATTAAAGAGGAGTTCAACATGTAATTTAATTCATTTATTCGTTTTATCGAAACACCAATGACTTGGACAAAAAAATCCAGAAATGTTTACAGTATGTTTTTTTTTCTAAACAGAGTTTTCATAGAGGTTGAGATGGATGCCAATTTTTAATCCTCAACGTGAATAGACCACTTTCAAAATTTAATCGAGTATTAAAGAATGAGAGGATTATTTCTAGCTGTATATTTTTTTTTTGTTCGAAATTCTAGCTGTATAATTATACATATTTATTCATTAATTGTTAATATTTTCATACATATATATTCGGATTAAATTTTTGGTGATATCCAAAAGTCCCCCAAAAAATTTACTCCAATTTTGTTAATATTTTCATACATATATATTCGGAGTATAAAAGTAACACACTGTAGTAAAAACGAGTATAGGGCGTAAAAAAGAAAGTGAAGGTGAGATGAGAAGAGGAGCATGGTCACGTGTGCCCATTCCCTGCCGTTAAACTGCAACATTGCCTTCCGTCTCGCGTGTGGTGGGTCCCATCATCACCTTCACTCTTTATACCATTCCATATAGTCGCCGCACTGTCGAGACTCGTGACACCGTTTAATCCTTAACTTTGCTGTTGTTGTTACGTATTCATATATACTTCCATTTAAAAACTGGATTAACGCTACATCTTCATTGAAACTAATTATAAAAAAAGTAACTAAGTAATCTTGATGATAAAAAGGTGATCATAGTAATTAGTAAAAATACTTAAAACACAAATCAAAATCTAGAATGAAGAACAAAAACTAGTGAGATTTTGTACGGGCAAATCAGAGGAGAGGAGAGACGTGAGAGCACGTGGCTGTAAGAGAGAGAAGCGGTGGCGAACGGTCGCTTTCTCGTGATGGTATCACGTGAGAGAGAAATTTACTCATCCTTGGGTTGCACTTTTTAACTCTGACAAATAATATCAGGGGTTAGAGATTCGAGGCAAAACTTGTGGGGTCCTGTTAGTAAATAAATAGCACACACTTGTGAATGTGTATGTCCTTCATTGTCTATGTAATTTAAATTCTGTAAATTTTTGTTTTGATGTAAAGTAAATTTGGCAGTTGCAACAAGACTTCCCCACTTAACACATTATAATCTACGTTGACGATGATTAATAAAAGAAGTTATAATGTTGGTAGAGAAATTAAGATGTATGTTGTCTAATTACCGAATCACTTTTAATTAATGGTTTCATAAGAAATGAAGATAAGATAAATTATGTTGGGAATAGAAGGAGAGGGCATGTGCTGTCCTTTCTTGAGTGACCTGTCGGTTTATGGGTCATTGATAATACGTGAAAGCGAAAGCTGTGGAGTTATTAATATACCCATGAGAGAGAAATGTAGACTCACAAAAGAGAAGATGTGTTTTCTTTTGTTCTGTTCCCACACTGTTTCCGCTGACGTGGCTCTCTCACGTGCCTGGACTTGGGCTATTTTTTATATTATTATTCTCGTTGGATGGCGATCTCGATTAAGACGCGGCCCATTCGTTGCTCGACAAGTGTCTTATAATAAGTATTATTTGTTGTATCTTTTCTCCCTTTTGGTTGGTCCAAAAGTATCTCAGCTAAAAAATAAATTCCTTTTTCTAGTCAAATAATAAAGGCATGATACATGTTGCCAAGAAGAACCAAAATAAATAAAGAGTTATTTTTCCTAAAGAATCCTTAATTTTTTAAATGAAACTGCTCATATTCTTAATTTTTGGATCGACCCAATTCAGTAACATTTGGACATCTCTTTAGCTCGTTATAACTGAAAATAACTCGAGTCGGCCCATTTTTCTGCTTCCTAAGCCCATATTATCTGATTTTTGTGTATTCAGGTCGATGACGCGACGTCGTTTCAAACCAACGCAGTAGACAAATGGTTTTCTCAGATCCTCGATTCCATTTATCGCAACTTCTCTGATAAACGATCACTCTTCCTCCGCCGTTGTTTCAGGCGAAGTATTGCTCTCCGATTTCGCTCGTAGTTTCTCTCGATCTTCTCTACAGCCGTAAGCTAGCTTATTCTCATGGATCTGTCACACCAGCGTGTTGAGCAGTCTCAGGTAACTCTTCCTCGTGAGGATAACGATATAGATGGTGATAGTAACGAGGGTACGGAATCGGTGAGTGTGATAGAGGAAAATTGCGTAATGGTTATGGAATTAGGGTTGGAATCCGGAAGCGGTTTTGCTGAGAATATAGGTGATGTTAGTGATATCGATATCAACAACGATTTTAATGAACCTGACGACGACGATTTCTTTGCGGAGAGGAGGGATTCTGGGCTTGAGTTTCGCGATGTCACATCGACGGAGAGTGGTAGCCGGTTAATTCCAATCGAAATTAGCTCTGATGATGAGGATGATGGTATTGAGAATGAGAGGGATATATGGGGGATCGATTCGAATGAAGAAGATGAATATGTGAACAATGAGGACGATGATGATGATGAATATGAAGATGATGTCAGCGTGACGATCCCTCTGTGGTGGGATTCGCTTCAGTTAGAAGATCGTGCTGAGGAATTTGAATGGGAAGAAGTGGATGAAGGTGGCGGTGATGATGTTGCGGACGAGAGAGAGATACTAAGCGTTTTTGCAGAAGCTGATATCGACGGCGAGTATTCGGTTTCTGTATCCGTCTCGCCGATGATCTCTTTAGAGGATTTAGCGGCGGTTGAGAGAGCAGAGGGATCGGGAAACCTCGGGTGGGAGGTTTTGCTGAATGGTCATACTCTAGAGATCAACCTCGATATGGAAAACAGAGAGGAATACATTGTTGATGGTGATCATGATGATTACATTCACACAACCGAGTATGAGATGTTGTTTGAGCAGTTTGCTGAAGCTGGGATTGCGAATCTTGGTTTACCTCCAACTTCCAAATCTTTTGTCAAGAATCTCCCAATGGTTCGATTGGAAGTCGGAAACGGTGAAAGCGAGATCTGTGCGGTTTGCAAAGATGAGATGAGTATCGGGAACGAGGCGGCTCAATTGCCTTGTAATCATAAGTATCATAGCGAATGCATTGTGCCGTGGCTCAGAGTGAGGAACACATGTCCTGTTTGTCGCTATGAGTTGCCTACAGATGATGCAGAGTATGAGCAAAGGAAGAGCCAGAGAACAACTACTGCTCATGATTTGGTTCTGTAAATGGTGAACGATCCCTCTATAAATTATAAGTATGATTTTGTCTTTTGAATTTTATGAAGTGTGTATATATATTTTGTATGTTTGGATTGAGTGAGTCGAGCCCTTTTCGTGATTGAGCTTAGTACTTGTTTGTGATGGTCTAGGCTTTAGAAGGCTTGCTTTACAAGAGGTATAATATATAACTCTGTTTATTTTATGTTTGCTTTTATTTCATTTTGTTGAGCTGTACTTAAAAGTTAAAACCAAACAAAACCGAGCCGATCTACGATTTAAACTATTTCATCTGATTATGTTAAAACATAACTCTATGTTTCGTTTATAAGACGAATATCGAGTCAATTAAACTTTCACTTTTAAGTTGTTTAACTGAATTATAGGCCATGTGTGGAATCCGTAGACCTTTTCAGAACATTCTCTCCGGATCAAATCCAAATTAAATCGAACAAAAAGGTTGGGAAACAAATCTTGGGGGGGTGTTTCACAATTGATTCGACCTAAAGATCAAACTATCAGTTTCTGTAGTTGTGGAGTAACTTCAAGGGGGTGCATGTGAACAATTGTCAACAAAATTGGTGTAAAAGGACAAAAAGAAAATTAAAAGAATTGCAGAGACATACACGTGCAGAAGAGATATGTCCCCTATGGTCACAAAACATGTTTCCCTGTCTGTACCAAAGATACAACCAAAGAGGATGGGTTCTAATTCCATGTCTCGATTTCTCAATTATATACAACTCACACTGTGTGCACGTGTGTGCCTATACGAACCAAATCTATGCAACATTATTTTCAAAATTTATTCTAAATGTTCATATTTTTTTTGACCTTCTTGGTTCTTGGTTCTTCCATCAATCAGTGTAGTGGATTTTTACTAAAAGATGTCAAGATAACGTAAAAAATTCCTTTGTGGTGTATGTTTTATCAAGTTTTGCCAAAACTCAAGTGTCTTTCTTTCGTGTATGTTAATCATTTTTTTTTTGCAAAAACTCAAGTATATTACATATTTAACGTTTCTGTTATATTTTACTTATTTATTTGTAACCTTAAATTTTAATTTGTGTTTTGAAGGTTTATTTTAAGTAGACGATTTTCAGCGTTAATAGCATATACTTTAATCATAGCATTGTCAGTTGATGCAACTCTAAACAACTAAAATTGACAAACTATCTACTAAACACCAGAGAATATATGATCTCAGCAACCTAAAATATAAATTGCAAGATTTGGTGAACATAAGTGAAGGAACATTGAAGACAAATGATGTGAGACTTGTATGCTTCAACATGTTGCAAATTTACTCGTCGGTGTTGGTTCAGTGTATATTGATGCATACTGAATAGTTACTTCATTATAAACAAGATAACCAATTAAATGTATTGGTTATATATACTGTACATCTCAAAATTTTGTATATAAAATGTTGAAACTTCCTAATGAATGCGAAACAAAAATATCCTAATTTATATCTAGATCATGAGTGTAAATACTTTTGCTGAAAACAACACAACATGATTTTGGTGAGAAGAACGATCTTGTTTTATCATAAAATGTTAGCATATATATTTTAATTAGCAGTAGTAAGAAAGAAAATGAATGTATAGAGAAATGACTATATAGAAACGTATTTCCATAATGGGGTACTATGGTGACCATAAAGGAACCCATAATGGAGTCCACTGATGTACATCTCAAGAGACCCAAGCTATCATCATCAATTCATCATCATCATCACCTTCATCACTGTATCTGTACTATGATCTCGTTGTAATTATCTAAGATAACTCTACTTTAACATATTGGCTATTAATCATATGGGAGACATAATATAAGTAATTTATCAGATAGAACATACTGCTTTTCCACAATTTAAAACAAAAATGTAACGACACAAAAGGACATAAACACTCAATCATGTGAAAACAAACATTGGAATATAACTTAAATAAACAGAAACGTAAGGTTATTAAAATCATACGAACTGTCTAACCGAGCCAACGTAACTATGAACAGCGCTGTAGCTATCATTACCATCATCATAGCCATGATTATCACCGTTACCATCATCCTCATCATCTTGATTGTTGTTGTGAACCCTAGTCTCCACCAAAACCATTTCTTCATTAGCCTTCTTCTTCTTCTTCTTTAAAGAGTTTTGCTCCTCAATCTCTTGAGGGAGTTTGAGACATGATGTGGCCTCCATGGGACCAGAAGATGCATCAGAGTCCATTGAATCACCGCCATCGCTATCTTCTTCTTCGTCATCATCATCATAGTAGCAGTCATCGTCATGATCATGAGAGGGTGATGCTAGATACATTGTCCATCCAGATTCACAGCTGCGAGAATCATCATCGGATCCAAAGATCTTTCCAGACTCCATTTGTATATAATTACGACTCTTTTTAGTGTTTAAATTTAAATATATAATAAACAAATCCGAAGAAACAAAGAGACCCACCAAAAGACACCAAGAAAAAAAACCCTAAAGTGAGACAGTAACGAGAAGAAGCTGAGATATTAAGTAAACAATCCAGCAAGCAAGAATATGTACATATATGTAAGCGCGTATATATATCGTGTAAGCGTGTGTGTGTATGTGTATATGTACAGAAATAATTGGATTTCTTCAAAATTTTAACCTTTTTCGGAAATAATTGAAGGGTTATTATCTTGGAGGGAAATTGAATATTATGTAAGAATTTTTTTTGGAAATTACTTGAATTATTTTTTGGGAAATTAAAAGATAATTAGAGGCCGACTTTTATAAAGATAAGGGGAGGAGTTGGGTGGAAGAGATAGAGATGGAGAAGAGGTTGTATTTAAAACACCTGAGAATTGCTATTTATCTCTCATCCTCTTTCTGACCAAATAACAGCTCACTACCGAAATTTATATACACAGATTAATTAATACAAGACAAACATACCCATCCAATAATTTCGTTTGTAAAAAGTAAATAAAAAGTAGAAGAATATAAAGGAAAAACATATAGTAATCGTAAAAACAAATTAGAGCTTGAAGGAACCCAATATGTTTATCCATCTATATATGGAAATATTGTTAAAACACATGGCTTCGTTAGTTAGAAAAGAAGTAGAGCAGTAAAAAATACTATTTGACTCAAGCTGATTAAGTTCACATTTGCCTAATCATAAGGCTCTTATCATTCGTTGGTACTTTCGTAGCCGAAGCTTAATTTAATGAGACTTTTTAACAAAAACACAGTTTGATAAGAAAATCTCAGCGATTTGGAATTAAGAAAACAGAATGAGAGAGAGAGTGCCATAAATGGAGAGAGTTGATGAGATACAGCAAGAGTCCAGCTAGAAGCCGTGAAGGAGAGAAAGTGAAACCTCTTATCTCTCGCAGAAGTAGCTTCTTTTAAATGCAATAACTTTAAACGTCATATCTTTATTTTCTTATATAACATTTTACTTATAAAAAAGGTTTAAGTGTCGTTGAGTTGGTATGTTGATTGATTAGCCACACATATAGGAAAAATATGTAATAAGGAGAATAAACTGATTCGTTTTGTGGACAAATTATACTCGTGTATGTTGTAACTTGTGAATGAGGTAACAGCTACGATTTGTGATATTATATTCAAAACGAGAATATTAGTTTGTGTGTGTTTGTTTGTTTGTTAAATAAGGTGTTCCTTAGTACAATGTAACAATATTAATCAGTGTTATCTTACATGGACAATACTTATAAGTTACTGTATAACGAAAGAAACAGCAAGGGAAGAATGTTTTTAACTATGTTTCTGTTTTTGTGAATTTATCTCTCCAATTGAATTAATATGGTTGGGGAGAATAATTTTAATCTGGTGGAGAAAATATTGGAAAATGTGTAATGAACATTAAATAAGAAGTATAGTTTTATATCCATGTGGCTTGTGCTGTTCTGACTTTCTTTAATTTACTGCTGTTAAGTCCTTTCTCTTCCTCCAAAAGTTCAAACATCTCACTTGCTTTGTTACAACACACAACAGCAGTAAATTAATAAAGAGTATAGTTTTTTTACATGCAGAAAACTTACCTATATCAGGACTTGTTCAATTCCATTTTCTTTATTTTAAGGATTATCATTGTCAATACCGAAAACTTATCGTGGTCGTAAGAAATACATGTCTAATTACTGTATGAATACATTTCGCATCAATTGTTGTTTTTTACCATGAAAAAATGATGGACATTTCGAATAATTTTTTTAAAAATTTATTCTTATTTTTAATGTTGGGAAATTGTAACTCCTTAGAACTTTTGTCCTTTTTATGTGATAACTGTTTCTGAAAGTGGAAATATAGAGGTGTAGCTATGATCATAATTTTGGTGGTAGGGGAACTGTAGATCTTTTCACTTTAGAGTTACAAGAAGACATAATTTTACTGAGAGTGAAATTAATAGCGATCAGACATTTATCTTCCAGAAACTGACTTACGTAATTTATTGATTTTGTTCCTTTGAAGTGACTCAAATCCGTAAAAGCAAAAGGTCGTACACACACGAGCATATATGTGGAGTCTTTTTGTTTGTCAACATATCCTTGATATAAAGTACAAGAAAAGAAATTCATTTCATTTTGGAAAAAAGAATAACTCCTTCAACAACATGTTATGGGTATCTACGGCTATGTATTTAAGTGTACCACTGTACAGTCTGTACTCTGTACCTAGTGAACAATCCTTTATACGTATCTTAATATGTACTATCTCGCAAGCTTTCAATTCATTTTTTTGGTCAAAAATATTGATTTCAATCAAGTTGTAGTTGTTGACAACAAAAGATCAAGTTGTGATTCTCCTACATTGGTTGAGTCCTGAGACGGAAAATATAATAGGGAAAATGACAATTACCTAAACAAACTCGTAATTGCAAAATTTTATGAATCTGTACAATCAGTTTATTCATACTCTTATTTTTTTGTTCTTTTGAAGAGATTCCAATTGTTAAGATCAACTTCTAAAATGAGATTGATTGTAGTATAATTGTAAACATCAGAAACGATCCGTCGTTTAATTAATATTTCTCCGAAAACCATCAAGTTTAATAAGAACCGGTTGCTAATTTACAAATTGGGGTATACTGACTGCATCATCCCGACATATTATGGTCTAAAGATATATAAAAAAGGAAAAAATCAAACTGGAGTAAATAAATATGATTCGCAACAAGACAAAAATAAATCATTAGAACCAGTACTAGGCCAACTACTAAAGATTTAAATTGGTATATTATCCTTAAGTAAATTTATTGGTCCCCATAGTATAAAGAAAAAGAGAGAAAAAAACGAAAAGCCCCAAACCCTAATAGTTCAAAATACATTACGAAGAGCAACGTAATCAATACTGTTTGATGGATCTAATATGGGATTTTCGAAGATAACTAACACATATAAAAAAAAAGATTAAGCAATGTATAAAAAAAAAAACCCTTTCTTTTTCTTTCACCTTTTTTTCTGAAACCACAGGAATCATTTGGTGAATTTAGCGATCAATTTGTCGACGTGGATGATGATATCGTCAATGCGCGGTCGCACCGCAGCCTGTGGTTGCAGCATCCAAGTCACGAATTGGTGAAGAGCTTCAGGGTAAGAAGCCTTCGGTCCAGCGTTTGGCCATTTGATCTGAGCGTTCACGATTGCGAGCTGAAGACTTCCACCGGATTCTCCAAGCGCATATTCGAACGGAGACACTCCATACCTGCAACAACAAAACACAAAATGAATACCCACAAATGTTAAGTATACGACTTTAGTTGAAATCTTAGAAGGATAATTGTATTACATTATTGCGTATAATGTGCAGCCTAGTGACCATATATCGGTTCTCTCATCGATATCTGCATGGCTTGGGCAATCCCAGAGCTCGGGAGCTCGAAAAGGTGCTGAACAATGTTCAGATGTCCATTCCTATAGAAGTCAAGAAGCACATCAAGAATATGTACTAACAAGTTCATGATCAATCAGAGCAAATGAATAATTGTTTCTCATCATCAGAAATGGAATAAAGATGAACAATGTGAAGTAGTAGGCGAGATCTCAAAAGCTTGTGAAGGGATTGGATAGAGAACCTGCAACTGTAAGGCCTCTTGACGGGAGCGAATTTGCTTCCGTGATGGACGAGCACTCCCAAAGTCCATCAATATCGCAAGAGGAGGCTGTCCTTTTCTACGTGTTAAAAGCACATTTCCAGGTTTGACATCGTTGTGAGCATATGGTGGCTCCAGAGAGTGCATGTGTTTGAGTCCATCACAAAGCTGCAGTCGAATAACTTTTGGCAGTCAAAAGACTTGCAATTTATGACGAATCATACACTAACTCACATGGTTTTCAATAAGCTATATAGGCATAAGAAGACAGTTGCAGAGAACCAAGTTTAAAAACTAACAAGCTTGATCAAAAATGGAGTTTTTAAAAGAGAGTTTGCTACCTGACGGAATATATGCAAAACATCAGTTGTTGAGAATGCTTCCTTTTTGGCCTTCATCGATGTGGCATTATCTAGCAAGGTCCCATCCAAGTGGACAGGAAACAGCAAGAAGGCCTCGTGTTTCCAGGCTCCCTCTTGGCCATCCTAACCAATCAAAAGCAATAAACCGGATTTAACATGAGAAAAGTACAGATACGAATAGAAACCAATACTCCAGAACAGAGCTTATCTACCTTAACAGAAATAATGGCATGATCAAGGAGTGGAAGCAAATTAGGGTGATTGAACAACGATGAAACTCGGATCTCCTCCCGCACCAATTCCAGTTGCTCCTTGTTCTGAATCAAAACTTTCTTCATAGCGTAAGTTCCATCAGCTACAAGAAAATCACGAGTTAAACAAACTCAAGGTAAGTCATGGGACAAACATGAAAGAAGTTAATTAACCAAGCCATCATGACAAGCCAAGCTCAAGAATACCATAACTTTAGATGCTCTGTAGATCAAACAGCTACACAAGATCAAAGTTGGTTGATTCCACAGTCAAATTATATGAAAGAGGATTCATTGTGATCACTTTGTTTGGCCTATCATCCTAATTCAACTAAATGCAAGCTCAATTAACAAATGACAAACGCAGCTCAAGAATACCAAATTACACAAGATCGAGATTGTTTGGAGCTAAAATCAAACGTATGCTTCCTACATTGTTACAGTTTGATTCCTGGAACAAATTTCTCAATAATAAAACTCTCCATCTTCAAATCACACTGCCTGATATCAAAAGCTCAAGCAGATGGCAAACGAAAACGAAAGCCAGTCTAATCAGAAAGAGGAGTTCAAAGTCAAACGATATAACGCAGATCAAGGACTACCAGATCAGCGATCACGATCGAGAAATTATCAATACTAACCGGAGAGATGAGCTGGATCCTTGACTTTCTTCGCCAGACCGCCACCGGATGCGGCAGAGGGAGCGTCGGCGACAATCTCTTTCACCAAAAAGACGAATGCGAAGCCTCCTTCGCCGAGCTGCCTCACGACCCTGAACCGATTTTCATTGATCCACACGTCGCCTCCGCCGTTCACGGCGTCGTAAAGCGCGTTCAATCCCGAAAACGAACAGCCCATGCTCACGAATCACAACGCACCTCCTTCCTCAGTCCCTCTCTCTCCCTCTCTTTGACCGACGATCGACGAATACCTTTCGATCTGAAGATTACACAATTCGATAGATCCTTCAGATTCGCATTTTCCAGATCTCGAATTTGTCTTCGTCTCTCTCTTTCTTATTCTGCGTTTAATTATATGGAAGTGAAGAGATTTGGTGTTGAAGCATTCATGTCAGCTATACAGACAAGGCACAGCATTCCGTCTTTTCTCTCTAATTAATTAATTAGCTAATTGGTTCGATAGAAAAACATTAGGCGGATATTTTTAACCAATAATATTTGGAGTTTTTATAAACTTTAATGGAGTATAAGCAATTTGATTATTATTAACCCTTTTCTTATAATCGACCTTGTATTAAAATTAACCGCACAGAGAGTTTCTAATTGTTTTGTCATTAATGCAAGAACCAGTATTTTTAAAACCGGACCAGTAGACGAACCGGATTAGCATCCGAATCATGGGTCAATTTGGTTCGACCGGGTTGAACCCGATTCATAAATAATTTATTTTTAAATATATATAGTTTAAAATAAAATATAAATAGCTAAAAATTGATATATAGATATAAATATAAATATAACAATATTAGAAAATTATATTTTCATTGTTCTAATTAATTATTTATAGTATAAATATATATAACTTTAAAATAAAAAATAAAAAAAAACAAAAGAAAATAATTAATTAATTGATCGTATTAATTATTTTTAAACCAGATCGGAAATCCAACCCGGTCACATGTCCGGTTCATGGTTGAATTCGGTCCGACCACCGGGTCGGTCCGATTTTAAAAACACTGGCAAGAACTGTTTGATCACTAATCTAAAACCGACAGAAATGGTTAAACCGATAAGAATTTTAGAACCAACACATTAATTTAGTTCTTAGTCAACGAACCACAAACATTGGATCCAATAAACGTCAGGAACGATCGTACGGCTCTCGTTCACCCTAACGAATCAAATTTATATTAAAAATAGACGGCCAGGATCCATCCATCCCGCGACGGCTCGTGGAGAGCACACCGTCAGTGGCCGTTCTCGGCGACGTCAGTAGGCTCCGCCGGCTGCTGCTGCGTTATGCAATGTATGTTTCCTCCAGCAAGAACGATCTCTCTTGCGTTCTCGATTCCCACAACCTTAAAATAAAAAGAAGATAAATCAAAATCAAAATGGTTCATCTTTCGTCCTCTTTTCTTTCATTATGAATCAGACAAAGATATAGTTGAATACCGAGTGATGAGGATATGTCTCTGAGAGGACACGAATCGCTTCTTCGTCGCGTTTCGTGTCACCGAACTGCGGCACGATGATTCCTCCATTAGCGAAGTAGAAATTCACATAGGAAGCTGCGAGTCTTGTGCCTGCAATTCTCGGTTTAGCTTCACCTTCCTACAAGATTCATTAGGATCCACATTATCAAATCGATTCAAAAACAGCTTAAAGTTTTTATTTTTCTTTCTGTTAGAATCAAGTTGCCTGAATGATTCCAGAAGCTTCTTCATCAGTCATAAAAAGCGGTCCCGGGACGTAAAGCTTGATGACTTGAATCTTCCTGCCACGAGCATCGACGGAGTTTGAGAAAACCGAAAGAGCTTCTACGGATCTTTCGTACTGAGGATCGTTCTCATCGTCTGTCCAAGACAGTAACACAACTCCCGGTTTAGCGAAGCAGCACATGTTATCAATGTGGCCGTTTGTGTCATCATCACCTGAAAATCGATAATACCAACACAAAATTTGTGTGAAGATCGAAACTTTCTGTCGAAATTAGTATGGATAGTGTGAAGTGGAGTTACCGTGAAGACCACGAGGAAGCCAGATAAATGTTTTAACACCGAGATATTTCTTCAGCTCTTCCTCTATTTGCTCTTTGCACAAGTGAGGGTTCCGGTTTTTGTTCAAGAGACACTCTTCTGTGACAAGGCAGGTTCCTGAAAGAGCACACAGTAAGTCAATAAGCAAAGGAACAAAGCGGAAATGTGAATAATAAACTCAAATACTCTGTTTTGCTAGTTGTTGAGTTTTTGAAGTTGCTATGGAAAAGTATGACAAACCTTCCCCGTCTACATGGATGCTGCCTCCTTCAAGAATCATCGAATGTTGAAATCTTGGAATTCGCTCAACAGAGAGAATCTGATGGGATAGGAGAAGAAAGGAGCAAATCAGTATTATTGAAACATGTTTCCTCGGAAGAAAGGCAAAAAGAAAACCTTTTTAGGAACTAGAAGGTCATGACTCCAATCATTGTAACAACCATCATCAACTCCTGCAATTGGCAAAAGTCCAAAGCGTTTCAAGGAGTTGCTACAAATTGTTAGAGAGTAGTAAAAGGTTTCAGAAACCCTTACCTCCCCAGGCATTGAAATTCCAGTCGATTCCAGCGATGTTTCGGTTAAGAGAGCTGACCTTTGATGGTGTTTTCCGCACAACAAACTGTAGGAAATAAGAAAGCGAGAAGCAACCGGTTTAGTGAGATCAACGTATGTTAGAATGGAGAAAAGGGAGAGGATAAACAAAGCTCACAGTTGGACCAGAGTCACGGAACCAAGAATCATTCATGCTCATCTCAACAACTCTGATATCCTCTGGAAGCTGTTTCCTTGCATTTTCCCACTAAAGACCAACACAATCATGCAAGCAAGCAAAAGGAATTACAGTCTAACTGGTGGTACATTAGTCTTTATACTCTACAGAACATTTCAGGTATGATTCTACACAAACCTGAGCTGAGCTGGCACAGACTGTCACAGGCTCGAACTTGGAGATAGCCTTCGCAACATCTGCAAACACTCTTTGTGCAGGAAAAGCCTTGTGCCGCCAGTTGTCCTGCCGTTCCTGCAGCAAAAACCAGATCCAAAAATCACAAAAGCAGGTTAGTGTTAACACTGTTTGATTCATGTAAACAGCGATCACACGTGTCTTAACAATAATCATATATTTTCTATAGTATAATGGCCAAAAAACCATTGATAAACCCAAATGCTATCTCTAACAAAACGCTTGTAGTTAGACATAGATTTCAATGCTTCAGATCTATGTGCTAATTTGAATTGAAGCATTTCACAAAATTCTTAGAGGAAAACTAAAAAACGGAGTTCAGAACCTAAAAAACCAGAGAATTCAAAATTCGTCGGAAACTCCAGGAAGAAGTCAGGGTTTTTGTAAGAAACAGAAACAGAGAAGTTATCAAACAAATCGAAGATGGCTAAATTACGAGCACGATCGAGAAACGAAAACTAAAAAATGGAATCGAAGGTTGCATGTGAACAAGTTTGAAGTCTCGAGAATCGCCGCCGTCGATTTCTCTTCTCCAATCAGGGAACAAACATGGAAAAAAAATAAAGAGGAGAGAGAGAGAAAGAGAGAATTACAGGCCAACCGATCCAAGTCTGAGCATGAGGCTCCCATTCCGCCGGCATATAGTAGCCGTGTTCCGCCGGCGATCCTATAATCTCCACCATTTTCTGACGATGATTTTTGAGAGAGCTGAGAGAGAAGTCAGATACTTTTACTGATATAAAAGCATTTTTGTTTAGGAAAACAAAAAAAAGATTCCGAATACTTTTCAGAGTTTACTTTGGACCATAGTCTCTTATTTTTACTGCAACATTCTCGATTCCCCGGCCCCACCTCTAGACTCTAGTGGCTTTAGCGGAATCAGAATCCATACGTATACGATACATTACATAACAACATAGAAGTGGTAAGTAAAAGCATGGGAATCCCCCAACCCCAGTGGCGAATAAAGACAAATGAGTTGTTTCACAACCGTAGATATCATAAAAACACAAAAAAAAAAAAAAAAAAAATCATTAAAAATGCCCATTTTCGCAATCTTCAAACAAGGGTAAGCATTATGCAACAGAATGTGACATATTGGAACAATTTTCTCCTCTTCTCTATATAGACAGAGATATCTGGTGTTTCGAGATATCTGGTGTTTCGCATAAACATAAAGCTCAAGTGTTTCCCGAATAAAAAGATACTATGAGGTATAACGATTAAAAATTAAAAATTGACATAGAGATTTCAATGTTCTGGAGGTAAACGCCATTTGAAATCGACCATTACTACGAAGAAACATATGATTTATGATACGACAATACAGAACTAAAACTATAAATCGTGCACAAAACTGAATAAATAAGCAAAAGCAAATTTCAAATCATATTCATTAACCAACCCCTAAGGCACAACAGAAACACATATTAGTTGGGTGTTTCTTTTTGGTTCTTTGATTCTAGTTTCTAAATCAGACTACAGAAGATGAAAGCTCTTTAACATCGTCAGCGACTTGTTCGTAGTCCGTCTTTAACTTTTGAAGATCGTCTGCACTCAACTCTCCTTTTGCTGGTTTAAGCATCACCAACACACAACAAGTAGGTCTCTTTGTAGACCCAGCTTGCGCAAGATCCTGAAAATGCATCCAATTCAAACCAACGTCTTAGACACAAGAACTCAATCCATAAACACAGGAGAAATGAATGAATTAAGGAAGAAAGAAAACTGGCTTACTTCTTTGGATGGAACGTATACGTAAGGAACACCAGCCTCCTCACACAAGATTGGAAGATGTGTAATCACATCAATGGGAGATATGTTTCCAGCAATAACGCATATTCTGCACACACAAGAGACATAGATTAGACACTTCAAGCCTTAAGAACAAATAGATACAACTTACATCAAAGAAACAAATTAAAACATTGATTTTAATGCAAAACAAGAAAGGAAAATGTGGGTTTAAACCAGGCCCGCAAATCAAAGAACCAAATAGGAACTCAGAGAGGGCACAGACATTTCAAACCCTAATTCAGTTTCCGTGCACAGTACCATGCTACATTCATTCTGTTATCCAGAGCATCGGCTTAGTTGTACACGGATCTAACAAACACTAAGCAAATGTTTATCCAAGAACAATCAAACACATTATAACAAGCAAAAACATAGAATGTGGATCTCAACCAGGCCCTCTAATCATACGCAATTCATAGAGGGCAGACATATCAATCCGCGGTGGCTCAGTTTCCGTGCACAGTACCATGCTGCATTCATTATTTATAATCCAGAGCATCGGCTTAATTGTACACGGCTTGTTCATATATCAGAATCAATAAAGTGTGATAACCAAATAAATACTAAGATTTAACAAAGGCAGAGAAATTGGAATGTGGATCTAAACCAGGCCGTCTCATCAAGTGAAACTAATCAGAGATGGCAGACATGTCGATCCATGATTCACTTTTCGTGTACGGAACCATGCTACATTCATTATTTTTAATCCAGAGCATCGGCTTATTTGTACACGGTTTGATAATAAACTAAAGCAATCATTTGACACATTCAAGACGCACAGATTACATGAAAGCAAGACGAGAAACTAACCCTTTTTGGCCACGTCTAATGCTCTTTACCACTTCCTTCACTCCTCTCTTCAAGCATTTCTGTCCAGCAGCTGACAAAATTACAGACCAATAACACTATCAGAGGGAGTTTTGTCCAAATAACACAGAGAACTTTCTACCAATCAAATCAAAAGACTTCAAGCGAGCTCAAAAGTCTAGAATAATATCAAGTTTCAGAGAATAGTACAAGAGTAAAACATGTATCAGTTAGGTGAGATTACTACCTTTTTGAATGAGTTTGAATGTTCTCTTCTGGAGCTTTTTACCGGCGAGAGGTTTGGCGATAGGCGCAAGAGACACAACCTTCTTCTTCTCCTTCTGAATCGACTTCTCTGCTTCGGTATCGCTTCCCATTATTTTAGCTAGCTCAAGTAAAAGTGGCGGAAAGTGTGGCGGCAACAAAGTAAGGTTTATGACTATATTGTTCTCAGACCTACAGACTTTAGGGTTTTATAGAGGTGCTTGACCTAGAAAAATTTATAGGAAACCCTAACTCCATATGGGCTTGTAAAGTATGTCATTACATTTTTGATAGATTCTAAGTATTTGGGCCTTAATACGAGCGAAAGCCAAAACTTTACTTGTTGGTGCTAACTTGCGCCGCCTTGGGTACATTAAAATCTTTTTGGCTCACAAAACTTTACATTTCACTCCCTATATTTTAAGAATACATTGAAACGTCAACATGACTTTTGTTAAAGGATTATTTGACCACTTTACTCCTTTTTTTTTTTTTTTTCTGGATATCTTGTAAACATTATGTTTGATTGAGAAAATTCGGTGACATCAAACGATTGAATAGTGAAATCATTTTAGTTGAATATATTTTTTTGTTGGAATAACTTTGGTTCGAGGGAATGTGGCTATGTATATCCTTCATAGAGAGAATCAATTGCACATCTAAGGATTTATAAAGTTTCCTGAAACATTTCGAAATGTTACGACGGAGTTTATACATTGTTTTTTGGCCATTCTAAATTTGATAGTACTGTAGACAATATCTGACCTATTTGAATGCGGAATCTAACCATTGCAATTGATTAACTGGAATGTCATAAACAAAAAAAAAATATGATATGAACGAGCTCTCAAAATCTTGATGAAGTACTTAGAGATGTGTAAAACTTGCAAGAACATAAAGAATCAATAGCTACGAGATAATAATGGTAAGCGAAAATAAATGAATCCGAGTGTATTCTCTCTAGATGAAGAATGTTTACAATGAAACTGGACTTTTCAATACATGAAACAAAAACAGAGAAAGGAACATAGAGTATTAATCATAATTCATACTATAAAATTCTTCTTAATGTAACATTAACCCAAAGCTTAGGCCGCATATCAGCCAGCTATGAGCATATGTATACTCAACTAACAAGCAAATCAAGGAACCAACAAAATAGAGACTCAGTCAGCGGAAGAAGATCTTGTAATTCTCAAGTCAGTGATAAAATCGATTACATAATACATTCTTTCTCAGAAACTCAAAAACGGGTTTAAAAGCAAATGATCGACGAAGAGGCCAACGCTGGATGCAGAGGTTTATCGATCTGTTCATGCTTTTTGATTTCTTTCCAACAAGAAACATTCCCAGGAAGAGATCGATGAACCGCTGCCTCCAGCGATTTTCACTCTTTTGAAAAATAAATGGAAAAAAAAGAAAAAAGGTAAGAATTTTACCAAATCGGAGCAAACAGAAAAACTCAGATCTGAAAAGAAAATCAATGGTAAAAACAATTACCAGAAGTAGTAGCTGCTAGTTACTTGCTAGATCTTCATTGCCTCATCAGTCAATACAGACAAAAAAAAACACACCCTTTAATATTGTACAAGTACATACATAGATACACATGCATCTGCAGAAGTTTGAACAAGGAATCTCATGAGATACCATTTCTGTTTTTATGAGATTCCATTTCTTTTTTGCCTATTGGCCTACCTTTCCGTTCGCCTCTCTCTCTCTCTCTCTCTCTCTCTCTCTCTCTCTCATAGCAACACATGGATATGGATCAGGTTATGACTCATTTAATTATTTTAGATCCTATAACGAAGCTATACATTTTTTTTTGTCAAACAACATCTATTCGGTTGAAATAACGTTTAAGCTGTTTGAACCAAACAAAAAAAAAATCGTTTAGATGATTGATGTGTATCATAAGCAAAGCTTACACTTATACCAAAAGTTAACACAGGTTTTGATATTCTGGCGTCAATTACAAGTTAACAACTATCCGTAGATACATACACTGGCGAGGAACTACTGAAATTGCTCTATCCACTCTCCAATTTCAACTTGGATTAGATTATGGGCTATAATATGTAGAATTCGTAAAAAGCCCATTTGACTGGTTTTGGAAAAACAATATAATCAATCTTACGCGCCGTAAATCAATTTGGGGAAAGAGTGGAAGTCACGCGCTAACTTTTGGTATTCTGTTTTGCCCTAAATCGAACTTCTGTCTGAATAGAGAGAGAGAGAGGCGAAAAGGAGAGAGAAAATCTGCCCGATAAGATTCGTCCGGCCGTCCTACTTCCCCCGTCTACCGATCTCGCCGCGACTCGGTCTCGAGACTCGGTTAACTTGCCAGATCTCCGTCGTTAATCCGCTTCCGGTTCGATCCTTCGGTTAGTCGGATCTTCTATTTTTTTTTGTTGGCGGCGTAGATCTTCGTGTTTCCACATGTTCTAGTAACTTACTGTTTAAATCTGACGCTTGTTTCGAATTCCGATTATGCAGAGTTAAAAGGATGGATCCGATGGATATAGTTGGAAAATCCAAGGAAGATGCTTCTCTTCCAAAAGGTTCGTCCTCTCTTCCCTCTTTCGATCGATCTATCTATCTATCCATTGGTTTTTGTGGATGCTTCTGTCAATTAACCCGCATAGATAGTGTATTTTACTCTTTAGAATTTGCAGTTGAGGATTTATTGGTGGGAAAATTGAATATATTTTTGTATATAACCTAAACCAGGATCGCTCTCTCAATTCAATGATGAACATAAACCATCAGAAACTGTTTTACGTGTGTGGAATCGTTTAAAATGTTAGTTTCTGCTTCAGAAATTTTCTGTAAACTAAGACATATGTTTGTTCTTGTTATAAATTCAGCTACCATGACGAAAATTATAAAGGAGATGTTACCGGCAGATGTTCGTGTTGCTCGAGATGCTCAAGATCTTCTCATCGAGTGTTGCGTAGGTAAGTAGTAAGATCAGTCTTTTGCTTTCCTTAATAAATATACAAAGCCGATCAATGTTTCAGTTTTATGAATCCCTTCTAACTAAACTGAGGTCTATTTGTATTATGGCAGAGTTCATAAATCTTATATCCTCAGAGTCTAACGAAGTGTGTAACAAAGAAGACAAACGAACAATCGCTCCTGAGCACGTACTCAAAGCACTACAGGTTCAGTTTTACATCCAGATTGTACATCCGTGTCAAATATATACATGTTTTTCTCGTAATCCTGATGTTGTTCGTCTGATTTGTACCTGAAATAGGTTCTTGGCTTTGGGGAATACGTCGAAGAAGTCTATGCTGCTTATGAACAACATAAATATGAAACCATGGTAAATTTTGTTACACCATTTACTCAAATTCAGAGCCGAAAGTATATGAAAAAAGATAATCTAATCAGTTTTCTTGTGTGTTTGCAAATTGTGCAGCAAGATTCACAGAGGAGTGTGAAGATGAACAGCGGAGCGGAGATGACGGAAGAGGAAGCAGCAGCGGAACAACAGAGAATGTTTGCAGAAGCTCGAGCTAGAATGAATGGAGGTGTCTCTGTTCCTCAACCAGAGCAACTAGAAACCCAACAGTCTAGTCTACAAAGCTAATCAAGAACAAGCCTTTTTTTTCTTAGTTAACATTTATCCTTTTAACTCTCTTTTTTTCATAGCATTTCTCTGTAAAGTGCAAAATTCGTCGTCGTCTTGGTGTTGATATGCTCTTTACATTTTTAACTTAGTTTGTTCTCTCTCTCTCTCCTTCTCTTGAATTTAAAAATCACTTGGTGATTCAGATGTAATTAGTAAGCATTGTCTTGTTTCTTTCAAATAATTTTACTGAAGCGTAAGAATACATATGGATAAGCCCAAGCATAAAAATCCTGAATTTCTGTGACTCTGTTTAAGCCACAAAAGTTATCAGTAAGAGACAAATCCCGATATTTTTGGTCGAGTAACAAAAATAAATGCTCTTCGGAAGAAGAAAAAGTGGAGATGCGGGGTATCGATCCCCGTACCTCTCGCATGCTAAGCGAGCGCTCTACCATCTGAGCTACATCCCCATTGATGCTACAGTATTGTATATTAATGTAAAATCACGTAATTACTGTAACGAGTGAGAATGAATTTTACTTGTGAGCCTGTTGAGTTTTCAAGCAACACAGAGAATGAAACCAAGGACCATTATTCATTCATCAAGTATTTTCGTTGTTTAGCTATGTAAAGTGAAGCAATGTTTTCAAATCAAGCAATTAAGCCAAGAGCCATAGGAGGAGCTGGACCACTCTCGGATTGAAATGTGTCCAATGAAAACCTTTTATTATCAGTGGCATAATTTTTGATTAGGCAAAGAAGAATGTATCTATTTAACTCTCGCCGACATTATACGGACTTTTTTGCTTTTGTCAAACATACAGACTTGGTTTTTGACTTTATAAGCTGTCTGTTATTTTATCCACTAGTGGTAAGTTTTTTTATTTATATAATAACTAGATCATTTTCCTGATCGAATCAGAATCTTATAATAAATATTTTTGTTTTTAACATAGCTATTAATTATTAATTCTATTAATATATCTCATCTTTTTATATATTTTTCTCGTAATTTTTTACTTCAAAAATTATATTATTTTTACCAATTTATTTGTTCGTCAACAGTCAACATATATCTTACATATTTTTGCTGTTTCAGTTTAATTAAATCGTACTCTTAATAATGCAATAATTTAATCCGATTTTGTTTTTCGTCTATTTTTAAGGTCATTAAATACAATTTGGTTTTATTCCACCGTTGCGACGAGAGAGGAGCACAGAGATCTCTCATTCGTTTTTCCCGGAAAATCTGGGAAATAGAAGAAAATTTCCATCGATCTTCCTCACAGAAATTTCGACTCTATAGTCCACGAGTTTTTTTTTTCACCTATCTTTTCGTTAATCTCTCAACGCCTCGTCGTCGTTTCCCGTATTCGCTTTTTCTCCCTTTTTTTTTTTAATTATCTCTCATTCACCGTTCGATTTTCTCCTACTTGATGTTGAATTCTGATCAGATCTAGTTTAGAATAGTTAGGATTTTCCCAGAGATTATGTTTATGGATCGAGAGAGAAGGAATTCTGGTCGAAATGGGACTCCAGAATACAGCAACGGAAAATTCCGCGATGATAATGGTTACGGATTCTTAGATCGATCGGAAAATTGCCGCGAGAGGAGTCCTTCCAGATCCTCTCCCTCGAGGATCCTTCGGATCCCGTCGCCGACTTCGTCTCCTCCACCGTCCAGTTCCTCCCCGCCATTTCATGGTTCCAGCTCGCCCGAACGCGGCTATATCGAGCACCGCGTCTCGAAGTTCGACACACTCGCCGGCATTGCCATCAAATACGGCGTTGAGGTAAAATTCTTAATCTTCCGCTAACGATCTTCAGCTTTTTTCCCCCCAAATGTCGTTAAATTGTCGATGAGAGTAGGTTTGATGCAGCAATGCTATTTACAGCTCCAGAATATTTGAACTTTCGAATGTTGTTGCGTAAAACTGACATTCAACGGTATTTTAATCAGAAACAAAAGTAGAATTAATTGGTACTGGTAAAAAGCAATAATATTAAGAACACATGAGGGAAAAGTTATGCTTTTGGTGCTGGATTGTTCCAAATTGTTCTGATTTATTTTCTCTTCTTTCCATTGACTTGTTCAAAACTTATGCTTTAGGTTGCAGATGTGAAAAAGATGAATGGCCTTATCACTGATCTTCAAATGTTTGCTCTCAAGTCTCTCCAAATTCCGTTACCTGGGAGACACCCTCCTTCTCCATGCTTGTCTAATGGCTCCTTAAACCATGGGTACTATATGCTAATGCCATCTTTACTTTGCAAATTACATATTTGATATGCGAGCTAGCTTTAGCTTCCAGTTATGGATTCTTATAGCTCTCTAGGAATTGAGACAAACAAGTAGAGCCCTGGTTGTATTGGACTGAAGCTGCATATTCATTATCTTTTCATGGCTCTGATACATGGAATCTTATTTGCAGAGAGGGATGTTCATGCCACGAACTGGAATCACCAAACCATGACAACCACGACGTGTTTGACTCGTTTCAGTCTCTGAGACTGAAATCTTCGGAAAAGAAAGTTTCTCCAGCCATGTACTCACTGCAAGGTTATTACGGGCTAAAACCAGCAAACAGAACAGTCTCTGAAGGAGGATGCTTCGAGATGGGAACTTACAATACAGAAACTTCTCACCATCATCTCTCAAGCAACGGTGATAGTCAATACCTCAGACCTTTCCCATCTACAAACGCTCCCTTAAACCATCACAGGAAATCAAGAAGCTTGGTCAATGCACTTTTAGAAGAGCTCAACCAATCACCCGACAATAACACCCCTGAAGAACCAAACTCCGATAAGTTTAGAAGAAGACGCCAAAAATCCGAAGCCGATTTCACATCCCGGACTCCAGAACTTCTGTTGAAAGAAGAGAACGGTAGTAGCAATGGAGGGTTTTTGTCAATAGCAGGAAAAGGCTTAGCTTTGAGATCGAAAGCCTCAAGCAGAACCAATCTAGCAGCAGCAGAATCCGAGACCGGTAACTTCAATCCGGTACCAATCAACTTGATGGATGCTCCGGTTTCAGACAGCTTTAGCAGTGTAAGAAAATCGTCGAGTGCATCGAGTCTACAAGATCCAGACGGTAACAGCAGTAACGGTTCATTGTCTCTATGGCCAAGTTCGAAATGGAGCTTGAAACCGGATTTGCTTACACCTGCGGCTATTACGAGCTCTATCTTTGATGGGTTACCAAAGCCTTTAACAGGACGGAAAAGCAAAACGGCTATGGACTGAGAAAAAAGGTCAGTTTCTCGTTATTTAACTGTCCCATTCTTTTTGAAACTATACAATTCAAAAGCAGAAGAAGCTATTTAGGCCTAATGCGGAGTAAATAGAAACGTAAAGAGATTAGAGAGAATTTGAAGTGGAGAAAGAAAAACTTCCAATTTGAAAATTACGAAGAAGGAAGGAAGCTTGCGATAGTGCTGTAATGATGGGTTTTTTTTTCTTCTCTTTTGTAAGTTATGAATATATTTTGTACCATTGTGGGGTTTTCATCGGCAAAATCCGTAGCGTAGTCAAATCTTCCTTTCTTTTGGTTCTTAATATAATGAACATTGCCACACATTACTAAAAACTGTATTTCATGCATTTATTGAATAATGTTTTTATTCTTAAAAAACAAAAAGGGTCTTGGTATGGTGCCGTAGTATCCTCTCTTTATATTATCAAATTTCTGATATACAATCGGTAATTAACGTACTATCCCAAGTTCCCAACTAATAGACGATTGTTACTTCTCCTTTTTGTCTTGCTCGACATATTGATATTAGTATCATTGTTATAAACAGAAAGATAAACAAATATGTCGGTTTGGGAAAAAGAAGAATAATGGATTTCCGGACGTGTTATGCTGTCGGATCGTTGACTAAAATACCAATGCAATGCACCGTATGAACGTGTTAGCCCCAGCGTTATGACAATCCCAGCATCAATCAATTGAACGCGTCTATTAGTGTAACATGAGTATAGTAATCTACTGTTTGAAAAAGATAAGGTTATTACATCATAAAATTTGACAGCGTGTCTAGTTGAAATGAAACATATATAATTATATTCGAATCTTCTCAAACTCACCTCTTACATATATCCAGAAGGCATTATACAAAAACCGACACTTACCGTCACTGCTGCACCAACGCTTTCATCGTCGTTATCAACAACACCACCTCTACTTCCGCCGCTTCTTCTGCCACCGCAGTTACCACTACCAATGCCGGCGTAATGCATTGGTGGTAACGGTATGAGCTGTGACAACAGCAGCAGAGGTGACGGCGGCAGAAGCACGGGTTCTCTAGGCGGTTGCTGTAAAAATTCAACAATAGTAATATTTATTCTTGGTTTGGAAAAAAAATGTCGTATTTAATTTCGAGGTTCAACACTTCAATGGTTTAACATTTTTTCTCACAGCTAAACAATGGAATCCTATACTCTGTTTTTTTTTTTTTTTTTTTTTTTTTTACTAAAATGGCTCTTTTCTGATAAAAGTTCCATATTCGAGAACAAACTTGTATATATGAAAGTGGAAATGTTTTATTTCTAGAAAAGTCTTTTAGGTCGTTCACTTGATAGAAAAAAAAATGTATGCTGTGCTTTAACTGGTTTTGGGTCTTCGTTGCTATATCATTCCCACATCTTTAGGAGAAAAATTACAGCCAAAACTAATTCTTTTTACAGATATACATTTTGCTACAATGTGATCTATCAATTTCTGTTCAATAACAATCTTCCATTATAATTCGGCTCACGCTTAATTTCTAGCGACCTCTTCTTTTTTCAATTTTCCTTTTACTTGATCATAAATTTGCACACTGTCAAGCTCAATGTTTTCCTTTTTCTCTAATTCAAAGTAACTTAACCCAACATAATGCTCAATCAAATATCAAATATGTACTAAATGGTTAATCTTTGACACACTGTGCCTTTCAAAGAGAGATTGAACAAGAAACATCTAACCTGCAAACTTCAGAGAACTAATCATAAGCTTCTAAGCCTGAGTGAGTTTAATTCCCAATGACTGTGGACTCTCCGATTCACATCTCAAACCCTGAAACGAGCACGCAGCATAATTGAGATTGTCGGTAGTTAATTGAAGCATAAGGAAACATGAATCTCTGTTGCATATACGTTCTCAGACAGAGATGTGTAGTGAGCTACAAATCATTCTTAAACTCTGAAGAAAATATCAGGGCTGAGCCGGTTTTAGCCAATCGCAACATCACTAATCTCAGATAAGATTTACACTTCGTCTTTAGAATTAAAGAGTAAGAAATAGTCCAAAACAACAAGAGGAGTCTTTACCTTAGAGATCAAACGGAAGCTTTGTCTTACAAGGCGGTCATCTCCACGACTCCGGGGTTAACATTGTAAACCTAGAACTATAAATATCAGGAAATCAGATAGAGAGACCAACGAGTTCTAAAGAGGACATAGCGACCAGGCAGATCAAGATTCAAGAAGCAATGATATGAGATTTACGGGAGCTGGAAATCTCATAGATTGAACTAGCCCATAGAAAAGTTTGGCTGAGAAAATATATTTTTAAGACACAAAGAGGAACCAATACCTCAAGTCCTCAACAAACTTCAGATAAGCAGTGCACAAGGTATCAATGTGGATATCATTGTAAAACCATTTGAGTGGAGTAGCAATTATCTGAAAATGCATGCTTCATGCTCCTGCTAAGGCTTCCAGGCAGGACATCCTAGGTCATGCACAGAAGAGAAAATTGTCAATAACAAAAAAGGGACCATTTCGGGAACCAATTTTAAGAGAAAATTAACAGACTTGCAGTTTATAACTTGGAATTTCACAGTGCATAACTATTGAAACCACCTTAGAACCTAGTTACTTCTGCGTGCAGACACTACGCTTCTTGGGTGTGCATTTTTATAGATCGTGACCAGTAAAGAATTTTTTAGTTAGATGATTCTTATCAGACGAAGGTTTCACTTAATGTATAAGGACTTGAAAGCTCAAAATCGTTTAACTAAAAAAGCTCTGTATAGTTATTGGCGTAGTTAAAGGATCTAAGGAACGGAAGTACTAACCAAATTAGAAATAAGGGCATATACTGCGAAGAATATGATCCGGTGAAACATTTGTCAGGAAAAATTACAATATACAGCAGTATCCTGACAATAGTCTGCAGAGTTTTGATGTCCCTGGAAGTGAATACACCGCCCAGAAGAGTACTTTATGGAAGGGAAATCAGTCTATTTCGAACTGTTTGATAACAATCCAGAAATAAGAAAGTCAGTGACAAAGAAGGCGAAACATGTTAATGAGACACTAGGAGTTTGCTAATCGCAGTGTGAAAGAACAACCGGAAGGTAGAGGTAGTCTACCTTAGCTTCAAGATGGCCTCCAATGAGCTGCAGAAGGTATGTCTGGCCGAGATGGCAGCATGTGACCTTGAATGGCAGACTAAAATGTTAACTATTGCAGGGAAACGTAAAGGATCTCAATTGCACCTCTGCGCGGCAAAAAGCAGATAAATTGATTTAGATTGTCTTAACCTGAAATTGAAGGGCCAGCTCGTAAGTTATTAGCAGCACGTTCATAACTCCCTGTCCCCGAAGGTGGTCTTTCTGGAGGTGGCTGAAAGAAACCTGTCGGTGCAAATAAGATCACCAATATCAACTAAAAGGGGAGCTGGATAATGCACACAGGCAGTCATGTATATGAACAAACTGACATACAAAGGTATGAGATATTTCTCGCATATACATACCGTCTGTAACTGTATGAGAGCCTGGAGGTGGGTATCTTCCACTTATCCAGGCTCCATTTTTAGTATCTGCACTACTTCCATTTAAAGGGATCCGCCATGGTTCCTCGTTCATATGCTGCCTCCCGTTAACTGGCTGAGAAGGAAAAGGGTAAGGATGAGGATAAGAGGGACGTTGGGGTTGTGATTGAACAATCTGGCTTGGAAGCGAGAAATGACTGGATGGTGCTGGGGCGAGATTCCTCATCATTGGGTTTTGTAGAAAAGAGGTATTGCTCGGCTGTTGATTCTGTAAAGACACTTCATGTTTAAAAAATTCGTCGCCATCATGGACAAGATGTACAAATCAGAAAACGAGAGAAGTCAGAGGGCTTACATTGGCAATGCTAGACCGCTGCATAGATATATGGTATTCATGTTGCAATGTTGGATTTGGGGGAGCAAATCCTGGTTGAAGTGGTAATGAAGGATGGCTAAGCATGGACGGTTGAGCTATTGATGATTGTGGAGGTGGAGGTGGCAATGAAGCTAGTGGTGGGGGTGAACGTTGTTTGAAGGGAGGTGGTTGTAGTGGCAGCTGTGGTGGAGATGATGGGGGTGGAGGTGGAGACGAGGGTGGAGGAGAAGGAGGTAGAGGAGGGGAAGATGGAGGCGATTCATGAGGTACCGGAGGAGAATCCTCTGGAAAAGGAGGCAGCTCAGTTGCAGTGGTTGCAGCCGGTGAGTCCTCCTTCGCTTCAGTCCCACAGACATACGAAGGTTCTTCTACTCTCGGCTGCGAAGACGCAGCTTCCATTTCAAGCGCACCATTGACAGCCTCTAAAACACATTGAGGTTTAATACTCAAACTATCATGTGCCTCTGACTTGCCTAAAGCATGGACTGGATCGTCGATATGCGTGTTTTTAACTTCCAGTGATGTGCTTGGAAGATCCTCATCTTCTTCATCATCTTCAAAAGTGTGCGAAGATAAAAACCCAGGCAGTTGAAAACTCGCATTGCTGCAGAAAAAAACTCGTTAAAGGTTTAATCATTAGTGCTTCAGAATCGCACATTGTCTTTAACAAACAATTCAGTAATATAAATTTCCCACTATGTTTCTACCTTCCCATCAACAAAATATATCAAATCAGAAAAAACGAACAGATATTATAAATGTAATGCATACCTCCCATACTCATCAACAAGCATCCCTTCCATTTCCCTTAGAGGATCATCTATAGCACGCTCAGATCTAGAGGGACGTCGTAAGGTAAACCCAACAGTTGAATCACCACCAGAGACACTAATATCACTAATATAACGACGCAGAAGAGAGTCTGGGAAAATCTTCTTCTCAAGCCACACCCTCAACACCTAGAAGAAGCAAGAGATCACTGACTCTGAACAACAAAGACATGAGAGTGTCCTCGAAAAGAACAGAAAGCAAAAGAACCTTGCGACATCGATGACGATTTTCACGAGCACCAGCCCCTGGAGGAGCAGCAGCACCTAAAAGGCGTGGCAAGGCTGCCTGCACAGTAGGAATATACCAAGCGCCAGCTTTACCTACAGAAGATTTCATATGCATCATGAACTATGAACTTTTAACTTTATTTATACATACGACAAACAAAGATATCTATTTGAGATCAGACAGAAATAAAGCAACAGTAAAAAAATAACGCAAGCGTTACCTTTTTGGCTATGGGAACATTGGGTGATCGAATCAACAAGAAAGAACAAGTCCACTTTACGGTGGAAACGAGGCTCAGTTTCCAACTTTCGTATGAGAAGTTCCACAACCTGGAAACACACAATAAAAAATTTCCAGATCAAACGCTGTTCTAATATTTCAGACATCAAATTACTTTTGTAATTGATTCTTCATTTGCTGCAGCCTTGAGAAAGAGGAAGCAATAACAACAAAATGAAACTAAACCGGAGGCAACACATTCAACTTACCTCGCTAGCAATCCCATACTTGGCACACTCAATTGCCTGGCGTGTTGCTCGTGCAATACTTTCTTTAGTTCTGGACAAGGTCTCTATCATTCCCTCAAAAGAATCTCGAGAAATCGCAGCCTCAGTGGCAGCATCCCCAACTGACATATGCCCTAAACTAACTCTTATCTCTTCGTTCTCTTCAGTCTCAGGTTGGTTACTTAATGAGGTCTTGGGAACATGATTTGATGGAGTCTGATTTTCTTGATGACCCTGACCAGCAACCGGCATGGAATCACCAGCAGAAGATGAAACATTCTGAACCATGAAAGGGCTATGACTTCTCACATGCGTTTCACCAATGCTAAAGAATGTATGGTCTGTATTCACAGAAGGTGAAGTATGTGAATGTGCTTGTTTTCTTTTCGCTTGGGCAGCTGCTATCAGATCCTTCATAGATGAAGAAGAATCTGGCATTCCAGAACTGATCAATGGAGCAGTTCCATTTTCTTGATTGACATCAACCCTGTAAGAAGAAAAAACACAAAGACTATATAAACTCTAAGTGAAATAAGAATATATCAATGACATAGGGAAATACAAAAACATACATGCCAGCGGATAATTTCACAGAACTGTCTCTTGACACTCCAGCATCGTTCAAACGAGTTGCAACTTTCGGAGTGTCTGTTAGTTTTTCCCTTAAAGCTGGTTTGCTTCTCTGTTCTGCTTTCTGAGATTGAGAAAGGCTTACTCTATCAGAACCAGCCACTGCATCCTTAGAAGAATCACCTTGACATTTTTTGGGCAACCCAGCACCAGAGACTTTTGCAATTTTATTCTGTCCTGCCACCTGGTCCTTAGTTGCAACCAACTGAGGGGGCTTCTTAGGGGATCTCAAGATTTGCTTGACATTCTTTGGGGGCAACTTGATGACTGGTGTTCCCATAGACGAGCTGTTTGAAACGCCTTCCACGCTATCTGGCATTCCCGCACCAGAGACCTTCACAGTTTTATTTTGTCTAGTCACCTGTTTCTTAGAAGAAACCAGCTGAGGAGATCTCAAGGTCGGCTTCTTAGGAGATCTCAAGGTCGGCTTGACATTCTTTGGGAGGACCATGGTGACTGGTTTTCCAATCATGCTATCAGGTAGTGCAAGTGACGCATCCTTGTTATTTTTACACAGAGATACTTTCCCTGTTTCAGCACTTTCTGCAGATCCAGCTAATAGCTTCGGTTTTATAGAAATATCGAGGGACGCCTTAGCACTTTTAGGACCATCTGTAGACGATGAAGTAGCTTTGGGAGCATTAGTATGTCCTCCATGCACCGGAGTCTTTGGATCTTCATCATCATCTTCGTCATATATATAAACTGCCCTCCGTCTCTTTGGAAGCTGAACAGCTGGAACCTTCACATTGCCAGTAGAAGATGAACTAATCTTCCGTTCTGGATGATTAGTCCTCTCTTTATCACGACATCCAGAAAATGAGGAAATACTTGTGTGCTCCACTGTCTGTTTGCGACGCTTTGTATAAGAAATCACTTCCTTATCAGATTGAACTTTTCCTCCCCGGGCACTTACCCCTAACAGAGTCTCACGCTTTAGACTTGATACAACACCACTAGAACCAGATCCTTCTGGTTTGCCTTCACCAACAGGAAGAAGATGTTTGCTCTTAAATTGACTTTCGTCCTTTGCATCTTCAGACCGTTGCCTCTTAACAGCACGTTTACTTTCATCTGTTTCATCTGCTCCTAATGCAGACTTTCCTAGTTCACTTTCAAGCCTCCTTTTCTTCCCCAAAATTCCAGTGTTAGAGCCAAGTGCACACTCTTGCTTATCACCACAGATTTGGGCACTAGGTTTCTCTTTCACCAACTTTTTAGAGTTAGTAGAGCTAGCGATGTTAAGATCCGAAACCACCTTACTGTCAAAAGATTCCTTTTTACTGCCCTTTAGTTTCTGGTTAGGAGCAATGACTTTCTTATCTGTAGCAGCTTGACTATCAGGCACACGTTTGGTCCTAGGAACCTCATCTTTGCGTCTTTTATCCAAGTCACCCGCTATCCTCTTTATTTTTCTCTGGCCGTTGACCGAATTCTTTCCAGCACCATCACAATGCTCACTGCAAGTAACATCATCAATTTTTCCAACAGAATCTGCTACCTTTGAGGTAGGTTCAGGTGATCCGTGCTTCACTGGAGATGTCTCTTCCTCACCTATGCCAGGCTTTGGCTCTGCACCATCGTTTTTGACTAATTTACTAGCTTCTATATGATCTGTTCCATCCAATATCTCAGGCTTTGTCAAACTAGGCTCAACAGCATTCATAACAGTTTCATTGCCCAAAGTATCTGACTTAAGATTCTGCGACTCGTCAAATGCAGCGGAGATTTCCTCCACAGCTTGTGCAAAGTACTTGACTGTTTTACCTTGACATCTAACTAGTAGTTTCTTCTTTGTCTCGCTAGTAAAAGCTTGAATATCAGGTGGCGTAACAAATGCTCTGCATTAGAGGAAGATAACTTGGTCAACCTCTAATATCGAGAAAACAAAACCACACTCAATTAACAAGGGGAAACAAAGAAATGCTGTTGCTATCAGGGAGGGGACTACCTAATTACGGTTACATGATGATTATGATTAGACGAAAAAAGCATATAGCTTTCTAAGTCATGATAAGAGACATCTCAACCCATCAACAATTAGTAAACACAGAAGAGGCCTGCTTACATTTCCTTTGTTCCGAAGAAGTGAACAAAGTATTTCTTAGGGTCCGGAGCTTGACCCCAATCTTCAGGCCGGCCAATCTGAAACTCAAACCATTCAAACAGTCCCACGCAGCTAAATCAGGTTAACAGGCTAACAGCGATTCATACAAATCAAATGCTCAGAACATAGAGGATACTACATAGCACAATAAGCTAGAGGATTATGCTAATGGCTTCAAAATAAGGTGAGACATTCAAGGAGGAAACGGCGCATTGGAACTATCCAGAATTTCATTTTGTCCATCAACATAACGCCATATACTAAACACACACAACTATCTCTTGAAGAGCCAAACTAACCCCAAAAAAGGATGCATGTAACAACTAATAGAGCCTAGCGAATAGGCAAAAACGAAAAGGAGCAGAAGAAAAATTTCATGATCATGAACCAAAACGTAAAGAAGGGGACGATTAACGTCTCGAGAGAGCAGAACACGCACCTTAGCAGGCCAAGCAGGAAAGCCTTTGACTTTGGCAAGAACCAGATCACCTAGTTTCAACTCTCCTTTCGCTATGGCTTTGCTCCCTCCTCTTTTGCGCGCGGGAGCCATTGACGAGACAGGCTAAAACCCCTAATTTTGAGCTCAGATGGAAAAACCGAAGAGAATCGCTAACTCCAATCGAACCCAGAGGATAAATAGGAAATTTCGACTCTTCACCGGAGAAATTTTCCGCCGGGAAAAAACTCACTGAGCGATGAAGACACTTAGGGCATCAACGTAAGGAGCAATGGCGATGAAACGAGCGAGAGGGAGAAGTAAAATCGGTGGTGAAAGAGAGAACGAAAGGATTTAGGGTGAAAAATCTCCGTCGGAGTTTTTGTGAGATGAAGCAACAGAGAGAAACTGGTTTACTCACGTCGCCGCGTTTTCCTCTCCCTTTTCCCTTTTCACAATTATCAAATGCGTTTGAGGAAGATGATTATTTTTTCCTTTTTTATTTATTTATATTTAAATCGATTTTTCACTTAGTCAACAATTACCATTTTCTCACAATCTCAAAACATCAATGAACCAAGAGTAAAATCCTTTCTTAGTCTAGACAGTAGACACATCGCAAATGATCAAGGAAACAAGAGCTTGTATGTATACTCAGCTGGGAGGAGCAGAGACAATCTAATGGCTATTGGAATCTGATGATGGGACTCATAACTACAATCAAACAAATGATTTTAACATAATATCATGTGTTTAACAACTGCATTAAACATTCTATCAATTTAATTCAAGGAATGTGCATTGATTGAGACGGAAATTGGGATGTAAACATTTACCTAAACCAAAAACAGACTAAAATTAAATTGTATGAGAAAGAAAAAAAAGGTCTGCGAGATTATCCCTCTGCAGAGCTTATCATCATCAATGGAAAAGAGATATCTTCTCAGGAGCAAAACAAAACTGGTAATCAAAGGAATAACATTTTCCTCTTAATTTGTTTCCTAACTCGAACTTTAATCTTTGCTTTCATTTCCCAGAGCATCTTTCACCAACTCAATCGGTCTTTCATCAATCACTTCATCGATAATACCAAACGCCTTAGCCTCTTGCGGAGTCATGAAATGATCCCTATCCATGTTCTTCTCAATCACATCGATGGACTTTCCCGTGTGCTTCACATACAGCCCATTCAATGAATCCCAAATACGAACAATCTGCTTCGTATGAATCGTCATATCCTTAGCTTGTCCACTATATCCTCCTGAAGGTTGATGAATCATCACTGTCGCATTTGGTAGCGACCGTCTTTGTCCCTTGGCCCCTGCTGCCAATAGAAGAGAAGCCATTGACGCAGCTTGGCCTAAGCAAATCGTGCTTATTGGAGATCGAATGTATTGCATAGTATCATATATTGCAAGACCTGCAATTGCAGATACCAACATTTCATGAATCCACTGAGTTTACTAATCATTATTCGCATCATCTTCTCACAAAAGACTTTGAAATCCGATTAAATTCAATTTCCAATCCCATTTCCCGGGAACGGATTATAGATCGAGCTGAAGAACATAGCAATCAAATTGAATCCATGGAAATTGGTGACATTCCAGAGAGATATGATAACTTGAAATCGGAGATGATTGAAGATAGAGGGAGACGAAGCGTACCGGCAGTGACGTGTCCGCCTGGTGAATTAAGGTACATATGAATCGGCTTTGAAGGATTCTCGGACTCGAGGTAGAGAAGCTGAGCCACGACGACGTGAGAGGTATCGTCGTTTATGGGACCATTGATACAGATTATACGCTCCTTGAGCAATCGAGAGAAGATATCGTAAGCTCTCTCGCCTCGCGATGAATGCTCAATAACCATTGGTATTACGCTGTAGCTTCTTCTTGCTACGGCGGAGGTTATCGCCATTGATGATGGAGTCCATAGCCTCTTTACACCGGAAATCATGACTGCAAAATTTCTAGGGCTCCTCCGCTTCTCAGAAAGAGGGGAAGAAGCAGGAGACGGCTAGTGAGTAGTGACGGACGCATTTATTTTCCTTTTTTTCTCTCTGTATTTTATATTATTTTTATTTCATTACTCTTCTCTCTACCGAAAATTTACTGCGGTTGTTTCGAATTTTCCCGGCCAGAACCATTTGTCTGACTGTCACCATCATAAAATTCAAAGAATAACGGAAGAACGTGCGAACCAAATAACAAATACTATAAAACAATACAACGTTATTTGTGCACTAAATGTCATTGTTGCAATTTGATAGGTAGGATCATTATCGTTAAAGTAGGTAAAAATAGATATTCGAGAAAAACAAAATTGAAGCTATACAAGTTAACGGTTTCAGTTCACCGATAGTAGTATAGAAGATTGAACAATTACTTACATATACATAAGAAAACAAAAAAAAAAAACAAAGAAGAAATATACTACTAACCAAGATGATCGACTTCTATTCGTGCTCCATGATTTATATCACGTGACATCAGTGATCGCAATCGTACCAGTGCAAACATTGGGAAAACCAAAAATAACTCCTCTAGGTTACTTGTAGAAAACATACAATATATTATTCACTTGATGTATCATTTCACAGTCGATCAATCATCGTTATTAAACGGAGACACTGACCAAACCATTATACTAATAGAGAAACAAATTTTTAAAAGGGAGATCTCACAACAACGAAACGCGGTTTTGCCGTCCAAGAAACCCGTCCAAAACGACTTTTCTTTTATACAACTCTGAATTCAAATCCGGCACATACGCAGAACCGCCGCTACCACTGCGTTTGCGTTTTGCTAACGCGGCTGCGTCTCTGACACGAGGTAGAAAGTAGCACCCAGCGGATGTACAGAGAATCGCACAGAGTCGACCCCAGATTAGCATAATCATCAGCGTCAGTATAATGATCGAAATCCCAATCACCGGGTCAAACTTTTCGACCCGTGACCCGTTTCTTGCCGGAGACGGTTTCATGTCGGATTTCGCGTAACGGGTTGAATTGGACATCCGTTCAGGACACGTGTCTTTTCTAGAGGAACCTAACCGTTCCATGGGTTTTGATCGGTCGGTGGTTATGTCTCGTAAGTCCTTCGGTTTTGTCTGAATAACAAGGACAAAATATCAAAAACGAATTCGGAAAAAAAATCAATGAAAATATAAATTGTCACATCGGAGAAGATAAATAAAATCCACAAAATATGTCATTGACTGAATTTTTTTTTTCACTTTCGACAATGAAAAAGTGAAAAAGAAAACTTTTTGAGATTGAACGAAACATACCTCTTTTGTTTCCTGATTCATGGCCTTATCATCAGCCGGAGTATTCTTACGATCAGTCGTAAGACTTATCACTGGGAGGGGTTTCTGCGTATCAGTTTTACCTTCAGCCTTCGAAGTCGGTTTCTCTGTTTCCGCGATCGGTGCCGGTTTGATCTCGCCGTTCTTCAGGCGAAACTTCGACCATAAAAGCCACCGACTCCGCTTCTTCTTATTCATCTTCTTCTCACCACCGTCTTCCGCCGCAACCATCGGCTTGTCGGAGTATATTTCCCGATAAAATCCGAAACATCCGAGAAAATACGAAGAGGTGCCGATTTTCCCTCGGTCTCTCTTCTTGGTTTTCGCCATTGAAGCCGAGTTGAAGGAAAGAGAAACTGTGCATTCGTGTGAAGACTTTGAAATATCGCTCGGAGCGGTTGGATTTTATCCCCTTTTTTATTTGGATTAAAATAATTGTTATGACTGTTGACACAGTTTCGAAAATACGCGAAAATGTTTGGGTGAAATGAAATATTACAAAAAAATTGGACTGATATTTTACAAAGTGTTATCAGACGTTATTTTAAAACGGTAAGTGAAAAAAATGAATTATACGAACAAGCACATGTCCTTAGGGTAATCGGTATAATTTGGAATATTCAAAATAGTGACGATGCAAACTTGTCCTTTACTACGCTTTTGTCACCAAATCAGACGAAATGAATCAAAACGTATACAGTAACGAACCACATATTATTCAACACGGTGGGATTGAAAGCTTATGAATTTCATTTTTGTCCAAAAAAAGATAACGAAATAAGTAGTTAGGACGAAGGATCATCTTTGGGAAAAACAAATTAATTAAGTGTCGTAGCGTCCACGTTCCCAGCTTATACGTCGGACCTTTTCGTTTGGCTGTTTTCTCTATGACCCATTCGTATTAGTCCGGATATATCATTTTGGGAATTTGCAAAAGTCATACTGAAACCAATATTATATGCAGATTTTCCTTCTTGTATCATTCTTTAATTTCGTTTTCTTCATATGGACCCACTTAGAGTTTCATTTCATCCCATTCAAAGATGAATTAGTCTTCTATACCGTTCAAAAAATAAACAACCGGGACTCTTATAGAACTATATACTGTGTCAAACACAGAATTATCTAGAATCAAACCAGTTTTGGACCATTAGTTAAAACATATATGCATGTATGCCCTAAGTTATCATTATAATAAAACCATATACTATATATGTACAACCACAAACAAAAACAATATTAAAAAAAATAATAATCTAAAAATCACCCATAATACAACGATCACTTGGTACATTTCACAGTCTTAGAAAGAATTATGAACTTACACCCTTAGTGTGATACCCTTAACGGCACTGAGAATAGTAATTGTCTATCTCATAGACGCTCCGCTTGACCATATCCACCTTCAAGCCATGCTTCATGTACATAGTTAGTGCCATCCTTGGCTCAACCTTTTGACCACTCTTCACATCAACCCTCACCCTATATCGGTAAATAAGTGAAGCTGCTACATATTTCATCTGGTAATACGCAAAATCTTTGCCTACACATAGCCGTGGACCACCGTTGAAGGCCGTGAACTTATAGGCCGACTCACTCATGTATCGGCCGTCTCTTAGCCACCTTTCTGGCCTGAACTCACGACAATCTTTCCCCCAAATCGTCTCCATACGCCCCATCGCGTAAATCACGTATATAACCTTCTCTTCTTTCTTTAATTTTGTCCCATCTGGAAATACATCGTCTTCCAGTACCTGAAAATAGCATACCTGATTTTAGGTATATATAAACCGAACCAAACTAAATTGAATTAAACCAATCTTTTTTTCTTTTTGTTAAAACTACAATAGTTTAAATTCTGATTACTTGTCAAAGAGAATCTCATTTGTACTACTTTCCTTTACATATAAATTAAACAATAAATTTTTAAGAAACAAATTCGGGAAAAAATGTTTCTAATTTGGTCTCAAACCAAATAAACCGAACTTACGGGAACCGAGTTTTCAAATAAAACTTTTAATGGTTTCTTGGGAAACAAGTCAAAACAGAGCATAGAAGTACCTCTTTGTGATCTACTGGAACAGAAGGATACAATCTGAGAGTTTCAGACAAAGCAGCTTGAAGATAATCCATTTTCTTGATCTCTTCTGGTGTGAACTCAGGATCATATTCTATCTTATCCTCTGTATCTCCATGATAACCTCTCTCCTCCAGAATCTTGCAAATCTCCACCATAATTCTCTCCTCCACCTTCGGATTCTTATCGACTAACCAGAAAAACCAGCTGAGAGCCACAGACGAAGTGTCTCTCCCGGCAAGTATGAAGTTCACACAAATATCTCGCAAGAACTTATTCGAAAAACTCTCTCCATTTTCGTCGCGTAGACCCATAAAAATAGTCAAGAGATCTGATCTCTTTGATGATTCGGTCTCTAAAGACAGCTCTGTCTTCCTCGCCCGGATAACTTCCTCAGCGAAATCATCGACAGCTTGTATTGACTCCTTTAGCTTCTTCTCTGTTCCCAAATTGAGAGACCTCATGAGCTTCCACACGAACGTAGGCATCACAAATCGAAGAACTGTTGCTTCTGTCGCATCCTCGAATGCTTTTGCGAAAGGAATCTCTGGTAGGTTTGGACCAAGACAGCCTGGATCGACCCCGAAAGCAATCATACATATATTATCGAACGTTAGTCTTAACAAGACATCTTGAAGATCAAACTTTTCAGAAGTCTCTAGAACCGGCAAGAGTCTATTGTGCACGAGCTCGTGCAAAGAATGACTGGTCAACTCCCTAAATTTAGCCGAATGGAACTCGACGCTCGCTATCTTCCTTTGCCGCTGCCACGTCTCCTGATCCGCGTTGAATATTCCGTCTCCGAGTAGGTCTCGGACAGTCTCACGGAAGAAAGAACCTTTGGGGTAGATAGAGAAACGGGTCTTCAGAAGATGCTCGACGTTTCTTGGATCGCAAGTCACGATGCAGTTTAAGCTACTGAACCAAGGACCTCTTAACCGGAAAGTCCCGTCTTGGCTGATAAGAACCTCAGAGAGCCACTCGTAGAGGTTTCTTCGAACAGCGAAAACCAAAGAAGGAAGCATCCCGAGAAACGGCCAAATGGGCGTACCTTGATGTTTCTTCTGGCGCAAGGAGTGTATGGTGACAAACGCGAATACGGCAACAAAGAGCTCGAGAATCTGAACATCTCTCAAGTAAAACAGCCTCCACGAAATCATAGCCTCATCGGTTCCGGAAGAAGAAAAGAAAATGGAAGTAGCCGTGAGATTATAACAAGAAGAGGTAGTAATCATAGTGACGAAGAGGAAACAAAGAAACAGAGTATGTTTTGTAAGAAATGAATGAGAGAGAGAGAGATTGCAAATAATGGAAGTTGTTAGTTAATCAGTGGGTGAAGAATGTGAAATGCGAGAGGAGCGAATATAAGACATAAAGACGCATGAGTTTCGTGTTTGGCATTCAATGTGAAATTCGGTTTGATTTGGTGAGCTAAACAGTTGTTTGTTTTTCTTTTCTAACGGTATTTTAGTTTGTTTGGCTCTTGATTCTCGTGTTTTGGTTTTGGGCAATTTGAAAGGACGTATCTTTTTTGGGGAGTTAATTAGAAAATTAGTTCTACAAAATATTAAGATCAAAATTAGGGTTTTATAATATGAAAATTGTGGATATAAGAGAAGTTGACACGGGTGGGTGACTGATCACCAGATTACAATTTCTTATCTATTTGGGTTTTGTTTTGGTTTTGTAAAATTGTACACACTTGGTTTATTTATCAGTATTAACTACTAGGCAACAGAAGTAGTACTATTAGAGGCCCATTGAGGCGCATTCTTAGCATACCCATAATGTATTTTCAACAGAACTGAAATATAAAACGGATTATTTTGTTATAGCGTGAGGTAGAAAAGCGAAGAAGAATATCTCATGAAAATAAAAAGAGTGAGGCTAAAAAAGACCAAAAAACACTTTGGCCCTTTTGGGGACGACATCCAACGAAAATAAAATAAAGACACTATAAAAAAGGAGAGAAGTGGGGCGTTTTCTCATCCACTCTTCATTTTCGATTAATAATTGAAAAGAAACAAACAAAACAAAAGAGAGGAGAAAGTATTTTTTAGACGATGAAGAGGAACGCACTTTGGCTACTATGCGTTCTGGTGTTACCGGCGATAGCCTTTGGTGGTAGGAAACCGGAGAAGAAGGTAACGTCCGGGAGGAAGGAGGATGACTTAGTGACTGGTTTGCCCGGTCAACCACCGGTGAACTTCAAACACTACGCCGGGTACGTGGATCTCGGGCCTATACAGAAGCAAAAGGCACTTTTCTATTGGTTCTTCGAAGCTCAACAAAACTCCTCTCGTCGTCCTCTCGTCCTTTGGCTCAACGGAGGTCAGTTTTTCTCTTTTCTCTCCTTCTTTTACATAAAAAGGATTTGTTTCACGTAACAATACAAATTAACTTCGAAATGACTTTTAGTTGAGAATTTCATTTGTTTGGTCTTTGACTCTTTGGTCACTTACAATTCCAGCTTCCAAATATACATACTCACTCGGTTAATTCAACTACGATTAGAAATAATTGAGTTACTATTAATTCACAGTAATTTGAAATTAATGTAAATGTTCCTATTCGATCTTATTACTTTAAATGCTGTGTCTGGCTCACTCGATAAAAATGGTTAAAAACAACTTTCACTCGTACTTTTCTTTTTGTTGTTGCTAAATGCCTAATGAAGAAGTGAATCAAGTGATAGGAAATGATAGTTGGGAATGACAACAAATAATTAACTAATAACTTTTTTTTCTTTCTGGAACGCACTTTAATAATTTGTACGGTGGAATTTGCAAGTTCTTATCTTGCCTCTTTAGGTCAATAACTTGTCGTGTTGCAATCAATCAATATATAGTAGTACAATATCAATCTATCAAAAAAAGAAAACATATAGTAGTGCATGAGTAAATTTTACAGAGAACATATATAGTTATATGAAATACTATCACGCTTAAGTAGTTATGTTTCACTATTTGTTTGCAGTGTCTATTTTTGGCATCACTTTTCTCTTGCATAAATTTAAAATTCACAATATTGAATGAAAATAAAAGTTTATACATGAAATTTGCTATTGCAGTGTGAAGTAAAAGAAAAGCTAAAAACTGTGTTTCATATTCTGTTAAAGAAATTCCGACGTATATGGTCCGGCTTTCTGACAGTTATTTGGAGTTATATCATTAGATGTCTTCCTTTTTTCTTTCTTTCTCAACATCCAATTGGACCAATTCCAAATCTTGTTTCTAGACTGTTAAAGTTTTTCTTGTCTTCTATCTTCTTTCTTTCTGTTTTCTCGGTAGTTGCATTAATTTAACAAATTTACTGTACACTACTTGTCTTTATTAGCACACGGTTCACATACCAATATTTCGATATTTAGGGATACGAGAAATACCAACCTCGTATTTTTAAATTGGTGCTAGAGATTGGATAAGATGAATAAACTCGATTACAAATAGGACGTTACCTTTATATCCATGAATCCAATGAAATCCGAGCAATATCATAAGTTATACTACCACTTACTCATAACTCATAAGAGCATATGAGACTTCAATAAAAGTTCTCTCTTAATACCTCGTAATTATTTTAGTTTCTGTAAACAAAATTGATAACTTAATACTATCGATCAACACCACAACTTTTCGACGTCTAGTCTTATTTATTTGTCAAACAACCATGTGATTTCTTTTTTTCCGAATTAATTTATGTCTGCCAACTCCTAACTTGATTCTTTTTTAACTCCATTCTCTTAAATACTTTCGTCATGTGTTGTTGTACGTCAATCTTTTACTTTGGTCAAAGATTCTGTCTACTTCAAGATTTCCCAAAATTTAAAACGCTTTAAACAAATAGAATTCTCTTTGAAAATAGCAAGGCATTTATTGCCAGAAACGTTTCCAAGGCTACAAAATTAAGAAAATCACCCCAAGAATAATTCAGCATTATCGCCAAATTTTAGAATAGGACAAAATGTTTTAGGACCACGAGCATTTAACTATGATAGTGAATCGTATTATGATTGTCCGAACTCTCTTTTTCTCATCACTGCAAATTTACAAGTATTTACAATATCAAAACTAAACAAAATTCGGATATTAACCATGCAGGACCTGGTTGCTCATCGATTGCCTATGGAGCTGCCCAAGAACTAGGCCCTTTCCTTGTTCGCACCAGCGGTCCCAACCTTACCTTCAATAATTTCTCATGGAACAAAGGTACATCAAATCAATATTCACATACTATATTTTGTATATACAAACATTAGCTGTGGTTACATTTTCTTGTAAAAAATGTTTGTGCAGAGGCCAATATGTTGTTCTTGGAAGCACCGGTTGGGGTTGGGTTCTCGTATACCAATAACTCAGAGGACCTTCAAAAGCTTGGGGATGAAGTTACCGCACAAGATTCCCTTGCTTTCTTGATCAACTGGTTTAAGAAATTCCCCGAGTTCCGATCCAGCGAGTTTTACATCACCGGAGAGAGTTACGCCGGTAAGCGTGCTTAATCCGGTTTTACACATGGTTTTTATTTTTATTTTTGGTTAACGAGTTATAAAAATCAAAACAATAGTAATTTCGAATTAATCTTGATCAAATCTGTAAATGTATCACATGCTTTGATCTTCTGCTCTCAGGTCACTATGTTCCTCAGCTTGCGGAGGCAATATACGACAGGAACAAGAAGGTTGCAAGAGACTCTCACATCAATCTCAAGGGTTTCATGGTATGCGCACTATGAAGGTTACTTGCGACATACGGAAGCAATGATACAAGCAAACATAAAAGTATATATTAATTCTTTTAATTGGTGACTGCGTTTTTGCAGATTGGGAACGCGGTGATAAACGAGGAAACAGACATGGCAGGACTAGTGGACTTCGCATGGAGCCACGCTATAATATCGGACGAGCTCCATAGCAACATCCATGGCTCGTGTCTTTTTGAGGAAACGCAAACCACCACCAACAAGACCGTACTATGCTACGAAAGTATCAAAGGGTTCATGGAAGCTTACAACGACATCGATATATACAGCATCTACACTCCCGTTTGTCTCTTGTCTCTGTCTTCCTCTTCTCCAAGAAAACCTAAACTCGTCGTGTCTCCTCGTCTCCTTACGTCCCACGTACGTACTTTACGATTACATTTATGACCTATTTGCGATATAGAGTAATGTCGTTTTACAATTTCTTCTTGGCTTGATGAATTTTGATGGTGGTTGAAATGGTTATTAGGAATTGTGGGATAAGTTGCCGGCCGGGTACGATCCATGTACCGAAGGCTATACAGAGAAGTATTTTAACCGGAAAGATGTGCAGACCGCACTCCATGCTAACGTTACAAACCTTCATTATCCTTACACTCCTTGCAGGTTAGTCCTACTTTACTTAGAATTAATGTTTTAAGGTAAAACAGTCCGGTTAACACTTTGATCATGTGTCTAATGAACAAAGTATATACATATTGTGATTCAGCGGGGTAATAAGGAAATGGAGAGATGCTCCTTCCACCGTGATTCCCATCATCCAGAAGCTTATGACCGGTGGCCTCCGCATCTGGATCTATAGGTATCTCTCTATATATGCTTTTTTTTTTTTATTGTTTACAAAATAGTTCACATGAAAAAGAACGAAAATTTAGTAAAAGTAAACATATCTTTAATGTAGTGTAAAAAAATATTCAACTTGTTTGGTTCATTTTTTTGTTACAGTGGAGATACAGATGGGAGAGTTCCGGTAACATCTACGCGTTATAGTATAAAGAAGATGGGACTTAAGGTGGAGTCACCGTGGAGGTCATGGTTCCACAAGAGTCAAGTGGCTGGATGGGTTGAGACCTACGCCGGAGGAATAACTTTTGCCACCGTGAGAGGAGCTGGTCACCAGGTTCCGGTGATTGCTGGGCCGCAATCACTCTCCTTATTCTCTCACTTCCTCTCTTCCCTCCCATTGCCTTCAAAACGCCTATAATCAACTACGTATTACGTACCAAGTCATAGCATGTTCACGTTGTTGCTGCTGTTTTGAAACCTTCCTTTGGTACTTTATCAATTGGTTTAATGAGTTTCAATTGATCAATAAAAAACAGTTTGAACTTTTCGTTTGTTGGAATCAAAAGTGAAATTATTTATGGTCATGAATTTTGGAGTTTATGTTTAACTAAAGAAGATACTCAATGTTGACCGTTGATTTAAGCTAGTGTTTCTTCAAAGTAAACACAGCCCACTAAGGCCCAATTGTACACAGTCAACTTGAGCTGTGTCACTTCTCTGTTGTAAACGACCCATAGAGAGATCTTTCCGACTGTAAGCACTTGCGATTCATCATCTTCTTCTTCTCTACCCGTCGATTCAAAGAGCAACGAAAAGAAAAATGGCGTTTGCTAAAATGCTATTTCTTTTCAGCAAATTTCAGCAGGTAAAATGAAATTCTCTGTTCTACCAATTCTTTTCCGATAATTTTTTTTTGAATTTTTCTTTTCTGAGCTTCTCTTCGGTATGGGTTTTTCGATGCTGGGTACGAAGAAAGCTCTAGTATTGTGCAGGATTTAGTCTTTTCTATAAAAAAAATATTAGATGCTTCCTTTAAACTAGCTATACGCTACTCTGTTTGCAGCATGTATTAACTTCGAACATATGTGACTACTATGAATCTGATTGATTCTCAACGATTCGCTTTCTTTCTGTAATTGTAGTTTGAAGCTTCTCAGATGATCAATAGGCATTGTATATAAATCCGAGAAGTTTTGATGTTATAAAAGTGTGACTGAAAACCTCAATCTGCCCCAAATTTCACTCTCTTTCCGATGACAAAAGTGCTGAGATTTGGTTTCATTCTTTCTTTTTGTGAGGTTTCCAGGGTGTTGGTGTTCTAGCAAAGAGTACCACTTTTGCTAAGAGTCCGACGCAGCTGCAATTCGAAGCCGACATTAACAAACTTTTCATGTTCACAAGGTTGGTATTTTTGCTTGTAATTAATTTTCTCTTGAGCAAGATTTTGTAGTGTTTCAACTAGGAAAGTCTATGGTTACTTATCTGTTTATCGACTGTATTGCTCATAGAGATTCTCTGTGTTATTTAGTTATAATCGGTTGGGACGAGATGCTGAGGAGGCTGATGCAGAAGAGATCATTGAGATGGCTGCTAAAGCCACATTACCTGAGCAACAGAAGCAAGTACAAGAGAACATCCACTCCCAACTCCAAAACTTTTCTTCTTTCATGGACGAGATTCTTCTTCCTCATATCGACACAACAGAGAAGAAGCTAAGCGAGCCAGGATCAGAATCTAGTCAAGGTGAGTCTTAAGAGTATGTGCAGTGAACTTATGCGTTATCCAGTCTCTTGTTATCTTAATAATTTCTCACTGATTCCTTCTTCAGCACAGTTGTTCCTGAGACTAAGCCGCTTAAACTCGCTGAAGTCTCGCATCGGTTAAAGGATCGAATTGGGTACACTCTGGAGATCAAACCATCCTCAATACCTCACAAAGATGCTGGTCAAGGTTGTTTCATAGAAGGTGAAGCAGATGTTGGAGCTGTCTTAGCCTTTTACCCTGGTGTGATTTATTCTCCTGCTTCCCACAGATACATCCCCGGGTATCCAAATGTCGATGCACAGAACTCACATCTCATCAGTAGGTATGATGGGACGGTGATAAACGCTCAGCCTTGGGGTCATGGAGGAGAATCAAGAAAAGTATGGAACGGCTCTTTCACAACACCTGAGAGCAGGACGCTTGAAGGTTTTGGTAACGTTGAAGACGTTCTTGAAATGAGAAATCCGTTGGCATTTGGTCATTTCATCAATCACCCGGGTAAAGACATGGAGCCTAATGTCATGGTTTGTCCGTATGACTTTCCTTTGTCAGAGGAAGCGATGCGAGTTTACATTCCTAATGTAGCTTTCAAGGACGCTGGAGAGGCAAAGATGATGAAATTTGGAAGCTTGAGGTTTAGGAACCCCAGTGATAGCAGTGTGGATGTTCTTGTACTGAAGACGCTTGTTCTAGTGGCTACAAGAGCGTTGTGCAATGAAGAATTGATGCTGAATTACAGGCTGGGCAGTGCCGAGAGAAGACCGAAGTGGTATACTCCAGTTGTTGAAGAAGAAGAAGAAGACTAAAGAGGATGATGGAGCTTAAATCTCTGGTTTTCTTTTTGTTTGTCAAATTTCTTGGGGACGAGTTTCATAGTGGGATAAAAAAGGGGATTTAATTTAATCTAGATACAACAAAACAATCAATAAAACAAGATTATCATTCTCTCAAAATCAAAAAAGTTGCAACAGATTTAGGAGGAAGTAAAGGGATGGTCGGAAAACTCCTAAAATCCTAGACTCTGTCCGTTTCACAGCCCTTCATCTTCTTCCTCCTCTTCTTCAGATGGCTTAGTTGCCGAAGAAGCCTGGACCAGCACGAGAAAGCAGTTCTTGCCCTGCGTCTTGTCCCATCTTCACCATGTCTTCAAACACGTATGGACCTTTCCTTGATGTCTCAAGAACTGCCACAAAGATTGAACAGATAAGAAATGAATCTGTATTATTATCCTCTCACACAGTGTTTATGTGGAATGTTTTCATACCTCGAGTACCGTCAGGGGAAGCAACCAATCCTCTGAAGAAGCAGTTGCCGTCTTCGTCCTTGGCTGCGTACCCAGCAATAGGAGTACGGCATGAGCCATCTAGCGTTGTAAGAAACGCTCTCTCGCATGCAACCGCTAGTCTTGTTTCCTCATGGTTCAAGGAGGCTAAGTAATTTGCCTACAGATATAAAATACCAAATATATCACAGATGCAAATCCAAAGGTCCTATGATCAGTTTAAAGTAGAAAATCCTCAGATTTAGATCGAAGGAAAGATTGTTCACAAGAGCTTGACATACCATTTTATCATCACCGGTTCTACAGGCAATTCCGATGGCTCCTTGAGCAACAGCTGGAAGCATTTCATCGAGAGATAAGATAGATGCGACATTCTCCGTCATACTCAATCTCTTAAGACCAGCTAGTGCTAACAGAGTTGCATGGACCTTTCCTCCTTGAAGCTTCGATAGTCTTGTCTGCACATTACCCCTAAAGTTTTCCTCAACCTGCAGAGACAATTGAAAGAAAGATAAACCCATCCGTAAGAAACTACAACTGATAATTAGATATCCTTAGACAACATGTGAAAACTTACAGCTAATGAAGGATATTTGTGGAGTATCTGTGACTTTCTCCTGAGAGAAGCTGTTCCAACAACGCTTCCAGCCGGAAGCTCGGCTAAGGAAGCTGCAGTGAGACAAATAAACGCATCTCGAACATCCTCACGCGGAAGGTTACAAGGCAAAATCGTTTTCTCCGGTAGGTAAGTAGGGACATCTTTCATCGAATGGACAGCTATGTCGATATGACCGTTTATTAAGGCCTCGTCTATCTCTTTGGTGAAAAGCCCTTTCCCACCAATATCAGCAAGCGGCTGAGAGAGAATCTTATCACCGGTGGTCTTGATGATCTCAATGTGAATGGCTCCATCCTCAGTGAGCTCCGGGTGTTTCGACTGGAGCTTTTCACGTGTCTCGTATGCTTGAGCAAGTGCTAGAGGACTGTCCTACATAGTGAGAGTCTATAAGCCCAAAGACGAAGATGATAAACGACGCATCAGAGGCTTAACTCAATTCACCACCCAAAATCAAATAACAAAAGACAAGATTTGGCTACTAGAAACAGAGAAAGCTGATCTCTTTGATCAGAGTAGTGACTGTTGAAGCAAGAACGAAAAAATCGAATTCTCATCTCCAAGCAGCTAAGAGTTGACATTGTCTATTATAACACCCTCAAACCCGGGAAATGGATCCGACCAGAGGACCAGCCAAAATCGATAATTTGAATCTTAATTAAGGAAACTAAGGCCGACCCAGTTTGAATTCGATCTCCTATGGACTCAAAAGAGATCATTTGACCATACGAGAAGCAAAAGGAGAGAAATTGTACCTTCCCCTTGTGCCAATTCTGATGATTGCTGTTCGGGTCTTCTGTTCAACAGCAACGCAAGCTCTAACGGAGCCGTAAGAGCTCTGTTTTCGGAGACATTTAGATAGAGACGGAGAGGTGAATTGCGGAAGCGAGAATCCGATAACGGAGACAGAACCGAGGGAGCAGGAGTTGACCGGAGAAGAAGGTTGGCGCGCGAGATTAACCTTGTGAGCTTGAGGTAGAGACGAACAAGCGAAATCCATGGATTCAGGTGGAGGAACTGCTAAAAGAGAAGTGAGAATTTGGGAATGGTTTGAGGAGATTTAGAGGGAAAAAGAAAGAGATCAGAGACTTTTTTTAGCTTCAAATGGAGTTGATAGCTCTGCCGGATTTTGGATAGGATAGTTAGATTTTACGGAAATAATCCCATACGAATGACACACGCCTAATAACAGTGTTCCACTACCTTTTGCACCGTCCATTTTTTAATTTTGTGGACTTTTCCTTATTGGGCCCTTAGTATCTAATGGGCTTAACCCAAGTTCCTATGCACGGGTCGGGTCCTGACGGTCGGTCATCGTCGTCAATAATGGGAATCGAATATAAAATTAGGGCAATCGAGAAGAAAGAGAGAAAGTGAGATAGATCGAAATCGAGAGAATGTCGTATCTTCTACCGCACTTGCACTCCGGCTGGGCTGTTGATCAGGCGATTCTCGCCGAGGAAGAGCGTCTCGTCGTCATTCGATTCGGCCACGACTGGGATGAGACCTGTATGCAGGTATGTAAACGTTTCTTCCTCTTTACCTTTCTGTTTGATTCGATTTGTAGTTCCTAGGTTCAAAATCAGATCCTCTCTTGCTGGAAAATTTCGATCTTTTGTGCCAATTGTTTCAGAATTGTAGCCATTCGTGTGTTCTTTAGCCCGGAACTGGTGGAAATTAGTGAAATTAGTGTTCACTTGCAATCAATAAAGTTTTCAATTTTGTGGTCTCTGTTTTCGTTTTTTTTTCCGCTGATTCTGTGATTTTGATTGTTGTAGATGGACGAGGTACTAGCATCTGTTGCAGAGACGATCAAGAACTTTGCAGTGATATATCTGGTGGACATAACAGAGGTTCCAGACTTCAACACAATGTACGAGCTCTACGATCCTTCAACGGTCATGTTCTTCTTCAGGAACAAACACATCATGATCGATCTTGGCACTGGTAACAACAACAAGATCAACTGGGCTCTCAAGGACAAGCAAGAGTTCATTGATATCATCGAAACCGTGTACCGTGGTGCGAGGAAAGGTCGTGGTTTGGTGATTGCTCCAAAAGATTACTCCACCAAATACCGCTACTAACCGAGTTTCCCACCGCATTCTAGTTTGTTTAAAACTGTTGCTGAAAAACTCTTATGTCAGAGTGATTCTGGTCAGTTGAAATATCCAATGAACGTGTTACATTGATCATTTCTGATTCCAGTTTGATTGCTCTTTCGGCTGTGACTTTTATGTATGTAAGTGCTTCGAACATAATTCAGTGAAATGAAACTTTAGAAGCTGATGTTGGGGTTTATGTATAAGTTTATCTTCTTGTATTTGGTCTGAGTATTTCAAGTGTTTCTCCCACGGAGTAAAATGAAACAACATCTGCAACGAAGGACTGTTGATGGTTAAAGCGATTAAAGAGTAGACCGATATACAGAAGCCAACGGATGTTGAGAACCTACAAAAGAGAAAAGAACATTACAAATCCTAACACCAGTAGCCAAAACAAAATCGGCCATGTGGTTCTGTTAAATTCTTTAGAAATAACGTATTCTTCAATAGAAAAATGAAACTTTTCACATATTTTGGATCCAATTTCAAATCGAATCAACAGAAATAGCTATGCCTATGAGGGATAGTAAAATTTTGGAAAATCATAGGATTAATAACGAAATTAATAAGATTAATCAATTTAGCAGAATGCATTAAAAACTCTAAAAAAGTCCATAGTCTAGAAATATTGGGTTTGGGCTACATTTCAGAAAAGTGTAGCCTTTAAAGTTTAAAGGAAGAAGCCTCTTTTTTGTCGGCTTTTGATCGGCTGATTCTTCAAACGGAGGCTCGCTGAATTTTCTTTTTCTCCATTTCCGTTTTCGTCTTCACACAAGTTTTAGGGTTCCCCACAAGTTGATTCGGATCGGAGTCTCTTGTGGCTGATCGACAATCAAAGAAGAAAGGCAATCATGTCTAGGCAAGTCACAAGGCTTCTCGGATCTCTGTCCTCTAAAGTTCGTCGTTGTTCAACCGGCGGCTCGGAGGTTTTTCCGTCATGCCAATCACTCAGTTCGTTGACCCAATCTCGCTCCTTCGCGTCGGATCCTCATCCTCCTGCTGCGGTCTTCGTTGACAAAAACACCCGAGTCATGTGTCAAGGCATCACCGGAAAGAACGGGACTTTCCACACTGAACAAGCCATCGAGTACGGCACCAAAATGGTATAATCATCAATCATGATTCTTTTCTTTTACTGTCCCGGATTGAGAAAATTTCCCTATAGCTCTTCCTCTTCCTAAAGTTTGGAATTGTGTATATCTCCATAGTGCAGATTATGATTTACTACTGAAATCATAGCGAGAGGACATTGGTTTTTTTTTTATCTCATTCCTGCTAGATAAATTTTTAGTGTCCCCAACAAGCTCTATTGAGAAATCTCTTATTGTTCTTCTGAAATTTTGAATTGGGTGTTTCTTCATTGTGCCAAAATGAACAGAAATACATGTTAATTTAGGTGTACTCTCGTTTCTAGATGAACAGAAAGATTTTAATGCAATGTGTATGTTGTTGTTATGGTGTAATAGGTGGCAGGAGTGACACCGAAGAAGGGTGGAACAGAACACTTGGGTCTCCCTGTTTTCAACTCTGTTGCTGAAGCCAAGGCTGAGACGAAAGCCAATGCCTCTGTGATTTATGTTCCTGCGCCTTTTGCTGCCGCTGCCGTCATGGAGGGTATAGAAGCTGAGTTGGATCTTATTGTGTGCATTACTGAAGGAATCCCTCAACATGACATGGTAAATATCGTTCTTCATAATGCTTTTGATTACGTTTGCTTATCTCCTTTACTGCGTAGGCTCGCATAGTCATGTAGTTGGCTCTCTCTGAGTTGGAATTTGGGATGTTTCTTGTTTAGGTACGTGTAAAGCATATGCTTAACAGTCAGTCGAGAACTAGGCTGATTGGTCCAAACTGCCCTGGGATTATCAAGCCTGGTGAATGCAAGATTGGAATTATGCCTGGATACATCCACAAGCCTGGGAAGATTGGGATTGTCTCTCGTTCTGGAACCTTGACATATGAAGCTGTATGTTCTTGGTTATTTTTCTCTAATTGAGTTTTTGAAGTTTATGCAAACAGATTTTGATAAAGAGCCTTATTTTTTCTTAGGATAACTAATGGTTGATTTCGTTTAAACTGTCATGCAGGTTTTCCAAACAACTGCAGTCGGTCTAGGCCAGTCTACTTGTGTAGGAATTGGTGGCGATCCTTTTAACGGAACTAACTTTGTCGACTGCTTGGAAAAATTCTTTGTTGATCCTCAAACAGAAGGTAATGTTTTTGAAACCTTATCTCAGTTCTGTTTCATGGTTATCCGAATTCATTGTTTCCACCAAATATATTAATCTCTTAGGCCGCATGATTCTTGTTTTAGAAGTCTTCAGTTTCTTTAGTTCCTCTCTTTTCTTAGTGTAGTTAGTAGCTTTAAACTGAAAGAAGTTGCCTTTTTCTGAAAGATTGAAACTAAGAATCAGCTGGTTGTTTCAGGTATCGTTCTCATTGGAGAAATCGGAGGCACTGCAGAAGAAGATGCTGCAGCTTTGATCAAGGTAAGATCACTCACCACTGTGAATCTCTTTCAACTCGGTCCATCTCTCTATTCTCATTTTTCAAAGTAAAACTCAACTTTTGGTTCTTGATGAATATAAACAGGCAAGTGGTACTGATAAGCCTGTGGTTGCTTTCATTGCTGGACTTACTGCTCCACCTGGTCGTCGAATGGGTCATGCCGGAGGTATTTTCATAAGCCATATAACGCCCTAACCGGATTTACTACTTTTGTTTCGTTGCGCTCACTCGCTTTCTCTTGTTTCTTTCTCTATCCACAGCCATTGTTTCCGGTGGCAAAGGTACAGCTCAGGACAAGATTAAGAGTTTAAATGATGCCGGAGTGAAGGTTGTTGAATCTCCTGCCAAGATCGGAGCCGCAATGTACGATCTCTTTAAAGAAAGAGGTCTTTTGAAGCAGTGAAGTGAATTTCACTATCTCACGCTTTTTTTTTTCCTTCTTGAAACTTTCAAGAAAAAAGAAAACCCTAATTCCTCGCCATTGATGGTTACACTCTTTTGGGTTTGTTTTGCTAAATCGATGTACTTTTTTTTTTCAATGGAAGAGTGATGATAATCAAAATGTTTGACAATAAGAAGATAATCACTATTTTTTTACATTTTAAAAGCAAACTCCGTCGCCTTGAAGAAGATAATCACCTTTTGTTTACATGTTGTACTGAACATAACTCAAATTGGTCATATTCAAATGATATCTTCCATTGCAAGAAATAAGAGTGAAGCAAATATTCTTTATCTAAATCAACTAACACCCAAGTAATCAGAAATGGAAAAACAATATTATATTACAGTAAGATATGATCAAAACAAACACAATCATAATCTTCACTATCATCACTACAATCCATCCCAGTTCCAAGCAGATGTAATAATGTATAAATCTTTTCGGAATCAAAGTGTGTTTTGTCATGAGCTATGAATCTATGTGGCCTTCCATTCAACTCAATAATACTATGTCCTGCAACTTTCTTCACTCCATTCTTCTCCATTGCTTCTCTCATAGACTTCGCCGCACCAAACCGCTTGTTGATCGCATAAACGTTTGCTAGCCCGACATACCGTCCATCATTATCCGGTTGCAGCTCTATAAGCTTCTTCCCAACTGTCTCAGCAAGCTCCAAGTCCCCATGGTTTATACAACCGTTAAGCAAAGCACCCAACATCGAACCCGTCGGTTTTATCGGCATTTCGGATATAAAACCATATGCGTCTCTAACCAAACCAGCTCGGGAAAGCACATCGACCATACAAGCATAATGCTCGGTCGTCGGCTCCGCTCTGCTTTCCTTGAAACTCGCGAACAAATGCCATGCTCCTCTCACTAATCCGCCATGAGAACAAGCAGCAAGCAAGCACAAGAACGTTATCTCGTCCGGATCAATCTCGGATTCTTGCATCTTGTGAAACAACTGAAGCGACTCTCTTATGAAACCGTGACTCGCAAGCCCTCCAATCATAGCATTCCACATAAGCACATCCGTTTCCTTAACAGATACTCCGCGAAACACGCCCCAAGCGTCTCCTATCGACCCGCATTTAGCATACATATCAATAAGAGATGTCCGCAATATAACTGTTAACGGCAAACGCTCATCGAGTATATAGCGATGTACAATCTTCCCTCGGTTTAGCGCACCCAAATGAGCACAAGCGCACAAAACACTAACCATAGTGACTTCGTTTGCCTTTGATGAGCTTACACTCATCATCTGATCGAAAATCTCAAGAGCTTCGTTATAATCACCGCTTTTTACATACCCATCGACCATAGAACTCCAAGACACGACATCTCTCTCAGTCATATCGTCAAACACTTGTCTTGCCGAAACTACATCTCCGCATTTGGCGTACCCGTCCAAAATCGAGTTCCAAGTGACCAAGTTCTTAACCGGCATTTCATCGAACAGTTTGCGCGCGGAAGCTCTGTCTCGGAACGTGCCGTACATGTGAAGAAGAGAATTGCATATGAACAAATCCCAAACGAACCCAGTTTTCACGACGGAGGAATGCAGACACCCACCGAGTTTCCTGTTCAAGAGACGAGAAATCGACTTCAATAGAAACGGATACGTCATGTGATCTGGTGAAAACCCGGTCCTCAGCATCTGGGTATACGCGCGGATCGTTTTCTCGGGGTTTCTGGTATTGGAGAAACCTCGTATTACATAATTCCAGCCGAAAGCCGGAGGATTGGATAGTTTCGATAGGTATCTGTGAGCGTAATCGACGTCGCCGGAGGAAGACAGAGCAGAGAAGGAAAGAGTTCGAGAAGCGAAAGGTTCTTCTTCGGAGAGGCCAAGTGTGATCAGGAGGGCGTGCATTTTGTTCAGCTCCGACATTGATTTGCATCGGTGAAGCAGAATCGAGTTTGCGAAGAGAGATGATGATTTGAAATTCATTCGCCCTCTGTACACTACATTGGAGCGAAACGGTTTAAATTCACGATTCCGATCAAATCAATTGTAAAAGAACCCCCCAACTTTTAAGTATTAGGACAAATTATCCGTCCGTGTTCTTTATTTTCAATTAACCCCAACATTTTAAAATGTAACACAACAAACCCCTTTTGTTATTTTTCGTTTTCTTTCTCATCATCATCATCTCATATACATACAAGTAAATACTCAAAAAGAAAAGAAAGGAAAAAACTAATTAACACACAAATAAACAAAATGGTGGATTCCAGCTTCAAAATGTCACCACCCTCGTCTTTGTGCAGCTTTGTTCCCGGCACAATTGGACTCTTCACGGAGTTACTCTCTTCCATCCCAAATCTTGCTAACACTTCATTTGCGTACCTCCTTTGACAGATAAATATCCCACTCTCGCCAAGGAAATGTTTCATCTTTCCTAAATCAGACATCTCAAACTCCCGCATCATTGAGCTCTTAAACTCATCACACATGCCTCTATCATTTCCAGTAAATATCAAGTCGTCAACATAAAGACTGACAACTATGAATTTACCTCCTTTTGCCTTTGTGAACAATGTGTGCTCGCTGGGACATCTTTCAAACCTTTCTCGCATGAAGTAGGCCTCAATTCTGCTGTACCAAGCTCTTGGCGCCTGCTTGAGCCCATACAAAGCCTTTTTCAACTTGTAAACTTTGTCTTCTTCCCCTTCTTTGACGAATCCTTCAGGTTGCTGCACAAACACAGTTTCTTTGACGAATCCGTGCAAGAAGGCACTCTTCACGTCAAGCTGGAACACCCTGTTTCAATTAGAAGCGCTTTCCTCATTGTCTACTCACAGCAGCTACAATAGGAAGCCTTCCGTCTTTTATTAGTCCTGTAAGATAACATGATGTCCTCGAGTCTTCCACAAACTTATTTGCAGCATCAACAGCAAGGAGATAGTTCTTGTCTACTGACACAGGAAATCTTCCTGTATGAATCATCTCTCTGTAAACCCCAAATCCTTCACTGATGTTTTCACTTGACAGAAAAGAGCTAACAAGCGACAAGTAAACAGCTGAATCAGGCTCCATTTCCTTCTTTTCCATCTCACGAAAATAAGCCAAGGCTTCACTAGACCAGCCACACTTGCAAAGACCCTGTATAAGTGCCATGAAAGTAATTCTATTTGGACAGCAATCTTTGCCCTTCATTTCATTCCAACGAGAGACTGCTTCACTAGGCCTTCCACTAGCGCATAGCCCATGGATTAAGCTAGTGTACGTAATAACATCAGGGTCTCTCTCATCCTCATACATCCTCACAATACAAGACATGGCTCGATCAATCTCACCCTCCTTGCACCATCCATCTATCATACTGTTGTAAGTAGCAACAGAAGGTTTTAGTCCTTTCGCTACCATTTCGTTAAACAGGCTATCAGCTTCAGTAGTTCGAGATGCTTTGCACAGAGCTTTTATCAATACATTATATGCAATCACGTCAGGGGAATGACCATTGGCACATATATCTCGGAATAACTCCAAACCTCTATCTAGTCCCTCATTTTTTATCAGACCATCAATTGCAGCAGTGTAGGCAACCATGTGACCAAAGAAACCTTCTCTAGCCACATCATCAAGGTATTTGCAAGCATCCACGGCCCTTCCATTCTCACAGAGCTTTTTAACAAGGAAGGTCGAATGCTTTATCCATGGCTCAAATCCATAAAAACGCATCTTTTTCAGCGCGTCGAGTGCTCCTGCAACATCGCATTGTTCAGCCAAGCAACCATAAATACAGTTAAGCGTGAACTGACTTGGTTCAACTCCCATTTCCTTCATCTCCCCCAAGAGTATCAAGCTTTCTTCCGACCTTCCTTCTTTACACATCCCCTCGATTATGTTGTTGTACATCATAAGAGTTGGAGTCACACCGTTGTGGACAATATCATCTAACAAGCCCACTGCCATATCAACCTTATTAGCTTTGACTAAGAAATCAATCACAATGCTAACAGAATCGGAATCTGGGAGAATTGCTTTATCATAATCCTTTAGAAGCTTGATAATCTCAGACACACTATCCGACTGATGATTCCCCATGAGACTCTGAATAAAATTGTAAGCATCTTGCACCAAATCCTTCCTAATAAACCCCTCCAACAAAGATCTGTAAAGAAGCATCACAGAGTTTGTATCTATGTCTCCAACAACCACTTCTGTTATCCGACTTAATTCACTCTCTTCAGAAAATGAACGTATTAGCTTCCCAAGTATCCCTCTATCAGGCGAAATTCCCGACTTCTTAATCTCCAAATACAAACTCAGAGCCATCTCAAGATCCTTACGCTTGCAAAGCCCTCCCATCAACACATCATACAAAGCAATATCACCATTCATACCCATCAGCCGCATTTTCTCAAACAACTGAAGCGCTTTATCAATCCGAGACTCCTTTACAAACCCATGAATCAAAACACAATACGTCTTATAATTCAACTTAACATGATGATCCTCAAGCATCTCAATCAACTCAAAAGCCTTATCCACCTGACCCCACTTACAAAACGATACAACCAAGATCGTCGAGATATGTTCATCAAGCCAGCCTCGACTTCGAATCTCGTTGAAAACGCTTAACGCTCTATCAGACTTCTTAGTGTTGCAGTAAACCTGCAAAACTGGCGTCAGAGTATACTTATCGAACTCAAACCCACAATCTCTCATCTCCTTCAACTTCGACTCAACCAAATCAACCGAGCTTGAATTCGACTTCGAAATTGCTTCTAACAAACAATTATACGTGTAAGCATTCGGAACGCAAAGACCCATCTCTCTAACCCGATCAAAAACAGAACTTGCTTCTTCCACCAGCCCAGCATTGCCCAGGCACCGAATGAAGAACCCTAAAGCTCCAGGGGACATTAAACAGCGAGAATTTAGAACATCTCCAGCCAAAGCTTTCAGTGAGGCATTTTGTCGAGCACGTGATAGGATAGAAGCCATGGCGTTGTAAGTATACATGTCGTTTCTAAATCCTTCCTGTTTCGAAGCCCAATTGAAGAACAGATAAGCCAATCCCCACCTTTTGAATCCATTCAGTACCGTTTCGACTACCTTGGTGTTGAGCTCTGGAGCGAGTCTTAGAAGCTCAGGGTCGTCAGTGGAAAAAGGTTGGCTTGTGAAGATCGCAATTAGATTTTGGGCGAGCTTGGATTGACTGGGAGGAAGAAATCTGCTGTTATCTAGCTTCGTAGTGAATGGTCTGTGAAGTTGGCGCTGGCAAATAAGAGCCATTCTCCAGAAGGCCATGAGAGAACAACACAATCATACCAAAAACCCTTTCGTCTATTTGAGGTCGTTAATGTCTGATTCTTCAGTTAAACGATGCCGTTTAAGGGAATGAAATAAAAACTTGCGAATAAGTTGCTATAAAAATATGATTTTGATCATCAATTTTCTTCATTCTATGATTGAATTAAGTTTTTTTCTTTTGATTGAATTATTAGTTTTTTTTAAGGCTAATTCCGGTAAGCATATCAGGTTAATATCTTGAATTTCATCTTCACTCTCCATATCAAATGCATCTATCTGCTCGAACATTGCACCAAGATCTATGAGTATCTCATCAAGAATGTGCTAAAAAGTATTAACAAGTAAGCTTGTTCGACAAACATACAAAAACTTGTGGAGCTTAGTGTCAGGAAAGAAGACCAAACCTCTTTGGACCGAGATTATTATATCCACCACACCATTGGATGAAGGCATTGATTCTCCAATGTGGTAAGGGAAAGAGATATCACGAATGAGAGAGATTAGTACTTAATGTTTCGGTTGATATTCATTCATTGGTTGATGAATTAGAAATTTCTTGGAATTAGTACTCGTCTTGAATTGCTTATCAGTTAAAACAGTCGTTTCTCTTACCAAAAAAGGATAAAACTGTTCAGTTTCTTGATCCCATGTATAAGTTGGAAGTTGGGAAATCTAATTTGAAACGCTAGTTTTCCAAGCGTGATTTTGACTTCGCCAAAGTCAACCAATCATAAAATTTCCTTGATTATGGTCTTTGTATATGCAATTATCCATTTTCTCTTGATATAACAGGAATAAAATCATATATATAGAAAAAAAGGATTTTTTATTCTAATAAGATTGATCAAACGTTAATAAAATATCAATTTACGGTTTTCTACACATGAATCACAAATATATTGTCAGCTAATTGAATTCATAAGTTATATCTTCACGTTCAATTTTTTTTATAACATACTGTATGTCACAAATTTCTAATTTATTGACATCTTTCATGCAAAAATGAGTTATAAGTAGATTTAATAATTATTTTGTACTTATTGGTTCGACTAAACGGAATAATTAGTTCAAACATAAATAATTGAGCTTCTTATGCTCGTCATTCTTATTTTTATCATGGCATGTGATATTCATACAAATATCATAAATTAGTAATCGAAACAAACTACAAACACAACAACGTAACGTAAGGTAACATAAAAAAATTAATCGCATGCATGTTTTTCATCTGTCGTGACTTAACAGAAACAATGGCATTGTCCTCCATTAACAGGTTTGCAGTAACCGCCTTTTCCATTGTTGCATCCCTTAAGACACCAACTGTTGCATCTCGGTGTGTCATGGCTTGGGTTGCACTTCCCAAATTTCGGGTGAGTGTTGCAGCACAACGAACCACCTTCAACATCTACCAATGACCACACAAACAACTTTCTATTTAAAACTGAAGGATAAATTTTCACAAATTTCTATAAATACAACTTTTTAAAAAGTGCAAACATTTGACTCTGAAGTCTTGAGATTTGTTGTTTTTTTTTGTTTTTGGTCAACAGCACTTGATAATTAATAATTTAACCTTCAAGTATAACAAAGAAAAGACGTACCAACGGAGAGGAGGACAAGGAACAAAACAAAAGAAAAAACTTTCACACTGGTGGCCATTGTTTGATTGTTGTTAATCTTCTTTTTAGACTTGTGGTAGTATTTAAGCTTGGTTTTGTATTGAGAAGAATGATCTATTTTACTCTTATTTATACCGAATGGATTCTGCATTTAGTTGATAAAAACAAACTACAGTTTCACTTATTTTAGATCTCTAATCTAATTTTAGATTAACGTTTTCTGCTAATCCAATTGTAACGTTGCAGTTGAAGACTATTCAAACACTGTCTTTTAATTTGCTATGACTGGAACATACATAATCTGCTAAACCCAATAGTCTTTTGGACCCAAGTCAGACATTGTACTTGTTTTACTACCTCATCGGAAGTTCAAACTTCAAAAGTTTGTTATCTCCTTCGTCGACGAATCTCCGATTTGACTGCACCGCCGGTGCTTAACTCTGAGCAATCAGCGAAGTTGAAATCTCGTAACCATGGATTCTCCAGCCAATTCACAGAAAACAGGTAAAAATAAAACCTTAGTTTGCTCGTTCACTCTCTTTACGCCTTCTTTTCATTCTCCCGCCGATTCGACTCGTTCCTTTGTTGATTCGTTTCTTCATCCGTTGATTAATCATAGGTTTCGGATATGGTGATTCCTCTCGTTTATCTGTTTTCAATCCATCATATTGAAACTAAGTCATACTGTTAGTCTTGGACTTTGAGAATTTTACCCCAAATTTCTGAATCTCTGTACGTAATTGATGTTGCTATTCGTAACAATGTGTCGTCAATTTATAGTGTTTCTTGCAATTAGTGAGATTTATCAACTTTTTGTCAATTTACATCTTCTCTACGTTCTTCACTGATTTGATGATCCTTGCTTCTTTGTGTATCCTACTTTGTAACAGTTTCGGACGACGAGGAGATTGATTACTCGATCAAACCAGAATTCTATGATTCGGATCTCGACGTTAAAGATGAGCTATGGATGGTTAAGAAAAGAGATGGTCGTACTTCTGATGCCGTTCTTAGCTGTCCAGCTTGTTTCACCACCGTCTGCTTAGAGTGTCAAAGGTGAAGGCAGTTCCCATTTCTTCTTAACAATTTATGATTCATTAGAAACAAATTGTGCATCTTTGGTTTCTTTCTCAGTGTCGCTAGTATTTTGGTGTTTGATCTTCTGCTTGTTCAATTCACACCCATGTGTTTGTTTCCTTAAGACTTGCTAGATCCTGGAATGTTGACTTGATTAGGAGATTTTTTGGTCCATTGTTATAGTCTTTTTTTTGTCCTCTTCAAACCAATGATTCATAGTCTTGTTTAGATAACTTGGTCCCTTTGCACTTCTTTGGGGTGTGTCATGTGAAACTGTATTAGTATTGTTTTGAGTATTCAGATTTTGGAAAAAGTGAGTTGAGCTTTCCTAATAAAACACATTTGGATTGTTTTGCAGGCACGAGCAGTATGTGACGCAGTACAGGGCAGTCTTTGTGGTCAATTGCAAAGTAGATGAAAACAGGGTTCTGCAACACAATTCGACACCACCCTCGATAGTTGGTAAAAGAACGAGAGATTCCGAGAAGCAAGAAGCTGGTTCTGCGGACGGCGAAAGACTTAACCCGGTCGTTTGCTCAACTTGTTCGACGGAGATCGGAGTCTTCGACAGTGAGGAGATCTACCATTTCTCTAATGTCATTCCAAGCGAGCCTTAAAAACTGTTGTGCCGGTGAATCGGTGATTAGGATTTAGTTCTCAGTTGTGTGTTTGTGTTTTACGTTTGGTGTATATTTTATGAAATGAGTCCCCAGCTTTAAACATTTTTAACAGGAAAATAAAAATATTAATTCATAATCTCCAACGAGCTACAAGCCTAGTAGCATACAAAAGTGCAAGTATGATGGTAAATTTTGAACAAATGGCAGAAGATAAAGTGATCCTCTCTGTCTATAACAAGAGATGACGTGGCCTTTATTGATTGGTGGTGTAGCATAGAAAATCTATGAAGGCATCGCCAAGTGAAAACTAGGAAAAGGAGTTAGAAAAATATCTTTGTATGAAACACGAGTTGATTCTCTTTTGGCAGAAGTGTCACTTTCTTGTATTTTCGTCCACAACCCATAATTATTAATTGCATTACAGAAAAATACTTATGAGAATGGGCTCCAGCTGTTTAACACATTTGACAATTGTCAAATGATTCGTACACTTATATAATAAAAAAAAAGCAATATGCATTTTTGGTGATTAGCTAACTAACCATCACTAATCATTTATCACGTTGTGTAGTTTATCATTTGCTTGATTTATAAATTCCTAATTAATCACTCAATCTAACTATTAACTACTTTATAAATTCAATCCTAGCAACTGTAAATTAAATTTTCTCTTATGACTCTAGTTTAGTTCCCCCACCTGCGAGTCGTAGGTTTAATTTTTCGTCTCTGAGAATTTAAGTTGCAACCAATTTTGGCTTTATTACTCCTTATAGCTCCTGCTTAATTAGATCGATATTTCCAGCTGTTTGTTTCAGTGTGTATATACTGTATTATATATATGTTGGGTTATAAAAGGATATCCAGACTCATGAGTGTGTGGGCATGTAACAACGACACATTAGCAATCATTAAGTCATGATAATTGAATAATTTGTTGCTAGGCACGACAATAACTATAACATTATTTTTCTTCTAAAGGTATTTCATAATCATAACGAATACACACACGATAAAATAGTATAATGTGAATGATAGCAAAATCAAGTCATAATAGTAATCGTAAATTCGAACTATGATTATAGAAATTGCACACACGAATGCATATTTATATGTGGAGGGTTGTCATTTTGTTCTATAGACACAAAATAAGACAAAATCACAATTCTTTTAGATGTGAAATTTAGTTATACTAGAACTTAAAAAACAAACAAAATCGTAAAAATAATAAATTGTAATCAGTGTTGGTGTAAATTCTACTCACCAATTAGTTACACCATTGATTGTCGCTTATTCCACTTCTGACTTACTCGACGACTCTCTTTTTCAACTATCGTAGAAAGTGGAAGCAGCTTTTGTTTTCGTTGCAAATTAATTTATTGTATCATTTAACATACTGGCATTAAAATCATATGTTATCACAATCATATGTATTTCAATATGTTTCCGAAGCAGAAACACAAATCTAAAATATTAAAGTACGCTATTGGTGATTTTTTTGGTTCTGGTAAAAAGTTATTTGTGATTTGTTCCAATCCTAGCTGAATTTAATTTGTATGCTCACCCACCAGACTAAGTATCCAATAGTCCAATCCGATTTTTGATAACCGACCAAAACAGACAAGCCCCATCTATTTCGCCCAACCATACCGGAGAATCAATCCTAATGTATGTCCCATTAATATACAGTCGCAATTAAGCGTCGCTCTGTAATTCCATCAACCAAATAAACCGGGGACCCACCTTCTAAACCTAAAACTTAAATTCTCCTGCCGGGTCGTGGACCCGTGGTCCCAACGCTACAGTCAACATCGGAGTCAGCGCGTGAGCTCAAACGCGTCCGGACAAAAATACTAACCTCGCAGAAGTGAGCTGTGCGGGACCCACCAGCCCATGTGCACTCCTTCCTGTCTCTCACCAGCTTCCTCCTTCTCTCAAATCATTTACCTCTTCCTTCTTCCTCTTTTTTTCTCGAGCGAGCGATAGAGAGAAACCTCCTCATAACCAAAACCCTAACTCCGCCGACACTCCATGGCGGACAACGACGGACCAGTGACTAACGGCGTCTTAGTCGAGCAGACGACGTCATCTGTTAGCAAAGGATCTCTAAACGCCGTGAAGAAACCACCGTCTAAAGACCGACACAGCAAAGTCGACGGAAGAGGGAGACGGATTCGTATGCCAATCATTTGCGCCGCTCGAGTATTCCAATTGACCAGAGAGCTAGGTCACAAATCCGACGGCCAAACCATAGAGTGGCTCCTCCGTCAAGCCGAGCCTTCTATCATAGCCGCCACCGGAACAGGCACCACTCCGGCGAGTTTCTCCACCGCTTCTCTCTCCACCTCTTCTCCGTTCACACTCGGAAAGCGCGTCGTTAGAGCGGACGAGGGAGAATCCGGCGCCGGCGGAGGAGGATTGACGGTTGGACCGACAATGGGGACTTCGTTAATGAGTGGCGGCTCTGGTGGTGGGTTCTGGGCGGTTCCAGCGAGGCCTGATTTCGGACAAGTCTGGAGCTTTGCTGCCGGAGCTCCGCCGGAGATGTTGTTTACACAGCAGCAGCAGCAACCAGCTACGCTATTCATCCGCCACCAGCAACAGCAACAGCAAGCTTCCGCCGCCGCCGCAGCTGCAATGGGTGAGGCTTCAGCAGCAAGAGTCGGGAATTATCTGCCGGGTCATCATCTCAATTTGCTAGCTTCTTTGTCGGGTGGGGCTACTGGGTCGGGTCGGAGGGAAGACGATGACCCACGTTAACAATGGTATGGTCTTGTGTATAGAAAAAAGGTTCCAGCTTTTTATTATGCCATTGAAAGTGATTAGAGTACTTAATTTGTGGGTTTCTTTTTCTGCTCAATTTCTTTTATTTTGTAGTTAATTTAAGCTCATTGCTTGTTTGATTAAGGTTTTAGGGTTTAAGAATAGCTGGTCTCAAAATTTGTTTCGGAGAGTGATAGAAAGAGGCAGAGAGATCGATCGATTGATTGTGTACGAAAAGCGCCATAAAGAACAGCAAAAAAACTCGTTGTATGTTTTGGGCTATTGATCTCTATTATGGTTTCTAGTCGAACTATTGATCTCTCAACGATCAAAGGATTGTTATTTTGAATGTTTCTCGTTACTTATATGAATGAGAATTGAAGATAAGAAAAGAAAAAGGTGTGAAGTGGTCTTCCCTTTTTGATTTTTAATTTACCTTTTAAGCCTGTAACTTTGTAATTGCTCTCTTTTTGGTAAAAACTTCTTTAGTGTTGTACATGCTTGGTTGAACAAGGAATTATTATCTATTGGAAAATATCACCCAAAAATACATATTGAAATGTGGGTAATGTTGATCGGGACATACGAGAGGTTCTTTGCGGTTTAAACAGCTCAACCAGATGATTTGGTCCAGACTCAAGTTTAGTATAGACTATAGAGTATAATTCTCTTTTTTTTAGAGTATAATTCTCTGTATCAACAAATAAATTACAACAAAAGTGATAATTGGTTAATAGAGACTCTACCAAACTGAAGTCGATATAGTTTTGAAGTCAACAAAAGATACTACTACTCCTTTGAGAACGAAACAGATTTAGATGCAATTATGATCAATCGGTTTAGAACAGACCAATCGGTTTGACCTGTAAACCACGATTTAAATGCAATTGTGATCCGACTTATCACGAGAAAGCGTAGAAATGATAATCAAATTCATTATGAACCGGTGAAATTAGATCGAACCGGTAACCCTAATAAAAAGCCTGGTTCTTAAATCTTGACATTGTTTTGGAGTTCCTGCAAGGTTTCTACTCTTCTCATCGGTCAATGATTCAAACAAGATTCTTTTCTCGGGGAGGATCAAATCGAACAGACGAGAGATCTCTGTGTTTAGAAAAGTAACTCCTTAATCATCATCCTAAGCAAAGTATAAAGGGGTAAAGGTGTAAACTTTGCTTCTCTCCTTCAAAGTCCACGCGATTCTCACTGTACAGCTTCGGGAAATTTCCAGACTTTGTCGCATTTTCCATAGCTGCAGCCTTCAATTTCAAGTGGTATGTCTCCGATCCTCTTGATTATGTAGAGTTTCTATTCAATTCTTCATTTCTGAGGATTTGACCATTAATTTCCAGAAAACGAGGAAGAAAAACATCAGGAAATTCATGAAATTCGAGTACTAGGAAGTATAGAAAGAAAAAAACCTAAACATTTAGTTGTACATTATCATAACTCCTTGTGTAAGATGTTCAATTTCTCTTGTTTTGTAAGCATATCAATCACGAATCGAATGTTGGATTAAGAAAATTGTAGTTTAGTTAAAAGTAGATCATGAGGCTGATGCAACGGAAGCATCTATCTAGAATTTAGCTGATTTATTACATTGATTGAGATCAGTATTCCTGAGATTTGGGGGTTCAAAGAAAAATCTTTGGTGAACTAATGATGTTCTTACTCGCGTATCTTTCAGGTTTTAGTTAAGATCTTGTAAAGAATCAATGATAGAGATCTTCAGTGACACCGGATTCAGACAGCTAACTCAAATGATCTTGGCGATAATCTTCTTCCACACATCGGAATACATTCTCGCCATAGCCATTCACGGAGCATCCAAAGTAACTTTGAGCTCACTTCTGATCACCAAACACTATGCTTTAGCAATGCTAATCTCGGTTCTCGAGTACCTAGTCGAGATTGTTCTGTTCCCGGGGCTGAAACAACACTGGTGGATCAGCAACTTCGGTCTACTAATGATTCTTCTCGGAGAGATCATCCGCAAAACCGCGATAATCACAGCGGGTAGATCGTTCACGCACCTGATCAAGATCCGCAGGGAGGAGCATCACAGGCTTGTGACCGAAGGAGTGTATCAAGTCATGAGGCATCCGAGTTACTCGGGGTTTCTTGTTTGGTCTGTTGGAACGCAGGTGATGCTGTGTAATCCCGTTTCGGCGATTGCGTTTGCGGTTGTGGTGTGGCGGTTCTTTGCAGAGAGGATACCTTATGAGGAACATTACTTGAAGCAGTTTTTTGGGAGACAGTATGTTGAGTATGCGCAGAGAGTTCCTTCTGGTGTTCCTTTTGTAAACTGAAACATTTGAATCAGTTATGAACAATATGTGTTTGGTTTTATTACTACTTTTCTTACAAAGAAATTTATGACAGAGACATTACTCTTGTTCAGACAAAACAATTGTGATTCAGTTCAGTTAGATTGGCTTGGCAGAGTTCAAGTCCAGAAATATTGTTTCTTTTCTTTTCATTAATTACCCAAAAAAAGCATCATTCTGTATCTTGCTGTCCGAAACAACAGAGAGAGAGAGAATGAATTGGAACACTCTAGGTGAGACAGAGGATTAAAGTTATGACTTTGGACAAAACCTTTGACCGTAAAGCTCCGGCGAAGAGTCTGTAAGCGAGGTTCTCCGATTTGTATTCTCGAGACGGAACCATGTTATGCGGAGGCTCACGAGTCTTGCAGCATTTGTCCGATCACCACCATCATACTTCGATTGGATTAGGATTAGGGTTTTGCGGTGCTAGGATTGTTCAGCTCTCGTCATTCTTCCTCAGGCCTTGTCAGGCTATGAAAAACAGTCGTTTCAGCCATCAGCGGATGATTTCTTCCTCTGGGTCTTATTGCAGGACTCCCAAAGACATCCCTATTCTTCACAATTGTTTCAGGTTTGCTTCTTCTTTTTCTTTCTCCTCGCTCTGCTATCTTCTCGTTGTTTTTGGTCGGCATTTTGATAATTTCGTGTGAATTTCCTGATTTTAGCTTTTAGCTCTTACCCTATTGAGTTTGTCGAAATTTATGTTTCTGGATTGTAGGACTTGTAGGAGCCAATAGATGAAAAAGAAATCTGGTTTGAAATAATCTGAAATGATTTGTCTTTGTTGTAAACAAAATTGAGTATTTTGCTCATTTTGTGTTGCTTTCTTCTTGTGAAGCCAACGAGAAGATGATCCCGAGATTGCAGTCGAAGGTTTATCCCCAGTTGCAGGTATTTGGTTACTTTCCGTTCCACTTGGAGTGATGAGAGTGTATAATAGATATATTAGCATATGATGATGTTTTGAAGTTCTCTGATGCTTGTGCAATGCCTCTTTATTTGATGTGCATACTTGCAGATATCTTAGTATATGTCACCTTTTCGTCTTGTATTTCATCTTTCCTTCAACAAATGCAATTGATGTTGCAGGAGGCATTGTTGCTCTAGGGAAGTTTGATGCCCTGCATATCGGCCATCGAGAGCTTACGATTCAAGCTTCAAGAATTGGAACACCGTATCTGTTATCTTTTGTTGGAATGGCCGAGGTACTCGGTTGGGAGCCTAGGTAATTAAACATTATATATGATTCTGCTGCTCCAAGTTTATTCATCAGTTTTGACAAGTAAATCTGTGGCAAGCAGGGCTCCAATAGTGGCAAAATGTGATCGAGAACGTGTGCTTACCTCATGGGCCTCACACTGTGGAAACAGAGCACCAGCGGAGTACGAGATTGAATTTTCAAGCGTGCGACATCTAACCCCCCGACAGTTTGTGGAGAAGCTGTCAAAGGAGCTCGGAGTTTGCGGAGTTGTGGCAGGTGAACACGTTAGAAAGATCTCAAACTCAAACCCACTCCTTTCTCGCAACAATTCATGTTGAATAAATTGTTTTGCTTTCCACAGGCGAAAATTACCGATTTGGATACAGAGCTTCAGGGGATGCATCTGAGCTAGTGAGGTTGTGCGAGGAGTATGGTATCGGTGCTTACATCATAAGCTCTGTGATGGACAAGAATCAAGACTCGGGAGAGAGAGACTCAGGTGACTCAAAAGACAGAGGGCAAGTCTCTTCTACACGTATACGCCAAGCTCTTGCCTCGGGTGATATGAGCTACGTATCAGAGCTTCTTGGCAGGGCACATCGGCTTATCTTGCGAGTCAGAGCTCAAGATATGCCAAGTGAAAGGAGGATCTCAGTGCCAAGATCATCAGTGCTTAATTTACCTCCTGGGAACGGAATTTACAAGGCATGTTTGCTTCTAGTTGGCGATGATGAGCCTTTGATTCCGTGTAGCGTAGTTGTTGATACATCAAATATCCATGTGGAAACAGAGGATTTACGACTCTGTAATTCAGATTGGTCTCAAGAGTCGAAACTCTTGGGTGTTGAGTTCGGTTATAGTCAGTCTTAGTTCCTGTACATTCATTTGACTTGTTTGTTTCTCAGTTGAAATTCCTTGGAGAAGCTAAGAGTGATAAAGTTATCAGTTATCACCATCGTTGACTACTCACAAAACTACAATGGATTTTTTTATTAAAAAAAAGGAACATTTTAATGTAAAGAAAACACGGTGAAGATTTAGAAAAAAACAAAGATGAGATCAAATTATATAAAAAATGAACATTTTAAGGTAGTTTTTAATATATATTTTTACTACTTGTAATTTAGGATAATTTAAAGATGTTCTAGTATCTGTAAACTTTTTTTCTTTCTGTTGTTTACACTCCTTTTTCTTCTTTTAAAACCTTTTCAAAGCTTGGGTTTCGATCAGTCATAAATCGTGTTATTTATTCTGCAAATAGTTGAGAATTGGTTGAAATAGCTGAGAATTAGTTGAAACTCTTTAAGTATGATAATATCATTCATAAAATAAGGAGAATATTACTTCCATATTACGAACCTTGGATCATGAGTAGAACATCAACATGTGAAAATCGTGCGTTAACTCCAACAAGGAGCCGAACAACCATGAGAAAGAAAATCAATTTTTCTTTTTGTTAATATTCATAATATGTGTTGTATAAGAAAAATGTTGTACACATTGAACTCTATACCACCGAACGTTTATGGAGTTAAATGTGCCATTATGTTATAGTGTGATTTCTTTTATGTTATTAACAGTTGTGATTTAGGATAAAAATGAACAAAGCGTGCACTTATGAAACCCCAAAATGTTTTTTTAAACAATGTATGATGAATTTATACAGAAAACAATAAGAGAAAATTTCAAAATTACATATTTTTATCTGTCAATTTTTAAAAATACACTTCTATGATATTAATTTTCAAAACAACACTTTTTTGATTGAGTAGTAAAATAACTCTAAACTCTAAAATATAAACCATAAACCCTAAAATCTAACATTGAACCCTTAAATCTAAATCCTAAACTCCAAAATCTAAACCTAGTTAAGGATTAGTGAACCCAAACATATATATTAAAATTAGGAAAACATGTATTTTTGAAAATTTACATCCTCAAAAGGTGTATTTCTCAAACAATAAATATTTATCATATGCTACCGTTAAGATTAACGATAGTGGATTTTTGCTAATTAAAATGGCATATTTCAAATGTTGAAATTTACACACAGAATATGGTATCTATCTATAGGTGAAAAGATTTATTTCGTGCTTCTTTATGTTGTAGTGACGTTAAGCCCAAGCAAGAGGATCCCAAAAATTGGCGGCTGCTTCTCCAATATAAGTTTTGATGGTTTGCTAGAAATTTGGATTCCCCATCTGCTTTCTGATAACGACTTCACCGACGTTTGGAACAAGAACCCTGATCGCAGACGAACCCTGAAAAGGTATAATGGCTAATTAGATACAAACTCAGACGAAAGAGCCTACAAAGGAAGAAGAAGAAGAAAGAAGAACATTACCGACTCGTCAAACTTTTGTCGCTTTGGCTCTGGTTCCTCATCAGAGAGGCGAGGATTAACTGTGGATATCAGTGAAGGCACGTTATGCTTCTCCATAAAGTCTTCAATGTGAGTAAAACAGTCAACACCACCATACCCACTATTCATAGGCAAATCCAAAAAATGGAATAAAACCTCATCCTGCTCTCGCTGGATACGTTCCAAACAACGGAAAAAAGCCTCAACCACTGTGTCAGGCTTTGTTTTGCTTGTGGAAGGCATTAATACTCTGGAATACTCCTCGACAAACTTCCAATAAAGCACGAAGCTCCCATGAGTCTGCTCCAAAAACCTAAACATGAGAGGTCTCTCGGCCACTCTCGTCGCCAAAGCCTGCCTAAAACCAATCCCATACCGGGCCTCAAACTGCGCTGTGACCTTAACAATACAAAACCGATTGCCTGGTAACCACCCAGCAGCAGATCTAAGTGAAAGAAATTGAGGACTTAGAGGAGGAGAATCCCTAAGAGGATAAGGGTTACGATTCCCTACAGAAGAAGCATGACATGTCACTGGAGGTAGCACACGCAGACCAGGGAGCCTGAGTTTTGGTGGGATCATGTCCATCAACACGTGTACAGGTGCTGGCATGAGCATAGAGTACTCTTCGTAATCCACGTGAACCAAACAGTCAACAACTTCAACCAAAATAATTCCCTCCCCCGCCTGGACATGGACATGGACAAGGCTGAGGAAAGCGTCGACAAGGGTCTCAGCATCTCCATTCCTCAGCTTCTCGAAGGGCTTTAACACTAGGCAATACGCATGAACAAGCCCACGAAAAAAATGGTACCTCCGATCACCAAACACCAAAAACTCAAACTGAGTGTTCAAAACCACTCTACTGCTCAAACGTGTCATGAAAGGATCCCCATACCGCGCATTAAACTGCGCGGCGAGCATAACAATACCAAGCTCCTCGAGTGTGAAGCCCTTTGCAGGGAATCTATACTTACCTTTCGTTTTTACATGAACCCAATCAAAATGGGGTTCTGAAGCTAAATTTACAAGGTCTTCAGCATGAGCCCTGACTAGTTCTTGTTTCTGAGCCTCGAGGTCTTCGTCGAGCCGTGGTCCCAGCCATTTCATGATGGTTGAGAGGCGTTTAGGTCGAGCCATGACTGAAGAATAGAATTCGTCATCAGTGTGAGCAAGCCAGTCAACACCACTCACAAGCGCATGCAAATCAACCGTGGCCGTCTCCACTCCGTCCTCCAGCTTCTTCAACTGGAGACAGCGGGCAAAAAACTCAAGCAACTCCGTCGTGCATGGAGGATAATCACTCCTCCACAGTTTTGGGGAAAGCCTCAATACTTCGGAATAGGCATCAACAAGAAAAATGAAAACCTTGGACCTGCTGCAACCATGATTTTGCTTCAAGAAGTCAAACATAGGGTTCGTAACCACTCTCTCCATCAAACCCTGACGGAAAGCCGCCCCGTACCGAACCGCAAACATGGCTGTGAGCTTAATGATACCAAACTCCTTGAGTGTGACCCCCTTGCTAAGGAATTCATAATCATGAGCCAGAAACTTTCTAGGCGGATAACGTAGAGGAACGGGTCCTTCTTCATCATCAGTCAGGTTAGATCCCATTCCGAGTAGAGGAGGTTGCATTTCTGTACCTTTCGTCATCAACGCTGAGAGGCGCCAAGGGTCTGGCATGATCTTGTTAAAGTCTCCATCCTCCTTGTGAGCAAACCAGTCAACACCACTCACGAAAGCATGAAGATCAATCATAGCCAGCGCATCTCCCTCCTCCAGCTTCCCCAACTGAAGCTGGTGGAAAAAAACATCCAAAACGGCTCTCGCAGAGGGATCATTCATCATCAGAGATTCTTTGCGAGGCCACATTACACTGGAATAGGCAGTGACGAGGCCGTCATAGAAACCAAACCTGTCATGACTCCGCCTCAAGAACTCAAAGTGATGTGCATGCTGCATCTGTTTCTCCTCCTTAGCCAGTCTCTCCTTCAAACCCCGCAGAAAATACAAGTCATAGCGAGCCACAAACAGCGCTGTGAGCTTAACGATACCAAGCTCCTTGAGTGTGATCGAACTAGGATATCTAAATGAACGTTTACCGGTGCGAGCCGGTGGATAAACATAATCTTCATAATTATTAGCTACACGAGCTTCGGGTTCTTGATGACCTTCATATATATTCTTAGCAGCCTCACGGTCATGTTGGTCGTGGTATTCGCTAAGCTTTTGCTTGTAGAATGCGTGACGAGGGTCTGATCTCCACAAAAAGCTAAACTTGTTCCCGTTGTCCGTATTAAGGGCCATCAACGTCTTCTCCATCTCCAGCCCCTCTTCGGAAACCAAACGTGCAACTGCTTCCACATTACTCAACTCTTCTCCAGCTCCCTGCGTCATTGCTTCGAGTTGGAGATCTAACGTAACGTGAGAACAATTTAATCCACCCTAGGCGAGGCTTATATATGTAGCACTTTCTTAATTATATATATATATATATATCAATCAAACTCCTCTACCCCTTTTCCAATCAACCCTAAACCCTAGGCTGATAAGGAATCTTAACAAAGTGATTTTATTATTTGGTACAATCTTCTGGTTTGGACGATTTGGGATCAGTTTGTAGCGAGATAGGTGTTGGAAATCTAGGGATGCGTTTTTTGTTATTTATTTTCTCTTTCTGATTTTTGTGATACAACAAACCTTAAGCTTAGAACTTTATTTATAGAGTTATATGAACTTAAGAATCGTAAATTGCTATTTCGTATTGTTACATTTTCCAATTTCCTTTTTTTTGTTAATTACATTTTCCAATTTCCTTATTTGCCTTTCCGCTGATGTATATTATCTTTACTAATTCTCTCTTTCTTTGATCCTTTATGATCTTTGTGATGTTTGTGATACAATATTTATATCTTTATTTATTATATGATTCTAGACAAGAATAGTAAATTGCTATTACGTATTGTTACAATTTCCATTCTCATTTGTATTAGCTTTTTCTTCGTGATTTCCTTTTTGCTCATACTCTGTTGCTGGAGATTCCTTTCTCTTGTACAGAAGACAAATCTTTTCCAACAAAAGGAACAGCATCTTATGCTTTGCGTCTGGTAAGAGTATACATCTTGCAGGCATGAGGCTCCACTAGGGCAGACAGCTGTTTTTTAACACCCGAATGTGTCCAATGCTGCATTCACCATATATAATCATGCTTTAGGTGTGAGTAAACACAATACTAAGAAACAGAATCCTAATGGATAATGAGAATGCATGCTTTGTTTATCATGATTTTACCGCCCATAAGTCACGAGCATTGACAACAGCTGATGAATCAAGGCCAATCTCCTCCCATCGAGCTGTGATGTTTGCAGGTGATGATCCTCTGTTCCATAGGATAACAGCTACTCGTTTCTTGCTTAGCGGACCTGCCCATACCTGTATTGCATCATCAACACGTTATGCGTCTATGTTCATCATACTATTGTTTGTGTTTTCCACATAAGAATATAATACCTCAAGATCACCCTCTTTCTTGATTTTCTTTCCTTGGATCCCAAGTTTGTCTGAACATAAACAGCTTAAAGCTCTTTACCACTTTTGGATTTCATATGAGCTGATTCTCAAGTGGTTAAGACCTTTTTATCATATTATTTAATTACCTTGATTAACAGCGATCACCTCTTTGTTGCTAAGCAACTCAAAGGTGACTTTGTCCATGGATCTAAGATCGCAACCGATCAGCAAAGGAGCCTGCAAGAGAGAACACAGTCCAAAACATTCAATTACTCTGTTTAGGGTTTTTCAGGTAAACAATATTCATACTTTTGCCAATGCCCAGATGCTGAAATGTGATCTGTATTCTTCTCTAGTCATGCCTCCATTTCCCACTTCGAGCATGTCTGGATCTGTTTCAGTTTTACCCTGACATTACTTTCTGGGAATCTTGATCAAATTCAACCACATCTGTTACCGTAAGTTACACGAAACTATTTACCATTCCAAGATCCTGGTCTTGCGTAAGATGCCCATCGATCATTCTGATCTGCTATTCTTGTCATGCTGCAAAGCAAAAAAAACAGAGAAAGGCATCGATCTTCAAGTTCTTGTTTCAGTAAGATTGCCAAAAAGACAAATGCCATTAAAGAAGAGAAACCTGTTCCAGTTATCTTCAATATCTCCAGTTGTTCTCCAGCTGTTACCAATATCTACTGCCCAAGTTGCTGGATCCTCTTGTCCCCTGCATTTACAACTCAGTTTCGTCATCTAGACCAAAGCTGTCTGAAACAAACCCAAATATTTTTCTTCTTACCATTCACACAAAGAGAAGAAAATGGATCTTCCTGAGTTTATCAGAGCTTTGCTCATCTTTGGGTATCTTTCTTTTGGACTTGTCCCTGTGTTTTCGCAATTATCATACTTCAAGTAATCAATACCCTGTGGAAATATTCATCACCATAACAAAAATGAATACACAGCTTCTTCAAGATTTAGGATTTGAGCTCAGATATAACATACATAGATACATACCCATGAAGCAAATGTTCTGGCATCTTGTTCTTCATGCCCGAGTGATCCCGGCATGGTTTGGCTGCAGGTAAGAGTCCTACAAATCCAGAAAAAGACAGATCAACAGAGAAAACTATCAACTATGTCCACAAGATTTAAGCATTATAACAACATATAAGTCTCTAATTGTTATATACCCAGCATCAGAGTAGATCCCAAGCTTAAGCCCTTTGCTATGAACATAATCTGATAAAGCTTTGATCCCTGAAGGAAATGTCGATGCTTTCGCAACCAAATTCCCCTGTAAATTACACCAAAATACACATTTCATTTTTCGCCTTTAGATTTCCAAACACTCTCAGTGTCAAAATCTTTCTTTAACCTTGGAGTCTCTGTTGAGTTCACCCCAACAATCATCTGAGAAAAAAAACACAGAGAAAAAGAGAACACAGTAATTAAACAAAACAGAGAGATGTAAAAACAGAGTATAACACTAAAAATGTCTTATTTGTCTTATTTCTGTCACCTATGTTGATATACTTGTAGCCTATTGCAGAGAGACCACTTGAAACCATTGCATCAGCTGCAGAGAAACTCAGATTATTAGTTATTATTATTATAAACAAGGCCCTACAAACTATCAGATTTGTTTATTTTCTGTACAATAGAATCCGTAATCACCGGTTTGTTTGATGAGGGTTTCATTGATGTTACACTGAAAATGATTCCAGCTGTTCCATCTGATCAGAGAGTAATCATATATAAGAGGTAAATATATAACTTGCGAGTAAAGCAACAAAAAAATATGAAGAGGATCGAACGAACCCCATTTGAGGAGTGAGAGCAAGCCCATTATCCATCAACATTCGACTCTGAAACCCATCAACGAGCTGATTCAGAGTTAGAGTGAAAGTGATGATTCTTAAGAAGAAACTAACAAGAACCATTGCTGCTGCTTGATCAAAGCTTTTTTGTTTTGTTTCCTTCAATGGCTAAACAGAGAGATTCAAGAAAATTCAAAAGTGGGTTCGATATTAAATGTTGATGGTTGAAGTGGGAACTGTGGGTTCATAGCCAAGAGATCTGTGTATATATAAACACACAATGTGCCCAAGTGCGTCTTTTTAGAAAAATGATTGTTTATTATTTTTGGTTGTCGAGTAAAGAAGGTCAATTTTGAAAGAGATTAGTTTGACTTATTGACTGGGAAACATTGGTAAATTTTGAAAGAGATTTTGTTAACTTATTGACTGGGAAAAATTGTCAATTCTAGCCTTCATTCATGGAAATCGAGTCGATCCAACAACGTTCAGTTAAACAAAATAAACATATTTCCTAACCATAGTGAACTTCCTATTTTCCAGGCATTAAAAAGGATTTATGGAGTGACCCACATTTATAAAAGAAATCAGTTCTGATGATAATGCCACCTAGATACAAAAGTTTAGAAACAGAATTCTTTTTCTTTTCACACGTTTCAATAAATTGTTAGTTTCTTTTTTTCTGTCATGATCGCCTTGGACTTTAGTAGACACGCTCGAATATTGTATGAAATACACTTCTATTGTTATTATTACATATTATACATGCATGTATTGATGATATTTTCAGAGTTAAATCACAAATTTTATGTTTATGTTTGGTTTGTTATAACTCATCTTTGTTTTTTTTTTCAAGGTTTGAGAAATTATAGTTTATTAAACATCTCAAAAGTTTGTCCCAATTATCAACAAAACGTAACTTAAGTTTTTTTTCTTTAAAAAATAAAATACAAATCAAATACAATGTGGTACAGGTAGAGCAATTTGATTCCTCAACTCAAATCAACGTATATTTCAAGTTCTAGGCAAAGTCTTTGACATACTGACATGATGAGAGACTTGCACGAAATATGCATTCTCTTTCTAAAATTTGATATGGATAATGGTAGAGGTTCTTTGCTGGATTTGGACAAGTTGGTTGAAGTTCTTTAGATATATAGAACATTTCTCTTTGAACACATATTTTATGGTGATCTTAAATTTGAATTGGAGATTTGTGTAACATGGATGACTTGTTTAGTTTGTGTTTTAACATTTTCTGAGGTTTAGTCCACTGAGCTAAAAGAAGGAAATCAAAACATCAAACCTAAAAAACGCAATGCATTATAATTAAGATCTCGTTTAGAAGACATTAATGGAAGAATAATAAAGCCACAAAAACGTAACTGAAATTCTTTACAAATCAACATATATGACGTCATTTATACATGTAGAAAGTGGTATACTGTTTATACTTTAAGGCAACGTCATTTAAGTCATTGAAATGATGAGAGATTTGCTTCCGGACCAACACACAAAATGATTTGACGTGTGTCGTACGCAATAAAATAAAATGGAATAAAAACGAGAGGAAAAGAGTGCATCATTCTATGGACACATATTTCGTTAACATGTTACATTTTGAGAAAAGGTAAAACAATTTATTGGAGACGAACCCTTAATTGTTTTTACAGAATAATTAGGGAATACATGTAGACCGAATTTTCAGGCGATAAGTTTGAGAACATACAACTTACACGCATGGGAATCCACAGTTGCTGTCAAGTTCCCTACAAACTTTTGCTTCAATGTCTTGTGCTGTTCTCAGATCACAACAAAAAAACACATTCATCAGAACACAAAATTATATTTCAATCTGGCTTTTTTTTTGTTTGTATACTTTGGTAAATGTATCAATGAATGTATACCTCCCATAGATCTCTGGCTTCAACGATGGTATTTGCAGGGATATCAATATCATCCCAAAAAGCAGTAATCGGAGATCGTGATGGTCCACGGTTCAACAGAAGCAAAGCTACTCTGTAACCTGACAATGGTCCTGCCCAAATCTGATTCCATTTCCAATTCATCACCAAATTAAAACATGGTTTCTTTTAGATGAAAAGAGTGTGTCTATAGCTAGAAGGATGTTGTTTCTTTAACAAAGATGTAAACTCACCTGGAGATCACCTTCCATTCTAGCTTTCTTGGCCTGAACACCATGTGGATCTACAAAGAAATAAACGTTTATTTGCCTCAAACATGATTTCGTCTTTATGACGGCTAAAACAGAGTAACTAGGGTTACCTTGATTAAGAGCAATGACCTCCTTGTTTGCAACGATCTCCATTGTTTCCTTGGTCATGTTTCTTATGTCACAACCAAGTAGAAGAGGAGCCTGTGCATGTGTGATAATATATTACATATACAGCATTGGTTTCAGACTTTTATGAAACAATGCATGGCTTCTCTGTTTTAGGTATCTACTAATTACCTTGGAGATTGCCCAAATGCTGAAATGGACTATGTACTCGTCTTTCGTCATCCCTCCATTTCCCACTTCAAGCATATCCGGGTCTGCAACAAACCAACAACAAACTCACTCACTCCTTCACAAAATCTGCATTTTCTCTATTGATGTTATCGTTACAGTACCGTTCCAGCCACCAGGCCTTGCAAGGTCAGCGTAGATTTCGTTCATGTCCGCTATTGACATCATACTGTAACATTGTATAAGAGCAGGTTAAAATTCAGCAATTCTTCAGGAAACATCACACAATCTGTTTCTTTGATTTTCTTACCTAAGCCAACTATCATTGATGTCATTAGTGGTTCTCCAACTGTTGCCTACTGGAGCTCCCCAGAGAGCTGGATGCATATCTCCCCTGACAATAAAGCATTTTAAAGTCTCAGTTCTTCCACACGTTAATCGAATTTGGCAGTGTATATAAGAAAACAGGGGACATGAATGATACCATTCACACAAGGAGTGAAAGATGGGGCGGCCAGAATTCATCAGAGCTCGAGTCATCACTGGATACCTGATTATTGCATCATCGTCATCATCCATTTTTGGCAGTGAAACATGATCATGGTTAAACATGATCAGTAATTATTACCTGACAGTCGGTCTTGTGGCATCGTTGTTGCAGTTGTCATACTTCAAGTAGTCAATTCCCTGAAAAATTTGAGCAGAGCATATAGTTAGTAGTGTAAGTTACTGTCTGAAAACAAGAATGTGAGTCAAGAAACGAACCCATTCAGCAAATGTCTTGGCATCATGCTCCTCATGCCCTAGAGAACCAGGCATGGTTTTGCTGCATGTCAAATACCTGCAAAACCAAAAACACTCATGAGGACAATGCGTATTCTTGCTCAAGAGAGATGGTAAAATCAAGAAACAAATAGTTTACCCTGCATCTGAGTAGATTCCGAGCTTAAGTCCCTTGCTGTGAACGTAATCGGCAAGCGCTTTAATACCAGAAGGGAATGTTGACTTCTTGGGCACCAGATTCCCCTGTAAACACATATTTGCATCTACCACTAAGCTTGAGAACAAAGAAATGAAACCAGGAATACAAAATAATTAAACTGATGATATACCTTGCTGTCACGAGCAATTTCAGCCCAGCAATCATCTGACAAACACACCCAAGACTTTCAGAATACTTACTCTCAAGCAATCTCATTGATGAAACATTTATAAGTCAACTACAGAGTGATACAATACAATGAATCTGTTGGATATATATATATATATATATATATATATATATATATATATACATATTCTGCGTTAGAGGCATACCAATGTTAACATAGTTATAACCAAGCTTAGACAGTCCAGTAGTAACCAAAGCATCAGCTGTTACAAGCATCAGATTGAAGATTAGTTGTTGAACAAGACAAGTGATGTAAATAAATATAAAAAAAATAAAATTTGAAAAGTTACCAGTTTCTTTGATGACTTTCTCATTTATGTTGCAGCTGAAATGGTTCCAGCTATTCCACCTGCAAACCATTAACATCAAACTTCATTTAGACATCTTCAAGAAATTTTATTTATTTAAAAAAAAAAACACATTATTCACCACAAAAAGAGTAATCAATTTTTATTTTTGTATAGTCACAAGAAATCCAGAATATGTAATTCTCTTATTCTTTGCGAATCTGGTCAAAGACTAGTCAAATCTAGTCACTTCATTAGTATAAGGAATCAATCGTAAAATCCATCGAACCAGATTAAGAAAAACACAGATGGAGAGAGAAACAGAGATTTACGGACCCCATGGGAGGAGTGACGCCAAGGCCATTAGCGAGCAAATGTCTTCGCAAGATCTCGGAATCGTCGTCGCGGTCAACGCTATCATCGACACTTCTGACTGATCTCGAAGACTCGACCATCGTCACCATCACCATTGATGAGATCATCATCATCATAGCTATTGACATCTTCACCATCTCACTTCTCTCTCTTCTCGCCATTTCTGCAAACTCTCTCTAGTCGACGAAAACAGAGTGAGAAGAATACACTGTTTTATAGTAGTAGAAGCTTGAGAGTGTTCTACAGCTTTTTTATTCCCATTTTACCCCTCTAACTCTTATCATCTCGTGGACTAGAATCTAGATTACATCATCGTTTTTTTTTAACTTTTTAATGTAAATTAACGGGACCCACAAACCCCAAGGTACATTGTACGTAATTTATAATTTCGGGGGGAAAAATATACTATATTTTTATACTGTTTTTTAACTCAAGTTTTATGATCGGATTCATTCAAATGATGAGCAGAGAAGAAGATTAAGAACATTGTAAAATGATTTTACCCATGATTTTTGGTTAACGTTGCAAATTTGAAAAGTTCTTTTATTAAAAACAAACGAAGAAGCTCATCACGTTTCTTTGACTGTTGGCAATCAGATACTCCCTCCGTTTCAAATTAGTTGTCGTTTTGGCAAAATGTATCTGCAATGCAAAACATGTTTAGATACGTCCAAATATTTACAGATACATTTTGTCAAAACAACAACTAATTTAAAACGGAGAGAATATTACTTTTAGTGGAAGCAAAATCGAAATTAGACACTTGGGTCTGCTTTCTACTCCGATTTCACAAAATCTTATTGGAGACTATACAGACCACCAATTCAACATTAATTTGTAATATTATTCAAACTATGTATCTCACATTTTGTTTTTTCTCGTCGGCATATCCTTTTCATCTCTCTGTAAAGTTTCCTTTCATTAAGTTAAGGGTTTTCAAACTTATTAATTAATCAGTCTGTGTCTGACAAAAAGAAAACAAACAACCTGTTTTGTCTTGTTCTTGAATTCCATGCTTATATTAAGTATCTTCTTTGTTGTTTATTTGTTTACGTAGGCGGTGGGTACTAATAAAATATCTTTGCATATATCAGGCCAAAAAGAAGAAGACAGATACATAATAATGAAATATCCTAAAACAATCTAGACTATAAACCAGGACCATGAATGTTTGGCTAGTTTTTAGATTTTAGATTTTGGTTTTTAGATTTAGATTTTGGTTTTTGATTTTGGTTTTGCTGTAGAAACAGTTTTTTAGAAACTTGGTGAGTTATTTAGCTTTTGGTTTTGATTTATAAATTGGTAGAACAAAGAAGATACTTAACCCAAAATTTATTTATTTCACTCAGTTATAAAGATAAGTTATAACAGTCGGTCGCACTAGGAGGAGCAGAGAGTAGAAAAACAAAAACGGAAAGTAATAAAACTGCAACATCATTCGAAGCCAAAGCAGAGTTTAACAGAAGAAAGATGAAACATGATACGTCAACACAAGCATACATCACAACACCAGCATTCCGGCAAGCTTTTGGGATCTCCTCCATCTAAACCTTGTATACAAGCACCTACTGACTCTTCAGAATCATGAAATTGACCACTACCACTGTCAACAGCAGTCCGGTTTACTACGAGAACCAGGGGACTTCTCGATTCCAAACACTTGAGCACCCTGTGCAACTCGCTATCTGGGTCTGGTTTTGGGATTACAATTAAAGCTGCTGGATAATAATTGAGTGCTGCGAAATTAATAAGGTCCAAAGCCATATCACGATAATCTGAAGCAAGCAATATGTCAACAACGTAACAGATTGCATTATAGTAGAAACGACAAAGAGAGAGTGTTAAGTATAGTATTTAACCTCGTGTTTCTGCGATTGGGCTACTTCGCAGGTGTTCACCTTCTTGTGAGTAAGCAATTCTAGCTTCCTTAAATACAACTCGCTGATTGTCGTCGAGAGGGCCAGGACCAAACGCAAAGAATTGCAACCCCCTATGAAAGCCTTTCTTATCAAGAGCTGATCTGATATTATCAATACGAAGCGGATCACAAGGGATTGGGCACTTGTTCACGTTCCAGAAGACCATTCCTTGCCTCTCAGTACCTTGACAACAAGAGGCATAAACGAATTTACCATACAATAGGTTAGATAAGATCCATTAACACTAATTCAGTTTTCATTTCGAGTAAAGGATGGAGAGAGAGAGAGAGATCTTACAGTGGTAAACCTTATCGGTGCCTAGCTGACCCCCTTGGACGATGGCTGTAAACAAAGATAGGTTAAATGATCAGATGGCCGTTATTTGACTTGTATATATATGAGAGATGGAACAGATGAAATATAAACAAAAACAATTTCGGGAGAGAGATGTTATTACTGGAAAAATCTTCGAGGGGATACTTCTTCTTATCTCCCACATCTTTGCCATCTAAACAATAGATCAAATAAACGAATTGACTTATATACTCTCCTATGAAAATGACCAAATAGAAATATACGTTATAAATTTAAGAAAACCTGAGAGACTGCTACGACCTAGACTAGGTTTGTGCTTCTTTGATTGGTGTGGTCGGCTGAACGAAACACTCTTTTCCTCTTCAAAAGAGTAGAAGACATTTAATAGCGATGCAGGCCATTGAACTTCATCTTCTGGTCGGTGCTCGTTAGGCTCATCTGCTAAGAATACATGGAAAGGTCTCCTACTCAAATTTTCAAGCGTACGGAAGGAAAGAAGGTCATCTTTGACTTGATCCGATACTACGACCACAGCTGATGGGTCATCTCGATCCATCACAGTAAAGTCCATGGCCCATAAATGGATGTCATGTAGCATTCTAGTAAGTCTCTTGTGTTTATCAACCCCTCCTCCAGGAAGGAAGTAGATACTTGATTCCCAAAGTCCCCACCCCAAGAGCCTTCCTTGTCCGTCTCATCAACATAAACCCAGATTGATTTCTCACCCATATAACCCAAGTCCTCATCCTCACCCTCACTACAATCAGGGAGAGCTGAGTCTATTTTTGCATAGATATCATCAGGAGTCAAACCGGGAGGGAATGGGTAAGCCACGGCGTCCCAGAACACGCCCATTTTCATGACGGCTGTGCGGTTTCACAAAACGAATTAGATCCGGCTACTTAACTATGACTCATGAAATCTAAAACAAAAAAAAAAAAAAAACAGTTTTGGGAGATAGTGCTTCGCACGCAAGAGTTTTCCCGTCTCTAGGTCAGTTAAACCAATCACATTACAGTTATGAAATCTATAACAAAGATTAAAGAGAAAACATACTTCGGGTAAAGGATGGAGAGAGATCTTCTTACCCGTTAGTTCTTCGCCATCTTCGCTATCTATGTAAACGAATTACAACCGGTCAAATAAACGATTTACAATACAAAATTATGTATGAAATCTATACAGTTTCGATGGAGAGATATCTTACCGGAGAGATTTTCGATCTTTTCGGCCATGGTTCAACGGAGAGAATCGGAGACTTTCCCGCTCAATTAGGGTTAGATAGAGCTTGATTGGGTGAGAGAGAGAGAGAAGAGAGAGCCTTTGTTAGTTTTATACTTTTATGTCAAGAACCATCTGTGTTTTTACTTTTCAGCCCTTGGATCTCAAATATTAAAATTAAAAACAAAATTGAAGGTGTTAGATCTGTGGCATGTTTTCAACCGTCAGATCGACCTGTGCATTTTTAATTTAACGGATCAAACAAGTAACCCTCTAGAAACTCATGCATTAAATCTTATCGTGTGGGTTATCCATATGTACAAACCTAAAAATAATATTAAGCTCTTATTTATTTTATAAAAATGTATAAAGATTCAAGTAATCTAGATGCTTTGTCTATGATCTCTAGTTTATGTATATTGACTTATTTATTTTATAAAAATGTATAACGATTCAAGTAATTTAGATGGTTTGTCCATGATCTCTAGTTAATTTATGTATCTTGACTTTTCAACTTAGATGCTTAGTTTGCACAGAAAACATTGCAATTCCCCAAAAAAAAAAAAAAAAAAAAAAAAAAAAAAAAAACCTGATTCACAAGAAACCCACTCCCAAAAGTAGAGAATCCACTGTGACTTCATGAATCAACTACCCACCTTCTTCACATTCCTCCCATCTCTCTCTCATTTACTATACTATAAATTCACTCTCTCACTTCTCTACGATCTTACTCGTTCAAGCAAACATCATCATCATCATCACCAAGAAAGAAAAAAGAGAGAAAATGTCGGATTGGGGACCTATTCTAGTGACAGTGATACTATTCGTGATGCTCACGCCGGGACTTCTGTTTCAGTTGCCTGGACGACAAAGATACGTTGAGTTCGGTAATCCACTGTGACTTCATGAATCAACTCTCCGACCCACCTTCTTCACATTCCTCCCATCTCTCTCTCATTTACTATACTATAAATTCACTCTCTCACTTCTCTACGATCTTACTCGTTCAAGCAAACATCATCATCATCATCACCAAGAAAGAAAAAAGAGAGAAAATGTCGGATTGGGGACCTATTCTAGTGACAGTGATACTATTCGTGATGCTCACGCCGGGACTTCTGTTTCAGTTGCCTGGACGACAAAGATACGTTGAGTTCGGTAACTTTCAGACTAGTGCTGTCTCCGTCATCGTCCATTCTCTTCTCTACTTCTCCCTTGTCTGCGTCTTCCTTCTCGCTCTCAAGATTCACATCTATATCGGCTAATTTTCAACCCTTTCTCTTTCTGTTTTTGGGTCTGTTTTACCAAGTTTTCTTTTCAACTTTTAAATTTATCCAAGATATTTAGTTCCAATGTACTTTCATGTTCGATCCTTTGTATCGGACCCTTTTGCCTTATATATATGTCATATGTGTGTGTGTGTGTCGTTACCTTTTCTCATCATGTAAACGCAATATTCGATTGCATATTCATTTCAAAATTTCAGTTATTCCTGGTTTCTTTCTTTTACATATGTTATCGATTTATCCTTGTTAAAAAAAATATATATATACCAATCGAATTATAAAACAAAATTTAGTTTAATTTTTGTTTGTATCCGGTTTGGTTTACTTGCCTATAATAAGAGATATGAGACATGGCCAATATTTTTGGTTGGATATTATTTTGTAACATAAACAAAGCTAGTAAAACATCTCGCAGTGAATCGATGACCCAAGCATGTAAATTCAGAGCATAGAAAATCTGATTCCTTGCTTGCTACATAGTAAAGACTAAAGACCAACAAAATTAAGACACTTCAACTACATCCTTTCAAATGCACATGCGAGAAAGAGACTGAGAGAGGTTTAAGAAAAGCAAGAGATCTATCTATAGCCAAAACATTTCATTTGAAAATTGGATACAAAACCCATCCTACAAAACATATTCTGATTTATCAAGAATCCAACCAAATCGACTTTACGTCCAATTTGCATTTATTTTTATGGGAGTAGAGTAGACTAAAGATTTTCACAATAACAGAAACAAGTTTGTATAAGAAACATCCAATAAACGTTGAAGTTTTTCACAAAAATGTATGCCCTAACAAAATCTCCGCACTCCTAATCGAGCACGTCCGGACGTATGTATGTGCACCAACGTAGATGAAACCAAAAGAGATGGCGTTAGGGTTTCTTTTAACCTGTGCCGCAAGTTAAGTAAACACAGCAGATGATTTTATGCCGATCCCTACGGATTTCTTTAATCTCTGTTTGTCAATTTGAATAATCTGATTAGATTAGATCTCATGTACCGTAGGGTCTGGAATCGAACACCAGTGATGCGGAAATTCGAAAAAGCAGGTAAAAACTGATTATTTGTTTAGATGTGTATGAGTAAGATGTGTTATTGTCATGCTAATAATGTAATCAATGAAATCTGTTGCGTTATAGCGTTGCAAGGATTTGCGTTGAGGGATTCAACACTTTGCTACCTGCGTATGATGTCCATCTTGGTTTGACAGAACTTTTCTCTTCATGTGGAGAGGTGATTCATGTCTATTTCCCCGGATACGCTCCCAAACCCATCCATTTTCTCAACAGGTTTGTGGCGTCTTTGTCTTTAACAAGTTAAATTTGCTTGCGATCGATTGATAAACTTGTTGTTGTTGTTGTCGTACAGATTTGCCTTGGTTTATATGCGGGGAAAACGTGCAGAGAAGAAGGCGTTGAAACTCAGTGGAGTTCACATGGGACCACTCAGTGTAGTCGTTAAGCCTTACCCGTTTCAGGCCAAATACCTTGACCCTGAGTTTGATTCTATATTGGCTGCTACTAGAGACGAAGACAATATGCGACAGCGCACGTAAGTTGTTTTTAAATTTGTTTGTGTATAAGATATGTTCTTCTTGTCATGTTGATGAAGTCACCTCCTGTGCAATCACTTTGTTTTAGGATAGGAGTTATGGGATTTGACACTTCCCTTCCCAAGGAAGTTGTCGAGACCACGCTGTTTGAACATTTCTCTAAATGTGGACCTGTCCTGAAGATCCGTTCTTATTACGAAGACGAAGAAAGCAAAACTCTTGACCCCAAAGCCATCGTTTATGTTTCTGGACAAGACACAGTAGAGAAGGCGCTGCAACTTGGTGGATGTGGTGTGAATGGATTCAAGAATATTCATGTTTATCTGGTTGCTGGGCCACAAAGAGTGGCACCTACTAGGATTATAAAGAAGGTTAAGCGGAGTAAAATGCTGGAATAAGTTAGGCGGAGTAGAATGCTGGAACAAGTTTAAGACTATGGAGTGGAAACCCCTTCCCTTCCCTTTCCTTAGGAGACTCTCTTTGGTGTTTTCAACCTTTTTTCTGTTTTTCCTTTTCTTTTTGTTGTCGTGTCTGTCTCCCTGGAGCTTAAAACTAATGAAGTAATTTAATTTTGGTTTGTATCCGGTTTGGTTTACTTGTTCATCTCAAGAGACATGACTAAATATTTTTGGTTGGATTATTTTGTATATGCATGATAAATGATAATGCAATGCAAATGATTCAAATGCATAATAAGCATGAACAAAGCTAGTAAAACATCTCCCAGTGAATCGATGACCCAAACATGTAACTTGGTTATTCAGAGCGTACGTATAAAACCGGATTCTTTGCTTGCGAGTTGCGATAGAGTAAAGACCAAAAAAATTAAAAAACTTCAACTACATCCTTTCAAATGCATATGTGAGAAAGAGACTGAGAGAGGTTTAAGAAAAGCAAGCTAAGAGATCTATCTAACAGCCAAAACATTTCATTTTAAAATTGGATACAAGAAAATCCAATTTTCATTGACCAAATCCATTAACTACAAAACCCATCCTACATAACATATTCTGATTTCTCAAGAATCCAACCAAATCGACTTTACGTCCAATTTGCATTTATTTTTGTGGGAGTAGAGTAGACTATAGATTTTCACAATAACAGAAACAAGTTTGTATAAGAAACATCCAATAAACGTTGTAGTTTGGCACAAAAATGTATGCCCTAACAAAATCTCCGCACCCTGAATCGAGCACACGTCCGAATGTACGTATACTGGATGAAACCAAAAGAGATGGCGTTAGGGTTCCGTTTAACCTGAGCCGCAAATTAACTAAACACAGTAGATGATTTTGTTTTTTGTTTTTGCCGTCAAATTCATTAATAACAAATGGACATATACAAAGTCATTACATACATACTACGAAAGCAAAATATTAGAATTTTTTTTTTTATTGTCTCTCGAAAACCTAGCACAGTGGCATCTTCTCAACTTATCCATGGACGAATCCGCCAACAAAGTAAATATTCTTCCGATCCCAACGGATTTCTTTAATCTTTGTTTGTCAATTTGAATAATCTGATTAGATTAGATCTCATGTACCTTAGGGTCTGGAATCGAACAACAGTGATGCGGAAATTCGAGAAAGCAGGTAAGAAGTGATTATGTTCTAAGATGTGTTATTGTCATGCCAATAATGTTTATATCAATAAAATATGTTGCGTTATAGCGTTGCAAGGATTTGCGTCGAGGGATACAACACTTTGCTACATGGCCATGATGTCCATCTTGGTTTGAGAGAACTTTTCTCTTCATGTGGAGAGGTGATTCATGTCTATTTCCCCGGATACGGTCTCAAAACCAATGGTGCTCTCAACATTCTCAACAGGTTTGTGGCGTCTTTGTCTTTAACAAGTTAAATATGCTTGCGATCGATTGATAAACTTGTTGTTGTTGTCGTACAGATTTGCCTTGGTTTATATTCGGGGAAAACGTGCAGAGAAGAAGGCGTTGAAACTCAGTGGAGTTCGCATGGCAGGAGTAGGACACATGGGACCACTCAGGATAGTCGTTAAGCCTTACCCGTTTCAGGCCAAATACCTTGACCATATTATTGCTGCTACAAGAGACGCAGACAATATGCGACAGCGCGAGTAAGTTGTTTATAAACTTGTTTGTGTTGTGTATAAGATATGTTCTTCTTGTCATGTTGATGAAGTCACCTCCTGCCATCTTTTTTATTTATTTAGGATGGTAGTTATGGGATTTGACACTTCCCTTCCCAAGGAAGTTGTCGAGACCACGCTGCGTGAACATTTCTCTAAATGTGGACGTGTCGTGTACAGCCGTGCTCGTTACGAAGACCAAGACGAAGAAAGCAAAACTCTTGCCCCCAAAGCTCTCGTTTGTCTTCTTGGAGAAGACGCAGTAGAGAAGGCGATGCAACTTGGTGGATGCGATGTGACTGGATTCAAGAATATTCACGTTTATCTGGTTGTCGGGCCACAAATAAGAGATGCAGGTGTTGGGATGGATATGAGGTACGTGAATTTGATTTTGATTCTTAGTTAACAAACTTAAACCTCCCTCAATAACTCTCAATAACTCGTCCTTTGTTCCAGTAAGATTCGTGCCAGTAAGATGAAGAGGTTGAAGCGTACGGAGTAGAATGCTGGAAGAAGATTAAGACTATGGAGTGGGAAACCCCTCTCTTTAGGAGGAGAAGAAGAAGAACCCTCTTTGGTGTTTTTCAACTATGTTACTCTAAGTCTGAGTTTATCACCTGTGTTAGAGTATAATTCATGGCTCTCTGTTGACATATGCTGTTGAGTTTACATCGATTTAGCTCTTTTAAGCGCTATTCAGTTAGAGAATCTGAATTGAAGTTTATTCCTAATTCTTCTGTTATTGATTGTGTGTACTAAAGATTCTTTTAAACTCGTGTGTTATTTTTTTTTGTAGTCATTTTATTAAATTTACTTTGAGTTCTAGTGTTATTCAATTTTATAACACCTACCATAGAAATGTCCATTGGTAGGAAAAAGAATTTATCTTGAAATACAGAAAATCTAAGTAAATTGATGTATTTGTAAATTGAAAAATAATGTGGTCAAAAAATGAAAAAAAATTTGAAAAAGAGTTTTTAGAATTTGAAATGGGAAAGGTAAAAGTAAATATAAAATAAGAGCATCTTTCTATAGTGTCCGTGTGTTATTTACAAATCTCACTCTCTCTTCTTCTCTCTTTCACTTCGCCATTAGAGAAAGAAAGAGAAAAACGCTTCGAAATAGACAAATCATCCAACAACTCCCCTTTTAGGAATTTTTTTTGATCTTTTTTTGCAACTGATATCTATTCGGGAAGGCATTTTTAATCTGTTACTGATTTCAGATCTTAAGGCGCTTTGAAGTTGCTGGAATTTTGAATGTTGGCCGATGTAAGGGTCTCGTTTCCGCCATGACCACCAAGCGCGCCTACAAGCTCCGTATCCTTCTTTTGTTTTCACCAATTTCTCTGATTTCATGCTTCTTAAGGATTCTCTTTAGTTGTGACAACATTGATTAACTCCATTGCCCGCCGTGCTCGATCTGCTGCTTTTAGCTATGGTTCACGAGATCTGTGTATGCACTTGTTAGCTTTGTGTGTTTGCGGTTTTCTGTCAAGCAATTATGACTTTTCGATAGCTGCGTGACTTTAAAATTCAAAGACTGCTAGTCAATTTCTTCTTTGACTACGAGTCTCATCTGAGAGCATTGCTTAGCCTTGACTTTGTGTGACCCATTTGGAATTCAAAAGAGGAATTTGTGGCACATTCTGCTGCTGTAAACTGTCTTAAGATCGGGAGGAAGTCGTCGAGGAAGCTCGTTACAGGCGGGGAAGATCACACGGTCAATCTATGGGCTATTGGTAAGCCCAACGCCATTCAGGTCAGTTCTCACTTCTCTCCCTCAACTGCTTTTTATTGAGGAATGCCTCTCCGTAGATTATGAGTTAGTTTAAGAGGAAATGCAATACGCTTAAACATAGTGTAGTAGAGCGGTTTGGACGTTTTTCTGTCTGAGTCACTGAGTGTCTACTTTGTGGGTGTTTATGGTCAGAGCTTGTATGGGCACACGAGCGGGATTGACTCAGTAACGTTTGATGATTCGGAAAGTTTAGTAGCAGCAGGAGCTGCTAGTGGCACGATTAAACTCTGGGATCTAGAGGAGGCAAAGAGTAAGTTTAGTAGCTCTATGATAATCTCTAAAATACTCTTGTGATTTTCTGTTAGTCATCTATGATCATTGGGGCTCTTATATTTACTGAATATGTTGTTTTTGGTTGCATCTATGAGTAGTTGTGAGGACTCTCACTGGTCACAGGTCGAATTGCATATCAGTGAATTTTCACCCGTTTGGTGAGTTTTTTGCGTCTGGTTCTCGCGACACAAATCTTAAGATATGGGATATCAGAAAGAAGGGCTGTATCCATACTTACAAGGGTCACACTCGAGGGGTCAATGTTCTCAGATTCACCCCAGATGGTCGTTGGCTTGTATCTGGAGGAGAAGACAATCTTGTCAAGGTTTGTATTGCTTAAAAAAGAAAGTTACCTGCAACGTTTGCTCTCTTAATCTTGGATCTGATATTTTTGGTTGCCTTCACCAGGTGTGGGATTTGACAGCTGGTAAACTGCTGCATGAGTTGAAGAGTCATGAAGGGCAAATTCAGAGTCTGGATTTTCATCCCCATGAATTTCTGCTGGCAACAGGTCTGAATCTTAGGAAGCTTTGTAACATTGAAGCTCTCAGACATATATTTATCAGAATGCGGCATTGTTTTTCTTAATATTCATTTTGGCCGTGGTTATAGGTTCAGCTGATAAGACTGTAAAATTCTGGGACCTTGAAACATTTGAGCTTATTGGTTCTGGTGGAACCGAGGTACCATCTCTTTTCTGTACAACTTCCTGTTATGCTCTGAGTCGAATTACTAGTATTCGATCTTTCATTCAACTTTCTGATATCCTCACTTCTTAGACTACTGGGGTCCGTTGCCTAACCTTCAATCCAGACGGAAAGAGTGTGCTTTGTGGATTGCATGAAAGTCTCAAGGTAAGTTCTTCTCGATGTCTCAATTAGAAATATATTAACTTAACAATTTACATGTTTGCTGTTCCTGTATTGACTACCTTGCATGCAACTTGTAGATTTTCTCATGGGAGCCAATAAGGTGTCATGATGGAGTGGATGTTGGATGGTCAAACTTGTCGGATATGAATGTTCACGAGGGAAAGCTTCTTGGTTGTTCACACAATCAAAATTGTGTAGGCGTATGGGTTGTAGACCTCTCGGTATTTCTCTCTCTCTCTCTGTCCCTACATGATTTGTCATAGTTTGGTCTACAGAACAGTTTTGGTTAAGCCCTCTGTTCAATTTTATAATGTCATTCTCAGCGCACTGAGCCTATGAGTGGAGGCGCCACTCAGTCAAATTTTCATCCAGAGAAGACATCGGGCTCAGGCAGAGATCCAGCAGTGCTCAACGGTAACAGCTCAAAGGTTATTCTCGGAAAGTTGCCTGGTTCCCAGAAAGTGGATCCTTTATTGAAGGAAACAAAGTCTCTTGGAAGATTATCAGTTTCTCAAAACTCGGATCCTTTGCCAAAGGAAACAAAGTCTACTGGAAGGTCATCAGTATCTCAAAGTTCAGATCCTTTGGTAAAGGAACCAAAGCCTCTGGAAAGGTCGTCAGTTGCTCCTAGCTCAGACGCAGTTAAGGAGTCAAGAAGAACCTTTTCATGTATATACTTTGTTCTTCCCTCCCTTTTCACTTTTTGCTATGGTATCGCTGCTTACCAAATGATATCGCATTTCTCTTGGTTTGTCTGCTGTTTGCTGAAGCCACAGGAAGTGTATCAGACTCTCCTCATAGGGTCACTTTAACCAGTGCTCGAAAAGTTGCTTCTGATGTTCCTACGGTTGTCCCTACTGCTGCCGCCTCAAAGAGGATTTTTGCAAAATCTAACACAAAGGCAAATCCTCCAGTAGTAACGGACCCAATAGTTGAGCAGGCAGGTGAATCCAGATCAGAACTTGACATTATTGGAAGAACTATGCCATATTCGTTGCAGTCAAAGGCGGCTGATTCTCGAAGGCTGACGAGCAGGAGAAATGAGTCAGATCTACCAACCGGTTCGCTTCTTGAAAGGTCTCGATCTCAGCCTATAGAACCAAACGATTTACAAGATGGAAATGCTCATCTTAGTGACGAAGGTGGCACATGGGATACAGCTGAGAGAAAAAATAATGATAACAGAGACAAGGTATTTGGAAGGTTTAATTCAAGATCACTGGTGAGATCACCTCCAAGAAATCAAGACGAAAACTGTAAGTTTGATTTCCTTTCCTCGTCTTCGTTTTTTTAAAGAAATTATGACCTGCATTTGATACTGTTTCACTATCTTGGCATCTTAAATGTGGAGAGAACCCACCCATTTTGCGTTTCTGAAGGACTTGGGTATATATTTATGAGATCCTAAATATCAGCTTTTAGGTATATATGTTTATCTTTAGTACAATATGTTTTGGTAACACAACTTCTTGTTTAGTTGGTCCTTCTAAAAAATAGATATCTGCGTCTGAGTTTTCTTGATGCTGTCCTCAGTTCTAAGCTAACTAATTCTTATATTTCAGCGGACGTGATTAGCTACAATGCAAATAGAGATCCAAGTCCTACTGAAAGTATAAGAAGAGGTAACTCTCTCACGACATCTTGTTTTTTCTTTGTCATGCTCGTATGGAATGAATAGATTCTCATCATCTATCTTGATATTCTAGGAAGACTGCATTCTCTCGTTCTAAATAGGGAAAGAAGAGGAAGATTTTCCAACTTTGAGGGTCCTGTTTCGAGTTCTTCTGGTGGAAATATGACTTCACCAAACATTCGCCCTTCCAATATGGTAATGCCTCATATTTTTGTTTTCAATATGGGATCTCTGGAAATAAAACATGGTCTGTAGAAAACTAAGAATGAGTGAGAGTAAACAGTCAGATCTTCACTGTTTAACGTAAAATTTCCGAATTATAGTCTCCAACATCTCATCTAGTCATGCTTCCCCTTATGTTCCTACAGAGAATGATGGCATGTTATTTCCTTTCATACAGCTCAAGCAGAGAGGAAACCATGAGCCAGTTGATCAAGGAACGACCTCTGCTAGTGAAGAAGATATAGTTGCAGACATAATGGGGCAACACGATCAATTTTTCAGCTCTATGCATTCTCGTTTGGCTAAGTTACAGGTAACACGAAGGAAAATACAGATTATGATAATGTTTTCGGTTCTGTCCTAATTAGAATCCTAGCGATGATAGTTTTCCATAAACATTGTTAATCTTCAAAATAGTTTCACGGAATATGCAGGTAGTCCGTAGATATTGGGAAAGAAATGATATCAAAAACTCGATAAGTTCGATAGAGAAGATGGCTGATAATGCTGTAAGCAACTTCTGTTTGTATAAACACCCACTCACAATATTCTCAAAAAAGATTTTCCACTAACGCGAGCCCTCATTATTGCATTTGTTACAGGTCGTTGCGGATGTACTAGTTATAGTAACAGAGAGAGCTGAGATTTTGACACTGGACACTTGTACCTCTCTCCTTCCCCTTTTGTCAGCTCTTCTAGGGAGCAACATGGATAGGTAAGCAATTCGTTTTAAAGAAAACAATGACATGATTATTGATTGAACTATGAATCCGTAATCTTTTTTTGTCTCAAAACGCCGTTTCCTGCCCTTTAGACATTTGAGTGTCTGCCTGGATTTGCTGCTGAAGCTGGTAAGAATGTATGGGTCACAAATATACTCGTCGCTGTCCGCTCCATCATCTGCTGGTGTAGATATTGAGGCTGAGCAAAGGTTGGTTGGTCCGGGTTTCAATCTTATTACAACGTAATTACTATTGCAGTTTACTCTCTTCTGCAACTCAAAGATGTTTCTTGCTATTTCAGGATGGAGCGGTACAGTCGTTGCTTTGTTGAGCTCGAGAAAATCAAGGCTTGCCTTCCTTCTCTAGCCAGGTGAGTTTTTAATCACCTGGACAATGAACTCAAAGGTTCTCTTGTCTCTTGAAGTCTAACCATCTTATGTCTTTATGGCTATGTAGAAGAGGAGGATTGGTGGCGAAGACTATCCATGAACTCAACTTAATATTCCAAGAAGTCTCATCGTGATGGCTCCGATTTTTTTTTGGATGTGGATTTGGTTCCATTGTGGAGTTTTTTTAACAAGAAGCAAAAGCTAAGTCTACCAAGCTAACCAAAAGAGTCTACATAAGACTAACTAACCCTCGCGTATTGCATTTGGCCAATGCACGATTGCTAACTTTGCTTAGGCGGAAGCAAAATCTCTGTGTTAATGTCTCATAGGTGTGTAAAGAGCCATTTTGGCTGTTGTTTGATCTAAGCTTAATATCTTCATTAACACTGTTAAGTTGTATGTTCTCAAGAGCCTATGTATAACAAAACTGTTTTCCAGAAGATTTAGATTTTGAAGTATTTGTACCCAAAAATCGGGATTTGTCATTCCCTCTTCCCAATCTCCCATTCGTTTAACCCAAGAAATTACATATGAACAAAAGTTGGGTCTCCTTTCTATTATTTTTCACAAAATCTGAATGGAGACTGTACAGGATTACTGACCACCAATTCAGAATTAATTAGTAATATTATTCAAAGTATGTATCATTGTATCACAGTTTTTTTCTCTCTCGTCGTCATATATCATTTTCATCTCTCTATAAATTTTAAAGGGTTTTTAACTTGGTTTTTCAAAACATATAGTACTTTATTTTTTTGCTTTCTATAGAATAAAGACCAAAAAAGTAAACTTCGCATAAATCCTATCAATTGCACATGCTAGCAAGAGATCGAGATAAGTTATAAGACAAACAAGAGATGTAACAACCAAAACATTTTATTTCAACATTGGATACAAGAAAAAACGTAAATTTCACTAATAAACCTTAACAATGACGCATTGACAACAAAACCCATCCACCATAACTAAATTTCACCTAATTTTTTAACACTAACTGGATGCTCCTAGTTTGACCAATAGATGCACACAAATGGAATGCAAGTGTGTGAGTTGTAATAAACAACATATAATTCTACCTTTTTTTTATCTATCTACCATATATTATCTTATCTTATAAATTATATTCGAAAAAACACTTTTTCACAAGTGGATTATAAATATTGTCAAACGGATTTGAATTGGTGACAAAGTTTCCGCATTTAGCATATTTATCAAGTGCCAGAGATTGTTCTACCAGTTGTTTGCAAATTCGATTCAAGCTAGTGCACAGCACCACTACCAATCCTCCCTAATGTTGATATATATATATATATATATAATATATATATATATATATATAACACAAATCATGAGTGCAGCTGTATTTTTGTATTTGTATTTTTGGAATCTATTTTCAAGTGTGTGAGTTGCCAAAACAACAAAAATTCTATTTTTTGACCGGTTTTACTGCATTTATATTTTCCAACTTCTTTATGTAATTTTTGTAGAATTTTATCTACAATCCAAGTCGCATGGAAATTGTAAGAGAGGGGAATGAAAACAGTAACCATGTCATCCTTGCAACGACAGTGGGTCGAGTGGACGGCATGAATGTCTTGCACTGTCAAGACAGCCAGGGCCTCAAGTGGGGTCATCAAGGTTTCATCACGGTGGCCAGTCACTTGGTGAATACTGGAAGGAGATTAGTCTACGGAGTTGAAACTGTCACTTTGAGAAGAAAGAGGCATTTTTTAGCTTTCGAACTTTCCCTTCATTTCTCCTTAATCCCATTCCCCCTTTTAGCTGCACTCATGATTTGTGTTATATATATATATATATATATCAACATTAGGAGGATTTGGTAGTGGTGTTGTGCACTAGCTTGAATTGAATTTGCAAACAACTGGTAGAACAATCTCTGGCACTTGATAAATATGCTAAAAGCGGAAACTTTGATTCTTTTTGTTTCTGCGTTCTTTGAGCTTCTGTATAAAGCTACTTGCTTGATGTATAGCTAGTGACTGGACAAACTTCTCTAGGCTTTTTGTGGGTATCATCTAGATAATTCAAGCTTTGGTTCATCAGGATGTGGTTGCCTTGTATTAATTATTGTGCTAGCTGTCTCATTACTGTCGTCTCTTTTCTGATTTGGAACAGGTTGAAATTCATGGCTTCAGTTTGGGATTGCAATTGGAACAATGGTGTGCGAGACAAACTTGGCAATCCCATTTGCCAAGAGATTGACGACTGTTGGGCTGTTGCCCCAACGAGACAGTTCGAGATGCAACTGAAGATGATGAAAAATCATATGGCTGATGACGAGAAACTGTCAATTCAAGAGGTGATCAACATGATGCCGAGGTGTTATCTGGATATGGAGGATCCTGAAGGAGGTGGCTTGGACGACTTGGGAATGTGCGCAGAAATGCTAAAGAAACAGCTTAAACCTTTAAAGACATGCTTGATCTGGTGGCTAAGACTATCCATGAACTCAACTTAATATTCCAAGAAGTCTCATCGTTATGGCTCCGATTATTTTTTGGGATGTGGATTTGGTTCCATTGTGGAGTTTTTCTAACAAACAAAAGCTAAGTCTACCAAGCTAACCAAAAGAGTCTACATAAGACTAACTAACCCTCGCGTATTGCATTTGGCCAATGCACGATTGCTAACTTTGCTCTGGCGGAAGCAAATTCTCTGTGGTAATGTCTCAGTTGGTGTGTAAAGAGCCATTTCGGCTGTTGTATGATCTAAGCTTAATATCTTCATTAACACTGTTTAGTTGTATGTTCTCAAGAGCACAAAAGAGAAGCCTATATATAACAAAACTGTTTTCCACAAGATTTAGATTTTGAAGTACTTGTACCCAAAATCGGGATTTGTCATTCCCTCTTCCCAATCTCCCATTCGTTTGCCACCAAATACAACTTGTTGAATGCCCAAATACCTGAAATTACAAATGAACAAAAATTGAATTTTTCTGCAACAGAGAAGGAACCAATCAAAGAGGATGAAAAGACACAACAAGTCTCTTGTGTTACTTACTCTGAACTCATGACTGTCAAACAGTTGAGAAGCACATCAATGGCAAAGATATCAGAAGTACCAAGATCAACCCTGCAACACACAAAGCGAGTAAAGTTCATACTAATTACAAAGTTTTGATTAGGAGATGGTTTGGACGAGAAGGGTAAGCCGGAGAAGTTTATTTACCACACACGACCCCAGTTGTCCTGAAACTCAACGTCGCTGATATCATGGAACGATGAAGGCATCACTTTGAAGCCCTTCTCTGCGTCGTAGAGAGGATCATATTCCAAAGATGTGTTTGCTAGCTGCAATCATAGTTTGGAATATATCATTTAAGCCGACAATGGAGAAGCAACAGTAAAAAACAGAGCAGGTGATGAACAAACCTGTAAGTTAGATGTATTGAAAGCGCCCAATCGCCCCATAACATACCATGCCTGTATCACCTGTTGGGAAACTCGAGTTTTAGTCATCACAGTAAGACTGACGTTTTGCAAATAGCAAGAAGAAGATTCAATTTCTTACACTTCCAATAAGATCAACATCTCGGTCTGAAGGCGATCCATAGAGCTCAAACCATATGAAGGAGTCAACAGGATTGAAACTGCAGTTATCAAAATAAGAATACTGGTCACGTAATATCATATAAGAGTGACTAATTTGTGGAACGGAGTCTATTGTTCAGTGAAGCAATGAACAAGACGGGGAAAAAGAGTTTCTCACTCTCTGAAGTTGACTTTGAAAGAAAGCACAGAGCCAGTCTTCTGTTTCTGCAAATCTTTTCCCTTCTTCCTGACCCTTTCCTCAACCTGAATAAACAGTAAACAAACATGTCTTTCTTCACAATCGATAGGAGCAACGCATAAAAATGTCTGCACATATCCAAACCTTCATCAACAGTGAAGAAAATGCATAGAGGAGAAGCCAACATTTACCTTCTTTCTCATGAGCTCAGGGTCTCCGATGCTATCACCAAGAACAGCTCGAAGCTCTTCATCGTCTTTACACGCACTCTCCAGTACCCTGCATTTATAATTTTCATTCCTTACTGTTTCAGAAAAGTTAAAAACTCAATTCACCAAAGGTTCACGCTTCCTCGCGACTTGGGCAAAAAGACGAACACTTGGAGTGCAAAAGAGAAAGAAAGAAAAAAGGTACTTGGCCCAAGCTGGGTAATCGTGAAGACGGTCGTAATCGCGTTTCCTCTTCTCTTCTCTAACCTTGAGCAATCTCCTTCCTCTCGCCGTCGTCCCCGACCCTTTCTTCTCCACCGACATTCCGCCGTCATTTTCACCGGAGAGGTTGTCGGAATTAGCAGAAACAGCGACGATAGTGGGGAGGTTACGCTTGTGTGGAGAAAATGGTTGTGATTGAGAGACAAGGAAGGACGAGAAAGCAAAATTGAGATTGATGGCGCATGAAGGAAGGGACAAGAGATGATTTTTGAACATTTTTAATTTCCTCGTTCGATCAATTCGCGTTTCTGTAGAGCGTCACTGTAAACCAACAAGCTCAGGTTGAGTTTGCTGCACCAAAACTCATAACTCTAAAACCGGTTAACTCTTCAATCCGGTTCAGGGGGAGCTTTATCCAATCGAACAAACGGTATGGAGCTCTAAAATCAGTTTAGTGACATACCTTTTTGATTATCACAACATTCGTTTCTTTAACATCATCATACACTTACCTTACTGTGGGAAAATCCAATAAACAAAGAGGCCAAAGCAATGGAGGAGACAAGATTCAAGAGCGGTGAAATGTGTTTATATAATATGCTAAATGTATACAAAAGTACATTACAAACCATTCACAACGAATTTTTTCGGATCAATTTGCAGATTTTTTTTGTTCTCAGTCAAGAGGAGAAAGAGAAGAAAACTTTGCCTTTCTTAATTCAATTCAGGGATCAAGTAACTCGAATTCGTCTTCCTTGAGATGAGTGAAGAATTTGACAGGACCACGACCTTCGATCTCTTTCACGAACTGTACCTTGAACGGCAGATTAGCTGAGATTCGCTTCCCTTTCCAGAGGACGACGTAGTCTTTGATCAAACCTTCCATTCCCATCAATTCAACCTCCGGCACGCGAACCACGTGGTAAACTTTCAACGGCGCCGTAACCCTAACCTTAGCCCCAATCTTCGCCTTCGCCTTCTCGTCTTCCTCCGTCTCCAATGACGTCGGCGACGACAGATCAGCGTCCGCGTCCACAGAAGCCGCCGATTTCACTGCAATATCGCACCGGATCGTCGATTTTGGATTCTTTCGCGAGATTGAGAAGGCGCATTTGCTTCGACCATAGGAAGTAGACAATGAGATAGGAACGCAAATATAAGAACAGGAATTGATTGATTTGCGTCCATTAACAGAAGCAGCTGAGAAACAGTCTTGCGATGGCAGAGGACGAACGGCGGCAACAATCGCCGGTGACATAACGAAACCGCTAGTCATCTGCGCAAGTCCGACGAGCCGGAAAAAAAGGTATCTGATTCTGAAGACGGAAAGTGAGAGTAAACAGAGAAAAAGAGAGAGAAAACGTAAGCTTCCACTGTATTTATCTGAGATAATTAAGTTAAATTAGAGTCAGATTATTATTGGATAAAAGAAAGGCGACGCGTGTCAGCCTTAAGACTTAGGACAAATGTAAAGGCTTCGGCTTCAAGGGATGAGGAACTTGTGGCTTCAGAGAGACAGAGAAGGCTACACTGTAAATATCTTGAGAGACAGGTCTAAATAAAAACAAAATGAAAATTTTAATTTGTATATATCCACAGTGAGTGGTGTTTCTGGATAAATTACCAAAATGAATCAAGTCAATTACAAGAAAGAAAAAAGATCAAGGAGAAAGGCTTTGTGTTGCTATTGACTAATGTTGCTATCAAGGCAAAGATTTAGCGTAGCTTTCTTTAACCATTGTCTTCACAAAAAGCTCCCCTGCTCTGTATGAAGATCTTACCTGCAAAAATACACATATATATATCAAAATCAAAACAAGCACATTTTCTGGTTCTTCAGTGTTTAGTAATTTGCAGATATTCAGATATTTATGACATAAAGAGATGGGGACAGTTCGTGGCTTTTACCAGAGGACCACTTGCAACATATCGAAATCCAATTGATTCTCCGTATGTTTTCCAGAAATCAAACTTCTCAGGTGTGACATACTCTTTCACAGTCAAATGCAAAGGAGTTGGCTGGCATTGTGGAACAAAAGAAAAAGGTTTTCAAAAAAACGTCCATGTTCTTGGGAATTTGCGATGTTTAAGTAATGATTTTTACCTGTAAATACTGTCCAAGTGTTAGAATGTCAACATCTATAGCTCTTAAATCAGCCATTGCTTCCTTTAACTCGTCGTCTGTTTCTCCAAGGCCAAGCATTATGGATGTCTTTGTGATCATTCCAGGCTTGCTGATCTTTGCGTGCTTCAAAACCGACATGCTCTGCTCATATCTGCATTCTCCACATGACATTCATATTTAAAAAGGACATCGACTACTAATAAAAGACAAGTTGACTTCTCCTAACAGATGATCAATTCTCTAATCAGCCCATCAATGATGCCATAACCAACTTTGCAAAACGAAGAACAAGGAAACAACACTCACCCAGCCCTAGGATCCCTCACAAGTCGCTGGAGCCTTTTCACAGTCTCGATATTGTGAGCAAAAACATCCAATCCTGAGTGTACAAGAGTGTCGACAGCTTCCAAGTCTCCTCGGAAATCAGAAGTTAAGCACTCTATCATTATATCCGGTTTAAGTCTCTACAGAGATGAGAAAACGTTTTGAAAATTTGCATTTGATACTTTCATGTCATAAATAGTCTGTTAAATAGTAATACTTAAAAGATATCATGGGACAGAGCTCTCATCCTAGAAACTTATTGTATAAACAACAACTAGACTCACCTTCATAGCTTTAACAGTCTGCTCAAAATGTCCACTTCCACCATCAGGTAGATCGTCACGGTCTACGCTGGTAATAACTATGTAGTCTACACTGCAACAATGGAAAAGCCAAGAGTGCATATCATATTTACACTGATCACAAATTTTACAAGGCTTCAATACAACTAAATTTCCCATCATTATATGCATAAGTGACTGTTTGAGACTGCAATGACACCATTCTCTAATTTTCATCCCATCTTCATTTACTTGATTCACTTAACGACAGATCTTTGTTAAGCTCTACTCAATATCACAAGAACACAACCTTATAAAAGAGGAAGAAAAGCCACCCACCCCCAACTAGTTATGGCCTTGGCAGTGTTCTCTGGCTCCATGGGATCAGGAGGCGCAGGATTTCTACTGGTTTTAACTGCACAAAACCTACAGCCACGAGTACAAGTGTCGCCAAGAACCATTATGGTTGCAGTTGCTACACCATCCCCACCTCCATTCCAACACTGCAACATCAAAACCAAACTTCAGAATATCTTTTTAGACAAAAAAAAAAGCTTAAAAAGATCAGAGGATTCAACCTTGAATTTCTCAATGACCACACACAATTCAACAAATTTACGAGATCAGAGGATTCGTATCAAAGACACGGAATTGAAAATGCTAACCTCGCCGATATTAGGGCACTGGGCTTCCTCGCAAACAGTGTTGAGCTTGAGGCGAGTTAGCGACTCCTTGACCTCCTGAAACCTCTCGCCCTGTGGTGCCTTTTGTCTCAACCACGAAGGTTTCTTCACATTCGGATCTCTCCCTGTGAAAGGACCCATCTTCGGCATTCCTCCTGGGTAAGGCTCGCTCTTTTGAGCTTCTGACTCCATCAGATTCTTCTTCAAGGACGAGCCCTCCATCTCCGACGACAAGGACAACGCATTGGCCCGGGTCGAGACATCCCCGGATTCGGATCGGATTCTGAATCCCGAATTGAAGAAGCTAGTGGAATGATGGTGCTTGTGGGTGGAGATCGAAATTGAGAAAGTGGGTTTCGTGATGGAGCAATGATGAATCATTTTGTTTGAGAGATTTTTGCGTCTCTGTGTGTGTGTGTGATTGTGATTTGTGAGGCAAAATGAGGAAGAAGGTTTTAGGCGATTTGAACAGAGTGTAGAGAGACTCTCTGGTTCGGTTAGCAACTTTGGTATATCCGCCAACTACCAATTACTGCGCGCAAAGAAAAAAACTGATTATGACATAGACATCTCAACAACTGACTAATTACAATCAGTGTGTTAGGAAAATTAATAAAAACAATTACAGGAAAATACCTTAAAATACCACAAGGCAAGTTTTTGAAAAGATCACCACAATTTTTTTAAAGTGTTAATAATATAGTTATGATGCAGGGAGGAAAAAAAACACCACAGTTTCCTGGGTCCTAATTCTTCTACCTTGGAGGTGTGTGTCTGTATAAATAAACGTCTTGTTAAGTCCTATGATTAATGGAGATGTTTAGAGACGGTCTTAGTAATGATTTTGTGTGTGTTTGTGTGTGTGTGTGTGTGTGTGTGCAGTCTTAGAAATGATTAATTATGTAAAATAAATATATTGTATGCTTATGAGAAACTTGCTCGATATTTGTTTATTGGTGTTTTGCCTTGGAGACTAACAAATTTGCTGCTTCCAGAGGCTGGAAACGTTAACAGAGTGTTACATTCTAGTTCAGGAGAACAATGAAATTCCTAAATGAGAGAACGTGAAAGTCAAACAGCATAAACTACTCAAATAAATAATAATAATACATCATAAAACTATAAAAGTACTTCGTTCTACTTATGAAAATGGTGAGAGATTTCCAGCACTATTTGAAGGTACGATTCCAACTTTTTGAGGTACGTCCGAGAGTCCGATTATAATACAGCGCCATTTTCATAAAATGAAAATTTGCGTAATGTACATAATTTAGTTTTGATTGAACCACTCCGGTTTAATTTGGTCCGGTTTGTTTTTGTTTTTCCCTTTCACTTTCTTACATTTGTAAATCTTTCTCTTCCGATTAAACTACTAAACCCTAAAATAAATTACATTTCTTACATTTGTAAATCTTTCTTAAGGAGGCGATAAACCCTAAAATAAAACGAAAAAACTTGAACAAAAAGTAATCTTTCATTAGCGTACAACTGATGTCGTCAATGGAGGAGGTTGAGCACGAGGAGCCGAATCTGGAAGAAAGGGTGAGGAAGAAAGGTAAACACGACAAGGATAAGCCATGGGACAATGACCCAAACCTCGACCGTTGGAAAATCGAGAAGTTCGATCCGGCATGGAATCCGACCGGTATGCTCGAAGTCAGCTCCTTCTCCACTCTGTTTCCTGTATACAGAGAGAAGTATCTTCAGGATTCTTGGCCCAGAGTCGAATCTGCTCTCAAAGAATACGGCGTCGCCTGCAAACTCAACTTGGTGCGTTCGCCGCATAAAACTAATTAGGGTTGTTTTGTTGATTCGGTTTTATTTGGGGTTCTCGTTTGATCTGTTTAGACTTTGGTGATTGCAATGGTAGGTGGGAGGTTCTATGACTGTTTCGACGACGTGGAAGACAAGAAATCCGTCTATCGTTGTCAAAGCTAGGGATTTGTTAAAGCTTCTATCGAGAAGTGTTCCTGCTCCTCAGGTATTTTTCAAGAGCTTAGTTACAACTTACAATCGAATTCCTCTTTTCTCTTTTCTTCTGACACTTGTGTAAGCTAACTTCTATGTAATTATTGGAAGTCTTTAATTTTCTGATATTTGGGGGTTTTCCGCTTTTCTTGACTTGCATTACAGGCAATTAAGATTCTTGAAGATGAAATGCGATGTGATATCATCAAGATTGGAGGCTTGGTTCATGATAAGGTATACATTCAAAAGTATCAGACCTAACCTGAATTATTGCTTGCGAATATGTTTTGATATCAATATGTATCTCTGGCATGCATTTTCAACGGGTCCTAATATTGTCTATCATTTCAGGATAAATTTGTTAAAAGAAGGCAGCGGCTTGTGGGTCCTAATTCTTCTACCTTGAAGGTGTGCAAACTCTCTGGTTAATAGTGATGTCATGCTAGTTGTGTATTGCTTAACAAGTCGTGCGAAACCTTTAGTATTTCTTTTGTGAAAACTCCTGACCTGAGACAAACTTGCGGAATATTTTTGTTTGTTACTGTCATGCTTTGAGGCTTAATGATTTTGGCTGTGTGCAGGCACTGGAAATATTAACCAACTGTTATATTCTAGTTGAGGTAATTGTGTGTTTCTTTTGCCACTGTTTTGCTCCGAATATAGATTCTCTCTGGGTTTTTGATATTTCCTTGTTCCTTGGGATTAATCTGCATCTAACAGGGTGGGACTGTTGCCGCAATGGGTCCTTATAAAGGCCTCAAACAACTGAGAAAGATTGTGGAAGACTGCCTCATGAATATAATGCATCCTGTCTACCATATTCGAGGAAGTTAGAAAGCTGCATGCAGAAACCTATGGCCCTATTTTTTTTACAATTATTATTATGTTGCCATATTTAGGTCGGATATGCAAAATCTACAATATTTGTTGAGAAAGACTTTATTTTATTTTTGATCTGGTCGTGTAACTGTTTTAGGGGTTTTATGATACAGTTGTAACAGTTATTGATTATACACTCGAGAAATGCATCAAGCAAGCTTCAAGAACATGAGCTCAGAATCCTTGGTTAAAAGAAAAGAACATATGAGCTCGGAGAACAATGAAATTCCTAAAAGTCAAACAGCATAACTACTCAAATCAATAATAACAATACATCAAAAAAAGTACTTCGTTTACTTATGAAAATGGTGAGAGATTTCCAGCACTATTTGAGGTACGATTCCAACTTTTTGATGTACGCGCCGAGGGTCCTTTTTTTTTTTCACCCGCGCGTTTCTGGTTACAGACAATGAATGATACTTTCAGAAGTCTTCGCATTTTACAACACCGGTTCTGTCCGATTATAATAAAGCGCCATTTTTATAAAATGAAAATTTTAGCGCTACTACATAATTTCGTTTTGATTGAACCACTCCGGTTTAATTTGGTCCGGTTTGTTTTTGTTTTTCCCTTTCACTTTCTTAAATTCTTTCGGGCTAAATTCTCTCTCTTCCGTTTAGGAATCGATAAACCCTAGTATTAAACGAAAGCTTCGCCGCCGTCTCCAGAGCACCAACTGATGTCGTCAATGGAGGAGGTTGAGCACGAGGAGCAGAATCTGGAACAAAGGGTGAGGAAGAAAGGTAAACACGACAAGGATAAGCCATGGGACGATGACCCAAACCTCGACCGTTGGAAAATCGAGAAGTTCGATCCGGAATGGAATCCGACCGGTATGCTCGAAGTCAGCTCCTTCGCCACTCTATTTCCTAAGTACAGAGAGAAGTACCTTCAGGATTGTTGGCCCAGAGTCAAATCTGCTCTCAAAGAATACGGCGTCTCCGGCGAACTCGACCTGGTGCGTCGCCGCCGCATTTAGGGTTGTTTTTACCGATTTGACCTTTTTTGGGTTCTCGTTTTGATCTGTTTGGACTTTGGTGAATTGCCCAATGGTAGGTTGAAGGTTCCATGACTGTTTCGACGACGAGGAAGACAAGAGATCCGTATATCATTGTCAAAGCTAGGGATTTGATAAAGCTTCTATCGAGAAGTGTTCCTGCTCCTCAGGTATTTTTCGTTACAATCGAATTCCTCTTTTCTCTTTTCTTCTGTAAGCTATCTTCTATGTAATTGGAAGTCTTTAATTTTCTGATATTTTTGGGTTTTTGGCTGTTCTTCACTTACATTACAGGCAATTAGGATCCTTGAAGATGAAATGCAATGTGACATCATCAAGATTGGAGGCTTGGTTCATAATAAGGTATACATTCAATCTCTAGTCTTAAGTATCAGACCTGAGCTGAATTATCACTAACTGATGACTTCCTGTTAAGTTGCTTGCGAATAGGTTATGATATCAATATGTACCTCTGGCATGCATTTTAAACGGGTCCTAATATAGTCTATCATTTCAGGATAGATTTGCTAAAAGAAGGCAGCGCCTTATCGGTCCAAATTCTTCTACATTGAAGGTGTGTATAAACTGTCTCGTTCTAAGTCGTATGATTTATGGAGATGTTAAGTGATAGTGTTGGTGATGTTAGTTGTGTATTCTTTTGTGCAAACTCTTGAGAGAAACTTGCGGGATATTTTGTTTGTTTGTTACTGTCATGCTTTGAGGCTTAATGATTTTGGCTGTGTGCAGGCACTGGAAATATTGACCAACTGCTATATTCTAGTTCAGGTAATTGTGTGTTTCTTTTGCCACTGTTTTGCTGCGTATATAGATTCTCTCTGGGTTTTTGATATTTTCTTGTTCCTTGGGATCAATCTGCATCTAACAGGGTGGTACTGTTGCCGCAATGGGTCCTTATAAAGGTCTCAAACAACTCAGAAAGATTGTGGAAGACTGCCTAAGGAATATAATGCATCCTGTGTACCATATAAAGGTGTGTATGAAGTATTTCTCTGTTTTTATTGGTTCTCCGCGCTTCAGTTACACTCTCACGAGAAGGTGGTTTCGAAGATTTGTGTTTACACTAGGTCAAATTGGTTCATATGCTTCCACACTTTGGTTATGCAGATTCTTATGGTGAGAAATGAACTGGCAAAGGATCCAGCTCTTGCAACTGAAAGCTGGGATAGGTTTCTTCCTAAATTCAAGAAGTAGGAGCCTTCTTTCTATCCATGACCAGTGAATCAAGTGGTGTCTTTTGATATATTCAGCAACTCTTGAAAGCATCTAACCATATCAAATTTGATTTCTCAGGAGAACTGTGAAGGAGGACCCCAAAAGCAAGAAGAAGGAGCCCAAAATCAAGAAGGAGGAGCCCAAAAGCAAGAAGAAGAAGCCATACTCAGCTTTCCCTCCTGAGCCACAGCCTAGCAAGGTAAGAAAGCTTGACTCTTACGCGAATTCTCCACCATTTCCTATATTACTCTTCTCAAAACCTCTTATTGCATCCTTTTGTCTGTGTGTCTCTACGACATCTGTTGGAATGTTTCTCCATAAATCTTTTTTCTCCAGGCCGTATCTAGTTTCAGCTTTTGTTGATCATATTCATCATCTTTTTTTCTGCAAATCCTTTGGTTCTCAGGTCATGTTAATGCATGGTTTTGACCTTGTTGTATGGTTTTTACAGGTTGATTTACAATTGTTATCTGGTGAATATCACTTGAGTGAACAAAAGAAGGCAGAGAAAAAGCAGCGGGAGAAGCAAGAGCAACAGACGAAGAAGAGTATGGATAATAAATTAAAGAGAGATGCCTCACATGTCCCTCCTGAGGTCTCTCTTCGACCTTCCTTGTCACAATATAAAATTCGCAATCTCGTCTCCTCTTTCTACTTAAAACTTTCAAAAATTTATAACTCTACTCTCTTGGACTGGTTATTTGCAGGAACCTGTGATGAACAATAACAACTCAAACCAATCTGAGGGTGGCAAGGAAGATCTAACCGAGCTGACAAAGTCCTTGAAGGTAATGAAATCTTTATCGACACACCTCTCTTCTTACTGTTCTCAAATCGAAAGATCATTAGCACTGGGTATGGTTCTTATTGGTCTTGATGATTTTTTGGTTTTGCAGAGCAAGACAGAAGAGTTGAAGAAGCGGAAGAAGACGCAAGAGAAAGTGAATGCAGAGGACTATATTGCTGGTGATAAACCTTCCAAGAAGAAATCCAAAGTTACTAGAGATTAAGTCTAAAGTTAAAAACATGTTTTTTGTTTGAAATTGAATCATATCTTCTTTCTACTTTTTGGTCAGAAGTTTGAAATACATCTAATGATCAAAACTATATAAACAAGTTATATCTTAAGTTTATGGATTCCAAAAGTATGCTTGCAGATGATATAAGCTCCAAAGTCCAAACTTTAGTTGCTTTCTGGTATATACTATGCCTATTAACTGGAAATGCATGTGTAAATAGATAAATTAAAATAAAAAACCAAAAATGAAAAGGTGACGTGGTGCCACTGGTCCTTCTTTCCCTCTCAGAGCCTCTCTCTCCTCTTAACGAAAGTCGCCTGAGAGAATCTGGAGCTCTCTCTAGTTTATTTTTTCTCCGCCGGATTTTTGTGGTTTCCGTCAATTTCTTCTCGGCGGGCTCCACTCAGGCCAAGTAATTTATTAAGATCCGGTTCGCCACTCGCCACCCCGGTGGGTTTTTCTTCTACATCGGGCGTTCGTCAAAGTGAAGGTTTTTTTTATTGATTCCGTTTCTCTCTCTCCATTTGGAATTTCTTACACTTGTCAAATGGAAAATTATTAGAAGATACGACTTTCGTTTAGTTTCCGGAAGGCTTAGAGTTTCTTAAGCTCGATTAGGTACTGGTTTTACTACTTTTGGAGAAATTCTGGGCTGAAGCGAGTGTTAATGGGGGAGATAACTTGGGTTGAGGAAGGTAGTAGTAATGGCCATGCGACTGGCTCTAGGAAGAGGAAAGTTCGACCCAAAAGATTCCAGTTTGTAGGATGGGGTTCGAGACAGCTCATTGAGTTTCTCCAGTCTCTTGGCAAAGATACAACAAACAAGATCTCCAGATTTGAAGTTAGTGAGGCTATTGGAAAGTACATCGCTGAGAATGGTCTCTTGGATTCGTCGAATAAGAAGAAAGTTGCATGCGACGATAGGTTGGTTTCGCTTTTCGGGGCCAGGACGATATTGAGGATGAAAGTCTATGATCTGCTGGAGAAGCATTACGAAGAGAATCAGGATGATTCGGACTTTGATTATCTCTACGAGGACGAGCCGCAGATCATTTGTCACTCTGAGAAGATAGGTAGCCGGACGAGAAAGGTTGTTGAGAAGAAACCTAGAGGCACTTTTGCTGCAATTGTGAGTGATAATGTCAAGCTTGTCTACTTGAGAAAGAGTTTAGTCCAGGAACTGGTCAAGTCTCCTGAGACCTTTGAGGGTAAAATGTTGGGAAGCTTTGTGAGGATCAAGCCTGACCCTAATGATTATCTTCAGATCAACCCTTATCAGCTTGTTCAGGTGACAGGTAATTAGTTTCTGATTTGTGATTTCTATGAACAAACCTCTTAAGATTTTCTCTGTTTGCTTAAAAGTCTCTGGTCTGTCGTAGAAAGTTGAGCTCTTTTTGTACTTTTGTTTTTGTCTGTTTTCTAGGCGTGAAGAAGGAACCTGGGACTGACGATTTCCTTCTTCAGGTTACAAATTATATGAAAGACGTTTCTGTCTCTATGCTATCTGATGATAATTTCTCTCAGGTAATTGGCTTAGAAATAACGTCCATTTCTCAAGTTTTGTTCTTCTAATTGATGACAAATCAGATACTTAAGTGCTTTGAGAACCGGCCATTGGGTTTCTATTTTCTAGTTATCTAGATGTACTAATCTTCATTGTTTGAGTAACGTTCCATTCCAGCCTTTATGGTATTTGATTTGTCATAGCTTTATGTAAAAAAATTTGCAGGAGGAGTGTGAAGATTTGCATCAGAGAATAAAAAACGGTTCTCTTAAGAAGCCCACAATTGTAAGTTTATTACTCTATTAAGATACCTCATTTGGCAGATTCGAACGTTCTTGCAGTTTATGGCGTCTAGATTTTGTTTTGTAGTAGTTTTGTTTAATTAAAATTCATTTGAACCTTGAGTAGGTGGAGATGGAAGAAAAGGCTCGAAATTTACATGAAGATCAGACAAAACACGTACGGTTGCTAACTTCCTCTCTTGCTTCATTTCTCTATCTCTTATCTGTCTCGCTCTTAAGCTTGACTACAATGACATCATTGAGATGATTAACTTGTAGCCGTGTGTGATTTTTGTAGTGGCTTGGACGAGAAACTGTATTGTTACAAAGGCTTATTAATCGGGCCAATGAGAAGGGATGGCGAAGAGAATATCCTTTTTTTTGAGCGATACATTTTGTTTTACTTTGAAATGAATAATTATCATTTGGGAGATCTGGAATAAGTTCGTCTTTGCTTATTGTTTTTCCTTGATTAGATGAGTTGTCACGCTGTCCGAGTATCTAGAAAAAAGGGAGCTTCTTCAAAATCCAGAAGAACAGTCCCGGCTACTCCGCGAAGTTCCGGAAGTTATCGGAGAGGAACTTGTACCAAACCCTGAAGCGTCCCTTGAGGATCATACAACTGATAGTGAACAGAGATTGAGCGAATCTCCAATATCGAGCATTCAAGAAACCCCAGAAGTCCGCCGCGAACTTTTCGGTGGAGAAGATCAACAATGTAATGGTCTCCTGGCATCAACCCCCATCACAACCGCCTTGTATGGTATGGAGTTAAACGAGAGATTGCCAACATTGACTGCTTCTGCAGGTGCGTCATAAACATGTATAAGGGTTACTTGTTTTCACTGCGTTATGAATTGTTTAAAGATGAAAGACTGATTTGCATCAATGGGTTTGGTCTGGTAATGGTTTCCAGATGTAGAGCAGCCAACAGAAGGCATCACTGGAGGAGAGACGCAGACTAAAGAGTCCAACGTGTCTGAGCTTCAGACAATTAATCCCAGCAACGGATCTCAACCTCAACCAAATCCATCAGAGATAATCGAACTGAGCGACGATGATGATGAAGGTGACAACGATGACGGAGAGACCGTTGATCCTGGAGTTGAAGATATTAAGGCTATGTCTTATGATAAAGACAAGTTGGACTGGTTCTACAAAGATCCTCGGGGTCATATACATGGACCTTACGCTCTCACGCAACTCAAAGCTTGGAAAGACGCAGAGTACTTCAACGAAGACTTCAAGGTTTGGATGACAGGACAGAGCCTGGAATCTGCAGTTTTGCTAACCGATGTTCTTCGTGGAGTCTGAATTTACTTTGAAGACTACTAGATTCAGTTATTTGTTATTGTTATTGTGCCTGTGTTTGTGTTTAAATTACAGCTCTTGCTCCTCCTTTTCAGTAAAACTGCAAATAAAGAAAAGGGTGTGAAGCTAACTCCTTAAGATTATGAAATGAACAGTTTGTTTTGTCACTCTTTGCCATTACAGAATCTTTTCTAAAATTTTGTTGCCAAAAGCCTGGAACATAAAAAAAAAAAAAAAAAGGATTTAGGAATCTAGCTGAATCTAGAGTAACTCAAACATATTAATAGTGGGATAAATAAATTTGTCTGGTTAAATAACCGAAATACAGGTTATTTAGCTAATACAGGTTAGTACAATTACAGCCAGGTTACGAATATAGAAAATTACTATAACTTACTACAATTGCAGATATAACAAACAAAATTTGGTGTGATAATACTAATTAATTTATTTAAGACAATGAGTGCTGAATATTCTATCTCGAGTAAACACTATTATTAAAGAGTGGAAAACAACTTTAATAATTAGAATTGGAACGAAAATAATGAAAATGAGAAACCCAATTCTGAGGTCACAACGCTCACAACTCCTGAAGAAAAACTGAAGAGAGAGCTTGTTCGAAGAAGAAGGACAAGCTTCTTTAATCCATTTTTTTTTATTTGTATTTCTCTTCTTCTTATGATTCGAAACTCGTCTTCATCATTCGTCCCCAATCATACTATTCCTTCTCAATCTCCGAGCTCGTTTTTTCAATTTGTTTTCGAATTTTCTTCTCTCTCATTACTGTTGAAATCTCGAAGGTTTCTCTTCTGGTGATACCTGAATGGTGATTGGTTACTGGAAAACCTAGATGAGAATTTGAGAGTTGGCGGAAATTGGAGCCGTTTTGTTTTGTTCAGAGTTATTCGAGGGTTCGATTTCGAATTCGTGAGCTTGGAGGACTGAAAATGGACAACGGCCATGAGGAAAGACTTGCCGCGAGGTTTACAGGAGTCGGACTCGGAGAAGCTTCTGGCTCCCATGAAAATGACGTTACAAACGATAGCTTGTTTCAGGTCATCAAAGCTGTTGAAGCCGCAGAAGCCACAATCAAGCAGCAGGTCTCCTCTCTCTCTCTCTCTCAGTCACTTCATTTCTTCACTTTAAGTTCCCTTCCAAGGTTCATGTGTAGCTTTTAGTTAGGGCATACGAATATAGCTGCAAAATGATGTAGGTTGATTTTCGCTTTCCACTTGTAGGGAATGGAAATGAGTATAGTGTTAGTTGCGTCCACCAGATGGATCTTCTTGCTCAGCTTGAGCGAGTCTGACTGTTTTACATATTTCTCTGAGCAGGTGGAGGAGAATAACCTCTTAAAGTCTGAACTTCAGAGAAGATATCTGGAGCTGGCCAAATATGTAAGTGACTTATAGAAAGAAGTATCTCTTCTGGTCCCTAGTGATTCTCAAGGATCTTTCCATAGAGCTCTGTTGACATTTCCATGTTATGCGTTAGGGTCCCTCTTTGGTAAATCTGTGGTTTTCATGCTGGTTTGTTTTTGTTCTCTTATCTTTTATAGAAATCAGGTGAATCCTTGCCCCAAACGTCTGATCAAGGAGATCACTCTAATCCTACCACCAGTGGGTCTCCCCTGTTTCACCAGTCAGCCGGTGGTATTAGTCCAGTTGATCGGAGAAAAGGCACGATCCATGCTTCAGGTGCTGAATCATCAGGTGTGCTAGTTGTTCACCAGCATATGCATCCAAATGGAGAGGAAGCTACTGTGAGTAATCGTTCTGAAGGCAATTCTGACGGAATCATGACGAATGGCATTGTAAGAGGAGCTGTAGGTGGTGGGGGAGCCTCTCCATTGTCTTCTTCGCCATCGACAATATCACTATCTCCTATGAGGTATTTAATCTATAACTCAAACTGGCCTGGTGCTGCGGTTTTAGGTTCATCTCATGGTTCAGCCATATTTGCATCAACACAGTGTATTCTCGTAATTCAGTATCTGATTTCCTTTGTTAGACCGCTATTGGAAGGAGATCCTGACTCACACATCAACTCGTCTACTCATGAGTTGATGCCAGTAGGCGAAGTAAATAATTCAGGGAATGCATGGAATCAGGTCTCAGTCACTCTTACTAAGTCTTGTTTCGTTTCTAGTGAAAATGAGAAAATATTTCCCTGACTATGCAACTATCCAGGATCTCATTCACAAGGTCCAAGAACAGGAACAAGAGATTGTGCGGTTACAAAAATATCTTGCTGATTATTCTGTCAAGGTGAATCTCTAGTTTTATATGCATGCTTGGTTGACTTTACGCTACATTTTATGACTAACCTTTTGGCTTGTTTTTAGGAAGCCCAAATACGCAATGAAAAATATGTTTTGGAAAAGCGTATCGCGCACATGCGTTTGGTGAGCTTTTCTTTCTATTTATTATGACATCTGTTTAAATTTCTTGTATCAACTTATATCTTCTTCTTCTCGTACCATTTACTGGCTCATTTATTCTTCTTGCGTGACAGGCATTTGATCAACAACAACAAGACCTTGTTGATGCTGCATCAAAAGCTCTCTCTTACAGACAAGAGATTATTGAGGAAAATATACGCCTGACATATGCCTTACAGGTATTATCATCTTTTATCTTTGGATATGCGACAAGAATTGTCTTTCTTTTGGCATATGTATTGTTGATCTTCGTTTCTACTTTATCTATCTAAATGGAAAAGGTCCTTTTCACTCTACCAGGCTGCAGAGCAGGAGAGATCTACATTTGTATCGTACTTGTTGCCTCTTCTGTCGGAATATTCGCTGCATCCACAGATCTCTGATTCTCAGTCTATTGTTAGCAATGTGAAGGTCAGAATCTTGGAAAACTATTTACTGTTAAATTGTAGTTTGGGTGGTTGCTCTGCATTTTGGCTGGAAAGTTTCAACTTTAACACGCTGGAAATTCATAAAAGTAAAACATAATTGTATAATACAGAAAATGATGTAAAAGGTCGCCCAAGTATTTGTTTCGATAGAGAACTCAAGTGACTGATAGAGCTTCCTAAAGTTTTTATTGTCTCTCTTTGCCGTCAGAACTTGTGATTGATGTTTACATATATGTTTCATTCGTATTCAGGTTCTATTTAGGCATCTGCAGGAAAAGCTTCTTCTTACTGAGGTATGATATGCGGGTATGGGGTTTGCTGGCATCAAATTTCAGCGTTTGTTTCATTTGTAATCACAGTTTAAGCCTACTATTGATGCTGGAGCTATTGGCCACTGATTTATACTAAGGTTATTCGTTAATCTTTTTCCTTGTCTGGTGGCAGACAAAGCTAAAGGAAACAGAGTACCAATTAGCACCTTGGCAGTCAGATGTAAACCACTCAAATGCTTCGCCTTTGTCACCATATCACCCTGTTGGTGTGAGTTTGAGATACTCCGTAAGTTCATATTCCTGTGTGTAATATCAATGTTCTGAAGTGACTTGATTACAAAATTCCTTCTTTTATTTCTATCAGACAGATCCGGAACACCATCATCAAGATGGGCGTGGTGTCTCAGCTGCGAGTAATTACCAACTTGATGGTCCTGAGAGGTATTAATGATTGTTTATGAATGCTTAAAAGAACTGATATAAAGATAATGCCGAAAACAATGAACATTGTGATTTTTTTGAGTAATGGGCATGGCTACGCTATATGCAGTAACCATGCATTTCCAAACTGTTAAGTTTTTCGTTCAGTTAAACATTTTATTGACTCTTGGATACTCTCAGAACCATTTATATTTTCTTGTTACTTTTCTATATGGCCATTAAATAGTTCAATTTGTAGCATGGTAGTAATTTCCGAGTCCTCGCCTGATTTTTATGCAATGCAGTTGATGGTGGATGAGTGCTTTTGATTGTAATGTTGATTTTATTTAGATGATCAAATGTGTCTCTTGTTCCAGTAGGTCACCAGCCTTTCAGATGCATGTGCAACCAACTCTTAATCAAGATGAATCTCATGGACCAAATACCCGTGTTCAGTTTCGTGAGCCTCTCAGCAATACATTTATGGACGACGCATATGCAGAAGTACAAGCAGATACAAATAAAACTTTGGAAACTGCGAATTATGCAGCTGAGTTTGATGATCCAAGCTCCTCGAATTACCCTATTTTGGCCCCAGTTCTTGAAGAACCATCTTCATCATATTCCGAGGGTAATGTTTAATTAGTAGTGGCATATTACCAATTCCATCACAGTCTTTCACTTTGTCTTAAAATACTGTGAATCACTCCTTGCAGCTGCAGATGACGATCTTTTGCCAGCTATAGCAGAATTACAGATATCAGGAGAACCTTTTCCTGGACGAGAGCTTCAGGCTTCTGGTCACTCCATCAATGGAACGACAAAATGTAATTTTGAGGTGCATGCCAAATAGAGAGCTGTATAATTTACCTGGTTTATTTCAAATTTCATTTTATATATCTTCGTCTCTTCTTGAAAATTTCAGTGGGTGCGGCATCTGGAAGATGGATCAGTGAATTACATTGATGGTACACATTTTCCCCCTACTACCCTTGATTTGTTCTCAAAGATTATCTTTCATTTTTCTCCTTACAATTAAATATGGCGATAAGAGCTTAATTGTTGACAATATCCAAATGTAGGAGCAAAGAAGCCAAATTATCTTGTCACTGCCGATGATGTTGACTTGTACCTTGCTATTGAAGTTCACCCCTTGGACGACAAGAACCGCAAGGTTCATTTCCTTAAATCTTTTCTGGTGAATGAGTGTTTGCTTCTGAAGCTTTTAATTCGATTTTCCGTGGATAACATTGCTTAAGATTGAGGTGTTTTGTAGAAGCTTGATCAGCCATTAGTTAGTTATATTTTCTGAATTTTATTACTCTGCGAAATGTGAGAACCATTTTGTTACCTGACCGGTTTTCAGTTTTACATGTGACTCGTACTAATTCATATTTTTCTTTTTGTGATTCTAGGGGGAACTTGTGAGGGTCTTTGCCAACGAGAACTGCAAGATTACGTGTCGTAAGTTTATGCTGTTACTTATAAATTTTTGGTTGCCATTGTTCTAAACAGAACTTATATTCCTATTTTATTTACACAGATCCAGAGATGCAGAGCCATATAGAGAAGAGTCTTCATAACAGTCATGCTTTATTCAAGGTTTCCTATGCGGTATGACAGTTCCCTTACATCTTCTACAATTTTATGTGTTCTTCGGCTTTTCTTAGAATTTCCTTCATATACCTCTATGTTTGGTTCTCACTTGTGCGTGTATTTTTTTTAATATGTGATCTCTCTTATGAAACAGATTGGTTATATGGATATATGGGAAGCAGCTACCTTGTCTATTAAGAAAGAAGGCTACAGCATTAAACCTAAGAATGATCCTGTAATTACAGAAAAGTTCTCCTCTTCTACCTCTGTAAGAGTCTTGCCTTATGTGTTTGTTTTTCTTATGAGTTTAATCTTGGATGCATTATATGTTAACATACTCACTGACACTAGCTTTGAAGAATGAAACTAATACATACTACGATCTTCTTATGTTTCTTTTAGGTTATGATTCCCTTTGAACAGCCTGCGGATTTTGTGATTATTGGTACTAATGGCATGGAATATCTCTTTCGGGTGGATAACAATGCAACAGACCCTAGCTGGTAAGTAGAATCTATCTTTCTTTGGATGAGGTAAAGTAGATCAAAATTCCTACGTCGTGTGAATTCTGGAAAGTGAAATAAGACCCTTTTCTGATTTTAGAAGAATCATAAACGAGCCTAAACTTGAATCTGAAGACATTGAATAGTTTGCTTTTGTTTCTGATTTCTGAATGGAGTTGTTTTATGAATTTTAAGCAGCTAGTCTTCTGTTTTTGTGTTGTATTTGGCAGCTCAAGAGATACAATTGTGCTCACCCTCAGATTATTCATTAAGAAGGTAAATGTTTCTGGCAGTTAAATCATTTATCTTCTTTGAGGATATCGTTTCTTTTCTAACAAAGCATCATAAGTGGCAACTAATCATGCAAATAGTAGCTTTCTGAGAGAAGCATTGATTGATTATTTGGTTTGCTAATTTCGTTGCAGGCTTTGCAGAGAAAGAAAGGCAAGAAGAAAGGTTTTTTGTTTAACAAATGAGGTTTTGGTAAATAACATTGTTGGCTCGCTTTTTCTCTGGCCTTTTCAGCTTTACAATATTAGAGATAGCCTTTGAACGATTGAGAGTATCATGTAAGTCTGATGTAGTTGATTAACAAAGAAAAGCCTATTCAAATCGATTTCAGTATAGGAAAAGCAAATGAGCAAAATAACAATAATGTCATTTTCTTACAAGACATTGTTGAAAATCCATTCATTCTAGAGAAAAACTAATCGTTCTTTTGTTTATCAAAGTAGAGTCGATTGAATTCCATTTTACTCGCTCAATATTCCATTATGAAGATTCCAACTAAGACCATTTTATAGAGGGAGTCAATATACATTCAGAACTTGAGACATGTTTCTTACAGTGAAATTTATGGTCCAATTCAACTTCGTGGCCACAACAACAAAAAATTCTCTGGAACATACATGTAATTACCAAAATACCTTCCTAGAGCATTGGTCAACAAAGGAACAAAAAGATTCTACACTTGGTTAAGCTAGTTACCATTCTTCCCACTTGTTCATGAAGTCATCCCACATAGTGAAAGCAATGGAGTCTCTTAGAGAATCAGCAACATGTTCCATAGACATAGAATCCAAGTGCAGCAGCTCTACTTCTTCTTCCTCTTGTCCACCCGATTCCTCATCCTCCACTGGAGCATCATTTTCAGCATCGGCGGCAAAGAGCCAGTCGCGAATCCCGTCTTCCCTCTTGATGAAGTTATGCAGAGCACAAGTCACAATCACCAGATCCCTCTGGACATGAAACGGGTAAGGAGGCGCGGATTTCAGGATAGGAAACCTGGTTTTCAGAATCCTGAATGATCTTTGTATGATGCTGCTTATACACTTGTGCCGATGGTTGAAAAGATCATGCCCGTTCTGCGGCATTTGCCTTGCTCCACGGAACTCGTGGACACCGTACCTACTTCCCCTGTATGGTGCAATGAATCCTTCTGTGTTTGTGTAGCCTCTGTCCACAAGATAGTATTTTCCTGGATAACAAAAACCGGACTTTGTAGAAAATCTCATGGAATATTTCTCTATGTAAGTAGAAGATAGTTAAAAGCTTAAGAACCTTTGGGAGGTTGAGGGAAATTCTGGTTTGGATCATTGAGGACAGCTCTCAAGATGCGTGAGTCTTCAAAAGAGCCTTCCCATCCAGGGCATACAAATACAAACTGCAAATCAAAAGAGCAAGCTGCAAGCACATTCTGAGCAAGTATGCCTTTCTTGTTCTTAAACCGAGACTGCTCTTTTATAGGTATGTTAGCAAGAACTTGAAAACCATCTATAACTCCGATACAGTCCTGAAAGAAAGATAAAACCAAAGAAAATTGAAGAACATTGCATTCACATACTTGAAAATCCAAGAGTTTTTTTCTTTCTTTACCTTGAAATATGGATAAAGCCTTTTGCTATTGACTATCTCTACAGGTGTTTCCAGATGCGGTGGCTGAAAAAACTGGCGTGACCACGACTTAACCGCCTTTAACACATTGTTAAAATGCCGGCTAACGGTTTCACAACAAAGCTCGAACCTCTCTTGTACCACTCTGATCCGCTCATTATGACCGATGATGCTTAAGAACATAGCAACCTGCTCTTCCACCAAAACAGTTGGAGAATCTTTCAGCAGACCTTTCTCGCGAAGTGTTTCAGAGAGTTTACGAAACAGTCTCTTGTCCATCCGAAGCACTTCCCTGAAATCTTCAACAGGTCCTTGTAACAAGTCTTTCAAATATCTACACATCGTACGAGGCGAATTACTCTGAGGTTGGTTTACGAGACTGTGGTAGTACAAGTAACCAGCTGCTGCAGCTACTAACTCCATCTCATCCAATTCTATGTCAAAATCAACGCTACTAGTGGACGAATCTGAGAGATGACAGAGTAATTCCAAATAATGTCATTGATGATCAAAGTTTATCTTCATACATAAAGTAAATCATTTCACAACATACAGAGCAAAACACATAGAGAAGAGAAACTAAACTATCTAAGGTCTACATTTGCCCTGAAGCCACTTCAATCGTTTCTCATATTTCAAAGAGATGAAAATTTCTCTGGAAGTCTGGTTCTCAAACAAATCCAAGGCAAGAAAGTAGGTAGGTTGATCAAGACCTTGTAAGTTGTCCAGCGCATTGATGCATTTGCTGATAGAGAATCTGTCCCCGTTCTTGGTCAAAGCAGCCGCTCTCAGTTTGGAAGCTGCTGCGATTTCAAGCATGGCTTCAACTATGGCATCGCCGGAAGCCTTGCGAGATCTCTTGCGGGTCGGTCCTGAGCCAGAAGGTGTTGCAGGCGTACGCTTGCTGTGTCCATTGATGACGTTTACTTCATCTCCAGAGCCAGAGGAAGGTTCATCATCACCAGACATTCTTCAACAGAAAAAAGCTTCCACGGAACTGTGATCTACACAAAAGCAAGGCAAGCGAATCAGAGAATGAGCGAAAATCAGGGTTTCTCTCTTCCCAAATTCCATAAAATGGATTTTGATTCCTAACCTAAAAGTAGGGTTTAACGTAATTCCGTAATTCCGACCAAACAATAGGCTTCGAAAGAGAGAGAGAGAGAGAGTCAGAGAACACTTACGACAAGACGACGAGGATCTAAAGAAGCTTTGATCGGGAATTTGGGATTACCAAGAATTTAATCGTCACTCGGTTTTGTTTTGTTTTCATTTACTCTCAGTCTTTCAACAATTTATCTTTTTGACCTCGAGTTTTGTCCGAAAATTTAAATTAACACTTTGCTTTAATTTGTGTACTTGAAATGATGATTAATCAAGTGGCTTATCTTCGATATCGATATGATATCGATCTCAGACTAAGGGTTAACAGATCCAAAGATACTAATCACAATCACCACGATTCATGCATGAATCACCAGAATTGAGAAATCTACTCTTTAGTTTTTACTAAATTAACAATCAAACTCAAATTAAGTTTTACAATAAGAAGACAATACAAATATTATCTCTAGTAATGCGAAAAAAAAGGATAAACAGAGACAAATTAACGTTTTGGTAAGACAAAAAGGCAAAAAGGAAAACAACAATGGAAGCTTCTTTTTGTTTGTTTGATTCAGTTGGGAGACAAGAAATGAACACGAGCAAGAGTGTACTCTTTGCCAGCAATCCAAACACCGGTTTGGGACCACTGTACATCTTCCCAATCAAGATTCTCCTCCAACACCTGTTTCGCAGTTCCAAAATAAACATCATCAGCAGTTGTTTTATCCAAGAATTTCACCAAACAAGACTCAGAATTCGAAGTAAATGTCTAACCTCGACATGATCTGGTGGGAGTGGAAACCCGATAGACCGCATAAGCTTCTGCGGGAGAGGCTTCTTACATCTCGACCAACGGAAAACATCGATTATACTGTTGTCTGCATCTGTTGTTTTGTCACCGTTTGTCACAGGAGGAACATGGTTCACTGACTTGTTGTTATTGTTATCGATCTCCATGGCTTCATGTGATGACTGTTGTTGTGAGGCTTGGAATGCTTTGATTGTCTTCTCTCCCGCAAAACAGAGCTCATACCTATTTGCATACAAATATTACATTATGCGTCTAACATCCCATAAATCCCGATAATAACATGTAGTATGTAGTTATATGTATTTTCGAATACCTGCATGAATGTGTTTCTAAGTACAAGACTTCTCCTTTCTTCAAGCGAGCAGAGGTGAAGAGAGGCTTCTTGAGACCCTTATCAGCGACAATGCTTATGCTATATTTGATCCTGCAGAAAAGTAAATCGACGCGTGAGTAAAACTGATCTTGCGTCTGATTCCTTTTAGGTGATAAAGATTCATGAAAAACTTAACGAACTCAGCGACAATTTCTTTAAAGCATTGGGCGAAAAACAAATTCAGAGAGTTGTTGTTACCATGGTTCATTGCAGAGGTTGTATTGTATTGTTACTTCTCGAACAAACCTTTGTTGCCGCAGAGCATTCTACAGAATGGTAAACAAGTCATCAGTGTTTGAAATTTATGAAAATATGAGCAAACTATGCGAGCCGATATGCCATCTGTTAGAATCCAAGTGTTTTAAAATCTGTATGATCAAATTTTAAAGCCCTAGTGAAGTGAAGTGGATAGAGAGTCGGAGATTCCGAAATTAGAAGAAGTTAAGTACCGAAGCTGCAGCTCTGGTGGTCATAGATCTCTCAACAGCCATTGGTGCAAGTGTTGGCTCAACAGTTGAGGAGTGTGTAAGAGAGGGTTCGAGTTCGATAGTTCCACCTCCTTTCTGAAATTATAACATCAGAAATTTTATAAGGCAAAAATGTCAGTTTGTAAACATGGATATCATGAGCATAGTGGGAGGAGATTGTCAAGGAAACAAAAACGACAACGACCAACAGAAGTCAAAATCACCTTGAGAATATAGCACCGCTCAACTTTGTAACTGCAACCAATTCCTGCTCCCCATGCTCGAGAGCGGACATTGTTCCTTAGCTTGGAGGTATAGTCTAACAAATATATCGATTAAAAAGTCTGAATCAAACTTCTATCCTGATAAGATCTCAATACAGTATAAGTTTTGCTTTGCTCAAGATCATAGAAAAGTTAATAATAGCAGAGAGGAAAGCTAACTTACAATCTTGTGATGGCAAGACTCTGATGGTAGCACGCAACTCTTGCATTGTCGGTGGAGGAGGGGAAGCTGTGGGACGACAGTAACCTGTATGCATGAGAACTAGAAGGACAAATAGACCAGAATCAGTGTGAAGTTCGGACCCAACCAAGGCATCAATTGCAAAAATTTGTTAGCACACGTACCAGCAACAAGATCGGAATCATCTGTGTATATATCCGTTCCCCATAACTGACCCCCTCTTACCTGCATAGGTACAAGCCAAATGTCTCAGCAGCAGATAGGGGATGCTCTAAAGGGTTGTGTGACACAAATCAAAAGGCAGTAAATACACAGAGATACAGACTGGAAGCAAGTTATATAAGACAATAGACGGCACAAGTCATTCTAAGGAAAATCAACAAAGAGATTAGGAGAAAGTTTTGGATGTATCTTCATCTTACTTGGCGATTAGTAGCAGTAACATGCTCAGCTGGAATCCGAACTTCAAGAGTGGGGCCATTACTTGCGAAATCACCACTTTTGTCAGTCTGAGAAGCTTCATATTCTTTCCACAACTTAATCAGTTCTTGCATACATTCCCCAACTTTGTAAACAACAATCGACATCTCTGATTTGCCTGAATCATCAGTATAATAAAATTTATCAAGCTGATACTCTGACCAGATTATGAACTCATTTCGCATTACAGCACAAAAGGTATAAAATTTCCAGAGGATATTAAAGCAGCAGACGGTAAATGTTTAATTGACCAAGACCTTAGAACAATTTTGAAATACACAGAGATATAAAAAACTTTAAGCTGCCCAAATCTGAAGAAGCATTAAGGATGAAGCCAACTTTTTGGTCCAATCTTTTAATATCTTGAGGTTTGACATTCTACTGTGAGGATAGGGACTGCAACCTAAAGACAAGACTAAAAGGAAGCCTTATATAAATTGATTACTAAGTATCTGACCATTAGTAATGCACATGTAAAGAACGAATGACAATTTAACCGATTTTTTCTTTTACTGTTGGTCTCCAAGCAGTGCAACTCAATCCTTTCTCGAGGATATAGAAATGAATGATTACCTTGAACTCTGCAAAATAAACACAATCAAACATAGAGGATACATTAAAAGCCAGGTTAGACATACAAAAAAGCTATCAACTTAGGCTTAGCTAACTTACGCGATCGATACAGGAAAATATATTCTTAACACAGAAAGAAAAGGAGGCGGTAGGGAAGACTATCCAGAGAAACAGCAAATTAGGGTTCTTCAAGAGATAAAATGAAAATATGGGTGCACAATCTTCTTAATAGGCCATTTATCTCTTGAGTGAAAAAAACAATAATGGTAAAAAGTTTTTCCACCAATAATTGCCCCCTTCATCATACAATGTTCGTATCGCCCACAGATTTTACTAAATAGGTTCAAAATTTCAATCAATCGTGGCATGTCTCTCGAAATGGTAAAAAATATATAGGATTCTGAGCAATGAGAAGCAAGTAATTAGTGAGAGAGTAGGTAAGCCTAAATGGATAAGACAGAGAGACGCACCCTTCGTTGTCCTGACTCCGCGAACGAACATGGTCGCGGTTTGTGGTTTGTGGGCTGCCTCTCGGTCTCAGCATTCTCTTCTTCTGCTGAACTCCATAACTGAAGGCATCCTTCTCCCTCTCTGTTGCTCCATCACCCTCCAAACACCCATCTTCAGATTCCTTTTCACCGATTCTGCTGCGCTTTTCAGCTCTTTCTGCTTCGGAATCACCATCCCTCTCCCTCCTTTTGTCCTTTGATTCTCTTTCCTCTTTTTCCAAGCCATCAGGTTCGTTCATCTTCTTCTGCTCTGGTGCCACAACTTCCTGTTCTGCAGGTTTGGCAGATGCTTCTCCCAAATCTTTCTCATTCTGCGAGACCTCTTTCTCAGCACCAGTCCTTGGCTCTCTTTTCACATGATCTTTCTCTTTCTCCTTATTCCTTTCACGGTCTTTCTGCTCATTCCTCTCTCGTTCCCACCTATCAGTTTCTCTTTCCTCTCTTCCAATCTCTTTTACTTCACTCATGACACCACCAACAAGCACAGATCCTCTACGGTCACTTCTATCCTTGTCTCTGTCCCCCCATTCACGATGCTTCAACTCTTTTCTCTTCTTATCCTTGTCCTTAAACCTATCCTCGCTTTTTGCATCAACCTTGTTCTCTCCTACAGTCTCACGCCCTTCTAAATGAGGTCCCTCCACAGGTGCCGAGAGATCTTTTACCCCAGCCTCAGTTGGACCTTGCAGATTACCACGTGAAGCAACCCATGGCTCCACATTTGCACTCGAACCTTCAGCAACTCTCTTCCCTCTATGGTAATCTTTCTGCTCTTTCCAAGCCGAGTGAGCATGCCCGTCCTTTTCCATCTTAGGCTCAGCCTTTTGGTCATTGTAATTCTGATTCTCCCTATCAAACTTAGTGTCCCTAGTATAGCTTCCGCTGTTAGCTTCGGCTATACGCTCCCTATCACTCTTAGGGCCTTGAATCTCTCTCTTAGCCTCACTGTAAGTCTCTCTCCCATCACTTCTAGTATTACCTTTCCCGCTAGAGTCATCGACCGATCTATCAAACTTGGCATCCCTCTCACTCTTAGGACCCTGAATCTCTCTCTTAGTCTCACTGTAAGTCTCTCTAACACCATCATTCCTGTTTTCTCTGTTCTCAACCCTATCCTTACCACCATCTCTGTGCTCCAGCAGCGCAGGGGGGTGAGTCAAATGAGGATCACTTGGAGTAACAGGAGTAGGCAGGGACGGAGACCGATACACGAGCTGCAGAGGAGAGCGTCTCTCTCCATCTCTAGGCTCACTTCTCGGTCCCTTGACGGTTCTTGATTCGACATCGTAAGCAGAAGGAGAAGCAGCAGTGAGTGGTGGATGGGAGTGAGAATGGGGATGGGGATGAGGAAGCGTGTGAAGGTGAGACTGAGATTGAGACTGAGACTGAGGTTGGAGATGCTGATGGGGTTGTTGATGGTGGTGGTGAACCTGAGCCGGCGGTGGAGTTACCGGAGGATGCGTGGATTTAGGGTAAGATCCTGAATCATCGTGAGGGTATTTGGCTGAGGAAGAAGATGGATGAGTAACACCCTCTTCGTGAGATCTCTTCGGAACACCACTCATCACTCCAAATTCAGAAACAAAAAAACCCTTTAAAATTCAATGCTCCAACGGATAGAATTGCAACTGATTCTCCGGAATCTTACAGGACCTAGAGAAAATTCAGAGTTTTTTAATCACCAGAACAACAATGGAGCCCTAAAATGAACACACAGAGCAAAAAAGATGAATTATTTACCAATTGAAACTGAAGCAGAGCACGGAGGAGCGAAAATTTCTGCCGGAAAGTAAAAATGGCAGACTGGTTTGAGAGTTTTGCACTGTTTCTCTTGAGAATTTTTTTTCCTTTATCGTTGATTGCTTGCTGGTTGAATTTGGACAAATGTTAATATTTGGTTCTCTCTCTAGTCTCAGGCCAGGCCGTGCACTAAACCCGCAATTTTAGGTTTTACATATTGCGGATTTACCCTCATATTTATTGAATCTCTCCGAATTTTACACAATCTTTAATTTTCATTTCCCACAGCCTCTTCTTTCTGTGCTCTTTACAATAAGCCCAATGGGCCTTTCCCGCCAAACAAGACCGAATTGGCACAGCCCATTATTTTTTATGCTCGATCTGGTTATCGTATAGATCGAAGCAACAACCATCCATATTAGTGGTTTATATATATCTCGAGCGAGCATGCATATGTATGCACCAGTCTCGTGAGTCGTGAGAGTGTTAAATTTGCTTGCAGAAATATTTAAACACAATGTCTTTCACAATACAATCATTCGTACTTGTTCCATGGTTTGTAGTTGTAGTAGTAGCTCTCACCGTCCTCGTGGCAGCCGGAGATGAAAACTCGCCGGACAAGGCAATGTTTCCGGCGATGTTTGTGTTCGGAGACTCGTTGGTGGACAACGGAAACAATAACCGCTTGAATTCCCTCGCTAGGTCCAACTATCTACCTTACGGCATTGATTTCGACAGAAGTCAACCCACCGGTCGCTTCTCTAACGGCAAAACCATCGTCGATTTCATTGGTGCAGTCATCAAATTTACAAATACATACGCACACTTTTTTTTTGTTTCTAGAAAGCAAATAAACAGTTGTGTATACATACATTTCAATAGGTTTCTGCATGCATTGGCTTTGGAGTCAAATGGCTTATAATTCGGACAGTATTTAGCATTTTGTCAAATTATTTAGTTTGTTTGTCTAGTTTAAACATTTTGAAATATCATTTTTTTGTTAACAAATTGTGCATTTGGTCTCGGAACTCTGGTTACCTATAAACACTAGCTAGCCAGAAGAAAAAAATTAATGGGATTAATGATGTGGATATATGGTTGCAGGAGAATTGGTAGGGCTGCCGGAGATACCGGCGTTTATGGAAACGGTAGACGGAGGAGTTGATGTTCTCCGAGGAGTCAACTATGCGTCTGCAGCCGGAGGAATCCTAGAAGAAACCGGTCGCCATCTCGTACGAACTTTTCTGATCTACAATTATTCTTCATATATATTTATTCTTTCTTAACATATAGATTTAAATCTAACGTTTTTTCTTGGGTTATAAATTGTGTTTTTGTGTCTAATTTCACGTATCGTTTTATCAAATCAATGGCTATGTTTTGAAATATACGTAGTAGTAGATTTACAAAACGTAATTAATCATTTAAATGATATATTTTTCATTGCACTTTTATTTAACCAATAGAATTGAATCACGAATGTTTGACCTTCGAGTGAATTGATTGGGTGCATGACGTTTCGAAATCATTAATTCTCACCAAAAAGAAATACAAACCACAAATTCATTAAATGTGGGGTTGCATGCATGAAGGGAGAGAGATTCAGCATGAGAAGACAAGTGGAGAACTTCGAGAAGACATTAATGGAGATAAGAAGGAGGATGGAGTCAGTAGAAGAGTACATGGCAAAGTCATTGGTGGTGGTCTCATTGGGTAACAACGACTACATAAACAATTACTTGAAACCAACGCTTTTCCTGACCAACTCCATTTACGACCCTCCTTCTTTCGCCGACCTCCTTCTCTCCAACTTTACCTCTCATCTCCTCGTAAGTTCCCATCTCTCTCTCTTTTGCCTTTTTCATTTATTTTACTAGCTAGTTAGATATCAGATTTCTCATTAACATTATGGATGCATCAGCTTAACAATTTTATCAATATATTGAGATAATTGAAAGAAAAACTAGTTGATATTGTTCTTTAGGTCAAACTTCCATTTGGTTAGTCTACAAATATTATAAGTCAACACTCATGTTTAACTAAACTAAACTAAAACGCCAGTTTTATTAATTCATGTTGGTTTAGGAATTGTATGGAAAAGGGTTCAGGAAATTCGTATTAGCTGGTGTGGGTCCCTTGGGTTGCATACCGGACCAACTAGCCGCACGAGCAACTCCCCCCGGTGAGTGTGTAGAAGCGGTTAACGAGATGGCTCAGCTTTTCAACAACCGCCTCAAGTCACTGGTGGATCGTCTCAACTCCGATAATACAACCGCCGGCGAAGCCATCTTTGTCTACGGCAATACCTACGGAGCCGCCGTGGAAATCCTCACCAGTCCTTTTGCTTACGGTTAAGTATCCCATACATTTATCCAATTCCATGTTACATTTGTCTTTATGAATTTTGTTGGGTGAATAATCTATTACGGTTTTCTATTTTGTTGTTCTATGCATGTTTAAATCCGTAGAGTGATAAAGCCACAACTTGCTTACTTGATTAGGGCATATTTAAATTTGGAAATTAATTATCTAATTGGATGTTTTATACTTTGTAGGATTCGAAGTGACGGATAGAGGGTGTTGTGGAGTAGGGAGAAACAGAGGAGAAATCACGTGTTTGCCACTGGCGGTACCATGCGCTTTCAGAGACCGTCACGTGTTCTGGGATGCTTTTCATCCAACACAAGCCTTCAACCTTATTATCGCTGTTAGAGCCTTTAATGGTTCCAAATCCGATTGTTACCCCATTAATCTTTCTCAAATGTCTCGTCTCTAAGCTCCACAAATCTTGTCTGAACTTTTTCTTTGTATTTTTTTCTTGTTTTTCAAGTTATTCACTTGGATTTTCTCTGTTCGGATGAGTCGCTTTCCAATTTTTTTGTTTCATGCATTTTGTTTTCATCGTCTTCTTGGTGCTAAACTTCTCTATCCAAACGGACCACCATCATTAATTGAAATATGGAATATGTAAAGATTATATTATCTTCGGTAACTGGAAGGCCCAATAAAAAGATTTGAAATTAGAGAAGCCCAAAACAAGGCGAGTGAGTGACTGACCGATATACGAGGAAGATAAGCGTCTCGCAATCGCCAAAACATTCTCTCCAGCGCGATGGAAACGGAAGCGGTTGTCCGTACCGTCGCCGGCGTTGACTGTTTTGTCTCACTTCCTCGTCAACTACTCCACTCGCTTCAATCCACCAGCTCGTCTCCTCTCCCTCCGCTTCTCCCTGTCGAGCTCCGCTCCGGTGACCGCCGTTGGTCAGTTGCTTGGTCCGGCTCTAGCTCCTCCTCTTCTGCGATCGAGGTTTCTCTCGGCTTCAATCCCAATTAATTCAAATTTGTACATCATTTCTGGCTCTGGAGGTCTAACACTCCTCTCTTTCCATGCGTTTTCAATTTTGCTTCTTCCGTTAAGGTCGCTAGAGTGTTTGCGGAAAGCATTTCGTTACCTGATGGTACAGTTGTTCAGGTTCGAGTTCTCTCTAATGTGCCCAAGGCTACTTTAGTAACAGTCGAACCAGATACTGAAGATGATTGGGAAGTTCTTGAGCTCAATGCAGAACTTGCCGAGGCAGCTATACTTAGTCAGGTATCGGATTGTTTACTGTATCACTGTGCCTCTCTTTCCTTTGTCATCATTCCAAAAAGTTTTGATCTTTAAATTTCCTCTCTTTCCTTTAGTTTCCAGCAATTGCATGATCACTTCGACAATGGTTTGCTGAGGGAATTTTCAAAAATGTTTTGTAGGTGAGGATACTACACGAGACCATGAAATTCCCTTTGTGGTTGCATGACAGAACCGTGATAAGATTTGCTGTGGTTTCAACATTTCCACCAAAAGGGGTGGGTAAGACCATGATTACTAGTCTCGTATGCTTTTACAATCATTTCAGTTTTATTAATGACACAAACGTTTTGACTTGTGGCTCGTTTTCAGTACAACTTGTGCCAGGAACTGAAGTGGCTGTGGCTCCTAAGAGACGTGAAAGAAATCTCAATTCAAAACAGTGTTCTGATGCTGTTGCTTTGGATAAAGAATGTAACAATGTGAAAGTTCTGTTACGTGTACAAGACTCCGGTAGATCAGCCTTTCATGAAGCTGATATCAAAGGATTTGATGTAACGGTGGCCCTCACTTCCATTGCCTATATTCATCCGGAAACTGCTCAGAGATACTCGCTAGAATCTCTTCAACTGGTTTCGGTGTTCCCTAGAACACCTTTGAAAGGTAGTGCAAAGAAGGACGAAGCCTTAAATATGAAAAACAGCGAAGCTTCAAAGATGGTCGAGAATGGCACTCCTACCGCGAAGAAAGAGGCCCGTCGAGCAGTTCTTCGTCTTGTCTTTTCAGATTTAGCTGCTAAAGGACATCTAATGATGGTCGAGTCTCTTCGTCTCTATCTAGGAGTAGGTCTTCACTCATGTGAGTAAATTTTTTCTTAAACATACACATATGCTTTTGTTTTATGTACAAGTCCAAATTTTGATGTTAGTTGCTGTAACTATCAGGAAGTATAATTGTAAGGTTTTCGAGAGTTGTCAATTGTCATGCATTTTTTGAATCCACAAGTTCTAGAATGCACCATTTTGCATTTTTCCATGCTCAAATGAGCTGTTACCACAGAAATATCAATGTCTGAGTAAGAGTTATCACTTGTCTGTAGGGGTTTACTTAAAGGGGTGCAATGTGAATGTGAACAAAGAAATTCCTCCTCTTTCGCTTTCTCCATGCGTCTTCAAGATTTCTGAAAAAGAGAAGGTGGATAGAGGTACTGATATGCTTGGCAATCACAGTTCTAATAGAAAAAGCAGTCATCCACTTTCTGGCTTGACCACCAGTGTGGATGTTGTGGACTGGTCTCTGCATGATAAGGTTGTTACGGCTCTTTTATCCGAGGGTATGCATATCAAAGGAGATCAAGATAATGCCTATCAACTTAACAATAAGAAAGGATTGGAATGCCTTACTCGCCTGTGGTCATTGGCACAGCTTGATGCAATTGCGTCAGTCACAGGAGTTGATGTTAGTTCGTTCATTGTAGGAAGAGAAACGTTGTTCCATTTTGAAGTGAGAGGACTTGATTCGTACAAGTCCAGAGACGGACAGCCATCTGTTAATGATCGTTTGGAAACTGGGAAGAAGGACAGAAATGTTCCTTTGGAAGTTTTGTACGCAATGACAGTCTCTGACGAGTCTTTGCTTGGTGATAAGTTTGTTCTGTATGAGCTTAAGTTGGATAAAGGTGAGAAGAGGGACAGTGTGGTGCATATCGAGCCGGTGCTTGAGAAGATGAATCTTGGTGAACCTATACTTTTCTCTTCTGCTAAAGAAAGACAGTGCAATAAAGGTGTTTCCCCGGATGTATCTTCCTTAACGTGGATGGGCTCAACTGTGTCGGATGTTATCCAGAGTAGGTTTTTACTTTCTTAGCATCATCTTGCTTGAATTGTAAATATCATGATGCCGCTCTATGATATGCACATAGAAAAAAAATCAATTATGGGATAGGCCCGTCATGCTTTCTGATAACTTAGATTTTGCCGAAATTTTGGTTTCATTTTGTGTTAGCTTTTGTTATCGCATACGTTCTAGTTGCATATAAAATGTCCATGAAGCAATTGTTTGACTTCGACTAAAACTGTTTTATCATCTACTTCTCTACGATCGTCACATGTAGTTTATTTTAACCTGATTTTATCCCATCTGGAGAATGTTCATGAACATATCTGTTCCTAAAGTCAACAGTACTATTATACAGGGATGGCCGTGATGTTGTCTCCGGAAGCTGGAATGTGGTTTAGCAAGTTCAATATTCCGTCCCCTGGACATATTCTCATATATGGGCCTCCTGTGAGTTTCATTTCCCATTTTTGTTGTTCCATTTGGTACCCCTCGAAATTGAATTCTGTGCCCTTCCGGTTCAAATGGTCTGGTAGTTTACTAATGTGAGCTTCTGGTTGTTAGGGTTCTGGAAAGACAATCTTAGCAAGAGCTGCTGCAAAGTACTTTGAAGAACAGAAAGACTTATTGGCACATGTGTGAGTGGTTATTGGTTTACGTTTGCCTGTAATGATATGTTCCAACCAACTTCATATATCTTCGAGAGACTGACTCATTCTGGTACAAATGTCGTCTAAGTGTTGATTTTCCTTGTGCAGGATTCTGGTTTCCTGTTCTGCACTTGCCTTGGAGAAAGTTCAACACATCCGTCAAGTCCTTTCTAGTGTAATAGCTGAAGGCTTGGAGCATGCCCCATCCGTCATCATTTTGGATGATCTCGATAGCATTATCTCATCATCTTCAGATAACGAAGGAACTCAAGCTTCGAATGCGATCACAATGCTTACAAAATTCCTTACAGATGTTATAGATGATTATGGGGTATGAACTATTTTCATGTCTCTGCTCACACTTATCTATGCCTTTAGGGAATCAATCCTAGCTAATATTATTCTTTTTCTGACTCATATCTATTTTCGTCTACTCAATAGGAATACAGGAATATCTCTTGTGGAATTGGTCCACTTGCATTTGTTGCTTCTGTCCAGTCTCTAGAACAAATACCGCAGACATTGAGCTCTTCAGGTACAAACTTGTCATATACCAGTACCTCTACCTGTTTTAACAATATTATTTATACCATTATCACTTCACACGTAAATGTTTCATATGATATTTTCAGGAAGATTTGACTTCCATGTGCAACTAGCTGCTCCTGCTACCTCAGAACGTGGGGCCATATTGAAGCATGAGATACAAAAACGCCTTTTAGAGTGTTCGGAAGACATATTGCTCGACTTAGCTGCCAAATGTGAAGGATATGATGCTTATGACCTGGTATTAGTGATTGTCATGTTTTATATGCTTGGGGTTCAAGCTTACTCTGCTCGTTCCTTTCTTTTTCTTTTGGTTATTATTCTGCTCGAAAATTTATTGTTTGCTCTCGTTGGATTCTTTTTTTTTCCAGGAAATATTGGTTGATAGAGCTGTTCATGCTGCCATTGGCCGGCATCTACCTTGTGAATCAAATATTTCCAAATATACTTTGGTCAAAGAAGACTTTACTCGAGCTATGCATGAATTTGTGCCTGTTGCCATGCGTGACATCACAAAATCTGCATCTGAAGGTGGTCGTTCGGGGTGGGAAGATGTTGGAGGTGTGACTGATATTAAAAATGCTATTAAAGAGGTATACAAGCATGTTGAGTTCATATCTGATTTTGTTGCCCCTGTTCTGATCAAATTAGTGTGGCTAGGAAAGTAGGTCGATACTGTTATCCTCTTATTAACTGCCACCATGAAGCATCTTCGACCTGCATGCGTTTGATGTTCTCATTCTAAATTTACTTAAACTTACAGTTCGAATGATCTGTAGTTATATAGAGAAATAACTCTGGAAATCCCGATTTATTTGCTCTTTGCCATGTCCAGATGATTGAGTTGCCATCAAGATTTCCGAAAATCTTTGCAAAGTCTCCTCTGCGTTTGAGATCGAATGTTCTCTTATATGGTCCACCTGGTTGTGGGAAGACTCACATAGTTGGTGCAGCTGCTGCAGCGTGCTCCCTACGGTTTATTTCAGTGAAGGGGCCTGAGCTATTAAACAAGTACATTGGTGCTTCTGAACAAGCTGTAAGAATGACACCTTTCTTTGTTATGCATCTTCAAGAACCTTTTTTTTTAAGTCTTCCGTATCGCATGCTTTATCGTTACTCTCCAAGAATTTTCAGACAGCTTGTTCTGATAGTTTTTTTGCCTGAAAATCTGAAGAGTGTTATTCTTGTGATTCCACATATCCAATAACGACAAACACCATCTCTCAGGTCCGTGATATATTTTCCAAGGCAGCAGCCGCAGCACCATGTCTACTCTTTTTTGATGAATTCGATTCAATTGCTCCCAAGAGAGGACATGACAATACCGGAGTAACTGATCGAGTTGTTAATCAAGTAAGTTACTTCAAAGTCTGCATATCCACATAATGTTCAAAATTATGATGTCATTTCTTTCGTTTGCATAGTTCCTGACAGAGCTGGATGGAGTTGAAGTTCTAACCGGAGTCTTTGTATTTGCTGCAACGAGGTATGCACACCAGAGAATACGTCTACAATTCATATCATGTATAGTGTTTGATGCATTCATACAATCTACATAAAGCGGTGGATTCTTCCGAGTTGATAGTGGATAATAGTTCCATTATATGATAGGAGTCATTCATGTTGAAGCCTGTCTCAGTCCTGCTTTATGTTCTCATTACATACAAAAGTTAGATATATGACTTTTATATTGGTTTACCCATTAACAGTAGGCCAGATCTACTTGATCCTGCGCTCCTAAGGCCTGGCCGGCTTGATCGTCTTCTTATGTGCGACTTTCCATCCCCACCGGAGCGATTGGAGATTCTTACAGTTCTTTCTAGAAAGGTTACTACTTTCATCATTTCTGCTAATCTCTATAAGTCTTTTGAGGCATATATGCAAGTTAAAATGACAAATAATATGTTTGCACATTTCTGCAGCTTCCGATGGCTGATGATATCGAGCTAGATCCTATAGCTCAGATGACTGAAGGCTTTAGTGGAGCTGATCTTCAAGCTCTTCTCTCAGACGCGCAGCTTGCAGCTGTTCACGAGTTTCTGAACAAAGAAGATAAACCAGAGCCCGGAACTACTCCGATAATAACCGATCCCCTTCTGAAATCAATCGCTTCTAAGACTAAACCTTCGGTTTCGGAAACAGAGAAGCAAAAGCTTTATGACATATATGGCCAGTTCCTAGATTCAAGAAAATCGGTATCACTCTCTCTCTTCTCTCTCCACGCTAATTCCTCATCCCTTTTAAACAAACCCATAAGCTGATTACTAACAACATCAAAAACTTGTCTTGCTTGCAGTCAAGAGAAGCGAAGGGCAAAAGAGCAACCTTAGCATAGCCAAAGGTATCACAAAGACAAAAATGATTACATTGTAGGAATCACATCATATAGGCATAGCGATATGTACTACTGTATAATAATAAAACGTCAGGAGTTTTGAGATAAAGATAGTTAGGGAGCAATAATGTTTGGTCTCTGAAAGATCCAAACGACTATAACACAACTCTTTTGTAAAAGCAGTATATTTCGAGTCAACCCACAATTGGCTATGACAATTGTGTTTATGTCAAATCCTAAATCAATTAATAAAGATCGCCATATGTTCATGTAACCAAACCTAATGTTTCTTTTTTTTCTTTGTTCATGTTAACTTTTTTGGCGCTCCTGACAAGGATAGTTGACGATGTTATAGCGACCAATTTTGTCTAATTTGAGTGTATTCTAAAAACATATATTTTCTATTTTAAAGAACAACTCAAAAGAGCCACCAAACAAATATCAAGATTCATAATTTCAAAAATTCATATTTTTGGGAAAAAATGTATTTGAAGAGATATTTTTTGAAAGTAAAATTCGCAAGGTCAAGACTGGTTTCTCCTATATTAGACAATGCCAGCGAATGCTTTGATGGGAATAACATTTGAAAGGAGTCAACCAAATAGCCATAGAAGAAGAACAGAGTCAGTTAAGGCAGTTGAGAATCTGTTATGAGTTAAGTTTAACATCGCATCACTTTCAACAGAGACAGCTCACAAAAAAAAAGGTTTGGTTTTTACATATTGGGAGGAGAGGTTGCTGTGACGTCTCTCTCTCCCTATCTCCTTAACCGAAACGGCATGCATTTCTTCCTTCTTTAACTTCCTTTCTCCATTCCTTCACGACAACATGAATTAAACAGACTCTCATCACAATTTGTCATTTTGATGTTTGACCAAACAGATTTCTAAAACAAAACAAAAAACAAAAAAAGAACAGTGACAAAAACCCAAACCCAAAAACGGTTAAGAATAAAGAAAATAAAAAGGGTCTTTTTTCTCTCTTTTTCCTCCATATTCTTCTCCTCTTTTTCCTCATTCTTCATTTTCTTCTCTTTTCTGGTATATGAACAAGTTCTGAGCTGTGACCATTACGCCAACAACAGTCTTTATTTCTTCTTTTAGTTCTCTCTCTCATTTGTCTCATTCTTCTTCTGTTTTAAGTTCATAATTCTTGATTTGGGTTCAAATTCCGGCATTCACCTTCACTTGCTGCCTTGGCTTGTTTTGCAGGTATGACCTTCGTCTTTCGTCTTTCTTTTTTAAAAAGATCAGTTTTCTGTGATTCCTGTAGAGATACATAACACAGAAACCTAAAATGTATAGGAGATATTAGTTTCTGTTATCAATTACCCCAAATCTTATATAGAGCTTTTATAAACAGTTTTCTCATCATATGAATACGTAACCACCATAAAGATGATGAAAGAAGACAGATTCAGGACATGACAAGCCCTGTTCATTGTCATTTCTACAATTAGTAATAGCACCAAACTTTGATATAGATTTTTGAGTATACAACAAGTCAAAGCAAATTCAGGAAAAAGCCCAATTTTTATGTTTATTTTATTTCCCACAGATATTTAAGAATCTAGTGGTCTTTTTCAACATGGTAAGGTTTGAGTACACGACTGCCTCTTCTTTTGTATCTGTAGCTATGACGATGGAACTCCTTTAAGAAAGATAACAGATCTCGGCTTTAGGAAAAGACTTCTATTTGGTTCTCTAGATGTGACCTTTATATTATTCATATTTTGATCAACAAATATTGTTACAGGTCAGAGAGCAAGTGTAATCCAAAGCCTTGTTTTGTCAGAGGAAAACTTACATATGAATAACCAAGGAAGTCAGAACGTTGCTACTTGCAAGCCCGTCACTACATTTGTCCAAACTGACACCAACACTTTCAGAGAGATCGTGCAGCGCTTGACTGGTCCATCAGAGAACAACGCTGCAGCAGTACCAGAGGCAACAGTGATAAAAATCCCAACACAAAAGAGGCCGACCTCTAAGCTCCATGAGAGAAGGCAATGTATGAGGCCAAAGCTTGAAATTGTCAAACCTCCACTAAGCTTTAAGCCCAATGGTACGACACCATCATCTAAATCTGGTAATACAAACCTTATACCAAGTCCAGTGGGCACCCCTTCTTCGTTGTTCTCTAACTTGTCCTTGATAGAAGGAGAGAAAGCAGAACCAGTTAGTTGTACAACAAACATCGAAGAAGAGGAGAAAGCCATTAAAGAGAGACGCTTTTACTTGCATCCGTCACCAAGGTCTAAACCAGGGTATACAGAACCAGAATTGCTTACTTTGTTTCCTTTATCATCTCCCAGTTCGAGTGGCAGATCATAAACTCAACAGATTCTTTATAAGCTTGTTCTCTGCCTACTATCCCAAAGATAATGTACATGTAGCATTTCACAACAATATCATTGAAAGAGAAAGACTATTCACTTACATTGTCTCGGTCAAGATTTGTATTTCCATCATGATCTTCATTTGCAGCGTTTCACAATCTTTATCCATTAAACCGCTACTGGCTCTTTCATCTCAACATGTAAAGTACTTAGCACGTCGAAGATACTCTCTCTTTGAGGGTGAGAACAATCACCAGACACAAAGGCATTCATTTGCCCATCCAAATCTAGCCAGCTACATCCGGCTGGCTTTTTCATTTCCTTTTTCTTCATTAGGTTTCTCAATTCCATCACGCCTTCCCATTTATCATCTGTAGCAAACATGTTTGATATTTGAACGTAATTCCCTATGTCAACAGATTCAGCTTGCAAAAGGTGATTTGCAACTGAGCGCCCCAGGTCCATCCTATTATAGGTTGTACACGCCCTTAACAGTGTTCCCCATATGTTTGCATTAGGTTCAACTGGCATCTGTGTGACGAAAGAATATGCATCATCAAGTCGACCCCCTCGAGCAAGTAGATCTACAACAGAAGCATACTGTTCCATTGTAGGTTTCATACCGTGAACTGTCCTTACCGAGTCAAATATCTGCAATCCATCCTGTATTAGTCCAGCATGAGAGCACGCAGACAACAGAGTAGTTATGAAAACATGATCAGGCTTAATGCCCGAGTCAATCATATGAGAGTAGATCATAAGTGCTTCCTTACCCATTCCATGTGCAGCATACCCACCTATCATAGCAGTGAACATAACCAGATCTCTATCAGCATCAGACTGGAAAACAGAATAAGCACTCTTCAGGCTGCCACATTTCGCATATACATCCAGTAGAGTCCCCTTCAGGTGGATATCACTAAATCCACCTCTAATAATATATCCATGGCATTGTCTTACTAGATGCAGAGAGGCTATCTGCGCACAAGCAGGAAGGAGACTCATGATAGTCACAGTGTTAGGCCTCATCCCTCGAGCTTGTATCTCACGGAAAACATCAATGGCTTCACCAGGACAACACCTTTCAGCGTAGATACGAACCATCAAACTCCAAGTGGTGAGATCAGTAGTAGACATCTCACTGAACAGAATCTGAGCATCATCATGACTTCCACTATTCACATATCCTGATAACATTGAGTTATAGGTAACCAAAGTTCTCCTCTTTGATAAACCCTGAAAAATCTTACGAGCGTATTCTACATTACCACATTTGGCATATGCATCAAGCAATGCATTGCCAAGCATGGGTTCCTCTTCAACGTGTAAGAAACCGGCCTTAAGTGAGTACCCATGAACTTCTTTTACTCTACCAACTCCCTGTGCATGTGTGCAGAATTTGACTATGCTTAAAATAGTAACAGAGTCAAGAACGATTGCTTCATTGAATAAGTGGTGCAAGATGTTGATAAACTCAGAATGTTCTGGACTATCTGCAAAGGCGTCAAGTATAGCATTCCAAGATATTATATCCTTCTTGGATATCAAAGAAAAGGCCCGAAATGCTGCACTTGTGTCACCAAATCTTGCATAGAAACTAACGAGAGCATTCCCAACTGATGTATCCTCCGAGAGGTAAGAATGGCGCAAAATGTAACTGTGGATCTCTTTGCCAAAGGTCAAGCTATTTAACTGCGCACATACAGGAAGAATGCTGACAATAGTTACCGAATCAGGAGAAACGTTCCCCTTTTGCACCAATTTGTGAAATGACTGCAAGGCTTTAAACCACTCACAGTTTGATGCATAACCAGCTATGACAACGTTCCATGAAACCAGATCTCTGGAACCCATCCTTGTAAACAACGAGGCTGCTTCGTCTAATCTCCCAACTCTCAAATAGAAACTCACAAGAGAATTGCATACAGAGAGATTGGTTTGTAACCAAGACCTCTGCACGACATAGCTATGAATCTGCCTTCCACTTCGACATGCAATATCCTTGTCCATAGAAGCACAAACCGGCAAAACATTCGCAATTGTTGCATAATTCGGCTCTTTACGTTCCTTCAGCATCAGAGAAAACGATCTAAGTGCATCGGCCTTCATATTGTTCTCGGAAAGCCCTGCAATAAACGCATTCCATGAGACAACGTCTTTGTCAGCAATACTATTAAACGCAGTACACGCTTCAGGGAAGACAAATCCGCATTTGGCATACATGGAAACCAGATTATTCCCCACAAGTGTATCTTTTTCCAAACCGATCTTAATGATGTAAGAATGCAAAATCTTCCCACTGTACGAACTCCCAAGGCGAACACACACAGGAAGAACAACCGCAAAGGTAACAGAGCTGGGATTAGGTTCATCCGCAAACCGCATTGCTTTGAAAAACCTCATCGTCTCATGATCACAAGTATTCGAAAGCCCAGTCAGAACAATATTCCAAACCACAGGATCAACACTGTTCATTTCCCTGAACATCTTCTGGCAATCATCCATTCTCCTGCATTTCGCATACATGTTAAGAACTGACTTGGAAACCTCATCGCATGCCATGTGACCAAGCTTGGCCACGCAGCCGTGTAAAGCCCTCCCTGATGTGAGCTCACACACTGAAGCGCAAGCTTTGACAACATCCGAAATAACTCTGTGATCAGTTCCAAAACCAGACAAAACCCGGAAATTCTGAACAAATTGCCGTAAAACTTCCATATTTCCCCCTAAATATCCCAGAAACGTCCGTTTTATCAAGGAAATTCACGTTACAGAATTTGGCTTAGACATTTTCACAAACACTTGATGGGCGAGAACGATTTTCTTCCAATCCTGTAACAATGAAGGTGCAAGCGTCGCCAATATGTTACAGAGATAATAGAGAAACTAAAAAAGTAACAATCTTTCTCAAGCAATGAAGGTCTCTCTCAGTCTCCGTCTTCGTGAAATTTTCTAGCTCAGTGGAGTAAAATTAAATTATGGAGGGGACTATTTCGATTATAATTAAAAACTAACTGACTAATTAAGAATACTATAACTTATTCAGGTCCTTACATGCAAATATACTATTCTTTTCGAATAATTAAAATTTCTATACACATCACATTCTCTTGGACTCTGCTTGTAACATCTCGGAGACTCTCGTACAGTAAAGTTACATTTCTTCAGTGACGAAAGCATCTTTCTGCGATTATGGCGGCGCCGGCAGGTGAAACAGCGGCGGTGGTTGACGCGACCGGCGGCGATGGTCAGCCGCAGCAGCAGCAACGACAAGCTGCTGGGTTCGGGCAGACTCTAACCGGAATCATTAGAATCGCCGTCTTCTGCTACTTCGCTGCTAAGTTCTTTTCCCCGAAACAAAAACCAGCGGATCCTTCTCAGCCGCCGCCTCAGCTTATGTCCAATCTCTTTCAGAGAGGCGAACAATTGGTAATTCCATCGTTAATTGTGTTACTGTTATATGAGTGATGAACTGATGATTACAAGCGATTAGTTTATCTCTGCAATTCGATTGGTTTCTCTCACTTGGAGAACAAAAAATACGTTTCTTTTGTGTTTATATGCTAACCATTTGTTCCGTCCAGGATATGTGGTTTTATCTATCGGAGCATGAGAAATTCAATGACTTTGGCAATGAAGGTGCACTTATCTGGCACGAGACAAATATACCTTATGCTGTGTGGAAGCCAGAGAGCACTAGGACTTTGTCACTGAAGTATCATCCATCCGAGGTAATGGATATTTGGTTTCTTCATATGGAGATTAATAGATAGGCTCCAGTCCATTGAGTTAAGATTGTTTGTTGTTCCAGGCACTGAAGAATAATGGAAGTCTGTATGCTCATGTCTTCTTTGCTCGATCTGGTTATCCTATAGATCCTAGCGATCCTGAATACCAACCTCTTAATAGTTTTGGCAGGACACACCGTAAGACATACAATATCGTTTTGATAATTGATGGTAGTTAGATTCTTTTGGTTGCTGAATTGGAAGAGTGTTTTTACTATTTCAGCTGTTGCAACTTACTTGCCAAAGCGAAAAGCAGATAAGAAGAAGAGTCTGTTAGGAAATCCCAAAGACTCTGCTGATTCCAATGCAGAAGTTCAGGTGTATTGTTTGTCCTGTAATGACGCCTATGTTATGGCACGCATTCTTATGAACTAACACAAAGCAGACTTCGCAGGAGGTTGATGGTAATGACTCGGATCTCAAAGATGAGGGCCCTGTGGAATGGATTACGAACTGGAAGCCGAATGTTACAATCAATTTAGTTGATGACTTTACTCGGTATGTGGTATTGATAATTGGTAGATGAATAATGGATTTGTTGCATGCTTTCTTTCCTTTTCGACTCACTCTTACGGATGAACTTTTATAAGACGCTTGCTAATTATTTGCAATTTCCTTACAGCTATCCACAGCATGGTGTGCCACCAAACATTGCTCCTTGTATCCTTTCGTTTCTTTTAGCAGAAGCATGACATGCCTATTATAATTTGATTTTTTGACAGTTCTCTATGCAGCATGTGTCCGCTTTATGTTTCCTCCTTCATGCTATTTTTTAAGATGTCACAGTCTACTTGCCATATGAGCTCCTTGCTTTACTTAACTTTGTTGGCAGACTTACTGGTAGAACCTACTACAGTAAATTACTACCCTACAGTTTTCTTCAACGAGTTTTGGCTACTGAGGGACAAGTTGATTGCAATCAATGAGACAGTCTCAGAACTACCACTTAACCTGGAAGTTAGCCCCATAAGCATGACAAAGTGGCAGCTATTTCAGCAGATTGATCAGTCTTTCCAGATTCATCGTAGCTATGGAAGCATGCTTGATGGTGAATCTGACGAATTAAAGGTATATTTTATGTTCAGGCAGCTTCATATGTCATACTACGCATATACTAAGATCTGCATCTAACAAAGTAGGTAGAGTAATGTGATTAATTGTTTCCTTTATGGTGAATAATTAAATTGCAGAGAGTGTTTCTGGAAGGAAATCCCTATCTGCTGGGCGTCACAATGTTTGTTTCGATGCTTCACTCTGTATTTGACTTCCTTGCATTCAAAAATGGTAAACTTTATTAAGAATAGCTACGTACTATATCCCTAAAATGGTTATTGAAATTATCTGTTGCTTTCCCTGCAGATATCCAGTTTTGGAACAAGAACAAATCTATGGAAGGACTGTCTGCAAAGTCCGTCGTACTGAACTTTATCTGTCAGTTCATCATCTTCCTCTACCTACTTGACAATGACACTTCATGGATGATTCTGGCTAGTTCTGGAGTTGGCGTCTGCATTGAGTTCTGGAAAATAGGGAAAGCCATGCGCATAGAGGTACATCGAATATCAGATACAATCTGATCATTCTGAGTTCATTTTTGGTTGCAATCTGATATATTTGCTGTGCGTATAAAACCTTGTCAAACATCTATTTAAACTTGCCAGATTGATCGAAGTGGGATGATTCCAAGATTGAGGTTCCACGACCGTGAATCCTATGCAAGCAACAAGACCAAAGAGTATGATGATATCGCCATGAAATTTTTATCCTATGTAGTCCTCCTCCTTGTCGCCGGTTTTGCCATATATTCACTCGCCTATGAACGCCACAAGAGCTGGTACTCATGGATCCTATCTTCACTAACGAGCTGCGTCTACATGTTTGGTAAAAAAATGCCTTTGAAATTCTCTTACACCAGCTCATAACTCTCTTTTGATATGATTCCATTGCGTTGAAATCAATGTGTTTTTGTGTTTTTGCAGGTTTCATAATGATGTGTCCGCAATTGTTCATCAACTATAAGCTCAAGTCAGTAGCACATTTACCATGGAGGCAAATGACATATAAGTTCCTCAACACCATCATCGACGATCTCTTTGCTTTTGTCATCAAAATGCCAATGTTGCATCGCCTTTCTGTCTTCCGAGATGGTGAACATCATATTGTTAATTTACCCGTTAATTTCATGTCTCTTAAGATAGTTTTGGAATTCACAAAAGTTGACAGACTAATCCAAATTTGGTGTTGTTTTTTGCAGATGTGATATTCTTGATATACTTGTACCAGAGATGGGTTTATCCTGTGGACAAAACACGTGTCAACGAGTTTGGTTTTGGAGGTGAGGATGAGTCTGTGGATACGAAGAAAATCACTGACCAAGAAGATGACAAGAAAACAAACTAAAATAAGTTTTTTTTTCTTTTTTCTTTTTTTCTGTTTTATAATGTTTCGTTAGTGCTGCTATTTATATCCGAAAGGAGTTTTGTTTTAGGTTTTTCCAACACTAATATATGCAGCAACATAGATTTTCACTATTACATTGTCCATTTACAGTCCCCATTGAGGTGCAGAATTCAATGCATTTCATCATCCCTTGCAGACATGGATTTGTGTCGAAACATTGAGAACTTTCGTCTCCAGACCCTTAACAGCAAAAAACGTATAAATTTAGAACAATTCAACAGTGAATTACAAAGAAACACATGTATAACAAAAATGTCAAAATCTTACAAGGCATGAGTCTGAAACTTTGACGACAATGAGTAGAAGAGATACCCATTATAATGATTAGAGCAAATACTATCAAAATTTTCTAAGTGAAATCCATAGTTCTATTATGTGAAGCTTTCTTAATCAAAGAACAATAGACTCCATTTATAGATTTATTATCTTGAAATATGTTATAACTGTAGTTAAAAATGGATACAGAATCAGAGTGTATATAGATACTTGCTTAGATTTATTTTGTATGCTAAATTATTTCACATCACGTGTCAGATTTTTTATGCTGGTATGGTATAATTAGGGTAGTTTACAAAAAGAATACTTGGGAGATATTTAAGACTAAGAGAGAATCTGGAGATATTTTCGTAAATTATAAAGTACTGAGGATAGATTCCATAATATTGATAAGATTTGTTGACAGATCTCTTTTTTATATGGGCCGCAGTCTTCAATCTCTAATGAGCCCATATATTCTCGTCACCGTTTATATGACAGAACCCGTTAAGTCCAAATTATCCCAAAAACGCGCGAAAGGTGGGCGCGTGGGAATGAAGCAAATCAAACAACTCCACGCGCGCGGTCTCAGAAACGGCGTAGACGAAACCAAAAATCTCTTACAACGATTGCTTCAGATTCCAAAACTTGCTTACGCCAGGAAACTCTTCGATCATCACCGAAACCCTTGTATCTTCCTCTACAACAAGCTAATCCAAGCTTACTCTGTTCATAGCCAGCCTCATGAATCCATCCTCCTGTTCAATCTCCTCTCCTCCGATGGCCTCCGGCCAAATCACCACACTTTCAATTTCATTTTCGCGGCTTCTGCTTCGATCGCGTCGCTTCGACCTCTACGGATGCTCCATTCGCAGTTTTTAAGATCTGGGTTTGAGTCTGATTCCTTCTGCTGCACAGCTCTAGTCACTTCCTACGCGAAGCTAGGAGCATTGTGCTGTGCGCGCAAGGTGTTCGACGAAATGCCTAACCGAGACGTACCCGTGTGGAATGCAATGATCACGTGTTACAAAAGACAAGGCGATATGAAGTCGGCGATTGAGTTGTTTGATTCAATGCCTTCTAAGAACGTGATCTCGTGGACCACTGTTATCTCTGGGTTTTCTCAGAACGGGAATTACTCTGAGGCTTTGACGGTGTTTTTGCGTATGGAGGATGACAAATCCGTGAAACCGAACCATATAACTGTAACAAGTGTTCTCCCAGCTTGTGCGAATCTCGGGGCTTTGGAGATTGGCCGAAGATTAGAAGTCTATGCTAGAGAGAACGGGTTCTTTGGTAATATCTACGTGAGTAATGCTACTCTGGAGATGTACTCAAAATGTGGAATGATTGATGTAGCCAAACGGATTTTCGATGAAATTGGAAACCAGAGAAATTTGTGCTCATGGAACTCTATGATCAGTAGCCTAGCTACTCACGGGAAACATGAAGAAGCTCTTGAGCTTTATGCCCAAATGTTGGTGAGCGTTTTCTTTCGTTTCTTCAGTTTATGCATGTTGAGTCCTTTGGTTTTTAACTGTTTCTTACACTTTGATTTTCCGTTGGTACTTCAGAGAGAAGGAGAAAAACCTGATGCGGTGACATTTGTTGGGTTGTTGCTAGCTTGTGTTCATGGTGGGATGGTGAAGAAGGGAAAAGAATTGTTCAAGTCCATGGAGGAAGTTCACAAGATTTCCCCAAAGCTAGAGCACTACGGATGCATGATCGATCTCTTGGGGCGTGTTGGGAAGCTGCAAGAAGCCTATGATCTCATCAAAACAATGCCGATGAAGCCAGATGCTGTCGTTTGGGGAACTCTTTTGGGTGCTTGTAGTTTCCATGGCAATGTCGAGATAGCGGAGATCGCATGCGAGGCACTGTTCAAACTCGAACCTTCAAATCCAGGGAACTGTGTGATCATGTCGAATATCTACGCCGCGAATGAGATGTGGGATGGGGTTTTGAGGATGAGGAAGATGATGAAGAAGGAAACGATGACAAAGGCTGCTGGATATAGTTATCTTGTTGAAGAAGGAGTCGAAGCTCATAAATTTACCGTGGAAGATAAATCACACCCAAGATCTTATGAGATCTATCAGGCTCTTGACAAAATTTTCCAGATAATGAAACCGGAGAAGAGTCACATTGACTCTATACTCCAACATAAACAACTTTGCATATTGGATTAGAGATTTTGCTTTTTTATTACTCTATATGTGATTTTGGTTTGTATGTAAACATTACAAAACAAAGTTGCTTTGCCTGTCTTGTTTTACGTCTCAGCACAGCTTTATTGGATTCAAATACAATAAAGAGAGTTATTATTGCTTGTCGAACCTGAAACTAAATCATATGATATTAAATATCTTATTCGAACCTCATAAAAATCCCCACAAGCTAAGTAACAAGAAAATCTCACCCAGGGAACAAGCTTGAATATTCACTAAACCCTTTACACATCTTTCTTACACCTAAGACGAAGAGCACTACCACAACAAATCTGTTTTCGAGTTACCTCTGAGCGGTTGGTGTACGAGGCATTGTGTACGGCATCTGACCCATGTTCATTGGTGCACCAGGAACCACTGAGCCAGGGACTGCAGCAGCATGGACTCCAAAAGCCATGTGAGGTGGAGCTGGGAGATTCACTGGTGTTCCAACTGCCGGTTGACCAATAGTGGGCGTTCCGTACATAGGAGGTCCCGGTGGTGGTTGAGAGGCGGCTGGCTTGGCTGATTTGTTTCCACCTCCAGCAACAGCAGCAGAACCGGTGCTATTGTTGTTGTTGTTGTTGTTCTGGCCAGTGATTGGTCCTTGTGGCGTTGAGACATCTGCGTTGCCAACACTAGTGATGTCGTGAATGCTTGATCGCCTTCTGTCTTTGTTCATTGAGTTTAGACGAATGAAATACTTTTGAGCGTGGCTCGCAACTTGGGTCGGTGTTCTTGTTACCACAAAATTACGAGAAATGCTACGCCAATCACCTTTCCCATACTTATCCAACCCAAGAAGAAATAACCTGTATCATAGAAAAGTCAAAGACACAGATCATCAGAATCATAATAATACAAACATGAAAACAAATCAGCCAAGTTCTACGCTTCTCTACCCTTTTAATGTCCCAAAACCATATGCGCCTTCAAGAGAGTAATGTGAAGACTATACTTTAAAGTCAGATTTTCTTGTCCCTTTGTAAAAAGGAAAGTGGGGTTCTCCAATAAAAGAGGTGGACAGACTAACTATCTTTTTTTCTCAAGGTTTCAGCACTATAAACAGCATCTAGCTTCAACAAGTGGTCGAAAATACGGTCAAAATGGTCCCGGGGTTAGATAGCATCTCCTCATTATCTCTAACATGGTGGATGTAATGATATAGCAACTAGGACAGTGAGGTAAAGATAATTAAATGAGAACAGCTATTCCTGTCCCATACCAAGTTATAGTTTCAACTAGCAACTAGGACAGTGAAATTTCTACTTTTTGTTCAAAGCATCCCTATAGAGTGACCTTGGGCCAATCCCCCTAAAACCAGACTCAATCCTTCCACTTTTCATAGACAACCTAAACGTAAATTTGAAAGGATACTAAAGGAATGAGAAGAAGCAAAAACTGATTAGCAGCATAAATAAAACAAGAGATGATCACCTGTGCTCATCCTCTGTCCACGCAATACCCTTTCGTCGTTCTTGATCTGACTTTGCCTTGCTTCCTTGGTTAGACTCGCCCGCATGACTGTTTCCTCCTTTCTTACTGCTTCCTCCTTCATCACCAGCATGACCGTTCGATCTTTCAGGAGAACCATAGTCAGGAAGAGGCACACACCCTGATTCAATCCTACTAACATCTTCAACTAAAAGCTCGTAATGTTCTTTGATCTGCTCAACACTTTTCCCTGGAACTTCTGCAGCAATCTTCTCCCACCGTTCCTCGGATTCATCGGTATGAATCGCAAGAGCTCTCTCAAAGGCAATATCATCCTCCCTACTCCACGCAGAGCCATCACTAACTTCCTCCACAGTCATATTTCCAATCAAACCCACCCAAAATCGATATAATTTTAACCTAAATCCTTCCCCAAATCTGAGATATAAACCAGATATCTGCAAATTTCGCACCTTTAAAGCTCCACAAGCTAGAAACTAATCCAAAATAACCAAAGCTCAGATCTTTCAAGTATCACTGAACCTAGGACTTGGAATTAAAACTAGCGTGATGTTCCAGATCAAAATCCAAGCACACAATTAGACTAAGGTATCAAGAGAGAATCTCGGGGGATTAATCGAAAAGGGATTCTCTCCTACCACAAAATCAGATTCCCTGAAAATAAGGGCAATAAACCCTTGAGAAATCTTTCCCGTACTCTACTGGTGAGCTAAAACAGAGCAACCAAGAGAGGAATTTATCTATCTTATCCTTGAGAAATAGGCAGACGAAGAAGTATCTGTAGACATGGAAATTGAAACGCGGAATAAGAAGATATTGGCAGAAAAAAATTGCAACTTTGTGAAAAAAGGAAAATTAGGGGTTTCTAGGGATTGGGACAAGTTGAAGGAGAGAGGGATGGGAGAAAACCCAGAACAGATGACAGATACAGATACAGATACAGAGAGAGAGAGAGAATGAGAGAGGTCAAAACGCCATTGTTAAAGGGAAGGGAAGTTCGAACAAAAAAAATAAATAAGAAAGAGTGATAACCATCAGCGCCCACACATTGATAGCAACAGTTTTCACAGCTCAACTCCTCTGTTCTTTTTTTCTTCTTTTGCCTTATTTTCTCATTTCTACGATTTTCTTTAGTAAGTAAATAATTATTATACTGTATCAGGTAATTTTTTGGTTGACCGGAATTATGCCAAGTTTTTAACTATGGGTTATTTAATGGTTATTCAGTTCATTGACTCATCATGATTCAAAATCTATTTTGGAAATATTGTAAATTTACATACTTAGATTTTCTTTTTTCACTTTCATAATGCTTTAGCATGTGCCTAAGTTATTCTATTGGGCGACATTTCGGGTCTTAGGCAATCATTGATAAATAATAAATTATCTTTACTGCCATGTTGTTTTTGTTTTTTTTATCACAAGGCAATACAAAACTTACAAACTACTGTAGTTGTAAAAACTATCCAAACAGATTAAGACTAATTTATTGCAACTAGTACTAGCTTACAAAGGTCTTTGTATATATAAACAAAACTTGAAGCTTAGATTCTAGAGCCTCGAGTGGAAACAAACGAAGAAGAAATATTCGAGAGCCTTTTCATATAGGATAACCAAATGTAATTGCCTATGAAATAACATTTCGAACTATGCAATATATGTGATTAGTGGGTAGTCATACTAATACATATTCGATTCACTTTCGACGAAGAGGGTAATTCTAATGTAGTTAAAACACAAAATTTTATTTAAAAAAAGTCTGAATATAGTTTACCTAAACATAAATTGCTTCCTTATGGTAAATTATCTGTTGTCATCAAACACTGTAAACAACTAAACATATCGACTATCAAGTTAAAGCTGATGGTGATTTATTATTAAAGTAATAAAGTCCAAAAATATGCTTGCTGTTGAGGATGTTTGTAGTGGTCAATCATAACTAAAATAGTTGCGTAAAAACACAAATTTGAAATATGATTTCTTTGTTACAGAAACTAAAAATCCATTTTAAATAGATTCTGAAGTAGTCCGTGTAATTGTATAGCACGACTAGTTTTGATGGAGAAAATGCAAAAAGGAAGAAGAAAGAAACAAAGGTGGAGAGAGGTGGACAAAGAAGTTAGGGAAGATGTTGACGTCTTATCCATTAATATCCACCAGAAGATCCAATCAGACCGGTCCCCTTCCCTACTTGTCCCATCAGCTCACAGGTCTTTCCTCATTTATCTTTTCCCTTTTCTTTATTTTTTTCTTTATTCCGAATATATATCATCACTTCAATTATTATCTTTTGCCAAATAAACTTTTATTCCATTGAGGAAAAACCGAAATGATATAGGTTTTATAATAAAAATGCTAAATCAAGGGGGGAGAAAAATCATTACACTTCTGAGTTCTGAGGAATATTATTTTCCGTAGATTTAGATTCTAGCAAATTAACTATTCACAGGTTTAGATTCTAGCAGTTGCAACTAATCACAGTTTGGTTATACATTACCAAAAAAAAAACATTTTGAACTTTTCTACTGTATTATCAAAATACATAAACAATTACCCAAATTTTACTATTTATACCCTATAGATCTTTTTTTCCACAAGAAGCCAAAAAGAACCATGGATATATAAATTAAATGCAACGTAAACTATTCAAAACCCAAAAAAGGAGCATCCTTTATTTCAAACATGAAAAGGGTTTGTTTGGTTCGTCCCAAATTGTGCTCTCATAGTCATTAGAAAACAAACAAACAATGAAGAAAGTAGCTTATGCAAAACACCACAAATAGAACTCTTTCCGATACAGCCTGAAGACAGTTTGACACTAACCAATTAAACAAAATACATCACCTTCTTCTCCTTCTGAAATAGATTCCACCTAACAGTGTGCTTTCAGATTTTATTTCCACGGAGAATAGTAATACCAAATGGCCCTGCAAACACAAGTTATGTTAGAGATTTATAGAGCAGAAGATAGTTCGCTACAGAAACTGTTCCAGAGAAACTATTTATGGCTTAGAACAGAAAGTCTACATTTTCACTTAAGGCTACGTAAATTCTAGATCTCTGCTTTTGAGTTTGCAACAGGAAATGAAAAGAGAAGAAGATAGATCGGCAAGGACTGGAGATGCAAACCTGTGGTCAACAAGGGTTTTAAGCAGCAACCTGTAGCAACTCCTTTTCAGCGCGTTCCCTGATCCTTCTCTCCATCTCTGGCCTAAAGTGTCTTATCAGACCTTGCACAGGCCATGCAGCTGCATCACCCAATGCACATATTGTGTGTCCTTCAATCTGTTTGGTCACCTCCTGCAGCATATCAATCTCTTCCAGCTTTGCATTGCCAACTTTCATCCTCTCCATGATCATCCACAGCCAACCTGTTCCCTCTCGGCAAGGAGTGCACTGCCCACAGCTTTCGTGCTTGTAGAAGTAAGAGAGCCTCGCAATTGCATCCACAACATCGGTTGACTTATCCATCACTATGACCGCCGCAGTTCCTAGCCCTGATTGGACAGCCTTGAGCGCATCGAAATCCATCAGCACATCTTCGCATATGTTCTTAGGAATCAAAGGGACAGAGGAACCTCCAGGAATGATAGCAAGTAGATTGTCCCATCCACCCCTAACACCTCCACAATGCCTCTCAATCAGTTCCTTGAGAGGTATACTCATCTCCTCTTCGACTGTGCACGGCTTGTTCACATGGCCCGATATACAAAACAGCTTTGTTCCAGAGTTATTCTTCCTACCGAAACTCGAAAACCACTCAGGTCCACGCCTTAAAATGGTAGGAGAAACAGCCACGGTTTCCACATTGGTAACAGTTGTGGGACAACCATATAAACCAGCATTAGCCGGGAACGGAGGCTTCAACCTAGGCTTTCCTTGCTTCCCTTCAAGGCTTTCAAGAAGCGCAGTCTCTTCACCACAGATGTACGCACCCGCACCAAAGTGGATATAGACATCGAAATCATAACCAGAACCACATGCATTCTTCCCCAAGAGACCAGCTGCATATGCCTCCCTTCTAGCCTTCTCCAGATTCAAACGTTCATTCACATACTCACCCCTGATGTAAATATACGCTGCACTAGCTCTCATCCCGACACCAGCAATCAAACACCCTTCCAACAATTTGTGAGGGTCATGACGCATGATCTCCCTATCTTTACAAGTTCCAGGCTCACTCTCATCAGCATTGACAACCAAATAGGAGGGACGGCCATCAGATACTTTAGGCATAAAGGACCACTTAAGACCAGAAGGGAAACCAGCACCACCACGTCCACGAAGACCAGATTTTTTCATCTCATTGACAATCCAATCAGTACCCTTGAGCACCAAATCTTTGGTCCTATGCCAATCACCTCTCTTCATCGCCCCTTTGAGAAACGGGTCATGAAGACCATAGAGGTTGGTAAAAATCCGGTCTTCATCCTTGAGACCACCGAAATGAGTCTTCTCCGGAGGCGGAGGAGGTGGAGGTGGCTGTGGAGTGGCAGAAGTGGATGCAGCTTGGGCGCTGAATGATCTCAAAGCTGGAGCCAATCTGTTACTTTCCTTCCAAATTGATACTGCTCTCTGCAAGCCAAGAATCCCCCTCACGGGTGCCTGTCATCAAATAAATAGATGTTATATAGAAGATTAACTCATAGTAACATACTAACATACATTGAAGCAATGAAATCACTGGAATTGGTCATGTGGGATTACAAAAAAATCGATTTTTTTAAAATCAGCGCAACCAAATTAAACCAACAAAAGGAAGTGAATCATCCCAATCGCTGAAGAACAATCGTCAATCTCTAAGAAATAGTGGCAGATCAAACAAAATTCCAATCAATCACAACCTGCTAGATCTAAATGAAAAAAGATGTCGCATTTTGCAATTACTCAGCTAAAATCTGAAACAAATGCAACAAAATAAAACAAAATAAAGTCTTAAATTCCGAAAGCCCTAAACATATGCGATCGACGGAAACTAAAATGAATAACCTAGAAATGAAAACGAAGATCACCAAAATGACACTGCGGGAAAGTGATTACATACCATGGAGACGAAATTTCCGCGAAGTAGCCGAACAGAGAGACTGGTCTTAAGCGAGAAGGCCACAGAAATGGAAGTAGAGGAAAAAGTTTGATGAAGCTTGGACGGACGGAGTTATAATGAAATCAATCTCTGAGCACCTGAGACCGACGAACTCGAGATAAACTGGTTGGTTCAGATTAGTCCGCGTCCTCTTGATGTTAACTTTTCTCTGTTTAATGGGCCTTGGCCCAAATATTCTGATCCTGGATGTTTGGTGACATTTTTATAAACTATTGGGGATAATTTGAATTTAAAAACCTATATGAGGCGTCTTTTTACAATTTTCTTTCTTTCCCGAATCGGCGTTCGAAATTTCAACACAATCAACCGTCTCAGGCCGGCGACAAGAAGAGGCGGTGGTTAAACAGAGTTAGCGAATCGCTTCTGATTACTGGAAGCGATTTTTGATCAGCTCATCTCGGCGATTGCTTGAGTTTCACGTTGTTTTTGGTAAGTTTCCGTCTATCTATTATCTCCAGTCTTTTGATGATTTAGGCTCGCAGGTTCTATTTTTCAATTCGAGATATTTTGATGCCCAGAAAAGGATTGCGAGTTTTGGCCGAAATTTGGTACAGTTAGAAAGTTTAACCCTGAAGATAGAGCGTGTACAATTCATAATTCTGACTGTTGATTCATTGTATTTAGGTTTCGATTTTGAGATGAGAGGTTCCTCGGATTCAACAAGTTCATTGGCTCCCATTGACTCTGCCAATATTGGATTTCAGGTATAGTCTCTTCTCTGGATGCCTCTGGTTTCTCTCTTGTTGAGATGATTGTGTTTCATCTTGTTTTCTTTTGCCTTTGCTCCCTAGTGGTGGTTTGGTTTCACCTAAGGTAATGGTGCGATTGGGTTATTGCAGCTCCTGAAGAAGCACGGTTGGAAGGAAGGTACTGGTTTGGGAATCGCCAAACAGGTTTGCTCTTTGATACTCTTTCTTGTATACACATTCTCTCCAAGTCTCGTTTCATTAGATCACCAAGAAATATTTGTGCTTTCGAGCTCTGTTTAGAAGTAGCTGGTTTGGCTGACAATTTTCTCTACTTGCAAGCAGGGGATACAAGTGCCTGTAAAAACGCAGGAGAAACATAACAGACTTGGACTGGGAGCAGAGGAACCAAAGATACAAAGGAGAAAGAAAACGGAAATGGCTCAGGCTACAATCTCTCAAAACAGTGAACGAGTAAGCGATGGAGCAAGCAGTTCATGGGCAGCCATCAAATCTTCCAACATTGGGTTTCAGGTATTTACACCGAGCCGTCTTATATAGTTTTTTTTTCCCAATTAGTTTGAATAGTGTAACTGGTGTTAAACGATTTGTGTGTGAAATTGGAATTTACAGCTACTAAAGAAGCAAGGCTGGAAGGAAGGCACTGGTCTTGGAATCGCTGAACAGGTAACTTCGCATGTCCTTGTTAATGCAATTGCATTTCGTTTACAGTTTGAAAATCGTTCTCTGTAATGTCTTTCTCAAATGTTTGCTTTCTTGCCAAGTAGGGTATACTAGTGCCTGTACAAACAGAGCCGAAAAACAACAAACGAGGACTCGGAGCTGAAGACACAATAAAGAGAAAAGCGGCTAAGCCTCAGGCTACATATTCTGGAAACATCAAAAAGGTCTGTTTTTGTTTTGTTTTTTAAGATGTTCATATTCACAAGCTGATAGTGTCTAATGCACACATGCCTCTCATCTTTGACTCGAGTCTAAGGCATACAACTTAGATTTTGCTTGCTCTTTCTAATTTTCAGGACGAAAAAGTGCCTAATAAAACCAAGAAACTAACTAAGAAGATGCGGAAGATGATGGAGCACGAAAAACATTTACAGGAAAAGGAATTTGATAGAGCCTTCTTTAGGGAGTTTTGGCCTGATAATGTATAACAAGAATCTAGTTTTTTTTTTTGTTTCCTTTCTTCTTTTTGACCTTGATGTTCCTAAAAATTCTATAAATGTACTTAGAAATCAAAAATATCTATGCTTCTTATCCCGCCAATTTAGGATGAAGTTTCGATTGTTTGTGTTCAGAATCATGATGACTCGGCATTTGAAACATTGTTCCGTGAATTAATCAACTTTTGAGTTCGTCTTCCGACACACAGAAAACAAAATATACTTTTGACATATATATAAAAGGTGTGGAAGAAAGAAAATGAAATTACGCAGACACAAGCAAGCAAATGTTTTCCTTGTAAAGTTCTAAATTGTATGCTCATGTGCCTTGCATTGGCCTCCTTACTCATGCATCAAGCATGACTATTCAATTTGAATAGTAAAAAGAAATTGGAAAAATTATCTGAATAGTAAAAAGAAAATGAAATCATTGAAGACAAAGATCAGCTTCACCTTTTCTCTTAGTTTAGTCAGCTGATTATTTTCTTTTGGTCAGCTGAATTCACCTTTCCTTGTTTCTTTTTTCGTCAACACCTTTTTCTTGTTGTGAAAAGTTGAAAATCGTTAGATTAATGATCTTTCGTTTGGAATAATAAATGGGCTGAGAGAGAAAGGCCCACTAAACCTCCTAAATAAATTGAAATTGTAATATCTTCTTCCTTCACCTTCGCTGTAGTTCCCAGACTAGCTGCATTTTGCTGCCTTCTGTAGAGCTCCGCCGCATCCGAAGCCGTAATTTCAATCGTCGAGCTTCAACAATGGCGTCTCTTCTCTTACCTTCATCAGGATTTCTCCAAATTCGAAGTCAAAGCAATGGCCAATCCTTACTTCTCCCTCGCTCCACCTCCAGAACACCACTTTTCGTCTCCTTACCCTCTCTCCGTCCGCTGAGACCGAATCACTTCTCTGTTTCCGCCGGAGCTTCGAAGAAACCATCGGAGTCTGTCACGGCGGCGGCGGAGACGGAGAACAGAAAGCAGCAGGCGAAGAAGAATTTGAGCGCGGTGGAAGAAGCAGAAGAGGAAGTAGAGGAGGATATGTTGTGGATTCAGGAGAAGGCATTAGACCTAGTCGAGTTCACTGGATCGGTGACCCAGGCGATTCCTGGACCTCGAGTTGGAAGTAGCAAATTGCCGTGGATGCTCGCCGTTCCGTTAGCTTACGCCGGCGTAACGTTCGTCACTGCCTTCGTCAAAACCGTTCAGAAGTTCTCTTCTCCTAAAACTCAGCGCAAGAAACTGGTCTCTGATTGCTTTCTCTATCTCTCTCTCTTGTGATCCATTAACCGAACAACGAACGTGTGAATCACAGTTTGGATTTTTCAATCCCTGCAGGTGAATCAGAATGCTATGGTTTGTAGATCTATAGATGAGCTCTTACAGAAAGAAGAAATCGTGCATAGCGCTGAGCTTAAAGCACTTGAAGAAAAGGTGTGAAATGTCACTGATTTTTGCTTCATCTTTTTTTGTTCTTCTTCAGAAATTGACATGAGATTGCTGAATTTTCTTGACATCCAGACAGAGTTTAACATGGAGGAGATATTGCGGAAATACATCCGCTATGCGTTGAATGAGAAACCGTTTAATCCCGATCTTGTTGCAAGTCTCATTCGTCTCAGGAGAGCTTCTGGTTTGAATGATTCTCAGATTCCTGGGATTTTGAACGAAATCTCTCGTCGTATTGTTAAAGAAAAAGGTAAAACAAAGAAAACTTGAACCTATTCTCCATGATTACAGTCTTCTTTATCGCTCTTGGCATGTAATTGTATATGCAGGTCCTGTAGTGATGAATATGCAAGGGTTTACAGAGAAGGGGTTCAAGAGAAAACTCGCCGTGCAAGCGCTTTTTGGAAAAATTTACTATCTTTCCGAGGTGAGAATATGCTTTACTCATTCAACATCCATTACAATGATCTGATCATGTAGCCAGATTTTTTTTAAAAACTCTCTTCTGTTTTCAACAGCTTCCTGACTTCTGCTTGAAAGACAACTCCTTGATTGTCAAGGAAATATTCGGAGTTACAGAGTAAGTTAACTCTCAGATTGAAGCTTGTTACAAAGGAATAAGAATCTTATGCCACTTTTCTTTGTCCATCTCTATAATAATTTCAGTGAAGACGCAGAGAAGCTGCGGATACACGCGCTTGCTGAAGCTGGAGACATAGAGTCGCTTGAGAAAATGGTGGAATTTGAGAAATCGGCTGAGTCTTCTTCGGAGAAAGAAGATTCAAATGAAGAAGATGACTCTAATACTACTGGTTAAGATCTATCTGTTCAAAGACCAACTTCAGTACTAAGATTTTTCCAATTTTTTTTGTTTCCTTCTGTTGACTTAATCACAAGTTGTTCATAGGGGAAAGACTTTTGATTTCAACAAAAAAGAATCGTCTTTTACCATGAAGCATGTAATAGAAATCTACTGCTTCTAAGATGCAGCACAAGAATACAAGTTGTGGATTATACTAATAAAAAAGTTTGTCTTTTGCTAAATCAAAACTCACACAGATCTGGAGAAAGGCTCGAGATACCTATATTCTGTTCTTAATATTAAGTCTGTATAAGCTCAGAGGTTAATTACATAAAGCCAGAGCACAAAAACTCTTGTATCTGAAAACGGATTCTGATAAAAACTCTTGCTAACCTAATACATCTTACAATGTTAATTCCTCAGAAAAAAACTCAGTTTCCTAGAGTTGAAGAGTTGTGATCCTCAGATGTTGAAACTGATCAGGCTTTGCGGATAGAGTCCGAAAGCTGCACCTGATAACTTGAGGTTACAGATACTTGAGTTGATTTTCCCACCAATAAATGTTTTCATTACACTGCCTCCTTGAGATTGAATGTTCTGACAATTTCCCTGGCGTGGTCGTGTTCGTGGAGCTCGACTAGTATTCTCTTTAACCGGCGGGCAAGACCAGTGGTTTCCGCATCGTCCAGTCCTGAGGCAAGCCTTTTCTCCAGAATTCTTCTAAGTGTCAGTATACAATCCACAAGAGGTTGCAACGGCCGACTGCAAAATCAAAATAAAAGATCTTAGTATGCATCAAGGCGAATTTACAAGATCTTCAAAGTGGTAATTTCCAAGGTGAAGCCGACATCATGTGAACCAAATGACGATAATTTTTCTTAGGCAACGGGATTCCGAGAAAAGCATAAAGACCGTAGCCTGAGCAGTACTTTAATTTTGAGGGAAGTCCCTAGACTTTGCAACATAATACGTAATGTACACATCTTAGTCCTAATTGACAGTTTCACTACTCTTGCATTAGCGCACATGAAAAACAATAGCTCAACTTTTCATGCAGGCGGATTGTCACTGAAATGGGAAACGATATGCCTATATGATGTTTTACTAATATGAACCATGAGAACGACGATGTGTGAGATAGCAAACTTCTGATTAATCTGATGAAAGAATTTATCTTTACCTGTTGGTTTTTGTGACGCTTTGTCCTGTCCATACGCCAGACAAAGAAGCAACGATCTTTTCAGTTCTTGTCACAGCATCATGGATATTTGATGAGATACTTCTGACATGAGGTAGGACTTTTCCAAGTAAAAGGTCACTCAGAGCCAAGTTCTCCAACACTGGAAGCGCCAGGATGTCTTTCCACATGCATATATTTCTCATCAGCCGGACTGATGTCCCAAACCTATATGCTGCAACTTGTGGAGCATTAGGTACAGCTTTCAATACCAGAGGATCCCATGTTGGAACCTGTAGAACCAAGAACGAATCAGAAGATCTTATTAGTCCAGTATAATTCCTCATAACAGTCTCACCAGATTTAGTAGGAATTGAGCAAGAGATGCAACAAACTCAAATTCATACCGTAATAGCTGCTATGGCTTCAACAAGACGAGAGTGAATAGCAGCAAATAGTTCTGCTAGGGCCTCGCTTGAAGCAGAAACATAAGTTGTCACCAAGCTTGTAGCAGCAACGGCATTTCTTGTCTCCCGGGTGCTAAGTATATCCCAACAACGAACTATCTGATGGTGCAAAATAGGAATCGCAACCTTTTCCACTAGCTCAGGGACAAGGTTGGCGTCAGTATCATCTGGTGCAAAATCATCCTCATCTTCTGGCCTCCCATAGTTAAATAACAACTCATGCCTGAAGACATAAATCACGAGTCAGATTACTTTCACAAATCCGAAATAAACAATGGGTTTCATTCACACGCTAAGAGACTAATGCCTACTAGTTAGGACAGGTGAAGTTTGTTTAGGGAATGAAATTTTGGACAGTATAAAAAGACAGAAAGCGTGAATAGCTTACCATTCCATGTTAAAGAAACCCACATCCTGATGAAGAGGATCCCATTTCAAAAGCTCCAATCTTATATAAGGTGAAAAGATGGAAGGAACTGTCAAAGACATGTAAGCATCCCGATAAGTAGATGAATAGTCTCGCTTCCACTTCTCAAATCTCGCCGTCACCCTTGAAAGCTGGGAATATTCCTCAGACGCATCACTGAAGACTTTATCAGCACACTGAAGTAATTTATCCCTGCTTTCCTTGTAAGCTGAAGTCTCGCTGTCACTCTCATCAGTACTTGATTCTCCTTCTATTTTCAGAGACGATCCATCAATCTCCATGGCTGATGCACGCTTATTTTCAAACCGGGCTCGCCTTTTCTGACGGGCTGCAGCCCTCTGTTCCACTTCCCTGCGCTTCTGCATGTTTTCGTCTCTGCCAAATTCGTCGAGTTTGACTGGTTGATCCGACTGCTGTCTTATAGAAGCAGAGGCAGCCAATGCAGCACTTGTAGCAGCAGCAATCACTGAAGCACTGCTTCCTTGTTTGTTTAGAACTGTCATTGCTGCTTTCACGGCAGCCCCCAACTCTACCATTTCATCATTGTTATCTGCAGTTCTCCTTTCTAGAATAGCTGAGGCGTGTTTCTCATTGAGTTCCTTCATTCGTTCTTCAATTTCCTCGATTAAGGAACCCTTCTCCTGCAACAGAAAATTTATAACAAAAATTAGGATTGCTATTCCAATAGCTGTCTGGCTTGCAACTATTTTTACTTACAGGGCAATCCAGTAGCAGTATGTATCATAGTTGAATTATTTCTATTGATGCACTAAGAAAGCAGTGAATAATGGTATTTCAAAAGTAAAAATGAGAGCAACATAAGCAATACGTATACAACTACAGACACAACATTACGTTAAAGCATACCTGCATGAAGTCGCAGATAACGGAAATGAAGTCTCTAAGTTTTTGCATGAAGACATACTTGTCTCCAGCTGCAGCTAGAGAACTTTCAAGCGCTGTGATACTCATCAATGAAGCAGTCAAATTCTCATCAGTCTTGGTCAGCGAGGATACGGTTTTTGCATGAGATTCCTGGCAAACAACTCAAATAAACGCAGATCATCAGAAACCAAATTCAATATAACTCATAACTAAATCAGTCTCATCAGTAGTGAACAGGAAAACATCTAAAGATTTACCTCAGCTAATAATTTACTAGAATAACATTAACAGAATACAAATACCGTGATTTTAACTGAACACTAAGAGAAGGCAGAAGATTCAGAAATAAGACAAACCAAATTCATAGAGCAATACCTTTAGCCTCTTCACATTGTCTTTCAATGCCTTCTTGGCAACCTCGGCTTGTTGTGACATTGGCAATGTATCGACACTACTAGCTGGACCAATGGTAGGGGGCACGGAACCAAGTGGCATCCCTGCATGATAAGCATACATCTGCGGTTGCTGCTGTGGTAGTGGCTGCTGTTGTGGATGCAAAGGCACGCCGATTCCATTACTACTTGCAGTTCTATTAGACCCTTCACTCATTCTTTTACCAATACCCTTCTTTAATTGCTCCTCCTCCCACTTCTTCTCTTCTTCATCCTCATCCTCATCAAAACTACTTATAGTGGATTCTTTATCTGTAGGCTTTTCATCGCCGAAATTAAACACACCTTCACTTTTGTGAGGTTTCGCACCGATGAAACCTCCCAGAAAGTCAGCTTCCTCATCGCTAACCCCTTCAACTGCAGAATGATTAGCAGTAGTACCATCCAGTGATATGAAATCGGGTGCCGGAGCTGAACGTGACTGCCTCCTCTTCTCTTTATTGGCTCTAATAATCGCCGCCTGATTAACAAACACATCTTCAGTGAGCTCCTCTTCACCTTCCTCATCGAAGTCCAAATCCGAGACCTGTTTGACCACATCCTTCAGACTCTGCTGCTCCTGCTCCTGCTGAGGTTTGATTAAACCCTTAAGCACTAACTTGGGCTCGGTATTGGCATTAGGGCGAGAATGCGGAAGCGTCCGTGTGTTCTTTTGGAGCTCGAGCAGAGCCTCTTTCGTATAAGAGCCGGCCTGGGGAAGCACGTTGGAAAACGGAGCCACGGTGGAGGAAGAAGAAGCAGGACGCTGCTCCTTGGTGGAAGAAGCGTTAAGTTTGTGGGAAGACCCCAAACCGCCAAGACGCGATGAAGATTTGATCCGATCTCTGCCGTTCTTAGGCTTTACCGGCACACGGAGAGGTCCGTCTTCTTCCTCCTCTTCGTCTGCAAAACTGAGGAGCTTCTTCTTCGGGTCCGAGGCTGGGAGTTTTTTAGGTTTCAACGAGGACAGAGCAGAAGACGGTTTCCCCGCGGCGTTAGCATCTTTACCGTCGATTTCATCGCCGCCGTCGTCGCCTCGCCGTCGGAAATTCTTAGGGCGGTTACTTCCCATTCTCTCTAGGATTAGGGATTTTACAGTTAGGGGATGGAGGAAACTTTGAATTGAGAGCTAATCGCTTAATTTTCTGATCCTTGTAGTTCTATGAGTATGTCCTGAGAAAGGAAATATTCGAAAGAAAAGAACACTAAAACATATAATCCACGTCACATATTTAACAGAAATAAGAACAAGGGAAATAATATAATAAAATTAGAATCTAACGTCAATTTCTCATCTTTTTTCTTCCAATGTGTTTAGGCTAAATCTGATTATCAAACAGTTGTGTTACTGTTTACTGTTTAGTATACTGCGGATGCTACCATTGAAACTATGTAGAGAGAAGCATAAAGAAGAAGCAAATGTTGCAAATTGCATTTTTTTTCTTTCTTTTTCATTCTTCCACTTATGGGTTCAGAATTAAAAACAGCTTTTGCCTTCTTTCTTTTGCTTCCATGGGCAAAGGAAGCAAACAGAGAGAGGATGATGAAGAGGAAACAACATAACTGTTAAGTAGTTTAAAGAAGAAAAGGAAAAGGCATCAATGATCAATTCCCATTGCATCGGTGAAGCACACCATTGCTACTACTTGCTTGCACTTGCTTCTTCTGGTTCTGTGGGTTAATCCGGTCAAGTCCCCATATCCTTATGGTTCCATCGTCGCTCGCTGAAGCCAACATGTGAAGGTTCGTTGGGTTCCAGCTCACGCAGTTAACCGCTCCTGCATGACCTGGCAGCTCAACGATTAACTTCCCTGTAGATCTGTGCCATATGTATACCTGCAAAATGTGTGGAACCATGTCACCAAAATCCGCAGAGAGATCAACCTCATTCGGTTTAGCTATGTTTTATTACCTGAGAATCCTCGCTTCCGCTAGCGATGAAACCTTGTTTATACCCACCAAAGCATGATCTGATGATGAATCGTGAACGCTTGTGGCCTTTGTATCTCGACACAATCTTGGGGTCACCTTCGATATTCCAGAGACGGATTTCCTGGTTGAGGAGATTTACCAGAAGATATTTGTTGTCATTCGAAAGAGAGAAGGAGGTAATCATGTCTTCTTCTTCGATCAGTCTCTCAAGATTCGCTTCCCTATCAAACAGGGATATCACAGAGTCCTTGCATACGCTTACGAGCCACTTGCCATCATCCGTCATGGCAATATCCGATACCTTTTGTGTCCTCTGACCTTTCCAGCATTCCATCTCTCTACCATCTAAATCCCACATGCAGATGCTTCGGTCTGTCATCCCGGCGATTATTCCCTGGCCATCAGGTGACCATCCGCAAGAAATGGGACCCATACCGCCTTTCTCGTACGTGTGAACACAGTCTCCTGAATCAACATCCCAGCGTCTGATAACCTCTTCTGCTCCACATGTAATAACTTGACGATCGTCATGACTCCATAAGATGGCAATCACGGGTTTCTGATGGCCCACAAGTGTATGCTTCAATGAAATGTGCCCATCTGCGTTGATCTGTAAAGAACATTCTAAGTGAATCAGCAAACAGGTTGCTTCAGTTAGAATAGGAATCGATTAAGAACTTTAAACAGGTTAGCCAACACTCAGTTCAGGTGAGCCTTGGTTGGTAGGTCAGCATTACCTCCCATATAATTGCGGTCTGATCCTTGGAAGAGGAAGCTAAATATTTGCCATTATGTGAGAATTGCAAGAACCAAACTTCATCAGTGTGCGACTCCAAGATCTGAACCATTCACGTAGAGAGAACTTAACGAATGTGATTTATGTCATTAACGCACACATGCACTGGAAGTCTGACTAAACCACAAACATAGAAGAGATGCCACAGAGTAATTAGTTAATCAGAGGAACATGATTACAGCTGACGGCAAATAAATGTAATACATAGCCAATGATGGAGAAGGAATAACCGAAAAAGAAAAGAGGCATCAGAATGAGACAATTATCGTCTTCTATTTCTTTCTCGATGACCTGTCATGGGAATGAAAATATTTGCAGAACGATGTACTGTAAAACCTCTAAGCTAAAGATATATGCGACTCTCCTCTAGTTTTGATCACCAAGAAACTAAACGACAACAACATGAAGAAAACAGAAGTAACATTCAAAGATCAAAGCAGTCTAACCTGAACAGTCTGAGAAGGAATTTGGTGTTTCCCACATTGGTGGTCAGAAAACAGAGACAAATCACTATCCAGTGTATTATGGAAAACACAAGAATCCCGCTGTATATGAAGGGAATTCTCAACTAAATACTCCAACCTCTTTTCTGGGATCATAACAGAAGCAGGAAGCAAATTTTGCAATTCCTCCAGAACCTTGGACCTTGCATTCACACTTTCTTTACCTGGAGCCGAACTGGTATGTGATATAAAGTTTGAAGGTGATATAAGGGAGGAAGCGAGCTCATGAACACGCTTTGAATTAATATGAAGAGGCACAATCTCATTCCTTAAGGTGCCCAGCGCATCAACTATCTTTTCAATTTTCAGAAGCTCAAAGAATTTTTGTTCGAGGAGCAAGAAAGACGCAGATTTGACCGCCGTTTCATCAGGCAGACCGATTCTGTGCAATGATACAACACTTTCATCCCATTTTCCGTCCTTCACCTGCTGCAGAAAAACCTTAACGATAGAGTTATGCAGAGGAAATCCGGATTCTTCCTCCAACATAGCCCCGGCTTTGTCATATCCAAGTGAATAAAGAGCCTTGGTGATTATTCTAACGAATTCAGATTTCCTAATGACTCCTTTGGAGCCGATAGTTTCCTCATCCCCTTGGGAGGTCAGAGGCCTTGCCATCAGGTCTCCCAAAGAGCTGTTCACACTGCTACCTCTAACTGAAGAGTTCCCAGAGAAGCCGTTCGGTTCGTCAGCAAGCGTTTTTGCACGTTTCAAAGGAGGTTCAGTATCCTCCACAACTCCCATGAAATTCCTAGTTCAGCCCATATAACTATTCTGCAGAGACATAAATGAGACAAAGCATTGAGTAATTTCACATTAGATCCATAGAAAACCCAAAGAAATGCCCTTTTGCCAGAATGCCAGTTAACAACATCAAAACAGTACAAAGATTCAACTTGATCATAGTCAGAGACATGCTATAAAAGACGAGAAGGAATCAGAATATGGGATTAAAAAACAGAAACATTCATGTAGATCTACTAGCAAATGATAGTGATTATAGCAAAGAAGATTAACATTCAACCCTTAAGAATAACATCAAACCCAGTTGATCAAAACTACGAAATTAGTTCACTTTGCTCGATCGGAGCAAACCACCTCTCAATCGCTTCACCGATGAAGCATAAAATGAAACAGTGAATCTAAATACGCCCAATCGACTCAATCACAACAGACAGTTGCGGAAACTACTCAATCGAATTGAAAAAAAAAAAAAATCGAAACAGTACACCCCCAAAAAGGATTAGCAATCACAGAAAAACTGAATTGTAGAATCAACATCGAACTAAAATTGAACAAGGATCACTGCGTGATGAAGATCAATTAACGATCTAAGAAGCAACATATAGAAAGGAGAGGTGGGGGAGGAAAAATCTAATCTTACCAAATAAGAAGCAAAACCCAGGAAGCAAAAGATAAGGTTTGGCGATGGCAGAGGAAAAATAGAGAGATAGGGTCGATGAACAGCCCGGAAATAAAGGGGAAAACCGGTAGAGATTCAAAAGCGGTGAGAAGAAGATAGAGAGCGAGATAGGAAGTTTAGAAAAAGAGAGAGAGAGAGAGAGAGAAGGATGCGTAAAGAGAAGAGAGAGGAAGCGACTCAATAAGCGGAAATGGAAAAACAAATTATAAAAGAAGAGAAATGAACCGTGTGCGTGGCTGATCAGAGGCTGCTCTCCTCCTCCCAACACAACAAAAACATATGCAATTTTACTTTACTTTTTCTTTATTCTTACATTTAAAGCATTCATGTTTATATCAAAAATGTATATTGGAATCATCTTCATTAGACACTTTGGTAACTTCTCTTCCACGATGAGGTAACTATATCAACTTCATTCAAAAACATTTTACTTTCAATCTTGCCTTTCTAGCATTTTTTTCCCCCAGAACATGTAATGTATATATGTAGCTAGATGCACAATCTGTATGTTTGAAACGTGTTAAAAGTATTCTTTATATCGTAAATATAGTCCAATCTGTAGTAAGTGCCTGATTTGTCCTGAATTTTCTCAGAATTGAAAATGCAAAATAGCTTGCTCGAAAGACTCACCCAATGGATCAAAGTTCAAAGTGGATACACAAAATTCAATGAGCTTTCTAATGACCTTCATGGAATCACATGATAGCTTCTAATAACAAGGCCGTTGTGTATGTTTGGGCTGAATTAATAAGAAAGGCTCATTAAAATATATGTCGAACTAAGGAAAAAAGCCCAATAGTAACTTATAAATCTCTTGACCATGTGGCAAGTGAGTAAATAATATCTACCTAGTATGGTAAAAAATTAAAACCAAAATCCAGTGGGTGATAAGCAAAAGCTCTTATCAGTGCGTGTTTTCAATTATCATAAGCAGATACGCTTATTAAATCGTGCTTATAGGTTTGTTGTTTCCATTGATGCTCGCATTGTCAGTTTCGAGCGTCTCTTTTTTCTCTCTTCTTCGATTCAAAATCCCTAATCTTTCTCTTTCTTTTCAACTTATAATAAATTGGTTTTGATTCCCAGATTCTTCGATCCTCGAAACCTGTAATTTTCCAATATCCTACAGGTACTTCTTTGACTATGCTCTTTTTCTCTCTCTCCCTCTCTCTCTCTCTCTCTTTTTTTTTTGTATTCTGGATTTATTATATTCTTTTGTACTACTATGTTTCCTTAAGTTTTTTTACGGGTTTTATTTTGTCGAAGGAAGTTTATCCTCTGGTTTATGCAGATCTCATTAAATGTGCGTGTTTGATCTTGTACGCAGAGCTGTGCAGTAATGTCGTCTCTTAGCAGGGAACTTGTTTTCCTGATTCTTCAATTTCTCGATGAAGAGAAATACAAGGATACTGTTCACAGGTTTTTTTTGGGCTTTTAATCTCTTTCAATTTTGGAATCTGCAAATCGGGAATTGAGAAACTAATTCTGTGAATGTTAATAACGCCCAGATTGGAATTGGAGTCTGGTTATTACTTCAACATGCGTTATTTTGAGGAATTGGTGACGAACGGTGAGTGGGACGAAGTGGAGAAGTATCTATCTGGGTTTTCCAAGGTTGAGGATAACAGATACTCCATGAAAATTTTCTTTGAAATCCGAAAGCAAAAGTATCTCGAAGCTTTAGATAAGTAAGCTCCATTTTTCTGAGCATTTCCCTCTGGCATTTTAGTTTGCTAAAGTGGTACTATGACTCTCAAAACTTTTCTGTTCATTGGAATTTTTGTAGGCGTGATCGCGCAAAAGCTGTGGAGATTTTAGTCAAGGATCTAAAGGTGTTTTCAGGATTTAATGAAGATCTCTTCAAGGAAATTACCCAACTCTTGACATTGGATGACTTCAGGTACAATTTTTAGTTTTAGCTACAACATTTTTCGCCATAATAAATGCTTGTAGATTATCGAGATTCTCATTCACTGTTACATCAATTTCCAGAGCCAATGAGCAACTCTCCAAGTACGGGGATACAAAGTCTGCGAGGGGTATCATGTTTGGTGAACTAAAGAAGCTGATAGAGGCTAATCCACTTTTCCGCGACAAACTTCAGTTTCCTGCTCTGAAGAGTTCGAGGTTGCGGACTCTAATAAACCAAAGGTGCTTGAGGATTTTCCTACTACCCTTTCGTTTAAACATCGTTTTCTCAGTGGTTATATACTAAGACTTTTACTGGAATTTCCCATAGCTTAAACTGGCAGCATCAGCTATGTAAAAATCCAAGGCCAAATCCTGACATCAGATCTCTATTTCTGGACCATACTTGCAATCAACCAAATGGCGCTCAAGCCTCATCCCCTGTTACAAATCATTTAATGGGTGGCGTTCCCAAGATTGCAGGGTTTCCACCATTGTCAGCTCATGGTGTAAGTGCCGAATGATAATGTTGCCATTACTACCACGCTAAAGAAATATTTTGTTTTATCCTGAAATGTTGCCGCATGTTTTGGACAGCTGTTTCAGCCTCCAGGTGCACTTCCAGCTACTCTTTCAGGTTGGATGGCTAATCCATCTGTCGGGCCTCATCCTTCTGCATCTTCAGGTCATATAGGCTTGGGTTCTCCAAACAACGCAGGTTGTCTATTTATTATGAATGCTTCTTTAAAATTTCTGAAAGTTTTCCATCGTTAAAGATATGCTTCCTATTCATGAGATATCTGATAAGAAAAAATTTACTTGTTTTAAACATTGTGCTAGCTGCTATCTTGAAGCGCCCTAATACTCCTTCTGGTCCTATGGAATATCAAACTGCTGATTCTGACCATGTTTTGAAGAGATCAAGGCCGTGTGGAACCTCAGAGGAGGTACTCATCAATAATTAATCCATCTGTTCAGTATCCAAGAGTTGATATACATGTCCCAGCTATTCTCTTTAGGGAGAACTAGAATTTTCAGTTTTAGGCTTTATATTTGTAAGATATAGATAATGAAAAATGTACCAGAAGAGCTTGAGAGATAGCAATTTCATTCCAAGCATTCTTTTTTCTCAGTGGGACTGATTTTTGGTGGTTTTAATGATTTTTCAGGCGAGTAATATTCCAGTAAATATTTTGCCAGTTTCATATCCTGGCCATCCCCATGGACACAATACGTTATCACCGGATGACTTGCCCAAGCTAGTTGTTACAACTCTTGCTCAGGGTTCACCTGTCATGAGCATGGACTTCCATCCAGTTCAGCAGATTTTACTACTGGGTATGTCTGTGAACCTTACTGGTTTACTCGTCAACGAGCAGATTCTATTATGTCATTTCTTTTTTTTTTTCTTTTCTTTTTTTACAATTAAGGGTATTGAGAATATGTGTTGTCAGTTGGTACAATTCGTGGTGATGTTTTCCTGTGGGACCTGGGTGCTCGTCAAAGGATTGCGGAGAAGGGTTTTGATGTCTGGAGGCTTGATGCCTTTTCAAAAGAATTGCAGGTTTACTTCTCATACTTTGGTTCTTCTCCCATTCTGTCTAAAAAGCAGTTGTTTATCTTTATTATTTTATTCGTGGACAGGCATCTTTGAACGCTGAAGAGACGGCATCGGTAAATCATGTGGCTTGGAGTCCTGATGGAACTCTATTTGGTACATTTATCTTTAAGAGCAGTGGAGAAATTGTTAGGGTTATTCGCAGAATAGGAATAGTCTCAACCTGAAAAATCTGCTTGTTTTCATATTACAGGCGTGGCATACTCAAAAAGCATTGTGCATATCTATTCCTTTCATGGGGGGAATGACATAAGAAATCATCTGGAGGTTCGTGTAACTAATTATTCCTTTCATTCATATCAGTCACGGTAGTTGGATACTAGCTTTTCGTATTTTCAACATATTTTTACAATTTGGTTTACTCTTTCCTTGGACTGCAGATTGAAGCTCATACAGGGAATGTTAGCCATCTTGCCTTTTCATATCCTGACAAACAACTAACTGTTGTTACTTGTGGCGATGACAGAATCATTAAGGTTTGTCTTTCTGACTATATCTATTTTCCTTTGGCACGTTAATGGTTGGGCATGACTTACATGAACTAAAATAATCCAAAGGTTTGGGACGCTGTTACTGGGGCTAAACGGTTTACTTTTGAGGGTCATGAAGCTCCTGTATTCTCTGTCTGTCCTCACTACAAGGAAAATATTCAGGTAACAAAAGTATTTATTTTATTTTTTTTGTTTGTTGTTGTAACTTGTTATCAGTCTCATATTGTTGCTATCAAATTATCAATGCTCTGGTTCATTTGTCTTTCATGATATCAAATTCCCGTGGATATAATTGTCGGCTAGCTGAATGTAGCGTGTATGCATCTACTATTTAGAGTAGAAGCCCCTAATAATGTGCATTTCTGTTTACTGAATGAAAATCTATGTACGAGAGGAACTTTCCCTAACACATTCTAGATCCTATGCAGTTTGTCTTCTCAACAGCTACTGATGGAAAAATTAAAGCTTGGTTGTATGATAATGCTGGTTCAAGAGTTGACTATGATGCACCTGGTTATTCTTCGACAAAAATGGCATACAGCAGTGATGGAACAAGGTTCTTCTAACTTTCTCAAAACTTGTCAGCATTGACTGTTGCCTTTTCCTTCGAAATTTGAATTAATTAATATGTAATAACATGCAACAGGTTGTTTTCGTGTGGTACAAACAAAGAAGGAGAGTCATTTTTAGTCGAGTGGAATGAAAGTGAAGGGTCCGTAAAAAGAACATATCATGGCCTTGGAAAACGGGCTGGAGGGATTGTGCAATTTGACACAACCAAGAATAGATTCTTAGCTGCTGGAGATGAGTCCACTATCAAAATTTGGGACATGGACAACACAAATATTTTGACAACTATTCCTGCAGATGGTGGCTTACCGGTAATTTTACTGAATGATTGTGGCCTCGAGCTAATTCTACTACTTTTTACTAGCAGCTAATTCCTCTTGTAAATCCTGCAGGCTTCTCCTTGTGTTAGATTTAATAGGGAAGGAATACTTTTAGCTGTCTCGACCAGTGACCATGGTGTTAAAATTCTCGCATCTGATGATGGAATCAGGTTGTTGAGAACAGTAGAAAATCGCCCGTTTGCCCCTGCAGCCGTCATGAAGGTTTTTATTTTATTTTCTGGTTTGTATCTCTGTGGACATTGTACGCAGTTTGTTAACACAATCTGGTGTGCAGGTTCCTGCAGGTGTTGGTTTTGGTTCTTCAAGTGCCAATGCAGGAATAACGATGGCTGATCGATCTAACTCTTTTGCAGCTATGGAGGTGAGTTTAAGTGTGAATTTGGATGTTTTTTTGTAGTCTGCTGATTATTTAGTGTATGACTAAACTGTTTTATTTCTTCAGAACAACGATGTGCGAACTCTGGCTGATGTGAAGCCCAGAATCGTTGATGATTCAGGCGAAAGATCTAGAACCTGGAAAGTTACAGAGATTACAGAGCCATCTCAGTGCTGCTCCTTGAGGCTCGCCGACAATGTGACAGCGGCGAAGGTAATATTTTATTGTTGAAGCATGTTTCTATCTTCAAGCTAGATGATATCTTCACATGACCAAATGAATCACGTATATATACGTAAAGTAAAAAGATTATAACTTCTTCACTTGGAATGTGGTTCATATATATATATATATATATATATATATATATATATATATATATAGCCTGTGGATGAGCAGGGTTCACTCATGTTTTCTGTGGTGGGAGTTTCAGGTTTCTAGATTAATTTACACAAATTCTGGATGTGGAGTATTGGCCTTGGCATCTAATGCAGTGCACAAGTTGTGGAAATGGCAGAAAGGCGATCAGAATTTGGCTTTTAAGGTCTCCTTGCCTCCTTGTTTTAGTTTATTTTTACATTGTTTGGTGGGAGTTGTATATTTGTTGTTTCTGGTTATGATCAGTATTCACTTATCAAATTATGGCTCTCATTTATTTTCTTCTAGGCAACGGCTAGTGAACAGCCAGTACTATGGCAACCTCCAAGTGGGATTACGATGACCAATGACATTAGTGATACAAATGTTGAAGAGGCAATTCCCTGTTTTGCCCTCTCAAAGAATGACTCCTACGTTATGTCAGCTTCAGGGGGGAAGATCTCTTTGTTCAACATGATGACATTCAAGGTGAATAACCGTATCTTCCTTTTAAAGTCTGCGACAGATCTTTGTTTTACCAGCATAGCATTTCAGAAAACGTTCAGTAGATTTTCCTCGTTCAGACTTCAGACAGATCTTATAATTTGAAATAATTAGAGATAGACTTGAAACAGTTCCTTGTTCTAATGCTGTATTATGTAACGTAATAGACTATGACGACGTTCATGCCTCCACCGCCTGCAGCAACATTCCTTGCGTTTCATCCTATGGACAATAATATCATTGCCATTGGCATGGACGATTCATCTATCCAAATCTACAACGTTCGTATTGACGAGGTATCACTTGGAATGAAATGATGATATGATTAATTTGGGTGGTAAAAGAACTCGTGAATATAACTGACAAGTTGCCTGTTTCATAGGTGAAAACAAAGTTGAATGGTCATCAGAAAAGAATAACAGGTCTCGCATTCTCACAGGCTCTGAACATTCTTGTTTCTTCAGGTGCTGATTCACAGGTAAGAAGAGTTTTGTTCTGTTGTGAAAATCAATGGGCACCACTTGAGAAAGTTTAGTAACTTGCTTACGTTGCTGGGGTTTTGTAGTTGTGCATATGGAGCACAGATGGATGGGAGAAGCAAGGTAGCAAGTATTTGCAAGTTCCAAATGGAAGATCGATGCCGGCTGTTTCAGAAACCCGGGTGCAGTTCCATCAGGATCAGATTCATCTGTTGGTTGTCCATGAAACGCAAATAGCCATTTTCGATGCTCAAAAACTGGATTGGCTGAGACAGGTAACCATAATAATAATAGATATAAATGAAGCTGCTATAGTTCATTTGCAGACTCGGTATTTGATTTGTTAATATGAAACAGTGGTTTCGACGGGAAGCGACTGGTCCAATCACATCAGGAACATATTCATGTGATAGCCAGTCAATCTTTGTGAGCTTTGAAAATGGCAGTATCGATGTCCTCACCGCTTCAAATCTCAGATTGAGATGTCGGATTAACCCAACAGCTTACTTGCCTTCCAACCCAAGGTGACTATATCTTTCTTTTCTTGTTTTTTTTTATAATATAATCAAGTATCATCAAATACGAAGCTCACTTGTGTGGTATTTGGCAGCTCAAGAGTGTATCCGCTAGTGATCGCAGCTCATCCAACGGAGACTAACCAGTTTGCAGTAGGGCTCAGCAACGGCGCTGTCCATGTTCTTGAACCATCGGAAACTGAAGGACAATGGGGAAATTCGCCTACTGTCGAAAATGGAACACCAGCTGACAACTAACTTAAACCCGCGCCGCCATTTATCGTTTTTGTTCAAATTGTTTCATCATTACCTTGAAAGTTTTGTAGCCTTTGATCGGTTGTTAGGCTTTTTGTTTTAGACTTTGATCAAAAATACTAGTTGTCGAACCTTAGCTTCTTTTCTTTTTGGTAAATGATCAATTTGGTAATATTGAATATACAAAACCCAAGTGAATCCCTAACAGCATCACAGATGCTAGTTCAAGGTCTCATACCATTATTTTTAATTGATGTTTTTTTTTCAGTTCTTGTCTTGTCGTGTTGATTATCAAAAGTACTATATACAGTAGGATAAGAGAAGAGCAAGCACAAATGCTGTAAATATCATTTCTAAATTAAAAATGTATGCAGGATTGCAATGTAACGACAACACAAATATCATGGACTAAAATTAAGCCATAGTTAGAGATTATGAATGAGGGAAAAAAAAAACTCATTCCGATTCACATGATGCTGCATCCTGGTTGTAAATCTCCCATGGCAAAGTTCTTAGGGGGAGGTGGAGTTGGCGGAAAAGCCTTAGCGGCCGGCTCATTCTGGTGAAACATGTACGGTAGTGTTGGCAGCGACGGCTGTGGATGAAGCTGACGTGTATATGGTGGTGGAAGAGGACAAGGTTGAGGATACGGTTGAAATTGATTCACACAGTGTGGTGGAGGATTGTACCATTGTTGTTGCTGTTGACGAAAGCTCGAGAAACCATTAGGAGCTGCATTTATGTATCCCGAGGAATGAGATTGTTCCATCAAATGGTCTTTCTGATTTTCATTTCCCACCGGTGGTTTTTTGCTTCTTTGATAGCTCCATACAATTTCAGCCTTTTTGCCTGCTTTTGCTTTTGTAATCTTCTCGAGTATTATCTGTGGATCGAATTTCCCACATACGTATATGGTTCTACTTTGCTTGTCAATCGTGAAATTCACATCTGTATTCACATCAAATAAACTGATTAAGAACGATAGAAATGACTGAGAAAAGTGATAGATTACGATGAAACCTTTAATGGTCTTAAGCAACTCTTCCAAGGATTTCTCCCATCCCGGCCTAGGAGACTTGATCTCCAAGAGACATACCTGTGTAGACACTTGAACACATCAGATATACACACTTATTACACTTAATCATATAAAACGTATACACACTAATCTTACAATCTATTAGTATGAGTTGTTTAGTACCATGTGCTTGGATGATGATGACGACGACTCCATCGATATTGTCTGCTCTCTAGGCTTGGGCGATTTTGAATTCAACAAGCGACTCCATCGATATTGTCCCTTTTTTATTGCTTCCTCTCATAACTTGAAGGACTCTACAAAGCCCTAGATTAAGACTATCTTGTAGGCCCAATTTCAGGCCCACATAATATCATCATCGTTCTCCTTAAAACTTTGTAAATTTCGTGACGAACGAGAGGACAAAGGATTCGAATTTTGGGGGAAGAATCAGAAGCTCGAGGTGTAGCGGATTTCGGAGGCAAAACGACAATGGGAGACGCGCCAGCTCAGATTCCGACGAGTTTCGGCCACGAGCTCAGGGCTTGTCTTCGATGCCGCCTCGTCAAGACCTACGATCAGGTCTCGCTTCCTCTTTCTCTCTCTCACTGTGTTTGCGTGTTTCTCCTATCTTTCGTTCTAATCTGGTTTGGTTTCCCTAACAGTTTAGGGATTCTGGGTGCGAGAATTGTCCTTTCTTCAAAATGGAAGACGATCATGAGCGTATTGTCGATGTTACCACCCCTAATTTCAACGGGTATGACCTAAATTCGAATTCTTAATAAGCACTGTTCGTGGTTTTGTTTACATTGAAAATTCGGAATCTGTGGGACTCTGCTTTAGGTGAAAAACTGTAGTCTGTACTCATTGATAAGAAAAAGAATTCGTTTTTGGTTCTTAATCTCTCGAAATCTTAATGGATGAATCGTTGCAAAGTGTAAAATCACTCTGGAAATGACCAAAAGTTTGCTGCTTTAAGAATGCTTTTGTCTCTTTACTTCTTTCAAGCCAATGCAAAGCGAGTTAACAGAGAGAGAGGGATGGTGGTAGTGTAGTCAATATCCCCATACATTGGGTATTGATATTGTGATTGTTGTGCAGTGTAATCTCTATGATGAATCCACGCAGAAGTTGGGCGGCAAGGTGGTTAAGAATTGGTATGTTTTTGATTTTGCTTCTTCTTCTTTGTCTCCAACCATTACACTTGAGATATGACTGCTACTCTTATGGTCATCATATCTTTCTCTTTTGGAAGAGAGAATGTGAATGTGGGTTCAGGTTTAGTAATTTATGTATAGATGTTAATCTTGTTCCTGATTGCCAAGCCACTCCAATGTTAAATCTCATTTTTGGCAATCAGGAACAGAATCTCATTCAGCAAAACTCCGCTTTAGATTTCATATCAACTGTCTCGTTTGATTGGTAAATTTCTAGTTTTCTTAGGTTTGATGTAGTATTCTCTGACTTGTGAGCTTACTTTGAGACGGAAATAGTAATTCAAACACTTTGCACTTGTTGTTTCCAGGGAAGTTTGCTCCTGGTTGCTACACTCTTGCTGTCTCAGAGGCACTCCCAGAGGAAATGCAGGTATAGTTATTTTACCTCTACGCGGCTCTTCGATATAATAAGCAAATCCGTACCTCTGGTTTCGTATGGATTGTTCCTTATTTTTGTCACTCGTATAAATTGTCAGTTCCTATGCCAAGAAGAGCGAGTGCAGTACGTCCAGCCCAAACGCATTTGAAGCCACTTTGCATCATATGGCTTCTTTCAAAGGAGCCTGGTTTTCAAACCATGGAGGCTATCAATGGAACTCGTTTAGCTACTAGTTTTGTTTTGATTTCAGCTAATCTAAAGATTTGCGTTTTGTTTTGCCAACGATTGAACATCTCTTGCCAGATATTAACAGAGTTGAAATCTCATTTGAAACACTAATCACTTAGCAAAGTTACTTGTTTGTACAAAGTGTCAAAAAAAAAGGTAATGTGAAATCATCAGTAAAAGGGCTCATCATCTCTCAATGAGTCATCATGACCAGTGAGTGCATTCAAAACTCAAATTTGGTTTTATTTCGGTTAATATCTAGGAATGTTGATCCATCCTATGAAATAAAGGTGAACAAGAAATGGCTCCATAGCAAAGCCAAGAGGGAAAACAAAGGGAGACCTTTTATTTGTTTGAGGAATATGACCATTGAAATTCCCAAAGAACCAAACAAAACTATGGGAAAATGTATAAAATGCTTGTATTTGTTGCCTCTATACAAATATAATAAGCAGTCCCCACAAATTCATGTATACAAACAAAAAAGGATACACATAGCAAATCAAGAATCACATATCCAGATCCATGGCATATTCTTTTACTGTACTACCATGAGCGTAACGTGTATAAAGTATAAACTAATTAGTAGTTAACTCTTGTTTGCAAATATCAATTATAGAGTTAACAGTATTAAGCAAGATAATTATAAACAACTTAAAGCAGTCAAACCAAATGCGTCTAAATATTAAGGCGATTAATCAAATGTTTTTTTTTCTATAAGAAACACCAAATGGGGCATTGGATATATAATTTGTTTTTCGTTACCGGTGGAATAATACAAATCGGATTAAAAAACATATTTTATTTGTGTATTAATTTTAAATTCGAGTTCACGTGGCAGTCGCTACTGGCTACCAACTTGGTTTCATAAAGCAATCTCATACTCCCAAAACCAGAGTCATCACACAAGTCCAAACCATAAAACAAGGGTTCTTGCTCCGACAAGACAACAAATCCAGAATCGGAGCTCAGGTAACTTCTCACTCCCCGAATACTCTCTTCTTCTCCAGTCTACCTTATTTTTATGTCCTGGATGGCTGGATCCAATTATCACACTCTCTTGCTTCCTTGAAATTTTGACTTTCTTGAAATCTATGTTCGCTTGATTGAATCTGTGGAACTTATGTTCGCTTGTGTGTAGTACAGGCTTAGCCTTATCTCTGTCTAGAAATTACTGAAAATATGGATCTAAGTAGACAAATTTAAGAAATTTATCATCTTGCGCTTGTTTTGTTTGACGGATCATATTAGAGTCATTATTATACTCAATTTTGTTTTCATTTTCAGGGAAGAATCGTGAGAAGAGGGAATAATTAGGCATCTGAAAGAAAAATGTCGAACATAGACATAGAAGGGATACTGAAGGAGCTGCCAAATGATGGGAGGATCCCAAAAACGAAGATTGTGTGCACTCTAGGACCAGCTTCTCGTACTGTCTCCATGATCGAAAAGCTTCTGAAAGCTGGTATGAACGTGGCTCGCTTCAACTTCTCACATGGAAGCCATGAATACCATCAGGATACACTCAACAACCTCCGCACCGCTATGCACAATACCGGCATTCTCGCTGCCGTCATGCTTGATACAAAGGTCTCAAAAGTCTTTCCTTTATGGCCTAGGATCAGCTCTCAGTTAGGAATTTTGTTAAAATGTAAAATCTTGAGACAAGTAGCATTTGATTTGGCTTGTTGAATTTCGCAGGGGCCTGAGATTCGTACTGGTTTCTTGAAAGATGGGAACCCTATACAACTGAAGGAAGGTCAGGAGATAACTATAACCACTGATTATGACATCAAAGGAGATGAGACAACGATTGCCATGAGCTACAAGAAGCTGCCCTTGGACGTGAAGCCCGGAAACACCATACTATGTGCAGATGGAAGCATAAGTCTAGCTGTCGTGTCGTGTGATCCCGAGTCTGGAACGGTTAGGTGCCGGTGTGAGAACACGGCCATGCTTGGCGAAAGAAAGAACGTGAATCTTCCCGGTGTTGTTGTTGATCTCCCTACTTTGACAGAGAAGGACATTGAAGATATTCTCGAATGGGGTGTTCCAAACAGCATCGATATGATTGCGCTTTCGTTTGTCCGTAAAGGTTCTGATCTTGTTAATGTCCGCAAGGTTCTTGGATCTCATGCTAAAAGCATCATGTTGATGTCAAAGGTACTTACAGCTTTTCACTTATGGCCATTGCATTTTATGGAGGCATGAATCTGACTTTCTGTTTTTTGGGGTTTGGGTTTTGTAAGGTTGAGAACCAGGAAGGAGTGATTAACTTTGATGAGATATTGCGGGAAACAGATGCGTTCATGGTTGCTCGTGGTGATCTTGGGATGGAGATTCCGATAGAGAAGATTTTCTTGGCTCAGAAGTTGATGATCTACAAGTGTAACCTTGCAGGTAAACCAGTGGTCACAGCCACTCAGATGCTGGAGTCAATGATCAAATCACCAAGGCCAACACGTGCTGAAGCCACGGATGTTGCAAACGCTGTTCTTGATGGCACAGACTGTGTGATGCTTAGCGGAGAGAGTGCAGCAGGAGCTTATCCGGAAATAGCTGTGAAAGTTATGGCTAAGATCTGCATTGAAGCCGAGAGCTCGCTTGATTACAACACAATCTTCAAAGAGATGATCAGAGCAACTCCGCTTCCAATGAGCCCACTGGAGAGTCTTGCATCATCCGCTGTACGGACTGCAAACAAAGCGCATGCGAAGCTCATCATTGTGTTGACTCGTGGAGGTTCAACCGCTAAGCTTGTAGCTAAGTACAGACCAGCTGTTCCGATTCTGTCTGTGGTTGTCCCGGTTATGACCACCGATTCCTTTGACTGGACTTGTAGTGACGAGTCACCTGCAAGGCATAGTCTGATTTACAGAGGTTTGATCCCTATGTTGGCTGAAGGGTCTGCAAAGGCAACAGATAGCGAGTCCACGGAAGTTATCATTGAAGCTGCTTTGAAGGCTGCTACACAGAAAGGACTGTGCACCCATGGTGATGCAGTCGTGGCGCTTCACCGTATTGGAGCTGCCTCGGTTATTAAGATCTGTGTGGTGAAGTAAGATTTCAAACTTGTTTCAACATCTCAAACCTTGGCTCCTGATGGTTGTTGGTAACCATAACTGAGAGTTAGCTTCGTATCATGAAATAAAGAAAACAATGTAATGTTAAGACACCTCTCTCCCTTTTTTGTTTCTTTAGTATTTCAAGATCATAAATCATAATCTGCCTTTTATGGCTCAGTCCGACTTTTGAACACTGTTTCTCTTCATAAGCTTTGCTTATAAAAGATTAAGCTTCAAAGGTGTTAGTAAGTAGAACATACAAAAAATCAAGAAAGCCAGGTATAATGAACGCATAACAATTGAACAAGATCCACAGAGAAGTATGTTTCTTTGAGATGTTTAAAAATTAGAATCATAAATACTCTTCTACTTTCTAAACCACCAGTTGTTCAGCCGTGGGAGAGATTCATACTGGACTCTGCAGTATAAGAAAAGCCGTAAGAAAGTCGAGAACAAAGAAGGCGCTATAGAGAAGATCAAACAAGGAGCCTGATGTAACTGAGGTCACCTGTTTTTAAGTTATAACGAATTGTGCCTGATGTTATTTCTTCCTCTGTTCTGTGCATGAGATGTGATGGAGAGTATCGTTAAAGTTTGAACATTTTTGGACAGAGATTGAATAATATATACAGGGATGTGGCAGATGCTTACTCATCATAAATCTAACGAAATTCATCGTGGAAGTTATAGTCATCATCACTATCATCTTCGTTATCGAAAATGGCACTGTAGAAGACATATGGATGCTCAATCATCTCTGCCAAAGTCAAACGCCCATCTTTGTTTGAATCCGCCTGGATGATCAAAACAAGAGAGAACAATATAACACGGAGCAATTCAACAGCTACGTAGGCCGTTTGTTTTGAAAGTTACGTACCTGTGATATAATATAATCAGCTTGTTGTTTTGCGTAGTAATGCTCTGTAGGATGGATTTTACTGATAATGGGAAGCAATTCAACGTCCGATAAGTACCTGCAGAGAGGAGTGGGAGGAAGCTATGTTAAGGGATGTATGGTCTTAACTGAAATCGTAATCATGGGGTGTACTCTTAAATTACGCACCCGTCACCATCTTTGTCAAGCTGAGAAAACAGCTGCTTAGCCGGGCCTTCAGGCAAGTCATGATAAGGATGCGTAGCATTGTGATTATCTTCTTCGTAGTTCCTTACAGTGTCAAAGAGGCCGTGGAAAAACTCTTCGAAACTGATCTTACCATCTTTATCCGAATCTCGTTCTCTGTGAAAGGGATGTAGAAGAATGCGTTGATATAAAGAAGGGTTCTTTAAGAGCTATGCCAAGGGAAAAAGTTACATATGGCTATAGTACAGTACCTCACTTCCTCCTTGCACAACCATAGCAGCAACTTAGGGTTCTTGGTATCAGCAGGATGAAGAAAGCTATGTGGAAACAATTAACCCGCAAGAGCATTGTGAGAAGAAAATTTGATAGGCTTGCTTTTAATCTATAGGAGACGTAAACACTTACTCGTTGAACTCAGTTAAGTTCAGCAGACCATCACCATTTGCATCTGATGCATTAAAGTGCTCTTCCTTCCACCAACCCATGTCATAGCCAAAGGAATTATTATCTGAAACAAAATTACATCTAAACTAGTTAGCAGTCCTCCTAAGTGACAAAAGTGAGATTCTTTACTTCATTGGCATTAGTCATATGTTTCTTCATATGATCATAGCAAGAAACATGCTCTCACCTGAATTGCGGACCCAAGATGGAGGTTCATACTCAGCGAACGAAATGAAACCATCCTTGTTCCTATCATGAACATCCATGTCTCGTTGAGTCCTGTGCATGATCTCCTTCGCAGAAGACTGCATATTCCATTCAGTCAATTCACTCTCAGTCACAAACCCATCGGTAGGAGAAACATCAATCTTCGGAAACAGAGATACCAGCCTGCAAAAAAGTTACCAATTTAACTCTTTCCTTACAAAAATGCTAAACTACAATCTTTCTAGTTAAAAGCCTGAGAAGATCCAGAGACATTTAAAGTATGCATTTTTAATTAGCATGTAAGTATCAACCAACCTATCGGTGATATTGAATCTCTCCTGATCATTCAAGTAATCCTCGGCATCCATGAAATCCTCCCACTCAGGCTGCGACTCGTGACCTGGTGCCGCGTCGTGTACACCGCCGGTTGCTGCTTTATGGGAATGGGAGACCAGCTCCGGGTGAGAATGCTCAATGTGCTGCCGCTCCCACTCCTTATCCTCGCGACGGCGCTCCATGTCGGCGACGATAGGGTCGAAAGGAATGGGATCGTGGCGGGTGGGTTTGAAATTGAAAGAAGAGCGGAGTTTGAGGCGGTGATGCTGGTTGTGACCACCGTGGTGGTGATCGTGGTCACTCTTCTTCTTCGGGGAATACGATATGAGGAAGAGCACCAGGATCCCCACCGTGATGTATAGTATCACCGAAGCTTTACTCATCTTCTTCAATTTTGTGACAGTATAAAAAATCTGAGCTTTGATTGAAAACCCTAAATTTTGGCAAGTTGAGCTTTTTACACTCTGGAAGTGAAGGAAGAAGATAGATCTGTTGATAGATGTCTTCTAAATTGTAATTTTAAGTAAGTATTTCGATTTATCTTTAGAAGATTTGACTCTAGATCTTTTAGTCAAATGGTTTTAAGGATTTTTTTGCAAGATAAAATTTAGTAAAATTTCATTACTCGACCAAGACATTAGCTTAATTAATAACTCTACAAGAGTATTGAAATTCCTAATCAAATCTGGGGAAAAAAGTGGATTGTGCAAATTATTGAAGATAAAGTTATCAGACAACGACAAAGATATAAAACTGTTCATTTCATTATTGTCCTATGCATTAATGATAAAATCTATAGACTATAGACTATAGACTATATACCAATACCACACACAACATATCTATGTTCAATTAATGTATCATTCTTGATTATGGGCTAATCTATCGCTTAAAAAAAAATTAGAGAGGAAATTAGCGGTGCACGCAATGTTGGAAATCGAGCGCACCTTCCACGTGGTCCAATCCATTAACATCTCCTGCGTTTACTCCTTCATCGATGCACACACACACATGTGGATCTCACCCTTTCTTATCGATACAAAAATTTGCTTCGCTTTTCACAGTTTCTTCACCGAAATCGCTTTTTCTCTGAATTGATCTCGTGATCCTGCTCGTATATATATGCGTGGATAGAGATACATATTGCATATACATAAACTCGATCCGTACGATTGTTGATTTGGAGAAATGGACAAGTACGACGTCGTGAAGGATCTGGGGACTGGAAACTTCGGTGTGGCTCGGCTTCTAATGCACAAGGACACCAAGGAGCTCGTTGCCATGAAATACATCGAGAGAGGCCGCAAGGTCACTACTTTGCTCTCTCTTTCTCTGTTTGATGAAGAAACACCCTTTTGCTTTAGAGTTTGAGTTGGGGTTTAGGCTTTAGAGTTTTGCTTTGACCTCTGTGGGTTTAGGCTTTCGAATTTTGCTTTTGCCTTTTGAGGGAATGGAATTTCCAGGAAATTGGGTTTTTTTTTCTGACAATAACAGATCAAAATTATTTGACTTTGGATTGTTTGGTGTGGTGATCACGGACTGCAGATAGATGAGAACGTGGCGAGAGAAATTATCAATCACAGGTCACTTAAGCATCCTAATATCATCCGGTTCAAGGAGGCAAGTGTATTTATTTTTGGGGGGCTCTTATCATCATTACCTAAGAGCTGTCTTGGGATCTTATTTTGTTTCGGGTTTTGCAGGTGATTCTGACTCCTACTCATCTTGCTATTGTGATGGAGTATGCTTCTGGAGGAGAGCTCTTTGATCGAATCTGCACTGCCGGTAGATTCAGTGAAGCTGAGGTGGTTTTCTCTTTTTATTTTAAAGTCTTACACTTTGATCTATCTACTTTTGGGCATATTCTTTCATCTTTCTGTCTGTCTCTAAAAAGTCTTGATTTTTAATCTTTATCTTTTCAGGCTAGGTACTTCTTTCAACAGCTGATTTGTGGTGTCGACTACTGCCACTCCTTGGTATGTATATACAGTTTTTTGCAGTATTCATCAAGCTGAAAAGGAAAGTTATTTACCTGATGAGACATTTGTGGAGAACTATTGATGTTTTTGTGACCTGGATTCTGTGTTCTAGATTTGGTCATTAGTGCTTCAGTAATTGATTTGAAGAAATTTCCACATGTACGTTGTTGTTTAGATATTTTGACCTGGGGTTTCAGTATCTTGATTGTTCATCGAGATTGTGATACATAGCTAACTTATGTGAATCATTTAGAATCTTAGTTGGTATTGTTGATGCTTTGTGATGCTATTTGTGGGAAAGTGGGAAATGAATCGTTTAGAATCTTAGTTACCACTGTTGCGTAATATGTACTGATGTAGTAGCCTCCGTTCTCGTGTAATATTCCTCTCTTTTGCTTTTTGTGCAGCAAATATGCCATAGAGACCTGAAGCTTGAGAACACACTGCTCGATGGGAGCCCTGCTCCGCTTTTGAAAATCTGTGATTTTGGTTACTCTAAGGTCTGCGCTCATTCGTTTCCCTTTTCTTCTTTGCTCAGTTTGTCTCAATCTTTCTTCTCTTAGTTCTTATATATATTTTTTTCCTGTTTTCTTTATTTTTGTGTAGTCATCTATACTGCATTCTAGGCCTAAATCGACTGTTGGAACTCCAGCATACATAGCACCTGAAGTTCTTTCTCGTAGAGAATATGATGGCAAGGTACACTACTTTTGTCTAGTCATGCATATCAATTTGTCATTAACACATGATCGGTTATCTACGTAACTAGATAATCTCATTAAGGGCAAAACACGAGAAACAAAGTTAAAATACTGCTCAGAGATCCTATAGTAGGTTTATATATACTTTGTACTGGCATTGTCTGTGTAAAACAAAGTTAATAAGCTTTATGGCTGCGTTTTTGTAGCATGCGGATGTGTGGTCATGTGGAGTGACCCTTTATGTCATGCTGGTTGGAGCTTACCCGTTTGAGGACCCTAATGATCCCAAGAACTTCAGGAAAACAATCCAGGTAACTCCACCATTCAACAATCAAATGCGCTCTTTTCTAATTAACTCTTCTTCTTGCTCCAGTGTCTCACTAATGTAACAATACAAATGGTATTACGCAGCGTATAATGGCTATACAATACAAGATCCCGGACTATGTTCACATATCTCAAGAATGCAAACACCTTCTCTCTCGCATATTCGTCACTAACCCCGCTAAGGTACCTTTTAATTATTCCGGTTTGCAATTTTCAGTCTAGATCTGTTAGGAAGATGTTGTTGCTGTTCTGACTGTCAAAATTGTGACAGAGAATCACGCTCAAGGAGATCAAGAATCATCCGTGGTACTTGAAGAATCTGCCAAAGGAGCTGCTAGAGTCAGCTCAAGCGGTGTATTACAAGAGAGACAACACGAGCTTCTCTCTTCAAAGCGTAGAGGACATAATGAAGATAGTTGGAGAAGCAAGGAATCCAGCTTCATCTTCTAGTATCGGCAAAAGCTTGAGTTCAGGAGCTGAGGAAGAAGATGAAGAGGAAGAGGATGTTGAAGCTGAAGTGGAAGAGGAAGAGGAAGAAGAAGAAGATGAATATGAGAAGCACGTCAAAGAGGCACAACAGTCTTGCCAAGAAGAGCCTCACAAAGATTTAAAGAAAGACTGATCTCTGTTTCTCTCCTTTCTCTTCAAAGCCAACGAGTAAACTATTCCCGGTTTAATGTCTGAAAACGTTTTCGTTTTATCAGTTGTGTGGTGGTTCTCAAGAAATGAACATTGATACTCTCTGAGTAGTGAGAAATGCTTCAGAGTGTATTATTCTCAGTGATTATGAAGCAGAAGTGGTCAATATTATGAATTGTAATAAAAAATGTTTTTGTTTGTGAATATCAATTTTCACATCTGTTTGAGTTTCTTGTTCCATTGTTTCACAATTCAATTTGTTTTTTTGATTTAGGACTTGTTCACAACATAGAGCAAACTACTTGTTCATTATCATTTGGTATTTAAAACGCCATCGTTTTGGTCCATTCTCTTCATCATTTCTTATCGCATTAAAACCCTTATCGTGTTTGCTTGTAAAACCCTCTCGAAACAGAAGAGAGGCTTCACTTCACTTCTCGCTCTTCCTCTTATCTTCAGAATCTCATATCGGCCACCGACGACGGGAACTTGGTAGTTACAGGTAAAGAAATGCCCTTGAAGTTCCCTCTCGGTGTACGTTTCATCAGTCATTCTCTTCCGTGTGCTCGTCTCGCTTCCATGAATTCCGGCGCACTAATCTACTCCTTCCGCTCCGTCCCTGTTCTCTCAAAGGCCTTTCCTTTCAGGTTAAAGTCCCTTGCAATGGCCTCCCGTGTCAATTTCTCCACCAGAGCAGAGAGCAGCCGACCCGATTTCGGGAGGCGGAGTCGAGATGGAGGAGAGATTCGCGCGTCCAAGAGCTTGATTGAGGATGAAGCAGAGCTCAGTGACTGGGTCAGCGATTTGCGGACTAGTTCGCTGCGTGGGAAGTTCACGAGCGACGAAGATGACTCGGGTCAAGACAGGGACAACAACAGAGGTCCTCCAAAGAGAGGAAGGGAAGGTGATAGGTTCGGTGGTCCGAGAAGGGGAAAGGAGGGGGAGGTTGATAGGTTTAGGGGTGCGAACAGGGAGAGAACCAGAGTCGAGCCGGCTGGGTCGTTTAGGAACAAGCGGCCAGGTGATCGACAAGGTGTAGGTAATGGTCGGGTTCAAGGAAAGAGTAGTGAGTCGTCTCTTCGTGGAAGGAATGAGAGAAATGTAGATTCAGGGCTTAGGAGAGAGCGAGGTTTGGGAAACAACAAGGTCTTGGGGAAACAGATTAGAGGTTCAAGGCAGGAAGAGGAAGAGAGTAGTGACGAGGATGAGAAGAGGCAAGTGTTGGGAAGCATTGATGATTTGCTTAGCGAAGATAGTAGTGATGAGGATGATGAAGATGATGTACCTCTTATTAGGAAAGCGGCTCCTGCTAAGGCTGTGGAGGCTGATAAGCCAGGGACTGGAAATGCTAAAACTTCAGATTCTTACTTATCTAAGACAAGGTAGATTGTTTGCAATTTAGTTTCTTTTTGGGGTTATGCTTTACTTCTACCACTAGATTATCATTGAGTGGGAGAAGATTGCTTCTTCTTTATGTGAGTTACTTTGAACATATCAATGCTGTTTGATTGATAATATTCTTTATGGTACATTATTTGACAGATTTGATCAATTCCCATTGTCTCCCTTATCGCTGAAAGCAATCAAGGATGCTGGATTTGAGACAATGACTGTTGTGCAGGAGGCTACTCTTCCTATCATTCTCAAAGGTGGAGTTCTCTTCCCTTTCTTATGAGACTTGTTCGCAAGGCAGAAAAAGAAATATAGTGACTATTTCTAATTAACGGCAACTCTTTACAGTTCACTTAGGAATAGCCAATATGTATTTCAAAGAAAACTAAGCAGCTTGTGTATTCTTCTTCAAGATTCCTCAAATTTGCCGTTACTTCTATGTTGTAGCTTGATTGATTGTTCAAAATTCCTCTAATAGTTCCTCTGTAACTCATTGGTTTCTTCCTTGCTCTGTTGTTCCAGGTAAAGATGTGCTAGCCAAGGCCAAGACCGGCACTGGGAAAACCGTTGCATTTTTGGTGAGATATTTTACTCTCTGGTCAATTAGAAATTGCTGGCCCTTCAATTGTGATTTGTTCTTATTGTTTTTACGTTTTTGTATTTCAAGCTTCCATCGATTGAAGCTGTTCTCAACTCTCCTCCTGCAAGCCGGGATAATAGGAATCCCCCAATTAACGTGCTTGTGGTATGCCCTACTCGGGAACTGGCTAGTCAAGCTGCTGCAGAAGCTCATACCTTGCTGAAGTATCACCCCTCTATTGGTGTTCAAGTTGTGATTGGAGGCACGAAGCTTCCTACTGAGCAAAGGCGTATGCAAACAAATCCTTGCCAGGTAACAAGAGATTCCTTTTGCCTCTCCATTTGTATTAATGTAAAGTTAACTCTGAGCAAGTCTTGCATTTCCTTAAAGCTAGGCTTCTAAGATGGCTGCAGATACAGTGAGCTGTGACTATATATTGTTGAATAATCACATATATTTGAACACTTTCAGATCCTTGTGGCTACACCCGGAAGGCTCAAAGACCATATTGAGAATACTTCTGGATTTGCAACGAGGTTGATGGGTGTGAAAGTCCTTGTGCTTGATGAAGCTGATCATCTGTTGGACATGGGTTTCCGAAGGGACATTGAGAGGATAATCGCCGCCGTTCCTAAGCAGAGGCAAACATTTTTGTTTTCTGCCACGGTACCTGAAGAGGTAAGCGTCAGTTTCTTGCACAAAAGGCTCCAATTTCTGAGGTTTTGGAATCTTGAATTGTGTTTTTTTTGTGTGTGAAGGTCCGCCAAATATGCCATATTGCTCTGAAACGGGATCATGAGTTCATCAATTGTGTTCAAGAGGGTTCTGGGGAGACGCATTCAAAGGTAAAAGATTGCTCTTCAGGTTCCATTGAATGATAGGCCTGCCATATAGTTTTCTCATGTCTGTTTTATCTCACAGGTCAACCAAATGTACATGATTGCATCTCTGGATAGACATTTCTCGCTTCTATACGTGCTTCTTAAAGAACACATGGCGGATAATGTGGACTACAAGGTAAAAATGTTCCTCTAGTGTCATTGTGAAACCACCGAAGTATTTCTGAACTAACAAGACCTCCTCGTCGCTGCAGGTTATTATTTTCTGTACAACTGCTATGGTCACAAGATTGGTGGCTGATTTACTTGGTCAGCTAAGCATGAACGTGAGAGAGATCCATTCAAGGAAACCGCAGGGATACAGAACCAGAGTTTCTGATGAGTTCCGCAAGTCCAAGGGTATCATCCTCGTAACATCCGATGTATCTGCTCGTGGTGTCGATTACCCTGATGTGTCACTAGTCGTACAGGTAAACCATATTAGTTTTCCATCATGGAATTGAACCGGAACTGCAAAGTTTAATCTTTTATACTGAAGTTGTTGTTGTGTATATGTTGGTTTTGCAGATGGGATTGCCCTCAGATAGAGAACAATATATACATAGACTTGGTAGAACCGGGAGGAAAGGTAAGGAAGGAGAAGGTGTACTAATGTTGGCACCATGGGAAGAGTATTTTCTATCTTCTGTCAAAGACTTGCCCATCAACAAGACTTCTTTACCGCCAATAGACCCTGAGGCTGTGAAAAAGGTAAAGCTTGGACTTTGTATCTCTTTTAACAAATGCCAATGTTAGAATAGTCTCACAACGCAAAATAAGTACCTAAGATGTTCAAAGTGTATTGAGTATTGATGGGTGTGAGAAACTTGTTGTTGGATATGATTGGATACAGGTGCAGAGAGGGCTTAGCCAAGTGGAAATGAAGAACAAGGAGGCGGCTTATCAAGCGTGGTTAGGCTACTACAAATCCCAGAAGATGATCGCAAGAGACACGACAAGACTGGTGGAGTTAGCCAATGAGTTTAGCCGCAGCATGGGACTTGACGTCCCACCATCTATCCCCAAAAATGTTCTTGGCAAGATGGGTCTCAAAAACGTTCCTGGTCTTAGAACCAAGTAGATTTTTTGTTTTTTTTTTTCAAATAATGTTTTACCCTGGGTCTTAAATCTATTAATGCTTTGTAAGTGTAATCTCTTGTCATTCTTGCAACACTTTGAGTTTTTAATTAGAAAAAAAAAAATCGTAAAAATGTCTCACTCTGGTCACTTGTGATGGTCTTTTTGTACTAAGTAATGGCTACTTTGGACAGTCGTTTAAGGTGTTACACATTTAAAGCCCATGTGAGCAAAAGTATTAACTGTCGTGTTTATTTGCTGTCTGAAACGACAACGTTTAGGACAAGTCTCTGCTCATCTCCTGTGTTCTGTTAAAACTTAAAACCCTATAAATGTGATTCTACAAAATCTCTTAAAACCTAATTACCGACGGCGGGAACTAACCTGAAGTTCCCTCTCGGTTATACGCTTCATCATTCTCTTTCGTTTCCATGACTTCCGATGAATCCAAATCCGGTCGGAAGAGACGTGAGATTCGCGCAAAGAAACTGAAAACTAGTTCGCTGCCTGTGAAGCTCACGAGTGACGAAGATGAATCGAGAAACCTAGTCACGGACAACAATAAGGGTCCGAAGAGAGGAAGGGAAGTCGAATCCGATGATGATGAGCCTCTTATCAAGAAAGCGGCTGTTGAGCCAACGACTCACCTTGTCAAAACTTCAGATTCGTACTTGTCTAAGACAAGATTCGATCACTTCCCATTGTCTCCCTTGTCGTTGAAAGCAATCCAGGATGCTGGATTTAAGACAATGACTGTTGTCCAGGAAGCTACTCTTCCTATCATTCTCAAAGGTGAAACTTTTTTCTTTCATTCAATCTCGTCAGAGTTGCTTCTATACAGATCAATTTGAAATCAAAATGAAAAACTTGTGCATCTTTCTTCGCGAATCCTCTAAAATTGCTTCTTTGACTGATTGGTTTTCCAGGTAAAGATGTGCTAGCTAAGGCCAAAACAGGCACTGGTAAAACCGTTGCATTCTTGGTGAGACATTCTACACTTAAGATTCATGGTTATAAGCTGATCAGGCCTTCAATTGGGATTCGTTCTTATTGTGTATGTTTATGTTTTCAAGCTTCCATCAATTGAAGCTGTTCTCAAATCTCCTCCTGCAAGCCGGGATAAAAGGAATCCCCCAATTACTGTGCTTGTGGTGTGTCCTACTCGGGAGCTTGCTTGTCAAGCTGCTGCAGAAGCAAACATTTTGCTCAAGTATCACACATCTATTGGTGTTCAAGTTGTCATTGGAGGCACAAAGCTTCCTTCAGAGCAGAGGCGTTTGCAAAAAAGTCCTTGCCACGTAAGACATTTCTTTCGCCGCTCCGTGTGTTAATCTGAAGTTAATTCTTAGCAGTTCTTGCAGTTCCTTTAAGCTAGGCTTCTAAGATGGAATTTTTTTTATTGAATAATCACATATATGAACACTGTCAGATTCTTGTGGCTACACCTGGAAGGCTCAAAGACCATATCGACAACACTTCTGGATTTGCCGCAAGATTGATGGGTGTGAAAGTCCTTGTGCTTGATGAAGCTGATCATCTCTTGGACATGGGTTTCCGAAGGGAGATTGAGAGGATAATCGCCGCCGTCCCTAAACAGAGACAGACATTTTTGTTTTCTGCCACTGTATCTGATGAGGTAAGTGTCTGTCTTTTTGCACAAAAGGCTCTTATTTTGGAGTTGGAATCTTGAATTGTTTTTTTTTCTTGGTGTCAAGGTCCGCCAAATATGCCATGTTGCTCTGAAACGGGATCATGAGTACGTTAATTGTGTTGAAGAAGGTTCTGAGGAGACGCATCAAAAGGTAAATGATTACTCTTTAGATTCATTTAAATTATATGATTGGATATTATCAGGTACTCATGTCTGTTTTATCTACCAGGTCTCACAAATGTACATGATTGCATCGCTGGACAGACATTTCTCGCTCCTATATGGGCTTCTTAAGGAGCACATCGCTGATAATAACGACTACAAGGTAAAATTGTTCCTCGAGTGCCATTGTCAATCACCAATGTATTGCTGAACTAACACGATCTCCTTGTTGCTGCAGGTTATAATCTTCTGTACAACTGCTATGGTTACAAGATTGGTGGCTGATCTGCTTGGTCGGCTAAGCCTGAACGTCAGAGAGATCCATTCTAGAAAACCACAGAGTTACAGAACCAGAGTTTCTGATGAGTTCCGCAAGTCCAAGCGTATCATCCTTGTAACATCCGATGTATCTGCTCGTGGTGTTGATTACCCTGATGTGTCACTAGTTGTGCAGGTAAACCATATAGTAGTTTTCCATCATGGGATTGAACCGTAACTACAATGTCAATCGTTCTTATACTGAAGTTGTTGTTGTGTGTATGTTGGTTTTTTTGTAGATGGGATTGCCATCAGGCCGTGAACAATATATACATAGACTTGGCAGAACCGGGAGGAAAGGTAAGGAAGGGGAAGGTGTGCTAATGTTGGCACCATGGGAAGAGTTCTTTCTAGATTCCGTTAAAGACTTGTCCCTAACCAAGTCTTCTCTACCGCCGATAGACCCTGAGGCTGTGAAAAAGGTTAGCTTGGCAAGCCTTACTCAGATTCTATTTGCTAGTAAACAACTCGAGTGTTAGAATCTGTATTTGAATCTGTAATGCAAGTAACCAATGTTTGGGATTGATCTGCACATCTCATAACATAAACCTCTTTGAAGTCGAAAGCTAAGATTTTCCAAGAGTATGTATGTAACTTAAGTGAGTATTAAGGGGTGTGAGAAACTTGTTGAATTCAGGTCCAGAAGGGGCTTGGCCAAGTGGAAATGACGAACAAGGAGGCGGCTTATCAGGCGTGGTTGGGTTACTACAAATCTCAGAAGAAGATTGCAAGAAACACGACCAGACTGGTGGAGTTAGCCAATGAGTTTAGCCGCAGTATGGGACTCACCACCCCTCCAGCTATCCCTAGAAATGTTCTTAACAAGATGGGTCTCAAAAACGTACCTGGTCTTAGAGCCAAGTAGAATTTTTTGTTTCTCTTATGTTTTTTTGCTTTTGTTTTACAGTTTTGAAGTGTAATACCTTGTCATTCTTGTTTACAGTTTTGAAGTGTAATACCTTCTCATTCTTGCAACACGTTGACTTTCTTAATTATAATGAAAAAAAAACTCGGAAAACATGAGTTTTTATGCAATCTACTTTGGGCAGCTGCGTAAACACAGATGCTAAGCCATTGAAATAATTTTGAAATGCCTTGCTTGCTCTTGTTAAATCAAAATCTCATCATCAAATAGATAGATAAAAAGGCAGTTTTGAAAATTTGTATATAAGCTTCAGCCTAATGATCCAGTTCTTCGGTAACAAAGTTTAGGAGTATAGCCACTAACCAAAAAAATCAGACTTATGCAACGAAGCATATTGGGAACAGTGATCTAACTTCTAATTTCCCCGGAAAAAAACAAGAATCGAAGAGTATTGAGAAGAAGAAGATGATGGATGGTAACAGAAAAAACACCATCTCTCAACTCAAGCTTTAGCTATTCCATACCATAAGGCTATGCCTTTTTGTTGTAACTTGTAAAGCTCTCTACTAAATCCTACAGGAACCAAAGAAAAAAAACAGAGAAGGCAAGCCTTTAAATGGCAAAGTTTCGGCTAGAGCTGCAACTGCAACTGCAGGCCTCTCCTATACGGAATTGAATTCTGCTAACGTTTAGTCCTCTTTCCACTTGTTAACATATCTCAAGAAGGCACTAGCTGGATTTTCATGAAGTGGAGCCCTTACACGAGTAGATCTCCTAACCACTGCTTCTTCCATTTCTATGTTGTGGGCAATGTCCTTCGTCCTCTTTTGTAGTGTAGAGCTGCAAACACACAATTCATTACACCGGCTTTTAGAGACAAAAATAACCGAGACTTCGATAAATGTGGCTTTCCTCTACTACATGTGCATCAAATCGAGGAAGAACAAGTGACCATATAGAGAGCTTGAGGTATTTGGATTAATAATGCAGAAAGTACATAATAGAAGAGTGAAGCCATAAAATCTCACCATATCCTGTCATAGAACTTCTCCAGCTGTGTATGTAACGACAGCTCTCTCTCCCCTTTACGGTTTAGTGATCCCATCAATGCATCGAGCTGGATTTTAAGAAACAAACACAAATTTGAACAAGATCTACACAATCAAATGATCAAAGAAATAAATGAAGCATGTGGACTGATACCTCTTCCTTGGAGGTATAATAGCCCCATTCTGTGCAATCAGAATTCTCAATAAATATCCTCCCGTTGCTTCGGAACCACCAGTACCTGTTGTAATCCCGATCTTTACCCAATGGGTCTGTACGTATGACTATTTTCTCCATCTCTCGTTCATAATATTGTCTCTGCATGCAAGTAAAAAAGTTCAGGCTTCATGGGTCAAAGCACTCGTGCATATGCATAGAACAACATATGAACATATACCCTTCGTTCGGGGCCTCTCCTCTCTGAAGTTCCTTTCTCATCTTCGCTTGCTGATTTACCCTCTTGCTTCTTCACCGAATATCCTTTCTCCTCCTCTTCCCCTTCCTCCTCCTCCTCGTCCTCCTCCTCGTCCTCCTCCTCGTCCTCCTCCTCAACCTCCTCCATTGGTTCGATCTTTGTATCCGTCATCTGCCTTTTGTGCTTTCTCAGATAGACATTCCCCAAAAGCCTATCACTGCCATAAGAACAACTATAAGCTCTCAAGTGATATGAACCAAATGTTCTGGTTATGCGTAAATAGGATAATCCAAACCTCTTTTTTTCCGAAGAAACAAACCCATTCTCCATCTTGTTTTCCCACGCAGTGCTCTCTTTCTTTTTGCTGTCTTCACAGCTTACTAGAACTTGTGGGCTATTTTTCTTTTTCTCCAACCTGATATTGTCCAAACGTCCATCAGCCTCCTCACCAATTTTGGACCGTTCTTTCTCCTCTCTTTTCTGCCGGGCCTCCGTCAATGCTTCTTCTCTTCTAGCAGCTCCAAGGGCATGCCGTTGTTCAACAAGCTCGTCTATTTCCCCCTTGAACTTACTTGTTTCAGTTATATGGTTCACTAATTCCTTTAAGATTTTCAGTTTAACACTGGGATCCAAAAGTCCATAATGTCCACGCTTGATTGTTCCAACGTCGGAGCACAAATCAGTAGTGTCGACTGACTCCAAGAAATCACATAAGTACTCTGTCCATGTGATCAATGTTATCTGAAAAAATAAAATAAGCAACAAACAGGCCATCAACCATAAGATAAAACTGAAAAAACATAAAGGCTGGCGACTTCATGTTAAATGAGAATAGCATATGACTGAGCTTTAATCAAGGAAGATTTCAATGAGATGAAGATCCGACCTTTGACTTACGACTCCTTTTCTTTAAGGATTTGAAATTATCACCACCATCACTGATGAGGAACCGGAAAAGACAGGCATGCACTTCCATGATAAGAACCAAGTTGCTCTCTTTGTGGCAGACAGCATTTTCGAAGTCTTCAAGAGAAAATCGCCATAGATGGAGCTGCCTACCAAATGAGGAACAAAAGTCCCAGACCATAAGAAGGTCCCCAACACAATCCATTGAAACGCTAAAATCCCGAGAAGGAGAAGGACGCTGAGTGATATTAGCACCATCGGGATCCGTTGGCAACAGTGAATCTTCAATTGGATATATGATATGTTCTTCTTCAGACTCATTAACCTCTGTAAAGAAAATACCCAACAACGACAAATCAGTAGGAACTATACAAAAAAGACACAAACTTTTTCCCAACACTAGGAAACATTCAACTGGAGAGCATCAATGAAAAGTTGCAAACCTACCTCTATCTGTCTCCTCTGCAGCATGACTACCATTTTCAGTTCTCTTTCTTTTTCCTTTATCCCTTCCGGTTTTATCTTCCTATAGTTTAACGATGAGAAAAAAACGATTAGTACATAGACCAATTATTAAGCAGCAATACATATTATTGTACATCTACCTGCTTCCTTTGCTGAACCAGTTGGCCATTCTGAAAGACATATTTGTTCTGAAGTTCCTTGGGAATCTTTCTCGTGATTCCATGTGCTTTAGTCAGATATTCATTAACCACCCAAGGTATACTGTGGCATGTGGAATCCCGAATGAAAGACTTCAGAAAATTTCTACTATATGGAAACTTCTTCCATGACAGATCCTCCCCAAACAGCACTCCGTTCTCATTTATTTCCTTATCTTTGTCAAGGAAGCCCACCTCATACTGAGGGTTACCATCTTCATCTGTTACTATCTCCAAAATTTTGCACGGATGCAATTCACCATCCCTTTTTCCATACAACTCTGCACCAGCGAAAAAGCAATTTTGCAACTCTGTCGCTATTGCGTCAGCAAGATCTTTCAACGAGAGTGTACCTTTTCAAAATGAATGAAAAATAGTCAGAAATAGTGCTGATAGAAGAGAGATTAAAGATTCAGACACAATTGTATCAGACGAATGAACCATACTCTAGGAAGGGGTTAAGAACTTACTGAATTGGATGATACGTAAAGCAGGTGCAACTAGCTCTCTGGCCAGAGTTTGAACCTTCTTGTTTGCCAGTTTTTCAGTCTCTAAGGCCTCCTCGTAGGTCAAGCTAGTTTTACCAGTAGATTTACATGTCCAAACTCGCTTGCGATACAGGTTTATCCTCTTCAAGTACAATCTATTTTATGTTAAGAAGACAAATAATTCTGATACGGCAAGTGCATTAATAAACATAAACAACCAAGCCTTTGAATACAGATGAAACAGCATTGAAAGTTTTAAGCTTATCCCCATCTAACTGCATTCATAAGAAGAAAGCAAATATTTATAACATAAGTAAAAAACTGCTCTCTTCTTTTCCAATTCATAAACCACAACAGATATAGAAGAAGGATACTGATAATCTCGGAAAATCTCCTTTGTGAGGCGAACTTGATAAACAAGTTCTTGTGGCTCCAAGTTCTTTGGGAGCTCCAGTAGTTTATGTGACTTCTTTTTTAGTAGAGGCATCCTTCAAACGGCAAGACAGACCTACGGTGTTAAAAAAATATCCATAAACCTGAATGCCTGTCTACAAGTAATAATCATAAACTCACTCTTTTTGCAATCATAGTTACAAACATCAAGGAAATGGAGCAACAGGTCATTCAAGCAAGACACAAAATTTACTTCCCAAAGTGAAAAAAGTACACCCTGGTAAACAGAGAATTGACCAGATAATGTAAACCCATATGGGTTTAAAGAAGACAGTAGCGTCAAGTAGACTTTTCAGAGAACTAATCACGTAAGCATTTGACAGAGCTGATTCTAATTTCAGTTCTGATTTGACAGAGCCCATAGAGACGCAAGTGGGACTTGTGAGATCATGTGGAAACGAAAAAACGTACCCAGGGAAAAATGCATGTTAGGAAACCAATGCAGAAATCGAAATAGCACTAAACCCTAGAACTATCGCACCTCAATCGAATTCAGAAAAGATCTGATCCCCATCGGAAAAGTTTACAGAGTTTTACCACTTGAGAGCAATAATCGAACAATCGAAGGAGCCAAAACGAAAGAGACGAATCAAACATACACCCAAGATCGAGAAAAGAAAGCACTTTCATGCGCCAGTTTCGGAGAGTCCAGAGAACCTCCCAGAAAGCGAAACCGACAGGAAAATTACGCACAAAAAGGCAGTCAAAAAGCATATCAAAATGCAACAAGGAAGAAACAAAAGCAACCATCACAATCATACGCTAACGAAATCAGAAGCCAAGGAAAAATTCACAATGAAGAAAGCGAAATCGCACACGAAAGCGGAAAAGAGGATCGATGTTCCCGCCAGAAGAAGAGCAATTGGAGAGAAATTGAGAGGAGTCGAATCTTACAGAGAATGTATGGAGATTAGAATGTGCGTCGTCGAGAGAGAGAGGTGTCTCTCAAGGAACGAAGACAGTTGTTGAGATCTCTGGTCTCTCGCCTCGCTCGCTCTCTCTCTCTCTCTCTCTCGCTCTCAGCTGTTTGGTCGTCGTCCGTCCTTATGGGAAATACGAAAACTAAAATATGTGTTTAGTGAAACTAGTGACTCGCTTTCTTTTTTATACATGTGTTGTTTTCCCAGCCAATTAGTCCCATTACTTTACTTTCTTTCCAAATAATGAACCCAGCCCATTACATGGACTAACAAATTGGGCCTAAATACTTGTTACTTGGACCTTGAACGCCTTTAAACTTGTGAGTCGTTCTGTTTTGAATTTAACGTTTTTTAATCGGAAATATGAATTCGAGAGGTTAAAACTTAAAAGTGTCGACTCGAGCAAAGACTTTTCAACGAGCACTTTTGTTACCTGGGAAGACCACTTTTGTTCTGTTTCTTTCGTTTTTATGTTCCACGTCCATTCATGATGCTTTTCTGAAAGATGACGCTATAGCCGCCTAACCATCATTTTATGGTTTACCATTTATGTATTTTTGTCCCGACCTTTACTTTATTTTTAGCAAATATGTTTCTACAGTTTTTATACTATGATTTTGTCAATCACAATTCACAACTAACGAATCTAAAACAACTCTTTAAAACAACTGAAAACACGATAACTAATTCCAAAAACGATGGTACACACAAAAATTATCCGCACCAAAATAATTAATGATATGTAGTTCTACATGTACTACATTTACGATAAAATAATCTTACTATTGATATATAAGAACACGAGTAATGATTATGCTCGCACCAGACTCAAAATATCCCAATGCTTTTAGTTTTACTAATTTCCTTAATTTTAATTTCTTAAGAACCGAAATTTCAAACTGAAGCATGAATAAATGTTTGGGTATGGACCTAAGGTTAACCACTATGCCAAATTTAGGCATACAACATACAGTACACGTTACCATTAAAAAAAAAAAAAAAAAAAATGGAAAAATTGGAGATTGAAGTCTGTAAAATGGCAAAAGTATAGCTAGCTCTACTTTTACTTTTGTCCGTATGATATTTATTTTTATTTGCATGATAACCCGCAACAAAAATTGTAGAAAACAAAAAAAATCAACTCTTGTATTTTCAGGCCAAAAATAAAACATCATGATAACCCGCCAAAAAATGTCAAACAAGAAATATCTACAGAAATTTTATGAAATACACTTCTTGAGGTGTAAATTTTCAAAACTACATCTATAGTATGAAAATTTTCAAAAATACACTTTTCCCCAATTTTAATATATATGTTTAGGTTCACTAATCCTATATTAGGGTTTAGATTTTGGGGTTTAGGGTTTACATTTAAGGGTTCAATGTTAGATTTTAGGGTTTAGAGTTCTTTTATTAAATGAAAAAAAGTGTAGTTTTGAAAATTAGCATCATAAAGATGTATTTTTGAAAATTGGCATATCAAAATGTGTAATTTTGAAATTTCCCCTAATATCTATGTCACAATTCTTGTATTTTCTCGCCTAAAATACAACATCAAATTTTTTACTTTAAAGTTTAAACTATCCCCAAATAACAACATTACAAAACTATATAATAAATTCCTTCACACGTTTAATATATCAAATTTTTACATTAAACTACCACCAAATAACAACATTACAAAACTATTTCATAAATGCCTGCATACGTAAAACATATCAAATTCGGTACCAAACTCGTGAGAGACAAAGCCGCGACGACATATGAAATATCTAACACGTACTTTATGTGGTAGTTACCTCTATCCAAAGGCTACGATTCCGCCACGTCATCACTCCCTCCCTCCTTAAAACCTACTCACTGCGCACCTCTTTCTACTCAGAGACATCCGCCATTGTTACCGGCAACGCAAGAAAACACCAAAAAAAAAAACAATGGAGGTCGAAAGAGTCCAAGACATCTCCTCATCTTCCCTCCTAACCGCAGCTATCCCGTTGGAGTACATCAGATCAGAGAAAGACCAGCCGGCGATCACAACGTTCCGAGGTCCGACGCCGGCTATTCCCGTCGTCGATCTGAGCGATCCCGTCACAGAGAGCGTTACGCGCGCGGTGGTGAAGGCGAGCGAAGAGTGGGGGATCTTCCAGGTGGTGAACCACGGGATTCCGACGGAGCTGATACAGAGGCTGCAGGACGTCGGGAGAAAGTTCTTCGAGCTTCCTTCGACGGAGAAAGAGTCCGTCGCGAAACCGGTCGACTCGAAAGACATTGAAGGATACGGCACGAAGCTTCAGAAAGATCTAGAAGGTAAAAAAGCTTGGGTCGATCATCTCTTCCACCGAATATGGCCACAGTCGTGCGTTAACTACAGATTCTGGCCTAAGAATCCACCTGAATACCGGTATACCAATAATTCCCAAATTGAATATGTTTAAACCGGAGTTTGCAATCGTTGGTTATATTTGGTTTTTATATGGTAGGGAGGTCAATGAAGAGTATGCAATACATATGAACAAGCTATCGGAGACATTGCTTGGGATTCTCTCGGAAGGATTAGGGTTACGTCGTGAGGCGTTGAGAGAAGGTCTTGGAGGAGATATGGCGGAGTATATGATGAAGATCAACTACTATCCGCCGTGTCCTCGGCCGGATTTGGTTTTGGGAGTACCGGCACACACCGATCTCAGTGGAATCACTCTGCTCGTGCCTAACGAAATTCCTGGACTTCAGGTTTTCAAAGACGATCACTGGTTCGACGCTGAGTATATTCCTTCCGCCGTCATTGTCCACATCGGCGATCAGATTCTGGTCTGAATCTTTTAAAAACTTTGAAACTATTACACGAAATATATTGGAAAAATATACATTAAAAAACGAATTTGGTTTTATAAAAAGAAATTAAAGACAGGTTTATTTTTAGACAATTTCAGTAAGGTCAAGAGATAGTTTTTTTTTTACAATTAATTTTGTTTGGATTTTAGGACTAAAAAGTAGGTTTAAGGATTATAATTTTGATTTAAGGACTCCTTTAATTTGGTATACAATTTAGGTTGTTGACATAGTTGTTAAAAAGAGAGACATAATTGTCTTTGATTGTAAAATTTGCAGAGGCTGAGTAATGGGAGGTATAAGAATGTGTTGCATAGAACAACGGTTGATAAGGAGAAGACGAGGATGTCGTGGCCGGTTTTCTTGGAGCCTCCCCGTGAAATGATCGTCGGACCTTTACCGGAGCTTACCAGCGATGATAACCCTCCAAAGTATAAGGCTATGGCTTTCAAGGACTACAGTTACCGCAAGCTCAATAAGCTTCCTCTGGATTGAGAAAATAAATCGAAACTAGGAAAAGAAAAGGTGTGATTTATTTATTTTTAACAAAAAATTGTGGTTTGGAATGGCAAATGGTTTGTTGTTGAGTTGTTGTTTTCCCGCGATAAGAAACACCGTTTTGTCTCTTGTTTCTGTTATTTATGGTTAAATAAAGATTACTACATTAAAATGCAACTGTCTGATGAAGACATGTTTCTTTTGTTGGCAGTTAATGCCGGACCATTTTTAGGTATGCGTAATTTGGCGGTAATTAATATGTTGTTGTTGTCGACATATAAATTCGGGAGTGTAATAACATTATCCACCTTTTTTCCTTTTTCTCAACCAGAATTGCACTAGATTTCAAAGCAGGTTAAAAATCCGGACAAAATATTTCCACAGTTTATTTCGAATACATACAGAAAAAATAAATTTGTATTAGGTTAAAATAGTTGGAACAAAATTACAAAGGGATCAAATGCAAATATATTAGGTAATGGATCTTTCTTGAGTGACTTGAAGTGCTACAAAACCTCTCGTTCGAGTTTGAGGACGGCCATGAAAGCTTCTTGAGGCACATCAACTCTACCTATGGCTTTCATTCTCTTCTTACCTGCCGCCTGTATTCACATTCAAGTCAAATCTTAATATACAAAAGAGAAACATGAATTGTGAATCACGAATTTAGCCCTTCTCGAGCCTTATTCTTTGCGGAAAAGAAAAGTACCTGTTTCTTAAGAAGCTTCTTCTTCCGAGAAATATCTCCACCTGAATGGATCATAGCAACAAACACGTTAAAGCGAAAGCTACTTCATATTTTTACTTATGAAACCGATTGATGCCGAAAAGAGTGAAGATAAGTTTCTGGTAATACAAGAGCTTAGGCTAAAACGGTTAAAGAGTTTTGATATCAAGCCAGTTGGTGGTAGTGGCTACATCATGCTATTGTGAAAGGAAGCGAGGAAGCAAGGGAAATGTGTAGTTACCGTAACATTTGGCCAAAACATCCTTTCTGATTGCTGAGAGCGCTTCACTAGCAATCACTTTTGTTCCTATACAAGCCTGTAAGTATATGTTTATGTCAACAACATCTTCCGCTGTTTGTATTTCTTAAAGATCATTGTCATATAGCCATTTGTTCAAATACCTGGATGGGCACTTTAAACATTTGTCGCGGAATAAGCTCTTTGAGTTTTTGAGTCAAAGCTCTCCCAACGGAATATGCCTGCAAGCATAGTTCAAAATGGTTCCATACTACTGTGAGGACAAGACTCTTATATGGGAAATGTACTAATCTCAACAGTAAAAGCTTTTAGCAAATATGAACAGTTTCACAAAGCTTTAAACTTAGAGATGTGTAGAACCGCGCGTATCTATGAGTTCACAACATTCATATTAAAAAGCGCATTAATATCTAACCTTGTCTCTGTGTACAATGGTTGACAAAGGTTCCACCAATTCAGCATTAATCAGAATATCGAGTTTTATCAGATCGCTTTCCCTGTACCTGCACACAATTTATAAGAAATGGAGAAGCTAAGAAAGACATAAAAAAGCAACGATCTGTGCAAACAAAATTTGATGGAACTAACCCAATAACTGAGTATTCCATACTAGCATATCCCTTCGTCCTGGACTTCAATTGATCAAAGAAATCTCCCACCATCTGTAAAAGAGCAGGGAGCCAATAACGAGAAGATAAGTTTACATAATAAAGAGAGACATATGTAAGATTTCAGTGGGAGTTTCTGAAGTGTGCAAAGGCAAAACCTCACCTCTGCAAGGGGTAACTCATAGAGGAGGGAAGCTCTGTTCTCAGCTATATATTTCATTTCTTTGAACTCCCCTCTTCTATCTTGAGCGAGCTCCATAAGCGCACCGATATAGTCTTTCGGTGTAAGCAGCTCAATCTTGATAATATCATTTTGCACTTTTAAGAAACGTGACATGTAAAAATATCAGCAATATTTATGCAGCAGAAAAAGTAACCTTAACGTATGGTTCTTCGACTGATTTCCTTTGCCCAGGTTGTGGAAGGAGAGATGGGTTTGAGCACATAGTCTGCAGAAACATTCTATAGATATCAAGAAAGACATAGACAAGGATGCAATACAATATTTAAAAGTGTAGGATCAAGAGGAAATTACAATATCACCATTTACAGTGTTCACCCTATATACAACACTTGGAGCAGTGGTGATAAGATTTAAGTTGTATTCCCTCTCTAGCCTTTCCTGCGAACAAGATGAACTAGAGCATAAGAATTGAAGCTTGATGTAAACTGACTTTGTGAACTTCCATATATGGCGGGAATCCGTCAGACAAGCTGGAAGTGTGAGTAGGATTTTCAAAAACATTTTAAAACAAGAAGAGCGAAACACATCTAACCTGCACAATTTCCATGTGGAGAAGACCCAAGAAACCGCATCTAAAGCCAAAACCCATGGCACTTGAAGTTTCAGGCTCAAACTGCAGGACAACCAAGTTGAGGCAAAACCCATAGAAACTTATTTTGGGTACAGACAAAAGAAAAATCTTATTTTCTGTAGTTTCAGTTTGCCAATACCTTCAAGGCGGCATCATTGAGCTGCAGTTTTTCCAATGCATCTCGAAGATCCGGAAACCTGTCATCATCGACGACATGTGAAAAGAAGAAACTAAATATATAAAAGAAAAAGTAAGGAAACGAACAGTAAAAACTCAGTACTGGTCAGCGTCAACTGGAAACAGGCCACAGAACACCATAGGGGTAGCTTCCTCGTAACCAGGTAAAGAGCTTTCTGCCTTTCTGCTATATGTTGTTATTGTATCACCTACCCTGGCATCTGCAACCGATCGTATAGAAGCAGAAATGTAGCCCACCTGTAATTAAGAACACTAACATTCAAAACATGTGTAAGGAATGTGGCATGATAGTCAGGGGTTTTGCCTGAAAGACCAATTTCCACCAAGAAAACGAGAAACTAAGTGAAACAAACAAACAAAAATTACGTTCAAAAGAGTACACTACCTCACCCGCAAATAATTCATCTACTTGAATTTGATTCGGAGATAGAACGCCGATTTCATCTGCGAAATAGTCCTGCCAAGATTGAGAACATGAGATACTAGTGAAACATGAGAATGCATACTTTTCTCAGTTTTTCCTATAATAATTTCAGATTTGTTCAGTACATCACTCTAACAGCATAGACGGCGAAAAGCTGACAACCACAGATTATTACATTCCATTTTTTATGGCATACGGAAAGCTATCTTAAATCAAATCGAAAGACATCGAGACCAGAGCAGGGAGAAAAATAAAAACCTTTCCGCTTGCCATGAAATATATTCTGTCGCCTTTCTTCACTTTCCCATCGATAACTCGAAAGTATACAATGACACCACGATATGGATCATAATAACTGCAGAAAGTACCGTGGAAGAACAATATAAGTAGCTAACATCTGAACACTGCACGTTCATAGAATAATCAAGATAAAAAGTGAATACTCCACACTCATTTTTTACTAGGGCATTACTGGAGCTGACTTGACAAGCCAATGACCAGTCACATCATCATATAACAATACAACTTAGAAAAGGTAAAAGTCGTCATGGATAAACTGCAAACCTGTCAAAAATTAAGGCTCTTAAGGGTTTGTCTGCAGTATCCTTAGGTGGAGGTATCCTTTGAACAATTGCATCTAATATCTCCTTAATACCAATTCCCTCCTGTATGAATCAAATATGCCCCAGAAATGTAATTAAAATGGATAGAGAGCCACACATCTTAATTCTTTAAGTAGATAAATAGCAAATGATCTTTTTAAAACCTAACCTTTGCCGAGCAGAGTATTGCTTTGCTACAGTCTAACCCAATAACCTACAAACAATCCAAATTATCAAACAATATTTACATAAAGGCTGGTGTCTCTGTAATAGCAGTAACAAGACAATTACCCCATTAGAGGAACATTAGAATGGATCAAAATATCACAGAGAAATGTTGAAGGCATACAAGTAAGTACACTGAATATCTAACAGAAGCTACAATCTAGTTACATGTACTGATAACATTTTGACAACAGCAACAGAAAAGACTATTCATATTATAACTGGATGCATTGTATGATTGCTGTCACCAACGAACATAATAAAATGGGCTACACAATGAAGAGAATCACTAACCTCCTCAATCTCTCTGATAACTTGCTCTGGCTCAGCGCCAGGAAGGTCAATCTTATTCACAACCTGCAGTAAGAAGTAGAGTTCGTTTGCTTTATCTCTGTAATACAAACCGAATTGTTGACCAAATCGAAGAATAAACACCTTGCATCATTGTTTCCTGAATTGTTATGAATCATATTTAAGCAACTCCGCACTTACAGGAATAATCTCGAGGTTGTTTTCAAGAGCCAGATAAACGTTAGCCAATGTTTGCGCTTCCACGCCCTAAACCACATATCAGAGGAAGTTCTTTAGAAAGAGTTGTACTAATGTACATGCCCATAAACAAAAAAGAAGGGAAAATCACCTGAGATGCATCCACAACAAGAAGAGCACCCTCGCATGCAGCAAGAGATCGGGAAACCTATTCAAAAATGTATCTTTATCATCCGACCTTCCAAATGTAAAAAGTCCATGTTGGAAAAAAGAGAGGATTTTGAGTAAATTAGAAGATTGAAGTACCTCGTAAGAGAAATCAACATGGCCTGGAGTATCTATCAAGTTGAGGCAGTACGGTGTATCTTCGTAAACATAACGCATTCGAGCTGCCTGCACAAACATACAGCACAGAGTTACAAAATCAGAAACAGATTACTTTGAAATTGTGAAGCTTTATTCTTGTTAGTTATTGTGAAGAGAAGGCGAAGGGAGGAAAGAATAGGGAACCTGAAGCTTGATGGTGATGCCTCGTTCTCTCTCTAAATCCATGTTATCAAGAAACTGTTCCTTCATGTCTCTGTTCTGCACAGTTCCAGTCACCTGAAGCAACTTATCCGCTAACGTCGATTTCCCATGATCAATATGAG